AACAAGCTGTAGCAAGAGGATCCACATGGGCTTCGTGGGATCCCCTGTCTGTCACGCTGGCTTGTCGAGGATGGTTGCAATGGCACACATGGTGAGAAATGAAAGTCCGAGGTTCTTGTTGGGTTGTCCTACCCCCCATTTCAACCCCCAGCCAAACAGCAGTGTTGTTCCCGGCTCAGGCACATGCAGAGGCGTGGGCTGGCCCCTGGGCCGATCCCACCCAAGAATCCTCGCAGGAAGGGCCTGTCAGGAACAGACACATGGTTGGCCCTACAGTCTCTCAGGTACCCGTCACCGGAAGCAACACCCAGCCAATAACGGCTGAGAAGTGACTGAGTCCCGCCCCACCTGCAGCTGGAAGGACCTAGCGTCTGGCGAAACTCCCTAGCCAAACTTATTTTTCTCTTCTTTTTTTTCCTTGATTTTTTCAGCCCGGTCCCTACCGCCCCCAGTACATCCGAAGGGACACGTCAGTAGCTTGTTCCCATCTCTTTGATGGGCATTCCGGGAAACCAACGCCGCCATGTGATTTTCCTTTTTCCGTGCCGCTTGTCATTTTGCTGAAGACAGAAGTACTGTACCGTACATCTTGCGAAGTACCTGAGTACGTGGCGGCCACGCATGCAGGGTTCTTACTATACCGCATTTCATTACTGGCCGGCCGACAGCCCTCGGTTGCACATTTTCATCAGAGACTCCGAACCTCGAGTTCTCGTTCACAGGTGAGGCCCAAGCGACAAGATCACACGCCCGCCAGGCGATTTCTGTCGATTTGTTTCAAGGACCTGAGGGAGATGACCGCAGGGACACTATAGTACGTCTCGTAAGAGCCGTTGGGAGCGGCAGGCGGCTGCCAGGTTACCGCCCGCAGTCAATCAGAGAATGGCTTTGTCCTTCGAGTTGAAGTGGGTGTAGGGGGGGAAACATGATCCCAGTAGCGCGTTCTTAGGCCGCGGAGAGTGAGAAATCTTGTTTTCTAGCAGCCTTGGCCGTCTCGGCCGCCCACTAACGAGAAGTGACCCAAGCGGGTGATGGGTTGAAAGGTGGGAAACAAGGTTGCGGGTACCTGGACCGTTGAAGACAAAGTTGCTGACAGAAAGATTTGGCGAGTACCCAATAACACCGAATGCGGCCCCAGCTCATTGGCCAACTAGCGCATCCGATCTTGGTGCCGGCAGAGGAGAATCGTGGCGTGCCCCCGTCGGGTCTTGACTCGGCCTGCTTTGGATGTCGAAAGACCCACTGCTGTTGTCTGGACCGCCCTTGTCACGAAGTACCTGGGACCTGCTTGCCAGGGTGCCTGGGCGTTTCTCTCACAACATGGCCCCATCACACCCTCCATTTTAATTTGTTTTCCTCTCACCAGCATGGCCAACATGCGGGAGACGGATGAGTATAAAGAAGCCTGGCCCACGATTCCCTACCTTTATGTCTTCCCCTTGATCTGACCCTCACATTTCGGCAAGCCGTTGTGAATTACCTTCCTTCTTACGGGATACACACACTCCTTCTAGCCATTGGCTATTCACTCTTTGCAACACGCAATATCAAAACACTAGACAAACTCAAGTCCCGGGCGACTTTTGAATCCGATCTCCACGATCACTCTTCGCAAATATCAGGAAGCCTTCGAAAGGAATTCTAGCACAACTTTTCTAGAAACTATTCTGGTCAACCCAGCAACTACTTCAGTATACTTCTGACAATATATATCTACTCATATCAACCGACAAACACCCCAAAATCAGTCACAATGCAGTACAGCACGCTCGCACTCCTGGCCTCTGCCACTCTGGCAAGTGCTGCCAACCAGATCACCTTCATGTCTATGGATACCACCGACCGCACCATCTACTTCACCCCCAACTCCGGTCTTGCCTCGGTTGATTCTACCGATGTCCCCGCTGGTCAGAACGTCACCGTCACCATCCCCGACTCTTGGATCGGCAACTACTACTCCGTCAGCTCCGGCTCCGACAACACGCCTGGTATGCTTGGCGAGGTCAACTTCAACAGCTGGGGTGGCCTGACCTACTTTGACGTGTCGGCCATCGTCGACGAGAACGACCACAACGGTGTCTACATGATGTACCCTGCCGACACCGAGTCCCCCGTGTCTGGCTGCACAAGCTTCTTGTGCGACACTCTTTACCTCCTGCCCGATGACATCCAGACCAAGGCCACGACAAGCACCCACCTGATCACCACTCTGGGCGCTGGCAACCAAGTCGTGTACAAGGCTGCCCTGGCCACTCGCGATCTCGAGCAGCGCGTCTACCCCCGTGCCGCTGTCACCGACGCCAACTGGACTCCCGCACGTCTGCACTCCCGTCAATTCAGGATCTAAGGTCAAACAGACCGACCTACCAGGGGACAGAGAGAGGAGGATGGCGGAGGAGGTGAACAGCGCGCTCTGGAGGCGCAGCTTTTCCGACGAAGCTACGATCAACCACAATATCTAACATTCAATCACACAAGGCCCAAGCAAATGGTCTTGTATTATAGAGATACCCCGTTCCCCAGCGCCTGCAAAGCAAGCAGCTACAGGAAGGAGGAGTTCTTGAGCAGGGATAGGCGCGCGCCAGCGGTTTTTGGCATTTTCACTTTTGGGCGAGGATAGAAGGAACGGTGACGGTTCTACGATTGACGAGTATAGACAAACTCACGGACTTGGAGCTGTATCTAGCTGTATCTGACTGGTACAGTTCCAAGGTAAACCGGCACTCGCTTCCGCAAATCTTACCATTTCATCACATTCATTACCAAGCTCAGACGAGCTACTTACACCTGTTTCAAACCAACCTTCGATACTTGTAAATAGCTATAGGAGGAAACAAAATCAATTTGATCATTTGATGACAACAACCAGTACTCAATGTTCCTTATCTTTTTTGTCCTCTTTTCTTTTTGGTGAATGAGAAGTGACGACTTTCGGATAATACTTCCTCTATCCACCCACCGGCCTTGCTGCAACCCTTGCTGTGGCTAGCCTGTCGTTCGTAGACAGTGGGTCCCGCCCTGATTGCAGTCTTCCTCACAGGCCTCAGCAGCCCCATCCAGCCGGTGATACCGCGTCATGCCCCCGTGTGGCTGACGCTGTCTGTTCATCACCGAGACGGAGGAGCGGCCCCAAAATGTCAAGTGTCAAAATGATAGCCGGCCGAGGCGAGCTGAAGGAGGGCTATTTCCTCGTCCTCAACCCTTGTTCACCGCGTGCGTTGCAGACGTAAACGTTACTTTTGTGGAACTTTTGTCTGTCGATCGCTCTCTGTGTCGGAGATAATAGAGCATGGGATTCCTCCCATCGATTGTTGTCTCAGCCGTATGCGAGCACTAGTGCCTTTACTCCTACTACTATTACCAGTATATCACGTACTACTCACTTTTTATTTTATTTCTGGACCCGAACCGAGGCTGTGGTAGCATTGTCTCGACCATGTCTTGTCATGTCTTGTCATATTTTTATTTCCGCAGCGATCAATCGATCGTCGTTCGGTTCGCTGGGTACCTACCCATAAGGCTCACCTAGGCCCAGGACAGCTAGACTCAGGTACAGAGTAGTAAAGAAAAAAAAAGGGCGGCATTCGCGTGGCCCGCTCGCTTGCGTTGGCTCTGCCTCGCTTACCCGCTCAGTTGGTGTCGTGCCGCGCACATCGTTCCATCGTCGGCCGGTAAATTTGGATCCTTCCCGCCCGCCTGCCCAGGCCCAGCCGAGGCGGGAGGGGAGAGGGGGGCCTCCCTCTCCTCTGACAATACCACCTAGTTCTCTTGGGGTGCCCACGCCAAGACGGGCTGGGAGGGGCGGCACAGCTTTTGCGTTCGTCCCAAAATTAGAGGCGTTGTTTTGGAGATCACTGGGGAGATTAGAGAACATGAGATGAACTGCTAACGGCTACGTTACGGCTCTGCTGTTTCGGATTGTTTTTTTCCGGCTGAGTCGCTGGGGGCCACCCACACACCCCCAAACAGCGATGAAGACAGACGACAACATTGACTGCAGAGACCAGCTGTTGCTGGTGCAGTAATTAATTGGTACCTGAGCGGCCAGGATGTGGACCGCCATCAACCAACTGCATTTTACCCCTGATCCGGAAGCTGCACAATACCTCAATACCGGCACGAAAAGACGCACGGCAGTGCAAAAGGCCTCTTGTGATAATGCACCATCGCGGCAAGCCGACTAAGAATAGCAGTGCCAGCACAGGCCAACGGGACTGCAGAGATCCCTATTCCCTTCTAAAAGCGCAATGCTGGGTGTGACCTTTCCGTTGCGAGGCAACCAACCAACCGGCCGACCTAGAAGGAGGAGTTCCTGACTCCGCATGAACCACCCATTTCGGTCCCGCCTAGCTGCGAAATGCCACAAGAGCAATGCGCTTTTGTCGACTGGGAGGGGGCTGGAGGGAGAAAGAAAAAAAAGGGGGGATGAGGATCGCCAGCGAGTCCCGGCATGCTAAAGCAGACCACAGCAAAGCCTCCTTCTGGATCCCGTCTGACGTTGGCTGCTGACGCAGTCAGATCCCGGGAATCGCAACATGACTGGCTGGTCAGGACAGCCGGTGGCGCCCAGCGGCAATGCGGTCAGCCGCTTATCCTGTGTGTAGGTGTGCGTAGGTATGTGTGTGTGTGTGTGTGTGTGTGTGTGTGTGTGTAGGTGTCGCTTCATCTCACCCAACCCATTCGCCGCTGGCCCTTGAAGGTGAGGCGCGCATTCTCTCATGGAAAAAGGGGGAGACTAGCCTGTGGCTTCCCAGGCGGGCGCCTCGCTGCTTCTCGAAGAAAGGAGAGACGAAAAGAAGAGCATACGCGCGAGGAGTCCAGTCTTGAGAAGAGAGCCCCTTACAGCCATGTCATTCACAGCCTCTCACCGCCCAGCCTCTCACCGGCTTCCTGCCGGAGGTGTTCTGAGGCTGAGAGACGCCACGCCGGCATTCTCACATGGGACAGCAGGGCAAGTTCGCATAGGACCCATACCAAGACCAGAACCAACCAGACAGCCCTCAGGCAGACCCAGCCGTCCGACCTGCTGGGACACCGGACCCGACCCAACCCCTGGTGACCAGTGACACGGCGCCGACGCGCTGCTGCTGCCGTGTCGCCTCGCACCCGCCTGCTCGGGCACCCGGAAGCAAGGGGGGAGCATCATTCATACGTACTTTGTCGTACAGAAGGGCTTGGCCACGTCTTGTTCCCTGACTGCATGGCCTTGAAACCGCATGGCTTCAGCCAGGTTCGTGTGCGGGAAGCTGCGTGGTTCGAGTGCCGATGGCTGTGGGACGACTCCATGATCCGGGGCAAACCAGCCCAGCCACTTTGGACCCTTGGTGTTGTCGGGACGAGCCGAAATTCTCACGGTGGTATTGGGCAAGTCGAGCCGTGAGGGAGGCTTGCTGTCGTGCTCTGGTAGATCAAGAACTCAACGCCAATGGGCACGGTATCCCTCTTCGTGGTGGCGGCTTGTGTGCTACGGCGTCACAGGCCGTCAACATGTAGTCACTCACTTAGGTAGTCCTGTATTTGCTCACTCTGGGCGTTGAAGACAGCGCGAGCCGACAGGCAAAGAGGCAGAAGCTCAGAATTTTGTGTGATCAGGGCCTCGCTGTGCAGAGAACCCCAACAAGACTATATTATCCCGCTAGATATGACTTCCTCATGCTATGTGTCTACCAGGGCACCCGATACTCCATCCTCATGCGCGGTGCGCCACGATTACCGAGCGTGTGCATGCACGCCTCATCATGCCAGCTCCTTACTCATTTGAACCCCGCTTCCGTGGGCTCCTTCTTCTCGCCGTCTTCTTTTGCGTCTTTGCCCTCTGACGTGTCCTTCGCTGTGGCGTTCTCCTCGCTCTTGGTCTCACTCGGAGGCGGGGAGACGCTCTTGACCTGTTTCGAGTTGATGATCCCAACCAAGTAGTCACCCGTGTCGCCGAAACCATCGATGTGCTCAAGCTTCGCTTTGAAAAGCTGCATGTCGCGCAGCATGCTGATTCCACTGTTAGTACTTTGTGTATAGTATGATTGAAGGGTACGAGGGGTGCATACCTATCCCGACCAGCCTCAGTCTTTGGATCCGCCTCCTGGAACGCGGATCCGAACTGCTCCTTGAAGCTGCTGAAGACGGGGATCATGATCATGCGCACGGTGTCTTCGGACAGGTGCTTGACGAGGTTGCGGTGCAACAGTGACGTTTCCTTGACGAGTGTCTCGATGTAAGGGTGTGGGCTCTTCTGGTCCTTGTCCCATTCAATCGCCCTCGCGGTCTTGGCATGTGCGCCAGCTCTTCCGCTCATGATTTCTACAAGCTTATCAAAAATGGTTTGCATATGTTCTTGGTAGTCCCGCTTGACCTTGTCGAAATCTGCCATTAAAGCAGCCCCGCCCGAGCCACCATGCCGCCGGATGAATTCGCGGACATAGGGTATTAATGTGGCGATGAAGGATAGGGCCTGTGAAGACGAGGCTAGATGTCGAGTGGTGATGTTCTTAAGGCCAGCAGATTTTGTAGCACCGGCCCCGAGGATGAGTTGCTTGCAGCGGGAGTCGAAAAATTGTAGGTATTTCACAAGAGACTTCGCGATGTCTGAGGTGATGGATGGAATGCCGACGATTAGGTGCAGGAAGTTCGACATGCCCTCCATGCAGTATACGGCAGAGTTTGGCAGCACGAAGGACTCGGAATCGATGACGGCCTTGGACTTGCCTGAGCCGTTGCTTTGGGATGCTTTTTCAACACCATTGACCTCTTCGTCCTCGTCAGGATATGGGATCCAGACTTGCGTGCCGAGAGTCCAGTCATTCGGATCACTCGTACTGCACTCGAGGATCCGGTTGAGTTGAGCAGTGTGGTTCTCAGTGAAGTCGATCGCGCCCCACTGGTCGGATTCCATACCCTGAGCCAGCTTTTGCTGCTCGCGGTCTCCATTGCTTGCGACAAACTTTTTGATGTGATCATTGACCTCGTCTTTCAGTTGTGTACCTCCCCTACCAGATATTGACTCGCACTCGTTGGCGAAGTGAAGATTGAGAGTGAAGTAGCGAAGGAACCAGACCAGTTCCAGATGCGTGCTCTGCTCGGACCGGACCCGTAGCACCCTCACGACCTTGTCTTGAGCTATGTCAATACAATTACCGAGAAGTGAGGATAGGTCCATGACCTTGTGAATCTCCTCCTGGGCCTCAAGCCCCGCGACAGACTGTCTTCTTCCTGTTGGACTCAAAGGGGGTGATTTGATGGGCGGGGACTTGAGACCGGATGGGATCGACCCATCCTCAATAGATGCTGCGACGTCCAGCATCACCTTGACCTGTATCGATGCCCTCCTCAAGGTTTCGGTTACACTGACGTAAATCTTTACCAGCAACTCCTCTGCGTCACCAGGGTCCATGGCGCGCAGATTCCGCGCCAGGATCGAAGACTTCTCTCTTTGGGAGAGATGCCGGCCTCCAGTAGCAGTAGAAGCAGACATTACGGACATGTTGTCATCGTCGTTTGAGCTGGGCAAACCTTGCTTCACAAGACTTTTGATCTCCTTAATCACAGATTCTCTGTATGCTGTGACGGCGACCCCGATCTGTTTCGCCCTGTAGAGACCTGCCAGGCTCTCGATGAGTTTTGCCCGCACGTCATCGGTAGAGCCCAAATATGACGGGAACGCTGATGCCTCACGAGTCCGGCCGCCTCTAGCTCGCATGGACGCAGTATTCCAGCGCATGAGAACCTCCTGGGTTGACACTTCTCCCACATGACGTCGGAGGTCAGCCATGAGACTCGTCACGAATTTTGTCTCGTAAGCCTTTCCAATTCGCGATCGTAAGCTATGCACGTCATCACTGACACCCTGGAGCGCGGTGGCAGTTCGGAGATCAATAAGTTGGACATCCCGTAACGCAGGGGTTGGAGGCCTGTACTCGTCCTCGTCGCCGGCTATGAGGCGTTCGAGGGAGTCGATGCTGTCAAGGGCTGCGTCGACATTTCCCTCGTCAACCAGCGACTCGCACTTCACCAATTGACTCAATATCTCCTTCAGCTGCAGAACAGCATGATGAAGTTGCTGCACATTCTCACGCCGCCGTTGCTGCTGAATGGTGTTGAGCCCACTTAGTACTATCTCCTCGTCCAGAGCCTCGAGCTCGTGCCTCAATGTCTTGATTTTCTCCACAGACTCTGCTGCCTCTGTATGAAGTTCCCTCAATGAGCCCAGAGCACTGAAAAATGTGGTCGAAGCCGTAGATATTGACGAGATCAAATGCATCTCGATGGTATCCATATACCATGACAACTTCTCCTGCAGGATTGCATTCGTGGACAAGGTCTTCCGAGGTGCGGGCGCGTCTCCATTCGAAGCCTTGTCCTCCTTGCGCACCACCTCAGACCTCTCGCTCACGACATCGAATGTTCTGGGGTTTTCCAGGTGAAAATCCTCCTCAAAGTAGACCAGCGGAATTGTGGAGAGCGGTGGCGGACCTTGGGCGGATTTCCTAGCGTAGCCCGAGCTGGACCTTCGCACGGGGCTTGGTGCATCTGCGTTTGTCCAGGATGATATTGAGGAAATGGACGCCTGTCTAGAACGCTGCGGCCGCCTTCCCGGGCGCAAACGATTGTCTTCGAAGGGCTCCATGAGCTCATCTGCCTTTCCACGGCTGTTGCGATGCAGGCTATCCTCCTCCTCGCTCGCTTTGACTTGTTTGAGCTGCGAGTAAAGGGCGCCGACTTGCTTCAGGTAGGGCTGGAACTCGGCCGGGTTGACTTTCTGAATATTGGTCAAGGTCACCGGGGGTATGTCCCTGACTGTCGGCGGCCTGTGGGCGCTAGAAGCGGGAGCGGTCGTGTGAGGAACGAGGCCGGTTCGGACGATGGGAGGTTGCAGAAGGGTAGATATGGCTGTCCGAATCGTCAGCCAAGCAGCCACATGGGCCCGTGGGCGATTTCAGGGGGAAAGGACACACGAACCATTCTGTCCTGCTTCCAACATGGTGTTGCTGCTGCCCCAGCTGCCCGGATCTAATGCGCCGCCGACCGAGTGCGAGGAGCTCGCGGTCGAGCCCCGTCTGGTACTGACAGAGCCATGCCTTCCGCTGTGGAACGGAAAGTCTGTCCGGTGGGTGAGCGGCGACGTGGGCGAGGCAAGGCTGTCGATGGACTTTCGAGCGGCGGGATTTGAATACATGATGGCCGCGAGGAGCAAGAGGATGCGACAGAGCACGGGTTGACGACACGGCCCCTGAGAACGGCAACAGGGAGGCCGGCGCTGCTATCAATGGATCGATAACGGCGCTGCTACCGAGGAATCATTGCTGGGCAGGGTGCGATGCACATGAGGGAATGGATTATGCACTTCTGATTCACTAGGACTCTGTGGCTGGCCGATATATGACAGGAAATAAGCACACGAAAGCAATGTGGGAAAGGGGAGAACGGTTGCGCATTCCGCCGTCAGATCGGGTTGTTGAAGCTCAAGACGGACGTGGACGTGGACGGACGGGATCGTCTCCCACCCAGAAGAACAGCTAAACCCAAACAGAAGCTCCATCCATCCCCAGAACGACAAGTCGCAAGTTGCAGATGTGGCGCAGCTGATGATGTACCCCTGTAGCTCTGTGGCGCACGGGGATATAGCACTTTACCACACGACGCCCGCTGCAGGGATCTCGCGTTTTCATGCGCGAAAGGCGCGTCTCGAAGCGCGTAAAGTGGTTATCGGTCCCTCTCGACATTTTGCTCGGCTTTCCCCCCTCCTACATGCTCAATCCACTGCAACTCCAGACTTCGCCTTTTGGTCCCTTGATCATTCCTTTGCATCGTGTTGTCTTCAGAGTTTATAATGGATCGCGGGTCTGTACACACCCTTCACGTCTTCCCTCAGGAGGAAAGGGAGGACACCAACCTCCAGGTTCAGAAGCAGCTCGAGACCTTCATTCTTGAGTTCAGACTCGACAATGTCTTCGTCTACAGGTAGGCGCAATCGCAGGAACATTTCCTCATCCATACCATTGGCTGACTCTCGTATAGAGACCAGTTGCGCGAGAACGCGCTCCTTCAAAAATTCTACTGCGATGTTAACATTGGCGACCTGATCAAATACAACGAGGAGTTGGCGCATCGATTGGTCACAGAGCCTTCCGAGATAATACCGCTGGTTTGTGATATTCCTCAGTTCAGTGCAGTTTTGAACAAGATCTCTGACCGTAGTCACCTCCCCACAGTTCGAGAATGCGCTGCGCAAATGTACGCAAAGAATCGTCTTCCCTCACGAAGCAAAGATCAGCCTCCCACCACACCAACTTCTCCTCCACTCAGATGCCGAAGATGTGTCTATCCGAAATCTGGACTCCCTTACGATATCTCGACTTGTGAGGGTACCCGGCATTGTTATTGGTGCTTCCGTCATGTCATCCAAGGCGACTGAGCTTCACCTGTCCTGTCGGAATTGCGGCTACGTCCAACAAATAATCATCGACGGTGGCTTCTCAGGTGTGACTCTGCCCAGACGTTGTGGCAGGGAAAGGCAAAAGGGCGACCCCACAGACCCATGTCCCCTAGATCCTTACTTCGTGGTCCACGAGAACTCCAAGTTCGTCGACCAACAAGTCATCAAACTGCAGGAGAGGCCCGATCAAGTCCCCGTCGGAGAGCTGCCACGCCATGTGCTCATCTCTGCTGATCGATACTTGACCAACCGTGTTGTTCCCGGATCGAGATGTACTGTTATGGGCATCTTCTCAATCTACCAGAACAAGGGCAGCAAGAACTCTTCAACAGGTGGCGCCGTCGCCATTCGCACACCGTACCTCCGAGCAACCGGAATCAAAACAGATCTCGATTCAACCGCAAAGGGCCATGCCATTTTCTCCGAGGAGGAAGAGCAGGAGTTCTTGGAGCTCAGCAGAAGGCCGGATCTGTATCAGGTTATGGCCAGTTGTATCGCGCCATCCATTTACGGTAACGAAGACATCAAAAAGGCAATTCTTTGCCTCCTTTTAGGCGGCTCGAAAAAGATTCTACCTGACGGTATGAAGCTCAGAGGCGACATAAACGTCCTTCTCCTCGGTGACCCAGGTACTGCAAAATCACAACTCCTGAAGTTCGTTGAGAAGGCAGCTCCCATCTGTATCTACACCTCAGGCAAGGGCTCGTCGGCTGCGGGTCTGACTGCCTCTGTGCAACGAGATCAGTCCACAAGGGAGTTCTACCTGGAGGGTGGTGCCATGGTTCTCGCGGACGGCGGCGTCGTATGCATCGATGAGTTCGACAAGATGCGCGACGAAGACCGAGTTGCTATCCACGAGGCAATGGAGCAGCAAACGATCTCGATCGCCAAGGCAGGTATCACCACTATCCTGAATGCAAGAACATCTGTCCTGGCGGCCGCCAACCCCATCTTTGGCCGCTACGATGATATGAAGACCCCTGGCGAGAACATCGATTTCCAAACGACCATCCTATCTCGTTTCGATATGATCTTCATTGTCAAGGATGCGCATGACCGCACCCGCGATGAGAATATCGCAAAGCACGTCATGGGCATCCACAAGGGCAGCACCGCAGCTGAGGCAGAAGTCGAGTCTGAAATTCCGGTGGAGACAATGAAGCGGTACCTGAGCTACTGCAAATCGTAAGTCTCATCATCACCGCCAGGGTGCATGTCCACCCCGGCCGAAATCACAGAGCTAACAGAACCACCCCAGACGCTGCGCGCCGCGCCTCAGCCCAGAGGCAGCAGAGAAGCTGTCGTCGCACTTCGTGCAGATCCGCAAGCAGGTGCACGCGTCAGAGCTGGAGGCCAACACGCGGTCGTCGATCCCGATCACGGTGCGGCAGCTGGAGGCCATCGTGCGCATCACCGAGTCGCTGGCCAAGCTGACGCTGTCCCCCGTCGCGACGGAGGCGCACGTGGACGAGGCGATCCGGCTATTCCTGTGCTCGACCATGGACGCCGTCAACCAGGGCGGCGCGAACCAGGGCGGCCGCGAGCTCAGCGACGAGGTCGCGCGCGTCGAGGCCGAGCTCAAGCGCCGCCTGCCCATCGGCTGGAGCACCAGCCTCGCCACCCTGCGCCGCGAGATGGTCGAGGGCAAGGGCTTCAGCGAGCAGGCGCTCAACCGCACGCTCATGATCATGCAGAGGAGGGACACCATCATGTTCCGGAACCAGGGCGCGCAGGTCTACAGGAACGGCGCATGATGTGTGTCCTTGTCTGCTGTGTGAGGTTATGACGGATGGGGCGATTGACTGCAAGCTTGAGTAGAGCGTGGGAGGTTGGGTGTACAGGCGTTGGGATATCCCAGGACGGTAAACAAGTGTATTGCATTTTATGGCCTGTTGCGTGGTGGTTTATTATCTACGGTAATGGCATTGTACGCTCTGATGACTCGTCGTTTTGACACTGGCCTTTTGCTTTGATACTCGTCGCCTTGGTTTGATTCACATACATGCTCAGTAGAAGTCATTATTCATCAGTGAATCCAGGAAGTCAAATCTTAATCTACACAACACCCATGTTTACAGGTTTACGCAAGCGGTCTTCCGGGTTTTGCCTCAGATGTACGAGATTGTGTTGTCGAAACGGATGTAGCCGTGTATGCCCAGCCCCGCTTCGCCACCAGCGACACAAGGGCCGCGGGCGAAAATCTACAATTTCAAGTCAGCAACAGATACACATTCGGCCGTCGCGCGGTAGATACTCACCTCTCCTTCGGCCTTGTCATCCGTGACCTTGTGCTCACCCGAGTCGCGCAGGAGGATCTCTGTGCTCGTCAGAGGGGGCCCGAAGTGCGAGTACTTGTCCTCAAAGACGCGGTAGTCGTAGAACTGCGTCTGCGCCACGGCGCCGGCGACCTTGGGCGCGCTCAGCGCGTAGATGACCCTCGCGCCTAAGAAGATGCGCAGGTCGGAGAGCACGGCGGACGAGAGCGGCAGCGTGCCGGCGCCGGCGCGCTCGGCCGTGTACACCAGGCGGAGCTTGCCCGGGGTGCGGCCGACTGCCGGCCGCAAGCTATCGTTGAGGCTAGTAAGCAGCGATGCGGCGGGCATGACGCCGCCCTGGGTGAGGCTGCGCGTCTGCAGCCAGTGGACCTTGCTGGCGAGGAAGGAGCTGACGTTGCGGGTGGCCTCGGCGTGCGTCTTGAGGAGGGTGTTGGGCGAGGCGACGACGATGGTCGGGGCGATGCCGCGGGTGGCTAGAGTAAGGTCCATCTCTTCGCTTGCTGAGGAGTTGAATGCCACCGAGGCATTGGAGAAGAGAGCAGTCAGGGTGAGGACGAGGGTATACGTGTTGGTCAGGGCGTCTGCGGGGAGGAACAGGTCCGAGGGACTCATGCGCTGGGTTTGGGGAACGGCGAAGAGCTGTGCGGCGATGGCGGACACGAAATTGGCGCTTGTGAAGCGGACCATTTCCTCCTGCACGCCTGGCTTGGACTGCCAGAAGACTGTGACATCCCGGGGCTCCGACTGGCCCTGGACTGGCGGAAGTTCCGTGCCGGCATCCACGGGGCTGTCATGTACGATATCCTGCCAGGTTGAGACGTTTAAGCTGCCTCCCATGCCCTTGGGCACCTCAGTCCAATCCAGATGTCTGTTGCCCTCATCAACCACCCAGATAACCTGTCGCAATGACGGATAGCTCTTGACCACGTTGTCCAAGGGAAACGAGCCAGGCAGTGCAACGACAGTGTCGGCGGCAGATCGTCGCAACATGGAGATCACAGCCTCGTCTGACTGGTCGCATGGGATGAGGATTGCGGTGAGATTGTGGAAAGCGCATGCGAACAGGCTTGCCATGAACTCGACGGAGTTGGGGAGGTAGATGGCGACGCGAGCACCGCCCTGGTCGTGGATGTGCGTTCCGATGAGGTTGATCTGACGGGTCACATCATCTGCGCATGAAGATTAGTGATGGCCCGACACTTGACGATGCTTGGAATACACACCAAGCTTGTGCTCCAAGACCTTCTCGGCGCCCAATACAGTCAACAGCTTGCCCTTGCCAACTGGTTTGCCCTCCTGAGAAGTGCCGCTGACAGCCTGCCGCCAGACGTCCCTGAGATCTCCGTCCCGTCCTCTTGACCACTTGGAAGCACCGGGCTCTTTGACATTCAGGCCGGCGTTCAACGGCATGCCATGCGGGGCGGAGTGTGATCGGTAAATGGACGATTCGCCTTGGTGTCGCACAGGCGAAGGCTGGGCTTGGCGGGCAAGAAGCAGAGGATGGGTGTCTGGGTCGCGACGCGTGAAGAGCTGGTAGGTGAGGTACATGACGAGGAAGGTCGTGATGGCGGTCGACCAAGCATTCCACTGCGAGAAGAGGCCGGTGACGCCCTCGTCGAACCGCCACATCGCGCTCTCGTACAATCCCATGGTGAGTGGATGGGGCCGGCGGCTCCGACGGGCGTTGGTGATGAGGCTCGGGTCGGTGTTAGATGGGTAGGTGCTGCAAGAACCAGGTCATTGGAGCATGAGCAGTGATTGTTTTTCTAAGCCGTGCTGATGACGGTTGGCGAGATCCAATGCTGTCGGGTTGTTATAGCTTTGGAGGGCCTTACCTTACTGTCAGCCAGTTGCGTAGTTGTTTCCAAGAGGGCGTCAGCTACCTATATGTAACCCTGGAAGCCTCGGGGCTGAGCTGTCATCGGTAGCGGGGCTAGCTACCCAATGTATGTACCTACAGTAGTGGCTCCATCGGCCCTTGAGGGTCCAGCAGGCACTCCGAACATAGAACGGGCTGGCGGCTGATGCCGAGATCTGAGAGGCTAGTGACAGGGATGTGGTCGCCTGGGAACCCGCGCTTTGTTTTCATGCACCAACCTTACCTAGGCCTCTGTTGAGCTTCCTGCCTTTCCCTTTCTTCACACCACCACCCAGCGCCGACGACGACGACAACGACGACTCTCCGCGGGCTTGCCTCGGCATAGCCACCCTCCTAACACCCTACTAACCACAGCAGCTCATCCTCTCGACTTCCACCTCGCGTTCTTCCTCGCCTGCGCGCTCCCGAGGTCTCAAGGAACCGCTGCGTCGAAATCACCGACCGCGCATCACTTGACACAGCGCGCGACCGGCCGACAATGTCTTCCACAACAGCCCTTTCGCTGAACAAGACACGAAGGAACAGTGCTCTCGCGACGCCATCCAAGACCAGCCCCGCTCCAGTGACCGACTCTCCAGGGAACTGGCAGCATCCCCGCATCAAGGAGATCACTCGTCGCCAACAAGCCACCGTCTTCGGCAGTGACAATGTCAAGACTATCATCTACAACATTTCCGCCTTCTTCATAATATATGTATTACGATTGGTTGCTGGCGAGCATGGCCCAACACAGCTGTAAGCTCAATCTATCGTTGTGCCCCAGATATTGAAGCTTACACGCAACTCTAGGTCAAGCGATGTGAAGCAATATCTCCACTGGGTCGCCCTGGCTGCTCAGATGCTGCCTCTTGCGAACATCGGCATCGCCTGTCTTCCTATACTACGATCGAAAGACGACCTTTCCGACATTGCCTTGACGCCAGCCCAGCGCAAGCTTCTTGGTCTGGCCCCAAGCTCAGCTCCGCCCACACCGAACTCGGTTTACAGCACGCCCCCGCGATACGCACGCACGCCTTCCATTAACGGATCCATCGGAAAGCCAAGCCCGACGAGCTCGCCTTTGTCGGCAAATGGTAGTCCTGCTTCCGCGACACGGCCCAACGGCTCTCCGTACTCTCCTGCGGCGAGCCCCTTGCTCCAGAAGGCCGTCGGCTATAGCGGAGGACGGCAAACGTCGTACGGCTCACCGAGTCCTTTCAATGCGAGCACGAGTTCTTTCAACCTCAGCACCGCCTCTAGCATTTTCTCCGAACCTCCCCCTACTCCTAGCCCGACTGGTGGGAAGAGGATTAGTGTTGGTCTGAACAACAAGTGGTTGTATGACAGGAGCCGTCGATCCTCGGGAAACGTCTGGTCTTAGGACGGCTCAGGGCAAAGCATGGGACAGCTGTGTCATGAAGGAGTGGGGCCGACAAAGAAGCATGACTTTTGAAGCTCATAACCGAAGTTTGTGTCAGCCCGCATGTTCTTTGTGAAGAGCAGGCCGGATGAGGCATGTATGAGCTTAAAGGAAGCAGGAATGCTGAGCCTGGGACGGGACCGGGGCGGGGTGGTTCTCGAGCCTGCGATATTGAGGGCTTTGGTCTTGCAGCCTCAGAAGAAAGCGGTCACCTGGCAATATTGCCATATCCTGCATCATGTAATTCAGTGGGCCGCCGTATACACAGAAACTACCAAGTTTGCTCATCATCAAGCGAGCAGCAGGACGGCAGACGCAGCAAGTGGTAAAAACACTGACTCCTAATCAACCAGACATGAGACACAGTCTAGTTGGCCAAGACGGGGCCCCCAGCTTTAGGAATAGGCAACTTGCCCGATAAGAGAGTGAAATCTGGACCCATTGAATTAGCCGGGCACTGTGCCGGGAATACTAGTCGCGAAAGGGAAATAAACAATTGCCCCTGTATATCGGAAAAGTAAAGAGTGATGATATCGATAGTCCACTATCTATGGTGGTAAGATAGTAGACTACATGTACGTGGGCAGTCGATGTGAAAGGGTTAGGTGGCCCGAGTGCCACCAAACTGTAGGGGTGTGATATCACTGCCGTTCGCCGAGCCAAGTTACCGTCCTCTGGGAACCCAAAGCATCACCGTACAAACCTACAGCACCTCCACCTACGGCCCCTTCAACATCAAATCCCTGCAAATCCATCTCCTTTGCCGACCAGGACAAGAGCAGGCTTGAGACATGCTATCGGGTCGCCGCCAACATGGGTGCAAGCGACTCGAAGCTTGTCTTCAAAAAGGGCATCTTTAGGCTCAGTGGAGAGCGTAGCATTGCTGCTGACGATCCGTACTGGACCTCTGTTCGTAGCCCATTCTGCTCCAAGTTCGGCCACGCCGCCCTGTCACTGACAACTATCAACAGTTCTGGGAGCTGCCCGAATCCTCCGACGATGTATTCAGCCTGTTTGCCTCTGCGGACATACGGCGCACGCGAGACCATGCCATCGAGAACCTTGAGACCTTGATACTAGCCGTCACCTCGCGGCTCTTCAACCTGCGACACCATCCCTCCTTTCCCGACCCTGAGATCGCCCCCGAGCGTGATGCTCTCAATTGCATACGAGTTCTCACTAGGATCCTGCCCTACATATACGAGGCCGACAATCTGCACGAATGGGAGGACCGCTTCTTCTGGGGCATCCGACGGAAGAGGACACGGGAGTCCGCGATAGCCAGCGAAGTGCTCTTTGACGATAACGAAGAGGAAGCAGCAAGGAGCAGACCATCGGACGAGTTTGAAGAGGTGCGGCCTTTGGCGGAAGAGCTCATCGATACCCTTATCGACTTGCTGTTCTTCTCAGATTTCACAGTTTCCAAGCAACAGCATGGCAAGCCGAAGGTCACCTATGCGATATGGCAGAGCGGCGTGGGCTGCAACCAGGCCGTTGCCACGACCAAGGAATTTGAGAGCAACCGCATCGAGGTGTTGCGCCTGCTACTTGCCATCACAGGCCAGAGCTTGTACATGTCCGCCGCAGTGCTCCCGCGGAATGGCACGAAAGCTCTGACCCACATCTGCACTTGCTCGGACAAGCAGGTCGTCCTGTCTGTTCTATGCTCACTGCTGAACACTGTAAGATCACCCGGCCGATGCTACCGAATGTAAGGCTAACAGTATTTAGACTATGAAGTACAATCCTGCGAGCTGGCGAGTGCCGTATAATACACTCGTCTTCAAGGACCCGAAGCAAATCCTTGTCACTTACTCTTTGCAACTGCTGCTTGTCACGCTTCTGTATCCTGTGCCCGAGCAGAACGGCGAGCCGCAAAAGAACTGGTTCCGTCACTTTCTCGGGCGGATACACCGGCCCCAGGACTTCCAGTTCATCGTCGACGGCATGACGCGCATCCTCAATCAACCTCTGCAAGCCAATGCTTCTTACATTCCCGGAACCCAGTCGTCCATACGTTTTGCACCTGAAATGATAATGTTGTTTTGGGAAATAACGCAATGCAACAAGCGGTTCCGTTCCTTCATTGTCGACACCGAGCGGGCGCATGACTTCACCATCCTCATCTTGTTCTACGCTCTAGAGTACAAGAGTGACGCTTCAAAGCAGGGGGTGGTGAGAATGTGTGCATTCCTCCTCCAGACGTTGAGCGTTGAGAAAAATTTCGGCGTCAACCTCAATAAGCCTTTTGAAGCGCAGGAGACACTGCCCCCTGTGATCCGCATACAAGGATTTAGGGGCACCTATGCCGACTTCCTCATACAAGTGAGTTTACAAATTGTCGTGCGACAGCTATCTAGCTCTAACTTGCATCTAGTCCATCTACAATCTCATCACCACAAGCAATGGGAAACTCACAGCCATCTACCCTGCTTTGTTGGCCATCATTAACAACATTGCCTACTATCTCGAGGGACTCAGTGCTGCAACTGGCGCCAAGATGATGCAGCTTTTCAATTCAATGTCGTCTCCCTCGTTCTTGTTGGCAAATGACACGAACCATGCCCTCCTTCGATCGTTGCTCGAGTCTATGAACTCCATACTTGAGCACCAGTTCAAGCGTGAGTTGAAGAACACAAGATGACGTGGAATATAGCTAACATTTCGCAGAAAATCCCGAGTTCGTGGCGGCAGTCCTGCGAAATAGAAAACGTTTCGAAGCCCTTCGTAATTTCACCTTGGAAAGTGGACAGGAGGAAATCGAGAGGCGCAATCGGCGGAGAAAGGACGCAAGAGCTTCTTCCGATATTGACTCCACCAGGAGTTCCGCTGAGAGCTTGAGAAGTCCAGTAACGGGCCATTCCCGGCCACCAGCACTGAGCAACGTGCCCGAGGAGGACGCCACATTTACCATCGGCGAGGATGAAGACGATAGTGACGAAGAGCGTCACACGCCATCGCAGTCCGATCCAAGCGAAAACCCATCACGGGCATCTTCGGTGGTATCCAACGTCGAGGACGCAGTACCAACGCAGCTCCGTGGCATGTCAGAGAAGGCTAGGGGTAAGATGCCAGCCGGAATACAGAATTTCTCCAGGCAAAACAGCATGACCAGCCTCAGCGGATACTCCGTGTCTGGTCAGTCAATAAACGGTCAATTCGAGCCGACGCCGCAATGGATCGACAGCTGGCTCCCAGAATTGCCACTGCACACCATCCTAAGCGCAATCCCGCAGGTGTCGGCCCTGGTCCAGCGGCAGGCCCTTATCGCGGACCACGCCTCGCCGGAGACACTCCGCAAGATCAGCCAGGTGAAGCTGGTCGGGGTGGACGCATCGCCCGTGCGCGTGCACTCGTTCGAGTGGTCTCCGCTGGCGCTGGGGTGGTACGAGTCCCTGATCTGGAGTTTCATCTTCAGCAGCGAGATGCAGATCTCCAAGGGCACGGTCGGTATCTGGAACGGCACCGGCATCAAGCTGTTCCGCGTGCAGGAGACGGCGCCCGAGGGCCCGACCCTGACCAGCCCCCGCGGAGCCGTCGACGCAGTCGGGAGCAACATTGTCTCCAGAATCGGCGCCATGAACCTCCGGGGTCCGGCTCAGCAGGGCTACAGCCAGGTCGGACAAGGCGGCGGCAGCGGTGCCGCGACCGGTTCGCCCAACCCGGGTGCTCGAAGTTAGAAGTATTGTGATGCTGGCGACGATGAGCTGGATGGATTAGACCTGTTCTCGTGGGGTGGTTCGAACTGGCATCACAGCAGCCTGCGGCGCAGAAGGTAGCACATCACGAGGAATGGTGAATAGTGAGCTCAGAGGGGCAACAGATTTGGGTTATACGCATAGCGATTGAATTATGCAGCTGTTTCGTTACGGAGTCAGTCAGCCGGTGCCGTTCAGTCGGTGAGAAGAAGGGCCTTTAGTGGGCGGGTTCCTTTTTCTGGGGCGTGGCATAGAGCCCGCCCTTTGTAAGAGAGGGACGGTTTGTCTCATGCCTTCCATCTTGGGGCGCGCTGCTGCTGGACCTCACGGAGAGCATTGCGATATGAGCTCGTGGAATGTATGGCTAATACCCGATGACTACGGTATTTTTTGGCACGCAACTTCAGACTCGCGGGATCGTGACTGACTAACCTGAATCTCCGGCTTGAGTAACCTGGATTAAAGCAGAATAGACGCGCGCACAACATCTGGCATGCCAAGATGCCAGCCATGCTTCTGATCCAGATGTGTGCGGCTCGCTGTCATTGGCTGCAGAGGTGAATAACCCAAGGCTTACCACTGACAGCTCTTCAGCATAGAGGCTATGGGTTTGAGCTTATTCGACTAGCCCCAGCGCGACGCGGGCAACGCTTGTCGATCAAGGGTCCTGTCCCCCCAGCTTTCGCGCTCGGAGGGAGGGAGCTCGTGGGGGGCTGTCGCCACTCCCGTGAGCCCGTGACACCTTTGGGCTCCTATGTGTGAGCGTAGTGGAGGGCACGACGTGCCAGCGTGCGAGTCGCAACATGCATGTCTCGGGAGGCAGCCCAGGGAAGATGGTTGTCTATGTTCTTGAAGCAGCCTCTGCAGATTCGCCACTCTCACGCGAGCAGGTTTCCCCCATACTGGCGTCTTTCCTCCTCCAGGTTTTCTTGGTCCTTGTATAACGAACTTGTTAATGTGGAAGCGCCCCGGCCCTGGCATATCTGCCAAGGGAAGGGGCGGGAAGGGAAGCCCAGTCCCCACACACACCCTCGAGGATTACGTCGGCAGCAAGCACCAGAAAGGGGTCGATCATTTCCGGAGTATGGTTAGGCGGTATGCAGCACAGCCACTTCTGTGGCGTTCCTGGGATCAGATACTGCTTTTTCGCCGTCAAGAGGTGACAGTTTGAATGAAAACAGCGCCACATTTGCGACCGGGATCCGTCAAGCCACGCCGCCAGGATCCCAGCTGCCCAGTTATTATGGACCCTTGAATTTGATAGTCTGGTCGGCGCCTTTCCTGTTTTGAACGGGGATTCTGTTGAAGGCAGAGAGACAGCGCGCCTGTTTATTATCCCATATCTCCTACTTGTTATAGGCTTTCCTGGAAATTATTTTGCCATCTTGAAATCCTGTTTCGCGTCGCCTCATAGCACATGGAATTTCCAACTTGAGAAAAAAATCCCACCTGCTCTAGCACTGCCTCTTGTGTTTTGTTTTCCGACTTCGCGCCAAGACCTAGGTGAATAATGTTTGTATAGTAGCACTGTGGTAGTATCATGGTCGAAACTGAAGACGCCCCGCCGGTGGCGGCCGGCGATGAGGTCAAGCCATACAAGGTCCACGTGAGTTCCCCGCCGCGCATCTCTCGTGTTGGCCAGAGCAAGCTGCTAACACCGTCCGCAGGTCTCGAGCAGATATCTGGACCTGACCAGGCAGAAGCTGGAGCTTACTCGTCTGCCGCACGAGGGCACACAACCTCCATCCGAGGACTGGTGGGAGCCGAAGCCTCAGGTAGAGCCGCTTATTGACTTCTGGTAAGTCTTCTTGTTTGTCGGCAGTGGTGTTCCCGCGTTGTGGGATACGGGACGAGCCATTATAGGATGGTCTCCGGCGACGCGGTAGGGCTGACGCAGCAGCAGGCTCGAGAAATACTCATGGCGGGCGCAGGAAGAGAGCCTGAACAAGACTCCCCAGTTCCGCACGACCATATCAATCCCTTCCTCAGAGACGCCGCTCCGGCTCCACTTCATCCATGCCCCTTCGCCTCACAGGCACGCCCTGCCACTCCTGTTGATACCCCCATTCCCCTTCTCGAACCTAGCCCTCGCGCACCTGGTGAAGCCCTTCACCGAGCCCGAAGATGCGTCCCGGGACCAGCCGTTCCACTTGGTCATCCCGGCCCTGCCGGGGCTCGGCTTCAGCGACCCCTTCCCGAACAACACGCCGGTGATCCCGACGACGGCCGAGATGCTCAACACCCTCATGCTCCGCCTCGGGTACGAGCACTACCTGGTCAGCAACTCGGGCGCCGCACAGTCTTCTCCCGCCAAGATCGACTGGAAGCTCGTTGAGAGCCTGTCGTCCAGCTACCCAGGCGCTTGCCTCGGCGCCCACCTCATCTCCCCGCCACTGTGCTCGCCGAAGCTGTCGGAGGCGCCGTTGGAGTGGGCGAAGTGGACTCTCGCCAATGTGCTCAATGCTCCGATCTTGGGGTATAGCAAGGAGGATCTTTCGGCCCACAAGCAGGCGGTCGTTGCTCTGGAGCAGAACAAGAAGGCGCTCACCCCGTCTGAATTCGGTTTGAATAATGTTGGGTTGAGGGAGCCAAACACACTCGCGTAAGTGGCTGCGCTTCGCGCTCTTGGGCGTGATGCAGAGACTGGTCTGGACGACTTCGTCCACAGGGCATGTTTGAACTGACACGACCGCAGATACGCAATGTGCGACTCACCCACGGGGCTCCTCGTCTTCGCCCTCAAGGGCCTGCGACTGCTCGCGCCGCGGCTGCCATTCACGCCAGAGCAGATCATCACCTTCACCAACCTCGCGTGGCTGCCCGGACCAGAGTACGCGATGCGGTTCTGGGCACACTGTGCCACACACGACAACGCCTCGAATACAGAAGGGCCGAAGAAGAAACCAGCGACCAGGCCAAGGGTCGGCATCACGGTATTCCTGGGGGAGACAGGCGAGGGCGAAGGGGCCAATGCCGCCCAGGAGGCAAGCGACAGGACGGTTCAGCTCGAGGCGCCCACCAAGGTCGACGCAAACACGGGGTACGTGTGCCCGGCGTGGGCCAACACGCACTACAGCGTGCTGTCGTCGCAGCGGGTCCAGGGGGTGCCAGGTCTGCTGGCCTGGGAGAGGCCGCACGTTATCCTGACGGGGCTCAGGGGCCTCGCGGCAGAGGTCGTCAAAGTCAACAGGCGGCTCCGGGCGGCGCCAGAAGCAGAAGAGACCACCACCGCCCCTCTGGAGAGCGTGGTGTCCCCGGACGCGGCGGCTGCTGGAGACGACGGCGGCGGTCTCCAGCCGCCGCCGCGGCCAGTCCTGGAGCAGGGCGACAGTTCTAGGACGCAGGTCGCGTCGCAGCCGCCCTCCAGTCCCAAAGGGAAAGAGCCAGGGTTGGCTTCCCCCCTCGCGTCCCCCTTCGCGTCCCCCGTCGCGTCGCCCGCGGCGAAAGGGGAGGGAGACCGGAAACTAGGATCACCTGAGCCAGATGAGGATGACCGGTCCATAAGAGAGGGGACTCCTGATACTGTCGTCCTGGTGACGGCGCCAAAGGAGGATGATGCGAAGTGAGACTCCAAGGATGAACATCCAAACCAAGTGATGAGAACTGCACGACCTTTTCCTTTTTAGCGATACCAGATATCTTCTTCAGCATCAGGCATACAAGCAACAATTGATGATACGCATTTCAAAGGGCGGGAAAAGGAGTATAAATCATAATTTAGGGCAACTCTTAAGGGAATACATGAGCATACCTAGGGACAACAGAGGTATTTGGCGGACGTCATCGTTTCCATATGTAAGGGGAGTTCTTATAATATTAGTGCATAGCACACGCACACGCACATAGATCTCTGGAATGGGGTAAGATACACCATAGCGAAACAACAATGTATCGTTCTCGCCTGAAGAGAACGAGAAAAGAAAACAAAACAACGGGGATCAAAGGCGAGCTATAAGAGCGCAAGAGGGGTCAATGAAGATCAGCGTTGAAGCTCGGGGTCGTGGGTCATGGATCCCGGCTTACAGGGGACGTTTGTCCAATAAGTGAGCCGAGCCGTACGCGATCCAACAGCGCGACTTCAGCTTTGATGTATTGTGTAAATGAGGCGCATGTTGATGTGGGAGATGTGCAGCATGATATACTCTGTGTGCAGCAAAGACGCTCTTATTGGCCCCAACATGCAACGAACGGTAAATGTTCTAGGTACACCTATTCAAACGGCCTTGACCAATTGTGGACAGGGGAGTGCTGCCTGTTTTGCTGCCTGGTGTGCTCGATGGATGAATTCCTCGTCTAGGCGAAATGAAGGGCCTGGTCATGATTATTTCCGAAACACGATTGGGAACCTCAATGGCAATGATGGACTGGCAAAGTGGAAGTGAAGCATCACGAGGCTATCAACAGCAAGTAGACTATCGAGGTACCTGTATTTAGGTGTACTAAAAACAGTTCCAGTATGTGTAAGAACAGGTAGGGGACCCGACCAGCAGGGATAGCTGTCCCGCGATAAGCAGGCGATAGAGGAGCTACTGGCCCCAAACGTGGCCTGAGCTTCGTCTTATTCCCTTGTGAAGGTGGGACAAGAAGCCACGTTCCTTCAGGACGATCAAATATCAACTCGGTATATCCCACCACCAATTCGCAGCGATGACTGCAAAGTAAACGGCAGACGACACTTTCAGAGCACCACCAGCCGAATCGCTCTCGAGAAAGTTCCCAAGCACCACCAGTTCCCCGTGTCCCAGCCCATCACCGAACACACACGACACCGAACAGGCCCCCGGGGCCCACCCACTCACGCCCAAGATGTACACCTCCCTGGTGCGGGCGCAGAACGTCTTCGGCTTCTTCACGACCGTCGCCTTCGTCGTCGCCGCCTTCATCGCAGCGACCGACTTCCTGGCGCCGCGCACGCCCTCGGGCACCATCCGGCCCACCAGCACGCAGGTCGTCAAGGGCCGCCCGCACTACTACTCCACCAAGCGCGAGGAGTACGCCATCATCAAGTTCAGCCTCGACGCCGACCTCAGCTCGCTCTTCACCTGGAACACCAAGCAGGTCTTTGTCTACGTCACGGCCGAGTGGCCTGCCGCGGCGGGCGACAACACCAACAATGCCACCAACCAGGCCGTCATCTGGGACCAGATCATCACCAGCCCCAGCTCCGACCACCTCGCCAACATCGGCCCCGCCACACTGCGAAAGTTGAAGAAGAGCGCCGCGGGGAAGCCCATAGATCCAAGCCGGTAAGCAATACGGGACACAGTGCAGGCGCATGGACATTCGTGCAGCAGAAGTGCAAGGCCTTTCAGAAACAGCCATGCTAACACGGGGGGTTCCCCGACAATCTAGAGGCAAGCTCTCGCTCAAGAACCAGCGCCCAAAGTACCAGATCACGCACCCGTCGTCGCGCATCGCCGAGGCGGCCGACGTCGAGCTGCGCCTGCACTACAACGTGCAGCCGTGGGTCGGCGCCCTGACCTGGGACCAGGGCCGCGACTACGGGCTGTGGAAGGCGACGGCCGGCGGCGCCAGCGACCCCTTCGCCCTGCCCGCCATCAAGAAGAAGGACGACGGCGACAAGGTCGCCAAGGGCGGCTCTGCGAACAAGGGGAAGAAGGTGAAGCCCGAGGCTTGATTGGGGTGTCTGCCGGGGCGGGCGCGCGCGTGCCTGCTGAGGCGGGTTGGGAGTCTCGCGAGGGTGGCCCACGAGCTGGATTGTGAGGGACAGGTCTCAGGAGGTAAGGCTAGAAGTGGATCAGTTCCATGTGCGAGCCGAGGACGTCGTGATTCATGCATTTTTATGAGAGCTTGTCGACCCTGCATCCTCTGGTGTATGGGAACAAAAAGACATCTGTAGTTGGGAGGGGGGGGGGGGCGGCGGCGGCGGAGGAAAAGAAGCACCTACAATCCAAGCGAGGCTGATCTCGCCCGACTCTCACATCTCAGTGGCGACAAATTATTCACAAAGCACTGTTTACAATTAAGTGATATCCTTTTCAACCGCTCGCTATTCTGTATTCTATCGCTGTGCCTCATGCCCCACGGCTACCGCTAATCGATACAAGTTATGTTGAAAACTGCTGTCCCTGGAATATATACCATCCCAAAGCCAGATACACTGACCGAAAGATATTCAACATCATCGTATTCATGACCATCGTCCAACCGTCCCCTTCGTATGGCATCTGGTCCCCTTCATATGGCATCTCTGCGCCTCCTTGTTCATCACTCGTCTCTTCATCGGTCTCTTCCACTACCACTACCGACGGCTCAGCCTCCACATCAGAGTGTGACAGCTGCGGCCGGTGGCTCCTGAGGCGGCAGAGAAAGCCATAGATCCTGAGGTCTAGTATGGACACGAAAGGCAGCAACGGCAAGCGCCCGTGGGCTGGCAAGGCCAGAATGATCTGCGCTCCATAATACCTCCCATCGCTACCATTTAGAAAGCAACAGAAACCTTCACATGGAGGGTGGTAATGTTGCTCGAAGTACGGGTCAAGGTAGGGATGGCCACGTTCCTGGGACCATGATCTGTAGGATAGGCGGGTGTGCAAAATATGCATGGTATCGCTGCCTGTGTATCGCACTGCGCTGATGGCTCCGAGGGGTATCAGCTCCAGAGTGTCGTCAGCGAACCGGTTGTAGTTGGAGTATTGTGACGAAAAAGGAATGGCAATGGACGCCATGGTGATCACTCCTCTCAAAGGCAATTGAGGTGTTGGCCGCTGGGCAGTCGGCGATGGTGAAACGCGTTGTGTAGAGAGCCTCTAACTCAGATCAGAGCTATGTGGCGGTTGCGGCCAATCGGCAGCCGACGGTGCAGAAGTGTGTGATGACGAAGTCTCCTAGCTCTGAGCAGCAGCTTGTGACTGCTGCGGCCGGCCGCCACCCCTACTACCACGCGAACCCGACGACCCACGGCCTCGGCCTCCCCTACCACGGCCTCGGCCTCTGCCATCGAGGCCTGGGGGTGGTGGATAAGCGTTATAGGATGGCTGTTGCGCCTGCTGACCGTCACCGTTCGCTGCACCACCGCCCCGTCCACGATGAGCACCACCACGTCCGCCTCTAGCGGAGCCGTTCTGGAAGCCTCCACGGCCGCCGCGTTGGTGGTCCTGTTGTGGTGTCTGATTCGGCGACGGGCGGTAAACCAGATTGCTGGGCTGGATGTTGAGGGTCCCCCGCTGAGCCGGCTGGCCATTGTGGCCTCCACGACCACGACTGTGACCGTTAGTACCATTGATTGCACCGCGCCATGAACCAGTCAGTGGTGGAGGTGGAGCAGATTCGCGGAACTGTCTGCCGCCCGGTGCACCATAGCCACCACTCGCCACGAGCGTGGTAAGTGACGGGTGAGGGGCACGCGCCAGGGCAGCCTTGGAGCCAATGACGACCTGCTTATCGGTCAAGTTGAGGACAGATGAGGCTGGGACTGTCTGGCCTCTAAACACGGGGCACCTGTCATCCAGAGTGTTTCCACTCATGAAGGTGATATCGAAGAGGACATCAAGGATGTTTTTGCTGCCCACCCTGCTAATGCCAACAACAGTCCCTCGTGAGGCGATAGGAACCTTGCCGATATCCTGCGCGTAAACGACTCGATCTCCCAAGCGGAAACGTTGGTTCCCGAGTCGGGTCTCCGCGTCTCCAGGCTTCAAGAGGGCGCTACGCGGCACTCCCTTGACGGCCTGCGGTGTAGTGTCCTGAGAAGCTTGCAAAGCCATATCAGATGCTTTAGCCAGCTCCATCACGACGGTCGAGTCGAGCTGTTCAGCGTCCAGTGGCACCTTGGCAAAGTTGTTCGTGCCAACGGACTTGAGCCACTGACCAATCTCTTTGACTCTTGCTGTCGCTGTGGCCTCGTCGGACCAGATGTCAGTTGCTTTGACATCCCTGCTCTGGACATTCTTGATCAGCCCCGCAAAGAAGTCTGGGAACTTTGTCATGTAGTCCAGTACTAATTTGATCGCCGCACGACTGAACTCCCAGCCTGTCTCAGACTTGCGTGTAAAGCCCAGTACCTTCAACTTCTTTGACTCAAACTTCAAGTTCAGGCCCAGATTGACTTTGAGATCTCCTACGCTGAAGACTTGGTAGGAAGATGTGATCTTGCTGAAGGCCAAAGGGTGAAGATGCAGGTCCTTGGCGACCTGGAAAGACGGCATGTATCTGTTCTCACGCTCGCTCTTTTGGATGATTTGCCTTGCAAACTCTGGCTCCTTGTTCTTCATCTTGGAGATAATAACATCCAGCTTCTTGTCGCTGTAGCCAGTAACTGCGAGAGGTCGACCATACGCCATGTCACCCAGGTAAAAGGCGTGGGAGTCCACAGGGAATTCCTCCTCGAGAGGCAGTGCCGCTCTTTCCGTGAAACGCTCGTCCTCGTTGACCACGTCATCAACGATGGTCTGCGATGCGTAGAAGTCTCGCATGCCTGGTATTTCACCGAATTCCTTGATAGTAGCGCCTTCGTCGGTCTTGATCAGACCCCTGAGCATTTCGACATGGACCATGGACTCCACATCACCAATCAAGATGCCCAAGCGCTTGCTGTAGAAGTCCTCCCAGTATCTTGAGTTCTTCAGCCAGTCATCGATCTCCCTGTTGGAGTGATCCTTCACAACGACTTCTCCAGATCCGTTCTCTGCAAGTGTGAAGTCAAACAGCTCGTCAGAGACACGTACGATCTTCGCTTCTTGAAGAAATGGATACCCAACGTAACACCGTTGGCCAAGTTTCTTCTTGGCGTTCTCGACCTTGGTCCGCATCGCTGAGTCGGATAGCGTGACGACCATGCTCTCATTTCGACTATCCTGTTGGAAGACATTGACCCCGTGGAAGCCCAGAGTCGCAGTGTAGGGAAGGGTTGCCAGACTTGGGAAACCGGCCAGAGCCGAGACGTTAAGCATGGCGCCATCCATCAATCCTTGCCGGTAGCTCAGACCATCCGTTGGGGGAAGGTCGAATATGTTCTCCACACAATGACAATGAGGGATGTCAGGGAATATGCCCACCATGGACGATGGATAGGTGAAGTCATAATCCGCAGAGTATGTGAACTTGATGGGAACGTTGAAGCCGTTCCTGCCCTTCTCATCATCGGACAGCAAATCGTTCTTGGTGGCCATGGCATCGAGGAGACGCTTCTCGTCGATGAAAGGGATCTTAATCACAGCCTCCCAGTCCTGCTTCTTGCCATTCATATCCAGCTCGAAATCTCTGGGGTAGAAGTCAACAATAGGCGAGTCGGGGTTCGTCATGAGATCCCAGTAGACGGTAGGGACGATCTTCTTGCTTCGGTCTGGAAGCACACCCATCAACTGCTCAAACGGCCGGAAAGGCTGGCCCAGCTTGAAGTCAAGATCGGCACCCAGCCCTTTGATGACGTCCGAAATCAAAGGAGAGTAATGATATTTGTAGAACCAAGGCCATGAGCAGATACCACGGTAGTAGTAAAACAATACCCATTGCAGCCCCTGCACGTAGTTCTCGGTGAGTTTTTTCAGCTCGGCTTCCTCTTTTCCTGCCCACTCAGGGAACTTCTCGGCGTAGTATTGGTCTTTCCATTCTTGAAACTTCTGCTGATACAAGACATCATACTGAGCCTGGGCTTCTTCTGCTGTCACGTCTTGGACTTCGGCATTATCGTACTTCTTAACAATCCGATTGATAGCAAGTTGCGATTCTTCTTCGAAGTCTTCGGCGCCTTCACCATCGTCCATTTCTGGCTTTGGGGGGAAGGAAAGCACGAGATGCCGGTGCCCGTCGTCATCTTCCTTAGTCTTCCAGCCGATGCGAGCGCTGTCGGCGAATTCTTGCACGAACTTCCGATCAGCAGCTTTCAGGCTGATGCCGAGATCCAGAGTCTCAGACGCCCGCTTTGTAAGAAAGGGCTTGATCTGCTCCTTCCATAGCTTTTTCTGCTCCGAGGTGACGACGAGCTTGCCCTTGGGCTTCGGCGCCGCGTCTCCATTACCGATTTTCCGCTTGGCCTGGAACCACTTAGCGCTCTCGACCTCGTGCTCGAAGAAGCGGTATTCCTCTTTGCTGAGCTCCTCGAGGAAAATACCCAAACGCTTCAGATTCATTGCGCCGCCCTCATTGATGTAGCCGTCGCATTTCGGCAAGACGGACTTGTATACCCTAAACATCATCGCCAAAGCACCTTCGTTAATGTGTATCCGGGGAAGGTTGGGCAAGAAATCGTTGCCGACGAAGAACGCCATGAGAATGAAATCATCGATAACCCGCTCCATGTCGAAAGAGAACTTCAACTGATTCGCGCCATCCTGTTTGAAATCCTGGAATTCCAGCTCTAGATATTCTCTTACAATGCAAAGATGCATGAGATAAAAGTTCTGATGCTCCAGTTCCTTCGACTGCACCTTGGACTGGCGGCCGAAGGTGACCTCCTCACGGAGGAGGCAGAAGTGCGGGTCGTGGCTGAGCAGACCCAGCATTATCAAATCGGCATCGAGACCATATAGACAGTGCCGCATGTTGGGGTGGTAGTTGGGCTGTGCTCTTGCGTTACGAATGTACTCCATAATCTTATGCTCGCCCTCGCCAGGGACCTCGTGACCGGATAGCACGATTTCGCAGCCCTGCCACTCCTTGTCCTCGGTAACCTTCTTGTTGATGAAATACCTCAGCTGCTGCGAAAGCTTCGCCATGAACTCCGTTCCTGGCGTGATGCAGTTGCTGTCGAATGGTTCCTCTTTGGGGAGTTCTTTCCCTTCTCGAATCGCCTTGTCTCTTGCCTGCTCAGCGTCCAGCGCAGTCCTAAAACGTCTCGCGCGCTGCTGGTTCATCTTTGCTCGTGGTGCAACGCCGTCCACGGCCATGAAGAACAGCTGCTTGGGTTTGATTTTACCAAACAAGTGTTCGATGTAGTTGAAGATGCGAATGAACATCTCATCTTCGCTCAGGCGGAACTGGGTGTCGCCCGAGTCCTTGTGGGTGCAGTTGTGGATGATTCCGTTCATGTCGAGGTAGAGGCAGTCGAACTCGGGGATTCGATTCTCAGCTATGAGCTGGGAGATGGAGGGGTACCGCTCCGAGAGCCATCTGAAGAACTTGGGAACACCCATCGTCGCGTGGTTGGCAAGATTGCCGTTGTAGTGTAGAATGCTTTGAATTTGACTCGGTCGAGTCGCGTAAAGAAAAGAGACTGTACGGCACGATAAATATGGCCGATTTTAGAGAAAACCGAATGCAAGCGTCAGTGAGGCAGTAGTTTCGAGGTTGGCTGACACTAGTGGCAAGTCAAGGTCGCACAGGACTGTACGACACGAACTGCAAGAAAGAAATGAGCTGAGCCAAGCTACTGCGGCGAAGATAACAGGTGCGTGGGGGGAGGTGGGCCTTAACAGGCGGGTGAGGTGAGGTGAAGCAGCGGTGGGTAAGGTGGAAGGAATAATGTGTGGTAGAAGGTGATGTTGTTCAGAGCCGACAAAGGCGACGATGATGCGACAAGCCTGCCGCCAGGTTGGCATGGTGGGGGCTGGAGCCGCTCAGCTTGAGCACGGGCCACAGCTTGTTTCTGCCCGTGGCGGGAGCCTGTGGAGAGGAAGGACCCTTGCGACCTGGACCAACAACAGAACACACACACAGCAGAGCACTTCACACAGCCACCCAACGTTGCCACTTACTCCACAGTCCTTTCACCTGTTTACATGCTGTTGTACTGTAAGCGCCGTGTAGCACTCATACGCGACTCGCTGTGTATTGCAACCCCCCGAGCTGGCAGCAGAGTCTCCCAGGCGTCTGAGACATGTTCATGCTTAGATGTATGTATCTACAAGTCTTTGTGAAGGAATGATTTGCGAGGCGGCAGTAGCCTGTATCACGCAAGAAAGCCATGCCAAATAGAAATAGGTATCATTGATTTCTAGTACCAACACACATCCGCCTGTTGCATCCTGCAGAGCCCCAACTATTCCCTCTCAGGAGCGCGAGGCGCCGGCTGAGCTCCTATCAACCAACCGACTCCCGCAGTCAGGCCGCCCACGGCGGCGTCCCTGAGCTGGTCTCTCTTTCGCGCTCTCTGCTGCTGCTGCTCGGCCGAGTCCTCCGCAGTCTGCGGCGCATCGAAGCCTCTAGCCTGCGTGGTGGTGTTGAAGTTCGACAGCGCCGTCAGGTTGCGCTGCGCAGAGCGCATGCTGGCCCTCGACAGGTCGAAGAGCGACATCGGCGCTTCCTCGGCCGTGTTCCGTGACGACGCCGGCTGTCTGGCTGGTGCCGTGGCGCTGCGAGTGGGCGCATTAAACCCGCCGGGCATCGTCTGCATGTCGGCGGCTTCGTCCCAGGCGCTCTCCTGCTCCTGCTCGGCTTTGATGGCCGTGTCTAGCTCTTCCTCCGTGCGGCGGTATGTGTTGAGTATCTCTGGTAGTGTCGCAGAAGGCGCAACCCGCAGAGCGGTGGCCAGGCACTGGATCCTCTGCTCCAGGTGCCGGATGTCGGGGTTGCCGCTTGCAGTGCCGAGATGCGTAGGGCGGACAGTTCGCGAGGTTCGGCGGTACTTGCCAGCTTGGAGTGCTGCCCTCCACGACCAGTCATCCCGTGGACCCTGTGCTGACGCAGCCTTGTTCACCAAAGAGCCGTTGCTGGCCTTGCGACTCAAGGGTTGTGGTGGTTTGCCGAGAGCAGCCACGCGGTTGACAACGTAGGAATACGCAGTCTCGAAGTCATCCTCTGTCAAGGCTGCATCGATGCACATCGCCGTGATGCGCCTCTCAGTGTGCAGAATCTCTTGGGGCTCGGCTTCCGGCGTAAGCGAGCAATGACCTGACTTGTCGCGAACCGTCAGGCCCGCAACCACCATATTACGGCCAACTTCAACGAGGTCTTGGATATTAGTATAGCTCTTGGGATTTTGTTCCAACACCTTTCCAATAATGGAGATGGGATCCTGGTGGACGCGTAGGACAACAGGCGTAAATGGCTCTCCTTGCTTCAGCACGAGTCGATAGTCACTCAAAGCGTGGGTCGCTTTGAGGAGTGCCTCGATCCGTTGCGTCGCCACGAACGACCGTTCTATGGTCTGCGGGAAGGCATGTAATCTGATCAAACATCAGTAACTGCGATGTTGTCCGTGAGTCTCCTGCAAAACCTACATGTCATTGCATTTCTTTACGCCACCCCTTGTGCGGTTGGGATTTGAAGCGTTGTCGTAGGCACTCATGGCCGCAGCATATATGGTGTCCTGCAGAACTTTCTTCGAAAGCGGCTGCTCGGTCGAATCCTCATAGAGAGACTTTGCCAGTGAATATCCTGCTCACAAAGTCAGAAATAAAATCTGTCAGCAAACAGTGAAACATAGGTGCTACGCACGAGTATGCGCCAACAGGGCCTTCAAGATCTCAACCTCAAGGAAGTCCCGACTAACACGTCCGAAGATCCCGGAACAGTGCTGGTTCTCGTCCGGACCCGAATCCTCTTCTGCGCCCCAGTCTCTCAGCCAAAGGATCTCATTTCTGGCCTTGAGCCAAAACCTGTCATCCGAGTTTGGACCGTTTTCGCTGATAGAGTGTATGAGTTTAAGAGCTTCTGCCTTCTGGTCACGCTCGTCTTGCAGTAGAGCCAGCTCGCCAGCTCTCCGAGGTGTGCAAGGAGATCCGGCGCGCGTCGCAAGAAAAGCGCTGACGACTAGTGCGGAGAGGAGGGTTGTTGCTAGCTTGGATGGCTTTGTGAGGACATTGCCTTCGTCGAGGAGGTTGTTCCGAAGGTGAGTGACATTCTTCGCGAACATGATATTAGTACTGCCCAGATCTGGAACTGGCGTGAGGTTGGAAGCCGCAGTCTGTAATGGTGGCAAAGGGTCGTCTAGTAGTTTTGCAACTTCTGCAACGATGGTGTATGCGCCTGTCAGCGCCTCGGTAGTTGCTTCAGAAATCGAGTACGCTGACGCCATAGCAGCACGAGCATATCTGTGTTCTAGGTACTGCTGCTTGTCCTCGTTCAGCCACATCTGACCAAATCCGCCCAAGTCGACATCCTCTGGCGAGTGCCAATGATCTATTGCTTCGACCGCAACTTTCCAAGTGCTCGATGCGTGCGCGGTGAGCCACACTAGCATCTGCTCCCAGCCTGGGCATTCCAGGTCATCCTCGTCGGCGTCCTCTGCTTCTGCCCCAACCGGGCTTTTACTTATCCACCTCTTTTCGCTATATAACCACGGTCCTAACAGACTTCGGAGGTCTCGAGCAATGTAAGGAAGGTCCTCTTCCCGCTGGCCGGTCTGTGACAGGAGCAAGTCGACGGCCGCGTGATCGCTCAAGTGTTCGAATGCTGATAGTGTCACCGGAACACTATTGTTGGGGTAGTATTCGTAGTTCCTTCTGAGCAGCGGTAGAAGTACTGATATCGTCCACGTTCGAATGCAGGGCGAGTGGTCGAGGAAAGGCACTAATAAATCGGGTAATTGGGTCAAGAGCCCCGCCTCCTCGTCCACGTTGTGCGACCGGCGCAGCAAGAACAGCGTGAGAGGGTCATCCTCAGCTTCCGCTGGTGCCTGCGGCCATGACAGCTTCTGCAGGTGCAGCTTGCGGACCTTCTTGACAGCGTCCTCCTCGCTCAGATGTTCCACAGCGGATATGTCAACGTCCCAGTGCTCGTGTGTGACATATTCCTCCTTTTCGATCTCGTCGAGGAATGAGACATATTCCTCGGACTTCAAGGTTTCGGGAAGGTAGGTGAGCAGGATGCGCAGGAGCAACTCTTTTCGTAGCACGGAGGCATGTTGCGCAGCGACGAAGGACAAGCTGTCGAGATCCGCTTTGGCGGCGAGGTGGGTGGCGAGGAGGACAATCTTCGGGGCTGAAAGAACGAGACTCATGGTGGGAGATCGGCGCAACACATGCTCTCCGTTTTGCTGGAGTGTTCGATCAGAGGAGCAGCCGCATCACTGTATTGTGTCTCCAAGTTGTAAACAAAGTGTAGGGAGATTCAAGGAGCTTGGCGCTGAGCTCTGTACGTAAAGCTGTCGCATTCCTTGGAAGCAATCAACATCCTGGTCATTCGCGGTGGCGTCTGTGGCTAGTGTGAAATGCTACCGTGCTGCAATTCAGCTGTCCCGGTGGGCACCTAGCACCTTGGCACTGTGCCGTCCTCGGCAGGCAGGACAGCACCCTGGAGCTCCACCATTGCCAATCGCGAGGTCCCGATTCGACTTCATGCCATCATTTGGCGATGCGACACAGGTGACTTCGCCGGCGACATCTCAATCAAATCCCTGGATACCACACCCAAACCGAAGCCATGTCATCAGGATACGGACTGAACGGGGGTGAGTTGCCTTTCGGGAGCCAATGGCCCCCGCCGGCAGAGACAGAGACACCACGCTGACCCTTCTACCCGCTAGGTCCGTCCCGGTGCTTCCCCTTCTGGCAGGAGTTGCTCGCATGCTACGTCGTCAACACGAGCTCGGAGGACGCCTCGGGCAAGAAGAAGTGCGTCCCCGTGCTGGAGGACTACTACGAGTGCATGCACCACAAGAAAGAGGTCGGTCACGTCCAGAAGAGCTGTGCGATCAGAGAACTCCAAAGTTGACACCGTTGATTTCGCAGGCCGCGCGGGTGATGGCATTACAGGCAGCATACAGGAAGGCGGAGCTTAACCAGGGACGAGAGAATGCGCCCACCGCGGGCCAAATACGGAACCTAGGTCTGCTAAACAAAGAGGAGGACACGAAGAAGGTTCTTGGGGCGAGTTCATAGACAGCGAGACACGTCCCAGGGCGATTTGTTGTACATTTGCACCCGGAGCCCACCAATCGAATAGAATCCGGTGTTCTGTGGATCAAAAAGATCATGAAGCTTTCCACATTTGGTCGTGTTCCTGAGTCTGCATGTGAGGGTACCTGATCAGCCTCAAGGCGCGCTGCAGCACACGAAACCGAAGATCTGAATGCTTCCAGGCGTCCTCAGCCGTTCGGACTGGAAGGGTTTTCTTTCCGCCATATTGCCTCTATGTGATAGAAACGTTCTCGTCCTTTCTGGAACTTGCGCGGTGAATTCTTGCACTAAGCCAGTTGTTTCAGGGGTCCCTGGAACGAAGCTTCCTCTCTAGGTGTGCAGGCTTCTGAAGCTGTGAGAGGACGCGCCTTCATAGCTAGAAGCTATGCACTTTTGATCCCCTCTCCTAGGCTCGCTCTTACCCCAATCGTTGGTCCACTTGAAGGTGGCCCCTGGCGAGGTGAGTTTGTTTACCTCGAGGTCTGCTCGAATTCAATTCGACGTCCCCGTACTCACATATTGGGTCAGTCTTCACATTGTGTCAGGCCGCATGTCCAGCAGTGTCACACCAATCCAATTCTCTGGTTGATCGAATATGATTGACGGCCACCAAGAAAGCGCAAAATGCCTTCATTTCGTGGCATAAACGTTTCCATCCTCGCAGAACTGGAGGTCGGGAAGCTGCCCGAGTACCCCCATCCCGATGGATCGTCTGTTCACCTGGGCCCTTCAGACAACGTCCATCAAGACCCAACACGAGTATCAAAGGTCAGTCCCACGATTTCGGTCTACATTCCGTCCGTGCCAGGTATGTAATAGCACGTCCTCTACTGTACACAAATGCAACTACTTATTGTTACACAGGTGCCCAGTTCTGGATCAGCTACATTGTCGAACAAAAGCCAAATCCTCCCAGTCACCTGTTCTTCAAATTGTTCATGAATGGAAGACATATCACGTCGTGGGGCATCAACCCCGAGGTCAAGAGCAAGGGGCGGGTAGAAAAAGCTCTGTACGAGCCTAGTGATCGCTGGAATCACGAAGAAGACGGCACGATTATGAAACCCGACGGAATCGAAGCCAGATATTTCCATTTTGTGGGAGGCCAGGAGGAGAAGTCTGTCGCAGAGGACGGTGGACTCATCGAAATCCAAGTATTTCGAGCCAAGGGCCGAAAGAGAAGAGCTGCTAAGCTGGATCAATACAGACATCAGGAGAAATATGGCATCGCGTAAGTGTTCTACTCCATATACTCGTGTCGATGTCCACTTAACATTGGGCCACCAGCGCACCAAGCGGCGGATTGCTAGATAACCCGCAAGATGTTTCCTTCTACGACTTCTACCTCATTGACCCAAAAGATGCGCCCTTCGCCAGCTTTCGACTCCATTATCGCTCTTGGTCAAACCTCCGCGAGCTAAACCTGATTCCCGCCGATGACTCGAGCATCTTCGAAACATTCTCTACCAGCACATTTACCGACAGCGTCGACCCCACACCTGACGCCAGCATTGATGACACACCCTTGGAGCGAGGTTTACCTCAAACCGAAACTGTTTGTTTTGATGCTGATGAATCGGTCTTTGACGACGACAGCTTCAGTGAAGAGCAAAAGGGGATGGTGGAGTGCAGCAAGCCTCGAAAGGAGAAAACGTTTGTGCTCAGGACTCCGCCACAGTTGCGACCAGGATCAGGAACAAGCCAGAAACTGCCCCAGCCCAGCAAGTCCCTTAGGGACGGGCCTACCGATGGCATACCCGAATGGTATCTCCAACGTCCCTTGCCGGACCTGCCACTACCAGAATTACCAGTTGGTGTGCCAAACGAATCCTACGGCCCTTCGCGGAAGACATCCACTGCATCTATCGCAGCTTCACTTCTGAGCTACGTCAAGGACGCTTCATTCTTGGACGAATCTGTTAAGTATGGCCACGCCCAGGAGGTTCCGGTGTACAAGACCAAGTCAAATGCTTCTCTTGATCGCGATCAGCCCCCGCCAGATTGCAGCGACCTGTCAGTCTCGGACTACGAATGTTATCTGTCATCCGATGATGACTTGAGAGTAAACCAGTCCCAGTCGGCCTTGTCAGAGAACCATCCAGTCAGTATGGGAAAAATGTCGGAAAACAACACAGATTTCTTAGACAACAATAATGGGTCGTCAATGATGGGAGATGGAAAGACCGCCGGTTCGAAGGCTAGCAAGCCAGTGGTGACGGTTGGAGAGAAGGGTATCGACTTTTCCAGGTTTCCGCACCTTCAACTTGACGAGTGGGAATGGATTCGCCGGTCGCCTTCTCCCAAGGTTTCACCCCGCCGAGTGCTCAGCCCAAGGCTTGGTCGGCTCTGGGACACCCTGCGCCGGAACCGGTCTCGTTCACCCCTCAGGCAGCCGCTGTGCGAGGCGCCTGTTCGCAACTATTCGACACCTCACCTATTCGCACCAGATGGGAAGGAGAAGCATGGCAATTGGATCTAGTGTGGTTCGAAATTGCAGACTTCGGATGCAGACATGAGAAGCCCAAGGAGTGTGGCACTTCCTCGAAGCAGCAATTGCTCTAGATATCTTCGGCCGTCCTCGTGGGCAAGGGCAAGTTGTAGTATGAGAAGCAAGTACTAGTGTGCTTTCAAAATAAGTAGATGGCGTTCCCATGGTAATAGAAGACTTTGTTCCTGTATCTATCCTGTTCCGAGCCTACCACCATTTTTCGTAAAGAACCCGATGAGGCTCTAGGCCCAGTCCCTCCGGAGAAGTCAACTTCTCGACAAACTCGTCAGTCATCGCCGGGATCCCACAGACATAGACAACAGCAAGCCTCTTGTCATCACCAATGGCCTCCGCGACGTCGTCAATAGTGATCCGGCGCTGCTTGAACGGGACGCCCAAGTTATCGTCAACGTTCTCCTGACTCTCTTGGTCCCCGGTGGCACTAACGCTGCTAGAAGGCGTCAAGAACAACCCCAGGCTCCCTTTAACACGACCGTCGCCGTTGAAAATTCCAGAGAGTCGGTCCAGGAACAGAATCTTCTTGGCGTCTCGTCGGTTCTCGCCCGGGTCTTTCGTTGAGTACAGGAACTCAACTGTGTGCCGCGGGTCGGGGCGCTCGGCGAGGTGGCTCACAATGCTCATCAGCGGGTTGATGCCCACGCCGCCGGCGACGAAGACGACCTTGCGCAACGTCTTTTCCTCGTCAAGTTAGCGTGAGTGGCTTCTGCTGGAGGCGGGGCCCTGCGTCGCTCTGCGCCCAGGTGCGTCTTGATCGGGGAAAAAGGGTGCGTTACTCACCATAGGCTGGACCCCAGGAGGCGGCCAGACGAAGCTGCCGCCGACGCGGACGCGCAGCTCAGAGGACAGGATCTCTTCCGTGGGCCTCCAGAGGTACTGCGCCGCGGGGTTGTCGGGCGACTTCTGCACGGCGAGCTCGAGGTAGGGCAGCTGGGCGGGCGGGGCGGCGCCGTCACCGTCGGCTGGGGCGCTGGCGGGCGGCGGCTTCTTCTGGGCCCTTGAGGGCGCTGAGGTGATGGTGAAGCCGCCTGGCTTGCTCACGCCTGGCACGAAGACGTCTAGCCACTGCCCTGGGAGGAACTAGATGTTGTTGGGTGGGCGGGTTAGCTATGGCTCTCTGCGTTCATTCGGGCGTCCGTGTCGCGCTCGGGCGGGGGGGGGGGGCTGGAGCGGTCGGGGAGTGAGGACTGAGCTGGCATAGCCCATAGCACCCAAGATAGGTGTTTGATGGGAGCTGCCCAGGTGGTCCAGGCCTGCTTACCTTGATGCTACCCACAGGCGGTGGGATGGCCAGGCGGAAGGTGCGGATGGTGGGGTTGACCTCCTCGATCTGCTTGAGAATGACCGTGTGCAGCGACTGTTGAGGATGCTCATTGAATTAGCAGGTGTTCCCTGGGTACTTCTTAGAGCAGCTGCATTCCTTACCGGGTCGCGAGGCTCGGTCGCTGTCCTTTCAGAGTGGTCTGGCTTTGCCATCCTGGCGGTGTTGCAGATGCAGCGGGACGGCTGCTTCAGGCTGGTGAGTGCCACGCGAAACCGTGGAGATATGGATAGCTTTAACGGCGAAACAAGCATAGATTAGGGCTTCAGATGCTTTTCAATTTCGATTTGGTGCTGGATGAAATCCTGCGATCAGGGGTGATCAGTTGTTGCGAAGGGAAAGAGGATGCCATTGTGCAGCCAAGATACAGAGATGCTCATCTCATAGCCCGCAGCCTATAACAAAAAAGGGGCTGCGAGTCGGAGTAGTCCTCGAATACAATACAAGCCACACAATCAACCAGACAACAAGTTCAATCTAGAATCCAATTTTTTTTGCAGAACATCTCTCGTTACTCAGAAGAGTCTGAAAAAAAAATGAAACAAGGTCTGACCAACGGCCACATAGTGCTCGGGCATGATCACCACTATGGTCGTTTGGTGGTTGCATCTGCCCATCACAGCCAGCGTCAACCACAGCCTGAGAGTCGATTATTTGATTAGGTAAACTATAGAAAGTTCTTGATGTTTTATGTACTTCATATCTCATTCCTACTCAATGGAAGAGCGTGCTTGGTTGGCAGGTACACATTTTGGGTGGGTCGATTCTGTTCCTGGGTCAGCCTGTATCGCTGGTTACGGGCAGAGTGCTTGCCCATGTTCAAATACCTACCGTGCTTCTAATTCTACACTGAGATACGTACCCGTCTTCCTCCTCCCAGTCCACTCTTGAAGACACACTAGTGTACACAAAACCCCCAGCTTTCCCTTCCTCTTTCGCCCTCCTTGACCCGCCCTCCAACTCGTACATTTCTTCTCAGCCATACACCCTCCCACCCGCCCCGAGCCTCCTCCTCACACTGCAAGGCCCATAATTACTTGTCAAGTCTTCTCCTCAATTCTCCAAGACTCCCATCGATCCCCAATCAAAAACCCTTCAACGACCTCTTGGGACGTACCCTCCTCATTCTTGCATTCGTGACCACGAAGCCCAAGAGATTCCGCATTTCCGATCGCTCTCACTGCCTTCGCTTGCCTCGTCTCAGAGATAACCCACACAGGGACAGTCATTAAATTCGATCGCAAGTCACCAAATTTCTTTTCACGAATGCCCAATTTTTTTCTGAACCCCCATCTGCAAGTTGCCCCAACTTTTTGTTCAAGCATTGTGGTCCCCTTGCAAATCTTCTCAGGAATCGATTGGCCCAGACCAGAAGTCGGTTGTTGTGTGCGCGGGTGTGCCCACCCTGTTTGCATCGTGCTTTCCCCTTTGAGCTGTTCCTTGGCCTCAGGCTTCAGCAGCCAGGTCGGTGCGCAGTCTGCTTGTCAAGCAGTAACGGCTCCCTGCGCCAGTCCTTGGCGTACCCCACAGTGTCCCAAATTTGAGGGTGGCTCTAGTACAGAGACGGCCAGGCCAGGCATTGAGCCTGACAGTTTCTTCCAATTCACCACAGCCGGCGTCTGTCGATTGCTTAGGTGGCGTTGTCACACTGGCGCCACTTCCCCCAGCCGTCCCTGCTTCTCAGCGCACAACCTTCACGTCTTGTGTGGGTCATGTTTCCCCTCAGAGAGTCACAAGCACGTAGCCTTCAATTGTTCTGTCCATGCCGGGCTCGCCTTTCCTCTACTTGAAGGATGATCCATGGTACACACCGTACATATCGCAGTCGGTTGGACCGTGAGGACCGGTAGCGCAAGGCTACTAGTCGGAGCGGTTCGAGAATAAGATGCAATTTGCGAGGCAAACTTTCCATTTCTCTGGTATTTCGCCAATTACCTTCCAGCACATGATATTAGCCCATTTGCGTGTGAAAGATATTGGGCGAATTTCAGAAAAATATGTTATACCATCTTGCTTCACCCTTGGCGCAGAAGCAGACCAGTCCTTGTCGATAAAAAACATAAATCACCCGTTGTTGTCACTTGAGTCGCAGTGACAATAAAACCGCATAAAACATTGCTAACTTGGATTGATGCGAAGAATCCACACAACCAAAGCATTTAATTGGTGAATTGGAACTTTCGCTCGTTCAACAGGTTCAATACCGACGTCTGCGGAAGTGAAATCCCACGAAGACCCTTTCAATCATATATTGAGACCCCAACACCTACCCCACAGCACTGCCCAAAGACAGGCCGGTGCCTTCTGTTACAGCACTAGCTGCCATAGAGCCATACCAACCTATCCACGCCCCTACCGACAGAGCTTCACTTCATGGCTTCCCAAGGGTTTGATCCAGACACAAGAATGGCCGCTAGTCCGACAACACAGGACGAGATGGAGCGAAGAGGCCGGGTGCTGCCAAATGGGCGCCACATACTACCTACCAGACGACCGTCTGCTGTGGGCACTGCTCCGGCGGCTTTCGGGTCTTCCAACAATATCCAGCCTTACACTGTTCTTAGCAGCCCTTCTCCAGGTCCCCATGTCTTCTCTGCCACACAACATACGAACAATGCACAGGCAATCTCACACGGGAACCCATCAAAGGCACTGCCGGCTCTGCAAGCCCCGGCCATGAAGCGACAGATCTCCACGCCTCACATCAACAATGCGGCTGCGTCGCCGTACTCCAGCCAGAAAGAGGCCGAGGAAGACCGGCTCCAGGCACTGATGTACATCGGACAAGGATCATTGCGCCTTTATGATTCAAGACTGCAAGAGGCTGAGGAATCGTACGTGCCAAGTGACAGACATCATTTCCGGCACAAGGAGGTTCATAGCTCTCAAGCCCAGGAGTTTCAGCCTCAGAATTCCGTCACTCAGTCTCCAGGCGAGGAAGCGATAGGCTCTGGTGAATCCACACAAGAGGAGCTGTATTTGACCCAGCATAAGGAATTGCAGCAGGTGGCAGACCAGGGACCCGGACAGATTATCGACGCGGAAGATTGTGTCGACAGCTCCACTCCTTCCACACCGGCGAGCTCGGACAATATACCTCGGGCAACAGTTGCCAAGGGCAAGGGAAAGGGGGTAGACAAGCCAAGACCCTATCCGTGCCCAAAATGCAATTGCCGCCCCTATATTCGCAAGGACCACTTGGTCAGGCATGACAAAATTGCACATAGGGACGGTGTGAAGTACCGGTGTGAAAAGTGCGGCAGACAATTCTCACGCAAGGACAACCTCCGGCAGCACGATCGAAACGTACATAAGGTCGAGGACGACTCATCGCAGCCGCCGCCTGCGAAGCGTCGCAAGCTGAATTAACTTGGACGCCGGGCTGAAGCCACGGCGGATCAGATCCAGGCTGGAGAGTCTTTCAGCAGTGCAGCACAAACAGAAGGAAGCCAGGCGCCGGTCACATCAAGTTCAAATCCACCTTCGAGCTCCGCTCCGTCTTCGAACTCAGCTCCATCTGCGAACTCAGCTCCTTCTTCAAGCATTGCGACTGGGAGCAGGTTTTGGGCTGTTAACAGATAATCAAGAATCCATTCTCGGGGTCCGCGCACAGGACAACGTCGTCTTGCACCTGGAGTTTCCTGCGCTTTTTTTTTTTCTCTTGGAAGAGTTGCTCATCTTTGTGTGGATGAATATGTTGGTTAAGGATTGACGTTGTTTCTTGTTAGTCAGCGCCCTTGCGGGGCGCCGGATATGCCTCGGCAAAGACACGCGGATCCTAGCTATCCCCTACCCCCTTATTACAACCTTGGTCATAGTTGGGTTTGATTTACACGGTGGAATCTTTTCGGAACATATGTTGCACAGCAAGCTATCTGACAGCATTCTCCTGAGCCATAGCGCTCCTGATGGGATACGACATTTGAAGGCGTCTGCTCAGGTCGATATTTGCATTGGCGCAGGCGTGGTATACCCGTCATTCCTGGATTTTTGGTCTCTGGCGCTCATTGCCTGTACTGGCTTTCTTGAGTTTTTCTTCATGTGGCTATCTGGTCTGATTGGAGTTTGCGAGCAAGTCTTCCTGCCTGTGCAATGCATCAGCGAAGAGGCACCGTTGAGTGCCTTTGACCTGCCGGGCACTTCTAGCATTTTGGGGAGGTTATATAGTTTCAGATGGTTTTTTGGGTATCCCATTGTCAAGGGGAAAGCCGGGATGTCTACTTTAGGCAGCTCAGATAGTCAGACGCAGTTATACTGAAGTTATGGTTATTTGTCTCACCCATTAATTTACTAGCTCTCGATGACTGTGAATTTTGGTCGCCGCCTGAAGGGAAGCATATTGCCCATTCCTAGGTGTACAGCTCCTTTTGAAAGCTGGTTTTCGTCGGTCTTTAGTATCAGGCATCTGGCAGAGTGGCGCCCGGTCACAACTTGCATGGATCCAAGGTATTGCTGAATATGCGACATCGGACGAATGGCTAAGAACGACCTATGAAGTTCTACGTAGACACATCTATCCTAATAATTCGACACTTGCGATGGAAAAGTCTGTTCCATCAGAACTTGCCCACAAGCTGGTGATCAGACTGAAGGATGTGCAATGCAGTTATACGGGAACGTGTAGAGTTCCTGCTGGAGGCAGGAGAGAAGACGGGTACGGATCTGAAAGATCTTCAGTCCGAAGATCTGCAGACACATTTCATTCATAAACTAATTCAGTTCTATGTGTTTTATGCGGATCCTTAGACGACATGGTCACATTGATTGGACTCGACTCATCCCATCGTCCACCCACCTCTTGACCGTGCACCGAACCGCTCCAATGAGCGGATGCCAAAGGTCCAAGACAGACCCATCAGATGTTTTCCTCCGTGCTACAAGGCGCACATGTGTTGATTTAACTGACGTTCATGTTCCTTTCAAAGCTGCGTCGATGGGATTGGCTATGCCTCGGGGCTTATTTACGAGTCTACTGAACGCCATGTGCATCACAATTGACTCTGCGGGTATCGGTAACCCATTCTTCCTGAATGCTTGGAGTTTAGCACGAAGTAAATCAGGTCAGACAGCCAAAGTATCAAAATCCCCCGTGTTGAACCACAATTCCCGTCATTGAAGTTGTCGTCTTCACATTTGTGATCTCGTCGTATCGTATCAAAGCATCAGCGACTAAAGATGAAACTTTTGTCCCTCGTCTTCCTGAAGATCGAGTGAAAATTTCATGCAAAGTCTGATGCGGGTCATCCTCTCCAAAAGCTCCTATACATCTGCGTCAGGTGGTCAAATATGCTTGTGAACATCATGATCAGCACTTAGACTAATTACACAGATTGCAGAGCCAGCAATTTCTAGCTCAAATTGGCGGAAAGTTTTTGTCAAAAACGTTGAGATATGTCTTTGTTGGTGGCTGTACACTGGAGACTGGACGCAGTATGGAAGCAGCTCAGCAAAGATGTGGAAGTCCACCCACAAGTGACGTTTGCCGGACTCTATAAATCGGACATCATCATTATTGACCTGCTTATTCTATTCCATGAATCGACATAAGTTCCTGAAATGGCGCATCATCTAAGAGCTGCTGCGCTGTGATTCTCTCCGAAGGCTGATATTTAAAGCCCTTGTGCAACACATCCGATACCAGTTCTTGCTCTCTTGACCCCTTCAGATCCTCCCTGGAAAGGCCCAAAAGAGCCTCAAAAGGATAATCTGCGGTTCTTGACTGGTCATACCACTTGCGGCGCTCCTCCTCCGAGTAAAGACGCGGCCACTTGTATCGTCCGTCCCATTCCCTAGGCAGTGGTCCTATAACACGGGCCATACAACCCAAAGGACCGGGGGCGCTCCACCCGTCGAAAAGACTGGAACTAGTCATCAGAGTAGCAAAGACGCACATGAATCCCCACATGTCCGACTCGTAGGTGGGCCCAAAGCCCTCGTGGAAGAGCTCTGGCGAAACACACGGTAATGGCGGGAGGCAGTCGTCCGTTATTGGAGAGCCAGCGCGCATCGACAAGCCGAAATCGCTCAAGAAGGCTGTCTTGGCGACCATATTGGATGGCCATCCAATGGGCGCAACGAGGTCCCCTGGCCTCCAAATCCATTCGCATGTTGGCAAGGGAAACTTCTGTGGGCGACCGACTTGGTTGTAACGTTCTGAAGGCGTCGGTCCTTGGTCGAGAGCACCGGGGACAATTCCGAGCATGACGTTATTGTCGTTGATATCTGCTGGTAAATTAGACGCAATTCGAGGCGATATGGGTGTGAGTGGCCACGTACCGCGATGGATGAGGTTGTGAGCGTGGAAACACGCAACTGCTTTGAGGATATCTTTGGCCAAGCGTAACCGAGTGGCAGAATCCGAAAATGAGAGCCAGGAGCTCATATATTTATGAAGGTTTTGTCCCATTACTGGCTGAACTATCACCCAATGAGAATCTTGAGGAAATCGCCCAGGAAGAGGAAAAGCCGAAGTGCTGGTCACCAAATGGCTGTCGCCAGGATCTGATATCAGTTGTTGTAAGTGCTGACGTATTCGGCTCTCAGCCTGACCTGCCGTCGTAAGAGTGCGATGAATCTTGAGTGCGACTGAGGTACCAGTGCCGACCTCAAAAGCTAGCCATACTGTTGAGAATGCGCCGTGGCCGAGCTTGTGCTCGATGCGATAGGACTTACCACCGCCCTGGATGAGCCCACCGATGGTCACAGGATAACAAGGAGGTCCAGGAACTTCCACGCGCACGATGTAACCGTCAATGCCCTCGGTAAGTTCAGTAACTTCGTCTTCGTCATCTTCGGACACATAGACACCCCAGTCGTCGTGCAATTGGATGTTGTTGAGTGATTGCTCCATCTTTGCTGTCGCGCAGGTTGGTATCTGAGTTCTGAGATGGTGCCATGACAACTGCACTGTAGTCAAGAGCTGCTTTCTTAATCACAAGACAAGGACTCCAGAAGGTTTTCTATACTGTGCAGTCTAATATAGCTGTGCCGTCGCAAGTAGGGGGTCTGTGGAGCCTAGAGGGGCTGGTGTCAGCGTTGGGTGTTTGTGACTCAGAACACCACCAACAGGCAAAACCTTTCTATACTCTCTTCCAATTTTGCGTGTGCCGCAGGCAGATGGCAGCCTGGTACTGATATATGAGACTATTCTGAGAAAGGGGAGACTGAAGGAAAGTGTGACAAATCGAAATAATCGCTTCTTTCTAAAAGGCTAAGCAGACAGGCAGCATCTACATATAATCGGGAAGACAGATAGGAAGAAAATTGTGTGAAGTCAACGGACCAAGTGCTTGTCTCGTTCTTCATCAGGCCTTGAATTCAATAGGATAGTGTTCAAGTTCATCATGTGCTCGACCGAGAGATGTATACATGACTCGGACTAAACTCCTGCTGAGTTGTGATAAGTAACAACCGCTAACGTCATCCTTTTGATTGTTCCCACCAAGGAAGCAGCTCCAGGAACGGATGCAACAACTCGGGCGTTATCTTCTGTCCTGCAGAGGAGTCTCCCGGTGTGTATGTAGCCTCGCCAGCTCATGTCAATGACAGTCTACGTATTAATTAGCTTCGAGTGGCCTCGGCCTCCTCAGAAAAGCGAACGAATGCTGTGGACCTGAAAGCCAGGGCGAAGAGATTCCAACTTACTTCCCAGGCCCGTCGGTCCTGGAATTGTCACGTCGATCTTATTCACGAGGCAAGACAAGCTTAGCATCTCTGTGTATATGTGCAAGAAATTTTTGATCCTAATAAAACTGGCTATGGGATGGCCAAAGCTATATGCTCAACCTTCGCGAGATTAAAAATGCTGATTCGATGCCATCAACTGAATTAATAAACCTGCCGGCCAGCCAGCCGGCCGGCCGCCCGTGAATGCACTTTTCAAAACCCAACCGTCGTCAGCCCACTTTTGATCCTCCGACTTCATTCTTGTCCTGCCTCCCTCCGCCCATATCCCAACCCATTTCCCAACCCATTTCCCAACCCAGAACCCAAGACAAACCCAAACCCGATATGGCAGTAAATGTGAGTGTGAATGGCGCAATGAAAATAAGCGTATTGTCAGTCTCACCAAAACAAAAGACAAAGGAAAGAGTGAGAAAGTTCGCGTGAGAAAGATTGTCAGACCATGCGGCCTGGATGACACCGAGTTCGTATTTCAGCGTTTTTCCGAAGAGCCTCCAGGTCCTATTACCGACCATCATCCCGCCCCTCGTGTTCCTGTATCAAAGCCACTGATTCTTCTCCCCATGAGGTATCAAAATGCGTGTCTTCCCCGCCTTCATCGTCCCAGGAACTTGCAAAAAACATGATCCTAACCTCTTCGCATAAACTCATGTCCGTGCAACAATGGTATCCTGCAAGTTCCAGCATCGATTTCTTCTCGCACTGCTACCGCCTCATATTCCCATCATTCCACACAGTAAGTAATGAGGACCAAAAAATCAACAAAAGGCGCTGGTTAGTTCGGCAGTAAAGAGTCACTATGTAACAAACCATTGGCTACAGCATACTCGCGTCCGGCGGCAGCTGCAAGCGCTTCTCACGTCTGCAGCACATCCCTCTCCTCCTCGGACGGGGGCATCGCCGTCGAGTGGCTGAGATACTCCTCGTCCTTCTCCCAGGCCGCCCCGGGGCCGTGGAATGACGGTTCCGGGATCGAGCTTCCGGGCTCTGCTGGCTTGGCTGTCTCGGTGGCAGTCGCACTGGTGCTGCGCGGTGTCGCCTCGCTGTCGCCCTGGCCCTGGCCCAAGATACCCTGGGGTCCCGCTCCGGGTGGCTTCACAGGCTGGGGACTCAGGACGTTGGACGAACGTGCGATATACCTTGGCGACACGATGTCTTCCGAGCCGAAGGGCAACGGCCGGTTGGGTATGTCGTGGCTCTCTCCGCCAGTCGCGCCACCAGTGTCGCTACCTCCAGACACCTCGCCAGCGCCGAGCTTCTGCAGCAGCAACTCGGATTGTTGCTTCGCCAGCAGTTGCAGCCGCGCTACGGGGTCCTTGTAATATTGGAATAAGTTAGTCAAGTCACAAGGGCAATCTCCGATGCTAAACCGACGCCCATGCACACATACCCACTCCGACTGCTGGGGCACGCCGTCTGCCGCCGGCAGCTGGGGGCCATCGTCCGTACCCTCGTCGTCGATTCCTGGGCCACCAGCGCCCCAGAACTTCGGCCGACGAATAGGCGCAGGCGTGACAGGGAGACTGGGTCGCTCGACAGCAGTTGGGAAGTCGGTCAGTTTGGAACCGCGTCTTCGCCATTCTGCGCCGGCTGATGTCTCTGACTGGGATCCGACGCCACTACCACCCGGAGCCCGTGGTGAGACTTGACCCACGATACTGCCTGAGCTCCTATGCTTCCGGTATAATGGCATTGAACCCACGTATTTGTCAATAGCAGGATCATCGTCCCACGCGTTGACCCGTGTGAAGGAGGCCCAGGGATCAGAATGGGTGACCCGGATGGTAGGCGTGGCGGGGGAGCTTGGCTCGCTCTTGTGATCCGCGATGGATGACTCTGTCATAGAAGGCTCAGTCATCGTCGTGTGGGATTCCAGTGAAAATGTCCTCCTACCGGATGGCGCAACGGTCGAACCCTCGGTCAAAGATGGCTCGGGAGGGTATAGTTCGTCAGCGAAAACGCGGGAGGGCCTCGGCTGTTCAATTTCCCAGGGGAAGATCGGCCGGGGCTTCTCGGCTCGTGAAGCAGGTTTTTCTTTGGGTACCTCATACCACATGTTCTTCGGAGGGCTTGGGTATCGCTGAGGAGGGACGAATGGAGCTGGATCGGAAGACATCTCGTAATGCGTCTGCGGGAAATTCAGAGCCTCAGGCTTGGAATCTGCAGGCGGAGGTTGTCTGCTTGCCGTTAGCAACCGTGTTCGCACGAGCAATGGCGGGGGCATTCCTCACCTTTGAGCATCCCAGCTGTACTCGGCTGGGGGTCGCTCAGGCTTATGCTCCCTCTCCTCATGGTGTACTACAGGAGCCCATCCTTGGGGCCCCGAAACCTGCTCTTCTCGAGCCTCAGCTTTTGTCCCCTCAACAACATTACTCAACGAATCGCTAGGGACGGAAGGGGGTATATAAGGGTGCGGGACGTAGTCTCCAGGATGAGACTTCTCATGGTGGTGTGGGGGCGAAGGCTCATGATGGTGATGTTCATGAGGCTGCTCGTAGTGATGCTGGTGGTGGTGGTCAGGTTGCGAGGGTGGTGGCGCATGATGATACGCATCATGTGTGGATCTACCTTGGTGGAGCGGTGGCTGGCCGGTCGGAACAACATAGGTGGTTGTTTTTGGCTGAAATTCGCCTTTGACAAAGTACTGGACAATTTCGGGGACCTTGTGCTTCTGAGTCGCGTCCGTCGGTGTGAGGGGAGGGGACTGCCGTAGACGTCAGTTTCTGTTCAGTGACCGGTGGAGGGCGGCAAGAAAACCTACCGGCTGTCTGTAGTGGCGATCGTACACAGCCCACCATCTACCAAGCATCTCATTATAAGGCGTGCCTCCTCCAGAGGATGCTTCTCTGCCCTGAGCCCACGGCTTCTCGCTTCCGATGAAATGGACCATGTTTATGCTGGACTGGAAGTGGCGGTAAGCGGGAACATATTGGTAGTGGCCGGACGGTGTCACATTGTAGGTGAAGCTGAGGCGGTTGTAGTTGTTCTTGAAGTGCATGTTCAGCAAGCCCTGGTCTGCGCCGTCAAACGAAATACCTCTCTCGGCCATGGCCTTCAGTGCATAGTAATCGCCCATATTTGGCGTCAGGGCCATAACTCCCGTATTGAACAGATCAGGCCACCCGATATCTGGGGCGGCGGAAAAAGGGTGGTCTAAATCGAACAGCTCGTCGGGGGCCCTGTAAGCGACGACATCTGCGTCTATGTACACGATCTTTTTGAACTGGGTCTGTTTCCACAGGTTGATCTTTGTGAATGCAGAGTGAAGATCGGCGCGGTCCATAAGGTAGAGGTTCGCCGGCTTTTCGTTTCGTACGCGGGGGACCGGTATTACATGGTCGAAGACAGACTTCCGGCCAGGCCTTAGCAGGTGTTCCTGTAAGTGTGATTTCTGGGGACAGACGCACCTTGAGCTGCGTTATGACCTCGGCCGACACAGTGTCGAGCGTGACCAAGACGGCCAGTTTCTTGGTGGTTCCGGCATCGCGCAGGGAGTGGGCGAGCACCAAAGCTCCTGCTTGGAAGTCAGACAAAACGCGGGTTTCTGGGAGCAATTGGATGTATCTCGCTGGACGTACCTGGAAGATATGTGTCGCTGAGCAGAAGCTGTTGAAGCACAATTGTTAGCTCTGGTTATTCTGCTCTGTCCTGTCCTGTCCCGTCCAGTTGCTGTCCTGACTCGCCAACCCCACGGGGAAGTGTTGAGTGTGTCGAGCTCCAATGGCAGCTCCGGGCGCGGGCAGCACCAGCTCCAACTCCTCACGATCCACATACCGTGACGTAGACGTCCTCGCCGTTCTGCGCAGCCATTGTGTGCGGTAGCAGGGTGGGATGGGGGCGAAATGGGAAGGAAAGAATGCAGAAAGAGCAATGCTATGCCGCTATGCCACGGATATAGTACAAAAGCGTCGCGGGGTGGCGACTGGTGGTGAGGAGAGAAAGGTCATGAGAGCAAAAACGCGGGCGCCAGGAAACCGACGATCCTCTGTTGACCCCATGGGAATTGGGGGAGCTGGGTGCAGGTTGCAGGGAGACAGGGTGGAGGGTGGAGCTCCCTGCCTGCTGCAGCGACAAGGGAAGGGGACATGCAGTAGCTCGGCGCGGTGATAGCAGGAGTCTGCGGTTGGCCTGGAGATGCCTAACAGATGATGTACAAGTCCAAGGTACCACGTCCCACATGGCATGTCGAAGCTCGGTGACGGTTGGAGAGACTGGACGAATGTTCGATCCATCTCTCTGCCCACCGTTTGTTTTTCAAGTTTTTTTTTCTTCTTTCCCGCCTCTGCCTCTCGTGTCAATCATTTGTCACTTGTCTCTCTCTCGTCCTGTTCTTCTAATTTTCTTGTATGCGTGTACTACCTAGGTAGCTGCAAGCGAGACCACCCTTCGTGCTTCCTGCTGCTCCTGCTGCTGCTGCTTCGGCTGCACTGCAACATAACACACCACATCACGACGCGAGGCAGCACAGCACACACTGGCGGAAATGAGCCGGATTGAATTGAATTTGGCTGCTACGCCCAGCCCCTCGGACAAGCTCGAGCTTCATCCACCGGTGCACACTGGCACATTTTTTGAGTTCTGCAGGTGAGATGGTCGCGCAAGGGTCGGACCATGTACATATTCGCATCCGAGAAATTGAATCTCCTCCTGCACGTCCCTTGGGTGGTAGTGCCGCGTTTTGAGAGCTGTCTTTTTATTAGACTGTTTATTTTGCTGTCTGTCTGCTACAACGGTGAAAGCATTCCAGTGTCTCTCTCGTATAGCACTGCAGAGTGTGCAGTCTAGTATTGCAGTACATACAGAGTCAATATTCTACAATCAGCATGATAGGGCTGAGGTCGGTCATTTTCTGGAACAATGATGTGGTCTGTCATGTCTCGTTGTGTTTGCCCTCGTCGACGCCACTGATGGACATGCACGTGAATACTTTTCCTAGTCGGCGATCCCCAACGTCACTCGACTGCTTCCCAGGATACCAGGTTCAGTTCACCAGTCAGCAGTGCAGCACAGGCACAGGGGCCTGGACAATGACACGCAAACGGCGAGTGGGGCGGCAAAGCCACAGCAAGAAAGCTCTCCCCTGCAATCGCAGCCCAGGGTGATTCTGGGCGTTTCCGAAACGGGCAACCAGGTGGCTTACACGGCTGCAGCTCCTCGCCGTCTCCCGCTTTTGCTGGTTCAATTTCTCAACAACACTGGGAGGCGGCTCTGCCTGCATCGCATGCCGCGCCGCTCGCTACTGATTGTTTAATTAGCGACAGCTGCCCAGATATTGTTGGGACCGAGAAGGGCTATTGCCAGCCGACACACGGCACTATTGGAAGCCAATTCCCAGCCCTCGCCCTCGCCCTCGCATGCCATGCGACACCAGCATTGCATGACCGGCAACGCGGGGAGTCGTCCCACATTAGCTCAGTCCACGTTCGACAGGCCTCCCCGATCACGAGACTTGGCATTCAGCAGTTAATCACTTGATCCTCTCATCCTTTTCATCCGTGCTGTCTTGCGACTGTCGTCCGAAGCTCCTGACAAAGAGCAAAACTCAAATGTAACGCCACAACACCGATGCTGGACAACGACAAGCAGTTTGCCTATCCGCAACGCCTGGCTTTGTTGCCATGACGCAGCTCTCTTGTCCTCCAATCCACGGCCCCCAAATCGACATAATGCAGCGGATTGATTGAACAAGGCATATTTTCGCGCCCGTGAATCGAAATAAGCCGCACAATTTCACAGCGTCTCCGTCATCGATTTTGAGTCCTCTTCGGTTGCGGCGGCTACCGCCTTCTGCTTCGATCCCCGACCCTTTATCGGCTTGTGTACGCGCGCCACCGACCGCCCGCCCAGATGGACGAAATGATACGACCTGTTCCTGTGATGGCAGACCCCATCCGCACCGAGATAAGGCTTGCAGAACCCGCAGACCCTTGCGGGAGCTCGCTTGGCCTTCAGTTGCGACCGCGTGGCGGCTGAGGTGCTACTTGTTGCTGGCAGGCTGGCCGAGGCCTGGGTATTGCTAAACCTGGCAGTCTCGTTGTTATCCGGCTTTGGCCGCGGTGGCCATGCGACAAAAATCTGGGGAATAGACCGTCTTAGCCATCGATGTGGACATCTTTCGAGAGCGTGAAGCAGACGTGGACATACCGTGTCTTTCACTTCTTTTGCGTCCATCTTAAGCTGACCTGTGGATGTTAGATGGACATCTTCTGTTTCATACGGCGACCTCGTTAGTTATGAGAGCCACGGTCTGGGAAAATCCGTTGTATAAAAACGTCCGACTCTTGCGAACGTCAAGCAAAAGTGCTGAACAACAGGATTATAAAAAGAAAAAGACTACATGGGACTCATTGTCTAACTCTCCAGCACCCCTCGGATCATTCACTCCGAAGCACACTTATTGTTCACTGTCTGAGACAAATGCCGCCAATACACGCTACCATTGATCCGCCGGCAGGCAGCCTTGGACCGTCGCCAACTAAGAAATCCAAGTACAGTCCAAGGTGAGTAAGTGAGTTCCTATACGGGACCCACGAGAGTCAGGCGCGTGACAAAAGCAGCCAATCCAATGCTCAGGATCAACGCTGAGCTCGCCTAAAACTTTTCTCCCCGATTCGACAAGTTTTTGATGGATCTAATTCTTGTTGGCCTGGTGAGAATGCCTTCGCGTCCTGTCAAGTGACTGTCATCAGTCCAAGCCCACCATCAAAGGCCATAGCCAATAGTGGTTGCGCTTAGACGCCTGGCAAGCTAACCTAAATACCGGTCACTATACATGCTCAAGTGTGGGGAGATAGTTCTGGATGAGTAATTGGCAGAGAGTTAAAAGCCTGGCAGTCCGCAATAAAGGATATGAGAGAATTTTGGGAAGACTTAGTCAGTCTCGCTAAAATACTCTAGAGAATACACCACTTTTAATATAATGCCAGGGATGCGAATTAAAAGGGCTGTTAATGGTCAGTCAAAATAGAGGAGATTGCATTTCACGCGAGCTTGTTTCACGGCATGCTAGTACAATCCTTTCAGACTTCATGATATGCTTCAAGAAGAGCCACTCGCTATCGATCAGGCCATCAGATGAGCACAAGCAATGCAAGAGACAGACTTAAGACATGAGGCGCCCCTCACGCTCCAACCATTTCCGATCAAAACACAGCTGATCAATTTCATCTTTCGGTTCGCCTTTATGCTTACGGAAAAGAAGGTAGACAGTGGCCGTTTGTTCACCGTTATTTGCATGCGTCCACGAAACCATTTTACTGGTGTTTCACTGCGGCAAAACTCGCAATCTCTTGCACTCGAAGAAGCAGCCAACATGCCATCATTCGACATAAATGGGTGTTGTCCCGGGAAAACATGGTCCTGTGCTCACCGATAATTACGCAAGCAGGCTGACATGACTTAAATATAGGGAGGATCGCCCCGCATCCATACAACCTGACTGTCTCTTCTAAATTTCAAATACTAGGTTTTATCGCGTCATCAGACAGCATAACAAACCAAACAACACTCTTACCTTGTCGCATAGCCATGTATTGCCTCATTAATCATTTGACATGAACGTGGCACACCTGTGATGGTATCGGTCGAGATACCCCCGTCGAGTGCGAAACGAGCATGCAACAGCCCATGAACTACTTCTGTTAGTGGCCTCTGTAAAACCCATAGTGTGCAGTTCAAGGAGTCTGTCAAATTTATCTACGACAGATCATGTGGAAATATCTACGGAGAACTGATAAGTGGTGTTGCCACTCAAAGCCACAACATGGTCTCCATAGACAAAGCTGCCACTCGTCTCGGCCGGTGCCTCAATCGTAGCAGAGACATTCTGCCCCTCAACCTCCCACTCAACACTCAGATCCCCAAACGGCGTGACGACCCTCGCACTCGCCTGCTTCAGCCCCAACTGGGCCCCAGTCTCAGGCGCAAGAACCCACGACTTATACCCAAAGCCCTCGACCCCTGCCGCGGGTCTCAACCCCGCCGCCCACTCGGTCAGCACGTACGTCGGCGCCCCGCCCCAGGGGTGGCTGAGGCTGGTGAAGAGGCCCAGCCCGGGCGCCAGCGTCGCCGAGTTGACATATTCCCAGCTGGCGCCGACGTTCGTTTCGTTGCTCGCCAGCATGGCGCCCCAGAGCTCCCGCAGCAGCTCGCCCGCCTCGGCCGTCGCGTTGCCCTGGAACAGGGCCGGCAGCAAGAAGCCGTTCGTGTTGGGCGAGATGTTGACATCCGGGTCGGTCGATGAAACTGCCGACGAGTCCTTGTAGCCTGGTCCGAGGCGCAGGCTCGACAGCGCTGAGATCGAGCGGGCTGTCTGGTCTGGCGACGCTACCCCCGAAGTAATGCAGAAGGCGGTCCCTGGGACGGAGATGTCGGTGAGGTTGTAGATGGAGTACGAGTACGCTCCGATACCCTCGTTCCAGAGCTTCGCGTTGACTGCGTCGGTAAGTGATGAAGCAGCGGCTCTATAGCGCTCTGCTGACTCGGTGTCATTTATCGCGGCGGCTACGTCGGCGACACCGCTCAGGGCCTGGACCGTGGCGCACGAGACGGGCGATCCGGCGTCAGGGCCGCCGATGAACGCAAAAGGGCTAGGGAGCGTGACGAGCTCCGTGGTGCCATTGATGGTCCCTAGCAACCAGTCGATCGTCTTCTGCCACCCCTCCCAGGTGTCCCGCGCCCACTCGACGTCGCCGTGCAGTCGCACGTGGTCGCCGAACGAGATGAGCCCCAGGATCTGGTAGTCGGGCAGGCCGAAACTCCCCGCGGGCGCGGCCATCGCTTCGGCCGTGGCCTTGACGTCGTAGCCGAGGTTGGGCGAGATGTTAAGCTGCCCGTTGGCCAGTTGCGAGTCGAGCAGGAACTGCAGCGTGCCGCGCGAGTGGTCGACGCGCGACGTGCTCGCCGCCAGGATCCGCGCCGTGTGGTAGAAGTCGCCCAGCCAGACCAGCCGGTCTCGCTTCGGTCCGTCCAGGCACACGCTCGCGGCCACCTCTGCGGTGCCGTCCTCAACTAAGGCGACCTGGCTCGTGAGGGCGTTCGAGTAGAGGGACGTGCCGTTAGCGGTGTCGTGGACCTCGGCGTTCCTGAAGTAGGCTGCTTGGTCTTGGTAGGCGCCGAAGCCGAACGAGCCTGAGAAGGCACCTGTGGCGAGCGGGTAGGCGGCCCGGGAGATGTTGAAGATTTGGGTGTCGTTGATGGAGACTGCCAGGTATCCGCTTGGTGATAGTGAGGTGGTGATGTGGTGCCATGTATTCTCCTGCACTGCGAATGGGACCTCGAAAACGTCCAGTACCCAGGTAGTAAGTGTCGTTTGGTTGACAAAGTCGACGCCAAATGCCAGAGAGATGGTGTTCGGTGGCGTTAAGGAAGTGTTCGTGTTCGCGAACCGGGTCGCCTCTGGGAGCTCTCCGGTAAGAAGCATGGTGTATCCGTTACCCTTGATGGGTGCCGCCTAGAAATGGTGAGCTTCACATTGCAATCATTCAGCGTCTTTCCGTCATGGAAGTATGTACTCACAACTGACCACCAGCTGCCCCCCTTCTGGATCAAAGTGTCGAACTCGAGCGTATAATTCCCCCATGCCGTGGCTTCCGCTGTCAATGATGGACGCGAATTTCTCGCCAACACGCCTTTCTCAGCATCAACCTCCCAAATAGCCTTCTGCGAGCCCTTGTCGAAACAGGCCGCCGTGGCTGACCTGGCACCAAGTTTCCAGATCTCATCCAAAATCTCGTCATCGCTGCTGAACTGCCCAGGGAGATCCTCCGGCTGGACCGTGTCGATGGTGGCCTCAAAACCAACTTGGGAAAATGAGACTGACCCCGGGGTCAGCAGTTGAAGCGACTGCCACTTCTGGCCTCCCTGAAGTAGCGGAGCCACGAGTATCCCCGTGGTGGTGATGTTGAAAGTCTCTACCCGGAACGTATTCCCGAGCTGGTTGCTGTACGCGAAAGGCCCGTCGCTGAACGGCTGATTCAGCCCACCGAACTCCTCGGTGTACTTTACCTCGACTTGCAGTGGCTCGGTGAGCGAGGATACCTCGAAGAAAGGGTATCCCGCGCTTTCGCCGCCGTAGTTGAGCGTGGCCACCGGGGTGGTGTCGTCGAGCGTAAATGGCGCGTACTGCTGCGTTTGGACCTGTGGGGCGGTTCCAACCGCGACACCGACTGGGACAAAGACATCGTCGGCTCTTAGGTCGCACAGGTTAGTCGACCAAGTTCTGAGCAATGAAGATCTTGAAATTGAACTCTCACCTTCGGTCATGGGAGCCAATGACTCGAGCTGCAACGAGGTGTTGCGCAGCAATGCTGGCGAGGCAGACGAGCTTCTTCATGGCCATATTGGCTCAGAGCCAGAATGGGTCTCTAGAAAGCTGGTCCAACTCCATTATGATGAGATTTCAGACTCGAGGACTTGCAAGATTATATATAACGTAACCAGCTTTTTCTGATCGTCGGGCTCGGTCTATTTCACCACGAGCATTGCGTTCCTATGTGCAATCACAATTATATAGGCTAGGTAATGGCTTGGCGTACAAATAGACCCATATGACGCTGTTAATGCCACCGTGCGCAATTAGAGAACGGAACGGCGCTACAGACAGGGCCTTGCTCTCTGAACGGAGACGACTATTTGCAGACAGCCTATAGTGGGGGTCTTGCAACCCGCACAGTGGGTATACTACGCAAGCTGGTCGCTAGACGACTGACTCGGATAGAGGTAGAGCGAAGATGATATTCGAAAAATGGTGTGCGTAGAAAGGACGTCCGAAAAGACAAGGCCCCCTGAAGACCAGGGTCGTTTTACCCCGGAATTCAAGAAATCCTGGGGAAGTGCCGCGAAGATACCCCACAATATCATGCATTAAGGGGGACAGTCATATCTTGGGTCGCTGCGGGGAATGGGCAAGGGAGTTGCACGAGGCAGTTCACCGGCTCGGCTCGGTTGGGGACGCTGTTCGGTTCGTTTAGTGACAATGTATACATGCCTGCGACGTCCTTGGGAAGGCGTAGTGCTGAGTGACCGCCTCGGAGCCGCTCCGGAACGAGTAGCAGAGAGCCAGCTATGTTTTCCAAGGTACCGCGGTTCGGGAGGGGTTATTCGGTCCTTTTATATGTTCCTGGTAAAGCAATCCCGGATAATCCGTACCATATGACCGGTTTTCCCGAACTAAATGGTAGGTAGCATTTAGTTGGCCAACTCTTGATTCAGTATATGATCTGATAGAAAATCGTCATCTTCACAATCACTAATAATCACATTTGTGGGGTTCATAGTCCTCTTCGCTGGGTTCGGGGCTTGTGCAAGTAGGTTTGTCAATTGCGATCGTTTATCGAAAAGTTGGGACTCGAAAACAAATTCTCCACATCAAAATCTACTGCCAACGTATTAATACTCCTGAAGTATAGAGCAACTCAAGTGATGAACGCTCCCTGGAACGACTATTGTGCACTCACTTGGTCGACAACTTGAATACCAACTTAGTCTGCCAATCTCAAATAAACATTTATGGACTTTCCTATTCTAACATCTGAGAAATTCCCTGAATCTACCATACACCCGGTCACCGCGCAGCCATCACCACATAGACGCTGTATCTCAGTATTGCATTTGCATCCTGCAGCCCTTGAGCTGAAATTGACCGCGCTTTCAACATTGACCACTTCACTTCTCGTTCCCAGGTGGTATATCTTGACCATCTGTTGTGCGTTGTATGTACTCCATCGCTACTCATAGCTTCGGCCGGACATTACGTCTCTTCACCACCAACGCATTGCCTTGAGCGCGTATCAAATGCTTCTGATACTTGCCACTGCCTGTCTTGGGCAATTCCTCGCCAACGTCCGATTCTCCGAGCCAGAAGATATAACGAGGAGCCTTGGTGTGGTCCATTTCTGCCGTGACCCAGGATCGTATCTCTTGGTCATCCGGTCGTGTTCCCCCGGAACTTCCCAGGAAGCAGGACACTACTTCGCCGTACAGAGAATCCTCCAGGCCTACCACACAGCATTCATTAACGCCAGGGTGCTCGAGCAGACGGTCCTCAATCTCAATAGGTGAGATATTCTCACCGCCTACAAAAGGCGTCAAACCCACGGTTAGCGAATACGGAGAGGGGATTTTAATCGGGACAAAGAGGGCCTACCTCGAATAATTATGTCCTTGATACGGCCAGTGATGTGCATATATCCGGCTTGATCAAGAAAGCCTTCGTCGCCGGTATACATCCACCTAACCCCGTCCGCGTCTGACTTCATAGCCTGTGCTGTTTGGGCTTCGTCCCTCCAGTAACCTTGCTGCAGCCCATACCCGCTTGTGCAGATGTGGCCCCGCGTCCCACGTGGCACGATATTGTCCTCGCCATCCACTACTTTGGCGGCAAAGTGTGGAAGCACCTGGCCCACAGTACCGAGAATATTGTTACGGGTGTCCTCAATCGAGGTAGCGAAGGTTACTGGGCCGGTCTCAGTCATGCCGAACGCGGAAAGCATGTGCGGGAGGCTCATCTCCTGTTCCAGCCGACGTATAAGGGCCGGGGATACTGCTGAGCCTCCACACATTCCGGTGCGTACCGTCTCGATACGCCGAGGTGTCTTTTGTAGTTCCTCGAGGATAGCCAACAGCATAGATGGCACGCCGAGCAGTGCTGTTGTCTTTTCCTGAACTATAGCATCGACAGCCGCACTTGCGTCAAATGTCGAGGCTGGAAAGACAATCTTGCTACCGTGGCAAAACGATGTCAGGAAGCCTATGACGAGGCCGAAGGCATGAAACAACGGCGGCGGGCTACACAAGACGTCCTCTTCCGTAAGTTCCATTGCGAGGCCCAGGTAGCGACCATTATTAATGATGCAGACTTCTGTTGCCAACCTCTGGGGCCATGAAGATCAGTTTGCAACCTTTACCAGGTTTGAATTAGCACATATTGTAGTATTCTCTGGGTGTTTCGGTACGAACCGGTGCGCTCAATCATTGCCTTCAATTCTCGAGGCGAAAATGTATTGTTAAAGACAGCGACGGGACAGCCGATACGCCCAGCTCCAAGGAATACCTCGATGTACTGGTAACAATTCCCAGCCATGATGCCCACGCAGTCACCGCGCTTGAAGCCTCCGCCCAGTAGAGCCTTGGCCAACAAGGCGCTGCGTTGTCCGAGTCTACTATAAGTAAGACGAATTGATTGCCAGGGCACAACAACTGCTTCTCGATCCGCATACTTGAGCTCCTGTTCATGGATCAGATCTGCCAGTGTTTTGTTCCATAGAGGAGGAGAGCGTGGTCCGTAAACCAAGGACAAGGGCGAGGACATCTTGTCACTGTGTTTGCTGTTGAGTGCGTTACGTGGGGCTTCACTTTGCTGTGTAAGGGGGCATAATGGGGCGCCCTAGGTAAACAAGCATTTGCTAAGAATGTGTCAAGCTTTTATTCAGATTGACAAGTCTGAATACGGTTCGCCTCCTAAGGAGTTTTCGTACTACGTAAGCTTACTATCTGCAAGTCTGCGCGGGGTTTTGTGCAGAAGCCAGTCCGGCTGGCCCAATATGATGAACAAAATGAGTTACGCAGATCTGTAAGACGGCATTTGACATATGATCTACACAACCTGATATGATCACGTAAGCCCTATTGAAACGTTGTCTTGTTATCATTCACCGTCTCAAAATGAAGCTTGGAATTTCAGTACCTCGATTTGGAAGACGTGAAATGAACATGATGGATCATAGAAGGGCTTTTGCGGGATTCCGAGAGAAGACTGGAGAGGTCAGGCATACTGGGGATTTGATTGGAAATTGAGAAGTTGCTCACTCCAGCGCGACCGCGGGTGCGTCCACGCACAGCCTTCGGGCAAGACCGTGCATCACCCACCTTCGGGTTTACCCATCTTTAGACCACATGAATTACGCGGCTATTGCAGTAGAGTAATTCAAGTCCTAGGCAGCCAACGTGAATGCGCGTGTTCCGGCAGGCATCTTTCAAGGAAGCACTTGGCGTGGCAGCACCGAGGAAAATTTCAGATGAATGCCTTCTAACAACTGCTTGATGATAATGAATATTCATGTTTTGACATTTTCTCGGTCAGACATTACTTCCATTCCACCGTCCGAAGCTTGGTCAACGGAAATATAATTATACGTCCTCTTAAAGCGGACACAGCTTACTTAGTACCACTAGAGATTGCCTACCAACCTCGATTTTATTTTGAGTCTTTACTCATACAATCTAGACGCCAAACCTATACCGCCCCGGCGTGACATTGGTCGAAACCATTCGCTTCAACCGCCACAGGAGACGTAGGAGAGTGCGAAGTGTTAAATATTCACCAACCCGTGATGTATCACTTATACTGTCTCATGCATACAAGAGCCGAAGGGATTGAGATTAATGCAATCCGCATCCAATAAATGAGAGCTATTCAACTCGAGATAATTATGGAAAGAATCGAAGACTGCGTAAAAGTCTGGATAGGCTACTTTTCTCCTAGAGACATGTCTTGATGCGGGAGGGTTGTGCGCCTATATCAGGCACCATTTCTCATTTTCTCGGCTATTTAGTATCCCAGCTTGAATCCACCCCAGTTGAGCTTGGTGAAGACAAGGTCAGGGTCGTACTGATCCCGGACCTGTCTCATTTTCTCGAGATTATCAGCGCCGTATGCCGGAAAAGGCTTCTGCCACTCGCCAGCGTCGCCCATATAGACAAACTCGGTAGCGATACCCAGCTGCTTGTTGATTTCGTGGTGGCGTGCAAGAAGGGATTGGTGCCATGTGGTCATTCTCAGATCATCCTCCTCGCGGGCCCATGAGGTGGTAAATTGCCACACTAAGAAAATCGTTAATACAATTTTAAAATGAAGTAACAGTTCCACTACACGTACAAATGTAGGACTGATCGTCGTCGAGTCCAAAAGTATTACCAACACCGTTCGTCTTGGCGACAGAAGCCGCGGTTTTGGGGAGAAGGTTTAGGACCAAACCAGGGCGGAGACCCTCTACGTCAGAAACATCCTGAATGGCTTCAACCCAGGCTTGGTAAATTTCGTAGAGGCGGGTAGCGTTGGGCTCCATGGTCTGGTGGGCGAACTGAATACTGGAAATAGAAGTGAGCAGAGCTCCAAGGTCAACAGCTGGTTCAGGAGACTCACCGGAACAACTGATTAGGAGATATCATTTGTGAGTGCCAGTAGACGGGTTCCGTCACGTTGTGCGTACGGCTAGTCGCATCAGGAATGGCAGTAAAGTTGGAAAAGCGCGAAGGCGGCGACTCAACCTTCTCCTGCAGACCGAAGACCTGGGCACTGGGCACCTTGGTAGTCACATTGTAGTTAAGTGTGATGACGGCACCGGAAGCCACGCTTCCGTCGTCGTAAAGCACCATGTTGCAAGTCGCTTCGAGGAAGGCAGGGATGGAGGACTCGGGGAAGTTTTGTAGGGTGCTGGCGACCTGGGGAATGTTGTACGTCTTCAGCACAAACTTGGTGACAAGACCAAAATTGCTGCCGCCACCCTTGAGAGCCCAGAAAAGGTCAGGGTTTGACGTGCTGTTGGCAACGATCTGGGTTCCGTCTCCGAGGACGACGTCGTAGCTGAGGACGTTGTCCATTGTCCATCCATATTTATTGAGGAAGTAGCTGATACCGCCGATTAGGGTGAGTCCCGGGACGCCAATGGTCTTGAGACGGCCGCCAATGGTGTATTGTCCGTATGGGTGCAGAGCCGTGTAGACGTCCACCCACTTGTTGCCCGGTCCAACTTCGATCGTGTTCTCGTCGGCGTTGACCTTGAGGGCATTAACGTTGTTCAGGGCCAGGAGAATTCCGTCGTCGATTGTGTTGGCCCCAGGGTACTGGTATCCCGACAGTCAGTGGAAGCCAAATGCCAGAAGGAATCAGGTTGGATTTACGTTCATGTGACCTCCGCCCTTGATAGCGAACGGCGCTTTGTTGGTGTAGAAGATCTCAATCGCCTTGGCCACATCATCCGCAGTGCTGGGCATATAGATGCAAGCCGGGTTACGATTAGCTCTCTTGTCCCAGACGTTGATGCGCTGAGTCTCATATGCTGTGGTGTTGGGGAAGAGAGTGGCGTTGGAGGCGATCGCACTGAGCTGGTCGCAAGAGGTCTTCACGCTTTCAGTGACCAAGAGGTCCCGGCGGCCGAATTCGTGGCTACTTGCAGCGGCAGAGCCAGCCAGCAGGAGGTAGAGGACAGATCGAAAAACCATCATGAACGAGAGATGAAAGAATGATTGATGAACGAGTGATGAAAGTTCTGAGGAGAAATCAGCAAAGAAGCATCTTCATTTATCTATTGTCGAAAGCGATATTTGAGATAGAAAGGATTACCACTGAGCCCCTATTCCAGCTATCGTCATCTCTCCCATCCCCAGATCGTCTCTGACTTCAGTCTTCAAGAACGCCAAAATCGTACTAAGCCTTGCTTGTGGATTCGTGGATTCCATCGTACTGTTGGCGTGGGCGGTACGAATCCGTACAAGACCCCCTTCGCCCCCATGAGCATTGACAAGCCCACATCAATATAGAGCAGTCCACGGCAGTCGTACACCCTCCCCCCCTAGCATCTGACGTCGCTGCCGGGTGAGAAATAAAGGGGCGAGAGCATTATCACAAAGAAGATCCATAATTAAGTGGTCGATAATCGCGGTTCGTGTGGTGTTAAAAGGGGCAAGGTTTTTTTTTTAGACCGCATCAAGTCGTTGGTGCCATTCATCATGTTTTCAAGCAACCTCGTACCGAGCCTCGTACCGGTTGCTCAAGGTGGCCCGAGCGGGCTTGGAATGGCAGGTCCCATCGAAATGTCAACAGTTGGGATGAACAGGACATTTCTATTGGCGGAACCAATAGATTTGCGCGTTCCTGGGTCCCGGCCTACGTATTTCCGCGGATGACGACTACTAGTACATTCTGTTCTAGATGACAGCCCTACCTTGGTGCTTTCCCAGTCTGTCAGCCACTATAGAGAATGGTGGTGGTCGGACTCGCTTTCGGTGGACGGGCTTTGAAAGATCCGCTCAACATCCGGGAACGACCCAAGCGATGCAATGATCCAGGGACCGTGGCCTGTATCCGCTCGGGCGAGAGCTCTGGCCCTTATTCGGCGCCAAATACGTAGTGTTGCCTGGTCCGATCAACCAACTGAAGTACCGAGCCACCATGCTATCACAGCGGCCGGTGAGTGCTGGGGAAGCAACCAGTTGTCCATAATGGGCTCACAGCGCCGCGAAACAGTGGGGTAGATAAATGCGACAAAAGTCCTGAAACAATGACCAAGCATTGAAATTTCTTCAAATTACTTCCCGATCGCGACATTCTAACACTTTTACAAAGGAGCGTTCTACGTTTTAACCTCATCCCACTTGATTGCAGGTCCGTCAGTCGCTTCAACCTGAACACCTATCCCACACATCGCCATAGTTTAAGAGAATAAATAGTAAACTAAGACCCCGCTAAAGTTCTTTATATCTCTCGGGGAAATAAAAGGAACGCACCCGCAGATTTCTTAAATCTACGTTCTTGGGCGGGCGGATAGGTGTAGTTTTTAAAGCTGCTTTATAATATTTCTAAGCTAGAAACTAGAAAAAAAAAGCTAGTTTAAAAGAAAAAATAAAGAAATATAATATTATACAATTAGGCTTGTTTCTATACTAAAGCGCCTTATACTTCTCTTATTCTTAATACCTTTTTATATAGCGCTTTAGAATTTTAAATTATCCTTTTTCAGCCTATTTATATTTTATGTTACTTTTTCTTTAAGAGTATTATAATATAAGATAATATATGCCCTATTCGTTATATTTGTACTTCAGTATCAGCCCCGTATTGAAACCTTTTGCTCGCTCCTTTTCCCTTTTCCTTTTCAACAAATACATCCGAGTCGTGATCAATAGTACCCTACCTCGAAGAACCTCGTCTCTTGCAAATTTGATCGCACCGTGGCGGGATTTTCGTCATTACTAGTTTTGCGTCTTAGCAGCGCCGGGTTCGATGGGTTCCAGGATGCAGCGATCGGCTTCGAGTCGCCACAAGCCGACGGTTTTCCACATATGAACCGATGAATTGACTTTCTATACGAGCTTCATAGGTATCCCAACCCACACTAAATGGCTGTTTATAGACACTGGTTTCCGCCACTCTTCACAGGGTTGAAAAGAAAGAGAAAGGCAGCGTCTTGCAACGAGTTCCGCATTACTGCTTCGGCAGCATTGCACTATTTTGTTCTCCTTAACTACCATTGCTTGTACACCGCTTTCGGTTGGCATGAGTCGCTCAACGACGGTCGAAGATGGCTCAGAAGTGGATGCATGAGCCACAGTCTGGGGTGGGGATGACTTTATGGGCGTCTGACTTTGTTTTACACATGGCACCCATTACCCACTATCGCAGGAGGCCAAGAGTCGCTAAGTTAAGGATTTGTTGTTCTGTCCTGAATGGGCTTTTTCTCGGTGTATGAATCAACAGGGCCCTTGTCTGCTTGTCAGTTTTGATTTCCGACTATATAGTACAGCATCTCGCCCTTCTGTCCTATACATCTCAACCAGCCTATCACCACACTCACGCTATCTCCATCTCAAACCACAATTCTCACCACTACCTTACCTCACATTACTACTAGTCAAAATGAAGTTCACCGCCCTCCTCAACGCCTTGGCCGCCCTCTCCTTTGGCGTTAGCGCCGCCACCACCAACGCCCATGACGACAGCGTTGCCTGCGTTGGCGCCTGCGGCCATGACTACTCCTGCGTGGCTAACTGTTTCAACGACAAGCGAGATCTAGAGCAACGCCAGTCTGACGCTCAAGAGTGCGTCTTCGGCTGTGCCAAGGATGACTATGGCTGCTACAGCAACTGCTTCAACTAGAGAGCGTCATAGAATGCCGCTCCGAGCCAGGTGAGTATTCACAGGCAAACTTTCTTCTATACCCTGCGCACTAATGGTTTCTCTCTAAATAGATATAGCAACGATCAGGCAACATGAATTAGCGGACCACGTCGAAAACTTTTTCAACTATCGACAACCGGATTTTCTTTCGTGTTCCGTACTTTCATACCGGGAAGTCCTATCTTACCTCTGTCACCAAGAAAAGAAAACAATAGAATGCATAGACTGTGCATTCAATTGCTTCAATTGTTGCGGCTCGCTTTGGCGAGGTCAAGATTGTTCTCAATAATTCGTAGCTAGTCGTGAATAACGCGATACTTTTGAAATCCACCGTTCGCTATGTCGCTTGTCAGTGGCAGTGCACCTTTCTTTCTTGTGCCTGGCTACCGTGACATAAATCCCTATACTTATATGACAACATCATGGAATACAGCGAATACAAATGCATTCGTCTCAATGTGTGTCCGTTTGGACGAAAAGCCTCACTGAAAAAAAAAGAGATGCTCGTTCAAAGACAAACATTGCAGCAGACTCTGATACTTCTGAGTCTGGATAAAATTCAGTTCTCGACTTAGATTATTGTCATGCAATGTGAAGATCGCTCTTCTGAAATCCCAAAGACACCGTGGTCTTGGTTCGGATTTTATAAAAAGTCATATCTTTACTTGACCGCGTAGGAAGCGACGCTCTCTCACCCCATCTTTAATCCTGCTGATATTGCTTCTGGCAGTGCTTACAGGAGGTATAACACGTTGTCTTATAAGGTGGGGTCCGGTCTCGTTTAGGGTTCGGTCTCGTTCTGAACTGGCTTATACGGGCTAAGCAGAATTCCTCGCTGCTTTACTAAGGAACAGCGTTTAGATTACAGGTGTTCAATGAACGAATCATCTTACGAATTTCAGGGGATTAATGCAGATCATTGCCGCAGGCTTCAGTTCATTGCCCTGATGAATGGAGAAAGACATTATCGAAAATCAAGCCCATCGCCCCTAATGAAGACCTATTGCTTCCCAATTTTCACGTGGCGTAGCACTTTTCCTCCACTTGTACACGAATCACATATATATGTATATATATTTGGACTTTTAGCGACACTGCGCCTCCAGCGCTGCACGTTCGCAAATAGGACATGTTCAAAAAAAGAAAGGGGCCCGACTAATCTCACCCTTACTTAGCAGGTTGTATAATCTTGCGTCTTCATCCTGAGGATCATCTGAATTGTTCTTTTAGCAACAGCATTGCGTATACATATCCCTGTTCTACACCTTTACCACTCCTTCTCTATACCGATTCAGCCGCAGCCTTCAACTTTTCACGATGCTTCCGTATGGGTTACGCTCGAGAAATTTTATATTGGGTTTGCTGGTACTTCCAAACCTCGCGAGTTGTCTGTTGAACCAGTCTGCCATTGATGCCTGCTCATCTTTCCTGCGAGATCACCCTCAGCTCACCCTTCTCCCTAACAACACCGAGTACTCTTCCATCAACGAAGGTATGTCATGTTCTACTAGCTTTCACAATATCGGCTACCTTTGGAGTGAAAAGATCGTGTCCTTTTTCCCGGCATACGATCACACAGCTGTAGCTTTGAGGCTGTGTAGAGCCATCCGAAAGAAGAACAAGCACCATGAAACGTTGACACTTCGAGACAGACTACTTCAGTGCAGAAGACTGGCTTGGACCAGCATGTATTTTCACGCCAAATAGCCCGGAAATCATGGCATATGCAGTGCAAAAACTGGTGCACTCCGGAATCCAGTTTGCTGTGCGCGGAGGCGGATGGATGCCCATAGCGGGCGCGGCCAACATCGATTCGAAGGGAATTTTGTTAGCGACTTCAAATTTGACAGGCCTCGAGCTCGCCGAAGACCGCAAATCGATCTCAGTAGCGTCCGGGCATAATTGGGCAGACATCTACAACTACCTATCGCCGGAAGGGTTGGCCGTGGTTGGAAGTCGTATCGGGGTCGTCGGTGTCCCCGGCTTCATGTTGGGAGGAGGAATGTCTTTCTTAGGCAACCAGTACGGCTGGGCGTCAGGGAATGTGATTGGCTATGAGGTAAGTGTCTGATCCTTATGAGAGGCTGGTGTAAAAGGAAGGACACTGAAGCAATATAGGCGGTCTTGTCTTCCGGCGCTGTGGTCTATGCTACCGCAGAAAACCAGTATTCTGATCTTTTTTGGGCACTCCGCGGCGGCGGAAACAACTTTGCCATTGTTACGAAATTTGACCTCAAAACTTACGAGATCACACAAGTGTCTGTGGGCAGCGTTGCCTACGGCTCCGGTCAACGTGACTCCTTTATCGCGAACCTCTACGACTTCGCCCAGAACGGTGTACAGGACAAGCGCGCTTTTGTCCTCCCAACTATTTCCTACGTCCCGGCAGCTGGGCCCAACATCTCGTACTCGGCAACTTTGTTCTACAATAGCAACAACGAAACCTCCCCTCCCGCGTTGCAACAATTTCTCCCCCCGGCCGTCACCCCAAAGACTAACACGTTCGCGTCTCGCACCCTGGCGAACTGGTCAGTCGAGGCTGACCAGGGCTTCGACCAGGTTCACGGCCAGAACTTCCGCTTCCACGGTTTCACGATGCTGTCGAGCCTGGACGCCTTGTACGCTGCGCATGACATCTTCTTCAACTATACCCAGGAACGCGGCCCGGCTATCAATGGCTTCATCTCCACTCTCGCCATGAATCCCATCTCCCGATCCTTCATCGAGACCAATCGGGGACTTGACCCTGCGGGCGACCCAATGGGCATCGACAGCGCCGCAGGGCCATACTTCATGTGCGAAGAGACATTCTCCTGGACTTTTAAAAACGACACCGAGGTGATTGAGAAGCTCATTTCGGATATCAACTCAGAGATGCATTCTAAAATAGGGGATTACTTGGTACCTTTCTTATATCTCAACAATGCGGGAAATGGGCAGGATGTCTTCCAGTCTTACAATGCTACAAATTTGGCGCGGCTGAAGACAATCAAGCAAAAGTACGACTCTGACGGGGTATATACAAACCTGTTGGTCGGAGGATTCAAGTTGTAGCTGCCTCAGAGAGTCTTGCAGAGCTTCAGAAGATACCCATGTAAACATTGTGAAGTATCTCAATCTCAGTAAACTTGATCACTCTGCGCAAAACAAAAGAAGAAGATAAAAAAAATAAAAAATGAAAAAAAAGGAAGGCCGCACCGTCATCGAGAAACTGTGGCTTCGAATTCCGTACAAGATCCATGATGTCCACGAGTCCTTTCTCCTTGTCCTCCTGGTACCCAGCCGAATCAGCCCATCCATTCAATTTGTAACGAGTCCATTCTCAGTCGGCAAATTCTTCCAAAAAGGAGGCGGACTCGGTCCTGGATTCTAGGGACAAAGATCCTTCAGATGCCGTTGGCCTTCATGTCCTGAGACTTCGTCGTCTCAGCCTCACAGTCGCCCTTTGGCCCCGCTTGCTTGTCGACTGTAGACGTAACTCGTCCTTTCCTTCCCTAGACCTCAAGGAATGCGCTCGCTCACTTCCCAAACACCACTCCGCGCTCGACATAATTATTCTGCCGTAGAATCTATGAACACAGGCATATAGTGAAGGCATTTGTAGAGGTATTTACTAGGTACGACAGGAATTCTCCTCAACCAGCAGAGTCACACAATCACAATCTCAGTCCGTCCAGTGTTTCTGTCAAACCATGCGTGCTGACCTGTCTTTCGCCTTATGACCTTTCTGTATGCGAGTTCAGAGATCACGTAGCCGTCCCGTATCTGAAGCATGCCGATCCGTTGATAGATCCCACCCGGGCCCTCAGAGATAGGCTCGAGGAGCAGGCCGGAAAGACCATTAAGCTTATCTACAATGAGTGGAAGAAAGAAGTATTCGGATCTAGTAAGATCAGCAAGTGTGTCCAAGTGAAGAACAGTGGCGAATTTGTCGTCGGGGCGTTTCTGTAGGGAGATTTGAAATAGATATCCTCTGACGCGGATGTGCGCGTGTCGAATCCTTCCCATTGTGTTGTCGTCTACATACTGACAGTCAATCTCCAAGATTTGGACGTAATCTACGTCCAGTTGCGACTGCGGTAGGAAAAAAACTCCCCCGTCGATGGAAGCCCAGCTCCAGGTTGGAGCACGGTAGCCTTGTGGTCGCGAACCCAGTTGTGTATTGTCTCGGTACCAGGCCAATTCGCTGATCAGCTTCGTCCGCCAAAGACCAGCAACGAGATCGTCTTCGAAAGTGCGCGCGAATTCTCTTGCCAAGCCGGATATAGCAACCAGCTTGTCTCTTGGATTGGACAAGCTACATCGTGTGTATTCCGCAACTAGACTTTCCCATTGCTCGTATGGATCAGATTCACGAAATCCCCCTACATTGTGCAACAGGAACATCGTCTTAGGGTCAAGTGTTTTGTAACCCGTCCTTGTATAACCCTGCTCCCTTGCTGGAAGGCCCCGGGGAAAGATTTCGCTGCCATCAAGTTCTCGACATTCCCAAAATATCTGGTCTCCGCTGAAGTAGACTGTGCGATGAGAGAGAACTCTCTCCTGAATCACCCATGCTCTCCTATTAAGTGGTGTCTCTGTGACTCCGCCTTCCCAGTGCCTACAGGGCGCGGCGTAGAACGCCTTGGGAGATGTAACGGCCTCCCTAGGTACCACAGCTTGACGTCGCAATCCCCGAGGGAACTCAGGTCTTTGGGCCGCAGTTATTTCAATGAGCCTTTCTAGGTGTTCCAGAGCCTTGGACTTTTCCGCTTCATAGACCTCTTCAGATTCCCATCCATGGACTTGCCAATGAGGCAACTTGCTCGACCCTGAGGCTGAGGCTGCCACGGCCTGGGAAGCTCCTACTGGCAAATGGATAGTCGGATGGGGCAAATCCGTTGGGACCAGACTCGGTGAAAGACCAGACGTAGGACTTGAGTAGGATTTTCGGAGCCGATGGATGAATTTGGGCCAACGCCTTGAGGCTTTCTGATCCGAGGAAGTATACGGCTGGTCAACCTCTAATTTGTAAGGCAAGGTAACTTCCGGAACTCGCTTGCGGAAGAGTTCCCCATAGGAATCAGCAGATGCGGCTGCGGCCAAAGTGAAGACAGCATGTTTGTAGACCATGTTCATCGCGAGAGCCTCCTGCTCCCAGTCACCGTCGGACCCCTGAATAATGCAAAGGGAATCGATCCAAATATATCGAAAGCCAAGCTTTCGTGTCGCATAGATCGCATCACGGAAGTTCAGGGACAAGTCAGAGACCGGTATCCGGGACTGAAACATCTTGATGTTCGTCTTGTTCAGAACGAGAAACTTTTGGGATCCCCAGCAATGGCTGAATGCAAGGTAAGATAGATCTCTCGAGCCGAGTTCGGCAGTTGTGATGACACGCACTGCGCTGAAACCCCACTTCCCGACGTCCACCAGCCTTGTTGGAAGCCAGCTCTGCTCTGGGATTGCAGTATATCGGCAAAGAGGGTGGTTGGCCTCGCAATTCTTAAGCCAGTGGCGCACCAAATGCCACCTGGACCTGTGTCGTGTATTTCCGGAGATAGTTTGTGGTACCTGGCCAGCTTCTAGAAGTTTTACAATTACTTATCGATGTACGCATTCACAAGGCATAAGAAATGTTGACAACTTTAGTATAATGTGCTTGGTCTCCCAGATTGTGTGAACTCACCTGTTGGAGTATATAAACGGAACATCTGAAAATTTTCGAGGGAAGGAGGGAGCTTGAAAGAGAAAGAGACATTGCCCCCCATTTCCTCACGAGAAAGTGATATGTCAATGCGTGCTGACGGTGCTTTGCAAGCCAGAGTCTTTTCTTCCGCAGCTAGAGTACCCCAGAATTGACTGCCAAAGAAGCACTTTGAGGTGACTCCCAGAAGCAAATAGTGGATAGTAGTAGTAGTAGTCCAATGGGTCTCAGGCGAAAAAGCCGCCGACTCGATAGTCTGACATTTCGAACAGAGAGGCATGGTATGCCGGAGTTGAGCACGGTGGAATGACTCATATGTGTATTTAGAAATGGGGATGAGTGCCAGGTTACTAAATAGGCATAAAGCAAAGAAGATTCTTGATCAAGCGCTTGAAGCACGCCGAATAGCTAGACAGATGAAAACAGATACCGAAGGATGAACACGAGATAATGATTGTTGAAGGATTGAAGTTGTCCTGTGATTCGAACAGGCAACAAATGTAATGAACTGGGCCGCTCTGCAGATGACGTGGTACCCTGATCAGGCACCCGGATGCCTTGAGATAGTATGGTAGCTGACAAGAGGGGCACAGTTGCAGGAATTGGCAGCGCTTCATCGGGCGAATCACTCCATTGACTGATCAGGCTACAAGTGGGTCGGTCACAAAGCTCACAGCGAATGGACTCAAGACAGAAGCCCTCCCGTTGCTGTTGTGTTGTGTCGGGAAAAGATGGAAACGGAGAGTCAGAGAGTAAAATGGAGATGGCAATGAGGGCTCATTCTAATTTCTGAAGGCGAAATTCCAGTGAACTTCAGTGAAATCTAGTAACATGCATTGAGTAATATTGAAATCTAAAGAAATCCAATGAGATTCATTAAAATCTATGAAATCGAATCGAAATTATTTTGAAATCTAGTAAAATTTAATGGAAATTTAGGAAAACCCCAATTCTCTACTGTTCTTTATGCGAGCTTGCTTGTTACTGTCACCTGAGCAATAACATGCATGGAATATTTTATAATAAACGCTGCAATCAGAGGGTTGCTTGGGTCTTTAACCTCAAAGCTATACCGGCTTTCATTGATTTCTCTGACATTATATGCTTGGTTATGATGCGTATCAATATTTTCACGTCCTCTCGGTAAGACACCATTTTTATCCAGCCGTCCGAGATGTCACCCACTAACCTCGATCTTATTTGTATCAAGAGGGCCGCCGCTCAGTAGTGAATTTTCGACGATTACTCAGGCTTTGAGCTCTTTGAAACAGACTGCCCAAATAAGTAGACTAGGCCATTTGACTGTAAAAGAACGCTTAAGTGAGCCCAGAGAACCTACGTCCTACCAATATGTCGCCGAGTTCTATAACTCTTGCACCCTCAAGCAACATCGCGCCCAACCGCAACAGCCTTAAGCCGGGCCTCCCGCTTATGCAGAAACCGAATGACAAACGCAATCACAATCAGCGCCACCGACAGTCCAACCATGCTAGGATACCCCTTCGGGTACGCCGGCGCCTCGACCTGCTGCCAGATAACGAGCGGCAGCCACGCCTGGAACACATACGCCATCTGATTCATGGCGCCCGTGACAAGCGCGCGCTCCTCATTGTCATCGCTGCAGATCTCGTGCGCCCACGCAAATGTCAGTCCGCTGATGCCGCCGCCGAAGCCGCAGAGGATGAAGGCCGCCCACTTGAGCGCATCAGGGACGGCCCAGACCGTGAGCGGCACGTAGGCGACAATCTTGACGAGGCCGGAGAAGACGATGGCGGGCCATCGCGCGCCGCGGAACAGGCTGTCGGACGTCCAGGCGTATATGAGGGTGGTGACGATGCTCACGACCTCGGTGATGGTTGGGTAGATGTTGACCTCGCGCAGCGTGTAGCCCTCGCCCTTGAGCCACAGCGGGAATGCCGGCTGCGACGAACCGCCATTGCCGTTGTTGAAGATGATGTACAGCGTCACCAGCGTCCAGATGTGCCAGCTCGAGAAGATCTTCTTGAACTTGGCTTTCGTGTACGGGGCACGCTGCGCGCGGCCCTCCAGCCGCATGCGCTTCTGCGCGAGGAGGATCTCGTCCGGCGTAAAGTACCACGCTTTGGTGATCTCAGGCAAGTCCGGCAGGAAGAAGAAGCCTGAGATGGCGATAGGCAGCGACACGATCGTGTTAGTGATGAAGAGCCTGCAGAGAAATACTTAGTCCATTAGACCAATTTGTTAGTAAGAGATTTAGTAAGTCTTGACACACCATTGCCATCCGTGATAGCCGTGTACGCCATCAAGGTTGTGGGCGCCCGCCATCAGGTAGCCTGATACCATGGAGCCGACATTACCCATGGCGTGGAACAGACACGAGCGTTTGGCCAGCTCGTCCTTGCGGTACCATGACCCGATGATGTACTGCATCCCTGGGTAGAATGTGCTCTCTGCCAGGCCGATGAAGAAACGCAAGACGTAGACGTGAGTGGCGGTTTGACATTTTGCCAACAGGATTGTGAGGATCGACCAAGTCACCTAAAAAGGATGTCAGTAAGGGGCATTTTTCTGTCGTGTTGCTTTTTGAACATACCTCACAAATGGGGATCCATATTCCAGGACGGATACGCGTGAGCAACAAATTACTGGCAAAGAGGTCAGCTATGCCTCAACATGATCAGTCAAACACTATCTTACCTAGGGATCTCTCCCAAGACGTAGCCCACAGTCCAGCATACTTGCATGTAATTCAGCTCATTCCCGAAGAGGTTCAGGTCCTCCTTCATGCCAGACACAAAGGCATTGTTGATGTTGACCTGCGACAGTCAGAACTTGTACTCGCTCGGTAACAAATGGTAGGGTAGAATACGCACTTGATCAAGGTACTTAATAAAATACCCCAGAGAAGCCAGCGTCATCAACACAGCATCGAGCTTGAACAGAAACCGGCGCTCCTCAGGCGACTTGTCGAACGTGTCCCACAGGTAGGACTTCCACGTCCTTCTGGGTTTCTCCTGGAGAACCTCCGTGACAGACGGGCTATCACCATCCCTATCGTCCTGCAAGACAACCACCGACTTCTCATCGGCAGCCTGCGGCCGAACCGCCGCAATAGAGCCGGGCATGCTATAAGTGAGCCACGGGGCCGCGTTCGAGCCAAAAGCACAGAGTGTCAAAACCTAGTCCGAGAATCCCTGCAGCGACCGAATCAATATCGCCAGCGCCGCAAAGGGCAGGTATGAAATCCGCCATTCTCCCCTTCCCCGTGGTCCCGCCGTCGACTCGCGCTCGAAGGCGTTATATCTCTGCCCGTCTATTCGCCAAGGCGCCGACCCCCCACGCGCGAGACACAGAGAATGCAGGCGAGGGATCTGTCGCCATTGAGGGGAAATAAGTCGTCAAGGGGACACCGGCCGGTCGAAGGCGACTGCGAGCCTTTATAACTGGCCCGTCGCGGGGGGCCCTGCTCTGCGCGCATGTCAGTCGACGCCTTGGCAACTCCGCAGACCTCCAACGCTCGCATCTGCGCCGCAGTCGTCCGCGCGCAGATGCGTCCTGACCTTGCCCAGTGTGGCGGGCGCGGGCGCCAGGCGCCAGTGTGGTTGATATCCTTGAGTCCGTCGTCCATGTCGGGCGTGCGTTTCCGCGTCTGGTGAGCTGCCGGCGAGTCTGGACCGGGTGGGCCAGCCAAGGTTGCCAAGGTGCGCTCGCGGCGTGGCGGCAGTGATGCTCGGAGAGAGGTTCAGTACAGACTTGTGGGTAAAAGTCGGTTGCTGCCCTTTGCTCAAGCCCGACAGGGTAACGTTAGTGGTGCAGAGAATAGCATCCATCCTCAACATGAGCTCTGTGCCGGTCTTCACATCGTAGCTTCCTTCCTCCACTAGCCACAACATGTGGCTCGAAGCGAAGAAAGCAAGCCGCCGAAGAGATTAATTCGGTGCTTGAGACGGAAGCCTTGGCTTCCTTTTTATTCCAGTATCAGTTCGGCATACGCCGTTCAGCCTTCGCCATTCAGCCTATCGATGTAGTCACGACCGGCCGGCCGTATCCCCCTTCATCAACGTATACGGGAATTCCTGACGGCAAAACAATTACCCCTCGAGCTGAGAAAGCACCATTTCATGTAAACATCCCGAGCTAGCATATCTATGTCACTTGGTAGTTCCCTCATCCATGTACAGATCACGCAATCAATATAAGAAGCGTAACCGGCTGTGCCAAGATGATAGAAGGATTTCTGCACAGGAACTATATGACACGGACGGCCATTGCTGGGAAAAAGAGGACTGAGTAACGAAAGTATCACCGCAAAGCAAAACTCGTGGAATATCTTCACGAACAGTGGACCCTTGCGGGTGGTGGGAAGCAAATCGCTCGGCCTGCTGTCTACGAATTTCTCTTCGAGACAATTATTACATCGCCATCGTTTCACACGGCGAATGAACGGCCAGCAAGAGCTGCGATGAACTGCAGCGGCTCGGTGACAGCCGAGAAAATATTCGTCTCTGTATGCTCATGCAGTACGAGGGGGAGATGTCTATGATTAAACCTGAGATACGCTTACGCCCAGGCAAGAAGCCCCATGAACAACCGTAACTCCTCATTATGCTTAGGATTGAGAGGAAAACACAAGCAAGCCAGGTCGCCTAGAGATCCTTCTTATAGAAATGCTCAGGCTTATGCTCCGTCTCGTAGTCGACGTGGACGTAAGCCCTCTCGACATCAGGCAAGCTCTCGAGCTTGAACTGCAGATCCTCCGCGACATCGTGGGTGCTGCGCAGGGAATCGTCCGGGTCCATGACGACGTCGACCTCGGCGATGAGGCGCGGGCCCGAGTGGTAGACGCGGACGGTGTCGATCTGGCGGATGGCGGGGCTGTGGGTGCAGCAGACGTAGGTGATGAGCTGCTGGGTCTCGACCGAGGCGACGACCCCGACGAGCAGCAGGAACTCGGTGAAGGCGGTGCGCAGCCAGGCGAAGCTGATGATGACCGAGATGATGATGGCGCCGGCCGGGTCGATCCACCAGATCAGCTTGGACCCGCCCACCGACGTCAGGATGCCGAAGCCGTTGATCAGCAGGTCGTTGCGGTGGTCCTGCCACAGGATCAAAATCTGCGAGTACCGGTCCTTGAGCGCCCAGGTGTATAGGAACAGCACCAGCTTGGTGGTGAACGCGACGCTGACGGCGATGACGGACGGCAGGTGGAAACGATTGACGCCGTTCTCGCCCTCGCGGTCGACCAGCTCGCGGGCCGAGAAGGCGATGAGTATCAGCGACACGGCCGTCATGAGGAAGCAGAAGGTGATGTTGCCGACCGTCTCGAGGCGGGCCTTGCCCGAGGGGAAGCGCGCGGGGTCAACGCGCCTGACGGCGCGGTTGGCGAAGATGAGGGTGACGTTGCTGAGGGGGTCGAAGATGGCGTCGGCCATGGTGGTGAAGAGCGAGAGCGAGCTGGAGGAAACGGCGCCGTAGACCTGCAAGGCGGCCAGCACGATGTTGGCGGCGAAGGATCCCCAGACGGCGATCTTGAACTTAATCTGATCCTCGCCCGCCTCGTGCTTGGCCTCGGCGACGTGCTCATCAACCGACTTGAGCATGCGCTCGATGGTCTCGTTCTGGCGGTTGTAGAAGCCCTGCAGACGGCGGTACTGCACGGCCTTGCGGCCGAAGCTGGGAAGCAGGCTGGACTTGCCGCGCCTGATGCTGGGTGCGGGCGACGAGGGGTTGCTGCCGTCGACGTGAGACAAGGAGGAGGGCCCGTCACGCTTCCTAGAGATGTTGGCCTTGATCTTCTCCAGCTCGTCGGCTGTCTTGTAGCCCGCTGACAGGCCAAAGGGGTCGCTCTCGACCGAATATCGTGGGAGCCGCCCGTTTGTCTTTTGGCTCTCGACGTCTTCCTGCTGTGGAGGGTGGCGCGCGTGGGCGCCATCCTGCTCGCTGTTCACCTGCTCGGCCTCGAGGGCGGTGCTTGCCGCAACGTCATCATGGCTGTTGCCGCCATGGGTGGATCGGGCGCTAGACATTGGTGTATGGTTGTTTGATCGCGAGACATGGGACGAGTGCTGGTGGAGGTGGAAAGGGTGCGGGTGGTGAGTGATGGTGGCTGAGAGGTCGGGCTCCATTTTGAGTCGCGTTTGCTGGTTGTTTGCCAGTTGAGAGATGGGTTGGGACGGTATTCAACTGGTCATTGACCGAAGAAAGTCGTGTGTGTGAGCGTACACGAAGAGAAACCAGGGGATGTTGCTCGCCCAGTCTGCGTCGTGAGCTAAGCGAAGTCTGTGGTCGTCCAGGGCGGCAGGCTGAGTTGGCCTTGGGTTGGATTAGGATTCGGGCAGAGCAAAGCAAGGGCAAAGCCGTCACAAAGACAAATAGATTCACGGTCACACAGCAGCAACTTATACGCAAACCTTGAAAGAGAAGCTTCCCTACCTTGGTACCCACCTCGAAGCGGTTTAAAATGAGGCCCTTTTCCTTTTGCCTGATGTCTGGGCAGTCCGTCGCGCAAATCCCAGAGCTATCGCGGTGGGAGGAGGGGAGCTTCCTACTTGGCGGCCGCGCTAAAGAGCGAGAGCGAGATGCAGGGCAGTTTAATCTCGAGCTGACGGTGACGGCACGGTAGATTACCAGCAGTCAGGGAGGCGGGAGGCGGTCTTTTCGAGGCTGGATCCCTCTTTGAGCTCCCAGCTCCCCGCTCGGCTGACTCTGATCTGCATAGCGCCGCGTTGTACATGGGGGTCCCAAAGTGACCTTCTCGCAGGGGACCTTGCCTGGTAGGGCTTATCCTCGCCTGCTGCGGATGGTTCGGAACCCATTGCCCGCAGGTCGCGCCAGCCACGGGGTGTTGTTTACGGGCTGGGCTGGTTGGTCGGGGTTGGAGACTTGATTGGCAGCGTCGAGAGAGCCAGACGTGTGTTACTGTAAGTACAGCACATGAGGGGTGGGAACCGGCGGTGAGCTTCCTTGGAACGACTCATGTCCAGTGAGAGGCATTTGGAATATCGACGGACAACATTCTCCTTGTGGACCAAGAGCCAGTTGGAACTTGGCAATGTTGAAAAGAAGAGAAACAAGAGAGAAGAAGGGGAAGACTGATGTCCATGTTGGGGCACATGCTATTATAACAAGTTCCCCATGTTTCGGCGCAAATCGGGATACCAAGCGTTTCAACCCCATCAACACTGCCGACCAGCCGGTGTCATGGTGCTATGCACCATAGTCACAGTACATGCCCGTGGGTACAGTATGTAGCAGATATCTAGCCCATGCAGTGCGTGGGCTAGATCAGCGGGGTGGGGCATCCTGGCCTGCACTTCTGGACCTTGCATGGCCCGCCGTCAACTACCGGCGTCTTCATGTCATCAAGCCTGGCACCGTTTCCTGTCGTGCTTTTCTTGGACCACCCGTCGTCGAGAACTGCCACCAGCTAGTGGTCAATAGGTTCTGGCTAGAATGAACCGGGGATTGGATCACCTTTCTAGGCCTTCGAGCAGCGTGCCTGGCGAGCTTTGCCTTCCTCCCAGCATGCATAGCTGTGCACCCCGGGGGGGGGGGGGGCGGGGACATGACTTCAGGGATGCATTCATCGCGGATACATGCCTGGATACCAGACACTGCTACCCAAGCCTGCCCACTCATGGCATTGCTCAGGAACTTCCCTCCCGCACTGTTGTCGATTCAAGAGCTGTCCAGGTGAATCCATGTTATCCTGCAGCTCTGTGCATATTTTTTCGAGTACGTGCTTTTGAAAATCGTAAGACATGCCTGTTGCTTCCTGCCCACGATGACCTCATGAAGAAAATACAGTTTCGTCAGACAAAAAAGAGGAGGAACTGCTTTTATACTAACTTGACCATCTTCCCTCCATTTCTGGGCCTCGTAGTAAATCATGGTGATGAGTTGTGAAACCAGCTACCTAAGGATCGGAGTCATCCTTAGAGAACCCATCATGAGTGACAATGATTGAACCCGGATCGTAGTACCAGACCCTCAATTAAGAGGTGACAAACTTCAGTCCCAGTTGCCGCGATGTCTGCGTACTACTGGTCGTCAGGATGCTCCAGGCTGACCAGCAAAACCTCGTCGGTTGTCCGGAACATCTCTCAATACGGTACTCGTCTTCAAAAAGGGTTCATTGAATTTGTTCGCAGAGGCACAGCGCAATGTTTGTAGAGGTTTCTCGACCCAGTTTTGCCTTAGAATTTATATGTGATGATTATTCGAGTAGTAAAGACAAATAGTCCAAGACAGGGAAAAAGGCCTGGGCAATAAAAAGTTTGCTGAACTTAGGAGATTGTGTGATATGATGGCCACTACCACATACAGGCAGAGGCGGGACAAAGTTCAAATTGCTTCTCACTGCACTCCCCGTACGCTGCAGTATCGAAACCAGGACCCAAAGCTGCGTGCCCAGTCGTGCTGACTTGTTGCCAGCCATCTTGGCCAGGAAAAGCACCGCGCCACATCCTCTCCCCGAGACGCACCCGTCCAAGCATATTACAGTTTCGCATCGACTTTGTCACCTCCCTGGGACTGAGAGGACTCGGCCTCTTTAGTAGCAGCATCACCACTCGCCGCTGCCCCCTCCCCCGGCCCATCGTCACACCTCGCAAGAATCCACCTCTCCACATCCTTGTAGAACTCCTCCCGGTCAGTATCAGCATGCAGCTGATGGAACGCGCCCGCATACGTCTTAAACTCCCGATCAGGGATCTGCGCCTGCCGGTCGAACCACGCCTTTGACGAATCGAAGCACGTCGCCTTGTCCATGTCCCCATGCCCAAGCCACAGGCTCTGCACCCGCGGGCTAAGCCGGTACCTGCCCCCCGCCAGCTCGGCGGTGCGGTCCAGCAGGCCCGCGAGGCCCTCGAGGGTGCCCGTGTCGTGGCACAGCGCGTCGTCGCGCAGGCTCTGGACCACGGCCGGGTCGCGCGTCAGGTCCTCGGGCGGGATGGGGTTGGCGAGCTTCATGCGCGGGAGGACGCGCCCGGCCAGGCGGCCCGCCATGACCTTGAAGGCGCCCGGGCGCGCCGCGGCCGGGAAGTCGATGAAGGGCGCCTCGAGCACCCACCCGCGCACGCGCGCCACCACGCTCTCCTCGTAGGCGGCAGTGCTCGCCAGCGCCAGCACCTCGCCGCCGCCCATCGAGTGGCCCATGACGAAGAGGGGCGCGGCGGCCGGCTCGGCGGGGAGCGCCGCGCCCGTGATGAAGGCCGCCACGTCGGCGAGCACCTGCGCCGTGGGCCCCGTGTGCCCGCGGTCCGCTGGCCGCGACACGCTCTGGCCCCACCCGCGCTGGTCGAAGGCGTACACTGCTATCCCTGCGCCCGCCAGGTGCGGGAAGAAGCCGTAGTACCGGCCCACGTGGTCGCTGAAGCCGTGCACGAAGACGAGCTTGGCCTTGGTGTTTGTCACGGGGCCGTCGGGCTGCGGGTGGGACGGGATGTCAGCATGATGCACTCGGCTGGATGCATGCCGGGGTGTGAGACACGGCAGCGGGTGAGGCGGGACGGCAGGGTGAGAGAGGTCGGGCCTGTGAGATGATGGGTGGACGGGTCGTTGGGTGGAATGTGTTACTCACGAGCCATGTTTTTGTGTAGAGGCTTGTGTCCCCGACCTTGAACTGCCCTTCTATCTCTTTAACCATGTTGGATTTTGATCTTTTCTGTGTATATAATATTAAATAAAAGTTATAATGTTAACAGCCTAGATCGTCGGCAGATCCCAATTGATAGAAGCGATGTAGATGTATAAACGGCAAAGCAATGAGAAATGAAGGGTTAGTGACGGAATCCCGGCGGACAGTTTGACTCGGGCAGACGCTTGACCCGCCGTTGTGCTTGCAAGATGCGGGCTTGTGATCGTCGGAAAGCCTGCCTGTTCCTGGGGCACGACCTGAGACACTCTTATTAACAACCTTAACCTCGCGTGCGGCAGGGGAATTCGTGGTAAATGTCGAGCACCAGACTAGCAGGTGTTACGGGGACCTCGACGGATGATAACCGCCGGTCGCCTTTGTCACCAGGCAGAAAAAGACCGCACTGGACCCTGGGTGGCTGGAATGGGGACGTGAAGATCAGAATCGATCCGCCTAACCCCCGCCATCGTGACCTGGCTTGGCGCCGGCCCGTCATGGTTCTAAGAGACGGGCGGGCTTATTAATGAAAGGCCGACCCCAGTTTCACATGCTTGCGGGCCATGTTGCCGACGTTACTAACCTCTGAATTCCATCTGGCTAGTATGCCCGGAATGAAAACCGAATTCAGTGATTGATAGGCTGTTTGTTTTGCTTTTCATCATACGCAGGATATCTGATGACTTGAACTCAAGCAGTGAATCGCAATGCCTTCGTGCCAGACTTCAGGCTGTCCACAAGTCTTGAATGAGATTGCTTAACTCATCAGAGAGCACACATGTTCAAGTGCAGACTATGTGAACCATTTGAAGGATAGCATCAAGGGCAAGCAATCCTTCTCTACATGTGGGGACAATGCGCGATGCGATTGATTCATTTCGGGGAGTGTCAACGTCGGCCAACGGCCCAATACATTTACTCGAGTGAAAGCACTATTAACTTTACCGCGCTCGCCACGCTTGCCACAAAGCAATTGCACGTCCCGTACCATAGATGTCCAAATATGGGGTGATCCGAAAGCCCATTTTTCCAGAGACCGATATGCCAAACTCATACACGGGCTTGCAACCCGCTGACCAGCCGACCCACCCAACCTTGAGAAGCCGCCCCCTCCCACCCCTCCTGTTGTGATATATCATCGTGTAGTCGTACACGTCGTCAAGCATGAGAAAGTTTCCGGTTCCTGAAACGCCTGAAAGGACCATATATGGCTCTCCGCCTTTCGCAAGAAGCCAAGCCCCGCCACAAAAAGCTCTCGATGTGAGAGGTTGAAGAAAAGGGAAGAGAAAAACCTATACGCAAAATAGCACACTATCCACCCTTTACATTACTCGCATCAGCTCAAGCCGTTCGTGGTGTTTTGGCTCCCGTCGTGTACCCTCTGGCTATCCATATGAGACGTGAACTTGCTCATTGGTGAGTCCTCGCCGGACATCCGTAGTGAAATGCCGCTATCATCGTAGTTGGCCGTATTCATGTCAAGCACCACGTGCTGGTCGCCATTCTGGGCTCCGCCGAGGACTGGCTGCGCGCTCTCCATTAGCGCCAGGATCGGGTCATCGCTGGCGCTGCCGGTGCTGTATCGCATGCTCTTTCGTTTCTCATCTCCTGTGGGATCTTGAGCCTGTTTCCTCTTCGATGGTCCGACGGGCCTGGTGCTGTTCTGCTTCATGAACCCGCCCTTTTCGGCCAAGAACCAGACCATCTCGTCCAGAAAGCACTTCAGGCACCACCACGCTCCAAAGCTGTCGGCGCTGCTGATTGTCAGATCGCGCACCATTGTCGTGCCAATTGTCTGGACAAATAGTACGATATCTGCAGCTGAAGCGTATGGAAATCGACCTGGGAGGTTTCTGAGGAAGTCCACCCAACGATCCAGGATGTTCGCGGAGCTTGTCCAGTCCTGGCTCTCGGGCTCCTCGTGATTCGGGTTCTGGAGATGATAGTCTCCTTGCACCGTGCAGCGCTCGATTTCCCACGGGACATCCCTAGGATCGAGCAGCTGCCTGATGTCTGAGACGAGCAGCTGTACGACATCTTCCATGCCTTCCACAGGCACGCATTGTGCGATCTTCCTAGGTCGGACATACGTAACAAAGTCGAGATACATCTGAGTGCGGTTCGCGTGATTGTGCAGGAAGTTGGCCGTGGCATGGGCCGTCGTGTTGACCCTCAGCGCTCGGTCCAGCAGGTCAGCAAAAAGAGCGGCAGGCGCCTCTTTGGCCCTGAAAATGTGGTAAGGCTGGCCCTCAAACGACCGACGAATGTGAGACACCAGCTTCTCTGAAATGTTGCGCAGGCTCTGCAGGCCGTACGGGGGAATGACCTGTAAAGCCACGACGGAAACAATCTGCATCATATTCTGGTACATTCTAAGGTCGCACTGTTCAATCCATGACTCCAGGGCGGGATTGGCCAGCAGCTTTTGCACCGGCACCGTCAACGTGCCATGGAAGGCAGTAAAGAGATGGAAGAAATTCTTCTCCTTGCAAAATCGTATGCACTCAATCAGCGAGGTGCAATGTGACAAATAGAGCGCTTCGAGAGATTTTGCAGCGTCGATATCGGTGCCTTGAGGAAGGTATGGTTCGATGGCAGGCAGGGTGAGACGCGTCGGTGTTTGAGACGTGTCTTCAAGCCTTAGCGAGAGTATCTTGGAGGTTCTGCTTCCGGTCATGGCCAGCTCTGCTGTCGTCTGTACCTGTGGGTTGTTATATATAGCATGGTTATGCTCATGGGAACCGCTGCCTCTCAGGGCTTCGATCTTAGCACCCTCAACAGGGCCGTCTTGAACAGGAGAGAGTGAGGGCTTCTCGACTTCTGCAGCGGTTGATGGTCGCGTCGTGTTGCTAAGACCAAATTAGATGGAACACCCGCAGAAAGGTGGACGTAGGAACTTACTTCATCCTCATGCTCTCAGCAAAACTTGGGCCTGACGTGACCGAAGCGGGTTGCTGGCTCGGCATCTCGTCAAGATCGATGTCTTCATCGATCAACTCGAAGTCAACATAATGGTACTTGGACTCTCCGCGCACCCCAAGACGACGTGTCCTGAGCCCTGGATACAATACTCTGACGAGTTTCCCGAAGCTGGCGGGGTTCAGGACAGCAATCTTCTCATGCGCGCATCGCTTGACATAACTAGCGTACACGCGACTGCGCGGCACTGAGGTCTTGCCTTTTCGACAAGACGATTTGATCCTGATCATGTCTTGTCAGCCTGAGGCTCCCAACGAAGGCGTCCGTCAAACTTACCAGAGCATGGCGAACAACTGCCGGCTTCGCTCACTGCTCGGGCCGCGCTCATTGCCATGCAGTTCCGTGGCCACGTCCTGCAATGACCGGTGGCTATTTCTTGTGAAGAGCTCGCGCATCTCCTGGTCGTTGTTCGTATTTGACCTCGACCTGTTCGGGGCGGTGCCCATCTCGAGTCCCGAGTCTGGAGCTGGGCTGTCATTGCGATCCATCATCTGGTTCGCGAGGCCGGGGTGGCCGGGGTGACCGTTGGCGGACATGAAGGTGTCGACGGGAAGGGACTGTCGGACCATCTGAGGCTGCGGCTGGAAGCGAAACTGCGAGCCCATGCCATTGTGCATCGCAGGCTCTACCGAGTAGTCACGAGCGGGCTGGACCGGAAGAGCGCTGGCGGCGAGAACATATTCGGGAGACGCTGGCCGTGGTGCAGGGGCGATCTGCCTAAGCTGGCTGTTTTGTTGTTGTTGTTGCTGCTGCTGCTGCTGTTGCGCGAGCCACTGGGCGGCGAATTGGATATCGTCTGGGTCTGGGCGGCCTTGGTCGACATTGTTTGGCTGAGTAGTGACGCTGCGCGCTGATGTTGTTGATCCTTCACTCGGACGCCTCGAGGCTGAGAAGCGCGAAAACGCCTCTGCGAGTCAACGCAGTCAGCATCAGGCACAACAAAGGGAAGACGGGGACAGAGCAAGGGCCGACTCGCAACAGTGCGGCCAGTATAAATGGAAACGGGGATACAGATTGTGGAGGAGAAGGAGGGGCGCAATGTTACCTGCTGTTGAGGCCATGGAACCTGTGGGTTAGTATGTGTTGTTGAATGTGTTTGTATCTGGATGGCGAGTCGCTCTCTGGATGTCTGGATCTCGGAGGGACTGGATGGATCTCTTGGGAGCCTATGAGCAAACAAAACAGACAGAGCAGGGGAGATAGAGATGATGAATGAGTGGAGACAAGGTGAGCTGTATATGCAGAGTGAATGACTGGCAGACACGGTGATACAAGGCGAGCAGATGGGGGTTTTCTTGTTGCTGCTGCTCTGGTCTGGAAGTGGGAATTGTTATTTTGGGGGTTGTTGGCTGGGAGACCTTGATGAACCAGAGTCGGATCTGCAGGTGGCTGGGCACGCTGGGGCCACCGGGGTATGGCTTGATAACAAAGGCCAGCACCAGCGAATGAAAGAGGAAAGGTCGGTTTCACTGCGGGGCCTCGGGGCATGTTTGTGCCTGAGGCCACCCTTCCCAAGTCTTCCTTGGCTGGGGCAGCTGGGCAAAGCCGGGGCCAGCCTGTGACGGCAGCAGCACCTAAGCGAACCCCTGCCATTACCACCCTCTGTCCAGTGCTCACACATGTCAGCAAAGTGTCGTCAGAGGCTAGTCGTCATCGAGGCCACTAAAAACAAGCTCCCTCCAGGGCTGCTGGACGGGAAGAGGTGAGAGGTAGAGAGGCGAGAGAGGGGACCACCTGCACCACCAACATCTTGCATTCCTGCCCTGCCGTAAAGGTGAAGCTCCCTCTCTTGGACACCTAGGCTCTTCCTTCACCTTCTCATAGTTCCATCATCACCATCCAGATTCAGCCACAGCAAATTGCTACTCCTGGCTCAAATTCAATCTGCATCACCTTGACCAAGTCAGTCAGAACCCGTTCCCCCCAGCTGCAAACAGCAGCGATCCTCTGCAGGGCCGATTTCTCCGGGGTTCCGAAGCTTGTGCCCCTTGGCCCTGCCCCTTGGCCCCGCAATCAGCTTCCTCTTTGTCGCCTCCAACTTGCCAGCGCAACATTCTGACCAGCTATACTCTCTCTGCACAGATTTCCACTCCCGAGACACTCCAGACACCGACAATAACCTCATTTTGCTCCTCGAAAGAGTCAATCACCACCAGAAACAATGGCTTCTTCCCAAGACAAGGTCCAGCACTATCTTGGCCAGCTCGACAAGGAGGTATGTCACTATCAATTAATGATCACGAGGGCCGCTCGCCCATCTAATCCGAGCTGCATCTGGCCTCTCGTATAGTATATTCGCGCCAGCTAACCGGCCACATCGCAGCTGTCCAAGTACCCTGCCCTGCAGAACCTCGAGAAGCAGGCTGGCGTCCCCAAGACATACGCTGTCATCGGCGCCATCACGCTGTACTTCTTCTTCATCGTCTTCAACCTCGGCGGTCAGCTCCTGACCAACCTGGCTGGCTTTGCCATCCCCGGATACTACTCGCTCAACGCGCTCTTCACTTCTAGCCAGGCTGACGATACCCAGTGGTTGACCGTAAGTTGGACACCGAAAGGCCGCCCGTCTGGACTGCTCCATGTGCTAACCACAGCCTTATCTACCACAGTACTGGGTTGTCTTCTCATTCTTCACGTAAGTGTTTATGCCTCTGGCCCTCTAGCAGAACCGCCATTCTAACCATTTTGTGCAGTGTTCTCGAGAGCCTGCTCAGCGTCGTCTACTGGTTCCCCTTCTACTACACCTTCAAGTTTGTCTTCCTGCTGTGGCTCGCTCTGCCCACCTTCAGGTATGTCCAGTGCTCCCCATCTGTAGTCAGCGTCCTGGGATCTCCATCTGACAGCGGTGTAGGGGTGCCGAAATCATCTTCCGCTCCTTCTTGGCTCCCACGCTCGGTCGTTACTTCGGCGGCTCTACCGCCCCTGGCCTGCGTGCTCAGGCCGACAAGACCGAGTAAGCGACACGCACCGCAGAAACTGTCGACCAATCGAGGGCGCGCGTGGCCCTTGAAGTCGCAAATGAACTCTTGCTCGACAGTGACAGTGTGAGGATGAAACCCTTGCGCCCATCAATATCGCCGGCCGAGCCGGGGCAGGCGATTAGCGCATCGGGACATGAATAGATGGGACGGCGGCATTGTACTGTAGCTGGTGGAATGTGGAGGTCAATGGGGGACATCGTCTCTCGTGCGAACGAGGCGTTTAGAAGAAACAATGGTTCTGTTTTGATTCCTTTATCGTGTACTGGGATAGGCAGTATACAGATCATGATATGCGGTCAATTGTGTTCACACAAGTTGTCACATCGTCTGCCTCTATGGCTAAGCGTTGCTGCAGGTAGCCAGCCGAGGACGCCACAAAGTGACATATTAGAAAGCAGACCCACCGTCCGTGACTAAATTGGGACTCCGTCAACTTCGAGGTGGTGTCAAGTAATTGTATGCAGTAACGGTGTCTCCCAAGATTGGGATCCAAGGTAGCTCTGTGTTGTAGATCCTGAGCGGGAAGATCCACCTTGTGGGCGTGCAGTGGATGAAGTAATCGGTACTTGGAGAATGGGCCAAAAGAATTGGCGTGGGTCGGTACTGGAAACCTGCCAGGGTTGCGGTCCGATCCAGCGGCTCAGCTCGTCTCTTCGGTGTCGGAGATCCCAAGCAGTGAAACCTGACAACCACGAAACCAATGCCTTCGGCCCCTGTTTTACGGCACCCAGCCCAGCGTCTTTGCCTGCTTTCTTCGTTAATTCAGAAGTCGAGATATCTGAATTCCGAGTATTCCTTCGAGGGCAGCAGGAATTGAGGCGACCTATACCGCAGCAAAACCAATCGATCTCAATCGTCGACGGCCGAGACGACCCGTCACATGCAAATAGCGTCCTCCCCCCTACGACGAAGCCGCTGCTCGGATACTGGCATCTGCGGGACGGACGCATACGATCCAAGGAATTGACAGCCCGTGAGGGCATGTCCTCGCCATGCAGCTCTCTCCGCTGCAGTCGCGATTTGCAGCATCGGCCATCGCCACCGTTGTCCTGATCATCATATACTTCACCCTTTTCCCACCACAATTCGCCTTCGCCGAAGAAATCAGCCATGGCTCACCGATAATAATGGACGCATCTGCTGGGCTGGACGGAGCTGATGTGGAATTGGAGACGAGGGATCTCTGGTACGAGCCAGAGTTTAGCGCCTTCGACCGGAGTATACTCGGGGAGGTGACGAAGAGGGATACGCTGTCACTATCGAACAACGTCCCCAACCAGATGAACCTCGCAGCTGGCGACACGCTGGTCTATCTGTTTCCCAGCTCAGAGCTGTCGAGCACACAGGATACCTCGTCATTGGAGCTGCGGGGTGAATCCGGAACGTCCGAAGAGGAGGAAGGGGATGTCTTCGCAGGCTTGGACGAACAAGGCCAGCTCTCCAAGAGAGCTACGGCTACGACGGTGTATATCTCGGCGAACACATGCCTCCAGCCCCAAGGCAATTCGACGACAAGTTCCGAGCCCCCACAGTTGACGCTTTACGTGTCCAACTCAACGGACAACACCTCGCCGGGTCCTTCGGCTGATGCGAGCAAACAGCAGGCCATAACCTTTAAGGAGGGTGCGGTCATGTTTAACATGACCGCGTCGGATGATCTATACATGGGTGTCTCTGCGAGCAATGTGTCGGCTGACTACTCGGGGATATATAACTTTCAAATCGCTGCGTCGGTCGATATGTGGTACCACAGCTACAACGAGTCCGATGATGACGAGCTCTTTTGGGTGGACAGCGATACCACGTCAGTCCTTCTGATGACACAAAACTTGACCACGGCCCGGAACAGGGACCAAGAGGACCAAATCATGAACTCGAGACCCTATGTCATGTTCGCACAGAATGATGCCGTGCCATCCATCAACGGCATGAGGTACTCGTATTGTGGCTTGGACAATTACGCACAGATTGCGGCTGTTAGAAACGGCCAGGATACAACCCAGGTGACCACTGGCATCACCAGGCGGGGTGCTGGCGGGCATCCCAAGCAGCAATTCTACTTCAGCGGCCTCAATGCCAGCTCGAGGTATCAAGGCATTCTGGCGAGGAACGCAAACGCCACGACAGATGTCAACGTTCCAGGAGGTGGTGGACATGTCTTGCGAGCCACCACCTTCGAAACGAAGTCGAGTAAGTTGATCTACAAGACTCAGTCATATTTCTAGAGGCCACACGATGCTAACGACTCCCTCAGCCGGCGGTAACTGCGCCCTCGTCTTCAATCTCACCTTCTGCGACCAGGTCGCCTACGCCGTACCCAGCAACAATGTCACCTTCCCCAACACCACGGTGCTGGGCGAGTTCTACGACAAGTCCGCTCAGGGGTTCTGGGACGGCTTCAACAAGTCGCTACAGCAGATACCGTGCGAGGCACCTGACGCGCAGCAGTACTCGCTAGTGCGCAACTGCTCGACGTGCGCGACGGCGTACAAGAACTGGCTGTGCTCGGTGACGATCCCGCGGTGCGAGGACTTCTCCGCGACGGACGCTTGGCTGCAGCCGCGGGCGATCAACGAAACGTTCCCCGACGGCACGCGGCCGGCGCCGGACCTCCTGGCGCCCTACGCCGGGTCGCAGGAGAGTCAGCTCAGCTTCCAGCGCAGCCGCAACCCCATCATCGACGAGACCATCAAGCCGGGCCCGTACAAGGAGGTGCTGCCCTGCGAGGAGTTGTGCTACGAGCTGGTGCAGAGCTGCCCGGCCAAGCTCGGCTTCGCGTGCCCCCGCCCGTGGATGACCGGCTTCAACACCAGCTACGGCGTTAGGAGCGCCATCAACGAGCAGGGCAACATCACCTGCAACTATCCAGGGTCGTTCCACTTCTACGATGCGGCGCCGGGCCTGGCTGTGCCGTGGCTTTTGGCGTCTGCGCTCTTCCTGTCTGCTACGGCGGCGGTCTGGTAGAGAGGAAGTGAAGTGAGAGTTGGAGGTGGGACCATCTCGTGCGTAGCATAGCTTTGGTTAGTGATAACGGGATCACTCTTTGAATCATACTGGCGCCCTTTTGTTCTGGAGACAGATTTGTGCAGGACAATTGTATACTACCAGAAAATTCAACACAGACAGGGTGGCAGCATCTAACAGACTTGCGGGAAGCAAATGGCGTTTGAGGACTTTGGTTTTTTTTGCGCGCTTGGTTGATAAACATTGGGGTATCTAGTAATGGACCAGCGGGCCTTCTGTCAAGCCATGGTACGGTATCGAAAGAATTAAGAGAAAGAAGATCGCTATCAACCATGCGCATACACACACGTGTCTAATGGTACGCGTAACACAAAAGGCTACTCTCGGTTGTCATGACATCCTTGACAGTCACGTCGGCCCCCAGGCCAAGGAACGCCAGCTCATCGCCCAGTGTAGCCTGTTCCGCGGCCGCCGCCGCCGAGGGGTCGTCCACCTGGTCTCTGTTACCCCCAAAGTCCACTGCGCGCGCCGCCCAGTCCTCCGCCTGCCACAGCCACCACAGCCGGTCGACCTGTGCGTGGTGCATCATGAACAGCGGGTCGTTGGGCGACGTCCCCGGGACCATATCACCACCGATGACGTTGTGGATCGCGCCGTGGGGCCCGTCCTCGAGCGCGCGCCAGAACGGCACGAACTCGTCGTTGGATTCCGTCATGTTGGCCAGGAACGCCGGCGTGTAGTAGTACGCCGACATGTTGGCGGCGCGCTCCGGGTGCTCGGTTTCGACGACGCCGTCCGCGAAGCCGCGGTTCAGGCAGTGCGGCCGCGAGGCCCCCGCGTAGTACGCCACGGTCAGGTTGGCGAAGGCGCCGTCGGGCACGCACGACGTCAGCGGGTTGGGGCGCGAGGGGGAGACGAAGCCGCCTGGCCCTGTGCCGCCGAAGCCTGTGGTCGGGGAGCCCGAGAGGATGGGTGAGTCCTGCAGGTGGCCGGCGTCGAGGCTCCAGTCCCAGTATGGCATGGCGAAGGTCAGGCCGCAGTCGTCCTGGGGGGCTTGCTCGTAGATGTGGACGAACCATCTGTGCCAAGGGAGGAAGGAGGCTACGAAGTGGACTGCGAATTTGGATGTTAGATGGTGTGCTTGAGGTTTGTGTGAAATATGGAAAGGAGATTTCACTGACTTTTGTTGTTCAACTCGTTGTGTATGTATGGGAAGTCATCGTAGAGTGTTGTTGTCAGGCTCAGCCTTGACGGCTTCGTGGCTAGACATTGTACGGCCGAGATGTAGTCTTCTTGTTCCGTTGTACTTAACGAGCGCCATTCTCGTCGTGAGTCAGGGTTGGAACAGTTCGCGGCGACTATCTCGTCTCGATTGTGTAAGTCCCGAGTATGTAGTTCTCGAGGATGTCTGTGCCGGGGATGTGTTCTTTGATGGTGAAAGTCGTTGAATGGAATTGCCCGGCTTGTCTCCATAAGAGATGTCAAAGCCTGTGCCACGATGGACTTCGACAGCCAATTGATGAGCAACATGGTGAACGAGTGTTTACAAGGGGGTATAACGAGTGACGAGAAAACGAAGGACGTGCAGAGAACTTTCTCCACAAGGCGAGGGCATCACAGTCTAGTATACTATATATCCTCCCGTGTCAAAATCTGCCAGCCTTATGCCAAAGGGTCTGGCCGAAATTGCCGAGTCCCCAAGGGGCAACCGTCCATCACCACGGGACCAGCTGGGATTGTTGTTTCTTGACTCGCAAACCGTTGAGTGCGGAAATAGAAACGCCAAGGATCTAGAACGGGTTCCCCACAATATACGAGGTTCCTGACAAACTGGGCCTAAAAAGCTTAGCATCAACCTAATAGCCCCTTTGAGTGTGAAAAGAGAAGAAAAAAGACCAGTCTTCATCCTCCTGATGCTCCCCCTGCCCGCACATCCGCCCACTTGGTTGGTTGACGACATTCTGCTTCGTGACATCAAACACCCGTGCACTCCATGTTCTGCCGCGGAAATAAGTAAATCATTTCTTTAAGCTATGACCAGTGAGGTCGGGTCCTGGACGCCCCATCCCCCTTCGACTGCCACGACAGAGATCGCTGCCGGGAGCCAGGGCCGAAAGCACTCCTGGCATAGCTTGTTGTGGCCGAGGGCTGTGACTGCGCACAAGTGCACGACACAGCTCCCCAGCGGGTCGGGTCAGATGGTCCGCCCACATCGGATGTCTCCTTTTCCATTCGATTTAGGGAATTTATACCGATGCTTCTGATGAACCTCATCCTCACGCGCTCTGCCTGTCTTCGGGCACCTTCCGTCAAGTTTCTCGCAAATGCTCCGAGATCAGTAGTCCTGTTTACTATGAGCAATTGAAGGATTCTGCCGTCGATCCTTCATAGTGGTAAAGCTGGGTCAAGCTTAATATTATGCACCTTGCTCCTGCATCCGCCGTTGTATGGCGAACTAGCTCGTTGCATTAGGTATCCAGTATCCATTCTTTGCTTCAACGAGACTCCACTGATTTTCTCTCTGCAACTCTTGGCGTGGCCCCATCGGACTCCTGATTACGCACCACGGCCAGGACAGCCTCGGCTTGAGAACATCCAGGTGGAAGAGAGTAGATGCAGGAGTAAGCCTTCAAAGACGTTGACTTGTTCAATCTTCCGGCAAGCACCCGAACGCGAGCGCGAAGTCCCACAGACCATTCGCTCGGTACGACCACGGCTGGCACCGAAACTCTGCCTATAATACATCCCGGCCGAGTCAGCAGCACGTGGGTGAGCAGCGACCCCTTTTGGAAAATTTCACGGGCCTCTTTCTAATTAGCTTTGTGGTGATTCGCTACATGGGTCAACAAATGGGGCAAGTCATGCAAGGCAGAACGACAAATCGAGAAGACAAAGACCCGTCGCATTTGACTTAATCCGGCGGGATCCGCGGGCTGCGGTCGTGAAGTTCCAATAATGCTGCACCTGTTTAAAACGCATGGAAATGGCCGAATTGAAAGGTGTTCTCGCCAATGGGTGCCATTGGACTCCCCAAGCTCAACCTCCAAGTCCCCAACGTTAGAGAGACATATATCACACCTGGAGGGCCCCCTTCCTTCGCCACCCACAATCATGATAAGCCATGACGGGCTAGTGCCATCATGAAAACATATCCGACTCCGCCAGGCTCTTATGTTTCCTGAAGAGCAGTCCTGGTAGATCATCTCATCCAAATTTCTCTATAGCGAATAGAATACTACAGGAACTCCTGTAAGCAATGAACCTATATTTTATAAATATCCACTCGTATCATATAAAATATGTCTAATATTATATCGATGAACCATACATTCAGTGCCTCTATTCTTCTAATATCTTAAATAAAAGAGGCAGTGGATGATTGGTCCCAATGCCCTGACGCTCCAAGTTTCCAGCAGGTGTTACCTTTTAAGATCCAGATTCAATATGAATTTGATTTCTGTTATCTAAGGATTAGCTTGGTCAACTATAGTCAAAGCACATTTATTAATTGATACAACGCTTTATATGTAACCTCAAGTACGAGGAACAGGCGAGACTTTATCACCATTCTGTCAGGAACGAGGTATTCTAAATATCCTATAATATCACGGTGGGAGAAAGACGATTTCTAACATCAGAGTGTGGATTGCCATGGCCACCGCTGTAAATAAGTGCTATTGATGCCTTTTTCACAGGCACGAATTCCATTCTGAAATGTTCACCTGGTATATGTTTCAATCGCTTAGTAATGGAAGGGACTCCATTGCGATGCGGCAGACGTGGGACAGAAGGAAACGTTTTCAACAGACGCAAGCTAGAATTCACTGTTGCGCATCTAAGTTGCCAGCAATACAGGCTTGGTGCGCGATATTGTGTGCGGCATGTGCCATTTTGTCCTGGGACCTGAAGGGGCAAGCCCTGCAGCTTTCAATAGCGATGTTCCTCCTGCTTGACAATCCCCTGTTGTCTTGTTCTCCGTTTGTTCCATCTCAATATCTCTGATTCGAGTTCGGCCCCGTCGGAGCCGAGGCACTTCACCCGCTGGACAGGGTCATTTGCGAGGGTTTTTAGAGGGCGCTTACGCCATCTAGTCTATCTAGTTTAATAGCACGCATCAATTCAGTTTCAATTATAGTTCTACCCTTCGCTCTGTAGGATAATTTACTGAGAGCATGAATAGGGGGAATACTCGTATTTCCGATACCTCCGTAATAAACGTTGATCGACATACGCGTAGTACAATACGTTAGGTTGCATCGGACGGCTAACACCGACGCTCGGGATAAAACTGGTCTATCACTACCTCCTCGTTCAAGTTATACCCCAGGCCCAAAGAACAGCATTAGTCGCATACATGTACAATGGTGGAGTCTCGAAATTTCAGTATCTATCTGCGCCCACTGTGGTTACGCGGCTGTCCGTGCTGCCTTCCTCATCTATAGATAAATGTCTACTCCTCAGCCGGCCACATACAGCTTTGGTACTGGCCGGTCTCGATATTATTCCACAGTCGTTCTCATTCTTTCATTATCTCATTCACATACCAAAATGAAGTCATTCGCTAAAATTTCTTACCTTGCCAATTTCCTTGGCGCTTTCGCATTCGTAGTGAAAGCAGACACATGCGACACCGGCGCCCTCAACACCACCGTTGGAACATACTACATCTCTCAGGCCAACACGACTATCTTCGATGTCGCCGCTGCAACTAATCGTGGCGTCTGCGATATTGGACGTGTCAACTGCATGGCTGACGTCACTATTGTGCCCAACGTCGGACAAAGCATCGTGATTCCTGCGGAGGTCTGTGAGCCTGACAACTCTACTTGTCTCCTGCCCACCACGCCGGGAACGAACACATGCATCAATGGCGGCCCACGTCTATATTATACCGTCAATGGGGACACATACTCGCGCATCGCCCAACGACTGAACCTCACTGTTGACTCGCTTCTGTCGGGAGATGCTTCCGCTACCGATGCTTTACCTGTTGGTCAATTTGTCAAGATCCCGCTCTGCGAGCCCAGTCAATGCATCATACAGCCTTACACATTCACCTACGGCGTGTACAAAGACCTTGCAGAGGAATACGGTAGCACGGTTGGACAAATCATGATGTTGAGTCCTACCTACAACTATAGCGAGTACACCCTGAATGGCAACAACGCTCCGACTATAAACTTGCCGATCAACTGCACAGCCCTCTCGTCAAACGTGACTGTCATTTCATGATTGGGCACGACACGATTCAGTCACAGACACGCGGCCGTCAGAGGATATCTCAGAAGTACTCTGCACCTGAGATCACCCAACCTACAAGGCAAGCGGGTCGAGATGCCCGCCCATTGCCACAGTCAGTCTAAGTGCAGTCAGATGCGTGATATCGGATAATGGGACTAGCGAATGGATCGGCTGCTTAATTGGGCAGCCGTAACACGGGAGATGATCAACGGCGACTTGATCAGTGTTGATTGGATTTTGGCATACTTGGGGTTCTGAGTCGAGAATAAGTATACATGGTGATAGTTGTTGACTCAGCGACTTGATTTCTTTTCCCGTGGTTCAGCAAACGAAATGCTCCGCGTCAGGGTACTTTGTAGTCAAATTTCATCAATACGCAGACCATTGCCGCCTTAATTTGACCCCAGAGAGATCTATTTCATCTCCAGGCCCATCATGCATGAATGAAGTTCATAAAGTAGATTCATGTTACTAATTTTCTAATCCAACAATTATGATCCGAAATAAATCATACAAAATTTGATCATTCTTCATCAATACCCACGAATTGATTAGACTTTATCCAGAGCTCTTTGGCTGCGTCTTCATCGTAAGCCCACGGCGCGTACCCAATGTCGCCTTGTGTAACCTTCGCCATGTCCGCAGGACCTTGCTCGACAAGATTGCTGAGATACTTGCCCCCTCGTCCCTCCCATTCCTTGCTCAAAGCAGCGTAAACAGTTGTAGCGGCTCCTTGGGGAATGCTTTTCCTGCGATTTTGAGTCGATTTCATCATGGTCGCGGATCGTTCTTTAGGGAGGAATTGGAAGAGGTTGGTTTCAATGACACCTGGATGTAGAGAAAGCGCATGCACCCCATTCGGCCCGTACCGTCTCTCGATCTCATTTGCCAAGTAGATATTCGCCGTCTTGGACTGGCCGTACGCAGTCCAGGGGTCATAGGGTCCTTTTTCGAAATTCAAGTCATCGAGACGGACTTTGCTGTTACGGTGGAGCGCAGATGACACAGCAACGACCCGGGATTGGAACTCAGGTGTAGAGGCTGCGTGAAGCGCAGGCTTTAGCAGCTGAAACAGGAGGAAATGACCCAAGTGATTGGTCCCAAATTGACTCTCGTAACCGTCTTCTGTCTTGCCCTCCGGAGTGGCCATGACGCCGGCGTTAAGAATGAGGATGTTCAGCTTGTCGCTCAACGAGAGGAAAGTCTTGGCAGCTGCGCGCACAGATGCTAAGGAGTCCAGGCGGAGCTCAATGGCATGAATAGGGCCATCGGACTTGGGGCCAGGTCCGTTCTTGACACTGTCGATGGCCTTTTGTGCCTTAGTTGAGTCTCTAGCCGTGAGAAAGAGGGCGGCACCTGTGGCGTGGATAGCGCGTGCCGTTTCAACACCGAGGCCTGTGTTGGCGCCTGTAATGAGGAACACTTTTCCCGTCAACCTTCCAATGAGGCCTTCATCCTCGACAACTTGAAGGGCCGTGGGCCGCGCATCTCCAGGGCCTTGGGGACTGACGTGGGAAGCGGCGTATCGAGACATTGCGAATCGGAATTGCTGATAATGTCAATTTCGAAATTTTGATTAGCCCGATGAATCTATGTGACTCCAGACAAGAATTGTCTGAGCTTTAAATACTAGAAAGATTGTATCAGGTGGGTGCACATCCAGTTGAATCTGGACTTTTAATATGCCGAATGTCCGTCGGCGTTAAATGTGTTGGACTTCAAACAAGCTTCCAGGGATACCGCAGAGCTGTGCGGAGGCCTTGACATTAAGCTTTCGGACAGGATGGTCGAGACATTCATACTCACACCTAATGCGATTGAAATGCTCGGGCGCTTTAGGCTTCACCCCGGACATTCAAGATCGGGGATACATCGATAAGTTCTAATGAAACAGTTGCATGTATTGAGGGCATACATATAGGGATAACTCACTGCAATTAAAATGAATGTACATGTAATCTAGAATTGTGCAATGTAGTCATACCATGTTGGGGGTGGGCAAAGTGGATGAGATCTTTTCTGAATCTACCAGAACTAGAGCCGAGGGCAATTGTGGGCTGGGCAGTGTTAGGCACCCGCCAGACAGAACGGCTGCCTTCTTTTCCAAGTGCGGTGCTGTTCCTCTCATAAATCCTCTCGTCTGATCCAAGAGTTGTCACGTTGCAAGAACATCTACGCAAAGAGGGGGCAAACGCGTCCTGCTCATGTTTACTTCGTCCGTCACCCGACCTCGTCGAGGAATAGGGAGGACATAACAGCAGCTTGGCTTCCTCGTAAGCCCATCCAGAGATCCATAACGGCTCAAGCCTGCGTCCAGCTTCGCGAAGCGGAAGTTCCACACGAGGACCGCGAGAAAGATCCTCATCTCCATCATCGCTATCTTTCGCCCGAAGCAGCCTCTGAGGCTATCCGAAAAAGGCAGCGAGAATACCGCTTTCGGTTCGAAGCCGCCGTTGGTGTTAAGCCATCGTTCAGGATAGAAGTGGTTCAATGGAGGCCCCGAGTTGCTCCCGTTTTCCGACGTGTTGGTGCTTGCCAGATGGCGCGGCGCTGACTTGGGTTCTTTTTCTAGATACGTCGCTTCTTGATGCGTGACATCCTGCGTCATGAGCACGATGGGCGTCCCGCTCGGGATGAGGTGGCCGAGTACAGTACAGTCTTGTGTCGCTTCGCGGAACGAAATGGGGCCTGTACACGAGTATCGCAATGTCTCTGCAATGAAGGCGTCCAGGTAAGGCAGGTGAGTCGTCATGATCTGCTCACTGGTCGGCGTGATAGCCGACTCCGGCAGGAATTGCAGCAGCTCTTCGTGGAGTCTTTTCTGGACAGTCTGGTCGTCCGCGAGATATTTCAATGCCCATCCGATGGATGATGCCGTCGTTTCGTGACCTGTGATGAGCAGCTCGATCAGCTCGCTTCTAAGCGCCGCGTCCGACACGATCTTTTCTGTTTGGGGTCTCGAGGTAGCTCTCTGAAGGACCAGTTCCAACGCGCTGATTGGATAGGAAGCAGCCTTCTCCTCGCCCCCCAGCTTTTGGCGTACGTCGTTGACGACGCGCTGCAAGGAGGCCTCGACATTCTTCTGTGCCCTTTGGAACGGCCAGAAGAGGTGCCTGAAGACCCATGAATACACCGTTGGCGAAACGCCCTGCGTGACCCAGTCCAAGCACGTGAGAGTCAAGCTGAAGTCTCGGTAGAAGTGTCTTGGTTGAGCTTCTGGTCGACCCCTTCGCCAGTGCCACAGCTTCTCCCCATCCTCCGCGCGTTTGAGATCGGAGATCTCGGTCTCGAGCATACCAAGCTCCCTTCCGAGGAGCAAACCCATCATCGCCTCGAGTGTCGACAGTCTGAGATCCCTGCATGCCTCAAAGGGTGAACACTGCTGCGTGCCACCCTTCAACGACCAGAGCTCGACCAGACTCAACGCTGCGTCCCGTATTCTCGGTCCAGCCACGTTCCCCAGGAACACGGGGCTCAACATTGAGTTCCAAGCCCACCTCAAAGCCCTGAAGCTGCCACCAGATGGCATCCCGATGCTCGCTCCGGGGGCTAAGAGTCCAAACCAAAGGCCCATAAGCCGCGAACGATCGATGCTGCTGAGCTGGCGAGTCACAATGTCTTTGACCTCTGCGGGATCTGTCACTACCAGTACGGGGGATGAGGTGCTGAAGGATGGGATGAACGCTTGGAAGATGTGGCTGCGGTGATGGTGAGACCGGGTGTTGAACCAGCGGAAGACCTCCCCGCGGGAGAAGAAGGATATGCCTAGGCTCAAAAGGTCACCCCATGGCATGAAGTAAGAGAGCCGGTTGTACGGAATCCCGGGGAGAGGCTTAGGAATGTAGATGAGTCTTAGGGCATAGAAGAGGATTATGGCACCAAGCGGCCATAATAAGGGCGTCATGACGAAATTGTGAACTTGACATTGTCGCACAATTCACAAATCGCGTCTCCATGGTAGCGGCTGCTGCACTTTAACTTCGATGGAGACGGATACATCGAAAGCGAGCCAGGGTTTGAGTCGCAGGACCATTCAAGCCACTGATAAACCCTGGCTGAGGTCTTCTCGATTGGGCAAGTCGAAAGCTGAGATTCAAGCTGGCTTCGTCCGGCGTTCTCTTGGCCGGTGCGCTAGGGCCTATCATCTTCTCGTCCCCTTCAATAGTCGACGGATTCTCAGATCGTCGCTGCAGGACGGGAGTACTCTCGCCAAGCCAACGCGGTTGTGTTCAGAGCTATACGCCGGGCCGGAGTCTAGCGCTTATAACCGCCGTGACTATGGTTGTGCACTTGGATTAGCTTCAGCGTGACACCCTGTAATGTGGCGTTCTCTGCAGTCAAGAACCAGAACGCCAACAGCTTGGATAGGTGGAGAAAGAAAGTGGAGTAGTATGATCATAAAGGTATCGATTTGAGAGGTCAAAGAATAACACAAATATTTGTAGTAAATGTTTTCTACCACGGTCTGGCAGCTTAAAATGTCAAGTTGTGGTGAACATACACTGATGATCTTGTCGATGTGTGGGGGGCACGTCCCCCACATCCATCTTCGAGGTCTTCAGCTAGCATCGCCAGGTGCGAGTCGTTCTGCTCATCCCATTCGCGCAGGTCTGTCTCCCGCATCGTCTCGTGATCGCACGGCGTATTAGAGCCTGCGGGCCGTGTGGAAAGTGCCGTGTGTGGCCTTCAAGCCAAGGATCGGACACCATAACGCGAAAGACGTAACGACCCCGCTTTTTAATCATCTTGCTTGACCTCTGACGAAAAAAAAACCCTTTGCTGAAGGATCGTGGAGCAGAGGAAATGACCCCAAGTTGTCTCAGACGTCTATCGACCCGGGATGCGGTTCGCACAACGTCCGCCGTCATGTCGGACAGACACTCCGAGAGGTCAGCGCCATCTCGAGTCCTTGATCGGCGAGCATCACAAAGAAGGTCTACAAGGTCAAGCCATTCAGCTCCTATCAGAGAATCAGGCGGGCGGAACCTTGTGCTCCTCCTGTGGCGTAGCCGTGGGCATGGTCGACTCATGCCGGTGCCATCAAGACGGCGGCTCAGGCAGAAGACTTATGTGTCAACTTCGCAACCTGGGCTTCAAGCTGGGCAATCTCCCCTACTCTGACAAGTCAGGAACGTCTCCCAGAAAGTCCAACAGGGTTACTAACCTTCACGCTCGGCTTTGATCTCATCCTGCTCCAGCTTGACCCAGCCCCAGTAGGCCAGCTGGTAGGTGAACATGGCCGTGAGTAGAACCTTCGCGACGGGTCTGGTGAAGTCCTTGTAGAACTGGGACTGGACGAGGAGACGTGTCAGTGGGTGACAGGCAGCAGGGTGACTCAGAAGGAGGAGAGGGCATTCGCTCTTACAAGGGGTGAAGGCTGCTGCGGCTCTGACGAGGCGAATCGTCTCTGGATGGGGGCCTTGAACGCCGTGGCCCGGAATGAAAGCCGAGCCCGTTGGCTGGCCAGTGACAGTGCTCTTGAGTTCATCTTGAGATCTGCGAAAGAAATGGATATGACACAGTCTTTCAGATGGATTTAATAAAAAGTTTGGGCAGTGATGAGGAAACCCTTGACTCGGAACCCTGATGTAGAGAGCGCTGCCATGTGGGCGGGAAAAACGGTCGTGCTCCCAAGGTCTGGTCGCAAAGTGCAAAGTGAAGCTCCACTGATTAGTCTAGCGCCCCCGCAATCAACCGAACAGCTGCAACTGCAAGGGCGACCCGCGGGCAGGGGTAAGCTCTTGGACGACACGTCTCCCGGAAATTCAATATGGAGATGTGGTCGTCCTAGGGGGCCCTGAAATCTGTCCCCATTCATTAGTAGCGACACCTGGATGATCTGGGCGTCAACACCACTTTGCATATATCCGCTCTCCAACCCGATCTTCTTCAGTTCTGCCATATCCCCAGACAACCTGCCCCTCATTCATTTCTTTCTCATACCAGTATATACTCTTGTAATCCTCAACCCGACTCGACTCGACTCGATCATCCCCTCCCTCATACATCACAATGGTAAGTTGAAGGCCCCCTGTGCGCCTCGCGCCTCACAACCACCACCCACGCTGACCAGGCCCCCTTCCTCCCGACGCACAGGCGCAAACACCCCAGCAGCGACGGGCGAACCTCAAGTTCGCCAAGGAGCAGGAGGCAAAGATGGGCAAGTCCCCTGAGGACATCAAGAAGATGGCCAAGAAGGAGACGACCAAATCCCCCATCTCCCCCATCTGGCTCGGTATGCGCCCCGACCCTTCAAGTTGACCCGAGGTGTCCCAACGCAATGAGCTAATCGGTTATTGTTTGCGAAACATAGGCCTCCTCGCCTTCGTCGTTTTCGGCGGCATAGTATTCGAGGTCCTCTCGCGCATCTTCTTCGGCAGCCGATGAGCAGCGAGCGCGCTACACTGCGTTGAGCAACGAGAACGACGGCAGCGATGCGGTATACTTTTAGGAGATCCACGACGTTCGCCGCGTCCAGGACTGGTCTAAGTGACGGGGGAAGGCACCAGTATCCGAAGGGAGAGGGGGCAGCGTGTGTTTACAAGCCCGGGAAACCAGCACACGACTTGCGCGTCCAGCAACAAACATGGAGGCGCATTGATTTCATCACGAGACGGAGTTCACTGTATTTATTTTTATTAACACAGCATGGATGGCTTTTGGACCTCATGAGCAGGAAGGTCGAGCCGGGGTTTAGCAAGAATCATAAAAGCTGCAGCAATTGGTATCGTCTTGCAAGACTGGCTCCCTGAAATATTTCCGAATTTTGGACGCCAAAAGCTCCCCCATCCCTTCCTGAGATGCTATTTTTACAACACACGAGAATCGGTAGCAGCGGATGGCATCGGCTCATGCTCCCAGGCCCTTGTGTTGACCGCCCGTGTCAAATTTCATCCTCCGACCGGCCTCGAACTGCTTCTCCAGCTCCCCCGTAACCTTGCTCACGTCAAAGTGCGACCGCGCTGCCGCCGACCCTTCACTGGTGGTCGCAGCAGCAGCAGCACCTCCGCCGGCGTTCTTACCGCCCAGGAGCCGGAGGAACTTGGCCTGTCTTGACGCGCCGCCACCGAGCTCGCTGACATTCCAGTTGGCGGCCTCGGTCGCTGCCTTCTCGGCTTGAGAGGGCTGCTTGTTGTCTGCGCCGGACTTTGCATCTTTCTTGCCTTTGTCCTTGTCTTCGCATTCCTTGGTCGCCTTCTCCTTCTTGGATTTCTTGTCCTTCTTTGCCTTCTTCAGCGCCACCTCATCGGCCGGGACGGCTGCTGGGGCTGGAACATCTGCTGTGACTTCGTGGGCTTTCTGTTCCAGCTCGCGCTGCTTGTCCTTCTTAGAATTCTTGGTAGGGGGCTGCTCGTCGGCTGGTGCATCAACCGGCGCACTCTCGGTCTTGGCTTCTGACTTTTTCTTCTTGTCTTTCTTGGATTTCTTCTTGGCTGGTGATTCTTTGTCTGCAGGAACATCCGTGGTGACATCGCCAGCCTCGAGGTCACGCTTGCGCTTCTTTTCCTTCTTCGAAGGCTTCTCGGTGCTCTCGACCTCGCTGGTAGTGACTTGAACTTCAGCAACAGCCTCGGGGTCTTGCTTCTGCTTCTTGTTCTTCTTCTCTTTCTTGGCTGGCTTATCCTCAACAGCTTGCTCCGCCTCCTGCACAGCCTCTTCCAGTGGTTCTTTCGACTTTGACTTTTTGCTCTTCTTGTCCTTCTTTCGGGGCTTTTCGTCGTCGATTGGGGCGTGGTCGTCAGTCGCGCCGGTTTCCTCGTTGGCCTCCTCACCGAGTTTCTCCATCATCGAGCTCTCCTGCTTCTGCAGCTCCGTCAAGTGCGTCTGCCTGGCCTTGGCCTTTAGTGCCTCAGCCTGGAGCTTCGTGTCCTGCTCCTGCAGCTTGTCCGCCTTCGCTTCCTCGCGCCGCCTCTTCTTCTCGAGCTTCGCGGCTTTGTTTGCGGCCTTCTTCAGCTTGTCCTGCTCCTTGCGCTCCCCGGTCCATTTTCCCGCGCGCTCGACGTTGGCCTTGCGCGCGACCTTGCCCTCTGCTTTATCCTCCCGCTTTGCCTTGCGCTCAGCCTTGCGCTGGGCGCGCTGGGCCAGTTTGCGCTTGGTTTCCTCTGCATCGCGCTAAAGTCAGCATTGGAACGCCCTGGAGGCGTAGATAGATGAATCAATAAGTGAATGGAGGTCTTTTGTGCTGTACCTTTTGCGGGGATCTCTTGCCGAGACTTGTCCCCCTCTGTTGACTCCATTTCTGCGACGGATGGGAGCTTTGCTGAAGTCACGGAATGCGATGATCGTCCCCAGGTTGTCTCCAACTTTTTTCTGGACTGCCTGAATTCTGCCGCCTGTCACCAGGGTGCAGCTGCCTAGGGTACTTTTCTGCCGATTCCAGAAGGCGGTGAGATGCCGTCCGACCTCTCTCCCAAAAACTATATAAGGTGGACAACCCCCATCCGTCTTCCCTCCCTTCTCTCTTTTCCTCCCCAGCCTTTCGGGCATCTTGGTCATTTGAACAACTACAGAGAAGATTAGCATTGCCCCTGCACAAGGTTGACACAATGCATAGCAAAGATTGCGACCCATTTTTTTTCACTGTGCTCTTCAGTTTACTGGGGACACGGAGAAGAATCATCCTCTTTCATTGATGGCTCTGCTCTTCTCTTTGGGAAAATTTTAGTCATCTACGTATGCACAAAATCCCAGAATATACAGTATATAGATATTACGGTCAACAAAAGGATGGAACATCACAGGACCACCATCGAGGTGCTCATGCTACTGGATGACTCTTCCCAGGCCTAGGGTGACGGGTTAGGGTCTCATGGCGCAGCACTACATAGGGCGGCAGGGGCTAACTTGAGTTCCAAGGAGGTAGTCTAGGCAGCAGACCAACCTTGAATTATAGGACATGTCATTTTCTTCTGGGCTGTGATTCATGAGTTGGAGGCCAGATAGCAGCCTGGAGATATGCGACTATGGCCGTACTCACTGCCCTATAATAAAACTCTGTCGGTGCCTTCACGAGCATTGCTTTATGTATGTTCATGGATGGGATGTATCTTCCCAATTTGTACCCACACATTCTATGTTGTCCAAGTAAGAGTGCTTCGGCTAGTTTATGCAGTGAATGATAAATCAATATACATCCAAATAGATATTTGTGCTGCTAGGTCTTGAATGTTCAGCAGGTTCATTGCTCTAATCTTGATATTTCTGGATTCATTTGGATATGTATCCCGTGGCGCCTTACTGTACCTATTGGCACCGCTTCATGCCAGAGAATATTCATGTCATGCTATTCTTGCATTGGATCTCGGCATACCGCCTGGCACCATCGGCCGCGGAAAGCTTAATCTTCCGCAACTCACGAACAGCTTGAGCGGCTCTCTCAATTCCACCGAGGAACCTGGTTTCCGCATCCATCCAGTTCAAAGAGGTCAACAGCTGCTGTATACATCACCAACCGAAGGATGTTCACCCTTTCGGTTCTCAGCACATGGGGCACGGGTGTTTATTGTGGTTTATGGCGGCCTCTGCAAAATACTCTGGTTTTTTGCCAACCTTGGCTATCCACTTTTTGGACAGCTTTATTCAATCTGAATGGTACCTTACATACAGTAGAGGGCTTGCTAATTAAACCACTTGCCTTATACATAGGTCGGAATGAAAGACTTATATAGCTAGCTGGACAATGAAAAGTAGCACTGTAACACTGGAACAGTATGTGTTACAATCCGACAGAATCAAATTGTTTGCAGAAGGCATCATTGGCTGTCAATACCCTCTGCATCGAGTTATCTGGGAAGAAAACATGTGTACGCTCCTGATGCTTTCCGGTCCTATTCCATCTACCTGACCTAGGTTTCGCACATCGAGTAGGCGCGTTCGGTCCGAGGAGAGAGATCCTGAGTGTTTTAGAACGTTCTTAATAAAGTATTTAATCGTTTCGATCAACTTCCCTGTTCATGTCGCAGCTTCGCCTAAATCTCGCGTCCAGTGTGATCCGAGGCCAGCCCATGCCCGGTTGTGCATATTATGAAGCTGTACAACAATATCCCCATACTCGAAAGTTCTTGGCACCGTCTCGTGGGGTCCGGTCTCATCTTGATCGCATATAGGAGGAGCGACTTGGTGAGGGACATGTATGGGTAGATCACTTGGCTGCCTGGCCGTGGGGGCGACAAATTGGTCGGGGATGTGCGCTTGGCTCGTCGCATGAGCCGTGAAGGATTCACATCCACAGCGCTCTGCAGTAGCCAGTTTCAGCCGCCAGAGGCCACACCAGGCCAGCGCGGGCTGGATATGCTATGAGAAAATAAGAGTACTCAATCGAATTGAGGTGAGAAAGCGAAAAGGCGAGATGCTAGTGCCTGCATTTTGCACTTGCTGTCTCTCCATTCCCTATTCTTTGTCAATTCCCGGTCGTCTAGAAGAAACATGCGCTAGGCACGCTGACCTGAGTATTACTATTAATCAAATCTGGTCTCGCGATGTCCAAGTATCCCGATAGCCTCGGCGAAGGATCTGATGCCCCTCAGGTGTTGGTCCCACGTCCTGATCTCGATAACCACAAGATTCCGATCGTCTACGCGGAGGAGAAACAAGTCTCAAGTTCGGATACAGAGTCATTTGCCCGCAGCCAGCCATATGAACCCTCGCACTATACTGCAGACTTCAGCGATCGTTCCAAGCGAGGAGAACAACAGCCCGAATTCCACAGACCAGCAGGTAGCAGGAGGATATGTGGACTGCGGCCAGGATGGTTCTGGACTGCCGCAGTGATAATTGTACTGCTGTTGATCGGCGCCACTGCCGGAGGCGTCGCAGGCGGAATGATGCGCCGCCAGAGCCAGACGCCCTCGCCGGCGTCGGCATCATCATCGGCGCCGTCGACCGGGCTACTAGGCTCCCTGCTCAGCGCGGTCAACTGGACAGACAGCACCGGGTCGCAGCGCAAGGCGGTATTTTACCAGCGGAACGGGACCCTGCGTGTAAGCCGCAACAGCGGTAGCGGCACGGCCGCGTGGGCGGAGCTGGACATTGAAGATCAATTCTCGACGGGTGCGGTGGCAGCCATGAACGCAACGCCACTGGTAGCCAGCATCATGGGCGGCGCGAGCGCCGACACCTCCTTCAGCGCAGCGCTATACTTCGTCGACGCCGGCAACCACATCCGTGACCTGGTGAGCACCGCAGACGACCTGGCAACATGGGCCAAGGGTCCGCTGTGGAACGTCTCAGTTGTCGCCAACGCCATGTCCGGGCTGGCGGCGTCGGCACACGTGTGCGCCGACGGATGTCTCGGTGACCGCATCGTCGTCTTCCAGGCGAGCGGCGGCGACTTGTACTCTGTCCACGGTCCGGACTGGGCCGCCGCTCCGACTCGCATCGTGGGCGCTAACATCGGCACGCCTCTCGCCCTGACAACGGCCGCGTACGTTAACAGCACCAGCGGTGCCGTCGACTTGGCAGCTGAGCCGACGCAGCTGCGGCTGTACTACCACCGCGACACCAACATCGACGAGTTCTTCTTCAACGACGAGACGCCATTGGTTTGGAACGCAGGTGAGACGCAATGAGACCCCTGCGCGCAGCTGTCTCCCCCTCTCCCCTCTCCCCTTGCCCTTGAGCATCAATACCACCGGGCACAGATTACTGACAGGCAGGCTGGCGGCAGGGTTCGTGGGCGTGGCAACAGGCCTCGAGGCGTCGGAGGCACCGCCCGGACTGACGGCGGCGCCCTCGGGCCCAGCAAATAGCGTGGTGCAGGTGGCGGTGCTGAAGGGGTCTGGCAGCGCCGAGGTGAGCTACGTTCGGGGCACGACGGGCCGCTTCGAGGACAGCACCTGCAACCTCCCGGCGCAGTTCGCCAACGGCAAGAGCGTCACCGCCGGGGCGCCGAGCTCTGGGGCGGCGGCGATCGCGCTGAGCCACAACTTCGCCCTGTATGTGCTCACGGGCGATGGGATGCAAATACTTGAATGTAAGTCTTCTCCCCGCCCTAATCCCTTCTTCCGCCTTGTCCCCACTTGGCTCGGCTCTCTCGGTGCGGCATCTCCTGGGGGACACCACTCCAGCCTCTTGTAATAGGTAATTAACTTGGTTGTAGACGGCTGGTCTAACGCGGGCCCGGACTCGTTCCGCTTTCAGGGCACAGTCGTATAGACATGCCTAGATGTGTTGATGTGGCAGGATCCGGCTGTCTTTGAATGTTATTAAAGTGTAAAGTATGTTGTGTAAATGGTCCTTCAAGCGTTGCAAAGGCCCCTTAGGTAATCTGTAAATCTATGTTATAATGTTCGTTAACATCTATAATGAGCCTACTTCAGGTTCAGCTAGGCACAGATGTCTACTTTGGTGATCAATGACAGACATCCGACAACTTCCAAAACTTTTCTCACAGTTAACTTGAGATCAATTCTCTAATTCCCGTCTCTGCCCTTGAAGTTGAACAGCGCAAGGAAGCAACAAGTAGTAGAATACAACAGCCTGTCGGTATTGTGACGTACTACTATTATAGAATTAATGTGGCCCTGAGAAGGCCCTGTCCCGGCCAGCCCACTATTCGATCGACATATCCCTCGGGTTCCCCAGATCTTTGGATGGCTTGTGGATCCGCACGAGCCTCAAAAAATAGTCCTCGAGCACAAGCAAGTTCAACATAATACCCTGAGCGTGCCACGCGACAGCAACTACGCACGCACCGGCAACGGCATCGAGCACGAAGTGGTTGGCCGTGGCGACAATTGCGGTCAGGATGAGGGCTGGGTACGCCATGCCACCCATGACCAGTGCCATACGTCGCCAACCGCGGAACTGGACGGGCATCGTGGCCACGGTGAGGCCGATGAGGAGCGAATACCCGAAGTGGAGGGATGGCATGGCGGCTATTGGTGATGAGCGTCAGCTATCGGATACAAAGAATGCTTGGGTCGAACGTTCGAAAAGAGAAGGTGGAACGCAGGAATCTAGACTCACCATATTGGTTGCAGAACTTGTTGGTAGTCCACACACTGCTCTCGCCATCCGCACTGTGGACCGTGTCGACGAACCCGTATCCCCTCGCCTCCTTCGCGTCCGGGCCGCTATAGTTCGGGTCGCTCAGCAGCCTCGGCGGCATGCAGGGCCAACAAGTGAAAATGATGAAGGCGAAGAGGTTGCACATTGCCATCGTCCTTCGCCTCTGCTCATACAGGGCTGGGTTGAGCGCAGGCCGGCCAGCTGCCGTGGGTGTGGACTTGTTCGGCAGGGCGCTCTGTGCCATTTTCCTCGGCCGTGTGGTGGTGAGGTAATAGAATACTACGAGGAAGAGGATGCTACCCGGGATGTGGATGAAAGAGTAAGCCCGGTTCGTCCAGTGCATCAGCGTCGCGTGCTGCAGGAACCACTCCTGAATGGGCCGCTCAACGAAAATGTGAAGCCGCTGTTCCAAGTGGATGAGCTGCAGGGCATGTCGCCGCGCGACGTCGACGGTATTCTCATCCATGGTCAGGGCGCCGACGGCTCGACCGACCTGGTACACCTGTGAGGAAGGTCTTATCAATATGGAATTCTAGTACGTTTACCAGGACCTCAACGCCGGTACGTAGTCCAAAGTGTATCTGCCTATGCTTACCCAGTATATCAAGGCCCAGTACCACGCCTCAACAAGGAACGGCAACCTTCGCAAAACTCGGCTGAGAATTCGGTCCTCGAAAACCTCCGTGTTCGGTGTGATGACTTTCTTCTCCCATTTCCAGAGCCGCAACGTTCGATATCGCCACTTAGGGCCGAGGTCATCATCCCCTTGGCTAAGAAGTGTCGTCGAGGAACCACGTGAAGAACCGCTCCACGGACTGAGCGGCATCGAATCATCATCATCCCCCGACCACCGCCTTGCCGACTCTGCCTCGAGAGAATCCCCAGCGAATGAGCGCTTCGGAGATGAGGACGATGACCGAATCTCCTTCTCGTAGGCCCTCCGCCTGCCGCTGCCGGGTCTATCGCGGTTGATGATGGTTCCCCCGGCCAGAAGGCTCACCACGATTAGAGGCTCGAGAAATGCTCCCACGCCCATGATTGACCAGTGTTGGATGAATCGGATGATTATTCGTTGTCAGGCTTGTATTACACAAGCTGGCCTGGACTCCAGGCGGTCGAGGGCGGTCGTGATAGACCGAAAATGGTTATACTTATGACAGACAGTACAAGCAAAACTCAGGCTCGAAATCTGATAACGGAATTGCCCTACAAACTACTGGCAGGAGGGCCCGCTACGTTTATACGTTTTGAGAGGGTGGGCACGCGACCACCCGCCTTAATGCCCGGGCAGCCATAGGCAGCCTTATTACGGATGGGACTTCTTGGCCGACATGGTGGGTGTTCCCAACGGGTAGAACCAACAGGAAGAACACACCCTTGTCCAAACCCGCCGGAGTATTGGCAACCTCCAGGGGCCCGTCGCGTGCGAAGCGACGAATCCGAAGCGGCAGAGGCATCACAGACCAGGTGGCAGGAGAGCCAAGAGAGTCTTGGCGGCTTACTTACACGTCGATGATGCGCCGTCACCCATGCTGACGGGTGACAAGTCCGCAGGGCAACGGGGCAGCACACCAGACCGAGGCCCCGTTGTGGGTGAGGGATGGCCCATGCCTGCAGTATATCTATCACTGTTATCTTTTTTCTTCGGTACCCGGCACACCAATGCGGGTACTGATGACGACTCGCCCCCACGGATGTGGTAGGTCGTTAGCTTTCCATAGGTTTTCTTGGCATCACAAGCCCTGCTCGATTTGGGGCCGAGCGATCCGAAACACTTGATGGCGGTTTGGGTTGCGCAGCTGTCATGTCTGGAACGTCAAAATTGAGATGCCAATGTCGTCCCATATGTTGTGCCCTCTAGCGATGGCGGCAATGGGGGAGGATAAAATGTGCCTTGCATGTGTGGCACGAGAAAATCTTATACGAGTGCGGTATACGTGAACAAAAAGGTGGACCTGTGGGGATTGAGAATGCAAGCACCGAGGCGCTTCGGAGGATGGTGCATGCATGGAAGGAAGAGGAACCCACTGAACTACTCCATCTATTACTAAAACTCTTAAGTTTCGAACCCTTTAGTAAAATTCGACAATGCCCCTGGTTGTTGATCGCGGCACTCTGGGCTATTGCAGATATGTTTGTGGCCTGTTTGTGCATGAATACGGACGGGCTCTGTGCTGGCGCGCAACGGCGCTTCCGTGCTGCCCACCCTGGCGTATTCTGTGGCTCTTGATTGGTTCGTGCCAAGGGTGTTGTCAAAAAGATTACCGTAGGCACGCGACCTCTGGGAGTCGATGTGCCATGGTAAGGCTGACAACCGCGCAATCCCAAGTCAGCTTACGCGTGCTGGTAATTATAAACATCAGTAATGTCCACGCATTTGATGATGCCATTCACGGCCCCAAACACAGTGATTCCAAATGAGAGTTTAGATACGCTTCATTAGCATCTGGCAGACGTTTCCCCCATGGTCCTTGAAGCTCTAGCAGTGGTCGATCGAAGTTATCTTGGACCGGACTTCTTGGCGAGTCCGACATTCCGTTCCATTCACATTCCACGCCGAAGCATGTGGCCGCAATGGATCAATCTAGCCCGGGAGGCTCGGAAGGATCGTACGCGCTGAGAATGGTCCAAAAAGCCCCTTAGAAGTTGGGTTCTTTTACTATTGATCCTCGAATTGCGCTGAAGGAATCGTTTGCATCATCCTCTCAGGAGTCAATGATCCCTTTGGCTAGTTTACCAACAGACGAGGTGGATTCGACCCCGGGTTTCAGAGACAGTTGTAATTATTCAGGTACGCATCACCGTTGGTCGTTGATGCTTAGTCTTTGAAAGTCCTCCACATCTTCTGAAGTGCCACGCGAAAATTGTTGTCGAAAATGAGGTATTGTTGGAACTATCTGGGTAGGATTAGCTACCCAAAAAATATACTCCTTGCTTAGAGAAAAGCTCACGGTGTCCTCAGAAAAATACCATCCCTGAAGACAAGCCTGCGTTTACATTAGTTATTCTTATCTCGAGTGCTCATTGCGTGATACACTGACAAAGACAGTGAGAGAAGAGTACGCGATCCAGGTCCTCAACCTCGTCATAGGATATCACGTTCCCTATCAGTGGCTCTAAGTGTATCAACCACGAGGCATAGTTTTCAGGCATTACAAAGCCTTACATATTTATCACCTGATATGTACTACCCGCGACCTTGGCTTGTAGTGAGTTCTTTCGATGGCGAATGAAAAGTTGACCAACTCATCACCACTATGTAAAATTGCATGCTCAGATTCGAGGAGTCAGTACTTATTCAAGAACATTGAGCGATTTCTATGTCCATCAAGTGATACATACTTCTCATATTGGAAAAGAACTACACACCACTTAACTCAGCCGAGGGTCTCTAGGATGAAATTCCAAAAAAAAAAAAAAAAAAAAAAAAAAAAGTTTGTCGTCCCACAGCACCTACACCAAGGGGCTTCATTTTACAAGCATGCGGCGGATTGTAATAGTAGGTAGGCCGTTGCATATCATCCGGTGATTTAACGAGCAACTCCTCCGAAGTATACGACTCAATTACGCTGCTTCGCGGCGACTTGTGAACAACCCACGCTGTCCAGACTGACGAGCAGCACGCATCTAGCGAAAGCCTCCAACGCGTCGTAATTACCAACATACTCATGATGTCTACTATCCTCTTGATGACTATATGGCTGACAACAACACTGCTACTCCCCCCGCCTAGGGCGAAAAAGGACGGAGCAGAGACGACTAGTATGAGCTGTACCCGTGTGATCGAAGACATTGAGGGCGAAACGACACACAGACTTACAATGTGAAGTGTTTATGGGAGCAAAGAGTGATGGTACTGAAGACCCAGCATGACCCCTGGAGGACTCTTCAGGGAGACATAAGGAGGTAGACGAATTGAAGGGGCAAAATTGGGTTGAGAACGAGGAGCACAATTTAGGACCACTCGTTCCAAAGGATACGGCTACAGACGTCTACATGGGATTTCCGGAATTTCCAATCCCGTAACTTCATTCCGATGTTGGCGTTGTTGTAATGCTATTCTGATCGGACTTCAAAACAGAGCCTTCAAGCTAAGACAGAGTCGTGGTCTTGATTTCCGTGATTTATCTATCCGAAAGATCTCACCTGGACAGTGATACCTAGCATCCCCACATAGGTCATCCAGCATTATTACTGTTCGTATAAAAAGGTCCTCTGTAATTGAGAAAGTTCCAAATTTTGATTTTGAACTCGATTCGGAGACTCTGGTGTTGACTCGCGTTGATCTCGACAAAAAGAGAATTATGCTAAGCAAAACCAATTCTGACATCGGATACCTGGAACTTGAATGAACAAGCCTCCGCCAGTCTTGAAGAGAAGCTTATGTCTATTGCAAGGCCACACCCGATGCGGCCAGTGTAGCATAGAAAAGTTTGGTCTTGCCCATGATGATCATACGTCCCTCGCCCGCGAACTGGAAGTTAGCGGCAACGATACCGGTGTAGATCTTGCCGAGGAGCTTCCCAGAGTTATTCCAGACGTGCACGCCGTCATTGGTGCCAGCGTAGACGTTGCCCTTCGAGTCGCAGTGGATGCCTATATGACAGTCCAGTCAGTCACCGAAGTAGTTGTGAGCTGGTAAATTATGGACTCGGAGCTGCACTTACCGTCAGGCAGACGAGCATGGACGTGCGCAAAGGTCTTGCGGTTCTCCCAAGTACCATCAGGTTGAACATCAAAACGGTAGCTATCGACACTCGTTAATCCCAAACATATCAAATAAGCGGCAATGCGGAGCGAATTACGTACATTGTGGCTGGCTTGGTCATATTGACGCCAAAAAGCCCTTGGCTCATTCCCGTGTCCGTGACATAGGCGTAGCTGCCATCGGGTGAGTGAGTGAGTCCTGCACAAACAGATTTTCAGCTTTTACATCAATCGTCTAAGTAGGATATAAAGGAGGTATTGTCTTGAGACATACCATTCGGCGAGACAAAAGCGTCGGACACAACGGTTAGCGCACCGGTTGATGGGTTCAGACGGTACACCTGGTTAGGCAGACCCGGCTCAGGGCGGAAGTACTGCCAGTATCCATATTGGGTGTCTGTGAAGTAAATGTCGCCGTTGCGTGGGTTCACTGAGACATCGTTCAAGGAGTTGAACTGCCTGCCGAAGTAGTTGTTGGCAAGAACTGCGATGAAGTCAGATATAAATTGCTTCTACAGCCGCTTAACGTTCGCCGGGCGTACTCACGCGTTGTGTTGTAGGGTTCAACGGGGTTCATCAGGTACAGCGCGGATGGGATATTGTCTCCCTGGCCCTCGCCTGCAAAAATGATGTTACCCTTGTAGTTAGTCCCGCCTAAGGTAGACTACGTCAGCATTTTTATTTGTCGTTACGGTTTCAATCCCACATACCGTTGGGGTTGATGACCTGAGGGTTTGACGGCACGGTGTGAACAGTGACGGCCTCGGCACCGAGAGATCCGTTGCGCAGCGACTCTGCATCCGCAAGGGAGATCTTCTGGATGATGGACGACTTGTTCAAACCAGTTCCAGCAGCGGGGTTTCCGGCGTTTTGGACGAAGAAGACCTCATCCGTAGGCGGATACCTTTTTGAGAGTCAGCTTCCCTGTCCAACCTGTTAGTCGAGTTGATTCTGCGTACCATGTAACGGCCTCGTGGAAGAGCGGGTCGGTGTCCGACGAAGCGAGCAAGGTCAACGACGGATCACTGCCAATGATGTCGTAAAAGTCCGGATCATACACATGGAAAGGCTTTTCCGTGAGAGACTCATGAGTAACGCCAGGCCAGAGAAATTCCTATCATGATATTGTTAGCCATCGCTCTGCGACACAATGATTTGAACTGCTGTTTGGCACAGAATGCATACTGTAGTAGCGTTAGCTATCGATGGAGGAGGGACCTCTGCCAATACGAGGAAGCTCTTCTGATCAATGATTTGAGCCTTCTCCGGCAAGGGTCTCTCAGCCGGCGAAGCGGTCTGGGCTTGGACTCCAGCAAAGGAGCCAAGACCTTCGAGAAGAGCAAGGCCGGCAGCGAGTCTAACGGAAGCCATAGCGTTTCACTGTTCCTTGAGCCTGGAGTGCGACCTCTCATGAGACCCCAAGGGCTACCAATGGCTCTATCTTGATATTTATACCTATATGCCAAGATCTCGGACTCCACCCTGCCTGGCCATCGTCACTAAATCTAAAGGGGTAGAGAGCTTGAACCATCTCGGTTGTTCGCCGTGCGATCCATTGACTGATTCAAAGGACATGGGTCGCAACCGCAAGTGTCCTCTAGTGTACTAGTAACCGAGTGCTTGGCTACGACCCTGAAGGGGGGCTACGTGGGCCTCTGGGGTGGATGTGCGGATAAATATCCGCTTTCTGGACGGTCGAGAACCAGGATCTTTTGATGTCACGCGGGCGGAAGAGTTAGATGCAATAGACTATTACACAATACTAGTTGGAGGCAGAAACAGGGTTTGAGGTGCGGGGTCTGGGGTGTGGACGGACAGACTGTGGGGAAGAAATGTAGCGAAGTGTTGATGAAGCGCAAACATGCGCTTACATAAGCGGTGATTTCGAAGACTATGACTATTTAGAAATTCAAACAAAATTATTACATTGTAGTTATCAATTCACAGGTGTTTTGTGAGATTTTCAGGCCTGAAAGTCGATTTAATTCCATTCGGGGTTCCAACAAGCAACATTTCGCATCACAGGCCTCAACTTTGGGGTGTTGCAAAGCCGTTCTCTTTTCTGACACCTTGGACAAGGGCTAGACATCTATAGTGCCCATTTGGTGCTCAATACTTCTATTTTATACACTTATGTACATGAGCTTCTCAACGTTCTTCTTCTCGCCCCATTACCTGATGCCCTGGTGCTTGGGCGACAGGCTTTCAAGAATCAAGCCGACCTCGTCATCAAGGGCTTCAAGGATGTGAGTAGGTGGATAGCGAGGCCACCATCCCAAATCCTTTCCGTGAGCGGCGGTGTAATTTGATCTATATGTTGATATTAGCCCACTGTCAACGTCTCAGGAGTATATTTGCTTACTGTCCACCAACCTTGACCACGACCGAAGACGTTTCAACATTCAATGCCTTAGCCATTTTCTGCAATGCCTCGTCTGTGACCATTTTCACCGAAGCATCTTCGATGATCCCCCGCTTCACCAGAGCTTTGTTCGTCGCAGAATATATATCGTCCCAGCGCGCCGATCCTGAGGATGCCAAGTAGAAACCGTGCTTCCCGTGATCAGGGTTGGAGTCATTGAGGATAGCCTTGATGAGCGAAATGAACAAGGCGGTGCAGTCACTTATATGGCATACAGGCCATGTCTTCTAAGTCAGCACCGATGAGTTGAAACTGGATGATGTGTCTCGATTTACCTTCCCCTCTCGCCCGATTCTGTACACACCGCCTGCTGCCTTTGCAGCAATCACGATATCAACCGTCTGGATGGAAATGAGGTTTCCAAAGCCAAGTCCTTTGCCGTCTTCTTCATGTCAGAAAGCTCAATAAGAGGGTGGTGCAAGTGATTTCTCACAGACAATGCATGGAGAGAACACGTAAATTCTCACGTTATGCTCTTCTCCGGCTTCAACCACAGTGATGGTGGTTTGGACAGACTGTTTGTTGCTTAATCAGCTATTCCACGACCGAGACAGACTCGACCTACGTGCTGCAGCTCCTCGTGAGCGGCTTTCTGACTCTTGTGGATCTCATAAAGATTTGGATCGTTGTCATACAGAAGGCCATCTGTAGGGGCCCCGGCCATGTCGGAAAATTGTTTGGTTCCAGACGTCTGAGAAGTAAGTCAGAAGAGCGTGCTCATCGTGTGCGGTGTCTATCAAGATACCCACGAAAACAAAGTGTACTTCCTGCCCAGTAGTTTTCTTAAGCTCCCCAAGAGCCTTGATGAACGCAAGTTGGCCGTTGGGGTAATATGAGTCAATCAGATAAATCACAACAGAAATGCGCTTCTCCAGGATTGAAGCCCTAATGCTCTTCTCTTGTAAGTCGCAGCGGACTGGTTCTGCGTCATATAGGGTCTTCACTGCATCGGCCTGGGCATCTGAGCGGACCAAGGCATACAAAGACTGGTAGCCTGAGAGATTGGACTGGGCCCACGAAGCGAGCAAGGACCCACCGAGGTATCCAGAGCCACCAGTGATGAGGACGTTGTGAACCATGTTGGTCATGCGACGAAGGGTGTTTGATGAAGATGGCCTACTCCAGCAGGAGAGTTAGGAATTTTTTGGCGCCGCAATAAATTATTCAACAATAGATCCGCATGAATCAAAGCCATTGCCCATATTAAAAATCACTGCGCCAACCTAGATTTCCTGCTCTAGCACCAAGCTGCCCTGACAGCCCGTTGCAAATTTGACAAAAGTAATCCAAATTTACGTATTATATAGTGAGATTTACAATTAAGATCCATTCCAAGTTGTGTATTCACAAGCAGATTACTCCTTACGATACAATTCAATGATTCATTTTTGATGTCTTCAGCGCGTTTGTGCGTGCTCTGTGCACGATTCGACACCGACTGAGTTTATAAAGTAGCCGAGTAGCTCCATATAGCCGACTCACTGCCTGTATTAATAATCTGTCAGGTTCAAAGACATCTAATGATGTTTTTTAGTCCGCGATTGGGTTGAGTTTCGGGGAAAGGTATGAGAAACATCGAGAATGAAATATTCGCTCATTTTGCAAGACAAAAGCTGCCAAACTCTGAGGTTGCATCATTAAAGAAAAGAGCTCATTTATTAAATTTCAACCAAGTAACCTTTAGAGTTGTTTAAAATGTGCGTTCCACGTCTTATATCTTGATCTGCAGTGCTTCTGTATCCCTCTCATTCACTGACCAGTTGACCCTTTGACGATCTTGCGTTCCTTTCCTCTTTTGACAGCATCGAGGTACAGCCAGAATTTTCTTGCCTGTGTAATCTGCTGGATCCACCTTGAACGGCAGGTACGTGTTTGCATATACACCCTCATCGTCGTCCATTTCGATAATGTTGATCTGCAAGACTTTAGGATCGAGATCGTGGGGTGGGACTAGATGATCAAATGTGACACCATAGTAATCAATACAACTGGCATCGTAAAAAGTCACTAATTTAGTTTACTACCAATATAAAGATGACGGATTGCCGAGAGTGTAAACACCTACTTCTTTGGTATCTTCCCTTCCATTACCCATCCTAAGTATTCATCCCGGACGATCATATCACCAAAAACTTCTTGACGTGTGTCTGTCCCGTATAGTGCCTGGTAAGTCAACTTTGCAAGCGCCTCCCCACCAGGCTGTGGGAAGTCTTGTGATCCTGCTGTTACGTGCCATGAATACTTCGGGACAAGTTTTTGGATGGAAACTAGGGGGCCTTCAATCTGAACTCGTACGGGCCGGTCAAGGGGCGGGGGATGAAGAGCGTGAGCGGGGTTGTGAATGCATGGTGGGATGTAGAGCTCGAGAGCCATTTGGCGAGAGGCGGTAAAATGAATGCGGCTCTTTAATTCTGGGTCAACTTCAGGGGGATCACAAGGAGTACATATTTCAAGAAGCATTGAGTCAGCATAACGCCAACACTCCTCTTTTGGTATTTTGCTGCGGCATCATGTATCATCGCCGGACACGCTAAAACGCTTTTGCGCTGGCCTTAACCCTTTACTGGTTCTGCAGCAACCAACAGACAGACCAGCATAAAACTACAGTTCAGCTCTCTGCCTGCTTATTCTCAATATGAGCCACGAACTTCTCCGAAGTTACGTGCCAAGTCCCTCGCCGCAATGCTCATCATTTACGAAAGTAGGCTGCCTTGATTTCCATTTTCACAGATCTTGCATCATCAAAATAGTGTCTGCGAAATGTCCAAGCCTGTCTTCGTCCTCCTTCACGGCGCATGGCACAGTCCAAAATGCCGGAGCCGTCTCAGCGCCGAGCTTGACAGAGCCGGATGCAGCTCCGTCGCGCCTGCGCTGCCCTCATCGGGATCCACGCCTCCAACGCCGGACTGGTCCAAAGATGTCGAGACAATACACAAGACCGTCTCAGATCTTGTGCAGGAAAACGACGTCGTCGTTGTCATGCACAGCTTCAGTGGGATGACTGGCGGCACCTCCCTCGAGGGGCTGGACAAGCAGACTTGCTTATCTAAGGGGCTGAAGGGCGGTGTCATCAGACTCGTCTACATTGTCGCCTTTCTTGTGCCCGAGGGATTCCAGCATTCCCCCCGGGGTACCCGCGACAATATGATTCCTGAGATGAGAACTGACATTAAAACGAGTGTGCGATTCGAGTCTCTTCAGACTCACAAGTGTACCCCACTGACACCATTTCCAGGCTAATATCATCACGGTGCTCCCGGAGGACGTCAAGGACATGTTCTACCAGGACTTAGATGACGAGACCGTCGCTGAGCTGCGCAAGGACCTCCGTCCACAGAGCTTCGCCTCCTTCTGGAGCACTACCACTCACGCTGCGTGGCGGTATATCCCGACCACGTATGTCCTATGTTTGAAGGATAGGCCGACTACTGTGGCTGCGGCTCGGTACCTTATTGGAACGGCCAAGGCGAGCGGGAGGCATGAAATCGACAATGTAATTGAGTTTGTTGCTGGACACTCTCCTTTTATTAGCAAGCCTCAGTGGATCGCCGAGACTCTCATCAGTGAAGCACGCCGTCATGCTTAATCTGATATTAACGTAGATGATCTTTTACGATTACATTTCTGAAATCTTACAAACTCATATTTGCTGGATTTCAATTTGGTGGTTCAAATTCGGTATTTACCAGACAAGATAGTATTGGTATCAGCTCAAACGCGGCATCGGGAGTCAAGCAGGAGATTGAAGGGGCTGCGTGAACTTGAGCTGTGACAGACATTGATAGGCCGCGCTGGATGCGAAATACAAGGCGTAGAGAGACAGACCTTCAAGCACCTTCTCCTTTTCGACCGCCGAAACTTTCCATATGAGATCCGTACTGTGGGGCTGGTCTTTGCCCAGCGACCTTTCGGGCACCCAGATGCACGTCTTTTTAAGGTTTTCAAAACTACTTGGCATACCCACCGCCGCGCCACCACGGAATGTGGGAGTCCAAGCAGTGAAGGTTATATAATTAGCGAGAAAGGGGGTCGTGTAGCTACCTATAGAAACAGATCATATGTAAATACAAATATCTCGCCGGTCAACGGCGTACCAGTGATCAAACATGTTTTGAAACCACTGTGAAGATAAGTGGATCTGACTATCCAGTCACTCTTTGTAATTGGCGATATTGGACGAAACACACTCGTTACTAACACCAACTTGCACCAATCCTTTTTGAACCTCTGTCGACCCTATTCCCAGGATGTTGTCTTCCTCCCTTGCACCTGTGGTGTTTGCCGCAGCTGTTCAGGCGACCACGCACCATATTATCGTCGGTTCGGCCCAGGTAGATACACTATTGTACGTTCTCTTCCAACCACTCTCGACTCTGCATCATATCCCCTGCCAACAGAAAATGGGGGCCAGGGGGTTCCTGCTCCACATAGGCTTCGACGCTCTGCAAGAAGATACTTCGGGAGAGGCTCAGTCATAGGACACACTGACACGATGCGATTTTTTATGTAGCACTCTCGAGTATGATGATAGTACAAGCGACTTCTCACTACTCGCAAACATCAGTGTGCCAAGTGCTCATCAATGGCTCACATTCAGTGTAAGTTAGGACTGAGGAGACTGGAAGACCTCCGACTTGTGCGAAGAAAGTGCTCGGCTGAGGATGGTCAAATAGCACGACAAGAAAAACTTGTACGGCACTGGCGATGCATCTACCATGCAAATAGTCAGCTACACTGTCGAAAACGCCACAAGCTTAATTTATAACACCACGAATATGATAGGGACATGCGCCACGACAACTGTCCATGCGGAGGCCCTTCAAGTCGAGCCATACGGTGTCTACGGAGTTTCTTACGGCAGCGGCTCAAACTGTGGTGGCGTGGCCGAGGTAGATGAGCGCGGGGTTATCATTGCGTCCATCCAGAACTACACCTACGCGAGCGCATCGTCCCTCCACGGCAACGGGTTCCATCCTTCTGGTGATTACCTGTACACCGCCGACATGGGCACCAAGGCCGTGTGGACTCACAAGGTCGACCGCACCACTGGCGCGGTATCATTTGTATCCCAGGGTAACTACACAGGCGGCTCGCCGAGGCACGTCGTCGCACACCCGTCTGGCAAGTATGCGTACGCCATGACTGAGTCCTCGAGCGAGGTTGTACTGTATAACATCGACAACTCCACCGGTGCAGCCTCTTTCTCGGGGACTGCTTACGGCATTGTTCCAGCGAGTAAGTTGATTATTCAGTGATCTCTTCCAAATTCCGTAGGCACCACGGCGTGAGGCAATGCCGCTGACTCTTGCGCTTCATTCCAGATTCGAGCGGCACGCACCGCGGCGAGACAGCCCGTGTTTCCAAATCGGGTACGTTGCTGTACGCCACCACTCGCGCCAACAGTTCCGACCCGGCCGCCATCGACGGCTTCGTATCGGGCTTCACTTTGGACACTGAAGGCAACATCCTGAGCCAGGACTTTATCGAGGCGACCACGACGGGCGGTGGCACCTCCAACATGGTTGTTCCGGCCATCTGGGACGACAATCTGTTCGTCATTATCGACGCTATTGACGGCAATGTGGAGATGTGGCAACGGGCCGACGATGGGGCAAGCGCGGCCAAGATTGCAAGCGTGCCACTTGGAGTCGAACATCTGATGAGCGGACTTTGGTATGATTAAAGCCATTGAGGAGCCCGGAGGAGGCGAGAGTCTTGTATCAGCATCAGAAGTAAATACAGAAGTTGAACCTTAAATCCATCGGGTCAAACCGCGACCGGGGTGACATAAAGCGCAAGAATGCACCCGATTCAAGGCAAACACAACTTGTGGTTTACAATGCGTCTGTTCAGACGAGAAGGTTTACATGTATAGAAGCGACAAACATTGTGCTGGATTTCTGATTCTCTCATTTAGCTGTTTGGTATTGGTCTCTAAACAGTGGGACGTCGAAGGTGGATGTGTGTGCAGGTTAGGGTGGCGGACTGGTGGACGTGAGGTTCATCTAGAGTGTTGTAAACCCTACCAGATACACAAGCATTGTATAAGAAAAAGAACTGTGAATTACATATTTATGAATTCTTTTCGGATTAAAGAAAAACCTTGTAATCTTTGTTTTTAGTTACTTATTAATCAGAATTACATTTATAACACTTCAAATCATGTCCCACGGGTATCATGCGAGCTGAAAATCATTTTAAGGCTCTTACACCACTTACTTAACACTCGACTCATTATGAGTGTGTGTCTCAAAACTTCTCAACATAGCACGGTCTGCAAGCTATATTTCCATTCAAAGTCATATGTGCGACTGTTCTAAGGTCTGTAAGCCATAAGTCCTTATCAAGTCATATGTCTCTCAACCCAAAATAGTCCGAGACATCAATCCCATTGCTTGTAAAATATCTACTGTTATTGGCAGATGAGCTTACGATTTGTGTTACAGAGGGGACTCAAAGATCATACGATTTATTATTCTGCGCCTTCTAGCTGGAATTAAAAGAACCCTCTGTACCATTTGTCCGAAAACACCAAATGCTAGAACAATGTGGTATCTCACTTTCAATCAGCTAACACTGCTCATAAGGTCTTAGATCAGTCAGACCACATTACTCCTGGCTGATGCTGACACTTAGAGAGGCAAGTACTTGCACATTCAAGGTTCTCTGACGACCTCCGCAGCGGTCGAACTTGCTGTAGGGTACCTGAAAAATCTGGGTATAAGAGTCCTGGTCCTCTCCGGAGCTTTGCCCCATATCTTGTTCCCAGCGCAAACAAATCAGATTAATCAACGACCAATCAATTCTCAACTATATCTCATGTCAAGCTCACTGCAAAATCTCACGATGAAGGTTTCTCTCCTCCTGAGTCTGGCTATGTCTGCAGCCATGGGAGCCCCTAACGGCTCGCTCCAAGGTGAGAACAAGATGGACTGGTGCCTTTTCAAGCTGTGCTTAGCTTGCTGACTGCGCAACCAGGGCTGGATTCAGAGCCTGCTGCACGGTTACAATATGCGATGGATTCGAGCTAACTGGCAATTGCTACACCGGCTGCTAGCCCAGAATTGACGAAATCTACCCGGATCCAGTGAGTGTCTCAAAGTCCTGACTCCAATTTTAAGAGGCTGCCATAACCTAACCAACGACTTCAAAGTACTGGCAAGATAATGCGGGATCCTGGGAGGTGTCTACCGCGGAATGTGGTTGTTATCCTCGACCTATAAATGACCCAGAAGGAATCTGCACTGTTAAAAACAATGGCAACTTGTTGAATTGTGTAAACAATTTGCTATCCTTCCACTGCGAGTTCTGACCTTAGGGCTATTCCAATTTACAATACTCGGATCGGCAATCACTTCACGGATAGAACCGGCTTATGGAATGTTGAACACTGTTGGCAGGCGTTTATTGCCTGGATTTACTTGAAGTAGCGCCAGGGTTCCATTGCGTTTTAGCAGTGCCAAGTAAAGTCTTTCAATGTTGAGTGCGTGGCAAGAGAACGAAATGTTATGGGGCTTGGGGGACAAGTGGGTGAGCAGAAGGGGTGTGTACGGTTAACGACTCGTGTTTGTAGAGTGCACAAATCAAAAGAGAGCGCGAGCAGATCCAGGGGATACTGTCCGACACGTTTGGCAGTGACCAAGGGTGAGAAGGTATGCTCGAAGTATCACATCGAAAGGGAGTAGATACGTGCTGTCATGATATATTGCTACCAGGGGTATAGGATGTCCGCGAATATGCGCTGGCTGGCTTGATCAAGGCTCTAAAACGTCCTCAGAAGTTGACAGTCCCTCCTTTACTACCAGTACGAGCTGGGGTCTAATAACATCCATCAAATGACCGCTCGGGGGGGGGGGGGAAGGGTCATCAGACAATGGGATATCAACGTTGTCACACGTCGCCAGCAATAGACCTCGTCATTTGGCTGTTTCCCAAGCAGGAAATGTATGGTCAGAGAGACACCAATCAAGGATAGTCGTACCTAATGTTGTGTCAACGTCGACGTCGTGGTCAGATTGACGATATCATGAGCTCAAGAGGCGACAAGTCAACGACGACAGGCGTCGCCAAGGCCTCACGGCTGACGAATTGAGGGGTGGGTGCATGTAGGATAGGGTGGGGGATGAGGCTCCCGAAAACATGCTGCGCAAGCAGGGAATGAAAAGAGACGAACCATCAGACCTGATTGGAGCCCAACATGATCCCACGAGGACGGGAACTGGGAAGTGGAACCACAGCCAGACGCGCAAGCCTCGAACTCCGAGGCGGACGAAGGGCACCAAGATCATTCTAGACATTAGATACGCGTGTTCAACATGCAGCCCACAGAATAAGGTATGTCGTGACTGGCCTCTGTGGGGCTGGCTAGCCTGATGCAGACTTGGACCAAGACGGACCAGGCTACACTAGCTTCCACTCAGATTTGGGTTGGGTTTGTTTTTGGGGAGGGAGCGGTGGGAAGGGTTGCGTGCAGGGGTGGTGCGGGAAACTTCTTTCTCATGACAAGGGGCACTTCTGCCGGACCATTTAGGCAGACATGTGCCATCTGCTCGGCATCTAGCTTTCTTACGTACGCAATCTGCCACATGCACACGCGTGTCTAGTGGGCCGATTCGGCATGTTGATTTCTTGTCTTCATGTCGTTGCCTTGCCGCGACGCCCTGCGAGCGCCCTTGCGAGGAGTGCGAGAGAAGCCTGCCAAGGAGCGCGTGCGATGGATGCCTGTTGCTCTGCAGTGGGCTGGCACGGCACGACTTGTGGTGATGTTTCCGGTGGGTATGATAGTACCGATATTCACACGAATTTTTTGGTGAAAGCTGTAAGCCGTAGTTGATTGGGAGATCTATCAGGCCTGCCTCAATGTGTGTGTGTGTCTCCACCGCCTAGGAGTCCTTTCCGCCACCGTGTGCTCCTTGTTCTTCCTTGTGTAGACATTACAGGATGCTTGAGGCGACCTCTTATATGAAGCTCGCTGAAAGTGCGAGACCGGAGGGGTATATTCAACCGTGGAAAAAAAGAAAAAAAGTCAAGCCCAGAACCCCAGAAGACGTATATCGCTGTCCCAAATGCAACCCCTCCCTCTCCTTTTTGCCATGTGCAAAAGAGCCAAAGGCCTGGTTGAAAAGCCACTTTGCTGTATCTGATCGCGCCAAACTCCGTAGCCAAATTAAGCATGAGATGGGTGTGTGCGTGCACCGCTGGTGCTTTTGGAAATAGGCAACGCTTGAGACGTAATCGTCGATCGCTGCCCAGCAGCCCAGCCTCCAGGCCTGCTGCAAGCTTCCTGCCGAGTGAGTGCGCATGCTCTGACGCCTGGTCACCGAGGACCCTGCCTCTATGCTGCTGCCTCGGAAAACAAAGATCTATGCCTGCTGCCTTGCAAGTCAGTGAAGCTGCACACCACATCACCTGCCTCTTCCAGGAGGTAGATAAAAACAAACTCACAAATTCACCATCCGCCCTCTCCTTTCCCTTCCCGGGGGCATCCTCCTCCTCGGCCAGCTCTAGTACCTCGTCCCCGAGCTGCTGCTGTTGTCCCCTGAGAAGTTGTCATAACCCGAGCCCGAATCGAATGACAGATACGAGGGCGATGAGCCCGAGGCGGACAGGGCGTCGAAATACCTGTTGTTGTTGTCACCACCACCACCCGCCCCACCGTACCCGCCCGCCAGCTGCGCGTCATAGAGCTGCGGGTCGTAGAACGCGCCGTAGTCGTACTGCTGCTGCTGGTCCGACAGCCCGCCCCCCCTGCGGCTGCCCCGCCGGCTCTCGCTCTCGTGGCCCATGGCCACCATGTGCTGGATGCTGACCCCGCCCCACGGCACCCCGGACAGGTAGTCGTCGTACTCGCCGCCCGCCGACGCGAAGTCCGACGCCACCGGCACCTGGTACGAGCTGCCTGCGAGCTGCTCATTGCGGGACTCGCGCTCCTCGCGCTCTTTTTGCTCGCGCGCCTTTTCGCCTGTGGGAAAGGTTAGTCTCAGCCTTACTCTGAGGAGGGGAGATTCTCGCTGCACTGGGGAATCCGTGAGGTTTCTGGGAGGGGGGGGGGGCGGGTAAGTACTCACGGAATTTCCTCTGCGCGATCCGGTTCTGGATCCGCCTGCGCTCCTCGGGCTCAGTCACTTCCGACCAGTCGTCGCCCTTAGATTGGTGTTTGGACGAAGACCCGTGCTTCTTTGTGCTGGAGGACGAGTGATGGTGGTGGTGTTTTGACGATGACCCTGACGGCATGTTGCTGTGATCCTCTGTCTCTGTTTCTGAGCCGGATTGTGACTGCTTTCTCGTTTTCCTGCCGTGCCGTCTCCTGGACGAGGTCTCGGGAGCCTGCTCTTCCGGTGGGAAATGGGCCTGGCGTGGGGTGAGCGTCTCCTCTGAGCGCTCGTCTTCGTCTTGTGGGGGCGCGTCTGTGGTGACGAGGGAGAGGTTTGCAATTGACTCGGTGACAGCCGAGAACTCGGGTGAGGACATGTAATGACGAAGTCTCGATATGAAACCGCGTCCCTGATGATTCCTCAACCTGTCTAAGAACAGCAGGTTACAATTTTGGCAGCCAGGTCGGTCAGTGACCCATCAACCTGGTTGATACTGCTTGTTTGAAGGTTGTTGGTACTTCCAACAACAACTTGATAGAGTAGTGGAAGTGGGTAGAGGTCTTTGCATAAGCAGATGTGATTCGTCAATAACAATGGTCGTGAAAAGAGGCTGACTGAATATTCAGGTGGCAAGTTCCATATGTTTATATACTACCATGCTGAAATTCGTAGCCGGCCGGGACGACAAGGATTTGCCTTGTACGTGTAAGTCCTCACGTATACACCAGGGGAAGACGCGCAGCTTACACCCCGGGCGAAGAAGTCTCCGGCCCATGCCGAAGTTGACCATTGTTGCCCGGTGGGAGACATGATGACTACCTGCCGCGACAGAGGGTGACGCACAATTCCGACCTGGGAGGGTGCCATGCTAGCAAGGGTTGGTCACAGACGAGGAAGTCCCGTTGATGCCCCCCATGCTGTCAGAGCGAAGGACTTTGGTGGGAATGTAGGACGTGTGTGGATATGGCGGGTGGGCGGCGGCTACACTAGTAGCGGCAGGATGGGCCACGGGGGCAATGACGATGCGGGAGGAAGAGAGAGAGGCGTGGACTCCGTAATGGCCGGGCAGGGAACGAATAGGCACACCTGGAAGTGGAGACAGGTAACAGCGTTATTGCAGATACCTTAGGCAGGCAGCACTGGAAATGAAACCGTGCCTCATAGCTCGGGCAGACTAGGGAGAACCAAGAGAAGCGGAACGGTGTCAAGTGAGAGCGACAAATGACCCCTGCTGTCCCTGACAGGTCGGTGTACCTGATGGGGAGCCCAGGGTCCAGCCTTGCTTATTCGCATGGCCTAGGACTAGACAAGAACGCGAGATACGACGGCAAATGGTAACTGGTTGCTTTGGGGGGAGCTTTGTCCACTTGGACACTCTGGCCATCCTGCGCAAAATCCCTCCTCGTTTCTCGACCAGCAAACCTTTGATACCAGCCGTCAGTCTAATTTAGGCCTGCCTGAATCGGGTATTAAGCAACGAGCGGATGCCTGGCCTCATGAGCGAGGTGCAGCGACGGCGCTATATGCACGGTTGTCGAGTCACTTGGCACTAGCCATACTGTCGGTATTTAGTCCGATCTGATATCGGTTGTCGGCCCTGGCCAGTGTGAGTGGGTGAGGTTGCCACTCCGTGGCCTCGGGACTTTTGCAGACAAGCCATTGGGGGTCAGACAAAAGCCACAAGTTGGCTGTGTCCCGGGGAGACAGCACGCGGCGTCCCATAAGCTTCAGCAAATTGGGAAATAAGCTTTGCACCCCACGATGGTCTGCTAGCAGAGGGTGGCATCGACAGTGTGGAAGGGCGAGAGTCGGAGTTCAATTGCTCTGTCCACTGGTACCTTGAAAAGGTCCTTTTGATCTGTCCTGAGCCTCTTATGCCTCGCAGGCAAGAAAAGTAGACAAAAGCCGGTGTGACGAGGTCGATATGGCTGGAAAAGACTGGTCCAAACCTAGCGTACCTGTTGCTGGTTGCGCAATTGTGCAATATTCCATGCCATGTTGAGATATAGAGCCGAAGAGGGGCTGAAGGTTCAGGCTTGCCGTCTGTAATCCGAGCTTAGTCGCAGCACTGATGACGCAGCACAATCTGTCTTCTTCTGTCTCCATGGAATGAATATAGCAGGATGTGGGAGCCAGGATGATACGAAAGGATCATCTCGAGCCGGCCGGCTCGGCCGCGTGAGATCGTGAGTCGTCGTGAGTCGTTGATGGAACATCCTGCAAGCCGTAAGGAATTCGCAAAATAGGTCCAGCAATGCCTTCTCCCATCCTGGAGCACATTGTCGAGGAAGGCCAAGACGAGGCACGCTTGGACGGGTATGACGGGACGGAGCGAGTGACCTTGACGGGTGATAGAAGCGCTATCATGAGTGACATCCAGTGGATTGAGCTCCTGGATCTCCCGTGATGAGCGATGCCCTGCCCGCTAAAGTGGCAGGGCAGAGCATGCCTGCGTGCAACGTGCACCGTGCAACATGTCGGCAGAGAGCCAAGGGGTGTGACGGACGTCGACCTCGGGGTGACTCATTGTGACTCCAGAGGACAGAACCCTCGTTCCTGACTGAGTCACCAAGGCCAGCCAGACCTGCTAAGCGAGATGCGAACAGGGTCAGGGCGTAAGCTCGAGGCTCTGGTAGAGAATGACGAACAGCACTTGCTGCCCCAGCAGCTGACCAATCCTTCGGAGCTCGGAGTCGGAATGTATTCTGTGGTTCGGGGGGCTGGTTCGCGGGCTGGTCGTCCGCATAAGGTAAGGCGAGGAGCCGCCCGCAGGCTTCAGCAAAGAGAGAAGCTTAACCTGAGGAAGCTTACCTGCCATGCCTGCCAGCCTGCCAGCCTGCCAGCCTGCCAACCTGCTGGGGCGGGGCCCCGCTGTGCCCGAGCGCCGATGCTCCCCTGCACCTAATCATTTTCGCGCCCCCGTTATTCCCTTGCTCTAGCCGGCCGGTGAGAACCGGAACGCCCAAACCGCGAACAGGTCAGCGGACGACACACGACCAGGCACTGATTCGCCAATTGATAATTTTCAGGATGGAGTTCCCAATTCCAGGGTCCAAAAGGATCTCAGCTCCGAGCAGACTCGGCCGGGTCTCTCCTATTCTCGTGGTCTGGTGACCTGAACAAACTGCAAACGGGTTTCATGTTCCCGCAAACTTCCTAATGCCTCAGAGACAACAAAATAGAAACTGGGCAGCCAATTTCGTTTCTGGACCAGTCGCAGGGCACCGATCTCTGGAAATCTCATGGCTCGGGTGTTGCAACCGATCGGAGCAACTCTGGTCCTTCTGAGCCAGGGGCTGACGTCCAAGTGCGGGCTGCCACGCGCGCTCTCTCGATTGGGAAAAATGAAATGTAAAATGTAAATGAAGATGAAAAACAAAAAAGACTTGAATTCCGACCGCTCGAGAAGACGCGTATCGTTTATTCATGATGTGCAGCAAAGTGGATGATTATGGCGTGCATCAATATGGGGTTGCATGGAACTTTTCTGGATGCCTAGTTTTTTGTGGATGCGCATTCGACATCGGATGACGCGGACAGAGGTAAGCCGACCGCCTGGTTGGAGGGGGGAAGCCACCCAGCACGCCAGAGCACCAAGAACACCAGAGAAACACCCAGCCCTGCCAAACCTTAAAAGGAAGGTTATCGTGAGGAACACCTTAAATCGATGGTATACGCGTTCCCAGACCAGATGACGTCGCACCAGATTTGGAAGCTTCTCGATCGTACAAGTTGAGGCTCCGTGGTCCCAAGGCTGTCGACTTCTACTGCTCGAATTCTTCTTCCTCTCACCTTCTTTCAGCACAAGTTTCTCTCTTTGCTGGTATGAGAAGGCTTCCGGATCTACCATTCGAGGGACAGTAAACATTCTCCAAGGCGTCGATGGCACGTGAGTCTTACTGGTTGCGACTCACCACCATGAATGAGCATGGGTGCAGTACCACAAAGCTCGACCCGACAGCATGGGTGGCATGGGACACCCCGGCCCGATCCGCTAAAGCCTAAAAAGCGGGGACTTGTGAACCGTCCTGTCAGAGGTACTTGCTCTGTTCAGTGGCTGAGCAACTTTGCGCAGACATATATGCCTCGAACCCATCACTTGGCGTTGATCTTGATAAATAACCCAGAAAGCCTCTGTTGAAACGTTGGAAGGAAAGGATAGAAATCAAAGATTTCACGCCATGGAAACATCACCGAAACCCTGGCCCGAGTCTGCAAATCCAACTGTGCGTGGCGGGCATCAGCCTTGCACGATGCAGCTCAAGGTGCATTATCAAACTGCAATCTAGTACCAGCTTACCAAAACTATCACATCACGGAAAGACTGCCCTACAGGATGCTATTCATGGGCTGAGACACAATTAGGCCCCAGCCATGGTGGTGCTGTTAGATCCACCTAGATGACTGGGCATTTCAATAAAACGACCATAGGTGGATTTGTTTGTTCGTTATCGTATACCCGAGAGACACAGGAGAATTTTCGTATCTTTGGGTCCTTATGCATGTGTTGACTGATACTCCTACTTCGTGAACGCTAGTTGATGTGTGAACACCATTCTACAGCCGACTAAGACCTCTCGAGTTGCTCTGTCGGAAGCTTTCTAACCTGGCTGATTTTGCAAAGGGGCAAGCCTCTGCCGCTTGTGTCTTCCCCGTCAACCCGCCATCACAAATAATGGATCGTTTAGAGCGTATTGGAAGTCACCGCGCACATACAGCTCTCACACCCGTCAGGCATTAACCAGCATGACTTGGCTCCCATATGATATTGGTATTTATACACGACCGACCAGCCTACACACGAGGACACACGAGGACGCATGAATACGCAGACCGACCTCGACCCAGGTATCGCAGCCTAGCCCTTGCTCCTGATGCTACCTCATGCGAAGCCCATAGCCTCCCTCTGTGCCTTCCTCTCGGCCACACGCCTCTTGAACCTGACCTCGGCACGTCTCCTCTCACCACCATCGATCTTGCGACCCCTCTTCTCCTCCCACATGCCCTCTGTGACGCTGACGGTAGCTGCGCGCCCTCCCTTCAAGGGCAGGGCATACGGGCCAACAACCGTGCCATTCCCCTCGACATGGTACCCGTCGATGCTGACCCTCTCTTCGGCGGGGACCTCCTCAGCCTTCTTGTCCACAGGGATGTTGACGACGTGGCGCGAGAAGTCCAACGGGCCCCTCTCGACGTCGACCACGGCCAGCTTGGCCTTGCCGTCCTGCACGTGCTTGATGTCGCCGCCGGGGCCGAAGTACCCGGCCCGGAACTTCTCGCGCCAGTGGATCAGGTAGCGCCGCGTGCGCGGCGGCTCGATGCCCAGCTCCCGCAGCTGCGGCGACGTCAGGGAGAAGAGCGCCTCCCAGGTCGGGAACTTGGCCGTGTGCGAGCTCAGGCCGCGGCCGATGAGCGTGAGGAACGTCTTGACGTCCGGGACGAAGGGGGTCGGCGACGGTATTATCGGCGCCTTGCTGGCCTGCTGGTGTGCGTGTCGGATCTGGAGGGGTTGTTGGACGGTGCTCGGCCGCGTCAGGAGGCGCAGGGCCGTCCGGAATTGCGACGTCTTCATGATCTGCTGGGGCTGCGGTCAGAGGTGAAGGGTGCGAGGGCGAGGGCGAGGGCGAGGATGGGACACAGCAGACGTACCATTCGAATACCATGCCAGTGCCAATATTTCGAAGAACAATGCGCCCCCGGAATTGGCAGAATCCTAGTCGCAAGCAATTCGGATGCAGCTGTGGAGGTTGGGCTTTCTCGACGCAGGCGATGGCAGATCGCAGCTGGCTGCTGCAGCTCAGAAAATCCTGGATGGCCCGTGCGTGCTGCCAGGCGCGGCGTCGGATCGGCAATGCAAGGCAAAAAGGCAAGAGCAGCGTTAAGTGGCGTCGCGTCTTATCGATAAAATCATTACCAATGATACGCGACGCCCACCACCCTGGCCCCTGCACCATGCACATGCTCTGGGGGGAGCCATCACTCTATCATTGACCACCTCTAGGCTGCGACGCCTTTCCTGGATGTGAATTGTTCCCTCTCTTACTCCTACTTACTTACATACTCTCTTTCTATTTTCTCACCACCTGCATCCCACCCCCATCCGCTGTGGCCTCAGGCTGGGCAAGGCATCTTGGACTTGCCAGAAGGTTCGCCCATACAACCTGCAGGTATCTCTCACTAACAAGGCGGGCCGTTATGGGTCGAAGGGCTGCTGTGGGAGCTCGCCGCTCACAATCAGATGCCGTTGTTCATGTGCACGCAGCTGGTCAGTGTTTCACCGAGCCTTTTCCATTTTCTCATCGAGAAACTCTCACTAATCGTCTTTTTAGATCCATTTCCATCGTCTTTAAAGGATTTCTTCCGTTCTCTATCCGGCAAGGAGAACGGCCAGGACAATCGTCCGGCCAAACGCCGAAAGACCGATGTTGGCGGCCCCGACTCGGTCACCATCATCCGGGAGGAGCTGGTGATATCCAGAGCAAACCGCCACACCCCTCTGGATTCGACGTCTTTCCACGCTCCTGGTGTCCAGTCCCACCTCCGATTTGGCTTGCCCGACTCAGATGTTGACGCTAAACCTGCCCACTCTTACATCTTCACTGTCTCGACAAAGTCATCCAAGGGTGACCGCTTCAGTGTTGCATTTCCACTCAAGACGAAAGATGTATCGGATCGATTCGCATCAATCATTGCGGCACGGGATGTCCTGTGGTCAGATCCTGGAACTGAGGATGCTATCTGGGTGAACGCAGACGCTCGACTTGAGGAGGGCGACGGCACCACGACACTCACATTTGACTTCCAGATTAACTGGAACATCAGCACCACAGTCTACACGACCACATTTTCGCCATATCAACAGAGATTTAGAAGAGAGATCTTGGCTGAAGCTTTCCCTGGATTTTTCGCGGCCCCAATAAAAGATCAAGGGAACTCTTGCTCACCTCAGATGTTCTACGAATCAGCACACGTCCCCAACGCAGATGCAACTCCTCCAGAGGACTTTCTGATCTCAGGGATGCAAGCAACACTCTACCCTTTCCAACGCCGAGCTGTGCAATGGATGCTTCAACGGGAAGGTGTGCAATGGTGCCGGGAATCAGACGGAAATGATGGCGTCGTCAAGGAGATAGGCTTCGAACGCTTCGACTCCCCAAGCGCATTTGTCAAGACGCGGGATGCTGATGGGCAGGTCTGTCACATCAGCAAGCTTCTCGGGAAAGTCACCAAAGACCCAGCGCATTATGAGAACTTGGAACAGAATTTCAGCGGCGGAATCCTCTCCGAGGAAATGGGTTTGGGAAAGACTGTTGAGATCTTGGCTCTGTGTCTTCTTCACCGCCGACCTGCCGGGTCCGCAGAAGCTTTCGATTATTATCTGGGTGAGAAAGTCAAGACGACGCCAGCTACTCTCATTGTCTGTCCATCATCTCTCAAAAAGCAGTGGCTTTCAGAGCTCAACAAACACGCACCTGGTCTGAATGTCATGGCGTATACTGGCTTAAATCAGCAGGTACGCGAGGAGCAGAGCAGGGAGCGGGCACTCATTGAAGAGTTGGCCAGCCAGGATGTGGTCATAACCACATACAACGTGTTGACTTCGGAACTCGACTATGCACTTGGCGAACCAGACAGGTCGAGACGGAATCCCAGAAAGTACCACCGCCCTAGGTCTCCGCTGACACAGCTGTCTTGGTGGCGTGTATGTCTCGATGAGGCTCAGATGATCGAGAGCGGTGTCTCAAAGGCAGCCACTCTGGCGCGACTCCTCCCTCGCATCCACGCTTGGGGTGTCACGGGGACACCCGTAAAAGACAGCGTCGAGGATCTTCGAGGCTTGCTGCTATTCCTGCGATACGAGCCGTTCGCGTCCAATGTCAAGGCCTGGAACGCATTGATCAACACCAACCAAGATGGCTTCCGACGACTCTTCAATCAGTTGTCTTTGCGTCATTCCAAGCGGCTCGTGAGACACGAGATCGATATACCTGCGCAGAAGCGATACGTCATCACGATGCCTTTCACAGCGGTCGAAGAACAGCACTACCAAAGCCTTTTCCGTGAAGTGGTTGAAGCTTGTGGCTTAAACACCAACGGCGACCCTATTCATGAGGATTGGGATCCAGAGGACCCTGGTGTGCTGGAAGGAATGAGAACCGCCCTGGATCGATTGCGGCAGACAGCACTACACCCCGAGGTTGGCCACCGGAATCGGAGAGCCTTGGGCCACAGAAAAGGCCCAATGCGCACTGTTGCGGAAGTGCTTGACGTCATGATTGAGCAGAGCGAAGTTGCCATACGTGTTGACCAGCGTGCCCTACTCTCAGCCAAGCTGACGAGAGGTCAGCTGTTGGAGAACTCGCCCCGGGTGAAGACTGCCCTTGAGATTTGGAAAGGAGTCTTGGAAACCATTGACAACATCGTCAAGGATTGTAGAGACAAACTTCATTTTGAGATCGAAGCCGCAAAAACTTCGGCTGGAGATGCCACTGCCGAAGACGATGCCGACGATGAGGAAATCAATACAGGGCGTGTGGGCGAAGCACGAAGACGTTATCGGTCGGCGCTGGAAATTCAACACAAAGCCGTCTTCTTCTGCGCCAACGCCCAATACCAAATCAAATCGAACGAAGAGATGACCGCCCCCGACTCGGACGAGTTCCGTCGGCTTGAGAAGTTGGAAGTTGAGGGCTATGAGACGGCAAAGAAGATACGCAGAGAGATTCTGGATGAGAGCCGTCGTAAGGCGGAACGATTAATGAAGAAGATCTCCGATGCAGCATCCAAGCAGTCCTTCGCTGTAATACCTGAATATAAGAGTGTCGATAAGCGTGGAATCGAGAGCCGAGCAGTAGTTGAGGACCTGGAAGAGCTCGCCGCGGCGCTGAACGAGCAAGCCGACCAGCTCGATGACTGGCGCGAACATGTCATTCAGCTTCTCCTAAAGGCTCTTGTTGATGAGGATGATGAGGTCGAGATCACCGGTGACGAATATGAGGACTCGACGAAACTCATGGAAGAGATCGTGGTATACATCCAGATCCTAAGGGCGGCGATTGCTGATCGCGAGGAAGCCGTGACTGGCGCGCCCAATGAATTGGTCAAGCACGAGGCCAGGGTATCACTCCAGCAAGCTTTCACGGGCGAAGGTCCATTCCCTGAGAAAGTGATCGAACTATTCGCGGTGCGCGACAGGATCAAGCCACAGCCTCCGAGAGAAGCCAAAGAACTCCACTCCCTGCGAGCCGTCGTGGCAAAGCTACGCACGATGACCGTCAAGCTCCGGCACGACGCCGCAAACGGGTCCAACCGTGCCAAGCTCGAGCTGGAGATCGTCTCGGAACAGCTGAAGACCACGCAGAAGCAGCTCTCAGAGCAGCAAAAGGTCACACAGGCAATGGCCTCTGAGTTGGATCTCTTCACCTCCACAATGAACGCACGGGTGGAGTTCTACCGCCAGCTGCAGAATGTATCGGACTCGGTTGCTCCATACGAGGGGCCAACTGGGGACGCCCAGATGAACCTACTGCTGGGTCAAGAGGAGACTCTCGCGGAGAAGCTGGAGGCTTCGAATGCGAAGCACAGATATCGTAAGTGTAGATTGTCCTCCCTTTATAGTCTTCCTCACATCCCAGCCAATTGCTATACAGTACTGACGAGTTATAGTTCTTCATCTCAAAGATATGGATGCCAAGGACGGTGACCAGCGGGTTTGTATCATCTGCCGAGAAAACTTCACCCTTGGAGTCTTGACTGTTTGTGGCCACCAATTTTGCAAGGAATGTATCACGCTTTGGTTTAAAGCAAACCGCAACTGTCCAGTCTGCAAGAAGCGTCTGAACAATTCCAGCCTTCACGACATCACCCTTAAGCCGCAAGAACTCAAGGTCCACTCGGACTCAACCACAACATCATCCAAGAATTCTGCTGAAAATGCCAGTAAGAATAGCCCGACTGCATCCAAGAAGTCGGTCATCTACAGCGAATTCAGTGCCGAGAAGCTAGCTGAAATCAAGAACATTGATCTTGATGGACCAGCATTCACCACAAAAGTAGATAACCTCGTGCGTCATCTGTTGTGGCTGCGCGAGTCCGACCCGGGAGCCAAGTCGATTATCTTCTCGCAGTATTACGACTTTCTCAACGTTCTCAAGCTGGCCTTCCAGCGATACCGAATCGGCTTCACCTCGTTCGATAAAACAAACGGCGCCACTGATTTCAAGGAGGATCCTTCGATCGAGTGCTTCTTGCTGCACGCTCGTGCACATTCCAGCGGTCTCAACCTCGTCAACGCCAGCCATGTCTTCCTCTGCGAGCCGCTCATCAACACCGCACTAGAGCTGCAGGCCATCGCGCGAGTGCATCGCATCGGACAGGACCAGGAAACCACCGTCTGGCTGTACATCGTCGACGGCACGGTCGAGGAATCGATCTATAACCTGTCTGTCCGGAGGCGCATGGCCCACATCGGCGAAAACACGCGGGACCGCGGAAAGGGCAAGTTAACAGAGGCCACGCCCGAGCCGGGCGACGAGGCGATCGAGGCGGCTAACTCGATGGAGCTGGAGCACGCGCGGCTGTCGAAGCTGATGCGCAAGGGCAAGGCGGCCGGTGAGGCGGTTGACAAGGGTGACCTCTGGGAATGCCTCTTTGGGCATATGGCACACGGCGGGCAGGCGGCGAACGGCAGCGGTGTTAAGGAGCCCGGCCCTGCCATCCGTGGGTTCCTAGCTGCCGAAGCTGCGGAGCAGAGGAGGGGCGAGGCGAGTGAGGGGCCTTTGCGCCTTGTCAATGGGCTTTGATGTTTTCAAGGCTATCTCGTATACTTCGGGATGAATTTTCCATTTTCTCTTGTACGAGAAATAGATACAGGCACCTTCAAGACGAGACGAAGACCAGATGTTTCTTGGTTTGTGTTCTGATCGATGGCACTTTTGACTGGGATAATTGACCAGCGATAAATAGAGAAGAAAATAATGTTCGCCTAAGAGATATTGGCCTTGAAGAGCAGTATACGCACTATGATAGATCGATCTGATACTTGCCCACTTAAATCACGATGTCAAGTATATCGTATTGCAACCATGTTTTCGTGTTTTTTAGGCACTCACTCGCGACTGATTCGATTGTACGTCAAGTGATCTTCGAACTGATGGACCGGGAGAGACATTTCGGCAAAGTTCGGCTTGAGCTGTACCGACGGGTATGTGGTTCACATCTTCATGTATCTCGCCTGACTCAATAGCACGCACATGTTCAGGACATCATCAAGATGAGCCGGAGAGACCAGAGCCTAACCTTCAACACACATAATAAATTCGAATGAGAGTGGTAAACGTGGACACATGGGGCCAAGCTGTATGTATGTATATATGTAGTCAAAGACACGGTCGATTCCAGATAAGCACCAACGGAAGATGCCGAAGGGGGTGGGCAGTGAGAATGCAATGACATAGTTGAGTTCCCAACGCTAAGGGTAGCACTCGGACCCAACCTCGGAGACGCCAGATGAATCAAATACGTGGACCTTGAGTCTTACATTAGAAGGACGATGACTGCTTATTTCTATATATATGTACGCATATGCACAATATAGTTCGCGAGAAACGGCCTTACCGACCAACTGAGCTCCCGTCTCAACGCATATAAGCCGTAAGCGCTTGCGCTCCTGGTGGTGCACAGCAGACGCCCGACTGCGACACTCACGTGCCGATCCGCAATTTCTTCCTCCCCAATGGGCCGGCGATGTCTCATTCTCGTACAGGCAGTTGATGCTCACGCGGGCTGAGCGAGCCTTCTGCGCCTGGGCGCCGTGATCTGGCATGTGACACCTTAATAAGGCTCTGGAGGTGGTGCCAGCTTCTTCTCATATATACTCTTTCCTCGCAAGGCTCTGTGGGTGGCAGGAATGCTCGCTTATTTCCTTCTTTCTCTTCGGAGCCCCTCCGTTTTCTAGGATGTCGGACCCTCTCAAAACCAAGGCGACGAAGCCTCGCCGCATTGACTTCTTCGGCTCTAAGCCCGCGGGCGGCCTAGTGAACGAGTACAATTACACAGATGTTCCCAGCAAGCTGCTGTTCTGGGATATCTACTACATCTTCTACTATGCGTGGTCGATACCCCTCGTCATCCAGCCCCTGAGGCCGCAAGATGGAAACCGCTTCGACGAGCTGGCGTGGGGCTGGAAAAACGCGTACTGCGTGGTAATCCATATTGTTCTGATAGTCATGCAGCTCGGCTTCCTCATGGCCATGCCACTGGCGTTCTTCATCCCGCCTTGGACGACGACGGCGTTTATGGCGGTGTTCTGGGCGGTCACCTTGCTTCTTTGTAGGACGCTCAATGGCTCCAGAATGACGCATATGTCCGATCCGAGGTATACCGCAGGAAGGGAAGCCCATGAAAACGAGCAGTGGCTCTATATCAATGGCATCTCTATTGGCGAGCACTGGCTCAAGAACAACCTTGATAGGCTAGCTCTCACCTTTGGGCGGCCAGTTCTGGGCATTCACAACTCGACGTGAGTGGCACTTATGATTAATTTAGACCCTGGATGTCACCTTGACTAATGCAATCTCATGAAGCTACGGTATTGTCTTCGATCTTCTAGAATGCATAGTCCAACGAACATTTGGCTACGCTACTGAGGACATACGGCGATGCTATGTGGAGGTGAAAAAGGCGTTGTGCGACGAGAAAAAGACCAAGGTCATTTTTATCCTACACTCTCAAGGAGGCATCGAGGGCGGTGCCATCATCGACTGGCTCCTGCAAGAGCTACCGCAGAACTTGCTGTCAAAGCTAGAAGTCTACACATTCGGCAACGCGGCAAACCATTTCAACAACCCCTACCGTAGCGCCGCCGCTCAGTCCGAGGCCGAGCAGAGGCCCCTGGCCGCTGCGGTCGACGCAGCTCTCAGTGCAAAACCAACTGCCCCCACACCAGCAGCAGACCCGAAGCCCCAGGAGAAACCCACGTCTAATAATGACACCCCGCGCAGCACCCACCCGCCAACCCCACCGACGCCGTTCTCCCCGAATGTGACCACGCCGCCGACGTCCCCCGGCGCCCTGGCGGGCCGCGAGACGGCGAGCAGGGACCCGGCGGCGCTGAGCGGCAACGCCATCGGCCACATCGAGCACTACTGCCACTCGACCGACTTCGTGGCGCTGTGGGGGGTGCTGCACTTCAAGACGGCGAGCGCCGCGGACCGCAACGCGCCCATCTTCGCGGGCCGCGCATTCAGACGCGTGGGCCCTTGGGGCCAGGAGGGCCACCTCCTGTGCCAGCACTACCTGAACGCCATGTTCCCGCTCGAGCGGGACCCGCGGACGGGGGAGCTTGTTGGGTGCGCGGACACCAACGACTTCATGGAGAGCGAGGTTGCTGTGAGGCCTGACTCCGAGGACGAGCCTGGTCCGGGGGAGTCGCTGGGTGGTGCTGAGGGGGATGGGATGACGCGCAAGGTGAAGGAGCTGAGTCGGCTGTGGCAGTATCGTAATGGGAGGAGCCCGGGGGTGGATGCGTAATGGTCGCTATAGGTCCTTGCGAGTCCTCGGTAATGCTTTCTCTTGTGCGGCAAAAGTAGACTTTAGTCTTTGTTACGAAGAGTGTTCATGTCCAGCCTAGACAAGATTTGTCAAAGATTCACGATGGTCGTTATGAAAAAGAGGTGCGAAGAACCCCGGATGCTTCTGTTGGGTCGTTCGGTCATGTAGGAATGTATGCTCGCATTCCTTCTTCCAACGCTGTTGCGATATTGTACTTTCTACGTTTTGTTATACGGTATCTGAGCTGAAATAGAGAGAAATGTTGTATCATAGCGAAGCCAAGATGCGTGCCCTATTGAGTGTTTAAGGTATACTCTTCGTCGCAGCTACCACAATATACAACGCAATGAAATTGGGCAATCATCAGTCGGTCCTTATTGTGGCATACAATTATTTATATATAGTTGGGTCAAAATATGTCTTGTCGTGACTATGTATTGTTGAGAAAACTGCTTTCGATTATAAGGAGATGTACTCCCATGGAAGCACATACGCTGACATTCCTAATCCTCCTCAGGCTTCTCCAGCCATCTGCGGAGTTTGGCGAGTCCGAATGTATCGTGCTCTAGTTCTGAATGGAAAAAGGGCTTGTCATACCATCCCACAGTACCAAGTGAGTCCAATGCCTTTCCGTACGGCTGACAAGACCCAAAGTCGATGAGCACTGGCTGGATCTCGCCATCCTTGCCCCGTTTGACCATGATGTTGTCCGGATTCAGGTCGTTGTGGGCCAGGCCTAGCGAGTGTAGATATTGGATCGCCGATTCTACACCATCTGCAAACTTAGGTTTGTCCAAATTGCCGAATTCGGGGGTCGAGACCAGCTGGGTGAGTGTTTGCTCGAGTTCCTCAAGGACCAATGCACATATGCAGCCACGACAAGTCCGACAGCCTAAGTACTGGATAATGTTGGGGTGCACTGTTTGTGAGATTTGCTCCATGATGAGCGTCTCTTGCAAAATTGCTTTGGGTACGAAAGGCGTGCCTCTCATATCCTCAAAGCTGTTCAGTCCAGGCCGCTTGATGTAGGTCGGTCTTTCTATGTTGTCAGGTGCGATGGTGAGAGGTGGCTGCGAGGGTATGTTGGGGTAGACTTCTTCATCAGGGATGCGCTCTAGAGAACTTCTGAATTCTTGGAGAGTGAGATCCTTCTTGTTCTTGAAGGTTTGACCGAAGTATAGTTTCTGGTCACTGGTAATGTGATAGAAGGTGGTGTGTTTGGCTACGGTTGCACCTGGGCTGAAAGATTCAATGATCGTGAGGTCTCGAAGAGATTTTAATTCTGGAACTACATCCTCGGTCGGTTCCCCGGAGGAGCTGCTCTCGTCTCGCAGAATTTTATCGAGAGAAGGCATAGCTGTGTTAATGGAAACGACGTGGCGTTCGATGTACAAAATGTTCCTTGGTGCGGGGATGAAGCAATTTGATTAAATTGGCTTGAAGTAGGCAGCCAACTGGCACCCATATTTTGCAACTGCAGCCTAATGTCTGAGCACTGAGCAAGCATCTACTTTTCTGATATATTTGGTACGGTACTGCATTTCTTACTGGTTCTCAGCATGCAGGCCGCTCTCGAGCTCTGAATAAATTTGATCGAGACATTTCGGGCCTGTGGGATGTCCAAAGTTGTGTGGGAGAATTACATACATACCGATGCGTGTAAAGCAAAACGAAAGCACTCGTCTAAATGACATTGGCTAGCGAGGCGTGTCCTGTCTTACTTATCATGCAATTCTGCTTGAATCGATTGGCTGGGACTACGTGAGCCGAATGTACTGTGTTGAGGACTGTATTTGGGAAGACCGTATACATATTGATTCCGTACTACATTCTTCTAAGTAAAGTGCAAGCGCCAAAAAGACCCTAACAAGATGAACTGTGAATTTTGTCACTTTGATTCAAACAGTGAAAGTTCTACTTCCAACGTGCACTTCATGTTCTCTCATGGCAGGTCAACCAGATGATAAGATGCCGATAGCCGCGGATGTCGTCCATATGTGAGAGTCAGATATTCGCTTTTAGCCCGGAGTCATTGCCGATAACAGGTGTTGCCCTCCGACCACGACCCGAGCGTGCATTAGACCCTCTAACCTGCAGCAAGATAGCGTCGAAAACACAACTTGCGGCAGTCTACAGCAGCGACGGACTCGCAAGCTCACGGCTGGCGCGTGAAAAGGTGGAGGCAATTACGGAGCAGGGTGTATCATCGCGGGACGTAATAGGCCAGAGGAGTACCACTGAAGCGCTGGCTGCCCCTCAATCAATCCAGTCTTTCAAGCACTTCAATAGGCCCAATCAGGCATTCTGGAGAGTCGGTCAAGCGGGTTTGGGACTGCCGATATGCAGGGTCACGTAAAACTCGACAGATCCTCCGGGCCAGAGGTGAGCAGGTGGCCAAGCAAGATAAATAGGCCTTGTACCCCGCGGCAGAATATCCCTCTACCTCTCCTTCCTGACAGTATCAGACCCAACTTCTAAACCACCGCCAATCTCATTCTTCAAACCAAAACCAAGGTCTAAATCAGCCAAAATGTGTGGAACCAACTGCTCCTGCACCAACTGCACCTGCGAGGGCTGCTCGCACCCCGACCACGGCAAGAAATAAGCCGCTCTTTTGCTTCAAAATGGGTAAGTGATTGGGGAGTATCTGGCGGCGGCGTTTGTGGAGGCTTTTGACTTATACTCCCGGGCAGATTGAATTAGCTGGAAGATTGTCGCAGACACCGATGACGTCGGAATGGAGGCGAGCAACTTTGATGAAGGTTGGGTGCGCGACGGCTCAACCAGATGGACCACCGATTACTTGGAAGGGTGAAAGGGTTCTACAGACCTTGGGCCTGATGACGAAATGAGATGAATTTACTTCAAACCACCTGGGCAGCACAACCTCAGTATATGTGACTACACCAGTCCAACGCAATCCAAGACCGATGATCCCACTCCCCAGCTTTGAACCCAAATCTTTTGAGGCTTGGTGACTTCATTTCGCGCAGGACATTGTAATGTCATTTATCGAATTTGACCCGTATATGAGTGACAAAGTTTCCGTCTCGGCCACGATAAGATTTTGACCACCTCCATCCAATACTTTGATATCCTGATACACAGATCCCTTTCTATTCACATGCTCTGTATTGGATGTTTCGATGTGTTATAGTCCCTCATATACTTGTTATTTCTCATAGCCGTTGGGAAAACGACACTGCAGTATTGCCTCCACAGCCGCCGTGCTCTGTAGATCCCTCTCTGCTCCCTTCTCATTCTGCATAGTTCTCACAAGCTCTGAGTTGCCCTGGAACATTGAATTGTATATTTGTATTCGCCCAGCACTGAGCCAGATCTCTTTGGACGATTCGCATAGCTATGCTCCTAAATGAAATGAGATTGCCGGTCTAGTAAATTGAGTAGCAGCGAATGACAATATGACATGACAAAAAAGATCAATATTACATAAAACTGAATAATGGATCTTAGACATTTGATTTTGGCAACGCTCCTGGGGCGCTTCAGGTTTCTCCCCAGTGACAAAATATTCAAGCAAAGTATGCCCAGTGATGCACGCCATCATATCACCAGGTTAGTCAAGATTGAAATCTTGTTTACACCTATATTTGGCAATGGATCATGCTATATAGCCTGCGTAGCCACTAAACTGACTGATGTCACCTCAAAGGAGCCCAGAATGCTCATGTCACTCTCTTTCTCTAGGGCTTATTTCCCAGGGATAGTGCTGGACCAAGTCAGCAAGATTGCATATGGGGTGTTCAAAAAGGGACCGGCAACATACGAGGCCATACGTTTCCTTGAAAGAACCACCGATCAATTTCAAGTTCTCTTCGTTGTTATCGGGATAATCATCGTCGGTCCAAATTTCCATGATTCCGTGGTGAGCCAGGAAGCGGTACCCCTGAGCCGGATATCCATGTTGCCTGACAAACTTCAGGACGACTTCAGCATTCTCTTGGCGGGCTGGGTTTTTCTCTTCCTTAATTTGCCTTTCCACTGTATCTATATACGACTGCCAGATACTGCTATTGGCCTTGGACGTGCCAGCAACGGCTGGAGTTGACTCATTTCCACTGTTATTGGCCTTGTCTGTTGCTGTGGGGATAGACTGATCTTGAGGTTTTGATAGATTGGTTGACATTTTGATTTGAGGAAGCAAATGAAGTGGCTGAAATGTTGAGGCAGGTGGGCTCGGTCTCAGATAGAAGTAATGAAAGACTTGGCAACATGCAAATTATACACGGAATCAAGCTTAACCTCACAAGCGTTGAGTTAGAGAATGGGTTGTTGGGCTTGAGGACAGGACACAGGCTTTATATAATAGGATGATAGGTCACAGGGTGATTAGATAATCCATCAGGCACAACCAATCTGCAGCATGTGATCTGATTCGCCTACCTGTGCCGTGCAATAACACCTTGCTAAATCAGATAACCATGTGCTAAGCTAAAAATATCCATGCATGCCTCAGTCTGTACTAGAGACATGCGGGTGACAGAATCAAGAGCGCATCAGACGAGTTTTCAAATGTCTGTTGGAGGCACAGCAACTCTCTACGCTGGACTGCGCGGTGTAGGTGTTGGTTGCAATTCATGCTATTAATAAAAGCGGCAAAGGTGGGCCAGCGCCCTGCCACTGTCCCGGAAAAGCGAAGTGTTGCCCCCCTTTGTCAAATACTTCAAGGCCCAAATCTATTCCTTGGCCAACAACCCGACAAAGTCTGGTCACACCTGGCTGGGCACCTCAGCTGGGTCTTGAGATTCCAACTGTATGACCAAATTACCTGATTGCGTCGTTTTTTTGCATGCCTTGATAATTGTCTACCAGAATATGACAGAATTGCAATCTGTGTATTTTGCGCACCATGGCTAACACATCGCATCCCCTAAAAGATTGGCATCGCCAAACATCTTCTATTCCTATGATAAGTCCTGAAAGAGACCTTCGCTGCATTGAGATTGAAGCCAACAGTCACAACATCTAATTGTGGCATATATGTCCCCACAATTAGGTCTCCACGCCTTCACAATGGATTCTGTGGCCATGTCTAGCGAGCCACCCGCGGTGTCCTCAGGCAAGCTGCTATTATTAGTCGAGCTATAGACCGCAATCACGACCAGTGAATCTACGTTGGCTTGCGCCTCTAACAAAAGTGCAAAGTGGGTATTTGAGACTGGGAAACGCTGATACCGATGCACTATAAAAGATCGCTGTTCGCTCCATTCAGGATTTAGAACTCAACATTATCAACAACAATTTATTGCATCTTACCGCCTCTATTTCCTTGTTTATCTAAATTTTTGAGACACTGTATTCTTCCCGTAATCGTCTTTGGGGAAAATCTTCTACTCAAGCCCGTCCTAAACTCCGAAGAAGCAAGGCAGCTACCTCATAAATCTCACAGATTCTCATCGAACTCTACCGTCAGAAAATCAACTAAAAGTAGTCTCCGTCTTACAATATGTCTAAGCCAGCCGCAAAGACCTCTTCCCCGTTGGCCAAGCAGCAAAAGAATGTCCGAGAAAACAATATGAAGGGACTGATCGCAGCAATCGAGAGGGACTACAACCTTTCGAAGAATGCCGCCAAGAAGAAGAATATCGAAGCTTGCCTGAAGAAGGCCAAGGAGCCGGGAGCCTACCTGACTGGATTTGATGTCCTTTTCGCTGTTGACCAGCAGAAAGCGCACATTGTCAAGGATGATGCATACGAGAAGGTATTCGAGAAGTTGACCAGTCAGAACAGGCAGCTGTTGTATTCCAGGGTATGTTTGGCGTTGCCAAATCCATTTTCAATGTTTTGTTTCTGCAATGTCTAACCCTGTTTCCACAATGTAGCGCGGCACAATTGAGCAGATGACGGCTGGCGGCTCACCACCAAAGTACACACCAAAGACCACTAAGGTATTTGATCTTATTATTGGGACTTAACAAGCAAGCAGCTACTGACTCTCTTTGTTAGCCCAAAGGTCCCGATAGGGAGCAGATGATGCAAGCAGCCACATACATGATGCTGCAGCCAAGGCTTGACGGGATGGGGATGACGACAATGCACCAGGTGAGTTTTGCACTGCACATATCGAGGTTCTGCCTAAGCCGAGGATCTTGTTGACGTTGCCCCAGATTTACGCCACAATTCGTCTTCCGGAAAGATGGATACAGGCGGGACTGGAACCCGCGAAGGTCGAGGCTGCAAAGAAAGGTGTAAACTTCACGGTTGCTTTCGACACCGGTTCTTCATTGCAGACACTCCCGAAAAAGGTTTGGGAAGCCATTGCCGGCGTGAACGGCGCATCTTACGAAGGCCCAGTGGATCCCGGTACCATCACTGGAGTTACTGGCCAGGAAAACAGACCATTCGTCAAAGTCGAGATCGCCTACTTCCGCGACAGGGAATGCAAGGAGCAATTAGGGAAGTGGAGAGAGATCAGAGCTTGCTACGCTTCGACCGACGACGCACACCCTCTTACTGGGAAAGAAATTTACGACGACTTCGCCTTTATTTTGCCGAAAAATAACGGAGCCCTGATTATGGGCACTAAGAAGCCTGCTGTGATTTGGGAATATCTTAGGAGGAGCAAGGAGATCGAAGACTTTAGGCAGGTACAGCAGTGGGCTGCTGCCATGGTTGACGCCGGAGCACCTGTAGGTTCATGATGAGCGGCATAGGAGATGAACCATTTGAGGCACTGGCGGCCATCTGCATCCATGTTTGAACACTGTTTGTGTCATCCTCTCTCGTTTACAATAGACCTATATAAAACAATAAAGTGAGGAGCAGCTGGGCTCTGACATTTGAACACTTTGTTCCATCTTTGAGTTTGAATGAGCGTGATGTAATTCAGTTCCCAGTCTCATTCAAAACTGTACTTGCGTGCCTAATTTCACGCGCAGGTAACCAATTCCTAGATCTGCATGTAGGAGAGAAAAGTCCAGTGAGACTTCACGTTTTATATTGATGACCACAGACAAATTTTAACATGGATTGAGTTGATTTGGAAGAATACTTCCCGTAGGATTAAATGAAAATCCATGATCGGAGGTGGGGTCGAAAACAACGAAAGGGCAAATGATACTCAAAACCAATGATAAGTATTCAGCGTGGACTTGCTTCTGGCTAACTAGTATATTCGACGACTTTGGGCTCAAAGACTTGCTTTAGTTCTGTGACCGGATTCAATGTTTCAGGGCGGATGCAATGTGGGGGTTAAAGAGCCGTGAGATGTTGTTCAGCTTCATCCAGACATCGTTGAACGAGAGCCTTACTTGGACACGACAATGACAGTCTACGCCTTTGAGAACGGGCCATTGCTCAACTAAATGTGAGGGAGTAGTGGTCCGGTGCTAGATTTCTGACGAATTCTCGGTGGTATCATGAGAACTCAGCTGCTGGCCAGGAAAAAAGAGCAACATCTTTGGTAGATGCAAGCTGGTCGTACATTGGAGTTTGCAAAGGATCTGCTTCTGTGCATGTGTGTGTGTGTGGAGAAATGACGGCCCTAGAGGTCGCCAGTACTCAGCATCGAGACACAGCACCCAAAAAGGATGTTCTCTCATGCTACCTCTGTATCTTAGCCCATCTGCAATGTACGAGTGTCTTATAGTATTGGGAATCGGACCCACTTAGGTATTTTGAGATGTTGCATTAGATCGGACTTAGATCCATAGCTGGAGAAGAAACCCTTGGATTACATCGCGGACAAGCATGTCGCTCACATCGTGATGAACGGAGTGTGTTGCGTTGCTTCACAGTGTAATAATATACGGACTAGAAGGCATCACGTATATTAGGACCGCTGGGTAGTAAACATGCCCCTGGCAACTATATATACTTGCTGGCTAGAGAGTATCGATATCATGATTCAACCTTCTCCTGTTTTGGTCACGAGCTTTTTTGAAATCAACGCCAACATCAAGTCTTGACGTGTCCGGGTGACAAACAAGCAATAGAGCAAATGTCCATACAAGTGAGCATCACGCGTGGGATACGATATGGTTAACGAATGACGTCTTCCAGCCTAGTGAGCAGCGAACACTTTCACCGAGCTGCGGCACCAGTGACATCTCCAACAAATACGTCAGAGGTATACTTCATCCACACGAACCAACTGCGGTGATGAACAACGCCAAGGACAGACAAGAAAGCACGGGTACGGCAGAAAACCAAGGACCCGACGATGACGGCCGTGCAGGTCACGAGGGAGGAAACGCGAGCAATGCCACACCAACCGCCGAGCGCTCCAAGAAGCACCTTGAATGGTAGCGGGAAGGACGTGGGTCAGGCCGACTGACAGAACACAAGTGGTGACAAGCCATTTGACTTTGTGATTCTTGATTTCATCAGGCGTCAATACAGGACGGGACAGGATACACCATCCCGGGCCCCCATCCCGAATATTTCTGCATTCTGAAGGGCCGGCATGAACCGCCGGCCCTCGATTAAAGGTATCCCCAATGACCGACCACCACCTCCCAACAGGCTTCGATGGGGTTTTCCATTCCTCTTCTTCCTGACGACCGTGGGACACTCAGCTCTCAAATCGTAGGAAAGACGACCAATCACGTTTGCACCCGGCGATCCCGAAAGTAGTTTTTTTGTGTTTGGACAAGATTTCATCTTTTTCTCCCAGCATGCTCATTTGTTTTGAGGTGATAAGTCCCTATCGAGGACCCAGAAGTTCGACGGGCAAGCCAGCTAAATGTTCCCTGCTACCCGTCGCGAATGAAGATGTGATGCCCCCTGACCATTGACCACCACGCGCCGATCTAAGACCAAACGGAAAAAGCACACAAAAGAGGTTGGTTGTACGGAAGGTGTCTAGTATCCGTAAGCCTCGAGGGCCTTGACCGTCTTCTCATCGACCTTGGCGTTCTTCTTGCCCTCGGCGAGTTGTCGGCGGGCGGCCTTCTTGCGCTCGTAGTAGGCAGCGCCCTTGGCCTTTCTGCGCTCCTCCAGTCTGAAAAATAGTCAGTGAAAGATTCTCCCCAATTGCGCTTGGCTTCCTCGATCCTGGGCTCTGAGCGCCGTAGCCCAAAGCCACGACGATCAAGATCTTGGGTAGAACGCACCTCTCAACAACATCCTGGTACTTCCAGCCAACCTCGTGGCTCAGACGGCCGACAGTGCAGTACTTGCGGCCGGGCTGCAGCCGCAGAACGCGGAGAGCCTGGGGAACCACCATCTTCTTGACCTTGTCGTATGGTGGGGGGACACCCTCGAAGACCTTAAGGCGCTCAAGGGCGGCGGCACCACGGGCGGTCTTGTGGGGAATCATGCCGCGGACGGCCTTGTAGAAGATACGCGAGGGAGCACGGAAGTGGAAGGGACCTGCAAGCTAGGGTCAGACGGGTTGTTCGATGGGGAGACAGCGTCGTCGCGTCTTTTCGGGGAGGGTTATGCTCACCACCGCGGGTGGGGTTGTATCGGGTCATCTTGCGGAGGTAGGCGTGGTACTTGACTGTAACCAGATCGTCAGCTTTCGTCCAATTCTTGTCCTCGAAATGTACCAAATGGGTCTCGATCCAGGAATTGGGTCTGATCTCGTGTGTCTCGGGTGGGTTACGTACGCTTAGCACGGAAGAACTCTCCGGAGATGTTCAGGGCCTCGGTGCGGACGACGACGATCTTCTGGCCGCTGAGCAGCTGCTTGGCGACGATGCTGGCCAGACGGCCCAGAAGGTGGCCCTTGCCATCGATGACGACCTGTAGGAGGCAGAAACAGTCAGTATCGCGTACTGTCGGATGGGTTGTGTCGTGATGCAGTCCTCCGTCGCCTGGTTCTCGATGGATTGTCGCATATTCGTGTGTTCCTGCTCATGTTCTCCGCCGCCTTCCAACCACCTGAGTCCACCTAGGTCGCAGCCCTGTGATGCGGTGCATCCAGTCTCGTCACATCCATCATCTTTCCCATTTCCCAGGCGACAGTTGGCGACGAGTGACGGCGGGACGTCGTTCGGAAAGAAAGAACTTTGGGGGGAGGGGCTGTACTCACGACCTGCTCGAAGGAGGACATTTTGAATGTGTGTCGACGTCGTCACGAAGGGAACTGTAGAAGGGGAGACGAGGGAATCAACGTTTGCTCAGGGAAGATCTGAGCTGGCAGTTGGGTCGCCCTGTGAAGTTAGTATTCGTGGGTGGATGGGTTGGGATGGGTCAACACACACGCTTTCGTATCGGATCTGGCTGTAGGTCGCAGGTGCGAAAATTGGGAATCGACCACAACCAACTTTTCGCCCAGTCGGTTGGCCGCTGTCCGGGCCCGCCATTGGCCAGAATCCACGGCGCAGATGAGTCAGCGGAATGGCTAGGGCAGGAGCAACACACGTGATCCGGGGAGGGAAGGAGCGGCCGGGAGTGGGGCCTGCCTGATCTGGGCTCTGGAACCCGCTTTTACGACGACGCCTGCTTAAACAATGTAACCAAAGTGGTTGTCTCCTTTCCAGGTCAACTTCAGGGCATAATGATTAAATCATGATTATGGTTCAGTTTTTTGATATTAATGACCGATGTAACCGCACCGTTTCCAAATGCCTACGTACTCATTCATATTCATGTCCATACATGTACTGCATGTGTAGTCCAGGCATAAACGCTTTAGACCTCGCTCTCGCCAGAACGAACGTAGCAGAAGGCACTAATGAGAGAGGAGTAAAACGACAGTCACAGGGCGATAGAATTGGTTCTCATCATCACAGCCCAACAGAATGCATGCATGCGTGTCTATCAACCCCCCCTCAAATCATCCCCAAACTCAAACTCAGTATGCTTCAGTGGCTATGGACGGATTGACGTCCGCCGCCAACAGATTCCTCTTCCTGCCCGCCGCTCAGAACAAGCCAGGTTATGCTATCTCGCTGCCTTCCCAGAATCCCCATCAATCTCAGTCTTCAAAACAGGTACCGAAGTAGTCATGACACGCGCCAATATCCAGATGCGAGCAAAGCAGCCACCATGTCCTTTTTTCTCCAGTGGCAGCCAGGTGCTCCGCGTGTAATGCTCTCATGTGCCCTCGGTGCCGACTCCGTGTATCGCGAGGTTGCAAGAAGGATGTGGTTTGGTGTTTGCCATGCCAGCGTAGACGGTCATCTTACAGATCTATTGAAAACAACAATCGCATCAAATTGCCAGTCTGCCCACGCCCGCTCAAGTGACAAAGTACTGAAGGGAGTCCAAGCCAAATGAAGCAAGCCCACCAGTCGGGAGAACAAGTAGTGAGGCCGAAAAGCTGGGAGACCCATTTCTTGTCGACCCTGACGGGGGGCTAGATGCCGGCTTTGCAACAGCCATGCTCAGGACCCCTTAGCGTCGTCAAGTCCCTTGAGGACTTCCTGCACCATCTTCACGAGCTCCTTCCTCTTCGACCGTGCCTCCTCCTCGCCATTCGTCTCGACCTCGTCCAGCTTCAGCAACACCTGCTGCATGACCGTCTCGGACAGCCTGCGGTGCTCGTCCACGCGCTTCTTCGGGTCCGACGGCGGGTTTGCCGTGTACTGCATGCAGAGCGGCAGCAGCTGGGTCGTGAAGTGCGACTTGATGGTGTTGAGCTTGTCGATGGGCCCGCCGGGTGCCGCGCTGCCGCCCGAGACGCCCGACACGGGCGACTGCGACCTGCTCGCGCCGGCGCCGTCGGTCTTGGGCACCTCGAGGCCGCTGTCGCGAGGGCTGGTGCTGCTCCTGTCCTTCTTCTTGCTCCGCCTCTTCTTGCCGCTCTTGGACTTCTTGGAGCGCCCACCCTCCGCATCCTTGGACCCTACCACCACGACCTCCTCGCTGCTCTCCGTGCTCGAGTCGTCGTCGCCGTCGGGAAGGACAATGAGGATCTCGCTGTTGTTCTTGACGCCGAACGCGCATATTGGCTCCTCGTCAGCCTTCAGCTGCCGCCCCTTATATAGCAGCTTGATCTTGCGGGCCTTGCGATCCGACAGCTTCATGACCATCTGTGCCCGCTCCCGCACGTCGCCCACCAGCAGCTTGCCATCGCCGATACTATATGCGGGGAAATGCTCTGGGTAGGTGATGCCCTTGTTCTTGATGAGAAGGATGTCGTCCTCGTCGATCACCAGGGAAGGGCCGCCGGTCGATCTTGTGTAGTGTCGGCTCCTGTCCACTGGCTCTCTCTTGTACTCTCCTCCTGTCAAGCCATGGTTCTCCAAGTCCTCGGATGTGATATAGCTGTAGTCCTCGTCCGTCACCGCTGGCACTCCTCCATCTCTTCCCAAGGTCGAGCCGAAGGGTGAGAGGCCACCTCGATCACGCGATGACCAGCCATACCGAGACATTTTCTTCCCACTTGCGTCTTTGTCCTTTTCCGGTTTTGAAGACGTGGATTTGGCGTACACAGTGGGTATCGCGCCTAATAAGACGGCGGCGGCGGCGGCGCTGCTGTAGAAGACGGTCGGGTTGACGCCTGTAGTAGACTCGATGTACTGCGAGGCGCTATCGATGGTGGTCTGGAAGGAGGGTGGTAATTGGTTGACGAGGCTGGAGGTGATGTTTGCAATGTGCCCGGCGATCTGGGCGGCACCGGAGGATGCCAGGCTGGAGGATCCGGAAGCCACCTTGGGCAACTTTTACGATGGTCCTTAAAAGGACACGGACCGGACGTCGGGAGAAATTTTAATGGAAGAGGTTGGGCGCCAGAAGAATGCGCTCGAAAGAGTTCGGCCGGGGAGGATGCAGTCGGGTGCAGTGGATTTCCAAGGTTGACAGTTTATGGTGGCTGCGTTTGATGGTTGAATGTAGGCTGCGTCCTTGAATTCACTTCGCAAAGACTTGGTGTTAAACGAAGTTGATGCGCCCAAGTGGGGTCGATGCCGTAATGGAGAACCGCGACCCGGTTCCTATGTGCCAGCAATAGGACACGTCGGAAATCCAAGGTTGGGCTGAGCAGTAAGGGGGAAATCCCAACGTTGGAAGAAGAAACTTCGAGAGGTCTGAATTCTAGATGATAGGAGTTCTTGGGGGAAGCAGTACTGTCGGCTATGGTCACAAGGACAAGGTCTGCTTGGCTGATCTGGGATGCTTGATTCGGCAATCGAACATTCGAAAAAAGTGTCAATCCTCGACGCTGGCTGGCGGTCAAAAGAACGGGATATGGGATGAGGCTGCGGGTTCTTGGCTCCAACGTGTCGCCTGCAACTCGGAAGCCCACTTTTGGGGGGAGAGGGGCGACTAGACAGGCAGATTACAGGACGCAGTAGCTGCTTAGGGTTAGGACCTTGGTTTATCAGTGATTGTGGGTGGGGGCCCCAGCAGCACGACTGGACTTCCTGAGTCCCCGATATCGATGAACCCCAGCAACGAGCACCTCAGAAGTAGTTATTAAAGCTGAGCTTCGTTCTACAGAACTGTCATATCGGTGGCACACTAAGGCAAAAGATCAGCGTCATCATGGTTACGCCTAATTCGTCCCCATGACTGAAGGCTGCCATCCGGCTCGAACCCATCTCGGTTCCATGAAAAACATGGAGATGTCATGTCTCGCTTCACCTCGAGACGACTGGCGACAAACTCCCGGGGTTCTGGGGCCAGCTGTGCGCTTGCATGATCGTCCTCCTTGGGGACAAGGTCCATCCAGAGCAGTCCAGAGCTGTAGATCAAAGTCATTGGTTCTACGTACAAGCAGGCTGAGGACGTCTAGCCGTCTGCAGGAAAGGTCATGGGAGATCAGCAGGCGGAGTGTGCAGATTGTGGCCCCGGCTGGCACTTGCTCCCATCTCCCATGGATATACAAAGCTGGACATAAGCCTGTGCACGGCTCTGGTATGTAAATACTCTGTTGCTATGGCATCAGGAACAGTTCATCCATTATTCATCGCACGGCAATCGCCTACTGGAGGGGAGGCGAAATCCCTAGTGAGGGCGATTGTATCAGAGTGGTTTGCCGGACAGGAGCGATGGCGAATACGTCATTTTCCAGATTCCGTTTCGGAGATAAGATCTGACACAGAGAGGGAATCTGTACACTCTAGTCTCCAATTTGAACAGTCGAAGAAGAGAAAAGAAACAAAAATTTGCCAGCGAGCAAGATTATAATAGTGAGGACGGTTCACGAGAAATAAAACATTGCTACTATCTCCCTCGGGCATCTATGATTATTAACCCATGTGGGCCCTGAGATATGGTATTTGAGATACTGTGGTGGGGCCGAGCTCGAAAATGGAGCAAGGTCTGGGCCGAGGGGACCTTGAAAGGCGTGTCTGCCAGTGACAAATCCAAAACGGTGATTCCAATTGCGACTGCATCGCCTCACTTGTGTCATACCTAGGGTAGCTTATCCCCCGTCGCATACCTTGACTATAAAGCTTCCCGAAACCCCTCCGTATCCACCCCTCATTTACCGACTCAATCGCCCACTAGACAACCCCTCTATCAGTAAATGTCCTTTTTGCGCAGATTCATCTCCGGATTTGCATCACCTCCACTCAACATGGAAGCCGCAAAGACCAAGGCCCAGTCGCTCATCGACGAGAACGCCGTCATGGTTTTCTCCAAGAGCTATTGCCCCTACTGCCGCGCCAGCAAGAAGACGCTGCAGAGCGCCGGCGCCCAGTTCAAGGTGTACGAGCTGAACGAGGAGAGTCAGTACAACCCCATCCTTGTGACCCTTGCGACCTGTGATGTCGCCCCGTGGAGCGATGAGAGAGGGAGGGAGAAGCTGACCGCTGACATCTTCTGAAACGCAACAGGCGACGGCAGCGCCATCCAGGACGCTCTCGAGGAGATCTCCGGCCAGCGCACCGTGCCCAACATCTTCTTCGGCAAGAAGCACATCGGCGGCAACTCGGACCTGGACGCGCTCGGCTCCAGCCTCAAGACGAAGCTGGAGGAGGTTGGCGGTCTTGCGTAAGGGCCACTCATTCCCGTTCTGTTTGCATGATGAAAGAAAAGAAGAAAACCCACAGCAACGCGAGAACATTTCTGTGTAATAGAACGACTTGCGATTGACAAGCCTCATGATGGACAGCAGGGCGAAGTTGTAATATTACGTGACCCTGGCGGAACGGTTCTGGGGCGGATAGACTTCACAATGCATGCATGCACACCACCTGGGATAAACTCAAGAAGATCATCGCTGCCCTCACGTGGGAGTTTGCGGACCGTGCAATGTGACCCATTGTCAGACCTCGGACTATTCTGACCGTGACTAGGCGTGGAAGTACGCCGTGAACCATGTGCATGTGCATGTGATATGGGATTGTACAGCATCGTGACCATCTCGTGGCTCACAATACCTGGGTGGCTACGGTTCCTATAGGCCGCTCCACAAACTCCATGACACCGTTGATGATATTCGCCTTGGCCTCCTCGCTGGCGATTTTCTTCCCGCCGAGGTAGTTCATGAACAGCGCCCGCGATATCCTCTCGTCGCTCACCGTGCCGATCAGCTCCCTGCCGCTGGACTTGCCCTCGTCGTACACCAGCGTCAGCTTCCCTGCCTTATCCCGCAGCATCAACAGCTCCTTCTGCTTGGGTACCTTGCCCCTGTTGAAGATGCGCTTGAACTCCTTCATAGCCTCGCCGAACTCCTCATCCTTGGCCTTGCCCTCGCGCGCCTGGATCGCCCGCACGAAGCCGTCCCGCAGGTGGTGGAAGTCCGTGTCTCGCACGGGAACCACGCGCACCATGCTCCGCGCCGGGATGCCGGCCTTGAACAGCTCCTCCCAGATCTGCTCGCCCTCAACGGCGTCCATGAGCTTGGCGCGCAGGTCATCCTTCTCCGAGGCCACGAGCGTCGACGCGATCGGGTTGATCTTGCTCACGAGTTGCCGCTGCAGATCCGCGATGTCCTGCGTCGCCACGTAGTATCCCAGCACGTAGACGTTGATGCCCAGGAAGGACACGGACCGCGTGCCCAGCCCGACCAGCGTATACTCGGTGTTGCTCGCCACGGACGGCGGCACGACCAGCGTGGGCCCCGTGACGCTGGGGATGCCGCCGTCCTGGCCGTCCGACCGCGAGTTCGCCCTCCCAAAGTCCGGCAGCTCCACCGTCCGTGGGAACTCGGGCACGTAGCTGTTTCCCGTGGGGACTACCTCGCGGCCCTGCTCGTCATGTTTGACGACCTTGCGCGTGCCATCGTAGAGGGGGTCACCGCCCGGCAGCGACGAGTCGAGCTGCGTCGCGGCGCCGTTCTCCCCCTCCCTCAGCTTCTGGCTGATCTTCCAGCACACGTAGACGATGGATATGACACCGGCCACCGCGCCCGCGGACAGCGCCTGCTGCCGCGTGCGGTGGTACTCGGCGTACTGGTCGGCGAGGCGGTTGACGTTGAGGGTGTCGAGGTCGGAGCGGCGTGATGGCTTCTGGCGCGACCCGGACAGCATGCCCCGGCGGATGGTGTGCGAGCAGCGCGGGCAGATTGCTGCGGTGCTGGTGCCCGGTGTTAGGAGTGGGCGCCGGGCCAGGCCGCGCGTGAGAGGCTGGCGGAGCATATTGGACATGTCGATTGGGGCGGGAGGTGTGTGGTGCGCTGATCTGTCGCGGGGTGGGATCAATTGACGGACGACCCGCTGGTGTGTGTCCCCGAGGCCGAGTCTCGACAGGGTTCAAAGGTGGGACGGAGGGGCTCGAGTGTCGACGCTGCCCTGGGAGATGGAGGTTCGTCGGCAATCTGTTTGATGCTCCTAAGTATGAGAGAAGCTCGCTGTCCTAGGCTGTCACGGCAGTTCTCATTCGGGATTGCTGCTGCAGGTAGCTGGCTTGGATGATCGGAAGCTTTGGATGGCAAACGGCTCCTCCCATTATCGCATAAGCACGGGCTATCCAGTGCTGCAGATCTACATAATTGCGTCATTGGTTTGCGAATAGAGAGTGAGTGCCACTGCACGCAGAGCACGGGGTGCAGGGGCTAGCAACAAAGTCTATTTGATGTATCTGATCTGATCTGATCTCCACGGCTGTTCCACCCGAGTGGTCATTTGCAGGATGGATAACGGCGTCGGCAGTAAGTTTCCCAGCTCTGGGATGGCAGTCGGGTGCGAGCGACCGTGACTTAGCCACACCTCGACCAGATGGCCGCGTTCCTCCAGTCTTTGTTGTTCTATTGTCGTCGTGGCTGCATCCAGCCGGCCGCGTCTCAGACAAACCACATCAGCCAGACCAACCCTTTGGGGGAACCAACCTGCTTATTTCCTATCCTGGACGCAGATTATGTAGCTGCCATCCCAGCTATTAGTCCCTTCGACTATATGGCCATTTTAGAATGGGCTCCAATGCAGGCCAGACAGACTCGGCCGTCGCAAACGGAACAACGGAGGGAAAGAATGGTCGCCAGACACAGGTGCCGTGTGGTGCACTGCTTGCAGAGCGTGCCGACCGTGACATTTTTTTTTACCCCTTTTTGTCAAGATGTCGAGGTCCAAGACGACGGGCCAGGGGCTAAATCGACTCTGCTCCACAGCATCACGTAGACGAGAAATGCGCTGCAAATTGCCCAAATTGCCATGCGCGTGCTTGTGTCACGTCGTTCATGCCGCCACTTTGGCTTTGGCACTGACTGTGGCCCCTGATCGGGTCTGTTGCTTCAAGGGGGTGCGCTCCAAGGTGGCAAAGACCCGCATTGTGAGACGCCGCCGCCGTAAACGAGAACGGGGTTTGAGAGACTGGGGCTCGGAGACAAGCTCTTCTCTCTCCGTGTCTTATGCTCAGCTTGGAAACACCATCGCAGAGATGGCTTGATTTTTTGTTGAGCTGGCTGGCTATAGTAGATGCAGCTGCACCTATTAAGAGGTTTGTTGCTTAGCAACCGGTCCCGAGAGAGACAGGACCGAGAGACAAGAGACAGTAGCATTGTAGGCTAGCCATGCAGTAGGCTGAAAAAAGAAGCATCTCCCAAACCTACCAAACCCACCAAACCTAGGCTGTTAATTAGCCAGGCGCCTATTGTCCGCCCAGTGCGCCCGGTCCGGCTGCAGTCCGGGCAGCAAAGCAAGCACAGAGGCCTGAAAGGCACACGATCACGTATCGAAAGTCTGGACCCAAGCAGGGTTGGCCCAAGTCACAGCGCGCTCGTCAGTCACGGATCGACCCGCCTGGTCTCGGCGCCCCCCCCCCCCCAGCAGCAGGAGGAGCAAGGAGTAGCAGCAGCAGCAGCCGCAGCAGCCTCCTTCACGGGCTCGTTTTGTCACTGTCACTGTCACTGTCGCTCTCGCTTCGGTTTCCTGTATGTATCTTTGTACCTGGTCTAGAAGGCATCACGGGAGTGTCAACTAGTGAAAGTGGACTAGACTATACGTGACAGTACAGTATTCCAGCGCCCCTTCCAAGGATCTGTTTGGGCTGTCTTCGTCTCCTTCTGCTCTCTTGCCCTTTTTGCCTTTGTCATCCCAGCCGATCATCATCCCCCGAGGGCCCGCCTTCCCTCTTCGTCCGTTCCTCAGACACACCCAGACCAGACCCCCAAAGACGAACACCACCAAAAACAGCCCAACCCAACCTAGTACAGCCCAGCCCACCAACTGCTGCTACCTGCAACCTGCAGTCTGCACCTGGACTTGGACTTGACCCGACCACACCGTCCCGTCACCGTCTCCGTCTCCCACCCCCGAGTCCAGTCCCAGGAATTTGCAGCATCGACTTCGCCTGAGCTGTCTGACTCCCCAGGTTGACACGGCCGACATGCAGCCCTTCCGTCTTCTTTAAATACAGCTCGTGACACTTCTTTGTCCAGCAATCCTGAGGGCTGTTTCATCGGCCAGTCGCGGCATACTCCAGTCCTGAAGGGGGGCCAAAACATCCACGACAACCAACGTCCGTCAGCGTCAGCATCTTAAAGCAGTGCGTCTCCCCTGCCCTCTGCCCTCTGCCCTACATTGCGCTGCTGCTATCTATTTGCTGTGTGCTGCGTGCTACGTGCCATAGCCCCCCCACCTGGGAAGAGCCTACCTAACTTGTGCCCAACTTGGGATCCAGCAGATCCATCAATCTCCATCTCCGCCTCCATCCACCCACCCACAACAACCCCGTCATCCCAATCCGCCCTGCCCCCCGCCTCGACCCTCACCACACCGCACTGTCATCTCGACCCGCCCAAGTCCAGCCCAAACCGGCTCCTCGTTCCTCGGGCCCATCCAACCCATTTGACAATTACGTCCGCCGTCCGAGGTCATCATCCTGTGGGCTCACCAATTTATACTCTTTACCAGTAGCGCATCCATCGGTCGTCGCATCTCGCATCTCGTCGCACCCGCACACCCGCACGAGCACGACCATTACATTATACACTCACCCATACAGATACGCCGGCGCGTCCGCGACCTCCGACTGCCTGACCGGACCCGAGTCTGATCGTCCTCGAGGACAACCACGAACCCCATCGAGTCCTTCTGTCCGTTGCGGATGCTCTGACGCACCACAACGCACACCTCCTGCCCTCACAACACGCCATGTCGAGTCAACAGGCGCCTTCGCTCGACGCGATGGCGCAGGCTGAGGCTGCGGAAGCAAGCGGCAATGGCACCCCAGTGCCTGCCTCCCTGGAGGTCGAGGAGAACCAGGACTCACGATCGACCTCCTCCGCAAGCTCTCCCCTCCCGGCCGAGTACGAGGAATCCGACTTCTACCACAACGGCAACGACTCCGAGTCCTCCCTCGGCGTCCCCAACCTGCAGGACATGCAAGTCACCGATGCTTACGAGTGCCTCACCCCGGTGCAACGCCTTCCCAACGAGATCCTCATCCAAATATTCGCCAAGCTGTCTGCTGCCACAGACTTGCGTAATGTCATGCTCACTTGCAAGCGCTGGTCCAGGAATGCTGTAGACCTGCTCTGGCATCGCCCGGCTTGCACCTCGTGGCCCAAACACGGTCTGATTTGCAGCACTCTCAGCCTCCCACAGCCTTACTACGCCTATGCTGATTTCATAAAACGCCTCAACCTGGCTTCGCTCGCCGATGGAGTTAATGACGGCAGCGTCATGGCCCTGGCTGTCTGCAACCGCGTCGAGAGGCTAACCCTTACAAATTGCAAGGGCCTGACCGACGGCGGCCTGATCCCACTCGTCACCAACAGCTCTCACCTGATGGCTCTTGATATCTCGGGCGACGAAGAAATCACCGAAGAGTCTATCAAGGTCATTGCCGAGCACTGCAAGCGCCTGCAGGGCCTGAACATCTCCAACTGCACAAAGATCTCCAACGAGTCCTTGGTCCTCCTCGCCGAGAACTGCAGATATCTCAAGCGGGTACGTCACAGCCCCCACTCCCTTATTCTCTCGGTAACCATTGCTAACACGCCACAGCTCAAATTGAACGACTGCAGCCAGATGGCTGACGAGGCCGTACTCGCCTTCGCCGAGCACTGCCCCAACATCCTCGAGATTGACTTACACCAGTGCAAGCTCGTTGGCAACGCCCCTGTCACTAGTCTCCTCGCCAAGGGGAACTCCCTTCGTGAGCTCCGGCTCGCAATGTGTGAGCTGGTGGACGACAGCGCCTTCCTCTCTCTTCCCTCAGGTCAGGTCTTTGACCACCTCCGCATCCTCGATCTCACTTCCTGCGCCAGGGTCACCGACCGCGCTGTCGAGAAGATCGTCCAGGCCGCTCCTCGGCTCCGGAACCTCGTTCTTGCCAAGTGCCGCAACATCACGGACCAGGCCGTCTTTGCCATTGCGAACCTCGGCAAGAACCTGCATTACGTCCACTTGGGTCACTGTGTCAACCTGACCGACGAAGCTGTCAAGCGTCTGGTCCACTACTGCAACCGTATACGATACATTGACCTGGGCTGTTGCCTGAACCTGACTGATGAGTCCGTCACCAGACTGGCTGTTCTTCCGAAGCTTAAGAGGATCGGCCTCGTCAAATGCAGTAACATCACCGATGTGTCCGTCTATGCGCTTGCTAAGGCCAACCAGAGACTCCGCCAACGCAGGGACGCAGACGGAAGGAACATAGGAGAGCCCTATTCCAGCGGAAGCAGTCTTGAACGAGTCCACCTTAGCTACTGCACACAGCTGACCCTAAAGGTAAGAACTCGAACCGACTCCCGGTCTGTTGGGTCTAGTACTAAAACACGATACAGAGCATCATCAAGCTTCTCAACTCCTGCCCCAGATTAACACATCTCAGTCTCACGGGCGTACAGGCTTTTCTAAGGCAGGACCTGGAACAGTTTTGTCGCGACGCGCCACCTGGTAAGTTCTTGCACCTTTCATTACTTCATGTTGCATCCACGCGGTTCGCTGACTAACCATGTGCCCTACAGAGTTCACAGACCACCAGCGGAACGTATTCTGCGTCTTTTCTGGGCAAGGCGTGTCCAACCTGCGCCGCCACCTCAACACCGACTCGGCGTTTGCTCACCTCCGTGACGGAACACCGACAGGATTCCCACGCCATGCTCAAGTCGCATCGAACTTCGCACCTTATCCCCCTCCAGGGCATGGTCATGCCGATGCCGGTTTCGACGAGCAAGAAGGGGACGTTGTTGACGACGACGATGGCCTCGATGATGGAACTGAGATGGTCATCGACGCGGCACCTCTCGTGGGCCCAAATACAGGCGTTGCCGGCGCAAGCCTCGACGCCAGCATAATTCCGCCCCCTCCTCCAGCGCCGCCTCAGATACCGTCAATGATGTGGCAGCCCCACAATCAACATTGGCCACCAGGAGTATCACATACAAACGGTACCCTTCCGGCAGCAGGGCCAGGGACCACAGCGCCTGGCTTCCAAAGCCCAGATGTGACAGATGCTATGGACATGAGCCCTGCACGGCCGAGCGCCAGCACTGCTCCGCTTCGACTCGATGGTCCCGCCAGTGCCGCACACTTACGAGACCACATGGACGGTAGTGATAATGGTGGTGGATCGAGTCGGAGCAGCCCCGCCGCCCCATAATAATCTTTCATACTCATGTCGAGTATCAACCTCGACGCTCAACTTTAGCGGCACTGTTGAACTCTTTGCTGCCGGGCCAGCTATGTGGTATTTGAAGCGATGACCACCCAGCCTAATAAGGAAAGTCTTTGAAGTGATAACTCAGGAGAACACTTTGGCTTGGCAGGAGCAGGGGATACCCTGTTCTGCCGGCGGAGGGATGATTATGTTGACAGGAAAATCACTTGAGCGAGATAGCCCTGGTCACGGGCGGGAGGACGGGATGGCTGCGATTATGATACCCCCCCAAGTTTGTGAGAGAAAAAAGATGTGTGGCTCGCCTTGGCTGGCGGCGAGTTGCTGTGTGTGGGAAAGACGGCAAATTGAATTTCTTCAACATTGAACAGAGCAACAAATGCATCATCATAGACTGGGACATTGGTAGTGCGAGGGACTTGCGCAGGAGCACAGAGGGACGGACTTGAGAGTTTGGTCGAACTTTTCCTTGCCGCTTTTTGGGACGGGAACACAGCATCAATGTGCGTGCGTGCGGGTCGGTTGACTTTTGGTCGTTCAGCAAAGCAAGGGTGTTTAGGTCTCCTTTCTTTTTTCCCCCCCTCTGCCCCCATTGCTCGCTGCCTCTTGTTTCGCGCTCGCAGGCAGATTTTCTTGCTTATCTGTTTTTGTTGCTTTACTCACCTTGCATCAACATTGGTTTTGGCAGATTCGGCAAATGGCAGAGAGACTGGTCGGTTCCATCCTCCAGCGTGGTGTTTTTCTCGATTTCGATGGCGGGGATACACGGATGGTTTACTGTTCCTCTTTTCCCCTCCAGTACTGCAAGGACGGAGAAAGGAAGGTAGGTAGGTAGTGGTGAGCCTGCCCAACCAACCAACACAGCTCAAAAGGGGGAGAAGATACCAGGAGGCCGGAACGAGGGAAAAGGGCCCGTGTTCTCGTCTGTTCAGTCGAGCGAAAGCGAAGAACACACACAAAGAGAGAAAGAAATCATTAGAATTGCATACGCATCGCGTCGCATCGCACCATGACTGTGAGTGAATGCTGGCTGACCATTTGAGTGACGCGTGACTGTGACGCCGTTCGCGGTGACTTGCCCGCTCAGGTCTGATAGTCGTTTTGTCGTCGCCGGCCGGCACGTGCGTTTAATTAGGGGGTCCTGGGGAAGGCCAAGTGGCTGTGTCCTTGGGAGGGAGGGTAAGACTTTACCCCGGATTCCAATGAGCATTTGTGCCGGCTTCGGACGTGTGATGGTGAGCAAGTCATGGCCGATCTGCGGCTGGATGAAAGGCATATGTTGTGTCTCCGTTGGGGGGTGGGGGGGGGGGGCGGCAGGACATAAATTTGAGTGTGGAAGTCTGCGTCCCCGTCACTCTCTCCTTAACCTCATCCAAGGGTCCTCTGGTGTTATTGGTGGGTGTTGATGATATCGGCCCACTCACGCGCACACTTACACCGTTGCGGTACTCGTTGCTGATCAGCGACGCATGCATGCGGGCGCATGGCTGTCAAGCGAAAATGTTAAGGGAAAGCAGCAGCAGCAGCAGCAGCAGCAGCAGGAGGAGGCTAGTTGGCGACCGCCTTTGGTGAGGCATGGGGGGCCCTCGGGAAGTCTTCCCTCTTACAGCTTGGATGGGGCTGCTTTTGAGTCGGAGAAGGGGGAAGCCCACGTCTGTGTCGTGGTGTGTGCTGCAACTTGACCTCACCGGTGGTGAGATGATGATGCAGGTAGGGTCTGTCTGCTTTTGTGGGGAGCATTGTACATGCATGCGGCTGGGTGGTGTTGCCAAGAAGGGGTGGGATGGCTGGCTGTGCCCGGAGCCCGGCGTTTGGAGGGAGGATGGTCAGAGATGGAGGCATGGCTGGCTCTTTCCTCTGATCGACTTACTACTTGGGTGTCACGGCTGTGCCGGTGGGGGCATCCGTTTCACTTGCAAAGGCGCTGGCTTATTCTTGGATTGTCGCGGCTCTGTGATTTTCCTTTTGTGTGATATATTCGGGACGAAGGGGGGAGAGACCACGTGTTGTTCGTTCCATGCAACAACAATCTCCGGACAAGACGGTGAGATAAATGTGCCTCTGCGATGGGATCAAAGGATCTGGTGCTCGGAAAGTGGGAGGTGGAGGTGGGACTTGAGGAGGCCTCTGGCTCGAGTCCCTTTCAGGAAAGCCGTGATGGCAGTAAGGGGGTGAGATGAGGAGGCCACAAGGACAGCCTGATGCAAGCTGCACTGTGACTGACAACAGCCATGATGATATCTACAACCATGACCATGCACATGTCTTGTGGGCCGGGCATCGGTCGGACCTGGGAGGGGAGCAGGGTGGGAAGAAGGGAGAAGGAGAGGAGAGTCTCCCAGGACCCATCTGCGCGCCAATGTGAATGGTCAATTGCCGCGCAAGACTTCTTGGAAGTCATCCTGACTTACACGGGGGGTTTGAGCTTATTGCGTGAGGCTCCATTGAATATGCTCCGAGCTCAAGCTGGGGTGGATGACGGACAGAGCCAATGCAACCTGCGGGTAGTGCATGACCTGGCGCGTTTCCGAGTGGACAGCGCGAATCGTGGAAATGATGTCAAAAACATCACTGGACCGGCTGGACTGCTGCGGAGGAAGAACAGCACTGTGGGCAACAGCAGGCAGGGAAATTTCTGGTCACGTCTCACGCTTCTCACAAGAGTGTAGTGTAGTCCCAGATCCAGATGGCTAGCCGGTGAGGCTGTGTAAGTCAAGGCCGTGGCCCCCTTTGTCAACCCCAAGAATCCAGATATCAGTCTGAACCCTGGCCTCCATATCCTTTGCTATGCGCGATTTCTGACCGCTTGTTATTCCTCTACCATAAGCAGACTACAGCCCATTTCAAACTTCCTTGGATCCGGACTCCAAATTTGCTTTACTATGCGGCATTTTCGCAAGCTACAGTGCGGAATATTCCAACCAGAGTTCAGACTATCCCCAACTTCCAATATCCTACCCCCCTAGCTTCCGTTCGCGTGACCCTGGCTCTCTGCTCCAACGACTCGGTGATCCTCCTTCACAGCCTTTGCTTGCGCTTGGCGCTCCTCCTCCTTCACCTCCATCTCCCTGCCGTGACACAGTTGATATAGTGCTTTGTTTTGTTTTCGCGTGCATCGCCACAACTCACAAATCTTCTCCGGCCTGGGCATGGTCACAGGCGGCCTCCCTCACGCTGCCGTTGTCCAAACTTGGACGCCGGAATGCCTATCTGGGCTCTTTGGCCTTTCCCGAGGTCAGCATAGTATCAATGCACAGCAGTGACCACGCCTATGGCACAGTAGCATTGTCAGCTCGAGTCAACCTCCGCACACGTGCCAGTGTCCTACAGTGAAATCCTGACTATCAAACTCATTTCCGTGCCGGTGATTCTGCCTCTGGCCGGTCCCTGCCGCTAATCGTGCTGTCCTCCGTACATGTGATAATACACTTGCATACTGCTTTCCAGTATCCACCGTAGCGGTCTTGATGCGCCAATTTTCTCCCTAATTTTCCTGGAGCCGCCATGCCCCATGATCTCCTAAATCGCAACAGGAGCGAGGGAAGAGACGAAACCAGGTGAGGGAAAATGGCCAAGTAGTCTGCACGAGGAAGCCACATAGCTAGCCTGTTTGAGTATCTCATGCCGGAAGCCTCTTTCCTGGCCATCGTGAAGCGGGAACAGGAGTCGGCGCCTTGCGCGTAATTTTGGTTCTTTGTTGGCTAATGATTACTCCATCCGTTGCCAACCAACCTATCTGCCTATCTGCCTCACATTTCTCCTCACATGCACCCCCCGGGCCTCTTGTCGCAGGATGGGTAGCCTGCTCCTCCTACCTTGAGTATAAAGCCCTCGCCCGGCTCTGGTAGACTTTCCAAGGACCTGCCACAGTATCACTTACACTTTCTGCCCCCTTCATCCTACCTCATGTCCTCTCCTGTTGCACGGAGTTATAAAACATACCTGAGCATGGCCGAAAATGACGAGGCCGAGACGGCCACGACAGAGCGCCTACGCTTCAAAGACGAGGAGGAGGCTGCTGGCGGCAGTCACGGTGGCGGTCGCGCCTCGATGGCGGCCAACAGGCGTCCTCAGCTGGCTCGATCGTCGACTGCCTTCTCAGAGGACTCGATCTCAATCCGTCCCGCAAGCAGGCGTGAGCCTACAGTCGCTTTGCCTATCCAATACCGAACTTTGTAAGCCTCGAAAACACCGACAAATTCTGTTTCGTCTCTTATGTCTGCTTCGCTTTACTCTTCGGTGAAGCTGACATTTTGACTGCACAGATCAATTGATCTCGAAGACGCGAAGGCCAAGAATAAGAATAATGCTGTTACGGGTAAGTTGTTTCTTTTACAATCGGTGCGATTGACATTGAAATCACAATCAACATCTGCGTTGAAAATTGATCTGGATTGGCAATTCGCTAATAAGCATTTCACGCATTATAGATCTCGCCGACTTGGACTGGCACACAATACCCACTCATGAACTCACCCAGCGCCTGAACGTATCCGAGAGGCACGGCCTCTCCGATGAACAAGTCAAGCGCCGCCTCCAAAAATACGGCAAGAACGCGCCTTCCCCTCCCCAGACGCACCGCTTTAAAACCATCATGGGCTACTTCTTCAAGGGCTTCGGGTCGGTGCTGCTCGTGGCGTCGATCCTCGTCTTCATCGCGTGGCGGCCGCTCGGCGACCCGCCCGCGCAGGCTAACCTGGCGCTCGCCATCGTGCTGCTGGCCGTCTTCTTCATCCAGGCCGGGTTCAATATGTGGCAAGACTGGAGCTCCAGCCGCGTCATGAACAGCATCAAGACCATGTTGCCGGACGAGTGTCATGTCGTGCGCGACGGCGCGCAGATGAGCCTTTTCGCAGCCGAGCTCGTCCCTGGCGATGTGCTGCTCGTGAAGGCGGGTAACAAGCTGCCTGCCGATGTTAGGTTTATCAATGTCTCCTCTGATACTAAGTTTGATCGCTCGATCCTCACGGGTAAGTGTCCACATTAAACGATAGATTGATATTGGAAAGACAATTCTGGCTAACATTACTCTGCTAGGTGAATCTGTTCCATTAGCGGCTGTCGTCGACTCAACTGACACCAACTACCTCGAGACAAGGAATATTGGTCTCCAAGGAACACATTGTGTTTCTGGTAGCTGTACCGGCATCGTTGTCTCTACAGGAAACAAGACTGTTTTTGGAAGAATTGCGAAACTTACAAATGAGCCCAAGGTTGGGCTGACAACTCTTGAGAAGGAAGTTTTGAGCTTTGTTTGGATCATCTGTTCTATAATGCTCGTTATGATCATCATTGTGATTATTCTCTGGTAAGAACTGCTTGTCTTGGTCTGTGGGTTGTACTTTGGCTGACCAACTGCTTCCAGGGCCGCTTGGTTACGAACAACCTATCCTGATTGGATTAATGTTCCTACACTTATTGTTGATTGTGTATCAGTGGCTGTCGCTTTCATACCTGAAGGTAAGAGCACCCTTTCCATTACACGACTGTTCCATGTACTGTGATTACTGACAGCGGGTTTGTGTAGGATTGCCTGTTGCATTGACAGCAAGTTTGACAATAAGCGCAAACATGATGCGGAAGAACAAGATTTTGTGCAAGTCGCTCAAGACGGTCGAGACCTTGGGTGCTGTGAGCGTCATCTGCTCAGACAAGACCGGAACTCTTACTGCGGTACGTCTATACTACTTAACATATCATCTGAAAACTTTGTAACTGACAGATGTGACTCGCCGCAGAACAAAATGGTGGTCACAGACTGCTTCGTGGGCCTCGAGAAGATGACAGCGGACAACGTCAGAGATACACTCATCGCGGAGCGAAATATAGACGGCAACTTTGCAGGCAACGCGATCGATCAACTCAGAACAATCGGCGGTCTCTGCAATGCCGCCGTGTTTGACGCCCAGACCAGAAAGCTGCCCCTGGCTGAGCGGAAGATACATGGAGATGCCACCGATACTGCCATTCTTCGATTTTCCGAGGGCCTTGGACACATCTCAGAGTTGAAGAGATGTTGGCATACCAAATTTGATTTGGCTTTCAACAGCAAGAACAAGTTTATGATCAGAGTCCTCAGCCTAGCTGTAAGTAACAAGTCAAGCTTGACTTCAACATCGCCTCTTCAGGATATATTCTTCACAACATGGTGTTAAGATTTATTCCTTTCTGCCGAAGTCGAAAATCAGGAAAGCTAACCCGGTATTTTCAGCACCCCGACGGAAAAACCGACGCAATGCCGCTCGACGTTGCCTCCGTGTTTGAACCAAGTGACCTGTAAGCATTTCAAAACTTCCAGGTTGACTTCAGCCCGGCTAACAATGCCTCACTTAGGCTCCTCACGATCAAGGGCGCCCCGGACAGACTCCTTGATCGATGCAAATACTACATTGGGAGGACTGGCGCATCCCATCTCATGACTGAGACAGCCAAAGCGCAAATAGAGGCAACACAGGCGGAGTACTCAGCAAGAGGCCGCCGCGTACTACTCCTCGCACATAAGACACTCTCCCGTTCCTCGATAAAAGCCTCTACTCTCTCATCAGCATTTGAGAAGGAAATGACCGACAATGCCAAGTCTGGCCTCACATTCGTCGGCCTCGTCGCCATCCAGGACCCACCGAGGCCCGAGATCCCGGACGTTATTCAGACCCTGCGAGGCGCAGGCATACGCATCTTCATGGTGACTGGCGACTTTGCCTTGACAGCCCAGGCGATCGCAGCAGAGTGCGGGATTATCACGAACGCTCCCGGGTTGGTGAAGTCCGCCGCAGACCTCAACCGTAACCCGCTGGCGCACCCGTCCGACCTGAACGGAGAAGGGCAAGTGGCCAAGAATGTCCGCTTCGACGACCAGCACCAGCCGACGTCTATCGTTGTCACGGGCTCGGACCTCATGGCCATGAATGAGTCGCAGTGGGATCAGCTGATCATGTCGTACACCGAGGTCGTCTTCGCGCGCACGACGCCCGAGCAGAAGCTTCGCATCGTGCGCGAGCTGCAGGCGCGCAACATGGTAGTGGGCATGACAGGTGACGGGGTCAACGACGCGCCGGCGTTGCGCGCCGCAGACGTGGGGATCGCGGTCGGTTCCGGGTCGGATATCGCGGTCGAGGCGGCCGACATGGTGCTGCTGGAGAGCTTCAGCAGCGTGGTGGAGGCGGTGCGGTACGGGCGCATGATGTTCGACAACCTCAAGAAGACCATCGCCTACCTGCTCCCCGCCGGCAGCTTCTCCGAGTTCTGGCCCGTCTTCACCAACGTGGCGTTCGGCCTGCCGCAGGTCCTCAGCAGCTTCCTCATGATCGTCATCTGCTGCTTCACCGACTGCCTGGCCGCGACGTCGCTCGCGTACGAGAAGCCTGAGGCCGACGTCCTGCTGCGTCCGCCCCGCGTCGTGGGTGTCGACCGGCTTGTCGATTGGAAGCTCATTGTGCAGTCTTACGGCTTCATCGGCATCATGGAGACTACTGCATCCTTTGCTATGAGCTACTGGTACCTTGAACGAAACGGCATCCCTTTCTCCCGCCTGTGGTTCGGCTTCGGCGACCCGCAAGGCATCGACGCGGACTACTACACGCAGAAGCTGAGCGTGGCCAGCTCCATCTACTTCATCACTCTTGTGGTCATGCAGTGGTTCAACCTAATGTCGGTACGAACGCGGCGCCTGTCCATTTTCCAACACCCGCCTCTGTTCAACAGAAAGACACAGAACGTGTGGCTCTTCCCTGCCATCCTATTCGCTCTGGTCATGGCTTTCTTCTGGCTCTATATCCCGAGGCTTCAGGAGGTTCTGTCCACGGCGCCTGTCCCGGTCGAGTACTGGTTCCTGCCAATGACCTTTGGGCTAGCTATTCTTTTGCTGGACGAGGGTCGCAAGTTTTTTGTACGGAAGTGGCCGGCAGGACTGATGGCTCGGTGGGCTTGGTAACTGCATTTGCGAGTTCGTAAGGGCTCTTGAGTTATCTACTATAAATATATTAGACAATGATTCAGCTTTATCTCGCTACGTGCACATAATCTATGATATCATCCTTGTGTGTACTCAAACCCTAACGCGGAATCAGACTAATTGACTGTGCCGCAGGCTTCGCCAGATGTTGTAATGTGGTTGATCTCGAGCTGATGGGCTATAATTGGGGAAAGTCTCCGATCAAATGCTCGTGGTGTTATCTGCTGGATATATTTCTGTAAACATAAGATGACCAAGAGTATCCCCAGTCTTTTCCAAAGGTTATTCATGAGCCTATGAAGCCTGCTGTGTACTCGGGGGTTCTTCCTCGTAGCGGAGGCATATTCGGAAGTGATCTTCCTCTTAAAGGAAGGAGTCACGTCTTCTTGATCGACCTTTCGCCGTAGGGACTTTCAAAAATTGTTTAAGGCATCTTTTCAGAACGCCGAGACTTTATCGAAGAGCCTGATAGTGCCGATTGCGTGATGTGGGTCTTGAAACTTGATGTTGAGAGAGATAGAACGAGTTCACTTGGCTTTGATCCAGTGTCAACTACCCGAAGGGGTGCATACATCCTCGGATAACCCCTAGCACTAACGATGTTTACCGAACAAACTCTTCAATAAGATTGAAATCACACTTTTGCCCCGAAGGCAGCAGGAAAGCGCGGAGGCCAAGAGTTGATCAAGCCTCTGCCCCACAGAATGGGGAGGGGAAGCCACTAAGAGTTGCATCTGGAATCCTGTAAAATCCTATATCACCGTGCCTTTGCCTGATCCACCTGTCATGAGCAAGCAAGCTGTCATGGCTTTGAGTGCGGTGGATGCCACTAACTGCATTTCAAGCATGGCAGAATTTGATCACGGTGATAGCTACACCCATATCTGGGGGATGGAGATTAAAGTATCGTGCAAGCATGAATTCATGAGTATGTTCACGTGTGGCTTCCAACAGCAAGCTCTGGAGATGCATGCTTGGGGACGCCGGAAAGGCGGGAACTCCTAGAATATGGAAGGATCTGGCAGCACTTGTCGTGCTAGACGATATGCTGTCAGCATTGGTATGTGACGAAAGCTTGCGGGGTGTTTTCTGGTGTCGGATTTGAGAATTTTGGCCTCTTAAGTAAGGGACGGACCTACGCTGAGGTGTGGCGGTCTATTGCGCCGTCTCAATTACTATACTTAGTAATTTTTAGTATTGGTCACTACCACAATCCCCCTCCCCGTATGTTCTCAGTTACTTCGAATAAAATTAGGAGGTAAAGATCAGCTTTAAGTCATAAGATCTGTCCTTCTGCGCACTGAGTGCGAGTGCTTCAGACCTGTCCTCAATCCCTCGCAACAGGACTACTGAGAAGATCTGAACGAAACACTACCAAGATGTCTGGTCCTGAGTCCAAGCTCCCTAAAAGGATGATCGATGGATATTTGGACATAATCGACAGCCGCACAGGAAAGAAATACACAGTTCCAATCAACAACAACTCTGTTGCGGCGACCGACTTCTCCGGCATCATCGCCTCCAATGATCCCGGCCCCACGCCTTCTGGGGACACAGGACTAAAAATATTCGACCAGGGCTTCAAGAACACCGCTTGTGTGAAATCTTCTATTACATATATGTTAGTTCATGATCAAAATATATGCTCTGCACGTCTTACAAAACGTAGTGCTAACCTCTTCGAAGTGACGGAATTCGTGGACGGATTTACTACCGCGGGAACTCCATCCTCGAACTTTTTGACAACAATGATTACGAAGAAGTCCTGCACTTACTGTTATGGGGACACTTGCCTTCGCCGGATGAGAAAGCAAGCCTTCGCAAAGCCTTGTCCGCGGCCATGGGTGCCCCAAAAAGCGTCGTAGATGCCATTCAAGCTTTTCCGTGAGCCGGCCAGATCAAACTGCAGTCATCGAAGGCGCCTAACAGACACTTTATCTAGGCGCGATTCCATGACTTCCCCGATGATCATCGCCGGATTAGCAGCATACGCAGCGCTCGATGAGGGATCCTTTAAGACACATAATTCGAGTGCAGCCTACTACCTCGGAAATCTCAAGGCTGTAGACGCAGCCATCATACGGAGTCTTTCAGCTCTCGCCACCACAGTGGCACTTGTCTACTGTCACAAACGCAACCGTCACTTCACGAAACCGCAGGAGGATGGTTCGTTTATTGGGAATCTTCTTCTCATGATGGGAATTTCTGATGAGCATACCGAGAGGTGTCTTCAAAGTTTATGGGTTCTCTATGCCGACCATGAGATGACGAATTCGACATCTGCTTTCCTACACTCCGCCTCGAACCTGACAGACCCTGTGTCGTGCATGATAGCCGGAGTTGTCTCAGCCTACGGTCCGCTTCACGGAGGTAAGGTTAAACGTGATCTCAGGCAACAGCACCTCAAGCGAGATATTGACTGTGAGTTTCTTGATAGGTGCTATAGATCTGGCCTATCAGGATTATCGACGCATCGGCTCGACGGAAAATGTGCCAGCATTCATCGCCTCCGTCAAAGACCACAAACAACGCCTTTTCGGCTACGGTCATCGCGTGTACAAAACGGTGGATCCTCGGAGCAGTGCCATCCTCGGAATGCTACACAAAACCATCGAGGAGACTCATCAACAGGAGAGCCCCTTTCTCCAAATCGCCCTGGAGATCGACCGCGTCGCGAACTCGGACAGCTACTTCGTCTCGCGAAAAATCAAGGCAAACGCTGACTTGTTTGGATCTTTACTCTATACGGCTCTCGGCTTTGAGACTGATATCATCATCGCTCTAGCCTGCGTCTCGAGGATAGGTGGTGCCATGGCGCATTGGAGGGAAGCGATGCAGCAAACACCGGTCTTGTGGCGTCCGCAGCAGCTATATGTGGGACCTCTGCCTGACGTACGTGACTAGCGAGAGCGTTATGCATAAAGCAAAATGTGAGGAGGTCGCAGTGCTTCACTGAAGAAGTACCTAATAGCCCCTGAAGGCTGTTGAAGTCCAGGAACGACGTAGCTACTGATGCCAGCAGTTCTGTTCAATAAGGCACTTCCGCCAAAATTTGATTCTCCTGATTCTTGAACTCCTCTCCACACCTTATGTGCTTTTTACGGACTGGCAAATGTGATTACTCAAGGCTTGATACGAGTGCTTCATGCACACTTCTCTGGGAGCTGTAATATGTCGGAAAAGGAAATCGGCGATGTGAAGTCGCTAGATAATTGGCATAAGTACATTGCATGAAAAAAGAATTGTACCCGGACAGGGAATGGATAGAAAACAAAAAGATGTTAGAACATTTGTCCTCGGTGAGACTATACAACATTCGTTAATCAGCTGAATCTTGCACCTCTTACGGAGCTCCTCTTACCTTGAACTCACGACCTTCGGATATCTCACTGGTTCCCCAGCGAGTCATTCTATATGAGACCGACGCTTTAACCAACTAAGCCACGAAGACGGATACATGGGAGGCGGCGGCATCGAGTCTCCCCAAGACGGCCGTCGAAGGGCTGGACCAGTTGAGCGCGTGGGACGGAGGTATCTAAGCAGGTTTGGTGTCGGGAACAATTGAACGGTGCGTTTGAGCCTCTGTGGTTAGAAGACACATTCATCTCTGAATTCACTCACCCAACTTCACGGGGGTAGGGCAGAGAGAGGCTGTCGTGACGGGTGGAGGCTGCGTCCCAGATCGAGTCAGTACGCGTGACTACCACCCAAACGTGCGATGTGATGTTGCCGGGAACAACCAACTGATACTAGTAGGGCTGGATGTTGGGCAAAGGCGAAAAGTGTTATGGCTTGTGTAGGAAGACGTGTCCACATCGCAGATCGAGTTAGCAGACACGCTCATCTGAGCCCAGGAACGGTCTTTTGCAGAACACATGGGAGCCGTTGATATGTGCATATTATCGGTGGTCAATGCCATCTATTCCATCTATCCCGCTCACCTCATGCTGTGAGCTCTTTCCAGCCGCATCCTCCAGCATCCTCCTCGTAAAAGTACACACATCTTGGCTTAAAGATACAGGCCCTCCGGCTCACCCTCCTGCTTCGTCCGTAGCACTCTCTCCCGCGCAGACCGGAAGTCGGACATCTGCACACGCATACGTCGCTCCCGCAGGGCCAGCAGACCGGCCTCTGAGCAGATGGCCTTGATGTCGGCACCGGAGAGGTCGTCCTTCTGCGCAATGAACTCCTCCAGGTCCACATCCTCGTTAAGGTTCATCTTAGACGTATGCAGGTGGAAAATCTTGCGCTTGGTGTTTTGGTCTGGAGGCTCGAAGAGAATCTTTCGGTCAATTCGGCCGGGCCGGATCAGGGCCGGATCCAGGGTCTCAATCTTGTTGGTCGCCATGATGACCTTGACATCGCCACGGTCATCGAAACCGTCGAGCTGGTTGAGAAGCTCCAACATGGTTCGCTGTACTTCTCGCTCACCACCTGACGTGGATTCGTACCGCTTCGTACCGATTGCATCGATTTCGTCGATGAACACAATCGAGGGTGCATTCTCACCAGCAACCTGCACGCCAAGTTCATGTTAACAATTTCACATAACAATCGTAGTGAGCTTGATGACGCGTTGTCCGTCTTGCACTGACCTGGAAGAGCTGTCGAACCAACCGGGGACCATCACCCAGGTACTTTTGGATCAGTTCGGAGCCAACAATACGGAGGAAGGTTGCTGAGGTCTGATTCGCCACTGCCTTGGCCAAGAGCGTCTTTCCAGTACCTGGAGCACCGTAGAGAATGACACCCTTAGGCGGCTTGATACCCATCTCCTCGTACAGCTCGGGATGCAGCAGTGGCAACTCGACCGACTCGCGAACCTCCTGGATCTGTTGCTCCAGACCACCAATATCCGCATACGACTCGGTGGGGGCCTTGTCGAGCTTCATTACACTGACAGCCGGGTCGGTGTCATCGGTAAGAACACCGACAATGCTGACGGTCTTGTGGTGCAACAGAACGCTGGCACCGGGCTCGAGCAGGTCTTTGTCAACGAAGCTCATGATGCTCACGTAATACTCGGGGCCGGTGGTGCTGGACACGATGGCATGGTCGTCATCTATCATCTCCTCCAGTGTTCCAACGCCCATGGGGCTCCCTCGCATATCATCAACCCGGCCACGTTCATCGGCATTGCGGTCGGCAGCATCGTCGGCAGCGGGTGGGGCGTTGCTATCTTTGGCAGCCTTGGCTTTCCTCAGACGCTCCTGATTCTCGACATACTCTTCCTCGAGTAGTAAGTGGTCGTGGACGCGCTGCATACGCAGCAGACGCAGTTTGCATCGTTGAGAAGGGTAGATGGCGGGGAGCTTTGCGGCAGCGCTGGTGCCTGCCTGCTTTCTCTTCTTGCGACCGACGCGGGTGGTGGGCTTTGGCGGAGGTTCGTACTTGGGCTTATCCTTCTGAATCAAGGGAGTTGAGGTTAGCAAAGCAGGCCGGCTCAATGCACCAGAAGGCAGACCTGATTGCGGAAGCTGCTGGCGTCCGCAACAGAAGAGCGGAGGGACATTAACAAACCTTCTTGTCGTTTCCATCACGGCCGTCTTGGCCACCGCCCATTCCAGACTGATTCTGACCCTATTGTGACACGACAATCAGTAAACATTGCGCATGATGCAGCCACAGCAGGGCTCCAGTAGTTATGCATACCATGATTGCGACTCAGGACTCGAATGCGCGAGACTGTGCTACCAGAGTGCGGGTCAGAAAAGAAACGACGAAGACGATCTCTCAAGGGGTCGTCCAGGTGTTTAAGGGATGAGATGATGGCGATGGAGTCGGAGGTAGCTTGTTTCGCAGGACGGACTGGGCTGGTCGCTGGACGGTGGAAGGGCGAAGCTGCAAGTGACGAGAGGCCGGCGTTGTAATCCCGTCGAGCTCCCACGTCGCTTTAGGTAATCAGGCTCCCAGCGACACACGCCAGCTCCCGTCCAGCGGTCCAAGGCGCGTGGCTCGTGCTCCCCCTGTCTCAGCTGGCCTTCCTCGGTACGTACTCCGGGTTCCCTGCTGCGCTGGAGTGGAGCATCCAGGCGTTTCCAGTACTTAGACAATACTTGACCGAGGCCAGTCACCGGGCTCAGACTGTGTGTACTCCCCTAGTACCGTTCCGGCAGTGTCCCGTGAAGCCCAATGAAGTCACCGTCGAAAGTATCGGCCTGGCTGTAGTCTACAGCCCAATCCTTAACACTGAGGAATCAAAACCTCGGAACGACAAAGCCGTGCGTGGGCGATCTCTCCCCAAGCCTGCCTCAACTGCAGAACTGTATCCTGCTGTACTCTCAACCCTTCCCTCTTTTAGGTTTCAAGGTTGGTTCAGATCTCTTGGGTGATTCACTGCGAGCTGACTACCAACCGCCACAACCCGTGGGCCTCTATCGATCCTCGGCCCTTACACCCTAGGCAATCCACTTCGACCCCTCTGTCCCTACACACGAGAGCGACATCTCCGCCAGATCGTACAAGGCTGACAGCACCCCACTCTGCCACCTTCTTACTCAACCACCCACCCACGCACGCACCTACCTATCTACCATTCTTCCTCGTTTCCCTGCCTCTCCAGCACCAGAAACAGCACAGAATATCCTCACAATGTCGAGCACACGAGAGCGCCGCATCCTCAAGGAGCTCAGTGACATCCAGCAGGACAAAGACAACTCAGGCGTCCTAGCAACACCCGTCGATCCCAGCAATCTTACACATCTCAAGGGCACCTTCCCAGGGCCCCCAGACACTCCCTATGCCGGCGGCACTTACACAGTCGACATCCAAATCCCGGACATGTACCCCTTCAAATCGCCCATCATGAAGTTCGACACCAAGATGTGGCATCCCAACATCAGCAGCCAGACAGTGAGTCCAGACCTAGGCAGAGGAAAGGCAAAAGGAAGAGGCAGGCTCATATAGTGTCTTTCCCATATCTAGGGCGCCATCTGTCTCGACATCCTGGGAAGCGGCTGGTCACCCGTCGGCACGATCAAGACGGCTCTCCTCTCCCTGCGCATGCTCCTCGAGGCGCCGAACCCCAAAGACCCGCAGGACGCCGAGGTCGCCAAGATGATGATGGAGGACAACGACTTCTTCGCGTGCGTGGCACACGACTGGGCCGTCAAGCACGCCGGTGCCCCTCGCAAGCAGCCGCCCCCAGATCAGCTTCAGCGCAAGACAACGCAGAAGAAGGAGGATGACATCGCAAAGTACGCCGGGCTGGACACCAGTGTTCTCTCTTTCCTCTTACTCCCCCGCCCCCTCTTTTTGGACATCCCGAGCTGACGTGATTTTGCGGGGCGATCAGGTACCAAGGGTGGAATAAGAACCTCGTCGACCGCTTCGTCAACATGGGCTTCGACCTCGACGCCGTGGTGGAGGCCTTCCAATACGTGGGTATTGACCGCAACGGCGGCGACGACTACGAGATGGAGGAGGCCTACATGGGCGACGTGACCGCCCGCCTCCTGGGCGAGCAATGAGAAGACGTCATACTTCTCCTCAAGGAGAAAGAGGTTGGATAGCGCGCAGCAGCTCTTAACATTAGGATTCCAAGGACTGGGATTGATTGTAGCACAGAGATGGGGCCGACATGAAGCATTCAAATGGAGTTCTAAGGGCGGGTGACGAGCACAGGGGTAAATGCTTGTACGCCATAACAGGAGTTGAGCCGTCCTTCGAGGATTCGGGACAACAGCATTATCAGTGGTCTTTTGCTTTTCCAATCAATGTATTTCTTCGCGATTAAGGGATAACGGAGGGCGTTCGGAATTAGCACGGTGGGGCGCAGAGTGGTCTTTTCGAGGGCGACGACGGCTGACCAGGCGTCCTAACGGCCTGTGGTCAGTGATTATATAGAGAAATCGCATAAGCCCACTTGGCTATGAGATAGTCCTTTAACATGCTTGTGATCAGTGTGGTCCTTTCAACATATCGTAACTGTCCTTAACCTATCTTTGGTGTCAGGGAAGTATGACGCGGGAGACGACACCGCTCGTTGGATGAGTGGCGTGCCATAGCACGGACGTAGGACAAAATGCATTGGCAGGCGTGGTTTGCCCATTGACGCCGCTTCCACCCAGTCTATGAGAAATACGAAAATGAAGAAGCAACGCACCGCCAAAACACGGTATGACTACAATGATTGATGCCCCAACCGAGCCTTACAGTGCCTCGTGTGCACACTGATCCCCTTTCCCCACATTCGCCTCCATTCTGTTCAGCGCAGAGTATCCAGGTATGATGGCGAGTTTAGCGTGAGTGTGTGTGTGTGTGAATGTTCCCTGGCAATTCCCTATACTACAAAACCCTGGCCACATGATATACCACGAGGCTCCTCACCCCATTAATTCTGCAGAATTGCTTTACAGCAAATCGCGCCTGACGAACTCGTCACGGAGGGCCTTACCCAGGCCAGCCGGCGAGCGCTCCACGATCACACCAGCGCTCTCGAGCGCCTTGATCTTCGAGTCGGCACCGCCCTTGCCACCGCTGACGATGGCGCCAGCGTGACCCATGCGACGCCCAGGGGGCGCAGAGATACCAGCGATGAAGCTCACCACGGGCTTGCCGCCGTTGACAGTGTTGTTCGCCCGGAGGAAGTCCGCGGCGTCCTCCTCGGCCGAGCCGCCGATCTCGCCGATCATGATGATGCCATCCGTCTCCTCGTCCTGGAGGAACACCTTGAGGCAGTCGATGAAGTTGGTGCCAGAGAAGGGGTCACCGCCAATACCGACAACAAGGCTCTGGCCGAGGCCGGCCTGGGTGGTCTGGTTGACGGCCTCGTAGGTCAGGGTGCCGGAGCGGGAGACGATGCCGATGCGGCCGCGCTTGTGGATGAAGCCGGGCATGATGCCAATCTTGCATTGGCCAGGGGCGATAATACCGGGGCAGTTGGGGCCTACGAGACGGGTCTTGTTCTGCGTCTTGAGCATGGAGGTGATGCGGACCATGTCTTTGCCAACTGTTAGCTCTTTGTCAGGTACTAAGAGGAGATGCCGCGGAGCTGACCATGTTGAGGAATGCCTTCCGTGATGCAGACAACCAGAGGGATCTCAGCCTCAATGGCCTCTTGGATACCACCAGCTGCCAGAGGTGGGCTATTCCGGTATGTTAGCAACCGAATGTCTCGAACCACCTCTCTTCCTCCCAGCCTTCCCCCCCTGGATTGTGTTTCCTTACGGGACGAAGATTCCTGTGGCGGTCGCGCCAGTCTCCTTCACGGCGTCGGAAACATTTGCGAAGACGGGCAGGTCGAGATGTTTGGAGCCAGCCTTCTTGGGGTTTGTACCACCGACGACCTTTGTACCTGCGAAGCCATCTCTATCAGCCTCCTTTTCTCCATAACAGTGATGTTTACAGCACCGTGGCGTGTATCGAGGGGTATCGTTTACCGTATGCGATGGCCTGCTCAGCGTGGAATCTGTGGCAGCAAACCGTGGGTTAGCATGTGAAACCCTGCCGAGAATATTTCACGCAAAGCTTGGCCGTCATCAGGAGGTACGCGAGCTGTGCAGCGATGGCACGGCTGAAAGATGGCACTCTGCACTCACGTTCCCTGCTTTCCAGTGAAGCCCTGGAAGATGACCTTGGTGTCACCGTTGATCCTGAGGTTCTCGATGGTCTGCTGGTAAGGGCCGGATTGGGCGCTGTACGTCCTCTTGGAGAGCTGGCGCAGAATTGACCCGGTAGGTCGTAGTTGTCTGGTGAAGGCCTGCATCGTGATAGATCCACAGCCTCGAAGACGGAAGATTTATTAAGAGAAAAAGGAAGGTGAAGAGGGAGCGGAAATGGGTTGCAAAAGGAGAACGGTGGTGAGACAGGCCGTCAATGCTGATGGGGATAGCTTCAAATCCAGGGCTTATCCGTTCGATCCAAGGTGGTAGTCAGTCTACTTTACTTTGCTGGCAGCTGGAACAGAGCTCACCTGCTTGCATCCACCTGCACCTGTTACCCAGCATTCAAGACCCCAGATTTGATACCAGCAGGATGGGCCAGGTTCAGAGCTAGCGGCCCCTGGGCAAAATTCTGCAGGATTGCTGATAGCAGGGAACCCTCAAGACACCTGTCTGCTTCCGAAAGTACCCGTCCACACCGTCCTGCCTGCCGAGGCCCAGGCTGGACCTCCAACTTCTTATCAGTCACTCCAAGGCTTATCGCTTCTAACAAATTTCCACCTCGACGAGGGGCAGCTACTTGACTAACAAGCAATTATTCCAATCACAGGCACTGCATTGCAGTTGCAAATCCGCAGGCAGCCAAAACTCCACAGCAGCCAGCACCGATTCAAAAACCGAAGAGGCACAAAGTCTACCAGCAACACTCTCGTATTCAAGGAAAACCCCGAATGTTTCTACATACAAAATGTCGACAACTACAGTGACAATGACGGAGACGAAGCGCAAGAAAGGCGCCGATCTACCGCCAGAGAACGAGCGCTTCCTCCGATGCTGCGCAGACATCGCCAACGCCCTCATCGAGGACCATGAGGCCACCCAGGACTCGACACGCCCGAAGAAGGACTTGAACTTAAACTCGCTCCGGTCCAGGCTTGCCAAGAAGCACAAGATCAACAACATGCCCTCACTGACCGCCATCATCGCCGCCGTCCCCGAACACTACAAGAAGTACATCCTGCCCAAGCTCGTCGCAAAGCCAATACGAACATCCTCAGGTATTGCAGTTGTTGCCGTCATGTGCAAGCCTCACCGGTGCCCACATATTGCATATACTGGCAACATCTGTGTCTACTGTCCTGGAGGGCCAGACTCCGACTTCGAGTACAGCACCCAGTCCTACACCGGGTACGAGCCCACGTCTATGCGAGCTATCCGAGCACGATATGACCCATTCGAGCAAGCCCGTGGCCGTGTTGATCAATTAAAGGCACTAGGGCATTCGGTGGACAAAGTGGAATACATCATCATGGGAGGCACCTTCATGTCCCTCCCGGAGTCATACAGGGACGACTTCATTTCCCAGCTGCATAATGCGCTCAGCGGATACCAGACCTCAAACGTGGATGAGGCGGTCGAGGCAGGAGAACTGAGCAATACTAAGTGCGTGGGCATCACAATCGAGACACGGCCAGATTACTGCCTGCAGCCACATCTGTCGAGTATGCTGCGCTATGGCTGCACACGGTTGGAGATCGGTGTGCAGTCTCTGTACGAAGATGTTGCACGAGACACCAATCGAGGGCATACCGTTGCTTCTGTCGCAGAGACTTTCAGCCTTGCCAAGGACGCTGGGTTCAAGGTCGTTAGCCACATGATGCCTGATTTACCAAATGTCGGGATGGAGCGCGACCTTGACCAGTTCAAGGAGTATTTCGAGAACCCAGCCTTCAGGACAGACGGCCTGAAAATTTATCCAACCTTGGTCATCAGAGGGACGGGTCTCTATGAGCTATGGCGGACAGGCCGCTACCAGAACTACACTCCAAACGGACTAATTGACCTTGTCGCGCGGATTCTGGCCCTTATTCCACCATGGACTCGTATCTACCGTGTCCAGCGTGACATTCCGATGCCGCTCGTTACCTCTGGCGTCGAGAATGGAAATCTTCGAGAACTGGCCCTTGCTCGCATGAAGGACTTTGGCACAACTTGTCGTGACGTACGAACCCGTGAGGTCGGTGTCAATGAGGTCAAGAACAAGATCCGCCCCAATCAAATCGAGCTTGTGCGCAGAGACTACACAGCAAACGGAGGTTGGGAGACATTCCTTGCATACGAGGACCCCAAACAGGACATACTCGTCGGATTGCTGCGGCTGCGGAAGTGTACCGAAAAGTACACGTACCGTGAGGAGCTCGTCGGTCAGCAGACGAGTTTGGTGCGTGAGCTGCACGTTTACGGAACAGCGGTACCTGTGCATGCGAGGGACCCTAAGAAATTCCAGCATCAAGGGTTTGGAACCTTGTTGATGGAGGAGGCAGAGAGAATAGCGAGAGATGAGCATGGCAGCGAGAAGATCAGCGTCATCTCGGGCGTTGGTGTGAGGAGCTACTATAAAAAGCTTGGATACTGGCTAGATGGGCCATACATGAGTAAATGGCTGGATGGAAGGCCGGAGAAGCAGGGTTAAGCACAATCGCATCAACACAAGCATTTCACACAGGGCGGTGTCAACCGCCAGGCGTTCTTCAACATGGGCCAGGGTGCAAAGGAAGGCGTTCTTGGGGCGCATATACAAAGGGGAAAACAATAGCGTGAAAACATAGGAAATCGGATCGGACGCCTCCACGAGCTCTTTGGAGAACCCATCGATAAGCTCACATTTGTCATGGTTGAGAAATCGCTGGTTCTTCGCTGCTTGCAACTTCGGATTGTACGTATCAACACACCTTCAGGTTTGTGGCACACCACCATCATCTTGATTAAGCGATCTGTCAACATGCACGTCGTCAAACCATTGATGACTGCCAGCTTTGGCTGGAAGCAGATATCGCGTGGCTTTTTGCCAAGCAAGTCAGCTACCTATCATTGGGGTTGATATACAGCCTTATCACAAGAAATATGCCGGAAATGGTTTTATCTCGAACACACAACCTTCATCTTGAGAGCGACCACACCTCGCCGTTCTGGGTTGTAATGGCTAGTTGGCCAAGCTGATCTAATTCTGGGCAATTCACTTTGGCTTGCCAAGCTGATATGGCTCGCCGAATCACGACCTTGCCCATCTGGGCACCACAAGCTTTTACACCATGTAACAAGGACCTCCTCGGCTTTTGCCAATATCATCCACCCAATCGCCCCTGCTCAGATTCACATTGGCTTCTTTCAGCCGGTCTCTATTGTTGTTCCAAATTCGTGGGACAAAGGTTCCAGAACCAGCCAAGGCCCTGGAGGCGTCCTGGGCAGCCCCTGGGCAATGCTTATGACCTTCCAAGTCGAGCATCTGGAAGACGAAGCTCACGATAGTCCCGATCTTGGGTCTCATCGTTGTCTAGAGCCTGGTTGAAGCTTTACCGTGCCGTTGGGTCGTACTTCACGAGTTTGCATACTGCCGTCACGAACAAGTCGTTTGAGTGGTCGCCTTTTCCCCCTCCCTTTCCCAACCTCCTCCGAAACGGCCCCATGCTTGAGGCTGGCTGAGCCAAGACAACGCCTTGCAACGCTGCGAGGTGCATTTTGTACCACGTGAGAGCCTGTTGGATGAATCTGGGCCTCCCTCCCTCTCTGCCATCTCGTCCGTCCTATCTTGTGCCTGAATTTGGCAGTACTCGCACCGACCTTCTGCCCACCATCCAATTGTCCAGTGCGGATGATTCGCCAAGATAGGATCGCGGCTTGCATGGAGCTCTGCACATATCTCGAGAAGGTTCGGTCTCCGAATCATAAGGCTTCTTGGCTGTTGTAGTGAAAGTTCAGGGGAATGGCCAGCCTCTCAAGGAAGGTTTCACTATCATAGTCAATGTCTGGAGCGAGATTATTCGCTACGTGTAGTGTAAGTTCGCCAAGAAGATTAACCTGAAGAAAGTCCTGGATATTTATTAGGGCCATGTGCGCCAGCAATCAGACCCTGAGCGCCTTCCGCTCTCCTTTTGCGACGTCTCTGCCTTCTCTTTGAAACCGTGATACTATTTTGTAGCCACGACCATCCTCCCAACCTGTCAGAATGGCTGAGCTGGAGAAGACCATGCCGCACCCCGAGGCTGTCGGCGTCCCTATACGGGACTCGATAGACACCCCGGAGAAGGCTGATATCTTGCCGCACGAGGATATAGTAGTCGACCTCTTTTCACCCCTGCCGCCACTTGAGGGCGTCCCAGAGGAGCCAATGCCTTTGACCGTGCGGGCCCTCGTCGTTGGCATCATCCTTGGTTCGCTGGTCAACGCCTCCAACGTGTACTTGGGTAGGTCCTCACACCCCGAGCAAGATATTTGACAGCCCGTCTGACGACCCTTCAGGCCTCAAGACGGGTTTTACCTTTGGCGCATCGATGATGGGCGCCGTATTCGGGTTTGGTGCCATCAAGATCCTGCAGAAGATCGCCCCCGGCGTCCCCTTCCTCGGCCTCGAGCAGTTCGGACCGCAAGAGAACAGTATCATACAAGCTGCTGCTACCGGCGCCGGCGGCATGACGGGGTTGTTCGTCGCCGCACTCCCGGCCATGTACCGTCTGGGCCTCCTGTCCGAGGACCCAAAGGATGACTTCCGCCGGATCTTGACCCTGACGCTCGTCTGCTCGACGTTCGGCCTTTTCTTTGCTGTGCCGCTTCGAAAGTTCTTTATTATAAATGTCTCCCGCGAACTGCGCTTGATATTCCCGTCACGTAAGCCACACCTCGTTTTATTCAGTATCTTCTTAAAAGTGGCTGATAACGAAAACAGCTACCGCCACTGCCGTCGCCATCCGCTCTATGCACGCTGTCGGCACTGGGGCCACCGAGGCCATGAAGAAGATCAAGGCCCTCGGCTTCGCGTTCGGTGCTGCCTTGATTCAGCGCGTGGCGTCATACTATGCCATCGGTATCCTGTATGACTGGCATGTCTTCACGTGGTTCTACATCTGGGGCAACTACAATAATTGGGCTATAAATATCGAGAATTGGGGCTGGATGATCGAGTGGACACCCGCATTCCTGGGGTCCGGTATGCTCGTTGGTCTCAACACCGCCAGTAAGTGAACACTTTTCAAGAATATCATGCTCATTGCAGCATTCAATAGTTCTTGTGAATAAGTTGTTTGCCGTTGGTTCTCATGATTGGACTTATGGGTCAGAAGTTGACTAACAAGCCTCAAGTTAGCATGTTCGGTGGCACATTCGTCGCCTGGGGATTCATAGGCCCGATCCTTGTCCACTACGGTATCTGTGTCGGGAAAGCCTACGATGAAGACGATCCAAAGTGGAGCGACTACGTCTCCTTCTACTCAATGTCCGGCATCAATAACCCAGGATACATTCCATCCCCGCGGTACTGGTTCCTGTGGCCAGGCGTCATGGTGCTCGTCTGCTACAGCATGGCCGAATTCCTGGTGCACTGGAAGGTTCTCTACTACGGCGCCAAGTACGCCTGGGCGTCGGCAGCAGGCACCGTGAACGAGCTGATAGCCAGCCGGCGCCAGGGCCGCGGGGTTCCGTTCCTCGAGAGGCAGGGACGCTCCAAGGATGACGAGCGTGGCCTGGTTGAGGACTTCGCCACACGCGACCAGCAGGTCAGCAACTGGGTGTGGATGCTCGGCAGCGTCGTGGTGGTCGTCATGACCTGTATCATCGGCGAATTCCAGTTCGACATCGATGCTGGCCTCTGCATCCTCGCCAGCATCCTCGCCATCGTCTTTGCGTTCCTCAGCATCCACGGCGCTGGTGTCACGGATATTGCGCCTCTGACCGCGAGCGCGAAGGCCTCGCAGCTTGTGTTTGGCGGTATTACCAGCGGGCAAGGCCTCGACATCGCAACCGCCCAGGCGACCAACTTGGTTGCGGGAGGTATTGCCTCTGGTGCTGCGGATATGTCGCAGTCGCTGGTCAGCGACTTCCGCGTGGGCTTCCTCCTCAAGACACCGCCGAATTTGCAATTCTGGGCCCAGGGCCTTGGGACTGTTGTTGCCATGTTCTTGGCTCCTGGTATGTATCTCTATTGAATAGATTTTCGTCAGGCTGTTCTGTTGCTAATATGCGCGTCTCAGGAATCTTTGTTCTATTTATGGCCGCTTATCCTTGTGTGTTACAGCCAGATAAATACGATCATTGTCCATTCTCTGGTGCGTAAGAGTCTTACTTTATTGTCATATCATGTTGCTCCTCAATGTGAAACTTCTGGATCGCATATCTCTTACTCAGTACTGTCCTGTTAACATAGCGTAGCTCCAAGTGTGACCGCCTGGCAAGCTGTTGCCGAAGCTGTCACGAATCCTCAAGTACCTATCCCACTCAGCTCGGGAATCTTCGCCCTGGTGCTGGGTGGTGTATGTATAGCCCAGGTTGTCCTCAAGAACTTCTTCCTCATTGGTAGCCGCGAAAAGTACCGCCAATGGCTACCCAACTGGATGGCCATCGGGGTTGCCTTCGTGATCCCGCAGACGTATTACAGCACGGCAACGCTCATAGGCGCTATCGTGAGCCATTTCTGGCAGAAGAAGAAGCCAGCCAACTTTGAGAGGTATTGCTTTGCTGTCGCGGCGGGCTTGATTGCTGGTGAGGGGCTGGGTGGTGTCATTGGTGCTGCTTTGCAGCTGGGCGGGGTCTCTGGGGATGTTTATGGAACCATGGTCGGTTGCCCTATGGATTCGTGTTGAATGTCAGACGGCTTTGGTCCAATGAGTTTCTTGGTTCTAGGACGTGTCTTCTTGGATATTTGATAATCACTTAGTTCGGCCGTAAGAAGACGTCAGTTTTGCACGGACACACCCACGGCGCCTCTCACTCATTGACCTCTTCCGCATTAAAGGGTAGGCCACGCAAAACCTCCTGCTCTCACCCCTCTCTGCATAATATGTTGACAAGTAACGTAATGAAGTATCGGCTTCTCTCATCTCGTCCGTGGCAGTGCCTAGCCGGGGTTGAAAATGATTCAAATCTTGAGGGGACAAAGCAAAAACTCAAGGTAGACTTGTCGCTTGTCTTACTAACCAAGCATCTTATGCGCAATTACGTATGATAGATATGTATGTGCGCCCACTCTTCCAAGCTGAATGTAATGCCCAGATAATAGATATGGAATGTGTGGACTGGCGGACGGCCATTAGTAGCTAGTTGCCACTTTTATTCACGCTTGAAGGGCTCCATTCAGAGCAATTATGGACCGCGTTCATTGTGATAGCTTGTTCTATCTTCTCTTTTCCTCGAACATATTCTCGTTTTGAGGATAAGGTAGCCGGTACTCTTTGGCTCCGATTGAAGGTGCTGAGTATCGTTTTGGTGCCTTCATGTGTTGTGTGTCCTTCCACATCGGTCTCAACACACTTTCTCTCGGAGGCAGTACACGGCACATTTAGTGTCAAAAACAGCGTGAAGGTGTCTATTGGCCTCTCGTCTAATCGAATGCCTTTGAACTCCGTTGAAATCATGGACTTCGCATAAGAGAATTAAAACACGGGACAAGTCTGACTTCTTGCAAATGATATCTACTTACTATTTGAGTACCCGCAGGCTGTAGCAGGTGTCATGAAATGTTCTTTGACAAGGGCCTAGTACAGAAGGATCCATCCTAATAAACATTTGATGTGGTCAGCCTCGCCAGACTGTAGGCCCTGCTTGCTCCCAGAAAGGCAAGTAGGATGTAGCTAATATCCTGCAAGATAATTATGGTGTTCCTCGAGTCGCGATGGATTTCGCACATTTAAGACTAGACTGATAGCGACGTCTGAAACAGGACGCATGAAGGGGACTCTCTACGCAGAACTGAGGCGGGGGGACCAAGTAAAATGAGGGTCTCACGCCACTGACAACAGACAGCAGCATCCAGAGTGCGATTGCCTATACCGACAGCAACAATACGAACCACGTCACGATTTAATGCAGCCCATTTATCCCTTTAAAGAGAAAAACGAACTATTTGAACAGCCACAATGACTAAATGATTGTCCCAGGTGGGATTATTCCTACAAGTAAACTAAGTCCACACTATTGTGCTATTCTATGGCCGCATGCGTAAGCTGGAGAAATTCGGAGTCCGGATCGCGAAGTACAATATTAGTATGGAACTCGGCACACTGACAACTCCGCCAAGTCATCCAGCCCAATCGTATTCGGAAAGGCATTTATCCGTCCTGGCCAGATTCATCAATGCCAAGTTAAGTGAGGCCCGGGAAAGTAGGGAAAGGAGCGTGCACTAACTCCCAAAGTTTAGGATTGAGGCAGCCTGGCGGTGGAAGTTGACGCCAAGCCACGATGGGCAGCGCGCCCAGGAGACTGGACAAGTTGGACGACATGGTCAAACGAAAGATTGCTGCGATCCATCCGATGCGTACCAAAAGTCATTCAGCCCCAGTGCCTGGGGGTCCTGACAGGGTCCCCAGGGTCCCCAGCGTTGCGGGGAAGACAGGGGCCTCGTTGTAGCCTCGTGCGTGCTGGCCGTGCGAGCCGAGGACCCACAGGAGCTGAGGCCAATAGCACGACAGTATGAGTTGAGCTAAGAACGCGCTAAACTCAACCTTAATTCCCGTTGACGACATGACTTCTCAAATCCTCATCCTCCACGTTTCCTCCTTCCAATATTGCACGTCCAGCATCAAGCATCTTGCACTGTGCCACAGTTCAGCAGGGAGTTTGATGAGTCCTCCTCATCAAATCCTTTGCCGTAGCATTGTGCCACAGAATCAGGTACTAGGAAAAGGAAATGAGACCACTCCTGAGTTCCCCAAATGCTGCATTCTCAATCTCACAGAACCCCTGGAGTATCAAACAAAGGCGTGACCTACTACGGATATTACGCGAAGAAAATGGGAAGGGCGCGCCATAAATTGGCTAGCCAATGATCCTCCATCTCGACCTTCCGTTGGGTCGTTCCGTTGACGCCTAGACATGCCTTTCCAATGAGTCCGAGGGAGAATCCGAGGGGGCTCACGATGTCAAACTAACAACGAAGGATTAATTCCGTTTCAGGACTCAGTCGCAATCCCATTAGTGGGGCGTGAAGTAGTCTCAGAAACTACGACACGAAGCACTCTGGTAGATCATTACGCGCTGGTACTACCTCAAGTGGGTTCGTGTGGACGGCGTGGAGGGCACAGCCTGCTCAAGCTGCAGTCTTCGCGGGAAGCTCCATTGGAGTATGGACATGTGAGATCTGGGAGACGTGATGAGAGAGCAAACACCGAGTTCCCGTTTCTGTAATTCTGTTGGCTGATGTCCGTGTGGTTGCCCAGACACCTCTTGCGTCCCATATCTCCTGGTGTAGTTTCACGGCAACGTCAACTGTATTCTCGATATTGTCGATTAATCCCAGGAAGCACAGACAGAGAACTAGCATCACATGGCCCAAGAAGCCCAAAATCAGCTATGCTGGCAGGACCGGAGGCATACCAAGGCTGCCGGTCAGCACCAGGTTTCTTGGAAAGTGGCTCATGTAAAACGCCCAAGACCCGAGCTATGCCATACCCAGAAACAAGGCGGGCCGCGTCATGAGGCCATACATCGGCTCAATGTCGTCTCCCAGTGCTCTTTCTGGACAGCTCTCGACCTTTCTGACCTGTCCATTGACCACTCACAAGCTGCGACCACCCTCCTCGTCAGGCTGATCCTGGTGGCTAAGTGGTCGGGCATCTGCTCTGAACCATGCCTGTTTCTGAGCTTTTTTTCGTTGCTACGCGAGTCTCCTTGTTGTTGCCAAGGCTGTATGGGAAAGGATATCTTGGTATAGCTACATCATAGATGTTCCTTGCAATTCTGCTTTGTCACTGATGTGAAGTCTGAGATGGATTTAATAACCCCGTCACTCCCTCTTCTGTCGCCAGGGAAACATTTATCATCCAACCCTCAAGCCCATCACAACTAAAACCTAAAGCCACTTCACCCAAGCGCCAGTGTACAGTCCAAGATAAATCAGTGCTACGGTTCAGAGACGCGTTCATCATGCAACTGAAACAGTTCACCACGCTCGGGCTAGCCGGCATCGTCGCCAGCCAGTCTCTGACTGACGTTATCGGCCAGAATCAAGATCTATCCCAGCTCGGAACACTGCTTGGCCAGTATCCTGATGTTGCCCAAACACTGGCTGGTCTGTCCAACATCACCGTTCTGGCCCCGAACAATGCCGCACTCTCCGCCCTCCTGAATGACTCTGCGGTGACGGCGATGGTTGCCGCTGACCCAGGCCTTGTTCCTGCCAGTAAGTGTCTCGCGCGAGTGCTTTCGAATTGCTGGAGGCGCAGTGGAAGTCATTTCCTCTCCCCAATCTCTCAACTCCTGTCCCTGCCCAAGTTCTATTTTCTAAGTCATGGAGTTGAGGGTGGCTTGCTGATCAAACACTAGTCCTGACTTACCACGTCCTCAACGGCACAATCCGGTCCACGGATATCACTGATACACCAGCATTCCCAAAGACGCTGCTGACCAACTCCACCTACACCAACGTCACCGGCGGACAGGTCGTCAAGGCTGAGACTGAGGACGGCGGTGTCGTGATCACCAGTGGCCTATTGAAGCAGAGCCGCGTCACCACCGCGGACGTGACCTTCTCCGGAGGCGTTGTGCACATCATCGACACGGTGCTCACCATCCCCGCAAATGACAGCGCCACCGCCCTCGCCGCCAACCTCACTGCCCTTGCCGGCGCGCTGACCACAGCTAACCTCGTCTCAACCGTGGACTCAGCCTCTGATGTGACCATCTTCGCGCCCTCTAACGAGGCCTTCGCGGCCATCCAGAACCTGGCCGCCAACCTGTCCACCGAGCAGCTGTCCAGCATCCTGACCTACCACGTCGTGCAGGGCACCGTCGGCTACAGCTCCTCGCTCACCAGCGGCGCCCAGCTCACCACCCTCCAGAACGGCCAGGTTACAATCACTATCAACGACGGTGACATCTTCGTCAACTCCGCCGAGGTCGAGGTTGCTGACGTGCTTGTCTCCAACGGTGTCGTCCACGTCATTGACAACGTCCTGAACCCTGACAACTCTACCGCCCGCCCCGATACCACTGCTTCCACCCAGGTGCCCGCCTTCAGCGGTGCCAGCAGCGCGTCCGGCGTTCCTTTCACCTCAGGTATCACTGCCACTGGCCCCGCTGCTACAGGTGGCGCTGGTGCGACTGCCACTTCGAGCGGACCCGCTCAGGCTGGTGTCCCCATGCAGACCGCTGCTGTCGGTGCCGCTGCTCTGTTCGGTGGTGCTGCCGTGCTCGCCAACTGGTAAACGGCTCGTACACCTCTACGCCAGATAAGCATTGAAGTGGGACGTTAGTTGGGTTAGGAGTGAGATTGATTGAATTTAGCCGGAGGTCATGTAATGATACCCAGGATATCAGTCTGACAGGAAAGTAATGCGAGATAGCCGACGGAAAGGCTATGCGATTCGGTACGATGGTTGATGAGGTCTTATTTGGTGAGAATAGCGTTACCTTCTTGACACTCTTGACAATATATTATTTACTCCTATCTGTCGGTACTGATGACAAGGTGGTGGAGAAGCAACGCGACTTCTTCCCAAGGCAACACGTCCAGTCAAGTAAGGATGGAAAGACGCACTGACTGCCTATCCATAATTGTGCGAGAGTGAGCCGGAATGTGGACAGATTTCAGACGAGATTTGGAAGGCAGTACTGATTCGATTCTATGTCTCTGGCAACTTTTCGTGGTGTCTAAGAGGAGACGTAAATTCCCGTGCGATTGCCCAAAATAAGAAGGAAATCCCACAATTATGATCTTATCCGTTTGTTTCTCATACTTCAACCTGAAGCCTTATGCCCGCCCCCCCCCCCCCAACATCTCCTGCTGATAACATGCCCTAGCCTTTGGAAGGGTTGGGTATCTTGAAGAGGATAACGTTGCCCACCGGTCCTTCTCCAATAGCCTTATCAACGCGAAAAATCCCCTTGCGTTCCAGTTGAATGATGTCATCCGTTTTCAGATGTGCCACATCAGCATCACAAAGTGCCTCAGTCCTCGAAGCGGACACAGGACTGAGATAATCATCCAACTCTTCCTTCTTACCAAGCGTGTCTTTCGTGAGAAAATAATCAAAATCCCATAACTCGGCCTTCACGAGGTCGGCCCGTTCACCAGCAAGCCATGTGATTTTCTTGGTCTTGCGAAAGTCCGTATCACCGAGTTGAAGCGTCAGTACCAAGTCTTCGACTGTGCCGTCCCCGGAGGTGTTGCACTCTTCGACTACCGCATTGGTCCATCCCATAAGGGTGAACTTTTCTCCCCTTGAGAGACACGCAGCATCAGCCTGGTCCAGAATTATGGACCGCCCATACGTGACGATCTTTGTTCCGACAGCAGGATTCTTCGGGTGCTTCCGTTTTGACTCACAGTACGCGGCATCAGGCCCGTTCACAATAACCGCGGTGACCATCTGTTTGGTCTCGACCGCCGTGTGACGCCGTGTGACGTGGTGCTACCGGATCGATCACCTTCTGGTTCATAGCCCACAATATCGTCCGGTCCATCGTCACAGCATTACAACTTGGGCCCTGTTTCAGCATAAACTCCCGGAGCGCTTGTACAGTCAAGCCACGGCGCAGAATGCCGCGGATTGTAGGCATGCGAGGGTCATCCCACCCAGTGACAACACCAGAATCTACGACCCTGGCGAGCTTGCGCTTGGAAAGAAACGTGCGGATGAAGCTGATGCGAGCAAAGTCCCAGACGTAAACTGGCTGGAGGCTTAGAGTGTCGAGGAACCAGCTGTATTGCTCGTTGTGGTCGGCATACTCAGTCGTTCGCAGAGCGTGTGTGGCTCCTTCAATCGAATCGACTACCGGGCACGCGAAATCATATGTCGGATAGATGTTCCAGGCCGAGCCCGTGCGATGATGGGGTATTGCTCTGTCCGAGCGATTGCCATCTCGAATCATCTGCTCAGCGATCTCGTTTAGCTGAGAGAAATGGTCACTTGTGTAAGTCACTTGATCAGGTTTGATCCCGAGCAGACCCAGATCGTGAAGTATTGATTCCTCAAACTCCTGTTTCTCCTTGGCTGGGTTCGTGTCATCGAATCGAACAATGAGTTTTCCATCAAAGGCATCCTGCAAAGTAGTTGTTGAGAAAGGCGGCTTTTGCATGGCCAATATGCAGATACCCACTAGGTAGATCAGCCCTGCTATCGGAAACCCGAGTTTGTAACAAAACTCACGACGGCTCAGGTGGGAACCTAGTCACAACACCATGCTCGGTGTCTGTGAGACCGATGCTGTAGTTTCCACCGGCTCTGCTTGCAGCGACACGCTCATCTTTGACTCGTGCCTGCGCAGCCTTAAAGTTGGTCTGGATCTCCGGATGGACAGCCTCAAGCTCGGATCGCGCACCATAGTTCCTTGTCGGCGGGACTGAGGGTGTAACCTCATAGACACGTCCTCAGAGTGAGGTCTTTGTCAAGCTGCTGGAGCAGCTCCTCGATTGACTTGAAATCCGTGGCCAATAACCCAGAGATCAGCTGCTCCAGATTGTCCAGCTTCACCGTCATTGTTTATATCTGCCAAGCCAGCTTTCATGCGTTGAACTCGTCGACGCTGATACCGGATTCTGAGGTGCGAGAAGACAAGTTGGGGTTCCAACATGCTTCATGGGCGCCCCCAATACGTAGGGTAACATTGTTCATCCCGGTGGCGTAGTGACTCATGCCGCGATGTTTGCATGGACCAAGACACCTCTGAGGATGTAGGAATTGAAACGCTAGAAGACAATTTTGAATCTGAACCCATTTCTGAATACAAGAGCCTGTCTTGTGAACTGTTCTCAGTTACCTACTTTGGGCCAGTCGATATTTTCCTATCAACCTCAATGCTCAGTCCACTTTCCCCTGAGATCTTGATATCCAATGCTGGATAAGATGCATCATGGATGCAACGCGGTTCTCTTTTAGTTAATGAGTGACATGCCGTGTAACCGAGGATGGATTCACTGAAACGTGGCAGTTTCAACGGTATCGAGGAGAGTAATACATTTATAGTTCAATCAATAAAGGGTCGCACCACAGCTATGTCTAGGGATTCAGGATCTAGCTCACTACCAGAGCTTTGGTTGCCGCGGTTCCCCGCCTGATCTAGTCGCAGAGAATAGACAACCCAATCAGTTTGATGCAAGCAGCCATGCTCGTCTAGAAGCGGGCTCATGTTTGTGTCGTGTCATATGTCACATTTATATGGCGTCAGCTGACCACATATGCATGCAGTTCCAGCGTGATATGCAGGATGTTTCCGTTCGGTGGAGTCATGGTTGTGTTTGGCAGTATCTCCAAACCACCTCGCAAGACCAAAGTTTGAGTGCCACAGAATTGGCAAATCTAGCCTTCAGAAAACGCCTGTCATCAGATTACAACACCCTCCAGTTTGAATGATTTTTCCATCAGAAAGTGAGGTGATCGTCACATAACAACACGCATGGGGCTTAGTACTAGACGGGTCCCCGTACTATTTAATCCGGGCCGCGGATGAGCCGGACTGCGAAATTACGGTCAAGGACGACATATAGATCTGCCGTGGGGACCGAGCTAATTAAAAGGGCTTGATGTCATCTAAATAATTCTCTGCCGTACCGAGCTCTCCGATGTCCTTTGAGCTCCAATTCTGTATTTGGAATTTTCAAATCCGCAAACACGCATCGCGGCCGCCAGTAACGCACTTCAATGCAGGCTTAGGATAGAACACCCCGAAATACGTCGCAGCCCAGTAAGCATTGTGTTGTCCCACCACGCTTTGCATCCGCCGAGCTCTTCTCATTGGCTTGGCGTTGGTGATGATCCTTGGTAGGTTGGCCGGGTATTATTCACCATCTGTGCTCAGGTACCCAATGTAACCAGAAGCAGTTCTATAGATGCGCTAAGTAGCATCCGGCGATCGTGATGGGCTTGCAGGAACAACTTGTTCATGGCCGAGGACCAGATGTCTGTAATGATGATGCGCACTTTTTCCAGTGATCGGCCGCTGTATAAAGGAGAGCTGTCCCGGCCCCCACTGTGTTGAGTCAAGATCACGTCGGTTTTAATCATTTCACGCGTGCACGACTTTGCATCTTCCAAACAACTGCACAGTCGGAACACTTCAGTATGATTTTCACGTCTTCGTCCCCCTTGCGGGCTGCACTCGTTTTGGCCGGCCTGTCTTCTGCCCGGAAGTGCATCGATTTGAGCATCGACGTGCCCGTTGTCTCCAGAAATGCCGTTTTCAATCAAACGACACCAACAACTGACATCGAAGTGACCAACTTCGCTCTGGACTTGACTCGTCAAGGACACAATCGCACTAATGAAGTCCTCACCGGTGTAGGTTCCCTCATCCCCAGCAGCTGAATCACAACTTGGCGATGCCTTGTCCGTCTAATCAGCATTAGTATGCAAACATCAAGAAGACCTACACCGTAGCGGCCACGTACTGTGAACCGGACTCAGGCCCATCCAAGACTCTTCAATTGCTGACCCACGGAATTGGCTTTGATCGCACGTACTGGGATCTCTCTATAAACGACTACAATTACAGCTATGTAGCCGTTGCAAACGACGACTACGGCTACAGTACCTTCGCTTGGGACCGCCTCGGCATAGCTCAATCGCAGCACGGGGAAGCCGTGAACGAGATCCAATCTTCACTGGAGATCGCGGCGTTGTATACCCTCACAAAGCAACTCCGTGAAGGGTCTATCGACGGCATCAGCTGCGGTTTCGACAAAGTCGTCCACGTCGGCCACTCATTCGGAAGCATTCAGAGTTATTCCTTGGCCGTCTTACACCCCGGGGCGAGTGACGGGCTCATCCTGACCGGATTTAGCCAGGCTAGCCAGTTCGTCCCGTACTTCGCCCTTGGCGCGAATTTTGTCGCGGCCAACGGGTTGCCACCTTTCTTGACCTACCCGGATGGATATCTCGCCTCTAGTGACCCCTCAGGCGTGCAGACCGACTTCTTCTCACCAGGGGCTTTTGATCCCGCGCTTTTGGATCTGGCGACTGCTTCTGGCAAGCCGGTCACTGTTGGCGAGCTTCTGACTATTAGCGCTGCTACTGCGATGAAGAATCCTCTGAAGGGGCCGGTATTGATTATCACTGGAGGTGAGTTCAAGACCATAAGCTGGAAAGAGAGATGAAGTCAAAAAACTGACATCGCACAGGCCGAGACATTCCTTTCTGTGGAGGAGATTGCCTCTTGACGGGCTCATCACTCCCGAACTTCCTCGAGATGAGTAAGCCGATGTTTCCATCAGCCAGCAAATTCGAGGCTGTTGTCGTCGGAGAGGCTGGGCACGGATTGAACTTGGAATACTCCCATCCCTTCACATACGGCAAGATCCTGGACTTCGTTACCCAGAATGTTGGGCTGTGAGGAGAATGCATCAGTATCTTGAGTATGGCACTTACCAAAACGAGCCTACTGAAAGAGCCTACTGAAAGAATCTTATTAGACATGAACATATTCAGAGGAGGTATTCCAAAATGAACGTGACAGGGAAACGTATAATACAAGATAATATTGAAATTACTTCAAAGCAATCAATAATTACTAGTCTAACGAGATGGTCCTCTCCAAATGTCGTGATCCTTTACTGAGTGAGCTGATTTTTGTAACAAAGATTCGACATCAATAGAATTATGTTCCTTGGCACAACTGCATCTTATGGCTACGCCTGCTAACATCATTTCCCTTGAGTCCCGTTCTAATTGCAGCTGAAATCTGTGACGCAGAAGCTTAACAAGCCCGGTGGGCGAAGTCTTCTAACTGCAAGGCGGTTGACAGGAGATCGAATCTGCCAGTAGCTACGCCTCACTCTTACCTGTAAAGGACCTTATCACCATGCATTCAAACGTTATCCGTCATCTAGGGTACTAAGTGGCCGCTCGAATGTGTAAACGAGAAGACTTCGGCACAAACACCCGAATCATCTCCCGGCTTAAGGTTGCAGACCACCTGCATACAAGTAAAATTTCACCACATTCTGCTATAAAGACCCCGTCATCATGTCACTAATAGAAGCCAGTCCTCAACCAAGACGTTTGATGGAGGGCCGGGAGATGCCTCGTGTGTTTGCAGGCGTTTTGATGTTTGGGGGTCAGACGGTCCCAGGCGTCGTTGGACAATTGACCATGTCTTCAAACGCTTGATTCAAATACTTGAAGCAGCTTAAGAGAGACATTGAATGCCATGTAAGATAGCCCTAACCCTCTAATCCTTCTTGCCATTTGGACTTGCTTGCTTATTTCTTTTTGGTCTCAAAAGATACCTGATCTCTTCCGACCACAATTCTTGAAAACCCAGCAACCACATCAGCATGTCGAAACCTACAGAACCTGTGGCTACAGATGATGAAGAGAAAGAACTCCCCCCATACAAGAAAATGTCCTATACCGACGCGGTAGTAGGCCATGAACTCCACAACTTCTTTGGTGGTAAAGTTATCGAACACACCACTGCGGCCGGTGAGGTCCTGGCACTCAAAGTGAAGACGAGGTCGGGCTTGCACTGCTCCGAGGCCGACTTGATGCATTATGCTGCCACGCACGGTGTGCTCGCCCCAAAAGTTCGCGGTGTCTACGATGTCCAAACGAAGCCCAGGGCGAGGGTCATGGTCAGCGACCGTCTGCCTGGTTTGCCTCTTGCTCACATTTGGGAGACAGCTACACAGTCCGAAAGGGACAGTTACAAAGACCAACTCCGAACTCAACTCAGGCGAATGCGCGAGTGTACGCAGCCATTTATCGGTCGCGTGGCAAGGTCAGGGGAACGGCAACAGACTTACAACATCTACGATCACCTCCTTACGACATACTGTGGGCCGTTCGAGACGGAAAAGGAATTTGACGATTGGTGCCTGGCCCGCGTGCTTCCGAGAGTCGGCCTTCTTTCGCGGCACAAATGGAAACGGTTCATCGAGCGGGACCGACGTGATGCTCCTCAGAGATTCGTCTTGACGCACGGCGACCTGACGGCGCGGAATATCATGGCGCACGAAGGTGTCATCACGGGCATTGTTGACTGGGAGAGGGGCGGTTTCTTCCCTGAATATGCCGAGTATGCCTTTGCCGTGGCACTAGGCCATAACATTGAAGAGTGGTGGGTTCCGGAGTTGAAGGAAATCCTACAACCTTGCTCCAAGGACAGAGTCAAGTTCACGAGCCTAGTAGAGCAGAAAGGGTGGTAGGAGGGACTTTGAATCGTGCATTGCGTCAAACAGGAGGTGAAGCTTCTCTGCACCAGTCTTGGTGGGTCAGTAGTCATATGAAGGGGGTATCATGAATTTCACGCAAACGACACTCAGGATCAAATACCTTTAATACAGCCAACTTATTATACCATCGTGGTGTGAAATCTAAATTTGTGCAAACAACATTATTTACTGTTGGTCTTTGGACGCAGTGTGATTGCCGAAGGCGATCTGTATCAAGCCTTCATGCAGGCGCCGGACCTGATGGTTCTTTCTGAAGATGGCTGTGCCATGGGACATAGCGTAGTTTGTACTGTTGGTGTAGAGGCATCCGTTGCAGGCCAGCGCCTTGACTTCAGGCTCTCTTTGCCACATCAACGAGTGCTGCACGCCATAGACCAACATATCATGACTCGTTTATCCACCCGGCCGCGTCACATATCAGTTGTTTTTCAAATTGAAATTCACCTGACGATGAGTTTTGGGTTGTGTAGCCCCAGCACTCGCCCGGGGATGCAACGTCAACATTATTCCACCAACACACCGTATTGCTGGTTCGACGTAATACCAAGGTCAGCGGAATGCCGCGCAGATACAAGAAAGAAAAGAACGGGGCCGACAGAAACAACATACCAGGCATTTGCACCTGCAGCAATCTCTGTAGAATTGTTGTAGTTGTACTCGGCACACTGGTTGATACATGTGTTCAAGTCCGCTGTGTACTTGCTCACGAGGACGTCCCCTGTGGCAACCATGGTTGTGCTGCAGTATTTTCGAAACATATACTCCGTGGTTCCGAGAGTAATATCATATAGTGTTTCATCTGATGATGGGCAGTCACGATATAATGTCGCAGACGGGCCCACTACACTAGTTGTCGTGACGGATGTTGACTGCGCACTCGTTGTTGTAGGTGTATCGCTAGTGCTTGATGATGGACTAGTTGTGACGAGTGAAGTCGATGCTGTGGATATGGAAGAGGCGGAGGCGGAGGTGGATGAAGAAGAGAGACTCTGAGTAGACTGAGATCGGTTGGCAATCGAGACACCGATGCCAATGCCGACTGCTGCGCCCACGATCGCCACAGCAGTGACCGATAACACGACCCAGAATGTTCGTGATGCGAGCCCGCAAATTCGTTTCCTAGTGCCCTCTTTTTGAGGGCCCGCTTCTGGATGGGGCTCTTCAGGGTGGTTCTCCTCAGCGTAATGCTCTTCAGGGTGATGCTCCTCAGCATTTTGTGCTCCCAGATAATGCGACTCTGGATATGGCGCCCATTGGCCCGTCTTCATGTATTCTGTACCAGCAGCGCTGACGTGGACCGGCTCTGGGAAGTGGTCTTTGGAAGCATGGACCGGCTCTGGGAAATTGTCTTTGACAGCATGGACCACTTCGGGAGCAGAGTACCAGTAATCTGTATTTGAATTCATAGCTGATATCGGAATCGGGTAGAGGACTAGGGAAGGCCGCCGGCAATCCCACGGCGTAGGACTTGATATCACCTGGAAGAGGCCGTCGTTTTCAGAAGAATGTTCGGTGCCGGTAAGAAATTTGTCTAGGATCGGCGTACTTGAGAGTAATCTTGAAGGGGCCTTAGATAGTAACAGATGACGCGATGAAATGGGTGAAGTGGAAATGTCACTGCGAAGCAATATTTAGATTCGGGTCAGGTTGAGGACCTCGCTGTACACAAGAGGAGAATGGGAAATTGCTAAGCCATTCAGCGGATGCTCGCCAGTGGATAAAGACAGCAGCGGTTAGCGAATGGCAATAGTAAGGAGTGCAGGTGGATAGCATTTTGTGATGTGTTGGTCCAGGGTTGCATTCTTGTCTGTACCCATTTTCAGAGCACCTTGTCGGTCTGTTGCACATCAATATGCATGTTGGTCGTTCAAAGTCATCATCAACCCAATGGCAATCATTCCTGCTCCATAACCGCTGAGCTAATAAGCGCGGGTGTAGCATGAACTAATCCTCCCTATCCACAAGAGTGACACCCGGGCCCACAGCGGAGACAGCACCGACGAACGGGATACTTTCATGAGACCCGACAGAATGGTTCAATATCTTTTCTCCAGTCACTGACCAGTCAGTGGTCGAACAACAGTACATACGGCACATCGCCAAGTTCGACGTTCGCTTGATCCGCATTCAATGCCACCAACTACTCATGCAACACGAGGCCTCAGGCAAACATCAAATCCCGTTAGCTGGAGCCTTTCTCTCCTCATTGCAGCGGATTTCGTCAGACGTGAGTCCGTACCTCAGGCGCCAATTGCCTGTCCACCTAAGTGATGAACGCTTAGGTTAGTACCGCCTTTGACAGGTTTCCAGCAAAATCTGGAAGCTGGAAACGAAAGAACATCTATCCTCTAATTCTTATCGCTGTTCTGAATCACCGCTGTCTCTAAATCACCGCTGTCTCTAAATCACCGCTGTCTCTGACCCACTGAAGAACCTTGGAAGTCTTATGGGGCAATTGCTTGCACCATTCCGGTTTATAACTCTCCTGATCTGCAGGCTTTGCGCGTAAAGAAACGCGGTGAGAGAAATGGACGCAATGAGAACAGGCGTTCCCGGCGCCAAGCACAAGTACAGCCTCATCCTCTTTACCTTTCTAAATCTCACCGTGCTGGTCCGCATCTACTGGGCAGGCGAGATACCGAGCTGTTCCCTCGGACGTTTATTGAGCTTGCAAGATTCCGAAATATCAAAGGCAGAAGGCGACATTGACCTGCAACTACAGAAGCCCAAGGCATCCGGCACCGCTGCTCCGACACTACCGCCTGAGTACTCGACATTGACCGAGAGCCAACAGAAATGCGACCTATTTTTCACAACGTCTTATCTTGAACACATCGCCACACACCAACAGCCGTACTGCGACGCGCAATCTCCAAGTGCTTTTCAATGCTTCACAGCACCGCGGCTCGTGGTGCCCCCCACCGCATCGTGGGGGCAGACCGACCCTCTCTGTATAGCCCAAGGGGTGTCCTTTGAAACAGCGCAAGCTGGGGAGGCTCAAGACACTCAAGCGCGTAAGTTTGACTCTGAGATTGAATGTGATCTAGGGCTGGCTAATGAGCAACAATTAGAAGAGTTCAATATACAATGCAAGTTGAGGGACATAGTCGGGGAGAGAGCCAGTTCCGCAGAGGCTGCCAAGGATCTCGAAGGCTTCCGCGACCATCCTACAGACTGGGGTTCGTATTGGGGAGACACAGGCGTCGGCGCGTCACTGAGTACATGGCGATTCTCGGATGATCGCAACACTACCGGCTGCACTAAAGAGAACAGCAACAACGAGTGGATAATGCTCATGAGGCGGGATAGCACTAATACGCACAATCTCTGGCATAAGCTAATGGAGATCCTGCAAGCGCGTCACAGCTTCGATGCACTGCGCAGTTCTATCAACCCTGCTACTGGGACGCCATGGCTGTCCAAAGAAGACGCCGCAAATGTCCAACTTGTCTTCGATGATGATCGAGAGGAGTTGCTTGAGCCTCTCTGGGAGATCGTTACTGGCAAAAAACCCATCCGCAAGAGCTCACTACGGACCACTTGCTATGGCAACGTGATCCTGCCGCTCCCAGGTTGTGGAAGCCCCTTCTGGTCGAGCATGCTAGATACCGGCTACCAAGAGCAATGCCAATCCCAGACGTTACTGACGACATTTGCGAATCGGGTGCTCGAATTCTATGGTATTACACGACGGCCGGTGACAGAGATCCATGCGCACCCAAGAATCACAATCATTCAGCGAAAGAATAACAGGAAATTTATGTCTCTGGATCGATTAATACCGATTCTCGAAGAGCGCTACCCACATTCCCCCATCCACGTGGTTGACTTCGCCGACATGTCCATCGAACAGCAACTCCAACTGGTTCAAATCACGGACATCCTCATAGGCCATCACGGTGCGGCATTAACGCATATCATGTTCATGTCGCCTGAATCCACGGTCGTCGAGATACTGCCGCGGTATTTCGACCAGCATGGATTCCGCGCCACGGCCGCTTTGCGCGGTCTCCAGTACATCGCGGGAAGGGCCATGTATGAAGAGGAATATGAAAATGCGGTGCACGGGAAGCCGCTCCCACAAGACTGGCCGCCTCCCCCTCCGCAGGGTTTCAATTATTTGCTGGAGAAGGAGTGGGTTTATCTGAAGGATGAGGATTTCTTAGGCCTGGTCGACGCTGCGGTCAGGAGTCAGTTGAACCGACTTGGTACTGGCGATGAGCAGGCTATTCATCATGATATGCCGGGAGACATATATAGCAGACAGAGTAGAACTGGCCGGATCCAGGAGAGAGTTTATAAACGTTTTTGAATTAATTATGAGCATGCTTACCATTGAAAAACAGGTTTTATCTGGTTCCTTAGATGGATGGCCGTCTTTAGAATTAACGTCATTTTGCCTCCGAGCCGCTCGAGAGGCTAAGAATCTTCTCCGCTGCCCTCTCTGCAACTGACAGGATCGTCCCTGTGGGATTTGCTGTGACCATCCCCGGCATAATACTTGCATCTACGACAAAAAGATTGTCTGTACCATATACCCGTGTGTCAGCGTCGACAACAGCTCGCCCTTGAGCGTTGTCTAGGCCGCTATCCGTCCCCATTCTTGCAGTGCCCATGAGGTGAATTCCGCGGCGTGATGCAATGCTGATGGCAACCTAGATCGTGGAAAATTAGCAATCCGCACTGCATTCAATCCGAAATGGCTGGAGATAGGGTAGTGTACTACGGAAAGGTCCCAGACTTAGCAACTTAGGATAGACTTACACTATTAACATACTCCGCGACGGTCTGGTTGGGAGCTGGTTTCACCAAGCTGATCTCTGGATTTGCATTCAGAGCAGCTACCATGTGCTCGCCAGCAATGACACAGGCCTTCTTATCGTCATCTGTCTGGAAGTACGGGATTTCGGCGTACGATATCGTCATCTGGGAGACATCAGTGGGAGATTCCAGCCACGGGGGGAGCAACCCCATTTTTGTCGGTGGTGAAGGCGAGGGTATATACATTCGAGTTGATGGCGAGACGACCTACGGAGGACGATCCACGCCCCAGGAATTGGGACAACGTTAAGAGGTTGTATGGAGGCCCAGGATTCTGGATCCTTGTCGTCCACTGTATCTGTCTCGACGTGCCATCGGAGAACTGAGATCCATTCAGGACCTCCCAAGCCACTGTTCAGAGTCAGATATAATTTCCCTGAGAACTAGGATCCGGTGAGAAAATGCCACTCACTTGGGCCATGGCTGTTTGGCGGACTGGCTAGCATGCCACTGCGATTTTGCAAGTACTGCTCGACATCACTCTGGACAGGGTTGGCCCATATTTGATTTGACCAGTCGTAGTTCTTCACAGACGGGTGCGAGATCTGGAAATCGGTCACCTGGTGATCTTTGAGGTTCTCTCCAACTGGCAGTCGTAGCCACTGCGACTTATCGATGAACGTCGGCCCATCGGACTCAGAGTCAGCCACTACCTGCAGCTGTTCCTCAGGTCCGATACCACTCCGGAAAAGGATCTTTGGTGAACCAAAATATCCAGCAGAGAGGACCACCCGCCCTGTATGGGCAGTGACGTTAACAACCCCGATTCCACGCGAGTTCGACTCCAGCTCCACGCCCGTAATTCGGCTGCCGTCCCGGATCACACGACGTGCACCGGTGTCTGTCCATAGGGCGAAGTTGGCTCTCGACCTAGCGGTCTCTAGGTATGTGTCCACCGGGCCGTTACGGTATCCGTACTTGTAGTGATAGTTGGCATAGCTAAACGTTCCGTTCTTCTCGTCTGGCGCGTCGTTCGCTGTCACATTATTCCAGCCAGCTGTTGCCAGAGCAGCGGAAACCAGGTTGTATCCTTCCGGGCTGTATAGAACTCCGTCTGGGGACGGACGATCCGTCGCCGGCATACGGGTGAAAGCACGCTCGATGGCGGCTTCCATATCCGCAGACTTCCACCCATCCGGGTATCCGTTCTCGTCAAAGTCTGCTGCGGGCGGACGCCACCATAAAGCCGAGTTGACAGCCGTCGAGCCCCCAAGGACACATCCAGCTGGATTGTCGGCTTGATCGCTGCAGGTGATATTGGTCATGCTCGTCCAAAAATACTGAGCCAGCCCGGGGACGTCGAAGCGGGTCAAGTTCGTGCCGTTCAGCCATTCTGGTCGCCAATTGCCAAAGGGCATTGCAGCAGTCTCCACATTGGGAATCCACCGTCCTGACGATGGCGGACCTCGCTCGATCAGCAGGACGCTGTGTCCTGCTTCGGAGAGCCTGTCGGCGGTGACTAGACCTCCGGCACCTCCGCCGACTACTATGTAGTCGTAAGACACGTTACCAGGCGCAGCATTGGAATTTGCAACACCCTGCGCCAAGGCAGCGTCTACTTTGTGAAGGGTCAGTTTTGGTACATCTGTCAGACCGCCTTCGTAGAAACTTACAAAGAAGGCATATCACTACAAAAGACAACATTATCCTGTTACATGATCTTGTCGAAGGTATGCGTGAACGAAGGTATGCGTAAAATGTGTGCTCCCATTTTCCAATTCGAGCGATACCGACCCTTTTGAGCTGCAGCCCCCCTCTATCCTGCATTTAAAAGCATTGTGGCGGATTAAGGTCCAAGAAAGCAAGACAGAACTCTAAATCAGTCAAAGCGCATAAAATCGTCTATAAGCGAGAGTTTATTTACGCGAAGATTACTTACCCCCTTTCAAGGGGCCAAGAGTACGGCTCTATATCAAGGCCCGTTAAGTAGCATCCTCGATTGTCCTGCATGACTAATTGCCCCTCCTGCTAGCTACCAGCTATCGCCAACTACGAATATCTAAAGTTGATGAATACAGAGCACAAATACTCGATGTCAATGAGTGCTCGGAAGTATGGTATCTTAGCTTGAGAATTAATAATTTAATGAAGACGCTAATGCTTGGGGGAATTTTTGAGAATGGAATTCTGCTTCTCAAGTTTGCTTTTGCTCATAATCTATAGACAAAGGCTTTTCTTCCTCAGCTGTCAGAAATAACAACGCTTGTCTATCTAGCCGACATTCGTGCATATCTTGGCACTCTTCGATATGGACGAGCATGGACTGCTGCCACCCGTTTGTTCGCTTCCTCGCTTTCTCACGGGTACTGTCAGATAACTGAGGCAACGCCGTTCCCGACCTTAGATATGGCATCACTCAAGTGCGGGATGAACTCCTGTCCGATGCCCATATCTACGGATGGCCAAAGAGACCGACACCTTGGCCTTGAGCCCTCCGTCACAAGTACCTTCATCAGCTTGGTCTTTAGCTGTGTTGGGGACCAGGAATTGGAGGAAGGACCAGATTTAAAATGATATACTCACGCTGTCCAGTCTGAAGGCAAGCCTGATTCAGGACTGAGACATCGAGTGGGACAGCTCGCGCCTGGTCCTGGTCGCATGCCTTCTTGGATTGCAAAGTCGGAGATATATGCTGCCGTGAACTCTCGAAGACTCAGGTGAAACAATGTACATTGCATGTGTGGCTGGCATCTCTAATCCTTTGGTCCTACTCCATAGTGGTCGTCCTTGTATAGCGACCCGATGGGGACACCGCGGTTGTCAGCGTTTAGTCCAATAAGTTGTTGCCCAACATCTTTGATCTTGTTGTACTGCCGAAGAAGTTTGATGTGTTCGTTGACGGTGGTTTCAGCCGGTTGCCTGCATTCGTTGTTCCCATCAGTTTGATGGTAACAGAGAAGGAGCTAAACCTTGAGGGACAATCGCAGAATTCATGACGCGGGAACTAACTTGAGGGACTCCTGTGCTTCTTCGAGCTCCCTTCGTTTTTGGAAGACTAGCATGCAGTGGTTACGTATGTCTCTCATCGTCCGACACTGGATAGTAAGCGAACTGTCCCGACAGACTTTGGCCAGTCATCACTCACTACAGCGTCAATGCCAGCAACGAATGCAATCTGAAAATAGTTAGTTATGAAAGGATCCACGCCAATTGTGTTCACCCAGTAGGTGGGACTAGTATGCTCACCATGCGCGAGGCATCGTCAGGGCTGCAAACAGGCACCTCAAAACGATCTTCCGGGCCGGGCCCAGTAATGCTGACTCTGTCTTCTCCATTCGAGTGTGCCTCGGCTATGATTGGGCCCCAGATATCGTGCAGAGATGGCGAAGCAACTGGTGTATGGTTTTGCTGATCGTCTTCACTTTCAGCGTTCTGGAATTGAACTTGTTCCTTGAAACGACCCAAGTGACGAAGTATGACCGTCAGAAGTCCCCCACAGTCTCGGCCTTTTGCCGCTTCTGCGGACAGGGAATCTTGGAAGCCATTGATAAGATCGCGGTCAGCAGCCGACAGTAGTGTGGTGTCCTGCGCGACGGCATCCACACAGTCACCAACCGCGGTACGCGGCGGACCCATCGTGCTGGCAGTGTGTGACGTTATGTCGGGCCAACATCAATTCTGTGGGATCACCTCGGAATGAGATAACTGAGCAGCATGCTTGAGGCCATTCAGAATTGTTCGGATATGCATTTAGTGTTCATAGTTGCAGAAATGGAGCTGGATGTGATTGAGCCTGATCTCTGGACGCCTCCGAAATTGAGACTGTTGCCCTTGCAAAATCAAGCTCTGGTGTTGGATCCTAACCCTTGTTTTGGGGAAGAGAGCAGCGTCTGGCTGAGGGTGAAGGGGGGTGGTTAGTCCAAGGGTTTCGGCAAACCGACCGATGGTGGCGAGCTCAAACCAGACCCATGAGGAGATCCCATGTGCCAATTCTGTCAACTAAGCTTGGCTCTTGTAAGGCCATGCCAAGGGGCTACACGGGAGTGGCTTTGGGGCTCTGGCTCCCATGAGACCACATTCAGGGCCCACCAAAGGCAATCGATTATCTGGACCGACCATGCGTACGCAAAGGGTCCTGGTCCTGACCCGACCCGATGGGCACCCAGCAGAATGGACGACTGCAAGAGATGGAATAAAAACCGCCGCCTTGGTACATGGCTGATTCGACACATGACTCCTGAGCATCTCAAGAGTGGCGCCATCTCCGCCGTTGTGTTTCTTCTGTCGTTGTCTAGACTCCGACGAGAACGTCCCGCTCCGGCCGCTGCCGTCATCTGGTCGAGAAGCCTGTCCGGCTTATTCTCCCGCCAGCTGGCATTCCAAGGTTGGGCTGCGCAGAGGTGGCCTAGATTGCCGTTGCAGCCGGATGACGTGCACAACTTGGACAGGACTGGACGGAGATGCCCTCGACGTCACACAGACACACGCAGAAGACACCTCGGTCATGCTGGGGCAATACAAAGCGCGACGGATTCCCGGCGAAATTATTCAAGGTCGACCTGAGGAGGTCGATGGATCCGGGGGCGGGGATTGTTCGTGGAGGCGAGCCTGGCTCCATCCACCACAGTTGCTGCGCTGATATGGGGGACTTTGCGGAGGAGTGGGCCCTGGGTGGAGAGCGCGTCTGAGGGCCTCGCAAACTTTGATTTGGACGCTTCCTCAGTGCACTATCGAACGGCCCGAATGGCGAGCCTCGACGGTGGGCCGCGATTAAATCCGGTGCGCCTGTTTTGTCAGACTTTGCCAGGGCGCAAAAATAGTCGTGCTGCGCTGTCTCGGCTACTACCCAGAAAACTGGGAAGGTCGACTGCGGCCTGAGGAACAGGAGGACCCTTGAATTGTGATCCATCATGGATCGACTTCGCGCATGTCTTTTTCCGGGGCCATTCGGCCACAGCCGCGTCCATTGCGATTGATGGAAGAACTCTGGAGTCACTCCACTCTCAGCGAGACTTTCCTCAACAACACGTTACTAAGTCGCCTAAGTACCTCTTGCTGTTAAGCCGCTTTGGTCCAACCTGCACCGCAAACCTCGCCATTGACAGGCCAAGCGGTGTACGCCGCTTAACAGCTGCCCCTGTAGGCGTCATGCTATCGCACCCATCATCTGTTTCTGCTCCCCGCGACAGGTGCTCGTATCATGAGTTACGGTCCGCAATGTCCTCCATGCATCCCCACGGGGCCAGTATGGACGCCCTTATTATATCCGGGGTCAGCCTTCCATGGAGCCGACTCCTGGGCCTCTGGACTCATCTCACATGGTCATTCAAAATCCATTGACTCTCGTCTCATCATCAAAGCATTGGCTAGACCACCAAACTCTTCACCTAGCCTCAGAAGAATTACGCAAATATGGCGATAATGGGGCGTAAAGGATACGCCTGGTAAGTCAACACTGACCAATTAAACATAGAAATTTCGAAGTATGCGTCGAGCTGACAACTGATTCAAGGTTCTGCGCACTCTCCGCAGCCATGTGCAACTCATATTACGGCTTCGATGCCTCAGTTTTCAATGCCGTCCAAGGCTCGGACGCATGGATTAACTGGATGGGCAATCCTGGGCCCAACTTGGTCGGAGGTGTCAACACGGCCTACTCCGTCTGTGCTATTATCAGCGGATGGTTCCTCGCGGCTCCAGTTGCCGACTTTCTGGGTCGGAAAACAGCAATGGGTATCGGTAGTGTTCTCATCATGATAAGCGCAATCCTGGAAACATGCACTCCCAAAAATCAGATCGCATGCTTCATCGTCGGACGTGCCGTCAACGGTATTGGCCAGGGTATTGCTTTATGTACGTACTAAACACGCCCTGACACTTGTTCCACATCACAAAAGTCGATCGTGATCAGCCCTGCTAACGGCAATTATAGCTGCTGGACCGTCTTATATCGGCGAGATTACACCCGCCAAAATCCGTGGAATTGTCATGACATTCTGGCAGGTGGCATACAGGTAAGCATCGTTACTCCATGCGGTCACCTCTAGATTGACTAACACAGCTTTACAGCGTTGGTCTTTTCTTCGCCTTCTGGATCAACTTCGCCTGCACGAAATACCTTGACCGACTACCAGAGAACTGGGACTGGAGAATCGTCTGTCTTTTCCAGCTTATGGTTCCTATCTACGTGCTTTCCGTTCTTCCAGGTCTTCCCTCATCTCCTAGATGGTAAGTAATGGTGTCGAACTGCCCAGCTTCAGAAAAGATTTTGTGCTGACAGGTGTCTGCCACAGGTGCATCAAGAACAACAAGATAGACAAGGCCCGAAGCTCGCTCATGGCCACCCGGTTCAGCTCAGAAGAGGCCGAGGAAGAACTGCAGACCATCATTGCAGCCGTCGAATTCGAGAGAAACAGCAACGAAACCTCGTCGGGATATGCAGCTCTGTGGAAGGACAAGAGCGTCCGCAGGAGGCTGCTCCTTGCACTTGGCATGAACGCTGGTCAGCAGCTCACCGGCCAGGGCTCCCTCACAACATACTCTACAAAGATTTACAAGGGAGTCTTCCAATCGTCGTCCACTGTCGCCCTCATCAACGCCCTCAACGCCACACTTTCCATTCTTTTCTGTCTCAACGTGACATGGGTTGTTGAGCGATGGGGACGAAAGGTCTTGTTCATCATTGGTGGCATTGGTTAGTCTTTCTTGGCAATCCCTTCTACGTAGCCGATAAACTAACAAATCCCTAGGTATGGCATGCTGTATGCTCATTGTAGCGACCGTGGGGTCGCAAACCCCAAACACAGCCGACGGCTCCAAGCCATACTCTGTCGGCGTGGCGATCGTGTTCCTCCTCTTCCTCTTCATCTTCTTCTACAAGCCCTCGTGGGGCGCCGTGACCTGGATCTGGAGCTCCGAGATCTTCTCGCTCAACGTGCGGGCCCAGGGCGTCGGCATGGCCGGGCAGACGCAGAACATCGCCAACGCCATCGTCCAGCAATTCTTCCCATTATTCCTCGAGGATTGCGGGTTCTACGCCTTCTACATGTTCGCCGGTATCAACTGCCTGCTCGTCTGCTATGTCATCTTCCTCATCCCCGAGACAAAGGGCGTCCCACTCGAGGAAATGGACAGGCTCTTTGGCGGCGTCAGCCACGTCCAAGGCGGTGCAGCAATGCGCGAGGACGATGCGACTATGGAGCACCACCGGCCCGCCTCCAAGGGCACGACCGAACACAGCGGCAACCATGTCGAGGGTTCGGCCACGCCCGAGGAGAAATGAGGGTAAAATGCTGACGAGGTCGACGACGAATTTCAATGTTTTTTGTGCCATGAATACGATAGGCAACTAATGACGAGGGCTGCGGGCTTTTGTTTCCGGAGCTGAGGTGTAATTGGTGGTTTCCTAGAAGGCTATCGTGGGAAAGACGGTCTTAGACCATTGATAGACCAGCTGTATAGATGTGTGCCGCGTGCCACAGACTCAATCTCGAAATTTCTAGATCCATTCATGCACTAATTACTCTACAAAATCATTCCGCAGAGTAAGTTCTGCCTGAGCAGTTGAAATTCGGGTGCGGCCGTTTTGAACCCGAGATCTGCCATCTGTCCTGTGCTTATCATGTATGAATACCAAAGTAACAGCGAGAAGAGGTCCATGCATCCATCCTATTGACAGCCTATAGTATGCTGGCGTGAAAGGCATTCAGGGGGAAAAAACCGGTGCCGATTTGGCCCGCGGGGACCCGAGCAAAACGACTGGTAACAGCAACCTGGTACCAACCCAGCGCCAACGAGACGCACAATTCAGGGGCAACGGTGCGTCAGGGGCAAAGACTGGGGCTCGGACAGAGCAAACTCCGCCTAGCTCCGGAGGTGGCGAGCGTTCTCAAGGAGGTACCTGAAAGCAAGGACGGTGAAGTTGAGGCCCCCTCGGGATGCGATGGACCGGCTTACTGACTTTGAACTCATAAAATTCACAAGATACCCTTGGCAGTCTCTGTTGTCTCAGAGAGACTTAGCCTTCACAGTGTGAAAGTGTGGCGATCAACAGATTGGTTACTAAACACGCAGTGCTGTGTGTCTATGCAAGGATAGCTGATTTCTCTTTGCCTCGGTGCACGCCAACTTGTTGAAATCTAGCACTAGGTGCAACTACTTTGCTTTTCTCAATTGTCATAAGATAATTCAATACTTTTGTGCTCTTTTGCAAAAATAGATGGTATCATTTCAGGATAGAAGCCAGTGTGGACGATCTGAAGTTAAGAGAATGTTTTATTGAACTTGACTCGAGACCCAGATGGTCATATATGCAGTGTCATGGAACTCATGTGATTATGGGAAGAATAGAACATCCATGCAGACACGTTTTGTACATGAACTGCCAAATGTAATTGGCTGCTCGCTGCCTTGATTTACGAAAGCGCGTTGTGTTTCGTGGCTTCAACCCTGCAAGCCATAACGTATAGTACCCTTTACAAAAACGATCCAGACAATAGGCCGAGCTCTAACTAGTATGATGGAGAAAGCTTCGATGTACTCGCTCTGTTTCCTGCCCACAACTTGCGATCATACATATATAGAATATAATAATTCATCAGTAGAAATGGTAGAGCTGTAGTCAAGCAGACTGTAAGAATGAAGCTCTGTTTCCACAGCTGATTGCAAAGACTTTATTTTCAAGCACTGTGTCTACCTTGTAGCAATTATCTACTCGCAATTTCACAGATCAATCATCAATAACAGAACCTGAACAGTCAAAAGAGAGAGCAGCCCAGCGCTCGTCAGTTCCATTCCGTGAGTAGACAAGAGTCGCCTTCATAATCCTTCTCTGCATTCTTCAAACAACTATAGGGTCAAGCTCGCTCGCACTGCTCTTCTCCCACGGGTGCGTCTTCTCAATCTGCCGTATCAGCTTCTCGTGTTCGGGGCTCCTTGGCTTGATATTTGCCTTGAATGGAGTGGGGTGACTGATGACGCCTGGCTCGAAGCTAACCGCCGGCTCAATCTCGTTGCCCGAGTCATCTAGACTCTTTGAGATGTGTAATACGGCCAATGAACGAGCAAGTGTCAGCCACACGGACGAGTCTCCAAGCTGCTTCCCAGGGCAGGTCCGCCGGCCAAATCCGAAGGCGTAATCGTACGGGTCTGGTGCAGGATTGGACCCCAGGAATCGTGAAGGGTCGAAGACTTCCGGATTGGGGTATACGGCTGGATCATGCGCGAACCACCTGGATTAAGGCGTGTCAGCATCGCCGGCGAGGTTTGTCTCGGACAAAGGAAGCGATTTGATATATTAAAATTGTGTAGAGCGAGTGGGGCAAAAAAGGCAAAAGGGGTACGAACCATATATTCGGAATTATGATGGCACCCTTGGGGATCAAGTAGCCTTCAAAAACATCGTCCTGAGTGACCAGGTGTGGGAGACCCATGGGTACAAGTGGATGCCATCGGAACACCTCCTTCAGAACGGCCTCCACGTACGGGAGATTTTCGCGGTCATTCAATGTTGGAAGACGATCGCCTCCGACGACTCGATCGATCTCTTCCCATGCTTTTTGCTGCACTCCAGGGTGCAGTACCATAGCGAGGAAGAAAGTAGATATTGAGCTGACCGACTGCGGTATCAATCAGCCAACTTGAATCCCACACAACGGTTTCAGATATCTTACTGTGTCAGCTCCTCCGGTGTACAAAGACGCAGCGCTCCATTTCAGAACGTATTCTTCCTCGGCACTCATTTTCCCATCGGCTTTTTCGTAGAGCGCGGACACATAAGATGGATCGAAGTGTTGCTCTTTCATCTTCTTTCTGACGAATTGCATCGGCCTCTCGCCAAGTTCCGACAGCGTTGCTTTCCACTTGATTGCTAAATTTTGGAACCCGGCTCCGGGCACCCATTTGGGGAGATATCTTACTGGAAGTTGTCAGTGGGCGATGAGATCAGAATGAAGATGAGTGACTGACAAACCGGGATCGTGTCGACCAACCAGGCACCGGGGACAGTAGCGGCCGAGAATTGGTAAAGGGCCTGATCCGCTATATCGACGAGTGGGTCTTTTCCATGTGGCTCGATAGTGTAACCGTAGGCCATCTTCAGAATTATTGCTCCAGCCTCGCTACCGCAATTATTTCAGCTGTGCCATGATTTTGATGAGGGGATTCGAGGGAAGGCTGGGTGTAAAGCTCACGTTCTAATATGGCTTATGAATTCAGCAGGTTTGTCGAGAACTCGAAGCAAGAAACGATGAACCTCGACTTCCTGTAGCTCAGTGTAACGTGATATTCCTGCTTTTGTTCCTACAAAAGCATGGATTGGCCTCCGATATGCCCGTAGTTTGTCATTGTAGAATTGGGTTGCAAGTAGATCTTCCCAGCCGCACATTTCATTCCCGAAGATCATTCTAGGTCTTGATGAATATATTGCGGATCGCCTTTCCAGCAGCTCATTTGCTATTTCAGTTGAGTGCAGCGCAATAATCGTCGTTCCAAGGGCAGAAAGGGAAGTAATAGGGCCTACATGTTATGGTCAAGAAGAGTCTCAACTTTCGCCGAGTATAGTGTGGGACGAGACTTACCATAGCTCTCTCGGTGCTTACGCCAGAACTCCCATTCACGGACACCGGGAGAGGGTAAGTCAGTGATATTCCCTAGCAGTGGCCAAGGTTTTGGTCCAGGTGGCAACGGATATGGCTTTTTCTTTCTGATAAGAATTACAATTCTGATTGCCGCGTACGCGACAATTGCCAGCAGAAGGCTGCTCACGGTATCTATTGTCAAGAACATCATGCTGTGTCCGGTCGGGAAAATTTTGGAAAAAGCCAAGATGCTTACAGTACCATTCAGCGAGAGAGGGACGGTGGTCCGGTACATATGTAAATACTTCGTCAGCAAAGCACCAAGCGGCGTTAGGTGATATCAATTCATGCGCAAATGCGATTACAACTGAACCCCCTCAATTTTATCGCACTGCCGACAAAGATATTCGCGACGATCTACACTGCATGATTAAGTGCTTACGCCTTGACAATTCAGCAAGACTTTGCGGTTGTCAAGTATGGCGTGTATTATATGGCGTGTATTACGCCAAGGTTGTTCTCCACAGCGACTGTCACTCAAAATCTGAAGGCAGTTAGCTGGCACCATGGGGTTACGTTGTATTTCGTCTATTGTATTACTTGCTATCTTTGGCAAGCTTCTCATTCTCTGTGCCGACTGGCACTTCACCGGACCGTCCCTCTGTCGTTGCCGATAAATCTCGCGGCACCAGAATTTGACGACCTTCTGCCACATGCACCTCTTCTTCGGGCTCCCCTGGCCTCGTGCGCCCTACTGTCCCGAATGCTCTTTGAAGCGCCGATTCCCATTGTCGTTGGATACCTTCTTGGACATTCTTCTTCTGTTTCGCTTGGAAAGTAGAATCTAGCATTCTGAATTGTCGCACGAAATCTCGCAGACTGTTAAGTGCGCTCAACTCCACCTTGAGCTTGAAGCTGTAGATGAAATCCTTGACTTTGATCTGCACATAATTGTAGCCCATATATTCCAGAACTGGCAGAAAGATTAGCCCGACAAATCAATGTGCGAGTGCAATTTTTCCCCGGCTCGATTATGGGACAGGGAAAATGTACGAAAAGAAATGGCCAAACTTATGGCCATTAGGAACAAGGAGATCCCATCGGTTGTTTGCTTACCCAGAATGCTTGTATCCAGGAGGAGAACCACTAGGTTGGCCAAGATAAGCGTTCTCAGCGTGGTCTTCATCGCTGCGGTATCTTCAGACTCCATACGGCGTCCATATTGCTTCAAGAAGTGTCTACACCGCCACAGGTAGAGCATGGATAGTGTGATCTCCTGCAAGAAAAAGACGGTCACTTCCGTCCTCTCCATAATATCATATGCCCTTATCAGTGGCTTTGACTGTATAGCCCTTGCTGAAACGTTGATCGCGAAAGCACCGCCGTGCATCGTCAGGCCGTTGAAAATGATCATCGCCAGGATGAATGTCATGATGCGGTTGTCGACCCAAAGCAGGTGGAGCCGTGAGTACAGGACCAGCGACTGGCCACTGACCATGGGAATCCAGCCAGCTGAGCCCAACACCACCACAAACATGCTGTTCTGGCTGCCGAGGCTGAAGTCGATAACTTGCGCCACTGAGCATATGATGACCCCGAAGGCGGCTATGATTATGCTCCAATAATATAGCGTGCGGCGCCGTTTAAATGTCCATAATACGACCAGCACGATCTCGCAAGCGTTCCACAGTCCTATGCCCGCCAGGCATGCCAATGTGAACCAGAGTCCTTTGGAGTTCTCCACGACCGACACCGCCGTGTCTCGACGTACCAGGTGTGATGTATCTGGGCTTGAGAGAATGCCCGGCAGCGAGTCGGGCGGTAAGAGGGCTCCCATGCTGAGGTACTGTCGCTGGCGGGAGGGGGAGGGCTGTGCTGGGCTGAGCGAAACGTCCGCAGACGTCGTCTGCTACAAGCAGCTGTGAATGGAGGAAAATGCCCCGACTTGAGCTACATAGCTGAACTGACAGACACTGCCAGCAAGGTCTGCAGACATTGAGATGAAGAGACTGCCCTCCGCTGCTCCATGATCTCAGGTGGGGTGAGCCAACCGGTCAAAAGGCGTCAGAGCGGTATTAGAAACTTTGTTCCGACCGCAGACAAGGATGATATACTGTAGTGGCCACGATCATTAGACTTTGCAGCCCTCCTCCAATGCGTTTTCCTGGCCAATTATCCTTGGGGATGAGACGTATCAACATGTTCTAGAAGCAATCAGAACCATGACACATATCCTATCAGCCGTCCCACAGGCTAATACCACCGCTTCTGCATGGCGGTGCTGCGGTATGACCTGCCCGGCCAATATCGCAAAGTTAAATAGGTGACATGACTCGGTTTACAGTGGAGGATGGCAACGACTCGCACACATCGCGATCGGCTGAGCTGATGCTTAGTTATTCTCTGCATGGGACGACTGACTAAGAACCAGAGACACACGTACGTTCTCATCGTCAGATGAGGTCATAGTACTTATTGTTGACCAAGTCCAGTTGTTGACAGCGCGTTTGTACCACATCAGGAGGGTGTCGGCAAAAGGCCGGCGCGAAAGATCATTTTCAAGCGTGTGCTCTCTTGTTGAATAACCCTGCCTTTATGTTTTTGAGAATCAATTACCCTGCCAAACATTCTTCCATGCCTCGCTATGGAATGGCCTGTGAGGGCGCAGCATCGAACTTGAATCCAACGCCGCGCGCCACCAGGCTCGGGGCCAAAATCAGCACTCGGATTCTTCCGAGCACGAGGCACTGACATCGGCGTGTAATTGTAGAAGGCTCCGAGAAGAGCTTGGGTAATAGCTGCGTCCGAGTATGCGAGTCTGGCGTTAGGCAATGATTTGGGATGGCGTGAAAGTCTCGCATGTGCCATTCGTGGACCAGCAAGCTGCTCCTTTTCGGACGATGCCTCGGCATGAGCGTATAAGAGTCTCGCCCTAGCCCACGGACCTTAACCGGGTTTCGAACTCGTTGTCAGCCGACCTTGTATCCCTCGGGTTGACAACAACCAACAAAGACGCATTGCACCTCTAGCATCTTTCCCTGTACCTAACATCGATGGCAGTCGAAATTTGTCCCATTTACGACTTTGCATCGAATCGGCCAACCATGGCCAGGGCGTGAAGCGCGATTACAAGAGCCCTTCAAACAGTCACAGAGACTGCGACAGTCTGGTCTCTTTATGTTTCCAGTTGAGCAGTTCCTTACAGCCTTTTAGATATAGGATTTCTGCGTCAGAGAAGGGTTGATTGTCTACAAATTCGACGAGAAGTATATGTCGACTGATTTGCAAGCTAGTTATAAGGAGCTGGTAGGTATTCAAAACCTTCAATGAGCACCATCTGTCTCCCTGTTCCCCCGGAGGTAACTAAATGCCTTAAAATATGGCCAAAGCGTTTGGTGGGGATGCGACGAGACCAGGGTGATTCAAAGGGGCCGATGTCAGCATGAAAGAATAGCGACCGGTCTTTCTGCAGTATGAAGAGAGCTCCTTGAGGTCCCACAGCTCCCCGATGGGCAGTCCAAAGAGCGAGAGAAAGTATTGATGAAGGACTGAGCAGTCAGCAAGCAGACCAGTGCAAGACTCGCCTTTGTCTGAGACTTACCTAGATCTCCAACAGAACCTTCCGTCCCATCTGGTTTAAGCGGGGGATACGCCTCAAACGACTGGCTGTCGCCAGCGACAGCGGAAAAATGTTTATTCCAAACCCATTTCGCCGTCTCAACACTGCCGTGTAACCCTGATAACTTGGCTTTCTGCATCTTGGCGAAGTCTTCTGGTGTAGGATTCTCCCCTAAAAACATCACATTAGCCTTTTCTATTTCCGTAAGGTTTGAATTTTTACTGAAGCTGTCTGAAGTAGGACTTAAGGAATTTCCTCGAGGGCTTTTGCCACCTAGCATGATCGGCTGTAGAAAGCCCAGAAGCGTTTGTGAAGTTGTGTAGGTGTCTCTTACAAATTTCTGTCACCCCCGTTCTGATGATCAATATGTCGCCGTGGAGGAACTCCACGCCCTGATGGCGAGCCACTTCTTCAACGTCTTCGACCGTGATGCGATAACCATCGAGGCAGTGGTATGGCTTGGATTGGGATTCCATGTAAGCTTTGAAGTCAATCAAGACGCCTCTGCCGACAAGACCGCCGCGAGAGTGCCAGTGGTCGATGGTAGGCTGTTTGTTCTCCGCGGTGGTCTGGGGCGAGTCGAGGCCTTCTTGCGTCGGCTTGATGCCGTTGTATGCGAGACCAGAGGGCTGGTGCTGCATGTGTACCAGGCTGTCCCACTGACTGCTGAATTGCGTGTTGAATTCGAGCTCGTCATCCCAGCCGTGGGAGCCAGGAGGCATGAGTCCGCTGGATGATAAAGACACGACCTTGTGAGCGGGTGACCTTCGGCCTGGCAAAGGAATCTTGATACCATTGAGAGGCCAGCTGTGGTACGTTGTCAATGTGGAATCTTATGAAGTATCGTGGCTCCGTTCGTGTGACAGCATACTTAAGGGAAATGGAAACCCCGTTCTTGACTTCTGTTGCGGCGGCCGCGACGATGTCAGGCGTGAGGAGGTTGAGAGTACCCAGTAAGTCCTTCTTGCCATCTTTGTCAAACACGCCCCAGGCGCACCCTTGAGGCATTCCCTCGACCTTGGGGAGACTATCGAAGTCGGGTATGGTCATCGTGAACAAGGAGCGATGTCTTCCTCTACAATTGGGTGAGACTGAAGCCAGTAGCGGACAAATTGTTTCGAGAGTAGGCAGCTACAGCGCGAGCACTCGAAGAGGCTGGTAATCTCTTGTTTACGCTTCCCGATTCAAGTGGAAGAGACTTTGCAGTGGAATTGCCTCACTCAAAAACCCCTCCTTCAAACACATCGTGGCAGGATTGCAGCTATCGTGGATTTGCTGTTGGGCCGACCCACTATTCTGCACACCGTACCGTATACCCGGGCAAAACGTACAAGCCTGAATGGACCCCTGATTCCTGAAAGGAACAAGCGAAGATTTAGTCCACAACGGCTTTCCGCACTACCAGCATCCTCCAAGCGTTTCCGCAGCTAGCTTGTTGGCGCGATCGCATCCTACCAACCAGCATGTTGAGGAACATGACCTGGTTTTCGAATTATGTACGCCGAGCCCGTCCCTTGCCAGGAGAGCTAGACTATGTACACACATGGGAAAGATGAGCATTATATGCGCGTAATATACCAAGCCGCTGGTAGCCTGGTCGACGTACACTTACTCATGGAGTCATGATATCCGATCACGAATACGCACTCCCGAGTTCGAATAAGAATGTTCAACTCCATTCCTCTCTCAATACCTGCAGATAGCCAGGAAAAGTAAGTCACATATGCATGAACGGGCGCCACATCACTCCTCGCAGGTTGGCTTCAGCCATAGGGGCAAAGTACGATAAATCATCATCATCGGAGGCTCTCACAGATGGTACTTGCAAACCTTTCAACTCTCAAGACGGTGCAGGGTCAACAGTGGCAATTGGCTGGTGCTTTGGACTTCCCTTTGTATTACAGAGTAGTCCGCACTTGTACTCCCTATCCTGCCCAGGTGGTGCAGTGGCTGTATTGGCGGTTTCCTCATGAAAGCCCTGGTTCCTCAAAAGTCGAAACAGGTGCGGGGATACAGAATGAATCGATCGACGTTGTGGATCCACTTGTCCAACGGCCCATTGAAGTAGCGTCAAGAGTCTTGCAATCTATCCTATTAGTACCTGCTAGGCCCCGAAGAAACAGCGCAAGAAGCTTAGTACCCTTCAGGACAATAGGACGCTGATTTCAACATACAGCTCGTTACTTCTCTGCTTCTGAACTTCTGGATTTTGGAAAGTAATATCCTAGCATCAGCAGTGCTGCAAGTTAACACAATATGGGCTCTCACGAAGACGGAGGCATGGCGGCAAGTGGTGTAGATGCTGGTGCAGTGATGCAAAAGTACACCGAGGAAGCTCAAAAGCGCGTGATTTACCGTCCCCAGGGCATGGCACACTACGCTGACCTCCGGACCATCGAGTCTGGCCGGTTTCACGCTCTTGCCGAGGACCCATGGGCCGACCATGACGCCCTCAACGCCCGGGAGCCACCGCTGAAGGACGGTGACAAGGCGAAAGTGGTCATTCTGGGTGGAGGATTCGGTGCGCTTCTTGCTGCGGTGAGGCTCATCAAGCAGGGTTTCGATGCCAATGATATCCGGTTCGTGGACTCAGCGGGTGGCTTTGGTGGGACTTGGTACTGGAATCGTTATCCAGGTATGCACAAGAAGCCTAACATTGCGATCTGACTGACAGAGCGCCTCCATATGCTGGGTCTGGTTGTTGGGTGTGTCTCTCGATTCTAACACGCTGTAACCTACCAGGTCTGCACTGTGATGTTGAGTCGTACGTCTATTTGCCATTCCTGGAAGAGACGGGCTATGTGCCGAAAAAGAAGTATTCCCCCGGGTATGAGATCTTGGAGCACTCAGAGAGGATTGCAAAGCATTGGAACCTCGCAGACAAGGGCCTCTTCAGAACTGAGGTCTCGGATCTGACATGGAACGAAGATGGCAAGACATGGACAGTCAGCATGATAGAGACCCGAGGCCCTGGCCAGTCTCCTCGCAAACTGAAAGTCGAGGCTCAGTACTTCATCATCGCGTCCGGCGTGCTCTCCCGGCCCCAGGTCCCCAAGATTCCTGGGCTCGAGTCGTTCGCTGGCAATATGTTTCACACATCCCGTTGGGACTGGACTGTCACAGGAGGCACACCCGCCGACGCGAACTTGAGCAATCTCAAGGACAAGAGGGTAGGCATCATCGGCACAGGCGCAACCGCAATCCAAGTTGTACCGAACCTCGCAAGACATGTGAAAGAGCTGCACGTCTTCCAGCGCACTCCGGCGGCGGTACATAGGCGTGACCAGCGGGACACAGACCAGCATGAGTGGAAGACACAGATTGCCGCCAAGAAGGGCTGGCAAGACGAGCGGACGATAAACTTCACTTCCTACGTCTGCAGGGCCGGCGGCTCTGACGAGGTTAACCTGGTCGACGACGACTGGACCAAGATCGATGCGTATCATGCCATCCTCGGGTCTACCCGCAAGCCTCCCGTGGAACCAACTCCCGAGGCTATCGGGGCCCACGTTGCTGAATTTGTAGGCTTAGACCTACCACACGGAGAGGCGCTCAGGAGGAGGGTCGATGACATCGTGAAGGACAAAGACACCGCAGCCAAGCTCAAGCCGTGGTATCACTCCTGGTGCAAGCGCCCGACCTTCAGCGACGAGTACCTGCAGGCTTTCAACCTGCCGAACGTGCATCTCATTGACACGGATGGGCGCGGCGTCGAGTCCGCGAACGAGAAAGGCCTTGTGTTCGACGGCAAGGAGTACCCGCTGGACGTGTTGGTCCTGTCCACCGGGTTCATATCCACATCGGCCGGGGGAGGAGACCCTGCCCTCCGGTCGGGGATCCGTGTCTCGGGCCGCAATGGGTTGGTGTTCCAGGAAAAATGGAAGGCGCAAGGAGCGACGACGTTGCACGGCCTCCTCAGCCACGACTTTCCGAACCTGTTCTTCCTCAGTCCTTTGCAGGCAGGGAGCGCCCCGAACAACGTTCACATGCTGGACGTCCAGGCCAAACACCTTGCCTACATCCTCGGCCAGGCAAGGGATAAGAACGCGGCGACCGTCGAGGTGTCGGCAGAAAGCGAGGAGGCGTGGAGCCTGAAGTGTATGGCTGGTGCAGCGTGGTATGCGGTCGTTCCGATGTGTACTCCAGGGGCCATGACGAACGAAGGAGAGGGTTATGGCAAGCAGCCAGAACCAGCAGAGGCGATGAAGAAGGCCCGGGCATCGCCTTGGTCGGGAGGTCTATTAAGCTACGACAAGATATTGGCAGAGTGGAGGGAAAAGGGCGATATGGCCGGAGTGATCTTCGAGTAATGAGCCGTCAAAGCGTTGTAGAGGAGATCGTCTGCTGATCATGACCTCGGCGTCGTTTGTTGTTCATCATCTCAATACGCACAAGAGGGTGTTGAAGAAATGACAGCATAAGCAGAGGATTCAAGGACGCACATTAGATGCACTGCGGCCCAGACATTTCATATCAGGCATTGGGAGGCCCTCTTTTCTGTTTTCCCAAATCAGGCATTTCACTGATCTCCGCTGCTCCAGACTGCCAGGGTTACTCACGGACAATCTTTCCGTGGACTGGTCGATCACGCTCATCTATCTGTATGCAGCGAACTGTGTGGTGGGCTGCCGCGACATGCATATTTGGAGCATTCCGGTACAAGCAGTGATCATCAGGAACGGCTTTTGGAAATGAAAACTGGGCCGTAGGCGGCTGTAAAAACCGGAGCCCGTCAGAGCGGAGATAATTGGACTGAATCGACCATGACAGGGACTGAGTTCAGAGATACAGATCGAAAACTCAATTGTGCAACTGTAAGAATGAATGAAGGCCAGCAGACGAAGCCCATTTACGCGGCCAAGCGAAATAGACGAGCTCGTGTGCGACTTTTCAGGCTGCCTCCCGCCAGCCCCTGAAACCTTGTGTCACTCTCAAACCTGAGTAAGGGAGACAGATGTCTTATAACCTTGAGACTTCCTCTACAACAGACAATTGCCTTCGGCATACCAAAAACTGTTTGTCCCTATGTACTCAATCAGCGTCATGTTCGGACTTAAGGCTGCATCAGACTCTATGCTTTTCTTGTGGATAATGCGGCTTTCCACGGGCAGTAAACAAAACACAATGTTTGGGACAGGCGGATGCCAAAATGTGGATCAGGATTCAGGATCAACCCGGCGGAAGCCCCATTTGCAACTGCCTGCAAATTGGGATTCACAGTGCCAATCCGCCCCGTACCAGTAGGCAGCCGACAATGCCACTTGATTCAGGGGGAGCGACACGATTGTGACGTCTGTTCCTCTCATCATTGCCGAGCAAGGTGTGAAAGTGCAAGTCCCCTAGCATCCGCATACATTCCACATTTATTGTCTCTTTTGAAGTTCAGACTCGAGAGAATAAGTCTTCCGTCTCGCGCACTCCGGATCTCCTGTCCACTCGTTGACACCAACCGACTTTCGTTCACTTTCAACTGCAGTCACTCCTTGCACTCTTAACATCAAGCCGATACCATGAAGGTACGAACGAACCCCAGTATTGCTCAACAACTCCATTAGGAATATGAAGCGAGATCCGAAAAAACGAAGTCGAGAAACTAACGTGACCCAACTAGACCACTGCCTTCTTCACCTTCATTGGCGCCGCCAGCGCTCTTGTCGCCCGTCTCCCTCCCATCGCCGGAACGGCATTCGAGGCACCCAACACGCTCATCCAGTACCAGCGATGGTGCCCCGTGTGTGAGACTGTTGCTCTCAACCAGGCGTGCATCGCCAAGCGCGCCAGCTGCCAGTCCAGCACCCTCGTGTACGTATAAGAATCCTAACGGTGGTCTTGTGTGGCCTCGCCCCACGGGCCTCGCCATGCCTAAACACCTAACATCCCGGAACCATGTTTCACTGTGTCGACAATTCACTGACCCATATAACAGCGTCCCTGACAGTGCTCCGGAGTGCTCCGAGCGCTGCAGCAACACTTGCCAACTGTCGCCTGTCTCGGACAGCGACTACGGCTACAGCTGCAACGTCACCATGCCCGCAACTGGCGCCAACTAATACATGGCATGGAATCCCAAAATTCGGTTCGCGATGAAAAGACAGATGAACGAATGAGGGCAGGGTCGGGATTAGCAGTTGTCAACAGGTGTGTAGAGATGGAAATATACTTACATGGAGCGGGCTCGTCACAGGGCCGCTGGCTTAGAACATAATGTCTTGATACCAGGTCTGCAAGGACCACTTTGATTGCAGCCTTTGAATACTCTCCTTGAAATCACCTATGCGATACCTATGAGTTTTACCATGCTACTTACTGTATTGTGGACCAGAGTGATCTCTGCCATTAAGTTCGCCTTGGAACAATCCAGCTGTCCAGCCCCCCTCTCATAGTATTCAGCTCGATATGTTACACTGACAGTACACTCGAAGGGTTTTCGAACAATATTTCATATCAGTCACGGCAAAATTACTGAACGTAGCAGAAGACTACCTAAGTAGCGTTGATGTGTCACTGAAACGCAGCCGTTCTCCACTTGAGGTACATGCACAACCTGTTCATAGCGATTTGCAAGAAGATAGAGCCGCTTTCACAGCTCTGTGCACTTAACGGCAGTCATTTATTTGTCAAGATACTCATGTCATCAGCATAAAGATGAATTAGAGAAAGGAGTTTTCAGACATGCTATGTACGGGTTTGGGAGGTCTGACTTCAGTATTGGGCAAAGTTCTTAAGCGACTCACCATTCAAAAACAATGTATTTGAATTCATAAAGCCGTCATATTCATGAGCTGGCGCGTATAAGAGCGGACTACGCGAATTGAAGCTCCTTGTAGTGCTATACTAAGCAGCACTGCTTACTTATAGTAAACGTAAGAAGTCAAAAAAGCTCACGTCAGAGTACTTGCCCAAATTAAGGTTGACCATTCCTAGCACCCATGATCAGTCACCCGACGGGATTAGTGACAGGACCCGCCCACCTCTTCGGACCGAAACTGCTAGTCAGCTCGCTTTGCCGAGTCAGTCTGGCTTATGAGCATGCATCTGGGTTGAGCCGCATTGCCTGCAGAACATGTTTTCATGTTGGAATTCGAAAACTTAGTCATCAGTTGTTTGCAGCTGAGCTCCCAGACTTTAGGAGAAGAACAGAGATTCTGAGAACTCGAGACACTGCGAGGGGGCCTCAGAAAGTAGAATCAAATTTGGTTAGGTCTGATTGTTGGAATTCTCGCTGGAATTATTTTCAAAGAGGTGAATGCTCTTTCAGCTATCGTACCTAAGTACCCCAGGAACATAGGTGGACGAGAAAGTCCTCTTTGACAGCAAATCATACGTTGCAAGAGAGCGGCATTTTCCATCTGGGAGACCACTCAGTCCGTCATTAGGAACAATAGTTCATTACTCTATCCAGTAGGCATTGAAAGAACTTTCCAGGGCTCATGCATGAGTGGCTGCTAGATATGCAAACAGGCACGCAATCAGGTAGCTCGCTTAGAACACGCGTGACCCTCCAACAGACAATCGAGAACTAACATCTCTTTGTGTTGAGCCGACTTTGTCCTACGTTCTGGCCCCAACAATACATTCGAGGGTGGCGACGTCGACACCAAAGCGCATCTCGTACCATCAGAGACTGGAGAGATAACCGGCAGAGGGCGTGGGGTGGAATCTCGTGATGATTGCTCTACTGAACATGTAGCGCAAGAGCCTAAGTGCAGAGCCAGGCTACTCAGATAGACGATCTTGAGCCCGGGGCACAAACCACGGGAGGTTATCTCGACCTAGCGGGTCGCTAGGCAGAGGGCAGACCTCTCCAACAACAAGCGCTTTATCTCAACGCACGGGGAAGGGATTCCGTCTGGAGGATGCTGTTTGTTCTCTAGTGAGACATCTGCGGCTGGGTTGCTGCAGCAAAAGAACTGCAGCAAAGTAGCTTTGAGACACCCGAAAGCTATCTAGCGGGCCGCGGTTCCAATCGCGGGCGGCGGCTGTCACTCTTCGTTTCCGGCAAGCTTACTTGACTAGCTACGGGGTCACTCGTCTCGTGACGGGTTTTGCGACTAAATGGCTATTCCCAGTGCGGAGGGGCAAATCGCAGTGGGCGAATTGACGTCGGCGTGCAACTATCGCTGTCCAGAAACGTCGGCCCCCAATGGCAGGACGGGAAGGCGACGAAGGAGGTTGAGGTTCATGATACACGATTGAATCGACAATCTTCACCGTCGTTGTGGACTCTTATGTCAGAAAATTCCAGACCCGTCCGAACCCGGCAGAACCCCAGATACCACCTTGTCACCGACAGATTGGAAGTGTGTGTGACTCGCGTGCCACAAATGCAGCCTTCCCAAACAGAGCAGCTGGTGATGCAGATCCCCTCGTGTCGGTGACAAAGCAATGCGCCCGGCCAGCTGGGGCAAAACCGACAAATGAGAACAGAGGAGCTCAGATCTGTCTATCTTCTGTGTAACCCAGGCACGCTTCAGCGCAGGCACGCTGGGCAAGGCAGACTTGCAGGGTCTGAGATTCCAGCACGCAGCCTCGGGTTGCCTGAAATGAGCTGGACAAAAAAAGCTCTCGGCCACAACATCGGTGATACTGAACTCAACCTTGTTGGAAACCTTGTTACTGTAGTTGAAACGGGAAGTGGACGGCATCTGGGCAACGGACGGGTGGCTGGACTAAAGTAACGATAGCCGAACAGCCATTCCTTCCCTTCTTCCATCTTGTGACCCCTGGACCCTCAACAGCCGATTTCCCAGGTTCAAAGACCAGGGGAAGGGTGCCACTGTCGTCACCGGGCAGGAAGGATTGCTGGGGTTTTGGCGACATTTTGGCGACGGTTGAAGGGGCGCAGGGGCCAAAAGCGGGGGAGCCCAGATCGATGACAGGAAAAATCCTCCTGAGGCGTCTCGGCGCGCAAAGAACGGTGGCACTTGGGCGATTACGCCAAGCCACGTCGATGGGAGTGTGGGTGTGTGTGGTGTGTTTGTGTGTGGTGCCTGTGTTTGCATGTGCATGGATGGGCCTGGCCTGCTAATTGCTAGCTGAGTGCCGGGCTGGCGTGGAATGTAGATGACTGCATGGCTCATGGGTTTCCTCTGCTTCGAGAATAAAGGCGCAAAGGACCTTTCTCAGACATTTGTCCTGCCCGGCCATATGCGGCTCCGGGGATCAGCCCAGCATGGCCACATGACCTCTTGGAATCCTGGAATCCTTTGACGGATGCGACAATGCCATTGGAGGCGCACTCGTCGAGGTGGCTGCGGGCTATCCGTCTGTTGGTTTCGGTCCCGTCAGGGCGCGGGAGCTTCGTGCCTCGTCGCTCCTTGCTGCTTTTGCCCTTTTGCCCCCAGCTGGCCCCATTGTCTGCAAGGTCATCGGCCGTGTCCTGCCCAGCCCCAAGTGCCCAAGTGCCTTGGCCCTTGGGCCCATGAGGGTTTAGCTCCGAGGCAGCGATGGCGTTGGAGCGAACCGGTCCCTTGTCTGTGCCCCATCCTTGCCAGCATGTGCCCCACCTCCGCGTCGTCTTGGGCGGCCGTCATTGGCGTGGCTGATGCACTGATTCGGTTCCCCAGATGGGGAGGCAATCAACGCGGAGAGAGGGTGGAGTGGGAGAGTGGAGGCCCACAGGTGCCCACAGGTGCAGGAAGCTGGCTCTGCAGGGATCCTGGCCCTGCCTTCGCTGCCTCCTGTGCTGCAACCGGCCATTTGATGTCGTACCCAATTACCACCCGGCTGCTATGGCGGTATGGTACCTCCCAGTAGGATCCTCGAACAGAGCCATGGGAACGAATTAAATTCACTTGTACCATCCCATCCTCCTCGATGGTCCATGGCCTGACAGATGAGCCTTGACAGTATTTAAACTCGGCTGCCCACTTTCCCCCTCCTCAACCTTGGGATCGCCTCCTTCTTTTTGTTTGCCCCAGTAAATCGCTGCTCGTTTGTGTCTTGGACCAGACCTCACATTTCTTCTTCACGAAAGACCTCAAGGCTGAGGTCTCTTAACTCAAGCTCTCTTGACGAAGCTTGACTCGCCTTGACCAAGCCTGGCCATATACTAGGGCCTTGAGTGAGCTTGGCCTGGTAAAGCTTCTTACCCCCCCTTGCTTACACCCGCAAATTTACTGGGGAATCCCCCAAGAATCTGTGCAACATGGCAGAAAAGACGGGTGAAATGTAAGCTAAGCCAAGCGGAATTCCCGAGCTGACTTCACATGTCTCTGAATTATTGTTTCTGACTGACCACGCAACACCAGCGCCCACGAGCTCGAGCGCGGCTCCTCCACTGGCGCAATCGACATCAACAGGAACCTCGAGGCCAAAATCTCCAACCCTCTGGCCGGAATCCCGAAGAGCCAGCTTATGCGCAATGTCGACGAGTTCGCCAACGCTCAGGGTCTGACCGACCATATTCCCATGCTACGCAAGGGCGCCCTCGTCGCCCAGCTGGGTGTCGCCACCTCCCTCACACGCGAAGACTATGATACCATCCGCGGCGAGGAGGCTCTCACTGAGGAGGAGAAGCTAGTCCTCGAGAACGAGGTCCAGCACAAGTGGCGCCTGCCCTGGCGACTGTGGCTTACAGTCATCACCTGCTCCATCGGCGCTGCTGTCCAGGGTTGGGACCAGACTGGTTCCAACGGCGCCAACCTGTTCTTCCCCAAGGTCTACGGCATCGGAAGCAAGAGTGTCCACGACACTTTGATTGTTGGTCTTGTCAATGCTGGTCCTTACATTGGTAGCGCTGTTATCGGCTGCTGGCTCACTGATCCGTGAGTCTCCTCCCACCGCACTACCCCTTGCCCCTCTAACCCACCTCTCCCTGGCCGTACTCAAACGCCACCTGAATAGCATAACTGACTCTTCGCAGCATCAACAACTGGCTGGGTCGTCGAGGTGTCATCTTTGTCTCTGCAAACTTCTGTCTGTGGCCTGTCATTGGATCTGCCTTCTGTCACGCCTGGCCCGAACAGCTGGCTTGCCGTCTGTTGATGGGTATTGGAATGGGAGTAAAGGCCTCCACAGGTAAGATCCCAGGTTTTACATGGCAGTGATCAATATCTGGTCCTAACTTTCGCACCTTGCAGTTCCTGTATACGCCGCCGAGAATTCGCCTGCTGCTGTCCGTGGTGCGCTGGTCATGACCTGGCAGCTCTGGACGGCCTTTGGCATCTTCTTTGGAACCATCATCAACCTGGCTGTCTACCACATGAAGGACCAATGGCGCTACATGCTGGGAGCCCCCTTCATCCCCGCCGTCCCGCTTCTGTGCTTGATTTACCTGTGCCCTGAGTCGCCTCGTTGGCTCATCAAGAAGGGTCGCTATCCCAAGGCATGGGACTCGCTGGTCAGGCTGCGAAATCACGAGATCCAGGTCGCCCGCGACTTGTACAACATCCACGCTGCCGTTGATCTGGAGTCGCACATAATTGCTAAGAGCACCTACGTGATCCGCTTCTTCGAGCTGTTCACTATCCCGCGTGTGAGGCGTGCCACCCTGGCGGCCTTCACCGTCATGATTGCCCAGCAGATGTGTGGTATCAACATCATCGCCTTTTACTCCTCCACCGTGTTCGAGGATGCCGGCGCGGGCCAGTACCAGGCCCTGACATTCTCACTTATCTTCGGTGCCGTCAACTTCCTGTTCGCCTTCCCCGCCCTCAAGACCATCGACACCTTCGGCCGCCGCTCCCTCCTGCTGTTTACCTTCCCCCAGATGACCTGGACCTTGCTGGCTGCCGGTCTCTGCACCCTCATCCCGGACAGCAACAGCGCGCGTACTGGCCTGGTGGCCCTGTTTGTATACCTCTTTGCCGCCTTCTACTCGCCCGGCGAGGGTCCCGTGCCCTTCACCTACTCGGCCGAGGTCTTCCCCTTGTCCCATCGTGAGGTTGGAATGAGTTTCGCCGTCGCCACCTGCCTGTTCTGGGCCGCCATTCTGAGTATCAGCTTCCCGTTCCTGCTCGCCAAGACTGGCACTGTTGGTGCCTTTGGCTTCTACGCCGGCCTCAACGCCGTCGCCTTCGTCATGATCTTCTTCTGGGTGCCAGGTTCGTTACACCCCCCCCCCCCAGTAATTCTCATCCAAAACTCATCACTGACCCCTCTTCACAGAAACGAAGCAGAAGACCCTCGAGGAGCTCGACTACGTCTTCGCCGTGCCCACCAGCCAGTTCGCCAAGTACCAGCTCACCGAGGCCGCTCCGTGGTGGATCAAGCGCTACGTCCTGTTCCAGAAGAGCGCCACCCTCCGCCCGTTGTACAAGGAGGAACACTTCCACCAAGCCGAGGAATCAGATCGCGTTCCGGACAAGTCGGCCGACAACGACAACTCAGACCCTCCCAGCCCTCACCACCTGGAGTAGGCACGAGGTTCAGTGTCATGGCTGGTTCCACGAAGTCCTCCTGCTTGACGCGAATCTGGTTCGGGTTTTTCTCTATTTAGAGCTGGCTACATGAAGGATATCGTCGCAGGATAAAATGTTTTTCGTGCGTTTTTCCTCTGGGATATACGTCTATATGCGTTGGACCTGCCTGCCCTCTTATGACAGGCCATATACCGTCGCAGAGCGTCACAGAGCGTGTCGGGCACATATAGTCAATCATCTTAGATTTTTAATGGATTACTTACTACTACCCAATGGACAACGGCAATTTCTTTCTTGACCTGCGTCGCTAGCCCCTCTTGTTGTGACACGCAAGTAACCGCCCAGCCTGTGGCGCGCCAGCCATTATATCATTAAAAAGGTACAAAGTATGTCACTGCTCCTTCAAAAACGCTCTTGTCTCCAGGGGAATCTCTGTTTTTGATTCTCATCTCCTTCGACCGGGCCAATCCAGCCGGGCGGTTTTCGCTGCTCTGCGTACATGTTCCAAATTACTAGGTATCTGGGCCGAGAGGGACCAAGAGCCGCTCGGTTTCAACACTCAGTGCTTCCCAAAGTTGAGCCAGTTGAGGCACCCCTTCCACAGCTCGACCTTGTAGTCGTACAGGGTGACGCTGAGGAACTGCGTCGCGAAGGCCTTGATGGTGAACTCGAAGTCGATCTCCTCGCTGAGGCCGTTGAGGCAGGTGTCGGTCGAGTTGGGGTAGGTGACGCCGCCGGTGGCGTTGTGGTACTGCGTGGCGGTGGCGGTGGTGACGAAGGGGAAGGACGGCTCGGCCGTGATGCCGGTGCTGAGGTCCAGCAGGCCGTCGAACAGCTCGCACGCGAACTCGACCGTGAAGTCGATGAACGGCTTGAGCGTCAGCTGCGCCTTCTCGGTCGTGTTGTACGTCGCCGTCTTCTCCGTCGTCCACCCGTACGACGTGCTCTGGTCCCAGTGCACCATGTCCAGGTGGATGCTGCCGTTGGGCATCGCCGACGTGAAGTCCACCGTCACGGCTCCGCCCACCGACGCCGTCACCTCCCCGCCGAAGCTGATGCCCGCCGACGGGCCCAGGCTCAGGATACCCGGGATCTCGATCAGCGAGTACGTCAGACCCGCCGGCGACCACGTCCACGACTGGTCATAAACGCCATCCACCTCGATCGTCATGTTGGCGTAGTGCCGCATCGACTTGTCGATGTCGATGGTGAACTCGGTCACGCCCTTGAAGAGCTCCCACTTGATGTGGCCCGCGTACGTAACCGAGTTGTTGATCTCGGCCTGGTTGAGCTGGATCTTGACGTACGTCGTATCGACGATGGTCTGGTCCGATGGGAGCGCATAGTCGTATGCGATCGTCAGGCCCTCCTTGTTCAGCGAGATGCCGCGCTTGTCCACCTGGCCGGTCGCCGTCGCAACGCTGTTGAAGTTGATCTCGGTTGAGTCTGCAGCCCGGTTAGCTATGGCTTTTCCTATCCGAACACACGGTAGAGCATGGTCTCCTCCAGACGGGGGTCTTACTGGCGGTGCTATAGACATCGCTCTTCTCTGCTTTCGCAATGATTGTCAGGTTGGACTCGAACGCAGCGAGCGAGTCGGTATCTGCCACGAAGAAAGATCGCTCAAGCTCAGCATCACAGTCTCCCTGGTGGTTCGTGACCATTACAAAGCTGTCGTTCAGTCCGGACCAGTCCTCGAGGGCCTCGTCAAAGGCATCCTTGTCACTGAATGTGACAGCCACTCGCGTCTGGCCAATGCAATCCACAGCAGTCACATCGTCGATGTCCTCGAGTATCACCGCGGGGTGTTGCATATCCAGGTTCACAGAGACAAGACTGGCCTCGTCAGGAGTCTTCCAGGAGAGGTCTAGTTTCCTGGTTGGAGCAATATTCCGTCCCACTCCGAACTTCTTCCGGCTCTCATTGGCGATCGGGATGAGCTGCAGCTTCGAGCGCTCTTCTGTTGTGGCGTTGGCGGATCGAGGCACGATGGCTGAGGCGAGGGGAGCTGCGTAAGCAACACTCGCGATGAGGGCCGCTAGCCCAACGGAAATTCTCATTTTCATTGTTCTATGAAGCAATATGCACCTGGATATTTCGAAAAGGAGAGACTGGGGGTTGGAGAGTATAGAGAGTGTGGTTTTCGCTAAAATGAATGTGTGACGTTCAACAAGAACGACTGAGAAGTAGAAAAAAGAGTGACTGAGCTGGTGTGAAAGAATGAACACCAGACTCGACAATACCAGAAGAGGACAATGATGATAACGATCGTTTTCCAAACCCAGAGCATCCTGGCGCCCGGTGATCCGGGGCGACATACACTATATACGCAGTACCTGCCTCCACGCCACAGTCAGACTGACAGGTCCGCCCGTTCAAGGGGATCGTCAACACACCCGCATGCAGGCAGAAGATCATTAACGGGGGCGAGCCCCTGATCCCAGCAGGCCGACCGCGTCGGTCCTTTCCCGTGGGATTCGACCGCGACTGAGTCGTGTGCATGCCCTGAATGCTCACTCGCCCGAGGGTTCGGAGCACCGGTCCACAGGCCGCCCAGTGAGGTCGCCGGACGCCGCCAAGGGTTTTGATGAGCCTCCGCAGGGCATCCAATAATAATTAAGCTTTCCGTTTCGAGGCACCTTGAACGGCTGATCCACACATCGGCCTAAGAAACCCCTTTCAGTTGATTGACGGCCTCTTTGGATCGGTTACCGAGTTTCGCAGGTGAAGCTGAAAAAAGTTGCCAGGGTCGGCTTCTGCATGCACATGAACGCTTTGTGCAGAGCGTGCTATTGGTTAGCGGTATGTCTGTCACAATGATAAGAAGGAGCTGAGTCCAGAGAATAGGCAGTGGTAGTTGGCCATGGCAAAGTTACATTCTACAATAGACAATCATGATAAGTGACAGATGGTCGACCGTTGCGCATGAAATAGCCAAGCTACACGGTCGTATTCAAGTGATTGATTATGCAATCCTTCCACAATACTGAAAAACATCTCTTGAGACTTTTGGCGGAACTCTCTTGCATCTGCACTCGGAATGTGGGCAAAATCAGCCGTGACGACCGCATGTGGATGAAAAGAGATTGTAGGAATGCTATGGATGGTTGCATTTGTTAGATAAGCGTCCACTCCTCGGGCTTTGCTGGCATGTGCAACAACTCCTCAAAAGCCTCCAACAAGAGAATCTGAAAATCGGTATGAGGTGGCTCTGTCAATCCCTGCGTTTGACATCGGGACGTAGGCGAAGGACATTGTGGCCCTCGTATCTCGCGGTTCGGATAAAGCCGAATCGATACCAAACTTCAAGTTATCTGAGTCTGCCTTGTACTCGTCGAGAACCTGATTTTGCTCACGGGATGCTCAGCCCTCCTGATGACAGCAGCATACTTATGTTACATTGGACGCAGTCCTGGCGGGGTTCTGAGACTGATCTGTCAGTTGCCTTACGGGGAGACGCATATATTTGGAGTGAGTCCCAGTGATGTCCCGCCAGGGAAATGAGCCAGGGGTGCCATGCTGCGGTGATCCGGTAGGGGAGACCTCTTGGCGTGAGGCGCAGGCTGGCTGATCCGGTTGAGCTGGAGTGGGTAGATGGTATCGCCTGAGGCTGGTGGAGGAAGCACCATTATCGTCGTGTGCAAGTTGCAAAATCACTCTATCGAGGCCTCAACTTTGTCTTTGAGGCCCGAGCTTGACACTTCTTTGGGATGGCAGCCGTGAGTCGGGGGTATCCCAACCTGACTCGAGGCCTGAACCCTTCATACCTCGGGTGCCAACGACGAGGTTTCGAAGCACGTGGACACGTTTATTGTATATCTGGAAGTCAAGTCCGTTACGGAGCAAACAAATGGTCTGGAATACGGCGAGGTTCGAGATTAGGGACACATTTGCGGTATGCATAATGCTTTCCTGGCCTCTTTCCGCACACTGAATACGATGTCAGGTAAAACGAAAACACACAATGCTGAGAATGAGTCACCCACATCCAAAGCTTGACAGAGGGCTAATCTACTGATTTCATTCAGCAGCAGTGCACCAACAAAGATATTGTATGGCCTGTGATAACTTCGCTCTCCTTCTGTCTGTGGTGCTCCGTGTCTAAATTTGACAGCGTCGCAACAGACCCCCTTTGGGTAGGGTAGGATCCCAGTGGAGCTTACATCTGATGTAGCGTTGTGTCAAGATCATGTGGAAACGTCCCACATTCAATTGCTCAGGGCTGACTGTGGAATGAGACGTCGAAAATCACAGATGAAGTCTACAGATGCTTCGCACTCCTTGCACCTGTGTATTTGCTGACTTCTTTGACTCGGAGTTAAACGAGAGCTCCAGGCTATCGGCTCCCGACGAGCTTGGCACTGTCAGTGTACTTGAGTGGAGACGACGTGAATCGTACAACACGGCTCCCCGCGGATCGCCGCCTGCTCTAGATAAGAATGACAGGTTCATGGTCGAGGGAACTCTTCCGAAGGGTTCGATTAGCATTTGCTCATGGGAACACAAAGACAAAGGAGATATCCTCTAGAACACGTTAATAAGTTGGCATGGGCATCAATGTTAATGATCGAAGTATGTACCTACGTAGCTTGTTCTCCCGTTCATTCAAGTCGCTTCAGTAAAATAGATCTTGATGTGAGAGTGTACCGAAGCGCAAGTGGATTGAAGCACTTGCAAAATCCCACTGTCTTCAAGTGACCCCGAGAAACACTGAAAAAAGAGGAGGGAGAAATGCCGGATGTTGTTAGGGGGTAAGGAGGGCAAAAAGAGATGGAGAGAGGTGAAGAGACAGAACAAAGAAAAGTTCTCTGAAACGTTGAAGTTTGTGTACGGGCATTAGTCATACGGATTGATGGGTTCAGAGATCGTAGAGCTAATAAGTGTTGGAGAACTTGACACTGTGAACTTCTGAATATGCACAGGCTTTCAACCCGAATAGTCTGTTTTGCAGGCTGCTTAGGTACCCTGACTTTGAATTTGCTTCGTTTTGTGTCCATTTCTAAGCGGTAGAGACCACTACTATTTCCCGTATTGCTGTTACTGGAGCTATGCGTACCATATGTATAAAAAATCAACGCCAATACGTCGCAACCCATACCCCTGACGACTCGCTGTCCCATGGCCGAAAGTTCCACGGTTCTTAACCATGAATGATAGCACAATGTGAGCAACATTTATTGCGAAACGACGTAAATCTTCAAATACAAGTATTGAGATATAATTCTGGTATTCATAAATAGCCTTCTTCAACACAGTTATACGAGGTCAAAATACTTAATGTCTACGTCTCCCCTTCTTAGGATCTCTGGATTGACCACCAACTTTAATTTTCCTTTGCCTTGACAATATCTATCAAGGTCGACATTCAAAGACTTGAATCTCGGATCTTCATGAGACAGAAGCCCCGTGCGAGTGTCTTTCCACATGAACCTGATCCCGTCTTCAAAGGATCTCACCCCTCGTATATGACCTGGGAGTGGGCCGAGTAAAGACTCTCCAGTATTGATGTGTTGCAAGAAGCAGTCGCCTACTACTAGAAACTTCCCCTGCAGAGTCGGCCGAAGAACCAGGGGCGCATCACACCCAATCAGGACACAAATCTGGTCGCCCAATTGAGCGCCTGCCTTCGCAACCCCCAATTGCCCATCTGCGGTTTTGAAAATTTGCTTGCCAGGCATGTGCTCAAATGGGCGCAGGAAATCAAGTTCTTCTTCATCAAGCTGGTTGAACTCATCAACATCAGACAACATCTTCCGGATGACTCTTTTGCCTGCCTCTACAGTTGGAAGCCGTTCATCCGGCGGTTCGGTGCCGTCGGATAACATATTACACACGAGAGTCCGAGCAACAAACTCGATTTCATCGTCGTCGATTATCTTCCTCTCCGGATAAATGATGTTTATGATCAATCGGCGAAGCTCCTCAAGTATTTCTCTGCGGTTCGAGGAATGCGCCTGTACACCATCGAGATGTTGAATCGCACCAATCGATACCCCAGCCACTCGAAGCAAATTAGGTGTAGGAATTTCGTACCAAGCTGCAATATGGGACGAAGCGAATTGGTTGTGGAGTTGAGTGTGTTTGGGGTTCGTTGACCAGGCTGGCACCCAGCTGGGGATGTGTGATCCCGTTCCACACTCACACTCGCGAAGAACAGAAAGGTCCATGGTCGTTCGCAGGCAATGTAGAAAAGTTTCTTTGTAGACATCTCCAAAAGGCTTGGTGTAGTCGGGCACAATTTTCTTGCCTAAAAAATCCGGGAGCAGTGCCAAAACACCGTAAATTCTGTCTCGTGGATCGGCGCAGCCTGAAGTCCCAAATGTGTCTCTCAGGGCAAACAGCGATGCATGGATATGAGCAGAACGAAGGAAGCTTGTTAGCACACGGGTGCTCTCAAGCAACTGAGAATCGAGTTTTTCAACCAAGCTTATACTTTCAGGATCGGGGTTACAAACCGTCCGACGCGGTTTAAGCAATATTACCGCTATCCCTCGTAGAAAGACGGGCCAAGATACTTGACTGTGTCCACAAATGATGATAGCCGCGGACGAAGCCAACGATATCTCCTGTCGTATCCACAGTCTACTAAACCATGACCTGCGTAATAGATGAGTGATTGCGTGCAAATCCTTGCTCTCCAGATGCAGAGGTATCTTCCAGTCTGCCATGTCCAGTTCCATGGCTCCCATGGCTGGACTCATTCTCATGGTTTTGGCGAAGTCAAATTGGATTTGAGAGCCTAAGTATTCCATCTTCGCCATGGCAATGTCACTATTGTCGGCCTCGGGTCCCAGCCAGACCGCAACACGAGCAGCATGTCGATAGATCTCCCCCATCATCTTGACTTGCGGCCCCTTTTCGACTACATCTGCCTGATTGATACAGATAGCATCGATCCACATGGTCCGTGGCTTATCTGTGTGCCGCAAGTACTTCAGAGCGACAGCCAAGTTAGACGTAACTGAGATCGCCTGGCCATCTGCGCTGTCGACTCGGATGATTTCGCGGTTTTCCTCAGAACCCCAAGTGTATGAGAGGGCCTCATACTGGGGATATTGATTTTGCAAAAAGGGCACAGTGTCTAGACTGATGATAATCGGTTGTTGGAGGCTCTCAGGGTGTATTATGACGCGTCGGATGTGGTTAATATCTGGGAGAGACTGGTATGCATAGATTGGAGCAGCCTGGGATTCGATGTTCCCAATGCCGCTAATCGGACTTGAAAAACGTGACATTGTTCTCGAAAGAGGTCGATACAGGTTGAGGATGGATGAAGGGTCAAAATCGCAGCTGTGCTGTATGGCTTGAAATGAAGACGAGGGAAAGAGGGGCTGGAAGGCTGAAAACAAATATAGAAAACCCGCTACAAGGGGACGGATCGGTGCCTTGCATATAGGTAGATCTTCTGATGCAGCTTACTTCCTTAGTCAGCGTCGACGAACCATTGTATTTCTTCCAGTACTTGGTGTCTTCCTTCGACGAAGTAGATTCTGTTCCCCAACGACTTGTAGTTGTTCCTGCCTACGAAATCTTTTCCTCACGGACAACAATTCCTGCAGTGTGTAGAGGATGTTCTCGATATATCCTGGCGATGCTATCTACTCTGTATAGTCCTTTGGCTCGCTGTACTGGGCCGCTTCTTTCAAGACTGGCTCGGATTATCGTGTCGAGCTTCGCCACGACAAATCCAACACAATGGATAATGTGATCTCGAGTGAAAGGTTGAGACCATTGCCGTTCCGTGCGGGCTTCAAATTTTATAGCTCCGCTACGGTCTCGAGTTTTGAGAGACTTGCTGCGTCCTGTGGGCGCATTTTCGGCGTTTAACGCTACAAATGTACCAAACCATGTTATATGCAGATGGTTGCATCAGTGATCTTACACCACTCTCTTTCACTGAGACAGACAGTCTCGTCGGATCCAAATGTCATGAAGATTGGGCCAGACAGAAGAGAGCAAGGAATGGGCATGATTTCGCCGGTCCTCACCCGGTGACAATCTCTGCCGGCCTACACACAATCGACTACACGAGGATCATCGTGGGGTCGGATCTGCGGACCGAACCGAAGCACAGTGCAATGCCAATGGGCAGTCGACGTGGACTGTGGCTACAGGCATCAAAACGTCCACGTCATATTCGCGCGTCTCGGGATTGCTGTCCAGCAGTTTGGGGGCGTCAGCGAATTCTTATGAGAGAGAGTTGAGTAATCATCAGCGCCTGCAAGTGAGACAGGATTGTGAGCCTCGGCAAACATTTAGACAGGCCAAATGAGTGGAGAAAGAGTCAAGTCAAGTCGAGCAGAAAATCAAAACATAATGACGTTTTTAATGGTCGGGTTGTTCTAGAAGCCGTGAAAGACACATGACGTACCCTAAAACGGAAACAGGACACGCGATAAAGTTTCAGCAGGACGATTGATTGGCTACCAACACTGGTGGCTCCAATTATAGCCGACAGATTCGACGCTGGCCAACTTGGTTTCCAGGGGCCAACGAAGGGGGCCAGAGCCTCGGGTGCTCGCCAATGTCTAAGCCTCCTTCACACATTTTCTTCATCTGATTGCCTGTCTCTCGTTTCTTGTTGCCGACACACTTCCCTGGCGCACCGCATCTCTTCACTTCGTCGATTGACCTCGCTTTGATTTTTGTAATAGTAGACCCCATCTAGACTAGGACCTTACCGTCCAGAACAACACCGCGGAGCCATCGCAAGCCTCTCCTTATCCTCCAGACTCACCCCCTCCTCCCTCAACGACCATTCCGGATTTGCCCTGTGGCCTTGTGTGATAGATTTGCAATATCAATAGCGTGACCCGGCTCGGGTCTCGTCCCGAAAGTCATCTTTCCGCGCTCCCGGTTACGAAGTGATTCAGAGTGGCGGTTTGGGTCAGCGACACTCACACCCACCCCGTCCGCCATGGGCCCTCCAACGACCAAGGCCGAGAAGGCGGCCTACTCGGAGCGAATGTCGTACTATCTTAACAAAGTCAACCCTGTGCCCACTCTGCCAGATTACACAGGCCCCTACAAAGTTGGTACCGCGGACGTCGAGATCCCAATTGCCGACCTCCACGCCCCGAGCTCAGCTCCTTCAAACGCGACGGACATTCCGACCGTACAATTCCGCATCTTCTACCCTGCTCAACACGACAGCAAAGGCAAGAGGATAACATGGCTGCCGGCTCCTCAGCGCAGTCATGTCACAGCCTACACAAAATTCCTCGGCTTTGGTGCCTTCGCATCTGAGCTTCTCTCGTACGTGGACATCGGCCCTCGCATTATGGGTTTGCCCCTCCTGACATCTTGACCTTGCCAGGTTTCTTCCACGACACGTCCATTATACCACGATACCCGTCCACAAGAATGCCACAATTCTCGAGCCCGAGCACATTCCGAACAAGCGTTGGCCGACAATGATCTTCTCCCATGGCCTCGGCGGCAATCGCAACGCATACTCACATATTGCCGGCTCCATGGCCTCCCATGGCTTGGTGGTGATATGCCCCGAACACCGCGATGGAAGCGCTGCTGTCTCCTTCATCCGCGACCCCGCGGCACAGGACAAATTCTTCGCCAAAAATACCAGACATTCAGTCCCATATATCAAGATTGCGCACGAGCAAAACCCAGAAACGTGGGACGCGAGGAACAAGCAGCTGAAAATTCGTCTCTGGGAGCTCGGGTTGATACATGAAGCTATACTGGATATCGATGGCGGGCTACCTATGAAAAATCTGAACACCAGCACGCCAGCAGATTGTCTGAGCCAGCTGGCGTCGAAGATGAACGTGCGAGAGCCCGGTTCTATCATCTTCAGCGGGCACTCTTTCGGCGCGGCAACTGTGGTGCAGTTCCTCAAATCCACATACTACGTCGACGCACCCGAGCTCAAAGACCTGGACGAGCCTCTGTTCGTGCCTGCGCCAGACAGCCGTATAAGGGCGCAGATTACCCCTGCGAATCTCTCCATACTGTTTGACATGTGGTGTTTCCCCCTGGTTGCCCCAACCACCACATCTCTCTACCGCCTTCCGCTGCCAGCATACGCGGACAATGTCCCCACGGCACCCGGCGGATCCGCCATCCTCGCCGTCGAGTCCGAGGCATTCTTCAAGTGGACCGAGCACCTACACGCCAAGTGTCGAATTCTGTCGCCGGACCCCAGCGCCCCCGTCGTCAAGGCCTCCGCGTTCGAGCGTCCGGGGTCGGGCATCCGGCTCCCGGAGCCAAACTTCTTCTACGTCGTCAACAGCGCGCACCTGAACCAGAGCGACTTCGGCGTGCTGTTCCCGTGGCTGACCAAGAAGGTGTTCGGGTCCGACGAGCCGGAGAGGGCGCTGAGGCTGAACGTGCGGGCATGCTTGCAGCTGCTGCGGACGAACGGCGTGCCTGTAGCCCGGACCTGGGTCGGTGATCTCGTCGAGGGCACTGACGAGGGCGCCAAGCTCGGCGCTGTGGAGACCAGCAGCCGGTCTGACACCGAGGACGGGGGCGTTGAGGATGGCATCCAGGACGATAAGGCCATCTTTGAAAGGACCAGGACTGGGCTCGTCGACCATTGGAAGTGGATTGATGTTGTCGGCATGGGCGGCGAGTCGGGGCACGAAGGTGAGCATGGGAAGCCCGAAACTGTCGAAGGAGAGAGCGAGATGGAAAATGAAATCGAGATGGGCGCTGATACGCAGCCGGTGGCTACTGCGGTGACCGCTGCCGCGGCGTGATCTTTGAAAACTTGGCGGGGCGCGAGTTTGACTTGTAGGACTGATTTTGGACAAAAGGGCGCAACTTGGCAGAGGATACCTATAGACATAAAAGAGCCGGAGTTGATGGTGACATGGTTCTTGATCTTCTAGAAAGAAGAAGAAATGCATTCTGGATTACAAACTATCTACAAAGAGAAGAGCCACGTCCTGAACATACGGAGCCAGGCTTAAATGATGTTGACGCCAGCCTTTTCCCCCTTTAACCACCCAGCAAGCTTCGAGAAGTTTTGACAAAACATCCGTCTTTGTTCCCATCAAGACAAACCCCCATACCCGATTCCTTATCCCACAACCAGTCTCCCGGTTGGAAAGAAAGCCTGGTAAGACGGAGAGACCCTTTGCAAGACCGCAAGGCCTTCCCCAGCCCTCTGATGGAGGGACCATTCAGAGAAGCGAGTCCGCAGAGTAGGCCTCGCCGCCGGTGGAGACCCCAGATCGTGTGCCGGGGTCGCAGGGCGTAAGGGTTGGGAGGATCGGCTGCGGAGGAGCCTGTTATTGGACGTGTCTGGAATCGCTTCGGCAGTGGACGTTTGAGCCCTCTGCCGGATCGACCAAGAGGACAGCCGAGCCCCCAGTGTCGGCCGCGTCGGTGAGAAGAGCTCCCCGATGGACTTTGAGTCGGCCGTCTTGAGTTGCTTTTCGTGTAGTCAGTATCAATATGGAATACCCAGCTTGACACGTCTGAAACTGCGTGAATGGGCCAGCTTGCTTACCTGGCTGGGTTCTGGCTCGTTTCCGCTGGCGTGCTCCACAGCAGGCTCTTTCCCTTTCGTACTTGGCCTGGTCTTTACGATCCTTGCGGGCCTTGGCCTCCTCTCTTCATGGTCAGGGTCATCCTGAGAGCACATATGCTGCAAGATGGCCATGTCGACAATCGCGATGGTATTCTCGATTTTGCACAAGTGGCGTTGAAGTCGTTAAAAGATGGATAAATCCATCACGGTGAAAATCGGCATTACATTTGGCTTCTACTTCCCCTCTCATATTTGCTTCAGATTGCTGTTTTCACTTTTTGCCATTACAGTTACGGTACACTATGCAATCACGGGCCAACGTCGGGACGAGACAAAAGACAAGGTCTATCCCTCGTTGTGTGGCCTCGAATAATAAACAGACGGGCCCGTGGAGGCAACGCCGCGTGAAGCATATATATTCAAAGTTTTGGCCAAAAGCCAGTTATTTACAGGCCAGACGGCATTATAGGCTCTGTGCTCCTGCAAGTCAAGGACACACGCTTGCTCCCGCAGCCTCCGGCGCGCAGGCTTGAACGCTTCCGATTGGGCCAGCCTCGAGCTGCGCTTAATTCGGGGTAATTTTGGGCTTGGGCATCAAGCAAGACGCCAGCTCTGGAGCGCAGGCGTGTTGGTTCTGTGGCGGGTAAGGTGAGCCGGAGAATATTGTACGGCCCCCATCCTTGTCGGCAGCTGAGGCCCGCGGTGAGGGAATCCCTCTCTCCCCGCAGAACTCCCAGATGGGGCCCTGGTCCCGGGCGTTGTAGCGATGTGTCTGGACCCTTCGGAAGTGGTCGGGTGATCCGACGTACCGGGCGCAAACAAGCGCATGGAGGGGTGCCTCTGATTCATCTCCCTGGCGACCGATGTTACACGTATCGGAAAGATCCTCTCGTCGATCTTTATGGCTTCTCTTCCAAATAATTCTTGGCGCATCTCCAGTAAGTGGTGTGAATCTTTTCAAATGTTGGCATCCAAATCGGCAGTGATCTGTTGAAATGGTGGCCTCAATATAAGAAAGAGCCAGGATGCGGATCATCAAAGACCTATCGCATGGGCTGCTTGAGATCCTTACAACCGCTCTTATTGCATCTTTCCCCTCATCGGCTGCCGCACCAGAGGCAATATATTCATCGGGCAATATGTTCATCGCCAAGAACCCCCCTCAGTCGCAGAGGTCGGCAGGATGATATAATGAATGAATGCTGGCTCAATGATCACTCAGTTGGAGGGACCAAGGCATTCTTGTGATCCGCTACCCGTCCTAGCGAAGGTTTCACAACTGAGCGGGACCCGGATGATATCCAGATAAGGTTTCCCCAGATCCTTTGATCTTCGTAGCTTGGCTAAAGGGAGTGGAGCACGGTAAGCGACTCGACTCATTGATAACCGAGCGTATCCAGCAGGCCTGGTAGTTGCCCGTCTCTCTATTCTCGGTCCAGCAAGCTTTAATCTGCCCCATTGACTCAGCATCAAAATGACGCTGTTGTCCTTGGAGGCTTGGGAGGATCACGCCTTGATACTCGAAATTTGGGACGAGAGAGGTACCCTTTCAAGACGGTCCTACCGCTTGCAGGGATTTTGTGTTCCGTCATCACCTGATGTGTGTGGCTGGAGGTAGGAATTTGCATTGAAGAAAAGACATCGTGGTTCTTTGGTTGTTCAAGGTCAGTATCTATGCTTTAGTTAGCTAGTTCTTTGTGTCCAATCGAGAAGCATCCGAGTACGTGTATGTTTATTATATTATGGTGCTGCTTTAACTCAGGGGGGTTATAACTCAAGCGCTCGGTGAGGATGCATGGTTAAAGGGCCCAATTCCGCATGCCACTACCAGCATTAATGGCAAATGAAACAGCATCAAATAATGGAAAATGTAACCATCTGTGGCAAGACGAACTGGCAAGTGACATGGGCCAAGGTCCCAGGAATCTGATCCTGCCGTGGAGGCAGAGAAAACCGCCGGGCATGGATGACTCTGGGAACTGCCGCCCCCCCAGCCGTCTCGGCGGCTGTCTCAGTCCCAGGGACAAACAAGTTTGAGACCACCCTCCTTCTGCTCACCATGGTGCTTGCCCGAGTCATTGCCTGGTGTGTAGGCCCTGCGGCCACCGAATCATTTCGAGGCCTGTCCGGCTCAGCGTGTACGGTGGGCATTGATCCATCTACAAAAGTCTAAGCACCAAGTAAAAGCTTCTGTTAGTGCTCCCAGGCCCAAGCTTTGCCCAGGGGACAGATAGTTATATGGATGGCCTCCCGAGTTAATTTAACAGGAGGCTTGGCAGAGTTCTGCGAGTTGTTCTCGCTCCACTCTGTTGTGCTCCCAAAGGACAGTCGTTTTCGACACTCCACGAGGAGCTTCTCAGAGCATCTTGACACATAAGCCGCTTATCAAAGTCCGTTCGTTTTATTCACATGAAGCCAGCTTCAACATCCTTCCTCTGAGATGTTCTCAAAACCAAGAAGCGATCATGGGATCGCAGGAAACAGTACGGTCACAGGACCGGCGCTCTTTGTGATCACCGCCTTTATCTCTCTGGCACTCTACAACGGGCTGGAGTTGGTCTTAATTATATTCACCAAATTCCGGAAGCGCGCAGGCCTCTACTTCTGGGCAATGTTTGTAGCGACGATTGGAATAGCCTTCAACGCAGTCGGCTACCTGCTCAAGTTCCTGCACCCTGGGGTTCCTCTGGCTTCGAGATACGTGTACGTCACTCTGGTCATCGTGGGATGGTCAAGCATGGTTACTGGGCAAAGCGTGGTGCTCTACTCTCGATTACATCTGCTGCTACATAACCAGCGCAAGCTCCGGCTCATCTTGGGGATGATCATCTTTGACGCCATCATCTGCCACATCCCAATCGCCGCCTTGTTTTACCTGGTCAACTCGGAGAACCAGGATCCATTCATCACACCGTACTCCATTTATGAGAAGTTCCAATTGTCGGTGTTCTTCCTCCAAGAATGTATTATATCCTTCGTCTATATCCACGAGTCTTGGAAATTCCTTCAGGCGCGCCACATCGCATTCGAATCCAACCTCCAGCACCTTGACGGGCGGAAGATCATGTACTGGCTGATATTGATCAACGTGGTGGTTATGATACTCGACATTTCGATCCTCGTGCTCGAGTTCTCTGGCTTCTACGACTTGCAAACAAGTTGGAAGGCGCTTGTGTATAGCGTCAAGCTGAAACTCGAATTCAGTATCCTGAACAAGCTCATCGAGGTCGTCAAGGCGCGAAACCCAGACCTCTTCGACAGTGAAGGCGTCAGAATGGAGCTGATCAACGGCGGGAAGCGAGCGATTGGCAAGAGCAGCGGCGGGAAGGCCTCGGTCAGTGATCACCAGGGGCAATCAGAGCACCGAAGGACAGTGACGGATATCGAAGAGGCTTCAACGCCGGGGAAGTATGTCATGCGTAGTGTTGCTTCCGTGGTGACAATCAGTCAAGAGAGGCGGCACATGGAAAAGGATTTCAATTCAAGCCGGTGGCCTGCTTCTTACGGGAAAGGAGGTCCGGTCTAGGAAGTTCATGTGACCGAAGAACCTTCTGGCAGAAATGATAGCGGATTTGTATTATTTTGCATGGCTTTTGTGATTCTCATGTTAATACTTTTGAAGATACCAAGAGACGAATTACGGGCTCATCCAAGTCTCCAGAAAGTACGATACCTCCCGAGCCAACGGATTTCTCGCTCAAGACAGCGCTTGTATCTTCCTAGTGAAGGTCGCAACAGTATCCACCAGACCAATCTTTTGGGGCCAGTGTTCGACAACTCAGGACGTCATTTGTCTAGTGATATATACCAATCGTCATATATACTCAGGTAGATTGATGGAATTGCAGGACTTTTGGGTTTGACTTAGTCATGGCGCGACAGCATGAGTACAAGCTTTCCGCCTGACCCGCACCCGAACTTCTCCCACAGGGTAAGGATCTATGTGGCGTAAATATAGATGTACATGTGTTACGATTCAGGCAGTGGTATTCTTAATATCCCTGGAGTACCACCCACCCGCCTTTATGAGGCGAAAATGCCCATGGCTTAGTCCTGACTGGACAAAATGGCATGTACAAAAAGGTTGGTAAGCCTGATTAGCGGGAGAGCAAGACGCAGGTATTGCATGAACTGTCGCAAGTTCTGGGGAGTAGTTCCTGTCGCGACGCTGCATTGACAACGACCCGGAATGTAGAAGCAATGTTGTAGAGCCGCACATCTTATGTCATAGTATTGCATTGGCAAGGAGTGCCTACACAAACCAGAGTTTTGGGTTCGGGCTGCCCAGAAAACTTAGGCGGCCCATCCCGTGCCTTCTCATGATACGTGTTCCTTTTTCTGAGGCGAACAGACGTGGCTTGTGATGGGTATAGGCTGGCGGTCTGCATTTGCCTATAATGGAGTTCTGTAGGGCACTTAATGAGCCATGAGATGCTCTTACTGGATGCGCGACCTGGCTTTCAATTCAAATCGAATTCTACACAATCGAATGGATATCTCAGATGCAGCACCATTACCAGAATTGGGTCAATGTGAGATTCATTGGATGCATTCTTGGCGTGTAGCCCTTGCCGTCGACATGAAGGACTTGGAAGTACCTGCACATGCTATCTGCACATGCCTATCTAGCACCTACAGAATTACAGTATCACACATCCTCCACAAATGCGCCCCTTGTGTGGGCAGTCTCGGCGCTGAACTGCATAGACTCCCTTTGATAGAACCTCCTTGATCAGATCGGTTGTCAGGTACACAACCTTATCCTTGACTTTCTTTTCGTCAGTCTCCGCAAAAGCGCCCTTGTCTGTGAGATAGTCGATAGCCTCGGAGGCGATATCTTCACTATCGAGGCCCTTAGGTCCCGTCAGAGCCTAAGTCAATTTCTGTTAGTAGTGTTCTTTTCCGTAGTCCAAAGGACGTGTGAACATGGGTAATATGATTTTAGAGCCACCTGGAGGATCCGCTTACATCAATCTTCTTATTTAGGGCGGCAAGAGTCTTGGCATCAAGGACACCCTTCGCTTTGAGTGCCGACTCAACATCATCGATGATCGAGGAAGGGAACGGAAGATCCAGATCCTCGACCTGGACCTTGAGAGCATCGATGACTGATTGCAGCTCGATTTGTTGGTCGTTGTTGATGGGCGCTCCTAAAGCACTGTAGGCCAAGAGGAGGGCCGTCAGGACAGTCTGGGCTTTAGCAGGCATCTTGAAAACCAGATTTTATGACTCGTAGTAATATGTTGGTGTGAAGAGTGAATTGCAGTTAGAAATCGTTCGACGAGGAAGGAGGAAGCTATTTATGAATAAAATATCTGACGACTCGTCCGCTTTTTAGGTCAAAGCTGTGGACGAAAGCTGTCACTCAAATTAAGCTTGATCTTAGTCGTTCAGCTGGAGGAACTACGGCAGAGCTGGTCATACCCCAGGGAATCGTCAGACGTCAAAAACCAGTGCTAAAGCTTTTAGTAACTCTCCCAGGTGAGCCTCTGATACTCCGCCACAGCCTTGTGATTTGAGGTGGGAGAAGGACGAATGTATCCTCAATTTTTACACGACTGTGTAAACAACTCACCCGTATAGGAATTGACTTCTTTCCCGTAGTCCATGCCGCCGGAACAATCCCACGATTTGTAGAAAGCTAATCGAATTCTTCAGCTGTTCAGATGCTATTCTGGTCCTTTTCTACCTTGAATATCGGGGTAAGGACCTTCAGAGGGGCTGTGACCAATCTCGATTTCGTAAGTTGTCTCAATAAGACCAGTTCCAGTCATTGCAGCGCTGCGCCGTCAATGCACTACGACGTATCTAACGCGCGAGACCTCAGCTAACGACACTTAGTTGCCATATGGGCGTATTTTGTCATACGATCGCAATGCCGAAATCTCGCTCTGATTCTGCATGATTTGCAGAATGGTGATTGTTTTACAGTATAACGACCGAAGCAATAAACCTCGAAAAGTTCAGCCAACGGCACTCTCATCTAAATCATCACTGCCATGTTCCTGACCAAGCAAGTGATATCATTTTGTATTTGTCTTAGTCGTCCAGAGAACCTGCCTTCAATTACGTATGACTTATGTCAACTGGCGGTATGAGACGGCCTTTTGACCGAAGTTTTCGGCTCCTCTCGATACGACAGAAGCGGCCTGTGCTTCTGGACCGTCTTTCTCTACACGGCCAACTTTTCTTCAACCATTTGCACACGGTCGAAGCAGATTTTTTAAGAATGGCAGTCAGTGACCAAGTGGTTTCTGGCGCTAGCAACATAGGCGGAATAGAGAAGGTGAACAGATAGTTCAAGATGCTCAACATATGCGCTTGTGGGTCCGACATATTGTGGAGCGTCCCTCTTGCAGACGGACAATTTTCGGAGCATATATATCTCCACCGAACTGATCCATGATGACGATCAACTCATACAATTTTGAGTTACTTGCTGAAGGGATTCAAATCAAATGGCTTCCCGTTTGTTTGTGTGTGAAGCAGCAGCCAACCATCGGAAGACCCCAGGCGCAGGCTCAGCCATCGAGAAAGAGGATGTATCCGAGTTAATCAGCACGTAGATTATCTCGTCGAACACAAGTCCTCATTATTTCTTTAGCCCAATCGAGCATTATCCAACAGAACAGTGGAACATCTGTTTAGCTTGACTCGGAGATCCGAGAGATTATCTCCTCCAACCCACCAAACCCCCTCAAATGTAACTCTTACCTTTGCGCGCAAGACCACGAAGGGGGCAAGGTCGTACTGGGAGTGCAGAAATGCGGTGTGTTGGCTGTAATGCTATGCTAGAACAAATATACTCCATGCTCAGGCATCTTTCTCGAGAATAAGACCAGCGCTTAGAGTCGACGTCAGACCTGCAACCCCTTACGGTCCGGTGGTAGGAGTCAGAAGTTTTCCCATTCAGCCTGATGTAACGCCACGCGTCGGGCCGTGGAGCTTTGAGTCTAGGGAATCCGGCATCGCTTCATCCCTCTGGCTGTTGCGATCGACCCCTTCTCCCCGAACCAATAAAACACCCCATGTCCCTCGGTGGAGATTGTAGCTTGCATGAAGAGTGGGTTTAGTGTGGGTAGACTCGCTGAGAGGATTCCTCATCACAGTTAAACAGACGCTGGTGCAGGTCTTGTCGAAACAAAGCTCGTCCGAGGCGACGTTGGACTGCGTGTTCCAACAGGACAATTTCTTGACCGAGTCCTTCTCTGGGCTGATTCTCCCTTTAAAAGGCACAGCATCTGCGGGGACTTTTCCCAACAGAGGATCGAAATTAAGGCCAACAGACCTTCCTGACCTGGAAAGTTCTGGCCAAGTGGAGCGGTGCTAAACCCCACAGAAAGGTCTGGGCTGTGCCAGTTAAAACGTTTCGGATCCCTGAACATGCTTAAGTGCGATTTTAGCCCAGACACACAAATGCGCCGTTCCACTGTGCCACTCCTGCGTGCGTATCATTGTCGTAGAGAACTGTGTGCGACAGGCATCATGTCCCAACCAGTTTCCAGGAGCTCTAATCGCACCCACATCATCCACTCCCTCGGGAACTGGTGGGCCGATATTAAATGCCCGTCCCCGGCTTCTCAGGCTCTGGGACTTAACGACTGCATGGGGCTTTGTGAGCCCTGAGATTGATCAACGACTATCGACAGTGAGCGATCGACTGAGACGCAACACCAGGCGGTCGAGAGGACAGAATTTCGATCATTGCGATAACCGATCATGGGGCGCCCAAACCCTCCCCGAGACTATTGCAAGAAGCTCCTTCCTGTGGCTATCGATGAGATAGCGAGCAAGGAGCCGCACCGGCCGTGGGCATCGCTGCCTGTCGACGACTGGGATCTTGCCCAAGGCTTTGAGGAGATCACCTTCGGCGCTTTAGCTAACGCCATCAACAAGGTGGCTCACACTATTGAAGCCGCATTTGGGCGGTCCTCCAACTTTGAAGCCTTTGCCTATCTAGGCGTGCCTGATGTACGATATCATCTTGTTCAGATGGCGGCCATCAAGACCGGGTACAAGGTTCTCCTTTCGTCTCCACTCAACAGCACCAACGTCCACGCTTCATTAATGGAAAAGACGAAATGCGTGGCATTGTTTTCTGCCAATGGTGCTCGAGTCGATGACATCCTCAGGGCTCATCCCGTCAAGCATGCTTTGATACCGGAACTGGACGACCTGCTGAGCTTGGAGGACCGCGCCCCTCCGTACCACTTCCACAAGACGTGGGAGGAGGGCAAGCTCGACCCCTATATGATCCTTCACTCAAGGTAAGATCCCCTGCATTAGACCGATTTTCTGCCCTGACTGACCATGATCGTGTGCAGTGGGACAACAGGGGACCCAAAGCCCGTAGAGTACACGCACCTATTCTACGGTAACGCGTGGACTTACATATTCTTGCCGGAGGTCTACGGACGAGAGCACTTTTATGACCTAATGTACCCAGGAAATGGTACGAGATTCTTGCTTACATCAGCGCCATTTCATGCAATGTCAGCTACTTGCGCTCTTCCGATGAGCGTCTTCGGGCAAGGCACTTTATGCCCAGGCTTCCGACATCGAGCCATAACTACCGGTGATATCCGCGACTACCTGGAGTTTGCGAGGGTAACCAAGGCCGCGCTTACGCCTTGGATGATGGAGGAGCTTGCTCGCAGGCCCAACCCCGAGCGATACATCAAGCCGTTTGAATCTGTATTATTTGGAGGTGGTGAGTTGCATGTATTTCAGGACAATTGCTGCGTTCTCGCTGATTTTATGTGCTTCCAGCCGTGCTTTCACCTCATGCCAGTAGTATTTGGGCAAAATACACTCACATCCAGGTAAGTGCCAAGTCCGAAGCTCGCATTCTACATATTAGCTTCGCGCAGGTACACTTCTTGCCGTGTCACAAGCGAAGATAACTAACGGTTACACAGAATGGGTGGGGCTGCACTGAGGCTATGGCTGCAGGTCTCGTGAGGGCAGACAACGAGGATTGGCCTTACGTGTACTTTGACACTATCCATACCGGTATCGAGTTTCGGAAATCGAACGCCGAATTCTTTGACGAGCACGGGTTGCAGGTACCACTATACGAAATAGTGCTCACTATGAATGAGAAGAATGCCCCCTATGCGAGCTGGCATGTACGACAGGGCATGACACCCGAGAATGCGAGGCCACCATACCCCGAATATCGGCCTGGGGACCTGTGGACGCCCCACCCAGACCCAGAAAAAGCCGCATTTGTTTTCAAATTCGTGGGCCGTACTGATGATACCTTCACGCTCTCCACCGCTTCGAACATCCACCCGGGGCCTATCGAGAGAGCGATCGGCGCTCACCCCAAAGCTGGAGCTGTCATGATCGTGGGTAACCAGCGCAGGCAACCACTCGCGCTGATCGAAATTATTGAAGGAGCCGAGCCTACCGCAGGTCTGAAAAAAGAGATTTGGGAGTCCGTGATAGAGGGTGCCAATGCAAACATGCCAGCTCATGCGACTATCACGCGTACGCATGTGGCGCTGGTGCCACCTGCGTCCTTTATTCGAACGCCAATCGGGAAAATTATTCGGAAGAAGACAGAGGCAAAGTTTGCGGACCTGATCAACAGCGTGTACGAGGAATTCGGGGATCAGTGGCAGGGCAGACAGGGCAGGTTTAGCTCAATTACGGCGACGACGCAGATCACAGTGGAAGTGACAGAATCACCGACTGTGGCTGAGACAGCATCAAAATAATAATGCAAGTCATCAGGGCTCAGCCTTTGATAGGTGAGCGTACCACTCACAGATCCGGCAGCGCGGATAGGCTCGTGTTACGGGACCACAAGGGTGACCTAGACGAAGAGCATGGCGGCCCATCGGAGATTTTTGTGCGCGCCCGTTTTCGCCAACGTGCTGTGCGACAGAGGAGGTCATCTAAATCACGTGGGATTTTCTTTCTATTTCTACCAGGCTTTCAGGGTCACGCCACTTCATGGTGGTGCTTGGTAAACCTACCGAAGCAGGCGTGCAACCTGACAAGACGTGTCGGAAGTCCGGAGGGCTCATGCGCATTTTCATTCCCTTTCTTTTCTGCAGAGCCGCTCGACAAGCTTTCCTTGCCAAGTCATCTGATCTACTACTGCAAGGTCAGCCGAGCTACTGCAGTGCAAGCAGCATGTATATATTGTCAATCTCGTAAAGAACTTCTGTAACCTATAAATCCGCGATGTCCGCGTAGCAACACACTTTGAAAAGACAAAGTCCTTGTCTCCATCATGATCTTGAGCAACATTCTTTTCTGACGGGCAAAATGAGACTAGCGAAGTTCTTCATGGGCATAATTGCCATTGCTGCCTTCACGGCAGACGCCCGGCACAGCCGTAAGCGGGGTGTTCAACCCGCGAGATGTACATCAGAAGCCGCAGTACAACGTAAGGAATATGGCAGCATGGCTGACCACGAGAAGCTATCTTACATCCATGGAGTCCAGTGCTTGATGCAGATGCCTTCCTTATACCCACCCGAGGTCGTACCAGCGGCAACGAGCCGCTGGCTTGACTTCACGGCAATCCACATCGACCAGACGCTGGAGATTCACTTCTCTGGACTACTGCTCCCCTGGCATCGTCACTTCCTCTACCTCCTCGAGCAGGCACTTCAGCAAGACTGCGGATATCCAAAGTCACTCGGGATTCCCTATTGGGACTATCCACTGTACCCGCATTTGGAAAACAGTCCCATCTTCGACGGTTCCCATAACTCGCTGGGGAGTAATGGCCGTACCACCGACTACTGCATAGAGACGGGCCCTTTTTCCAACTCCACCATCAATTTTGGGCCTTTTACCTCCATAGTGACCTTTGACATCACCCAGCCGGCCAACTGGCAGGAGTCGAAGCCACAGTGCATCCAGCGCAAATTCAATGACGAGGCCCTCCAAGCGTTCAACAATCAATCCAACATCGACGCCCTGCTGGCCTCCCCAAACATCACAACAGTCCTGCGCTGGCTCAACGGCGCGAGCCTCCTGTTCGGCTTTACGGAGAAGGGAATCCACGGCGGAGGACACTACTCGATCGGAGGAACGGCCTCTGATTTCTTCGGTAGCCCGCAGGATCCCGCTTTTTTCCTGCATCATGCTCAGCTGGACCGCCTTTGGTCGATCTGGCAGGGCAGGCACCCAGAGTTGAGGTACACATATAACGGGACCAGCACGGTCTTCAATCCGCCGGGAGTGACACCGGAGGTGGTGAATTCGACAGTGATGAATTTTGGGCCAGTTGGAGAATCCATCACGGTAGGGGAGACAGCGGACCCGATGGGAAGGATACCCTACTGTTACGTTTATGTTTAATGTTAATTCTTAGTCGTCAGTCGTGTTTGAACATTTGTTGGAGAGACTTCGATGCTAATCCGTGTTGCGATGCATGGTTTGGTTTGAAAGGAGTCCATTTCCTGTTCTTGCTACGCTGGATATCTTGGGCCCGGGACGATCAGTCTCTCAAAGTACGCAAGGGTCCGCAGCATTATGCAGTGGATGCTATCTTTTCAACAAGTCTGTCAGAATTCTATCTGCTGCGCTGCGCATACGGATTGGTACAAATCAACATCCCAACCCTCTTCAAACTTTTGGTAGCTTTTTATTCAGGGGCAAATTAGACCACACTTTTGACCATGGGCACGCAAGTCCTGACTCATAGAGCCCAGAAAGGTCCTTTTGTCAACCTTTACAAGTATCTTGCGTTGTCTCGCTGTGAATGAAGTGGAACATATTTTAAATTCTACTTTGACGGGTCCGCGAAGACTCAAATTTGGCTACCTACGTGTTTAACATTGGTCAAAGCTGAGGAGTCCTGTATTCGCGTTTTCTTGGATAGCAGTCATGTATGGCAATACCTCGTTTCTTGCAGATGCTGTTAAGAGCTGGGCTCATCCCAGCGCACAAACGCTACATCCAGACGTCACTCTCGGCGCGGTAATTCGGAATTTGAACGGGCAGCCCTATGGCGGAATAATATTTAAGCTGAAGATTGACCAAATCTTGGCGTCTTCCCGGTTTCAACGCCAGAGGTCCAAAAATTGTGGAGACAAACATTCTCCGTTCTCATGCTCAATCAGGAAAAATGAGAGGTGGAGGCTGTGAAATATATTAAGTTGTGGGCCTTCGTGCAGACGCACACCCACGCCTCAGCTCAGCAGCGCAAGATGCATGCAGCGCAGCTCGTGAGGATACACAGACATGTCAACAAGGAAGCAGTACGGGTCGGTCCGCTCATAGCTAACCAAACGGGTGGGCGTAGGAACAGTCATTCTCATGGCGGTGCGAAATAGACGCACCGCTAGCTGTCAATCGTCTACTCTTTTCCACACAGAAGCATGCATGCAGTCCAGCAACATCTATCTCACGTATATGTTAGACTCTTTCATTTTTCTGTGCAGTTCATCACAACGCTCATGAGCCTCGCTGGTCGAGTGATTAGTACTGAAGACCCGTTCATGCGGCTTCACATGCATGGGCGTCCACATTCCCCATCCTCGCCACTGTCAATCCCTGATGATACGGCTGATGACTTCTGAGATTGAGTTATATCATGTTCTTGAGACTGTGTCCGCCTCGTTCGCCGGATTTTCAAGCTGACAAACCACAGAAGCCTGCATCTCACCTCTCATTCCATTGCTAGTGTTTTGGGCATCCTCGACGAGCAGTCCAGACCGAATCCACTGAAGGCATGCTTTTCTCGCCGATCCCTACCATATGCTGTAGCACGGCACCCGCTTTGGACTATATTTCGGCTTGGCTCTGCCCCTTAACTTTTAGTTCCTGGGGAACAACCGACACAACGTCTGCAGGCTTTACCAATCAGTCTTCCATCTTACGCGTCCGTCCCCACCAATTCCGATTGAAGAGGAGATTTATTTCAAATGGTAAGACTTTCATTGGAAGACTGACGCGTCCGTTTGACACCTGCCTTGGTTGAGATGCTTTCCCTGCGGCGGCTCAAGTTTTATGGAGAACGCCTAGGCACGGGGTGGACACTGACGGAGTCATGGGTTGATTGCGCTTATGCATCACGAGCACTGCCCAGTCGTACTCGCCGTGGTCTGTCATTCTCCTGGCGTCATTCATCTACTCTGGAACAAGAAGTGCGATCTGTGAACAGCTGTGTTTCGTTGCCGCTTAAATCCATAGCCGGTCATTGACCCAAAGGTCGGCCGGCCTTAAACAAAATTAGAAAACCGAGTCAGCCAGTTTACAGGAACAATTGTTCAGCAGAAACAACCTTGAGTGTATCTTGCAGATCGTGGCAGGGGTGATGTTGATCTTTGGGTCGATACTTCCTCCTTAACGGCAAATACGCGTATAAAGATCTTAGACCACCCGGGACAACACCAGTAGTACCACAAGAGTTCCAAACCAGTCTCGCCTTGGAACACAAGCATCACCTTCATTCCAAAACTCTAGCCTTTGTTGCCATCTGTCACTCCTTGTCTCCTAGTTTCCCAATTCTCATCAACTTCCAATATGAAGTTCCACTCTTTGATGGCCTCTGCCGGCCTTCTTTCTGGGCTTGCCTTGGCTCACCCCGAGGAACGCTTGTCTCGCCGCGAGATTGACCGTAGAGGTGCACTGTTTAAGAGATGCGAACCGAATATCGCCAAAATGAACAAGAAGCGCCATGCCAAGCGCATGGCGAAACGCCAGATCGACTGGTCCAATACCACCATCCCAGAGGCACAGCCCTACTACCATGTTATTCAGAATACAACCTGCATTCAGGTTCCAGATATCATCCAGGGACCCTACGTGTGGCCACAGTCTGAGCTCCTGAGGACGGATGTAAGTGATTTGGCCTCCTGATCCACCCGACATTTTTTTCTCCAGGACACCTTCCCACACATGGAAATGACGAATCTCTAATGGCTCGTATTCTACTAGATGAGTGAGGACCAACCAGGTGTTCCCCTGACAATGGACATTGGGGTTCTTGACATGGCCACTTGCGAGCCGCTGACGGACGTGATGGTGAGCCTTTGGCACGCCAACGCCACGGGCTCTTACTCGTCCTTCACCGCTCTTGACCCCAACCTGGTCTTCGGGGACCTGCTCACATCACTAAACATGACGCGAGCCGACATGGAATATGGAGTGACCGATATCCACACGGACGACACGACATTCTTGCGCGGAATGTACCCAACAGACTCCGAAGGTGTCATGGAAATGAAGACGGTGTTCCCAGGCTTCTACGCCGGTCGCAGCTTGCACGTTCACAGTCAGGTCTACACTGACTACACCCTTTTCCCCAACGGCACCATCAGCTCCGGCTATCTTGTCAGCACTGGTCAGCTCTACTTCGACGAATCGCTATCAGCCGAGCTCATGGCGCTTGAACCTTACGCGAGCCACACTCAGACCCCGCGTGTGACCAACGACATTGACCAGTTTTTTCCCGACGGCCTGGAGAACGGATGGAACCCGGTATTTGATGTCATTCCCGCCGATGGCGTCGATCCCAAAAACGGCATGATCGCGTACATAACCATGGGCATCGACACAAACAATATACAGAACGCACCCATGAATATCAAGACTCCCGGCGAATAAACAACAGGGCTATCATATGTTCCTTGAAGTATTTATTTCATAGCTCATCCGCCGTTTTCTGTAGTACTTCCGAGTTACTTTTTATTCAAGTTGCTTCTTGTCTTCGTCAAAAGGCCCGCTGGATGCTATTGCGCAAACCTTCCTTAGCAAGCCAAATAACAAGACATACACATGGATGTATATCATTTTCAAGTTCCAGTAGACAGATAGGTTCGGGCTTTTTGGACGACAATATTAGAAATCCTTAGCTTTCAAATCGCTGAGCTGTCGTATGTGAATGATTGGCGATTTCCTGTTTCCCAACCTCGAGTTCGGCCGTGGTTGTAAAACTTGGAGGTTCCCTCAAATGATGGCCTCTTACCATTTCTATTAAATAATATTAACTCACGGCTGTTTACAAATCCTTAAGTGTTTTCACCAGTGAATTTACTTGGTTTAGAATATTGCACAAAGCAATCCGCCACAAGTAGTCCGTGCAGCCTGGACTGTCTGTTGCTTTCGAGACAGGTTCCATGGAAAGTGCCAAGCAGTCAACTGTGACCGTGCAAGGACTGGATACGCAAAGAGTACGTTCTGTTTACTCTGTAAGTCAATTCTTCGCAAAGTATGTTAGAAATGGCATACCGTGGCGCTGAGGCGTGCATCCCCATTGATTTGCTGCTCCAACGACGGTCCAGGATATCCAGACACCTAAATCTCACTTTCTTCTTAAGCACAAACCGAACTCAGAGGCAGGAACTCGTAGTGAAAGTTGTGGTCAGAGAATACTGTATCAATAAGCGCACGCGTAGCTATACGTAGACAGCTGTGAGGCAGAAGGTCTATTAGTGACTACGCTGATAAACAGACCCATGTCAGCTGGAGGGAAGCACGGGAATGGACTGATTTTTGATTTGGCCTATCTCTTCGAAGGTTCAAATGCTTCTCTCTAGGCCTGAAACCCTTAGATCAAGCCCCAAGCCCCGAGGCCCCGCACGTGCGTACATATGCCCCTAAAGCTGTTCTTAAGCTTCACGGTCAAATTTGCATCTTTGCTCAAGCGCAGCGTACTCCTTGACTCCATCAAAGCCATAGTATTACATGAATTTATAAAGTTGGGTTATGATCCTGCCAAAGCGACTAGCGGTAACGTATCCACAATTCTATATTTCCCGAAACGACTGTTTATCTTCAAATCGGAGCTCTGATCGTCATGATAGCATTTCAATTGATTCTTGTCTCTTTCCCGACACCGCGTGTGAAATGGAATGTCAAGCCACCCATTCATGTCCCCAGATACATCAATAGCCAATGTGAAAAACGAGCTTCTTCTTTATTTCTCCCTTCACTTTATCTATACTGCACAATTAATTGACGAGAACAGAACCCCTGACTTGGCGGAATGGCCCAACTCCCACAGACTCACCGCAAAATGCCCATGGGGATATACAGTTGTCACGGCTTCCCCAGCGATCCACCTTTGACCCAACTATCATGCAGACTCAGCTGTCCGTTGTGTAGAGACTATTCCGTTTTGGGTGATCGGCTTTGTGGTTCGTCCAATTCGCCCCTAGGAAATTCTGATCAACTGGAACACTGGAGACTAGGCGTTAGTCTCGCCACATTTCTTTTCCTCGGCGCGCGGGCACTTGATTTTTATTCAGACACAGCATTTTCTCAGTGGTGATACCCAGCATGAAGCCTTCACAACCCCTATCGGACATGAATATACACAGTAATGCCATCTGTTCAACTTGTCGCATCATGCAATTAGATATACTTTCCCGGGAGAGCGGGACACCTATTCCTTTGCAGCATTGGAAATTGCCTGAGTCCGTGCGCGCAATTGGGTTTGTCTCCTATTTGACTGCCGTTAGTACTTGTGGGGCATTGCCTCGGGCTGGTGGAGGGAAATCTTTCGAGCAGTCACGTCAACTAGATACGTTTTGTAGACAAGAACAGGACTCGACAACGTTGAACATAGGCGTGACAACGGATATGTAATCCAGGCCAGTGTGCTTCAAGGATGTTCCCGTGAAGTCATGCCTCGCTCATAGAATTGAATTTAACGTCTTAGCACAGATCGAGACCCGCTCCAGGTAGATCCTCGCTTCTGGCCCCGACGATTTTTGCTCCGACTTAAGTGCTTCCATCATTGGCCGAATTTCATAATACACTACCGCCAAGGACGATGACAGGCCCACCAGTATCCGGGGATGCTAAGGTCTACCACTTCGTATCTCCTATCTACCGGATATTTCGCACTTCCCGACTATACCATGCATAGTAAAGCTGGGTCTCGCTGTAACGCATGACTCGTTCCGGTCTAAGGGCGCCCGCATCCCGGTTCATTTCCAAGCTTTTGATGTCTCGTGTTTTTTTGACACGGCGTGGCTTGGCATAATTTCTAGTCTTTCTAGTCCCGTCCCCTGGCTACCTCTTCATTGACCCTCTTGCTTCTTCCAGTTAACCGAGAAGGTCATTCAGCTTTGGCCTCTCCGCAACGGCGTCATCACGGTCAAGCGATCGGTGCCTCATGGAAGCGTCATACCTACACAACCTCGACGTCGAGCCTGTCGCGAGTTCATTGACTTGAAACCGCAACACCACACGAGTCGCAGTTTCAACCCGCGACACTGTGATCTATCCTTTCTGCGAGAAGGCCTTCGAGTGAGAATTCAGGATGACATCAACGCCGACGCCGACGACGACGACGGACACATCCTATGATCCGGCGACGGCGACGCCCACGTACGGGACAGGGGCTGGCCCTCTAACGACCGTCTTTCAGACACCCGACTTCTGCGCCTCGTCATTATGGGAGAACCCAATGACACCGCCGCTGTACAGCTCTATTTGCATGCCACCAAATTTCAACAACTATTGGAATTGGCAAATAGGCTACTACTCACCGGGCATCTGTCCCTCGGGCTATTCCGCCGCGTGCGAATTCCCGACATCACTCGCTCTTTTTTCATCATTCACAGACGGGACGTCGTCTAAATCATGGCCATACTACGGTGGTCAGGTGAAGCCGGATGAGACGGCAAGATTATGTTGCCCGACGGGTTATAATTGCTATTCGACGGGGATGATGGGAGTGGGGTGGAGTTACAGTCTCTGCATATCCACGGTGCCGTCCACAACATTGCGGGACCCAGAACAGACGACGGGCACGGTAATGACGACGACGGAAAACCTCGCATACGCCATACAAGTGCGGTGGCGGGAGCAGGACTTGAGCATACTACAGACGAATCCGACTGTGCCGGGACAGACGAATGTGCCGACTCAGACAGCCACCACAGCCACCACACAAAACGAAACCGACTCCACAAATGCCCCTGATACAGTTTCCAGCGGGGTTTCCAGCGGATCTCTCGCAGTCGCCGTAGGTGTTTCAGTTGGAGTATTTGCACTGCTACTATTATCAGCAATCTTAATATGGCGCCTGGTCAGGAAGAGAAAGCAGGCCGCAAAATTGCAAAGGTCCGAAAAAGACGAGAGAAACTCCAAATTAGGTTCCAGCGCCGACACTATAAGCACCACACTATCATCAGCGCCGTATTCGCCAAATCCGGTCAGCCCGTTGACGGACATAGGAGCGCGCTCCATCACGGGGACCGTTAGAGGAAACACGGCGGAGATCGACTCAAGTCCGGTGGCTGAGATGGAAACCGGGGCGTCCACCGCGGCGGAGCTCGCTGGCGACGCGACCAAGCCGGTGGAGTTAGCTACGGAGGAGAAGCCCGTCGAGATCGAGACACGGGATTTTGTCGCAGAACTACCGGGTGATATGCCAGCCAACTGGAGGGAGGACGTGGACGGCAAGTCTACTAGGATGAATACCCGGAAACAACCAGGAGAAAACTGGAACTGGATATAATGACGTACGATTGCGCAAAATAGACCAATTAATACACTGCACTCAGGTGCTACTTGACGAAACAGTGCGAGGGCGTTCAAATGCGGCGCACAGAGGGATCAATATTCAGCAGATGTGATTGCTTTTGCGTTTGAGTAGCTTCAGAAGCTGCCCAAGGGCACATTTCCAATATGGTGTATCTATACACTGGGATTTTTGGTAAGAAACCCCTCACGCAGACTGGCATATTGACAGCTTTAAATATTGTGAATACGGCGCAAGTATATACTGCAAGTCTCAATGCGGGTCCACATGACTTGAGCTTGTATATTGATAATTGCCAGCTAGCACGGACAGTGCAGATTCAATTTTCTGGTAGCGAGATCGGCCTTTATGGGATGTGGAGCGTTGATGATCGAACCTGTAGAACTGGGGGCGTAGATCTGACTAAGTATCGTGACTGTCAGGTGGACGTCTGCATTTACTTGAAATGTGATTTGCATAAACTTGAATCGTCTTTGCCATCTTCTTGCTCACTGTCATCACTTTTCATTTGATATTGCCTTGTAAGAGTTACAACATCTGTGGCCCGGCTTCGGATACGAGATTGGATATTTGCACTTGATAATTGTCTACTAGTTGCTATTTCCTGTGCATGTAGGCACTTGGGCCAATGAAGAAATTTTGGCGAGCCTTGGTTTCTCCGGACTTGTGGTCTGGCAGGCCATGTCTCGCTACTTGTCATAGCGTACAGTCGGTTTAGCAGTAGAGGTTCTATAACGCGAAAGGGGTGAAGTCTGCAGAATTGCTATTCCTGTTACAAAAGTACAAAACAGGCTTTAATGCATACCAACGCGAATCTGCCGCCTGCATCTGATATTATTGTTAGCCAGCTGATCCCAATTATGTATTTATTGGAGCGAGCGTTTGGAAGCTGCCAAAAAGCATTAATGCACTGCCCCAGGCTCATTTGCAACTTTACACATATGCATGGGTTTCATCCCATGGCATTCACAAAACCGAGCTCACTCCTGGACTACACCAAGCACAGAACTACTCCTCTTGCGCAGCCTCGTCCTCTCCTTGGGAGGTTCCACCTGCGCAGTGCTGTCCACCGATTCTCTTGACACAAGTGGCGCCGCCTTGCTAAACAGCTTCCCTAATTTACTGCTGGATCCCGCATCTCTGTCAGGGGCCCCAAATGTGCCCCAGCTGGCCCGGTCCGCGGCGTTAGCGGCGTCTGGAGCGGACCCTGACTGGAGCTGTTCCTGCTGCTCCAGTGCTCTCTCCTGTTGGTCCTCCGCCTGGCGTCCGTCCTCTGCTCTGTATGGCTGGTAGAATCGGCGCTGCTCTATCTCGAACCTACCGGCGTCAATGGCCGCCTGGTTCTTGTCTCTCGCTTGCTGGTTGCCGAAACGGCGATCTACCGTGTCATTCAGGGTCCCTCGGAGCGTCTCGCCGACCCCCTTAAGAAATTTAGCATCGTAGATCTGGTGGTCAAGCATTTTGAGGCAATTTCTTTTGGTGTGTGAGTACTTACATGGATGCCCACGGCCGCTGATTTTAGACTCTCCAAGGTAGAACGAGTTTCCTTTGGCCCTTCTCCGAAATAGGTTTCGGGCGGGGAGTGATTTCTCCCTGGGTATGAGAAATTCTGATGCCTATTTGTGCTGCGCTCAGGCACTGGTGGTGTCGCGATGGAATCATTGGCGCCATGCGCAGAGGGTGATGTCAAAGGCTCGCGAGGTGGAATGATACGGCGCCCAGGTGTTTCTAAGCTTTTCCTAGGTGGTGGATCTTGGGCATCGTTGTTTGGGGATCGTGAAGGTAGTGCTAGGGGAGCCGGCCGAAGACCAGCTTCGGTGGCATTGGGAGCAGCCTGTTGTTCAGGTTCTGGAGTACTAGCTGCGGGAAGTTCAGCGGCGCCAGCTCGAGGTTCCTGGACAATTGTTGTTCCATTTGGTCCGGTGACTGTTGTTGTAGTTGTTGTGGTCGTCGTCGTTGTCGTCACAGTCTGGCCTGTGCTAGAGTTCGTGTGGGTTTCACGTCTGATTGTGGGATTGTTCAGCGCTGCCGTGTCTTGGGTCTGGCTTCCTGATCCATCTGAAGTGAGACCGTTCCTATTGTCGGCGTTCTCGTGTCCGGGATTAGACGTGTTGTTCGAGGACGGATTTGTTAAAGTTGTCGAGGCGTTCGAGCTACCCTCCGTCGTCAGAGAGCTCGTGGGCTCAGCAACATCTGCGTCGGGGACATCGAGTCTGTTGTGATTGCTAGGGTCTTGCTGGAAGCCTGAGCCAGGGCCATTGGTGGGACTCTTGCTCTTGTCCTTGGAGAACAGTTTCCACTTAGATCGTTTCTCCATTGCTGCGTAGTCAAGGTGACATGGGGAGTGGGACAACAATAATAATGAGGAAACAATACCGTACTTTGTAAATACACTTGAAGCGCGACTTGGTCGCCCATTTACCCAACCCGGAGGCCTTACAAGTGAGCATTTCCTTGATATCAGCCCCCTTCCCACGAACGAGTTAAGGTGACGCTGTATGCCGTCATCGCACTAGCCACATTCACCGTATGCACGATGATGCAGGTCAACATGCACTGGCCATGTCGATCAAATTACGGCAAAACGGAGATACCGGGTCTACCATTCCCTGGTCTTTTCATAATCCAACAATCGAGGGGAGACGAAGACTGAAATAAGTCCTGCACATATTAGCTCTAGATGCACGATTCGAGCAGACATTTATGGCTGTATTTCTGCAATATTATTCAACATATAGCAGGTAGCATTAGCTTCATTCCAGTCATTCATGTCGAGACTGGGATATTTCGATCCCTCGCCCTGGAACTGTAATATTGATCTTAATTCTATAACCACAGAAAAAGTTCTATATGCAGTCAATGCCAGCCTTGGAGACAGCCGTTCAGCAGCCTCTTATTTCGAATCAGGACCAAAAAAGTTTCCGAGCCAATTCTATACGGCCCCAGAGAAGTTTACGACAGTGCGCCGCAGTACTCAGGAGAACGCGACAACATTGGAGTGGCCCCTAGCCATATTATATCATATCATAGGCTAGCAGCAGTTTGTGCATATTTTTAGAGATGGTTACTATCGTTTTATTGTATTCAAAATGGAAGATAATGTCTAGTCTGCTATGTAGCCCTGCCCACGCATGGGCCATTGCATCTGAAGGCGGCGATCTGCTGGCGGGCTTAGGGTGGGGTCACTCGATTCGGAGGGACAAAAAAACAGCTGCAGCTGGGGACCGCGGTGTCAACATTTGAATGGTCAGCAAATAATCCTGACTATTCTATAGTTTGATCACATCGTTTTTCCAGCTCGTAGCATGTGAGACCATGTTATGAAAAAGCCTATGGGGCTTCTGTCCGCCAAATGAATCTTCGCCAGATGCCTACCGCGTACACGTCCTTCTCAAAGCGGGGAGCGCGGAACCTGGTCAGATCAGTCTCACCGCGATCGACACCGCGCCTCTACTGTCTCACGCCACTTGTTTCAGCGAAGCAGCGCCGGTGGTGTTCCAACCGCGGCTCGGTCCACGAACGTTACCGATATAGACAATTAAAGCAAGCTCGAGATATTCGTATTCTGGAGCTTAAGCCCGCAGGAGGTTTTGATGATCCCCTCCACCTGTCCCTCAAACAGATATCCCTTGAAGACCATGACACACACTTCGAGGCTGTTTCCTATGTCTGGGGAGTACCCCGAGGCAATCAAGAGGTCTTCTGCGATGGAGAGATGATCCTAGTGACTCCAAATTGCGAATCAGCACTGCGGCATCTCAGGCTTAAGACACAAAGCAGGAACCTGTGGGTTGACTCCCTTTGCATCAACCAGTTGTCGACCTCGGATAAGAACCAGCAGGTACCTATGATGGGAGACATATTTGAGTCGGCTGAGCGTGTCATAATCTGGCTCGGCCCTGAGCGCTCAAGCGTTGCAAATTTCTTCCGCAGGGTGAAGCTTTTCAACCCGTTTATATCACCTCAGCTCTATGTCATGAGACGCTTTGGTCCCTGGGCGGGACATGAATTTCGAAGACTGAACTTTATCTCTCGCATCGCCAACTGGGCTTGGGTTCATAGTGAGTAATTTCGTTCCTCGTGAAATATGTACGTGTTTCTCTATCCTAATGAGCCTCATTAACCGATTGCAGCCGTACGCAGCGCGGAAGACTCGCAGATTCTTCAGGAGATTGCTGAATCCAGCTGGTTTACGCGCGTGTGGACGCTTCAGGAACAGCTCTTATCCTCCAAAGCCGTTATTGTTATCGGTCACCATGAATGTCCCTGGGAAGCTTTCGCCAATATTTGGGCTTGGAACCTGAATTCGATCAAATCGCTTGGCGGCAATGAGTCGCCAGTCACCTTGCGTCTGCTCACCTGGATTGCCTTCCAAAGCACTTGGCTGTCACGCACAAAAGGCGGCAGCCGCAAGATGCTGGAGGCGCAATTCGATATTTACTCAGGACTATTGGAGTGCGCCCGAACACACGGTGCGAGTGACCCGAGGGACAAAGTATATGCGTTCCTGCCGTTGATGCAAAGGATCGAGCCGAACAAAGATCCTATGCCAGTCAGGTATGACATGTCATATCCCGAGGTATATGAACAGTTTGCAAAGTACTCTATCCGGCTCTCGGGGACGCTCAGATACCTAGAGACTCTCCCGCCCCTGCGTTATGAAAGTAGTCTGCCTTCTTGGGTGGTAGATTTGCAAGTGCCGGCGAAGTACCCTATGCGCAGGTGGGCAAATAGCCAGCTTGACGCGCGAGCCACAGGGGACAGCAAAGTCGACCTACACCTGCTCTCTCACTCGAGGAGAGGCGAGCTCTTATTGAAAGGATTACCCTTTTCGACTATCAAGAGGATATCGGCTGTGGCACCTCTTGAGACCCAGGAATCAGCTGACTTTGCAGAAGACATCGCTACCTGGTTCTGGAATTGGCGGGATACGATTAGGGAGGCGGTACTAAAAGGAGACCTCAAATGTCCATACTCTTCCTTCATGGAAGGCTTTCACGAGTTCTTCGATGGTGTGATGAGATTCAATCCATATCTTGGTGGGTGCACTCTCTTCATCACAGAGTCGGGGCACCTTGGTGTGTCACAGTTCAGTGTCGAAGAGGGCGATGAGGTTGTGCTCTTGGCAGGATGTGCTCTCCCCACGGTCCTCAGAGCCTCGTATTCCAAACAACATCGCTTCTTCGCTGTGGCATACGTTGCAGGAATAAGCCATGGAGAAGCTTGGAATCCACGTAACAGCAGATCTCACGAGTATTTGGAAAGCTTTACGTTAATATAGCTGCGCATCGTAATGAGATACTTCAAATATCTACACTTCATAGGGTATCATCCGAATCGTAATTCCTGAGGCTGCTCAGGGCCTGCATCGCATACTCATATGTCAACATTGTAACGCCTGCGGACGGAACTGTACGCAGTATGTTCGTGCCCAAACCGGCGCACAGCGCCCTCCATCCTTCTTCTCTGAGTACGGTGTGGAATGTGCCGACCATTCCCCTATATTTAGGACGAAGCAAAATATTGGATGCCCGTCCGCTTGCAAAGTTGTTTACCCCAAGTAGGAACTCGGGGCCCAGCATCGCGCGTCGTTGGTTTTGTAGTCTTGTTCGAACTACTTCGAGTGGGTATGTGATACTGCTCGCTAAAATCTTGGAAAGAATCGACGCGTAAAGAATCGAGGACCAATTTGCTCCAGGATCGCCCATACCACCCCCTGTGAACTTCCGCCTCAAATATTCATAGGCCGGAAATTGGATCCCAACGTGAAACATTCCTACTAGTGCAGGCGCCAAGCCGGCGTAGAATGCAGGTGCTCCCTCATATCGATATATTTTCCGAGCAGCATCGAAGCCTGAGCGGTAGTACCAATGCGGTCGGTGGTAGGATGAAGTTGTCATTTCTGCGAGATTTGAGGGGCAGCGTCTCTTAGCCCGATGTGCCTGTGACATTACTCGCACCTTAAGAACCCATATTGGATTTGTCACAATAGTAGAAGCCATTCCCGCAGAGATCGAGGAGCAGAAGTTGACTGCTATGGTGCTATCTATAACTTGATCAGCCCTGATGTGCAAGCTCTACCTGATGAATAGTCAGGAAAACCACTTACTAAACGTGTTCTGCAAGAGTTCCTTACTCTTGTCGTACGTCGCAAACCATACAGCCCATGTTGGGAGGTATCCCAAAACGATGAGACTTCCTCCCCGGTAAATGCCCCTAAATCCTTCTTCTCTTAATATGACGCGCGCAGTTCCGAGAGTACCCTTGTAGAACCTCTGGTGACAAGATTTTCTTCCATTGCTCAGAGTTGTTGGGACATAAGCCTCTTGGGCTTGAAGCCGTATTTTGATTGTGTCCAAAGGGCAAGTGACTAGGCCTGCAACAAATCCGCCAGCAGCCCCAGCAGTCGCATTCATCTCGGCCGGAGACGCTCGCCGTGCTCGCCGTGCCAGCCTCTCCAGCACAGGGCGTCTTCTATCTTCAGACAAACGCCGACTTGCCATCGCTGGCGACCAATTTCGTGCATCTCAGCACAACTCCGGCGCAGGGCGTCTTCGATACACTAGGAGAGCTTTGTTCAAAAGCACTCACGGATGATGCCTTTTGCTGATCAAACGTTCGGGTAGAAATGAGGTTGCCTTGCAGCTGAGGAAGAAAAAGCGAAGAAAAAGGTCTCGGCTGATGGCCGGTGGGGTCTGCGAATTGTCAGCAGCAGCAGAATTGTCATAGGCTAAAATCCACCTGCAGGTACAGCTGGCCCGGCCCACCATCTCCAGCTTACTCTGCCCAGCCTGCTTTTCACACTGCCGCTTGAATAAGCTCATCACGACTGCAGACGGCACACCCCGCGTATCTCTTCAATTTCCTGGGTCAGAATGACAGTCTTGTGGGAGTAATTCTCTTCTGAACATGATAGCGACTCCCTCATTCAGCCATGCTAGCTCTGCTTTAAGGACCTCGTCGAGCTAGTCGACTATCCAGTCGATGTTGTGAGAGATAAATGAGACAAATAGTGGGGGCCATACTCCGATTGCATCTGGTATGTGCATGAATAGTGCGCTGTCAAAGGATGGCTGTAGTTAATGATAGGTCAATTCATGTTCCTTTCAAGATATGAGCTCGACAGCCTTGACGCTGCTCTCACTCCGTTCTTATTTCCTTGTGAGTGTGATGTTTCTTTTTTTTTTCTCGTTTGACCTATGCCTCCTTGTACATTATATGTGAAAAATTCCTGGTTGGATCGATCACATTTGGACCAGCCTCGAATTGTGTTGCTCAACGAGGGGCCGTAGGGTTGAGGATTCGTACCACTGAACAAAAGCAGCGATCATCGATGATTCAGTAGTCTTGCTGCCGACCGAATGGGGGTCCTACTCTTTATGCCTCTTATGATCTTGATGACCTTAACTAAGAGATGCATCGTGTCCTTTGGGCTTAGCAAATTTGAGGACGATTCCAACAGCGAATGGATTTGTCTATACGTATACATTTCGCTTTCAACCTCGACTTTGCCGATGTAGAGGCTATCAAGAGCAGACCGAGAAGTAGCTGCCAGCACATGACGACCTTCATTTTGATTTCGATCAGGTTGAAAAGTGTTCCAAAGCAGGGCAGTTTCTATCTATTATGATCATACACTCAAGAGCAAGAAACCGAGCAGTACTTGAGTCGTATTTCACGAATCGCATGCGACCAATTGCTAATATTCTGTTCCTTTGTAAAAGTATCCGTCACCCAATGAATTGAATGCAACTTGAGCTGAGTAGATACCATAGGTCGGACTTGTCATCGAATAGAGAAAAAGTCTGGCTCCTCTGTCGCTGGGAAGCTACTCAAGACAGTAACTGCCAAGCATTGAGGCAGCATTAGCTTGCCTCCCTTGGCACCAAATGTCAAAATAGCAGGTCAAGGCGCTCTGAACCGCACGTCAATATTGTCAGCACTAGCGCCATCGTTCGCTCGATCAAGTCTTAAAGGATGACAAGGTGTTGGTCAAAAAGGCCCCCAGCCCAAGAACTTGCTGCCGAGTGCGATGTGCTACAGCGTTTGGTTGCATGGGCAGCCAAGGATGTACTCAATGGAGTGACACAGTAGGAAGCGCGCTCATACTGTGAACCCCACACCGGCGGAGACAAGGTGACAACGTTGAGCCAACGGAGGAAAGCAAGTCAGCCTGCTGCGTATAAAACCTTCTATATTCCCATCTCATCCGATCTTTATTGCCTGTGTCTATCTTCCGACCTTTCCAACGTCTCTTTACAGCATCTCATCCACCATGGACACTCTCACCAAGAAGACTATCACCACGAAGCGTGGCTTTGAGTATACGTACTATGTCTCCCCCGCCGCAGCTGGGAAGCCAACCCTGGCCCTGCACCACGGTTTCCCCGACCAGGCCGAAGAGTGGGAGGACCTCATCGTCAACCATCTCAAGCCGGCCGGATACGGCGTCATAGCTCCGGACCTGCTCGGATACGGCGGTACTTCAAAGCCGACCGATCCGGAGGCCTACAAGTTTGGCGGTATGACCGCCGATGTTGTGGAGATAATCGACGCTGAGAAGGTCGACAAGGTTATCTCCTTGGGCCACGACTGGGGCTCTCGCGCCGCTCAAATGCTCTACAACTTACATCCCGAGCGGGTTTCGGGTCTTGTCATGGTCAACGTTCCTTGGATGGGCGCGACAAAGGGTCCAATGGATCTTGATGCGCTCTTGGCGCAAGCGCAACAGGTTTTTGGATACGGCACGTTCTGGTATTGGAAGCTTTTCACTGCAGACGACGTATGTTACCTGAATTCTCTTCTGCCATGTCCATGCTATCTTGAAAATATGCGCAAATACCCCCCTCCCGTTATGCGATGCCCTGAGACTGCTCTCGGTATTTGGGAATCCAACGAACACCATCATGTGTCTATATGTTCCAGTGCCCACTACATGGCTTTCAAGTAGTCTTCAGACGGATAAGGAGCCCTCTTTACAAGCTCTAGCGGTCTCTGGAGTTGCCTCGGTTGGAAACGCAAATTTGGACTTCCGAGGACTTGCTGACCTGAACTCAATCCAGGGAGCGAAGGTGCTCAACGAGAACCCAGATATCCTCTTCGATATTGCACACGCGCCTGAGTCATGGATGGCGACATTCTGCACCGAGAACGGTATGCGCAAGGCGTTGGAGAATAGAGGCGAGGGATTCGACATCAAACGGCGAGCGTACGCTACCGAAGAGACGAAGAAGGCGTTCATCGAGAGATTCAAGCGGGACGGTTTCGATGGCCCGGTGTGCTGTGAGCTATTCCCTTTTCTTCCAAGCCCCTGTCCTGAGATCAACAGGAAGTTATTGTTGGGCATGTGCTCTTTCAATAAATTACTGACATGACTTCCAATTAGGGTACAAAAGTCACGTATTCGGCCAACAGAGCGAAGAGGCCAACCCCGATAACCAGGTCGTGAATGTCCCATCGCTTTTCCTAGGGTATGAAGAAGACGTGGTCTGCAGGAAGGAGGGCATATTGCCTTTTATCCAGGCGGGCGCGCTACCGCAACTGACTAACGTTACCCTGAACGGTGGTCATTGGGGGTTGCTGGAATTCCCAAAAGAGTTTGGAGAGAATGTTACCCAGTGGCTTCAGAAGAACTATGGGTCCTAGGCACACAACTGGCCTGTTCGTGAGACGTGCGCGTTACTCTGCGTCTTCCCTCCCTCTAGCAGTCGGTCTCTTCTAGTTTTACATACCTGAGTAAGGTGAATATGAATCAGTAAGCCGGCTTCAGAACACTATCTTTGTGTGGAAGCACGCTCATATTTGATTCATTCTGTAACATGTTCAGCAAGCTTCTAGACCCTTTCTAAACTCTGCTCGCCCATAGTTGGGCCCCTCATTGGAACAAATGAGCACATCGATATGGCAACCATTTCAGCTTTGATCGGAAGACAGCGCTTTCACGGACGTTTCCCGCTAGAAGACCTCACACGCGAGATCAGCACACACAAATCAGGAATGATAACTATACTGCGTTAGATAATGTATTCCCCAACATTGATGCTTCGAGGCCCCTTTCAGTACCTTTTCAATCATACATAGAGAAACAAGAAGGAGCCAGACACAGCTTGCGATTTGTCTGAACAGCCATGTTATAAATCAAATCTCGATCACCTTCACGCAACTTCAACTTCGCGGAATGAGCGTTGTTGCGGGACCTGGCAGTAGGCTAGGCCCGAATTAGCAGCTCAATCCGTAGGAGTCACGATCTGGGCCCTGTGGAGATGAATTGCAAGGCTCAGGCGGTATGACCTGAGGTCAGTCTAGACCCAAGCAAGCTGCAAGAACCCCACAACCCATCCTTCTGCCTATGCTGCCTATTAGGCATTTTTCAAGAAAAGCCAGTTCGTATGATAAGGCCATCCTCCAAAAAGGTCTACATAAACCAGTTGTCTCTTTGCAGTTGTCGGTGAGCACCGACGACTCAGTTGCAACCAAGGCTCCCATTCAATCTTTCTGCCTGGAACTTTTCCATCGCCGTCGCCGTCAACATGGTCCGCCGTCTCTCAGCCTCATCGCTCCTCCTGCTCGCCGCTTCGGCGACTGCCCAGAAACTCAACTCATGGCCCCAACATAATTATGGGGGCACCGGCCTCACAACAGACAACGACATCAACACGTCTGAAGCGAGAAACATCGCCACGGGAGCACCTGCAGACTTCTACCTCCTTTTCAACTTTCGGATCACCCTCACCGGGTTTTACATCCAACCCTCCGGGGACTTCATCACCGATTACGACGTCTCCGCCTTAATTGGTGATATAGGCCTCGTCAAGTGGTTGGATGTCGGCCAAGTCTGTGGGGCTACTGGAAACTTCACGTTTGTGCCCTTGATTGACCCAGAAGACGGGGGCTCTGTGCGGTCCGACACGTTGTCTATCAGCGTCAGCGGTGCCAAGGGGAACTCCTCGACCGCCATCATCAATGAGATCTGGCCTGTCTTCCCCGGTGACGAAATTTTCGACCCTGGAAATACTTCTCCGTGCCCGGCCGCTACTAAGTAGTCACAATTCGGAGGCGCAGGTTCTGGATATCAGCGCCGCCTGTCGTCGAAAGTATCCTAGACTTGAGGGGCATACTTTAGACCGAATTATCATCACGACTTCGACAATCAGCGAAAGGATCAATGTCTGGGTAGGAATTTCATGTGGGATGATGAGCAGGGGATTGGCACCGGATTGCTGCAGCAGAAGGCACGAAGCCCTGCCAACGTCAGCTGAATGCCCTGGATAGTTGTTAATCCATACTCAAATCCAAGACACGCCTGAGTAGGTGGGTACGCTGACTTAGACCGACAGCAGTAGACCCTATACCTTTCAAACTAGATTTAATTTCAATGTCTCTTCATCTCTTCATATGCTTCCCATGAAAAGCTGCAGCACCTCAAGCTGCCTCAACAAATAGTAAAATCATATGGCCCATCCTTCCCATGGCTTAGATGTATTGCCGCGACAGTTCTTTAGGGAGATTCATGTACTTCAGATATGTGATGTAATCCGTGATTGTGCAGAGACGGAAGTGGAGAAAGACGCTTATGACGGTGAGAACGTGTAGCTCCCTACGGCTTCGCCACAAGCAGATAGATTAGGTGAGGTAGCAGCAGCCTATTTCGGCTTTGATGTTCACTTTCGAGAGAGATCTTTTCCCAATACGACAAGCAGAAGGGAACCATTTCACTAAGGATATACTAGCGATTCAGGTTTATGGTGTTTGCTGGTACGCTTCAGCTGTATTGACTAAGTATCATCCGGATCCTAAAGTCACATGCGTGCCAACAGCAACAGAAGCTGCTGCTCTCCCTCAGTGCTGTCTATGTCGCTTCGTGATAATAGTTCCGTCTGGGCAACTAATATTGTAGCCTGGGCATCGACCATAATCAACTCGCACAGTTCCGTCACCACTGCAAGTGCTGCATAGAGTCCACCCACTACGAGATTGCGTGGACCGGACAGCTCCCGATCCGCCACACGTGGGGCAACCACTGCTCCCGTACTGCTTCTTGCCTTCGTGGTCAAGGAGCCTATGACAGTTGGTGCATCGTGCATTGGGATCTTCGCCAGGCATTTTCGGCGCGGTTGCTTCCCGCAAGACTGCTGTGTTTGCTTGTCGTCGAGTCTGCAGAAGTCAACCTTTTCAGATATTTTAAAGATAACAAGGCTTCAGTTGTATCTCACGATAAGCAAGTCACTTAGGAGGCTATCTCCCCGATATGTCTTCTGCAGCAGGAGTCTTTGTTGTCTGATTGAGGAACACCGTTCCTCTATGTGTGAAATGAGTCGCTTTTCTCGCAAGGTAGTTTGGTGCAGTAGTTGCTGTAGCTTTTGATTTGCCGATAGTCGCTGTTGATACTATGTTTGAAGAAGACTGTAGAACGAGCAGTCCAATATTCTACGCTTTTATATCAATTCTGTCCCTTACTCACTCACCCATGTAGTCACAAGTCCTGCTCTCCAATCACTATTTTGCTGGTAATTGTTGTAAGGTAGGCGAGTATCACACCTTTCAGTCTGCGGTTACTCAGATATGCTATTAATTCATGCAGACTTGTCATGCTCTGTGGCATATCTTGAGGTGGGTTCTTTCAATCACTTCCTCGTCCTAGTCAACCTCTTAGGGATCAACCACTAGGCAGTCGAGCAAAAGATGTCACCAAAGATACAATATCGAAAACTGATGATGTTACCAATTCTCATTGAATCAATGGCATGATTTGCCATCAAAACGCTATAAGTGGACCACAGTCAGGCTGAACTTCATGGGAATCACTAGGGAGCAAACGCAGTCATAATTGTTTCACTTTTGTACAATGATCAGGCAGATTCCGGGATCACAGTGTATGGACAGGCCATACTAGTATGCGGTCCTTGATTCATGAACACTCAATGATCGATACTGTTGATGAAACGGTCCCCCTTACGAGTTTAAGTCATCCTCGTTGCCGTTCCGTGTACGATGTCAAATACTTTCCAACCACTAGGCCTCATCTAGCTAAAATAAGATAAGTCACATACGGGTCACAGATTGAGCTTTTTGCTAAAGTAGGTGACAGACAAAAGTAATTGCCACTTATTTGGGTTGCCCATGTCAAGAGCCCGTATTGTATATCTAAAAGTGTACCCCTTCTTCGTGTATTGTGCTTCAATTCCAATGCAGACCAGACCAGACCAGTAATGCGACCTGCTACTGTCACACATATAAAGTTTTTCACCACGTCTTCTAAGCTTCCCAAACCAATAGGATTGAGGTTGGAGATGTTCGGGAATTCCCCCAATCACCGAATGAGGCAATTAGTGGCCCCAAGACGGACTAAAATCTCTCTAGGCAGGACTGTTGGTATGACGTCGCCCCAGACACGACGTGCAGCGCACCTTGCCAGTACCAAAACACGCTATCCTCCTCCTCTCTTTTGAAAGAGCTTCTGAGGATGCCGTGCAAGTTCGAGCCTGCTTTGAACTCTTGTAAAGGGTTTTGTGCTAGTCCCGAGCATGGCACCGCACCCAAAAAGCGGCCGTCCTCCCTCCTTACATTGTCATTCTGCCTCCTTATCTGTTTGATCAGTGCACATCTCGGAGGGAGGTCTCTTGCAAGGCTTTCCCCATTCTTTCAGCCAGTGAGTAACGACGACGAGCAGAGACGCAACGAGTTTCGCTGGGCCGACATCACACCGACCACAACCCTGCGGTACACGCCATGTTGGGATTCATTCCAATGTGCACGACTTTCCGTGCCCCTGGACTGGAATTCCACAATCGAAGAGCATAGAATCGGTCCATATGCTGCTATTGCTATCGTCAAGCTGCCTGCCAGGGTTCCCGTCACAGATGCCAGATATGGGGGCCCAGTCGTCTTGAACCCCGGCGGGCCAGGGGAGTCGGGAATCTATCAGGTTCTGTCAGACGCGCGACAACTACAGACCGTGTTGGACAGCCCGAGAGGTCCTGAAGAAATCACCAATCACGGTGAAGAGGCTGGGAAGTATTTTGACATCTTGTCCTTTGATCCCCGCGGTGTTAACAACACCACACCTGCGCTGAGGTGTTTCCCGGGTGCTTTCAATCAACAAACTTGGCTGTTGCGGTTCCCTGATATCGGTTTGCTATGGGACAGTGAAAGCCTGGTGGGTTTGGAGCGAGCTCGCGCGGCTGCCTTAGGAGCCAGCTGCTCGTCTGGAGGCGCTGAAGAGGATGTCCTTCCATACCTGAATACAGCACAGGTCGTAGAGGACATGGTGGAAATCATCGAGAGAGAGGGCCAGTGGAGGGCAGAAGAGGCGAGTAGACTGCTCGAAATAAACAATAGTCACAAGAATCAGTTAGGGCGGAACTTAAAGCTGGAGGTTCATCAACGCACCGCTTATCACCCCGGACAGGAAAAGCTACAGTTTTGGGGGATGAGCTATGGCACGGTATGAAAATCAGTCACCGAGATTTGCACAATTGTTGTTTCCTGCTACAAAATGAAGTCATGACATTCTGCTGGTCATGGAATAAAGCTAACTTCAAATTTCAAAGACTCTTGGCTCGACTTTCGCAGCTTTGCACCCCGACAGAGTGGCTCGGATTGTTCTTGACGGGAACATGGACCCAGCTGAACATTATCGTGGTGGCTTTGAGAAGTCACTGCAAGACGCAGACAAAGTCGTTACCCAGTACAGTACTTACTGCTTCGCTGCCGGCCCAGAGAAATGTCGTTTATTCAACGTAACTTCCCCAGACTCTATCGAAGCCCGATTCACATCCATCATGTCGTCGTTGAAGACAAACCCTATCGCAGTGTCGCTCCCCGGGAATCTGGGTCCGGAGGTTATTACCTTCGGGGACGTCCACCTCCTCCTTCTAACCTCGATCTTCTTCAGCTTCGCCTTCGCGGAACGCTTCTGGGACCTCCTCCCCATCCTCGAAGCCGGAAATGGCACTCATCCCGAAATGGTCGCCATGGCGTTGTGGAAGCAAGCGCGCCTTACGCCTGCCGCCCAGCTGGAGCCAGAATCCGACTGCAACTCCATCACTGGCGGAGGCGACCCGGACAGCTGCCTGCCTTACCACTCGTGGGCGGGCGCATTCAAAACTATAAGTTGCATGGACGTCGGTGGTGGGCCGACTCATCTGACCCGCGAGGCATTCGCCGCAGCGCGAAAAAGACTAGCTGCTCAGAGTCGCTGGGCCAGTCCCACTTGGTCACGCAATGTGCTATCATGCGAGGGCCTCACAGCGCAACCTGCTTGGCGCCCGAGTCTTGCATTCGAGAAGCAGGAATGGGCCAACACGTCACATCCGATTCTCTTCATCGGTAACTCGTATGACCCAGCGACACCACTCGCGAATGCTAAGAGGGTATCGGGGAAGCTATTCCCCGGCAGCATGGTACTACAGCAGGACTCGGAGGGCCATTGCTCGCACGCAAGCCCTTCTCTCTGCACTGCGAGCGCTGTCCGGGAGTATTTTCAGACAGGGAGGCTACCCCGGCCTGGAACAATTTGTCAACCGGAGGTGAAGCCATTCTTGGGGTGCGTGAGGAAGGGTGGCTGTAGGTTTGAAGGAGATGACGCCCGACTCTGGGAAGCTCTCGTCCAGCTGGCGGATCCGTTTGGGCTTACGAAGAGGGATGGAGTGGAAATAGACTTGTATGAGGACATCTGGAGGGCTACTGGCCGCATCGCCCGGAATTGAGCACAGGCTGGCAGGTTGGATTTTATCAGTCAGTCAGGAATACCAGAGCTACTCAGGGAAATCGGAGTCACGCAAGGTTAGAGGCTGCCGGAAACTCCGTGTAATAGGCCTGCAACTAGGTATATAGACCGCCAGCTCGTAAGCCGAAAATTATTATTTCGGATGTATCAAATGCCCAATTGCTGAGTGCTTGAACTGAAGAAATTGTCCGAGGTCAGATTGCATCAAAGCCGACAACTGCATAACCACCTCATTATTGTATCTTGGCCTAGCGGAGAGACTTCTTCTACTCATGCACCCGATCCCGACTATGTGTAGACTCCGGCCTTTGAATACCGATCTCATCTCCCGGGTTTGCAGAGTCAGTCGCTTGCCTCCTCGGCTCGCGGGAGCGCGGGCGCGGCCTGGAGCCATACACGCCCTGGCGCTCGAACGCATCGCCGCTCTTCCTGCGGGCCAGCCTGAACGTGGCATCGTAAGCATCCTTGGCCTCGCGATTCTGGAAGCGCATGGTGCGCGGGTCGGCCTTGAGGTAGTTGTGGTGGCGCACCTCCGGGTTGAAGGCTAGCGGGTCGCGCCGCAGCACCCGGGACGGCGGGACGAAGCCTTCGGCACGGTAGCGGACGTCGTTTGCCGCGGCGCGCACAGGAAGCAGGGCTGTGTCTCGATTCCGGTGGCTGCCCAACCTAAAGAGCTTGGCTATGGCGAAGAGAGGAAGCCATGCCCAGCATAGGAGGATAACGACTGAGATTCCTGCGATGAGGATGAAAGGTCCGAGTGAAATCATTTTGAGAGTTGTGTGTGTGTGTGGATGTGTATGCGACGTGGGTTTCAAGATAGATTTGTTCCGTTCTACTACTGTCAGTTTTCTTTTTTCAACTTTAATCATGTCGAATGAGGTCGTACTTGAGAATTTTCCAACGAGAATCGCCTACTTAATTGTCAGGAGTCTCTGACTTCGTTTTCTGCTTGCATCCGGTGCCAGAATCGTGGAAGAATGATATTAGAGAGATGATGAGATATATACGACAAGAAATATAGCAAAGTTGGTAAATTAGAAACAATTTGTTTTGCAAAATGTTGGCCGACTCGGAAGCTACCGTAGGGCGATTTAAGGCCGTCATGCTTAGACTTTGGCGAAAACCCAGTCCGCTTGAAGCACCCCTAAGACGACGGCGCTATGTAAGTGATCATGGGTCACGAGATAGAAATTAGCGTTCTAGAATGGCGGAGGCTTTGAGAGTGCGAAAACGTTGAACTTCACTGGCGTCGACATCAAGGTGCTCATGTTGATTTCACCATACTTACAGATGCTTCGTGTATTCTCATTTAGTTAAAGTGAACTAAGAATTGCTGAGATCATCCGAATGGGCGCGTGGAACTTAATCCTGAAGCTTCATCTCTCAGATAGCCTTGAATTTCCTCAAAAGGGTTGCTCTTGCACTTGGGGCAGGCGTTTCAGAGAGAGCTTTTAGGCGTCCTTGCTTCATTCAACTCTGCACGAACAGGAAGTTCAGCTTTTGCAGAATATTGATGGCTTTGCCGGTGATTATCGAAAAAGCTTTGACTGGAAAATGTTCCTGGAATGCGTAGGTGTACAAGCTTCAACCATGAAGGGCTGTTACTTCACACTACATAGGTAGAAGTGATGTTCTCGCTTGAGTGAGATTCGCAGATTACACTGTTCTGCTACATTATCCTCCAAAAAGGCGAAAAAGAGGACTACAGCCCACCTTGACTAGACGTGGCCTACAATAGCCTGCGACGCACCTGCAGCATGCAAAGAGAGTAACTCAGCAAACCACGTTTTCTCTCCGCCCATCTCGATGCCCCTTTATCAGCCATGCTTCCATCTCACGTCACTAGCCCACTAATACAGGACTATAGGATCCCTGGATTATCTTCGTGTCAAATGTGACCCATTGAGTAAAACTTGACGGAACAAGCTAGAAAAGACAACCAAGGTCTACTCTCATCTCTCACATATTAGTCCGTCCGTTCTCCCTTTCGATTTGTGTTGTATTACATAATATTCTGGATGTCATTTCTCTGGTATTTGGTGCTTTGGAAACACTCGCAAATTCTCTAGAGAATTCTCTTCCTGCCTCTTCCCCTGTCATCAGCACGGAGTGCAAGATGTGAACGCTACGCTTTTTCACACATTATTCAACTATCATCAGTTATTTCAGCATGTGCCAATCTTGAAGAGATTCTCAAGTCATGAATTCATGAATCAATATCTGTCAGAACCTCATTCTTCATCACTCGACCTCCTTTGTTCAAATGAATCAACGTTGACATTCTAGAGGTAAGCGTCCAAAGGGGCAAGTTATCCCAATGGAGGCTGTCCTCCAGTACCCCTTCCTGTAGAAGGTCTTTCTGTGAAGGGAAAAGTTCACAGCAGGCTGTCCTTCTGTCGATTGTCAGAAGATCGGCCTTCTGTCAATGGTGGCCAGCCGGTGACGTGAGCAGCCGTCCGACTGTCCGGACGGAAGCATTCCATATCGACAGGTCAAATCTGTCACTCTCCCACTTCACCATCATTACTCGTCGAGATTCCCAGAACTTCAAGAAAAACAAACAAATCTTATCATACAATCAAACTCGAACTAAGAGCCGGGCCCTAGTGGTCATCGCGCCGCTCCTTCTCCACCGTCTCCTCCTTGGGGGTGGGAAGCTCAGCAGGCTCAGTGCCAGCCGGGACGATCTCCACCTGCTGCGGGACAATGCCACCACTCGCGATCCGCTGCGTGCCGTAGTATCCATACGTCTGCTGCTGTTGCCACAGGAGCTCCGACATGTCCTCGGCGCTCGAGATCGAGTCGTGGTGTTCCTGCTGGCTGTCCTGGAGCTCCTGGCGCTTCTCTCGCCGCCGCTTGCGCAGACGGTCCACCGAGACGACCGCGAGGCCCACTGCCGCGATGAATCCGAAAATGGATCCGAGGATGATGACGGCCTTGTTAGGCTCGGGGTCATTGGTGTAATCCGGCTCGGCCTTGGCAGGCGCGATGGCGGACGGGTAGATCGCGGTTGAGGCGTCTGGGTCATCGGAGAGCGTGATGTACACTGTCTGCTGTCCAGGTACTGGGTCAGGTACATCTGTAGGGTCAGGTGCCACCACCTGTCCACCGGGCTCATCGACTTTAGTCTGGACGAACTTCATTGTGATGGTGACTTGTTCTTCCAGGCTCGGGGCGGGGGCCGAAAAGGGAGTGGGATTGGTCGTGTCAATGGCGCTGATCATTCCAGGCTGCTCTGTATCAGTCGTAGGTGTATCATGCTCCTGATACAAACTGGGACTGAAAGGCGCTATGATCTTGACGGTCGGGATGGGATCAAGATCCTTTAACTTTGCAGTTTTGATGCCCTGGGAGTGGCAAGAGTACGTCGCGTCTACGCCTTTGTCATGAAGGGAGCAGTCCGACGGAGTTGTACTGTGTGACAAGTCAGTATGTAATGTTGAAAGCTTCAATGTTTCCACTTACCAGGTGAGTGTGAGCTCTTTCGGAGGGGCGTCGGTGATCATGCAGCCTGAAGCGCAGCGGTCATCATCAATGCACACAGGCATTTCAACGATCGAAGTTGCTGGTGGGTGATCCTCGACAGCGTTGAAACCCTCATCGTACAGGGTTCCTGTAGCATTCATGATATTGGACAAGTTGCTGATGTATCGGTGCGGACCGAGAGCGGGCATTCCTATGGGCTTCGCGGCGACTGAGAAAAAGCCCAAGCCGACCCAGATGGCAACCCAGAGGAACTTGTGGAATGGTGCGCTCGAGGCCATTTTGATGTTGGAAAGGGAGGGAATTAAGGTCTCAAAGAAAGTTGCAAACCGACGGAGGATGATTTGAGCGATCTGCCAGGTTGCAAACGTCAACGGATGAGTACCCTCTACCTCTCTTGTCGGTGACTTCAAAGCTTGATGTGAAGCACAATCGAGAGGCGACCGTGAGCACTTGGCGAATGAGAAGGAGGTGAGGCGAGACTAGAACTTGTCTTCAGCAAAATCCCCACGCAACCGAACATTGTAAAGCTCACCAGAGATAGCGGGGCTCAAAGGCTGGCGGAGTTTTGAAGGCAGCCAGACCCTTTCCTGTGCGTGGTTCCACAGATTGTTGCTGCGTGCAGGGCAAGATGTTTCAAGGCAGCCGGAGCTACGATGCCCTCTAATTTCGTTGTTGCCAGGACCAGTGTTCGGAGAGGGGAGGCAGCGATTGAGGCTTCCAATTCCAGCAGATTCTCTTAAAGAATCAACAGGCTACTTATTAGGGAATACGTGGTTTCTTCCCGCCTTTGCAACAATTGCGTGTCAAAACAGAAAGCATTTCGTCCCATGCAAGTTTAACTCAAGGTCAATTTTCTGGCTTCGTGCAGCTAAAAGCCCTCGCCATACAAATTGTACGGAGCGACTTTAAGAGTGTGGATGCTGCAGTGTCAATGACTCCCACTGCGAGCATATCTACATGAAACTGCTCACAGCCCAAGTGAACGACGAGCTTTTCCATTGCTCTATGCTTTTTACTGCAATTTAACATCCTTCTTGCTCCGTTCTAACTAGGATTTCAAAATTCGGGGTATCATCAGGCTCATCCGTATCAAAGCATCCCCTGAAAATGGACCTGGGCAGCATGAGCTGTGACTTTGACTAGTGAGTATAAAAGGGTATAGACAATGGTCGGGGAACTTTTCTCGCTTGCCTCGTTGAGCTTCGTGCTCTAAGTAAGATTCTCTCAGGCTCGTCAATATGTCCAGTCCCTTCTTACGAATTATCTAAGACCTATCCTCGAGGACTTCAGCATCATGCAAGATACCTTAGTATTCAAATACAAGAAACTGTGGAGATATGTAAGCACGAGGACGCTGAAGTTTATGCCCTGCGACAAATTCCGCTCTTGACCCCGAAAAGTTTTGTTCGACATGAAAACGTTGATTGTATGTAAACGACGTATATCACTTCATCATCTATATGAGTATCTCCTGCGATGCTGGGAGAAATATAAACATAGACCTTTAGCCATCAGAGAGATCTATAAAGCAACAGAACGAAACCCTCTGACAGGTGCCGTTACTGTCACTCAACCCCTGCTGGCTCTCACGTATTCACTCCTTTGACCTTCATCTCCGCTACAAAGCCTCTTCGGCATGCGTCACAAGCTATAATATAATGCTGGAATTACACAAGCCCTCGCGATCATGGTGACAACATATCTCGCTGGTCAGGTCGGTCGTGTCCCACCGGTAGCTCGGAAAGTTCTCGCCACTGGACAGGGGCTGGGAGCCCGGAAATAAAAGATGCTTCCCTACACACTGTCGCTCGTCAAGCAGACCCACAAACGCGCCTAGGTAACCAACAAGCGCTGTCTGCTTAGACGTACAAATGGCCAATATGTAAAGGAGCGCATCCTCTCGGAGTGTCTATGGGGTTCGGTGTTGATCGCTATTAAAGAAGTGAATCCTGGGATTGGCTACAAAGTGAATTGAAAGTGGACTAGACCCATCAGAATGACTGGTCACATACTTACTGACCTCAGTCAGTCATAGACTTATCGCAGGGTGCAATCCTGCGCCACTGGGTACAGCCAACCCGCATTGATTGCGTGATGCTAATGTCACGAAGAAAGGCCATCCATGGTTCTCTCGATCGGGATCCTGAGAGCAAAGGAGTGGTCGAGTCTCGTTGCCTGTTTCTTCAACTTGCAGGCTTCGCAGTCTTACAGCAGCGAGCAGCGATTCATGACCATTTTGCTGCAAGATGCGCCTCAGGCTTATTGTAGGCGGACAAGTCGCCATACTGTCACTCCTTGTCGTGCTGGCGCTCTGGTATCGCGACTCACTAGAAGAAAAGTTCAAGCCAATACAAAAATTCTTCCCTGTCACAGGTGAGCCGACCGTCTTTGTTCAGCCTGCCTGGCTACCTTTTCTGCTGTGGATGAGGTTGACTGACTGCATTGCCAAGGCGAAGTCGCGCAAACCCCAGCCAACGCGTCACATCCTGCAGCACCTTCACAGCAGGCCTCTGTGGACACACCAGACAAGGAGCTGACATCCATCGACGACGAAGGTCTGGAAGGCGGACGTGTGGGAGAGGTTGAAGTCTCAGCGACCAAGACGTTGGAGAATGTGGATGATTACGTACGGGCCATTTTTGATCCAGCCGATGCGACCTTTCAGCGGCTCGAGTGCCCTGTGCCGCCGCCTCCAGTCTTGGCACGCTATGAAACATTGAGACCTCCAGCCGACTCACCTCACAAGTTCATCAGCTATTTCTTCGCGCTGGACTTGACTCAGGTCGTCGATCTCTTGCCTCGTCTCATCGGAAGCATCGTGGAGACCATCCGCTTCCTGGGCCCCGAGAACTGCGCGCTCTCGATCGTCGAGGGCAACAGCGACGATGGCACCGCCGAAGTCCTCGACTCAATCCGCCCAGAGCTTGATGCACTGGGCATTGCCCGCTACTTCTTCGAGACCAGCAGTATCAATCCCAAGGAGGGCGACAACCAACGCATAACCAGATTGGCCGAGCTGAGGAACCTTGCGTTGCAGCCCATGCTGGACAATATCCGCTCCTATTCGGAAGACACAACCATCGTCTTCCTAAACGATGTGGCCATATGCATGGAAGACATACTCGAGCTAACCTATCAACGACGCCATCTTGGTGCTGACATGACTTGTGCGATGGACTGGACCTACGTCGGACGAAATCCCACCTTCTACGACGTCTGGATCTCGAGGACGATGAGCGGTGAATCCTTCTTCAGAATCCCAGAGGATAGGAGCTGGGACGAGGCTTGGAATCTGTTTTGGAACGATCATGAAACCAAAAGTCGATACAGCTCCCACCTGCCTTTCCAGGTCTTCAGCTGCTGGAACGGTGCAGTTACCTTCTCGGCAGACCCAATTCTGAATGGGGATGTGGTTTTCAGGAGTAACAACCCGGGAGAATGCTTCCAAGGGGAGCCAGAGCTATTCTGCAAAGACCTGTGGTACAAAGGCTGGGGCAAGATTGCCGTCGTTCCCACTGTGAACCTCGAGTACTCGGATGAGCAGGGCAAGGCGCTCAAAGCCCTCAAAGGATACACCTCGAAATGGGCCGGACCGGAACAAGACGAGAGATCCAAGATTGAGTGGCAACGGGATCCGCCGCAACAGGTGAAATGCATGGAGATCATGGAGCAGCCAGTGTGGAAGCCATGGGACGAGACACTGATCACGTCGTGGTCGATGAAAGCCAGGAGATCGAACCGCAAGCATCAAAGACGCTAAATTCCGAATGGACAAAGAATCGAAGGCCACGCAGCAATGATGCACTTACTTTTTCCACTTGCGCACAGGCAGTCAGAGGTTCCCAACCGCCACGGGGCGTCCTTGACAGATGCATCAGGCCGAAAAGAGACTCTACGCAGGGCCATCTGCGCGCGGCTAGCAGCCACGTGTGGGCTGCCAGATACGATGATGTGGGCATCCGAAAATATCTCCGAAGCGCGGTTCGTTCTGGAATAGAATTTAATTACTTTCGATGTTCACACCACCTCCGAGGTTGTTGGTTGAATAATCTTGATGACCAAGACTAAACAAACGGGGTGCAGCGCGTTATGCGAGAGGCTGGACAAGGCCGCCCCCTGTCAGTTGGGCAGCTCTGCGCGAGTCTCCAGCCTAGGCAAAACAGAACACCACCAACGGGTTGGGCCACAACAACGATAGGGCAGCGATTAATGAGAGCCTGATATCATTTGGAATTTGCGTTCACTTCTCGGATTGGAAGGTCACCTGAGCTTTTCGGGCCAATAGCTGGAACCACCGCCCGGCTTCCGGGTGCGTGGCGGGACGCTTCCAGAAACGTGCAGCAGAAAGTGCACGACCTCAGCCTTCAGACTAGTGACGACTGTCCGGTCTTGGGAGACTCATTTGTTTGGTGCGCCGTTGGGTGCAACTCAGGGTGCTGTTTGCCATGAGTGGCTTTGGCAAGCAAGTGCCTGCGAGATGACAGCTCGGAAAAGCAAAGCAGGGCGCAGCACAGCACAGCACAACACGAGCACACATTCATCACTCCTCAACGGCGCACAGCGCGCGCCCTCTTAGCCACAGACGGGCCTCATTTGCCGTCGGCAAAAGGCAGCGAAGTGAGGCAGTTTCCAGAAGCCGTGTGTGCCTGTCACACCACTGCGCGACATTTGATAGTCGGCGGCGGTATTAAGTGCGTCACGCTGCCCTGGGGATCCACAGGCCCGGTAAGCTTTCCTTGGGCACCCATCTCCCGTTGCGGGCAGACTGTCAGGGAATGGCCCTGATGACCGGCACCTGCAACGTGCTCGGCGTGTCAAACGCAAGAACCCACTCGTGTGCTTCTCTCCCTGACAATTGATAAACGTCCGATTCCCCCCTGGCTCCTCTCTCGATCTTGCTATGGATCCTTTCCCCACGCTCTGTTCTCATTGGTTACGACCTGCCCTTGCCTCTCATCTGTGCGATAGGCTTTCATCTTAAGATGTCATCGTACTACACGGAAAAGCATCGTCACTCAAGGCGACGTGAACATCCCGTCGCGGGGACGGTGATGCGCCGGGTGGAAGTGAGGAGACCGTCAGTGGAGAAGTCTCCACCACCGGCTTCTGCGCCGCCCTCAGCCAAGGAACCCGCCAAGGAGCCTCCCAAGGAACCAGCAAAGGAGGAACCTAAGGAGGAAGCCAAGGAGACATCCAAGGAGAAAGAAGCGGCCTCGCCACCAGCGCCGGAATGGTCCAAGTGGGAGCCTATTGAAGGCGCCGGATGGGACGGTCACTGGAGGGCAAAGGCTGGGGAAGATGGTAAGTGGCGTCTCTGGATCAATCATAGAGATGCATATCGCTGACTGAAGACCAGGTGGATGGGTGTATCAGTTTACCAAGGACTTCTCAACAATCTGGGAGCAAAGGCCCGTAGAGGCCGCTCCTCCGACCAAGGCGTCGTCGGCGTCGGCGTCGACAGCTGCCTCGGCACCTCCAGCTGGTGAGCCAGTGCTATTTGAAGAGACCGCTGCTCTTGCTGCTGCTGCTACTGCGATTCAACCCCCCGAGCAGCCGCCGCCATCCACCAACTATGTGGCTGGGAGCGGCTGCGCCTGCGCGTTATGTTATTACGATGCTGCTGCTGCTTTGCATTCGCTGCCAAATGACGTTGCCAACCTAACAGTCAGTGGGAATAGAGACGTCAGCCGCCACCAACACACACAAGCAACAACAACAACCAAAAGCCCTTCCGCCACCCCCGCCGAGCAAGGCCTCGTCGCCGCCGGCCAAGCAGGCTACCCAACCGCCGCCGCCGCCGCCGGCCCATCACAAGAAGGCGCCCACCGTCACAGTCCAGGCTCTACCTCCGCCGCCCGCTCCAGAGGCAGCAAAAAGAGTAGTCGCCACCACTATCACGCTTCCCACAAATCCTCCCATCACCGTCCCCATGGTGCCGACACGGCCACTCGTCATCCGAAGGAAATTGGCGATGTCGTGAGCGCCGAGAAGGAGAAGAAGTATGACCCGCAGAAGATCGTAGACAACTGGGTATGGGAGTGGGGCTATGGTGCTTGAATGAGTCTTGTTGAGAATTCCCCGGGTGAGCAACGGATGGGTTCGTTCCCGTCGGCTGATGGGGTCATGCTTGGGGTGATATGTGAGATGTGAGCATGCGCGAGCTTGTTTGTCTCAGCGATCTCGCACTCAAGATTTGGGTGATTTTGTCTGTACATTTCGCCAATCCAGTCAAACCTCTCTCTCCGTCGTTTGTTCATTAAGCCTGAATTTCCGTGGCTGCTAATTCTCAGGCTGGTCATGACACACGTTCTTGGTCGTTTCCGCGGCCCACGGTCCCCTTTGTGTAACAGCCTCGTGGAACTCTGCCGGCCTCTTGTCGAATTTCTTTGTTTACATTACCCAATTGGGCCGGATGTCATATTTTCAACCACTGGAATACCCTGGATAATTTCCGTTCCGTCCAACTGTCCTGCTGGATCTCCCGTCTCCCAGGCGGCAGAGCCAATCTCTATGGCACAACAGTCCACCGAACCGGCTCATTTCCTTTTCAAGATGCGGGTATTTTGTTGAAGTACACGCTTCGAGGGCCTTCCCGGCTCCTTAAATAGACATCACTACAGTATGCCTAACATTGCGCTGGTCTCTGTGGCGTTCTGCCTCGTTCTTTACACCAAGAGCTCCTTAGCCAAATTACTGGCTCTTCATTGCTATGTCACAACGTTTCAGGCCAACCTATACGTTGCTTCATTTCCAATCCTTCCACGACATCTGCTTAGCGAAGTTGACCATGTATCCTCGGTATACCAATGTCACGCCCTACTCCTCTCCTGTGGAGTCTCCGCTCTCGTCCTTCACCGTCTTCAGTCCTACCTGTGTCACTGAGTATGTCGGGCATCAAATTCACGAGACTGGGTTGTCTGAGACACCCTCCGCGAGCCTTACAATGAATCCAAGTCGCGTCTTTGTCTCTGTAACAGCTAGAGATCTTGCAGCAGCCTTCACAAACGTTCCAGCCATCTCTGTAAGAGAGGCAAGGTCAAGCCCGACGACCTCGAAAGCAAGACCCGAGTCTCTAGTCAAATCTGGTCTGGAAGATGTGTCTAGCTTAGGCAGCCTCGACAACGAACTCAACTCATCTCAGGGATCAACGGTCATAGCGATAGCTCCCTATGCCCCCCACGCGAGCACAAGCAGCACCACTCAGCCATCTCCCTTCTCAAGCATTTCGAAGACAGCGCCAACGCTGGTCGCAAAAACCTCGCCGCCCAGTACGAAATCAGCCAGAACAACTGGTATAATCATAGGCAGTGTGTTTGGTGGGCTAGCTCTGCTCCTGATGGTCACTCTGGCGGTTGTCTACGTAGCCTGGCGCAGGCGGCACATGCGACGAGACGAGACCGGCACAGAGGAAGCAGGCCAGCGACGCTCCAAAGAAGTCACGGACGGACCAAGCAACATCTCAGGGAAACCGAAACCATCAACGGACGACGCTACGGCCCAGTCTCTCCATACAGCCGCATCTATCACTCTCCGGTCACAGCCCATCATCGTCGACGCCACCTCCCCCATATCCCCCATCCTCCCACACCTATCTCGCTGGACCTCGGAAAAGGCAGACATCCTCTCGCCGGTGGGCCACCCTGCCATCCCGCCACACCTGCAAAATCACCCCCTCTTCGCCACCACAGCCCAGGACCAGTACCATCAGGACGGCCCGCAGGACCGTCCCAGCCACAGCTACCAACACGACGGCGACCGCCCCGGCTCTTCATCCGCTGCCGCCGCCCTCGCCCCCGAGCCGCCCAGCTTCCTCTTCGACAGCCTGTCGTCGCGGTCGAGCAGGCGCTCCTCAACGCATGACAGCTCGGCGCCGCGCACGGCCCTGAGCATGCCGCCGCGCCGCCGGCACACGAAGGCCGGCGGGCAGGGCGGCGAACACGGTGCCAGGTCGAGACGAGGCTCGACGTCGTCTGCATCTGGTGGAGGAGGCGGTTTGGAGGGTCTTACGAGGCCGCATACGCCGCCTCCGCCACTGCCTGTGAGGAGCGCTGCGAGGAGCAGGAGCTTGCATTGTGCTGAGGGGCCGGGAACGTGGATCTGACGACGCCGGGTGATTGAGGGTGGGCGTACATCTGAGTGCTCTAGCTCTTGCCTTGAAGCCTGAGTTATTAACGATTGTATTCTCTAAAAAAATATTGGATATTATTTATCATTACGCTGGTATCACATAAAATCATTACTGAACCGTAGTACGTCTACACCGCCCACTCCATCGCAACACCTCATCCAAGGCTCACTGCGTTGGTTGTGATGGTATCGCCCCAGATTTGCCACCTTTCTTCCACATCCGCTTTGTGATGAAGCCTTGTCCTCCAACTGCAACCGCCTCGAGTGTGGTTACAGGCGGGTTCATTGCATCCTGCGAGTCGGACGACGCCGCATGGGCTGTCGCCGTTTCGCTTGCACCTCCACGCTCATCAGCGACGTCGGTCTCGCCACCTTCCGTTCGCGTCGTGTGCTCGTCGGCAGGTGGCGAGTATGCCGGCGCAGCGTTCTCCGGTGCGGATGTGTCCCGCTGTGTGGCTCCCGACTGTGCCCTTTGTTCTTCTCTGGTGCTCGGTTCCTCGCCCCGCGGCGCATACGGCGGCGGCAGTGTCGTCGCCTCGATATCGTGGTCTCCGCGTGGGGCAGTCGAGCCGATCAGGCCGTCAATCTGACGGAGCTGCCTCTCAGCCTTCTTGCTCAGCCTGGCTGGCCCTAGCGTGCCCGTCTCGCGGGGCACGAGGAACACGTCCAGCGCCGACAGCTGGGCGCCAACGCGGGCCATTGCCAGGGCGTCGAGGGTCTTGGTCCATACGGGGCTGCTGTAGATGTAGATGAGGAGCAGGACGATACCGACGACCTGCAGGGCAAGGATGATGGATACAAAGATGATTGAACCCAAGTTGATCACGGGTACAAGCATGCTGTCATCGTTCTCTTCTTGTTGGTATTTGAGATCGCGAGACACATACGAAACTGCCATTGCCTGCGAGAGTAAGGCATCGTTCGCATAGAAAGTCGCTGTGTTGAGGAAGGCCCTGGCCAGCCTAGGCTGGGCGAATGGTGTAAAGAAGTTCCGGATAGAATTTGCGTAGAGATAAGAGTTTTCCGAGTACCTCGTCGCCGACTGGTACGTGTCCCAATCACAACCGACGCCATAATTGTAATTGAACGTGTCGATGTTGCCAAGGGGCTGCAGTCCACAGAGCATGACCAGCGCAGCAGCAGCAGTCGCATTAGTCGCATCTTCCTGTGCCATGACAAGTCCGAGCGTGTCAAGCCAGCTATCGTTCCCGAACATGGCCATTGTTGCCGACTTCAGGGGGCCTTCATAGCTTGCAAACGGAACGTCTGGGTACGTGAGGTCCCACTTGTCTCCCGGGCGAGGAATATCGAAATCCGCGGGCATCTCGTCGAGAAATCGAGACGGCGTCCCCTTGGTCTTGGCACTCCCTACCTCGAAATAACTGAGCGCAGTTTCGGACTGGCAGTGAAAATAAAGGCCAGCGTCGGTTCCCATGTACGGGCAGTTAGACCCGCCCCAACTATCCTCTCCACATCCCCAGCGCGAAGAATTGTCCGTGAGGCCAATGTAAAGGTGTTCAGTGAAGTTGATCGGCTTCCATGGAGACGCATCAGCATCCTGCCATGGTTCTTTATCGAGCTCCGGGTAGCATATGTCAAGGTGTAGCTCGTCTGCGATGTCTAGACTTGTTTGCCAGCCGAGAGCCGCAGAAATCGAATCCTCAGTGGTGCCAGTAGATCGGAGGCATTGGGTCTCGATATCTTGGGCAGAAACTGCTTCGCATTTTACGCCGCTCTTCAAGCCGAGTGTATAGGCTCCGAGATCATTATCTTTGTAAACCCCTATCGATGATCCGGCCTTGAAGGTCGAGGCATGCATCAAAGCTGAGCCATTGGTCTCGTAAGGATGAGAACCCGAGATAAACTTTTCCCAGTACTCCTCCCAGAAATTGCTGAGGGTACTCTGTGAAATGTCGTACGGCCCGTACTTGAAGCCGCAAGTGCTGTCAGGCTTGTCGTCGTTGCACACAGGCCACAGGTTCAGCTCGATCCCTCCTGTACTTTTCCTCAGTTTATCGCGCGTGTCGGTAATTACTTCGAGCTGACGGCCTGAAGACGGCAAACTCAAAGCCGCGGGGCTTGGAGTGTAGCCGAGAAAGTCGCCACCGAGGTTGTCGTACTGCGCCGGGAGGTGTAATGATACAGGGACGTTGTCGTAGGTCACGACACCCGACCGGACAAGAGGCAAGAGAATCGCTACAAAAAGCAGGACGAAGCCAAACCACAAGAAGTCTGACGACCCAGACAGAACCTTGTGGAAGTTATACCAGTCGCGATCGGCGAGCGCAAAGAGTTGAGCAGCGGTGAGGGTCTGGCCGGGCTTCCGGCGCTGCGAGAAGACGACAGCGGCACGAGCCAGCAGCGCACTGAGGATTGGCAGCGACAGGCCGACAGCGAGTGAGTTGAGGACATTAATGGCGATGTTCCAGCCGTCCTGGACATAGTATCTATAGTTGTGGCGATAAGTCTGGACAATGAAGGACGGCTGGCTCGCGATTTTGCAGGTCAACGCCCATGGGATAACGAGCAAAGAGAGATAAAAGACTGCCAGGATGAGAGGGAAGCGGGACTGCGACAGTACAGTCTGCTTGTCCTGAGCCCCAGGCTGTGGTCGAACGGCGGTCATGTTTTTGCGCGACCAGCCGGTTAGTACTCATCGATTACCGGTAGCTAATCAAGAGGGAAAACATGACACGATCAAGAGCACGGAGCCCAGGAAGGGATCTTCTGGGAATTTGATGGTCTGTCATTTTCAATGATCTTTCCTTTCTTCCACTTACGATGTCTGGGCATGGTGAATTCGGATTGAGGAATCCGCGATGGAAGCTTGGCTGTCCCGATGAGGTCTGGTGAATGTGAATGGGCGCCTGCAGCCACAGGGGGGTCACCCGGGCAGGGTCGAGATATTAGCCATGCTGGACCTATGGCTGGTCGGCTTGAAGAGCCGAATAGGCCCGCATTAGGCAGCTCTGAATAGGTCTGACAGGAAAAGAGGATCAATTGGCTCCCCAGTGAGTCAGCAGACTCTCAACTGCCCACTTGTCATCCTATTGCCGAGGCCTAGGAAGCCTGGTGCCACCTCGTCGAATCCTACAGCCAGACTTTGCGGCAGTCATCAATACACAGCCTGCCTGCTCTGCCAGTCCTGCACGCAGAGAGAGGCGAAGCAAGAAGGCCTGGACGAACTGCAAGATAACAGATTGTGACCCCTTGCATACATTCCATGGGTCAAGGATCAAGAGATTGCGCGCTCTTGGCATACTTCGCCTTCAACTGTCAGCAGCGGAATCGCACGCCACGGGGGACAACGGCCTGTTGAAAGATAACAAAACTAATGTCGGGCAGGAAGGAGGGCAACAACAGATGAAAAGGGCGGCTAGCGATCATCGCGAACCTGAAATAAGCCACTCCTAAAGGGGAGCGTTTCGTGAGAATTCCCGGGATCAAATGATCCTTGATGTGAGTATTCATGCATCACTTTGTCAGAGTCGTGTCCGATGCTGGAGCTGGACGAGAGAAAAATAGTTCTTCAGTTTCGGAGCGACAGAGCTCGAGTTTGTAGATATACAACAGTTTGTGAAGCACAGTAGAGGACATTCTAATTATACCCGCCCCACTGCCAGCTGTGCTTTTCGTTTCTTGGCTTTGTGAGTGGACCCTGAAGTCTTACCCAGTCATGGCTGGCAAAGAATGTACACGTATAGAATTATATGTGTCTGATCAAGCTGGAGCCTCTATCATTGGTAAGACCCTGAGCCACATCGAGAGGAAAGACAACGCGTCGCTTGTCAGAAAGTTGGCGGGCTCGACCCCTTAATCAATTAACCCCTGTGGCTCTCGCCGAAATTCTCTGTATCGGCGGATTTAGAACCCCCTTGCCCACTTCCCGAGGCGAGGGAACAGTGTAAGACCATTGGTCAGGCTCAGCCTTACAAGGTCCCCCACGGCGATCCCCCGAGCTTCGACGGTGACGTCCCCAGATGAGAACTCGCACGCACGTCCACGTGGAGTCCAGACCGGATCCACGAGCGTGCCAGTCTCAAATGTAGGTTTTCGGTCGTTTACACGATATGCAATATAACAAGCTCAGAAATTTTGAGAAGTTGTTTGGATCAGGGATGGTCGTTCCCGGATTGCTGTGTTGGCGACACTTCATGCCACTCACCAAGCTGCCATCTGAATCTGTCACTCTGGGACCGACTCAGATCGATCAATAAGCTCCCGACGTCCTCCCATCCGCCGGGACCATCGGATCGGTGGGCGGACCACCAAGATCGATCTCTCCCATGCCTACTCAGAGCGGGCCCCCACCACCAGCGCCTCGGCATCGAGAGCTTGACATCCCAGACAGACCGGGTTTACCTTGGCAGCGCAGCAGTCGCGAACGCCGAATGTTGGCTCCCCTGGGACCCAGCCGCCTCATCGAGCCCCGCGCCGCGTGCTGTGCAGTGATGAAGGCTTTCGCAGGACTCAGCCTTGCAGACGCCGTTGACGCGAGCTCCGCTCCCGTTAAGCGCATAGGAGGCGATGCTCGAGGTGGTGAGGATGCTATTTGTGAGGACAATTGTACCTGAATCGGGGCATACGTACATCCCGGCTGAATAGTCGTAGTGTACCAGAGGACACCACCAAGTATGTGGAAGTGAACTTTTTAGATGCTGGGATTCGTCGGGGGGTATCTACGCAAATAGAATAGTCTTCGCGAACCTCCCTATCGACTTCGGCCTCAGTCAGAGATATAAGAAAGCAAGGCCTCTCATCTCTTCATCACTCAAATCCAACCATCCCTCATTCAATATAGCATCCTCTCATTATCAGTCACTGTCAAGGCCAGGCATAGAAACGAAGCCCACCCTGAGCAAAAAGTCTACTTCCAACACATCACAGTCACTCATTCAAACAAACATACTCCCACAAGAAACACGGAATATACTCCAACAAAAACATCAAATACTCTACAGACCCTCAAAATGAAGTCCTTCGCCGCCACAGCAACAACCCTCCTCGCCCTGGCCTCCAGCGCCGCGGCAAACACCTGGACCCTCTACTGCGGCGACTCGTGCAGCGACGGCACAGCCATCGAGACGGGTGCCAACTTCACGGGAGCGGCGTGTACGAACCTCACTTCTGAGTACGAGTACTGCTACTTCACTGCCGACAAGGCTTGGTACTACGCCGTTGCCTTCCAGGAGTCCGACTGCGTCGTCAGCAGCGACGCGCCCCGGACGGTGCTGTCCCCCGGCGAGTGCACCGATTCCGGCGCCTTTGAGTCTTACATTGTCGTGGTGGATGTCTAAGCGGGTGATGAGAAAAGGGGGGCAGAGTGAAAAAGCAACTTAAAAAAAGGGACGCGTACTTCGCGGTGGAGTGGGCCGGGATGGCTGGTGGGTTTCCTAGAATTGTTTTCCGACTAGACTTGTGTACATGTGGGATTCATGGTCAGATTAGATTCACCATGCGGCTGGGTCATTCATGTAGCTAGGGGCAATATGGCGTCGGATCTCAGGGTTCAGATTTGTACAATATACTTTCTGGGGCTTTCCTGTACAATCAATCATACTTGTCTTATGCCCTTGTAGACCACTGTGACGTACTTGACTGTGAGTGACAAGTTGTCAAAGTTATGATAAATTATTGCAAAGCTGGGATATATGTCTACGGGCCCCCACCCCCCCCCCCCAGCTCATCCGCCGCGACGATGAAGTTAAATAAACGGTTTTTATTATGGGCTGCCAATCGAGCCTGTTTTCTGAGACGCGACAACTTCACTCATCTCCGGACCCTAACGATGTCGGCCTAGTAAAGCGTTTCAGAAACCAAGTTGTACCATCAGACTGGGCAATCCTTCACTCCGTTCCTTAGTTTCGAGAATTGCCAGGCGAGACGACCTTGTACGACAGCCAAGGGTTGTCAGAGAGGCTGGTGTAGCAGGACTCAACGTTGCCCTTGTTAGGGGTGGAGGTGCAATCGTCTGTGGTATAGAAAGCAACTTCATAGCAGGGGTAAAGTGTCAGTCGGCAATGGTTCTACATCTCGAGGTTCTTGCCCTCGGATTCAAAACTCGGCGCATCTGTCCGACTTACAGTCATATCCAGTAGACTCAAGGTACGAGTAAGAAACAATCCAGTATTCCTGAGAGAAGGGGATACACTGATCCAATGCAAGGGGACCAACACCGATCGTGACAGTCGGCTCATCTGTAGTACAGTCCGCCGTTTTGTCGTCGAAGACCTTGAGTATGGCCACGTCGCCGTCGAACTGGCGCTTCTGGACGACCCCAGCGCTGGCGAGAGCTAGGGAAGCAGCGAAGGAGAAGAGGGTAGTGAACTGCATTTTGGAATGAGTATGAATATTATGAGGCTGTCTTGTTTAGTTGTTGCGGCTGATGTGAGGAAGTTAGCGTGCTGTTGATATCCTGTACAAGACGAGATAGAAGCTCGGGCAGTGCGTATTTATACACAGATGCTCATCACTCAACATCTTTGCATCCTCCAGACATCATGAAGACATCGTCATATTTGACACATTGCTTAGCATTGTGACGGATTGATGTCCAGCGGGTCACAAATCCTTCCTCGGACTCACAAGTTCAACAGGCGAGGAGAAGCCGACCAACGAGACAGTGTGTTGATGGTCGTAGGAGATGCATTGACGCTCTCGGTCGAGCTTCTGTGGCACGAGAAGGGGCAGGATCACCCGAATTTCATACTCAAGGCGCTCAGAGAGTCGGAGTCCATGTCCACCGCCCCACGCATCGCAGGTACCGGTGAATCCGTATCCCCTCATGATGCTCCGAATGCTGTTGCCTGGATGCCATCCACAGCAATACGAGGCCGGCGAGTCTGCACAACATCACGGCAAGAAGCCGTCAACAAAACCAGTGAAAAGGTAAGAAATTGACGCATGTGTCAAATTTTCATTTCTTCTTCTTCCTGTTCTCTTTTTCGGACAGGAAAAGGGGTGTCGGGCGGCTCAGGGGTAGTTTCCATAGCAAGTTTTCGGCTTCACATAGACATTCGAGAACGTACAGTACTGCAAATGCAACATAAGGAGCATATGGGTGCACAATCAATGAATTCTTCATTTATAATGGCATTGCGATAAGTTGGCTATGACAGGCTGCAGCCATTGTCAGGGGGAGGTATGGGGGAGTAAAGGGGAGCTCAAGGAGGCTATGCAGTGACGGCTGCAGGTACCGCGGCGCCTCTCGGCCCGGAAAATCCTGCAGCGCCGGGGCTCCAATGCCTGCCTGCCGGCCTCTGCAGCAGCATCGCATCTCAGCCTCGAGCTCCGCCAGGTTGCGAGCGCGCTCTCCCAAGCTTTGCGACGCGGCAAGCTCCCACCCAATTCGAGTCCCACCACCGATCAGCCCGACGACTTCCCTCCAGCCACTCAAAGACAAGCCTGATCATGACGTCCACAATCGGCATCCCCATCAAGCTTCTCAATGAGGCCCAGGGTCACATCATCACCCTGGAGCTCGACTCGGGCACCACCTACCGCGGCAAGTTGATCGAAGGTACGGCGTCGCCCCCTCTCTCTCACTTCCCTACATTCTCGTGTCGAAGCCATGCTTACCCACACCTACAATAGCCGAGGACAACATGAACATCCAGCTCAAAGACATCACCGTGACGGCGCGCGACGGCCGTGTCAGCCATCTGGAACAGGTCTACATCCGCGGCAGCCACGTGCGCTTCTTCATCGTGCCAGACATGCTGCGGTATGCCGAACCCCTAACCGCCCAGAATAAGAACCCCACCAGCAGCAGCAAAAACTCAGTAGCTAACGTACGCACCCGCGTCTCTAGGAATGCGCCCATGTTCAAGAGTCGGAACGCCCGCGGCCGTGGTGTCGGTTTGGCAAGAGGTCGTGCGACGGTCAGCAGGGCCAGGGCGAGCGGCCGTGGTGGAAGATAGAAGATGGCCTTCGACTTGTTACTCGAGGGCGAGAAGGCGACGACGAAGGCAAGGCCCATTTCGGAGGAGGTCTGATACCAAGCGACACTCCCATGTCGAAAGATTGCAGGGATGGGAGACAACACGGCCGATATGGACCAAAAAAAAAAAAAAAAGAGACCACCGTTGGAATGCTCGCGACGGGCTCTTTCGAGTGGTACAATCAGTGCGCAATTCACTGAAAAGAGGTACCCATATTGGGAAGATGATGGGAGCATTTGATGGCGTTGAATAACTCGCTTAGATATCTGAGACTGGGCAAGGGACAGCGGGCGCTTACACGGGCGGAGAGAGGGACCAGACGTCGCAGAGATCTCAAAAGGCTTGGTCGGAAAAATGCGTCCGTACGTATAGCCAACGTCCATAATACCAGTCAGCGCTGACATGGAAATCACCATCAAAAGCGGAGCGCTTTTTATGCTCAGAAACCGAGCGCTTCACATGCCAAGAGAGGATCTCACGTCTTATGTGGGCATGTACACATACTTCTATTCCACATGAGATATACAATTGTGACGTCCCATCTCAGGAGACAGTTACTTCAACTTCGCGAGCGCGTCCTCAGCCTTCCGCACAAGCTCTCTGGCCTGCCTCAGCTCAGCGAGCAAGGCGTCCTTGTTGGCAGCACTGCCGTCCCTGACGGCTTTGTCAAGCGTCTCGCCAACACTGATCTCAACCGCCCGCACAGCCTTGCGCCCTTCCTCCCTCACCTCGCTCTGCCAGTACTCCCTCGCCGACTCCCACTTCTTCTGCAGGCGGCGTAGGCTCCACACGATGCCTAGGGCCGCCACCGCGCCGGACTCGGATGCTCCGAAGGTGGACAGGTACATGAGCGCACCGAGTGAGGTGGTGAGCGTCGAGAAGCCGGCCGACTGGAAGACGAGGCTCTGCGCGAGGGCCTGCAAGGCCGGTACGGTCTCGGACTGCAGGTAGTTGCGAGTATATGTGATGTGAGCAGGCCACTTGGTCCCGGGCAAACTCTTCTTGGCCAGCGGCAGCTCCTGCGATGGGTCGACCGCCGCCTCGGTGGCCTTTGCGGTGGTAGCAAGCGTCGGCGCTGAGTAGGGCGCCTTGCTGCGAGCCTCGGTGCCGAACACGCCGGACCCCTCGATCTTGCCAGCGAGGAAGATGACGTTCCGCTCCGCGCCGGGTAGGAACCTCTGCGAGAGCATCTCGGACGACAGCGTGCCGACGTCGTCGACGCGCCAGAAGAGTTTCCACCAGTTCAGCTTGCGCCACCGGCTGCCCGTGAATGCCTGATCCAGCTGCTCTTGTAGTTCCGCATGGGACTTCTCGGCCCATTCTGATAGCGCAGCATTCAGTGTGGGGACGGTGGTGGACGAGGTCTGGTTGGAGAGCGCGGAGGATAGTCGCTGGGCCTCCTCCTGCTGTATTGTGGCGCGGGTGTTCAGCAGGACAGAGGCGATCGACTCTCGGATAGCGTCTTTCGTGGCGCCGTCTCCCGATGTTGTGACTCCGGACTTTAGCCAGGTCGTGATAGAAGGCATGTTACTTTTGAACCATAGCTTCTCGTACTCGAAACCCTTGTCTACGCTCTGGCGTAGGGCATTCAAGCCTTGAGCGGCTGCCGTGACGTCGATCGTAGCGAAAGGTAAAGCCGAGGGGTCTGCTGGTGTGTACCCTGGCGTGTTCACCGCACCCGTTATTGCGCCCTTGCCAGAAAGCAAGGGCAGATTGGCCAGCGAGGCGGCCCCTAGTATCCCATCCGTGACTAGCAGAGCTTTGTGTACAGGTGTCGTGACAGGCGTAAATCTCCCGGTATTCGAGGCAGGAATGTCCACCGTCGGCACCAGCGCGCTCTCCTCGAAGTTCTGGAACGCTTCTCCGGTCGAGTCGGCGAGCGGGTTGGTCTCGGTGAGCAGGATCTCGAGCTTCTTGCCGTTGAGCCCGGGCGAGGAGACGCTCATCTCCCTCAACAAACCGCCCCTCGCGTACGTCATCGTCCCTTCACCAGCGCCCTGGGCACCGTCTTCGTGGTCTGTCCCAACCCGGACAATCAGCGGCTGCCTCGCGTCGTGGGCCATCAATTCCCTCTCCCAATCCTGCTCCGGTGACAGCGGATCTGCTAGCAGCAGCCGCAACACCTCCTTGGCCGTGAGTCCCGACTCAGATCCATTTGTGAGCCCGAGGATGGCGACTCTAACCGTCTCGTCGCCGGCTTCCTGCCGCAGGGCGTTGAGGGCCAATTGCACCCGCGACAGGTTTATGTAATTGGTGGCATGCTTTTGGAGCTCCTGGAGGGCGTCCTGGAGCTCTTTTCGCGGATTTGACGGCTGGCTGGAGGTGGTGGTGGACTGGTTCCGACGCGCGACCAGAGATTTGCGCCGCGTCCTTCGAGGCGTCGGCGAGTTGGGACGGGCCGCAAGGGAGCAGAACAGGCAGACCGAGGATGATGGATTCGCGGTGACTCTTCGCAATGGAATTGAACTGCGGCCTGCGACGGACCGCAGGCTCAATCGTGGTGGCATGGCTCGCCGTATTGAATCCTGGATTTGGCAGACGTAGGGCGTTGGTGTTGGAGCTGGAGCTGGAGCTCGGGGCAAATAGGCAAAGCAGGCTGGATGTAGTGGCAGGCCAAAGCTTCCAGAAGAGCTTGGATCCGAAGTCTTGGGTTGGGGTGGGATTTTAGCGCAGGTACTCCTGGCACTCTTCTGCCTCTGCCGATCATCAGCTCCACCCATGTCTTCTCCATCATCACTTGTCCACTTAGACCCGGCCCCACGCGACCTCAACTCGAACCTCAACTTTCAACCCACGCCATTATCGTTACTCCTTTCCTAAGGTTTTCTTCCTAGGGTCGGGTCAGTAGCAGCAGCCCTCAACCACACTGCACTGCATTTTATTGACAAATTATAAAACCACAGGCCCGCCACAGCACACAACTCTCAAACAAGCCACCATGTCATCGACCGCCCACCGCCGTCTGCTCCAGGAATACCGCATGCTCACCAAGAACCCACCCGATGGCATCACCGCTGGCCCTGTTTCCGAGGACGACCTGTTGCACTGGGAGGCCATGATCCAGGGGCCAGAAGGGACACCCTTCGAGGGTGGCGTGTTCCCAGCCGAGCTCAAGTTCCCCGCGGACTACCCGCTGGCGCCGCCGACGATGAAGTTCCTGGGCGAGATATGGCACCCAAATGGTACGGGACACGATTTTACACGATTTTGCCCGAAAGCAATTCACTTGAACACGTACACATGCTAACATGACACCTGACACAACCAGTCTACCCCAGCGGCCTGGTGTGCATCTCCATCCTCCACCCGGCCGGCGACGACCCCAACCACTACGAGCACGCCTCGGAGCGCTGGTCGCCCATCCAGTCGGTCGAGAAGATCCTGCTGTCCGTTATGAACCTTCTGGCCGAGCCTAACGACGAGAGCCCCGCCAATGTCGACGCCGCCAAGATGTGGCGCGATCACCGCCAGGAGTACGACAGGAGGGTCAAGGAGAGTGTCAGGCAGTCGCTAGGGCTGTAGTTACGGTCTGCTGTGCGGGGCGCACTTTATTTGATGAGGAGATCCGTAAACAGCATGGCCTGTCGGTAAATTCTGGCCCGTTTGAAGAATCGACCCCGACCGATTCTGTCACCGCCTAGTTCTGGTGCAGTCATGCTCCGGTCCAAACAGGTTGTCTCATATTGAAGGCAAGCATCCACAAGCCGCTTCAAGTGTGGGCTGGACGAGGTGCAAGGCTCTGCCTAGACTTAGTCTATCAAGTCATGTGGATAGAGCGCCGGGGAGCGTCATAGCGAGGAGTTCATGGGGCAAGGCGTCGTTGTCGTCACTTGCTGCCTGTTGGTCAGGCCATAGGGAGCTCAGGAGGAATCATCTCTGTATGCTTTGGAAATAGACGTGCGTGAGAAATAATTCTGTTTATATGTGTCGAAAAAGTGCTGTCCCATGTGCTGTCTGTGAGTGCTACCAGAACTGATGTAATTCCTTGCGCTACTGTTCGTAGTGGAGGTTCAAAAGCAAGCGCAGAAACTAGGGACAAGAGAAATCCAATATCAGCGAGCCATGTGATACTGCTAATAACGAGGCTTCGAAGCGTCGGCGGAGTGGCATCCAAACTTGTCCCTTGTTGGCTGACACATAATATTAAATCGACTGGCCCACGACCTGTCCCATCATACAAGTTTTGCCGGGAGGAATATAGAACTTCCGCTCTCGAGCTTCATCTACGGAGGATCGAAGATGTGCATGAAGGCCCAAGAATAAAGGAGCCAGCAAACTACAAAAACTTATACGTCGGTAAGAGTATGAGTCGAAGTTTGAAGTGAGCCTGGGCGCAACCTCTCCCGAGTAGAAATCGCATTCGTCTCTCGAACAACGCATGAACCGGCGTAGCCGCCCTCCTAATATGCAGCATGTTCCCATCCCAATTCACTTGCGCTCCATCATCCCATCCAAAAGGCATATAAACACCCCGATCCACCCAGCCACCAACCGGAGCACCTCCCACACTGTTACCAAATAGCTCAGTGGTCGAGTCGAGGTGTCTCCGACCGGAGGGTCGTCCGTTCACCCCGAGCCCGGCAGAAAAAATCCCCAGGAAGTTTCCATGGAATGCCAGAGGACAGTACGCTCAATGAGGCGGAAGTTCCCTCTGGCCAGTACATCGGCACTGGAAGAAAGAGTAAAACCCACAACGGCATCGCAAGAACAAGAAAAAAAGATGGGGTTTTCCACCGAAATAGGTTCTTTTTGCCCCTTTTTCTTTTTTAACCCCCCCCCCCTCCCCAAAAAGAAACTATGGGCCACGTCAGCTGAGGTGGAAATCAGGCTGGTATGTGACAAACAAATACCCTGCCTCACATCCTTTGGTGACGGATGCTCAGTTGTTGCGCTACCCGTACCTACCCGTGCCTACACCTCTTCTTATGAGACAAACCTGCTCAACCACTCACCAGGGACATGAATTGGCATGGCATCATACACTGTTCTTCACTGACAGACAAGGGCAAAGTCACATCACAAAGAGTATCCAAAAAGACAGAGTTATTATTCAGCGCAACAGTCTGGTCAAAGAACTCCAGGCGCCTTTCGCTCGCTTTTGGGGTGTAATTAACACGAATCAACGTGCACAAAGCCAGGTCTATCGAGAGTTTTGTATGGGGAAGTCAGGCGAAGCCCCCCTCCGTGTGCCAGCTAAGTCAGAGGTTAGCATCTGCCATATGCAATATGAAATCCTCAGGGTGTGTGGCACTGTTGTCAACTCACCATCGTAGTGTCCAGGGTATCTCAGCCCCTGGCTGTGCTCCGACTCCTCGGCGCTGATGGGCGTCTCGCTCCTCCACACGGCCGCCTGCACGGTCGGGTGCGGCCTCGACGGGCCCTCGATGACAAACACGCCGCTGTCGGGCGACGACCCGCCGCTGCCTCCGTGCCCGTTGCCGATCCCATGACCGTAGCCGTGGCCGTGTCCCACGACCGGCGATATCCTGTCGGCGTCCTCGTCGTCCTCCTGCACCGTGATCGCCACCCCGACGCCCCGGCCGTTCCAGCCCGCCTGGGTCGACCCTCGCGACGTCAGCGTCGTGCCCTGCGACCAGTAGCCCTTGTTGCCCCCGAACCCGGGCTCTAGGTCCGCTAGCTTGATGTTCTCGGGCCCGTACCCCGGCATGCTACCGATTGTCCGCCGCGTGCCCGATCGGGTGGCGCCCCTGGAGCCTATGGCGCCGCTCCCGCTCTGGCCCGTGAAATGCAGGCCGTGGCTCTGCTCTGTCGACTCGAAGCCCTTGAGGCGCATCTTGCGGAGTAGGGGTCGGATGGTGACGAGGCTTGATGCGACGATTGCTACTCCCGGCTCGACGAGGGTCCAGACCATGGCTTCGGTTCCAGCGACTGGTGGTTGGTCAGCCAGGGAGATCCATCCAGAGCACAAGGGGATGGGAGGGGACCAGGCGGTTTCTTACAGAGAATATCGGTAGTATCCGTCAAGTCGGACAGGAATTTAAGCCTGATGAGAGTCGCGATGGATGCGCTAAGTGGGCGCAAGTCAGCCTCAGTCTAACATTATACAGCGGTGCAATTGCAGCAAGGCTTACAAAATGCCCAAGCCCAAGACCACAACCACCGTGGCCTTGGCCTGCGCGCTCATCTTGACATGCCAGATCATCGGGATCGGGAGCAGCGCAAACAGCCAGTCCGTGAGGATGGTCATGACGGATAAGGAGTAGGCGGCGTTGACGACCTCCTGCGCCGAGACGCACTTCAGGTTCGGGATGGTGTAGTCCCACTGGGCCGGCACGGGGCTGCACTGGAATATGTCCCAGAGAAACAGGGCCAGCGACCAGATCAGGACGACAAACATGGTCCCATATATGGTGTATAGGTAACGCTTCTGCATCGCCAGCCGCAGGAGGAAAAAGCCGATCGACAGCTTGATGAACATCATGTTAAGCACGTATGTTGCCGTTGCCAGGGCTTGCCACTGTCATGTGGAGGGTTTCACCTCACCGGTCAGTCTGCGGCCTTGAGGCGTTGTCTGGGCCGAGGGTCGCTTACCTTCAGTGCTTCTATCTCCTGGCCTTGTGGCAGTGACCTGTTGTGCCTCCCCAGCCCTATGTCGACGCCGAGCAGTATGAATGTGCATGATACGGTAAATACGGCCTGCAGGTGTGGTCAGCAAATGCGATCTGCCTCGTGGCAAGTCCCTCCATCAGACTCGGCCCGTACCTGAGAAGCCAGCATGAGCCAGTCATCGGCCATGAAGCTCTTCGTCAAGACTCCCCGCACATATGTGCGTAGCCCAACAGAGAAGAAGGTTAAGACGAGGAAGGACACGGCAGTGCCTACTAGGGCTCCGCCATTGTACTCAGCGAGGTAAGCAGCATCGTCGGCCATGAGGGCCGGCTGCGTTCATAGGAGCAACGACGTCCGTACAACCAAGAGGAGTGAAGCTTGAGGTCGCGTGTCAAACCATGTGAGTTGGGTTGGGTGAGTCCTTTCTGATGTCACGTATATGAAGCAGGGTACCCAAGTATATCAAGCCGCAAGAGATCAGATCAAAAAGGAACAAAAAAAGAACAAGTTGCCATGGCAAGATGTCGCATGGGGAGGGCCCAGATCAAATATGGGCCATCCGAAAAGGAGACGGCATGGCAGCAGCGCCGAAGAAGGACTACTTCTCAGACCATATCCGTTGCAATCTCTTCTACGGGCGTGCAGGCATCAGGAGAGCCACGCAGAAGAGTAGCCGGCATGCCATCCCAGGAAGGAGGACAGGGAAGACGGGGCTGAAGGACCTGCCACGCGGGAGCCAGGGCGTTCGACGCAGGAGATGCTACCATGCTGCGGCTGCCCGAGGATGGTTTGGAAGCCCGGGACAGCCTTGCTGGACCGGGGGCTGGTTCGTCTGTCTACCCGGGATCATGACGAGAGATGAGACTTCTAAGCTTCATCCAGCAGGCGAAAGCTTGGTTGAGTCTTGCCTTGTTGGGATAAATGAAAAAGGGGCAAGGGTGGAGGGCGCCAGGGCGGACTGGTGGAGGATTGAGGGCAAAAGTGTGTGTAAGACGAAATGTCCCTGTCGCACCGAGCCGCGTCGAGACGCAGCTAAGAGGATCCCAAATTCCCAACCGTCCACAAGCTTGTGATCGAGACCCATCCCGATCCCGCCCTGCCGAGGGCGGAGGTTGCAGAATATCTGGGTCTCGCCGGGTCAATATGATGTATGTTGGTGCTTACGAAGATGTGACTGACGGTCCAGCGCTGGGATCGAGAGGAAAGACAACATACGATGGGGCGACGCAATACTTGCTTGATATTGCCCCCTCTCCTGGTCCTTCGGGCTCACATCTGTACCAGCAGCTGCAGGCACGGGGCGAAGCACCGAATGGGATTGTGTAGCTGAATGTTGTTGGGAGTTTCGGATGCCACCCCGATCCACCAAGGAGCAGACGGAGCAGACGCAGTCACTGCATGGATGTTCTGCAGGAACTTTTTTTCTCTAATAAGCCTTGGTTCCATGTAGCTTATTACGCGATGCTTCGCGACGCGGAGTGGGACGCATCTCGCGGCCGCTTAGTCCCGCGCAGCTTCGCTTCGTTTCTTGGAGGGCAACAACTCGTGGAAAGGCATGCGGTCTGCGAAGCATCGTCTGCGCACAGACAACACCAGGTCTGGCCAAGATGCCCTGTGAGCCTCTTCTGGTCGAAGTGATAGACAGAGCAGCTGGCAGAGATGGCGATTGGATCAAGTCTAGTGCGGCAAGCTTTGCTAGTATGGGCAAGGAGCGAGGGTTCATGCTGCAAACCCGGGGATACGAATCGACCAAGCCGTCCGCGTAGGAGGTCAACCAGGCTGCCATAGCCATTGGACATGGACCGTGGATGGACTGTATAGGAAGTACCTATCTGCAATTTTTGTGGGCATGCCCGAGATACTACCGAGGTCTGGACTTTTGCGCAAAGTGCTTCTAGTGGTGTTGGGTTGGGTGACAAGGCACAGTGTGATCAGCCTGTGATTCCAGGTAAAAGTGAAGGACTATAGTGTTACAACGAGCACAGTAGATGTTGTCACTGGCTGGACAAAAGACGATGTCTGGGGGTGGAGGGCTACCCGGAATCGAAGCAGGGATGCACAACAGAACCAGAGGCAGCCCCGTCAGCGAGAGGGGCCGCGCGAAGTAACGTCCAGGGATATGTGATTGACCGGTTGGTCCTCCCGAAAATGCGGACCCGATGTTTCCCATGATCGGGGGGCAGCCCTGGATGATGGAGGGGGTAGTGGTGGACACCAAAGGCGACGGGGCAAGGACGGGGAGGCAGGAGGAAGACAGGGGCTTTGTTCCTGCATAAGAAGTGGGCATGGCGCTTATATTACATGCTGTATTATGTGTGCAGTCGTGACGCGGACACTACTGTGACAGGCAGGGCGACATGGTGTAAACTCTGGCCGTGAACACGAAAAGTGATGATGGACTTACGAATTCCTGGGCCGGAAGAGGAAGCGGGCAGGCAAGGCATGTCGTGGCATAGTATCGATGCCTGAGCCTGTGCGTACAATGTAACGTGCAACGATCGAATTGCCTTTTCTCTTGCGGACAGACTTGCTGGGCAGAAACGGACGGATCGAATTTGTCCATCATGCACTATCATGAATGGGGAAATCGAAGAGTCCAGTCGACTTTTATCTGCTGTGCCATCCCGTTTCGAGGCTCCACTCGGGCTGCGTTAATTACATGGCTTGAAGGCGAGATTGGTTGGTCTGGATGAACGGGGAAGGTGGTCCGCAGGCTAAATCATGTATGAATGACAGAATGAATGATGGATCATTAGCACGAGGCATTGATGAGGCGGTTGATGAATGAGTGTGTTGACTAACACACAGTACATCGAGTGAGAGCGAGAGAGTGTGCGAGATCACTGGACAAAAATAAGTGGTACGGAACAAACCAAGAGGTTCGCTACCATTCCACCGACGCCGAGGCGCATAGCTCAAGGATCAAGTGGCTTGTACTCCTCGTTTCATTCTTCCCCTAGCCCTTGCCAAATTTTGCACGCTTGTGCTTCGAATGGAGCAATGGTCATGATCCTTCGTGCTGTGGTCCCCGTCAAGATCTGATCTTGGTCTTGACGGGCCCGATCAGGGAGGAACAGGAGCACTGATCAGCGGGCGAGCGATGGCGATGGGCGATGGGCGATGGCAGGTCGGGGCAGGGGTGAGAAATATCCCGAGTTCCACAGTACGGGATACGACGCTGGTCCGGTCTCGACCAAGCAATTGCTGCTGGGTGGATATCAGTGTCAGAGTGTGAATGGGAGTAGGAGATCGTGTCATTGCCTCTTCAGGCACTTTTGTCGGACTACCATTTCCTGACAATGCCTATCTATAGACACATTCCCCAAGACCGAAACTGCCTGCCAGGTGTCAACGAGATGGATTGACGTCTGCTGTCACTGGCTCGTCCGGTTCGAATTCGGACGCATGGCAGGCTGACCGCAAATCTTATCCATCTGAACATGTGCCGGACGCAACGCTGCGTGCATGAAGCCGTCCATTGGAAGAGACTGAACTAGACTTCCCGGACTCGAAGTTTATCCAGCGCGGAGTTGGCTCTGGCTCTAGCTCAGTGTGACTATACCTAACGTGGGGCACAAAACCATGAATGAAAGACATAAATAACACTCCCAGGGACAATCCGGGTTGGTCAGAACTGACGGAAAAAGACAATCTATGCACAGACATAGCATAGCGTCCACCACACCCACACACCGCTGCCCAAAGAGCGCTGAAACCACAAATCAAACACAATCACCACCAGTGCAAGCCATGGCCGAGCCCAGCATCGCAGCCGCCTACCGCCTGCTCTTCCTGTATGCCGAGCCCTTCGCCGCCCTCTACGGCGCTCTCCTCGCCGGCCGCGCCCCGCTCAAGTACCTCTACCTCGTGAGCCCCGAGGCCCCAGCCCACTACCACCCGAGCCTGCAGGTCGTGCTGGATCAGCTGGCTGCCACCTACTTCCTCTTCGCCTTTAACCAGGCCGTTGTGCTTCGCATTGCCGAGAACAACGTCCGCATCTGGACTGCCATGCTGTGTGGTATGCTGCTGTGTGACCTGCTGCACGTCAACGCCGCCGGGAACGCTCAGGGCTGGGGGGCACTGCTGGATCCGGTAGGCTGGAGATTTGAGGAATATGTGGTTATGGTTCCTACGGTCGGTTTTGCCGTGGCGAGAGTGGCCTTCTTGTTGGGCTTTGGAGTGGCGGAGGAGAAGGTAAAGCCAAAGACCAAGACAGGGTAAGATGGGTCCGTTATGTTCTCTCGTGACTATTCAATAGATACTGCTTGCATGCTTTGCGCGGGGTTGAGTTGAAACACAGATTACTTGCAGAGAGAGTGGACAGTAATCAGACAATATATGCCAGTATTGTCATCGGTGGCTCTGCATGTCTAGTGCCAGCCATCTAATCAGTCTATCACAATGGCATCGGGTATAACTCCATATCAAGTGCAACATATCAACACAGTCATCCAACAACAATCAAGCCAATAGATCCGTCAGTCTTTCCAAGCAGCTGCACCATCAGTCTAACCGCCCATGTGTCTCCCCATTCTCCAACAGCGCCTCCCTCTCACCATTCTTACCGCCTTCGCTGTTGCCCCGGTACAGAACGTAGTGCTGCGTGAAGAAGACAAGGTCGTACAGCATAGACACGTTGCCGAGGGCGAACTTGACGGGGTTCCCGGTGACGCCGCCCCAGTCGCCCTGTAGCGAGCTGTCTATAATGAGCTGCGCGATGCTCAGCACGCCGCCCGAGAAGTCGAGCAGGATCTGCCAGATGCTCCAGCCGGCCGTGCTCTTGTTGCGGAAGTTGGCCACCACCTGGGGAGTGTACTTGATGAGCGTGATCCACAGCTTCACGTAGCCCACCGCATACACCGCATCCAGCCAGCACCAAGCCGTCGCCGCCCCCGCCGACCCGCCGGGCGAGTCCGAGACTGCCGCGATGAGCACTACCACTGCTATTACACCCGCTGTGCACCCCAGCGCCGTGCCTGTGATGAATCGGCTCGGCCGGTTGCCCACCGATGGTGTGAACCCCCACGCCCCCGGGAGGAAGTATTGCGATGTCGTGATCACCGAGAGCAGCAGCGCGTGCGCCGCAAAGACGATGTCGTTGAAGGCTACGGCCGGGGTATGTCCATCGTGTCGCTCGGCATACTGGTCACGCACGACGGGGCTGTAGTAGAAGGCGAGGTTGGAGATCAGGTAGGACAGGAACCCTGAGTGGCAAGTTAGCTGCTTTTCCTTCGAATAACATTTCAGGGAGGAGCGTCGAATACATACCCAGGCAGTTGATGAGCGGAAAGTCGACGGTGGTGCCGGACGTCGACTTGCGACTGAAGTTGAGCAGCGGCTGCGGGTAGAAGGACAGTGACCAGCAAAACGTGTACACCCAGCCGAAGAGGGCCGAGAGGACGTTGAAGAAGCCGACTGCCATTTTGGACACGCTCTTCTGCTATTGATCCATCCGTTAGGAAAGGTTGGCTCACTGGTTGGGGTGAGGGGAGAGGATGTTGCACGAGGCCGTGACAAAATGACCATGCACAGAATTGGCGTCTCGAATTGCGTGCTACTTACTGCCGCCGCCGGCCGTGTTCCTGCAACCTCGGCCCCCACCTGATGATCATCTCCTTATCTTATCGGTCCCTGGGCTGATCGACACTGAGTAGGGACCCTGGGTGCATACTAAGTCCACTAAGAGGCCTGTGCTGCTATGTAAGTCATCCTCGGGAACGCAGGGCCATGCATGACGAGAAAGATCTCTAGATCCTCATTTCCCGGCCCATAGGGTGAACAAATACCTTCTTATGTCTGCCTTTACAAATTTCCTTATATGTGCCTTGTATCAGCAGGAAAGAAGGGGAAAAAACGTGGATGTCCAGAAATAAAGACTTCTGAAGAGCAACCAGAGGGACTCGATCATCGGCACATTGATATAATCCATATGAAAGACACTGCTACTTATTGTCCATTCTCACAATTCAGCGTGAATAGTGTTTAAATTTTTCTGGAATTAACGTGGAACTACTCTGGATCAATCCGACAAGCAGACCGGGTGAGCATTAGTTGCCTTCATCTCCTCTACTCGACCACAGGCCTAGGACTTGTGTCTAGTTTGGCATGATGTGGGTCTTAGGCAGTGTCCGGGATCGAATACTTGGCCGTCCTTCACGGTGTTGTGAGGTATTCCTGAGAAATCACGATGGTCCGGAATGGCCTAAAACAAGTATATAGCTAGACTTGATGGTTTGATGTGAAGTCATTCCGAAAAGGTATGGCCCTTCGTCAAGGAATAGTACTAGTCACGCCCAGCAAGTCATCACTCAATCTTCCAAGTCGTTGAATTGAATAGTCATCATCTGCTGTCATTCATGTGTCCTACCCGGTCTAGCTAGATGAGAGCTCCCAAAAGCTCACCCATCTCCAAACAACTCTATCCTGACATTTCTTTCCTGATCGTTGGTATACATGACCCAAAGAAGGGTGTGCCGACGAGGCACAATTTAGACCTCCCCCGGGAGGGAATCTCTCAACCCTCTCTAGTCTAGTCCGACATGCCGTCTATGATGATGTAGAAGCCATCTATCTTCAGGCCAACTGAGGTCTATGCAAGCCCTCTAACAACTCGTTCTTATGTCTTCTTCTCTTCCCCCCTTACACGCGAACATAAAAGCACGCGCGCACACTTCCTCTATCTCTCTGCCAATGCCATCCTGGCTGTGCTGAGTTTGGGGTATAGCCCTGAAGACGGGAAGTTCTTCGAGGACTCTGCGACTATGGTAGGAATGAGATACAAATTCAGAAAACCACCTGCCTCATCGACAGGCAGGCGGGCAAAAGAGTTCTTGAAACATCTGCAGACATGAAAAAATGTGAAATCAAAAGTCAAAGGGGATAGAACTCTAAGAATATGGTGTAAAGCAAATAATAATGATCATGGTAAAAAGAATCTCCTTGGTTGCCTTGAAAACGCCGTGGGTACATGTCTATGCATGCATGCATATGCTCGTTGTGATCATTGAACATCTTGTTCCTCTCTGCTGCTACTGCCAGTCGAGGCAGAGGCAAGCATTGGGAAGTCTGGTGAATTTATGTCGCTTGTTTGGTCCATGTTGTGTGACCCTGGCTTTCCCCCAAGGGTGGAGAAGCCCGCATTCAGCCAGTGGGTGGGTGGATTTGATTGTTGGGGTTGTGCGTTGAAGGGTGACATCCGGCCAGAATGTGGTGGCCTGACTGCGAAGAATCATCTGATTTCTCAGATTCCATCCGCCTTTATGCCTTGGGGTTGCTACCCTGCATAAAAGAGGGGAGGTTCTTCCATCCCTTCGCATCTGGAAACTTCGCCCGTCCAAAGTCCTCATCCAGGTCCAGAATGATCTTGAGCGAGTTCCTGCTCCTCGCAAATGGGCTTGTGTCGATCTTGTCCTTGAGTGTCGCCATCACCTCCGAGACACCACTGCCGGTCTGACTCTTTTCGCCGCCTGGGAATGGGATTGTACGCTGGAGGAGCTCATATGCGGCAAGGGTAAAGCCGAACTGTGGCGAGGATCGGAAGATACGCGCTGGACCACCCTTGAAGAACGCCTTGAAACCCTCCTCCTTCATGATGGTCCTGGCAGCGTGGGTCAAGCCGTTGTAGGTAGTATCACCCTTGCGGGCTTCCACCTGGAGACGCGTCTTGATCACGTCGGCGGGGGTGGTGAGATAGGCCGCAGGCATACCGGCAATGGCGCCCGCCGTCAGGAGCTGGATAATTCCAAGCTTCTTGGTTGGCGACTCTCCGAACAGATCCTTCTTCAAGTGGCTATAAGTGGGGAAGTAGATTGCGGAGAAGGGCACGTCGCGGAGCAAGCAGGCGGAAGCTCCCTTGTAGAGGCCGGCGAGACCGAGGTTACGGACAATCCACATCGCCGATCGCTTGGGTGCAGTCTCAGCGCCTGACTTGACGGCTTCGCCTTGTACCTGCAATCGAATCTTGACGATCTCGAGGGGGTTGGTAAAGACCTGTTGGCACAAGATGAGTTAGCACGCCTCGTCCGGCACCAAAGTCTATTGCACGTGGGGATACTGACCACTTGACAACCACCAGCGCTTCCACCGGCCAGGATCTCAGCTGGCAGAGGGATGCTGCCTGTCTTCTTGTCCGTGAACCATCCCCGTACGAGGTCGTTGACGGTCAGCTTGATAGCCTTCTCCGGGGCCACGCCGACCAATTGCGGCAAGACACCCGAGTATAGACCAAGGACACCCTCGTTGCGAACAACCTTCCGGAAGCAGTCAATTGAGTTGTTATACAACTGCTGCCCCACCGCGGCACTTCTCTGGTTCTGCATTCGAGTCTTGACAAGGTCAATAGGGTAGACCATAAAGGCACCGAAAGCGCCAGCCAGACTGCCGAGAGCAAAGTTGTACCCAGACTCGAGGACCTTGTTGAGGATGGCTGCGCCTTTGGACTTGGCCTGGGTGAGAGCGGCGCTGTCGGCTCGATCGTCGTAAGCTGGGCTCCTCCAAGATGGATCCAACACTTTGGCAAAGTCTCTCAGGGCCAGGCGGCCGGATGGCTCGTCAATGCTGGCAAAGTGGAACAGGATGTCGGCCTCCATGGGAGTGAAGAGTGAGAACCGGGTGACCTTGGCGGCCTGGTTCAAAAACTCGGTGCGGGTGATCTTGCCATCGGAGCTCTTGGAACATGCGCGGCGGACAATGAGCTCTACCAGATCCATCTCCTTAATCATGTTCTGGAAAGCACGCACGTTGGCGTACGAGATCTTGCTGCCCTTGGAGATGTTGCACAGGGTGCTGAGGTGCTCGAGGAGGTGGTCGGACAGCTTGTGTCTGGACGTCTCGAGGATGATGCGCTCGAAATCCTCGGGTTCGATGTACCCATCGCCGTCCTTGTCGAAAAGCAGGAAGGCTTGTCGGATCCTCTCGCCCTGCAGACCCCGCAGCATCTGGGAGAACTGCTGGTAATCCATTGCGTGTCTCTTCTTGATGCTGCCGATATACAGCTTGGCCCACTCGCAATCCCAATCGAAGGGGATGCTTTCAGGTCCCTTGTTTAGCTCGTAAAGCCGGCGGAAATCCTCATACTTGACAGATCCAAGTCGCTCAACATCGAAGAGTCGGAATGCAATTTCGTACTCGGCATCCGGCTTGTTAAGGAGGTTCTCGAAGTATGCCCAGTCTGGCATGGTGATGCGGCCTTTGTTTTGTCGGTCGGCGACCTGGAAGAGCAGGCCATACTGGTCTCGCTTGATTTTGTGCTGTTTTCCGGGGCGAAGTGTCAGCCTTCTGGCATTGCGGGGCTTGGGTTCTAAAGGAATCAAACGGGCTTGAGCTTACATAGTCCTCGTCTGAAGGGGCGACAGCATCGATGAACTGGTCGGGACCCATGTAGAGCTCTCCGGACTCGGCGTCCTTCACAGCATTGGAATTGAAGCGGGCCTTTGTCTGTGCAGACACCTGCACAGGCTCCTCAGACCCTATGAGGGTCTCCTTGACAGCCTCCTTCACAGCGACTGCCTTAGGCATCGTGGTTGTCATGTCTTTGAGGCGAGGGGTGTGTGGTTGAGGAGGTGGGGGGTTTGGGTAGAGAGGGTGGATTCAAACAGAAGGGGGTTTGTAAAGGGAGTCAGGTTATTGCAAGCACATGAGGAGGACTGAGATGTATGGCGATAGGTCTTTCTCTCCAATGCTGGAGGCGAGGGCTGTCAGAGCGAAGAGCCTATGTCGTTGGTTGACTCAATCGTGCCAAAGGTCAAAGGGGTGAGCGGTCCGGTCGGAGTCCACTCTTTTCTTGATTCGCGATAATTTGGCCTCTTCGCACTGGTCGGGGTGGAGAGGAGAGGCGCACAACAGAGGCAGAGGGCGGGATGCAAGACAATAGTGGTATTGTAAGAATGACCGAGTCCTGGCGACTAGGAATTAGGTTGAAAATGACTTGTGCGACACGGTGTGAGTGATTGTCGACGTGTCGGTTTGTGTGTTAGCGAGCGGGTTGGTCAAGAGGCTGCTTGGAAATTTTCAAATGCAGAGCGATCCTCGGCGGGCACGGAGTAGTTCGGGGAATTGGCAGCTGGCCTACTGGTACCTAGCCCACAGCCCAGGGACCTTGCTGAGCAGCATGCCTTGCTCCCCCAGATCCAGGGGCTGGGGTACGGAGTGCCTAGACTTAATCCCTCTCTCTCTCCACGAAATGGTCCCCCGCACGGACCACATTTGCTCTAGTGCGACCGTTTCGCTTATGTTTTCATCCGCCTGCGGCCACCTCGCGCACAGCACAGGCCCAGACAAAGATGCTACCTCTACCTTGGGATCATCGCCTGTCGCCCCAAGGGAGCTTGCCTCGCTAACGCCGGACTCTCCCGACAGCCTGGGTGGAGAAAGCTTAAATATCCCTCAGGGCGGCAGTCAACCTTGGAGCATGACCACCTTCAATACAATCCTATCTATTCATTGAATACAGCGGCCGATAAATCAGCAATAGGGACAGACCAGAATGTAGAGACAGAGCAATTGATATGACGAGAGATAGACCAGCAAGTCCCTCATGCACTGTCATCATAGTCTCCTTTCAGTCTTACAATAGGCATTGGAGGTAGATGTAGATAACACACATCGGTGTGCCGGCAGTACTCGGGTCAATATAGTTCTCACAGTGGGTCTTTGTTCACCATCTCGTGGGCTCGGACTGGTGCGCTTGCGGCGCCCGATCTCTCTTCCGGATCTGCCAAGTGATCCGCAGGCCCGGATGGGTCAGTCAGCCCCGGGTTCCAAACATGACTGTGTCAGCGGCTGAGATACTGTCCAGCGATGTCCTGTCATGTCCTGTCCCATGTGTATGCCAGCCAAGTATCTAGGGCTTCAATCATTCCATGTGGATAGCTTGCACAGTATCCCTGATATTCTCACAAGTTTAGCTTGTTGTTTCTTGGAAGTATTTGCCTTGAGATATCGTCACCTTGGCAATTGGCGCTCGTGCTTTGGCTATCTCAGGCTTTTGACTTCGCCAAGGTCAACAGAGGTTGACCATTGTATAGAGAGGTTGACTCCACTAAGACCTTGTAGTACAGTAAAGGAACAAACAATGAGCAAGAGATACACTCAGATCACTTCAAAATCATGGCTCTGTTGTACACCGGTCTGCACTTCAGGGAGTGCTCCCACATTGATGCCATGCACTGGACTGAGCATATGTAGCAGTCATCACACACAAACTCAAAGGAGCACAGGTCAGCATGAGACTGATGCCATAACAACACGAGTCTTTTTCCCCCTTCTAAATTCAACTATGCTTCGTACACAATCATCATCATCACTCACTACTCAGCTAAGCTGTCGCCGCAGCCAAACCGCCTTAGCCTTGCCCGGGCCGAAATTGCTAGGGAAGACCAAGCCGTAGCCATAATCATGAACCGTGACCGACCCCCGAGCCACAAGTTTCCATTGCCCTTCCTGTCCATCCTTATATCTAGACCACCCCCTCCTAAAACCGAACGCCATGCAGATGTGCCGCACGCCTTGTCTGCCATTAAAGTATTGTAGGAAAAGCCGCAAAGCAGAATGCATCGCAAGAGTGCTGTTCGGGAGAGAAAAACAACCGCATTTTGTCATCGTTTTTTATCGTTGCATCGTCAGGTGTAAATTGGTATCGTGAGAGGTATCAAAGGGAAGAAGGATCGCGTAGGCCACCACTGTTGTGACCATCACAACCCGGCAGATTGGCCTATCGACCAGCCATAGCATGGCAGCATGAGGGGAGCATCTAAAGAGACGTTGATCGCAGCGAACAGTCCGCTGGCCCCGCGGAATGCAAGGGTGTGCAGGATCGGTGGTAGCGTGTCATGCCCGTGGATGAGGTCGTCTATGCCAAAGAAATATTAAGAAAGTTTCGTTCCATGCCGGCTGCTGCGGTGGATGGTAGCCAGATGAGCAACAAATCACACCTGAATCGAGATGTGGGTTGCGTATTTGGCTTCCTAAGCATATACAGAGGAAATGCAATTTTTCGTTCGGGCTCTATGCGAGTTGCAGAAGCAGTCGTCCCTTCAGGACTCGGCGAGGATCAGGTCGGGTAGGGGGAACTTCAACGAGGAAGAGGTCCCGTGAGAGGCACTGCATAGTGACAGCCGTGGAACAGAGTGGTGGAAAGGAAGTACGAATCCCTTGTTCACCTCCTCCTCGACGAAGGTGGAGGCCTTCTTGAATCGGCGGTCGGCGTACTTCTCGTAAACGGCAGTGTGGTGCTTTTGTGGGGACCGGCAGCACTCGAGCAGCATGGCCACAAGAGGCTTGAGCTGAATCCACGTGTATCCTGAGTAGTGGATGTGTCCGAGAGACTAGAAGGGGGTTAGCTTATGGCCGTCACTACGCTGACCCTAGGTTGGATCTGAACTCACCCAATCGCCCTTCTTTAGCATCAAGCGTGCTAGGCAGTGGGCACCAGCGGCAAGATAGCTGGGAGTGCACCCTATGAAGCGCTCGTCCATGATGGTCACCTCCAGGAAGTACTTGGCCAGGGTTCGAGTCTCCAGGTCGTAGTCGTCAGCCTTGCTGATGCGACGCAGGAAGCTCATGGGACCAGGCCAGCCCAGCTCGAACTGGAGCATGCTCAGCATGAAACGCTCCGCCTTGAGGATCTCATCCACAGTGTAGCCGCCATCGACCATGAAGACAATCTCTTGTACGGAGGGGCAGTTGATCTCCTCGTACTTGGCTGCAACAAAAATGGCTGTGGCGCCGACCAGTTGGAGCTTACCCAGAGACACCATCTTGTTCGACAAGAACCGGTCGATGTAGTTCACAGTCAGGAACAGGGTCTCGGGAAGCAGAGAGAATCGGTTGTGAACTTGAACGAGCCAGTCCATGAGCACGGAGCGCATGGACCACTGGATCTCGGCCTGGACTTCAGTCATGTAGTGAGGGTTCGGGAGCATTTTCAACTGGTTGGCAAAATTAGTTTGGGCGCAACGACGATCAATGGTGACTTCGTGGTCTGCATACCTCGAGTTCCCGCATGTACTGGAAGATCTCCTCGCCATACTCTGCAACCATGCTGACGTCCCACTCCTCCTCATCGATGTCGTCCTGCAGGCGATTGTCCTCGACATAGAATCTTGCCTCTTCTAACTCTTCCTGGATCCTGGAGCTCGCCCTTGGCATGAGCAGGGTTGTCGCGCCGGTGGTGGTATTGTCACCGTGTGATCTGAAGGAATGGGCCGTCGTGTATCCCTGCTCATCGTACAAGTCGTCATCATCCTCCTCATCCCAGTACTCCTCCGCCTCGTGCACAGAAGGCGCTGGCTCTAGTGAGTGCAGGGGAGCAGGCGCGGGGAGAGGCTGTGAGAATTTGGCATCAGCAGCCATGTGTTGCTCCACATGCTCTGAAGTCGGCACTTCGGAAGGATAATACGCGTCTTGTCGAGGTAGCTCTTCCATAGCGTCCTCGTAGGGCGCTTCGTCGATCTCGTCCTCGGCATCGTGGGGTTGCTCTTCCTGGATGGTGTGCTTGCTCTGTGTCCGGCGCAAGACGGGCGCGTCGGCGGTTCTGAGATAGGGCTGGCTCCTGAATTGGCGGCTGAGGGTTTTTTGTTTTTGCTGAGGCTCGTCATTGTAGACAAAAGTAGCTTTCTTAGCGGTGGTCTGCTTCACGACGGCGTGTCCTCGCGACTCGGTCTGAGAGATGCCATTGGTAATTGACGAGGGCTTCAGACCATTGGATGGTCGCTGAGCTGGTCTCAAAAAGGCTTCCTTGCTCTTGCCAACTTTGATAGCGTTCTCCTTGTTGTCGTCCTTGTAGGGAACCATCTTGGTCGTGTTTGCTGTGTGCTTCACAAAACCCTTGGTATTCTGGCTGACGATAGGCACAGAGGTATTGCTCAAATCTCCAAAGGCAGCTCGTTTGATAGGCCCCTTAAGCCCCGCAGCAGTCGTGGTACCATGGAAGTTGCCCTGATGGACCTGGTTGTTCTTGGACGCGTGGCCTGTGGTGTTGATGGACACGTTCTCGTTGTGACGGACTTGCGCTGCATAGGGTCGCAGCGGGCGCTGAGGCTATGATGAAGACGGAGTAAGTGAGCTTGGTGTCGCTTGATTGTTTCCAGCGGCGCAGGTTGTTGGAAGGAGATGGGACAGTGTGGGAAAATAGAACACAAGGAGACCCATTGGAAAAGGATTCTGAGGGCAGGCAGAGGAGCCAGCAGTTACTTACTTTCGCGTCCATGGTGAATTTTTCAGGCCGAAAGACACTGCTCGGCCGTATCAGATGCTGGCTGTTGCTGTTATAGCGCGATACAATGAGATGGCGTTATGGGGGTTGTCCCAAATGTTAAGCGCAGAGCTGGAAATGGAGTCGCGCACGCGATAACATGAAGTAACTGGTGAAGTGGTGGGTTGGCTGGGTGTGTTAGTCCTCGCGTGTTGGTCACTGTCGTCGATGAGAAGCTGTGCAAAAAGAAAACAGACGAGGAGTTGGCAAGTTTGTCTGTGATGTGGAGGCTTTTGGAGGTCGAGTGGCAAGCAGATGGGTGGTTGACTGGATGGTTGACTGGGTGATGACAGCCGCACCCGAGCTGGGAGACTCGAGGTGCTTGGTGCCACAAGGATGAGAGCTTGGAGGATTGAAGAAGTGGATTGCTCGAAAAGTTTATTTGGTAAACACGTTGCTGAGGGGGTGTGATAACTTGTGATAGTGCCGAGGAAAGAGATGTTGGTCTTTGCAGCTGCAGAGGGATGTGGCAGGTGCTAACTAACACAGCACAGTACGGGAGTACGATGCATGCAAGGAGAGGCAGGACAGGCAGGACAAGACAAGACGAGGAAACAATGAGGCACAAACACAAGCCTGGAACGTACCTCGAGGGTGATGGGCCGCGTGTGCGAGTGCGAGTGCGTGGTGGAAGGGGGAGGGGGGGTTGATCTGTTGACGGCGCGACAAAACGGCCGTCGAGGTAGCCAATGAAGGAAGTAGAAATCGAGGCTCCCAAGATTACCCGTCTACTAGCCCAGCTGCGAGATTGGCTTGTCCAAAAAGACGATGCAGAGGGTCGTTCCTGAAGATCAGAAGCGGGGAGGGGACCAAGTGCGTGGGTCTGCTGGGGCCAAGGACGAGGAGGAGGAGGAGGATGAGGAGGAGCCGGGCACAAGCACGTCAGATAGACTTGTTGTGCATCCCAGGTGGCCGTCCCAAAATGCAAACAATCAACTTAATCTCTAGCCTTACGAATGGGGTTCGCTAGCCCGTGATGACGGGCGTGTGTTTGTTTACTGCCGTGTTGTGCCTGGACAGGGATGCGTGCACGGGCCGGGATCTGTCGTCGCGCCGGCGACCGGCATGTTCATGACGCCGATCAATGGGCCAGCCAATAGGGCGAGTGGTGGTGGGGCGCGCTTAATTCCCGTCGCGTCACCCAACGAGCACCCGCAAACTGCGACAATGCAATAAGAGATGACTCAACACCTGAAATATATCCCAGAATCCCGTTATATCCAGCTCATAGTTATTGAATACCACATGCACGAATTTATTTCAATCCATAGGGCGTGGGGGTGCAGAAAAACCGGCTAGATCTAAGTCGACCCACATCGCGTCACCCGTCCCGCCTTCTGCGCGAGCCCCGCGCCAGATCACGTGCACCGAATCGGGTACCTCTTAATTCTGTGTCGCAAACTCGCCGTCTTCAGAAACCTCGTGTCGCATGCATTCCAAAGTCATTTTTACCATGTATTTTACTGTTCCCGACAGTCCTTGCAGTGCACCTCGTGTCGCGCATTGCTCTGTCACCAGGAAGAGGGGTGCTTGGTCACCAAGGTTTTTGTTTTTGCGACCGGGCGGTGCTGCGCAGACGGGTGCTTGTGCTTTGCAGTGAGTGGCTTTGGAGGTGGGCCGCTGTAGCTGGCTGGGCTCGCCCCTGGGCCTGGTTGTTCGTGGCCGACCCCTTCAGGCCTTGTTCTGGCCAGTAGGATCGCCGTCGCATTCCCTCGCCTGGGGCCACATGAAGCACAATGTTTTTGCTGCCCCAGCGCGACTGACAGCTGCATGTTGCGTTCGTCCTGGAATTGGTTGCAGATAGAAACAACGGCTTTTTGAGTTCTGAACCCTGCGTCCCGAGTCTTGACAGTCGACGCAATCAATCAATCAATCAATTACGAAAGGTGGGTGCGACCGTCCAGCCCCACTGCCGCGCAGCCCCCCCTCCTCTCTCTCCAGATCAAATTGCCCCAGTGACGACTATCCAGCGAAGCGAGCGGGACTCATGCTCTGCTCCCGCCACCGAAACTTACCCCCCAAGGCTCCTCGGATCATGTCATTCACTCATTAGCGACAAATGGTGTGCGACCATGACGCTACCGCAGAATCGACAGACAGCAAGACCGCAAATTTCCCTCACTCATCCCGGATTGACCTGATTGTCCAAGGATATGGGATTGCCCTATGGCATCGCCCATCTGGGGCCTCGACATTCCAAGGTTACGAAGCGCTGGATGCGACCGACCGTCGCAAAAGGGCTCATCAGGGGGGGTCAGCATGACTGAAAACGGCTCAGCTCTCGATCGGCTACCCGCCTCCCCTCTGCCCCCCTTCACCCCGGCGGCCGCAGGCCAAACAGCACAGCAAAGCAAGCGGGTCCCCCAGCCCTGACATCCGCGAGACCCGTGGCTCCATAGTGGACGAGAGTTGTCTGATGCGTCGCGCAATCGTGGTCCCCCTCGTCAAGGCAAATGGGGAGTACGAGTCCTGGCTCCCGAGCTTCTGTTGCGACTCAGCTAATGTGCGCTACGGCACTTGTCTTGCATTGCATGCGACAATTCTCCACCCAAAGACTCCGTGGCAGCATCAAGGGACTTGCTTTTAGAGGGGACGACTTGTTGTCTTGCGTGGGCCGCCCGCAATGTTGGCGATTTAGCGAGGGCGCCCAATGTCCGTCCTGTTTGGCAAGCTGCTTGCGCCTAGATGAGTTTCCCACCAATTGGTTCCGGAGTGAAGCGCACCCCTAAGCTGCCGAACTGTACTCTTTTGGCCGTTGATCAGCCAGCACGGCCGTTAGTCTCTTCACATAGCGAACTCGATGGGTTATGGCTTCGCTGTCGATGGCAAGCTGGGCAGCCTGGGCTTCGCAGTAGCGCTGCATATGGTGTGGCGGACCGTATCAAGATCCAAAGACACCACCACCACCACCCATCCATTATTGCTTGCATGTGGTTGAGATATCCTGGACAGTTGTGTCCCAGGCCCAGCCACTAAAGGTTGAATGACGACCCTCGTCCGAATCGCAATCATCCCCGGCTGCTTGGATCGGGGAGCTTGCTGGTCAAACTCTCGGTCTGTCTCCTCAATGACGGATTCCCACTACCCGGACATCAAGGTGCAAAGGCGATTCCCATACCAGCTGCTCCAATTACGGGATATCGCCCCTCAGCTCAATACTACCTGCCTGAGACCCTTCGCCTTCTCGTTCATGCGTACATAGATCCCGATCAATTGCTCTGGGCAGAATACGTCTCACCGGCTGTCCGAGGTCAGGTTCGCATCATGGAGCGATATGAGACGACGAACTTTGATTCAACGAATCACAGGACCAGGCCGGCACCACTCACTCGGAAGCTTGACCTTGCGCCAGCAAGAGTCGCACACACACAACCCAACAGAGGATATGGTTTCTCACCCTCTGTCATCATGTGCTTGTCGCAGTGGTATTTTCCCACCGTCGCGCGACGAATTGACTGGCCCGATTCCAAGTCTGGCACCTGAAACCAACCCATAGAGCACCAGCTACTAAATGAGTAAATGCCTCTCGGACGGGGGTGCGCGATCGCGGCGCTCAGATTGCCTTGCCTCCAGTCAGCCCCAGAGCCATAAGAGACAGTATTATCCCACGGGTACCTGACCGCGCATGGAATCTTGTCTGTTGGCCCGATCCGGTTCGCGCACAAGGCCCTTCGTTACATACTGTACTTGCCGTGCGTCTCGCGCTTGGCCTGCCATTTGCCCACATGATGTGACTGTGTGCGATCCATCGACCGATGTGTCTGACTGACTGACAGGTCCTGGTGGCCCCAGAACGATGGATGACCGGGCCGCGCGACAAGAGATTACGGGAGCTTGGGACAGCGCAAGACTGACTGCCCTCTCAACAAGCCTGTCCTGTCGGCGCACACACGCAGCAGCCATGAGCTATTTCTAGGCCGCGCTCTTACCAAGAACGAATGCGCCCGAATCTTTCGGGCTCTTCCTATCAGGTCGCCATCCTTCACTACCAATCCCCGGCGGCACTGGCGAATGTCTGTTTGTTTTTAGGCGCATTCGACAGCAAAGGGCGAGCCCCTGTCTCACAACCGACTGGCAGGCGACCCGTCCTCTGGCGGTCCGCAAGCGCCAATTGGACGGGTGGGGTTCGCGATCCACTCCACCTCGCGGCCAGCGACGAACAGATGCCAACGTTCGTTCGCCCGCCTTGCGCATTGCGGAATCGTCGCCTAACGAGAACCTGCCTGGGCGAGCGACTGACCTATTGTATACCGGAACGATCGCAAGAGAGAGACAGAATCAAATGCTTCGGCTCTGGCCCTGGCTCTGCTATTGTTAATCTAGTAGCAAACCAGTAATGCGCCTGGCTTGTTCCCCGTCCTGACGTGGATTGGATCTGACCCCCTCCCCCTTGAGTTCCTTCCGTCACCCAGCCGGCAAGGTTTGACAAGTTAAGCTTGCGCACCAACGCAACAGCGGCATCCCGGCTGTGGGGAGTTTCGCCCGCCAGCCCATCCCCATCCTTCAGCTCGATGGAATGGGCCCAGGCTCTGGTTTGGGCCGCACCGTGAACTGAGTGAGTGTGAGGGAACAAGCGGCAAGGCGGGCGGCCAAGCGTGCGTGTACCGGTGTGAACGTGGACTCCAAGAAAGCACGCTATACGTTTCGCAAGACGTCTGCGTTACCCTGTGCCCATCGCGAGAGCCGCCTCTGGCTCGCTCACTGAATCACTTCCCCCGGGTCACCTGCTATTCCCAACAATAAGTCACGATCACAAGCCTTGGAAGCGGAGGCTCGACGGGGTCTCGAGTCGGAGATGATGTGCATGTTCAAGGGCCCTCAAACCTTCCAAAGTCAGGTATTCCTTGGAGGAACAGACTGCTGCGTACTCGATCTAGACCCTCGGGAGGGGAGGGGTCTGAGGGCGGCCACCAAGCCGTTTTAGCCCGCAGCATGCATGGATGGTGTTCGTGAAGTCTCCTGCCAGTCAAGATGCGCAGGTGATCGTTTGTTTCCCATCATCTAAGGAAACAGTGGCAGGTCTACCTGCGCATCAGTCTGCACCTCTCACTCCCGCCGGGTTACAGATAGATATGTGGTGGTTTCCCAGCCGCTCGCTGCGCCAGTCCTGTCGCTCGAAAGAGAGGCGGCCCGCCGATCGGCCGGGGTCGAATTCAGGATCGAGCGAGACAGACCCCAATTTGCGCGACCTGAAATGCCTTGGTCAAGGTTGCCACAACTCCACCCAATCTCAAGTGATTGATGATGGGCACGATGAAGGGGCAGCACCCAGCTAAGGGCCAGGCTTGCCCCTGCCCGTTTGCCTGTTCCTCGGTAGGATATGCGCTGGAACGCTTATTTGAATGTGAACATAGTGCTGCTGCGACAAGATAAAACGTAGTCACCCATTGCAGCTTGGCGTGTCGGGCGCACAGCGATTCAAGGCGCAGGTTGGTTCGCAGGACGCAGACCGAGACGTACTGTAGATAGACGGGTGCCGGGACGAGGGGAAGAAGGTTTGCGCTCGTATGTTTCACTCAGGATTCGGGGTAAACAACCCTCTCTAATTATCTGGGGGAGCAGCCTATCTATCTATCTATCTAGACCTGGAAAAGAGAGGCATGACATGGAATATAGTAGCGGGAGGGGAGTGGCTGTCCTGTCTTGCGCATAAAAGAAGCGGAGAGAGGGCATTCTACCACGGATAAGAGAGTCGGGTCTTTGCGACGCACGAGACGTAGAATGATCTCGTTAATGGACAGACGAGCAGGTATTAGCGGCAAAAGTGCTGTACGTAAGAAAGAAGTAGAGCGAGAGACAGAGCGACACAAGTCGCCAGGATTGCGCCAGTCTGGTGCAGCGACAGATCTGAGCACTCAGCGCATTTGACCCAGGCAGACAAGAGAATACAGGTCGCACCTGGGCTGCGACTATCAGGCAAGAAAAAAGGCGGTGCTGCGCTGTGCTGTGCTCTGCTGCGCTGTGTTGGCTTGTGTGTGTGTGTGCGCGCGTGTGTGAGTTATGTTATGTTGAGTGAAGTGTCAGTGTCTGGCTTGTGAGGTGACCCGCAGCGGGCAAGCGGGCTTCTGCGCTATTCGCCTATTGAGGCCGTCGAGACAAACCCATCCTCTTCGCTGCGAACTTCTCCTCTTTCCCTCCTAACCCTCCGGACTCTTCACCCGCACCCATCAAACAACGCCAGAATCACCAGGTAAGCCATTTCCACCCATCATTCGAGGCATTGGAAGCATTCTCAGCCGTCCCCTACTTCCTCATTCCATTCCATCCCAAGATCCCCCGGGTCTGATGCCATCTCGTCGCAGACTGTCGCCTCCGCCTCAGAGTGAACAGACGAGTCCCGAGTTTCAAAGGCCTTTCGAGCACAGCAACAACCTCTCGATTCTCAGCTGGTAAGTCAGACCTGCTCTCTTGGTCCATGCGATCGAGGATTCCGACAATTATTTGTTCCTTTCCCTCCCCTCCGCTCGCAAGACTCTTCCTGCCAGCACGGTCGCCTCTGCCTCCCAACGCCCGCTCCTGAGCACTCCCGTGAGCTGCGGACGCCCGTCACAGAGGCCTCGTCTTGACACCTGCTGCATTATATTGCTCGCAGTGGCTATCCAGAGCTAATTAGTCCTTGATTTTCCAGACTCGACTTCGCACGACACTCGTATATTGCTCCCATCTTCCGACCCGGTCGCCTTTCCCCCCTTCAACGCCGAGAACCGCGGGTTGACCGCCCAGCACCTTGGACAGACCGTGGGCACACAGACTTCATCCACACAGGCACAGGAACACGAAACACACATATATTGGTCAAAATAAAACAAGAGGAGGGAAAAGCGCCAGGACATCTCGTCGCTGGAACAGTCATTCTCGAAGGGTAGTCATTTCGCTAGGAATGGCACCACCGAGTCTGATGTCGTCCCAATCTCCCGTATCGGACATCTCCCCAAGGGCACAAGTCAGCTCTCTGGCTTCAGCATATCCCATCCAGCACCACTCTCCTCCTACTCCCACCGAAGCCCATATTCTCGCCTCAATGAGCCGTGAGGACAGAGTCATGGAGTTCACACAGCCCCAATACCACACACCCGCCGTCCCCCGGTCGGTCAAGTTCGAATTGGTCACCGACTCTACCCAGTACCGGGCGCGATTACCCATGAGGGTACAAATCTACCCCCATGACACCACTGAGTCCATCATCACTACCGTCAAGAACTTTTACGGTCTGTATCCCAGCCCCACAAGCTGCCCCGGCGTGAGCTTCGAGGACGAGCATGGCAACACCATCATCGGAAGGTATGAGAACTTCCGCCACAACTCGGTCGTGTATGTTCGGGTTCGGGATGGCCCTCCCACTCCTGGACCTCATGCCACTCAGCCAAGCCAGCCAGGCGCCCAGTCTTTCTACACCCAGGATGGACATAACATCCAGGGCCCGCAGCAACAGTCACACCATGCTTCACGACCTGGCTCTAGATCGTCCAGGCGGCGCAGCGTGTCGCCAACCAACATTCATGAGCGACGAAGTGCTTCTACCAGTACTAATGGCAGGCATGCCCGCCCTCGTTCCAACAGGAGCCGGGGCCCAGGGTCCCAGACACATAACGACGCACACAGTGATAGCATGAATGGCTACAGCAGCGGCGACAATGCCCCAGGCTCGTCTTCTGGGAAATCAAAGGAGCAGATTGGCAGCACGGAGATCAGCCTCGACAACATTGTCGAAGGAGGCCGTCGCAAGCGAGCCAAGTTTGAGAGCTCTGTAAGTCACTCGCTTGCGTCTTCGATGCCGTCGAAGCTTGCTCAGAGGTGGTCGCTAACAGCAGCAACTACAGGAGCTGCCCCTTTTCGCACCTCCCCAGATGCCTGCTGCCCTGTCCAACCCATCAGTCTCCCCAGCTCGCCGTATTGAGCACAATCGTGCCACCCTTCCATTCGTCCAACCTGGTCAGAACCCGTTCACCAACCCTCGGCTGCTACAGTCGCCTCAGAGCTATACCCCTGGCTACAATGGCGTGGGCATGTATGCCACTCCCGTCACCGATACTCGCCGTGCCAGGAGCACCATTGGCTATTCCAGTGCTTCGGGCATTGGCCCGAACATGGGCATCCTGCCGACGCCAGATCCCACTGTCGGCAGCTGCATGTCGGAAGAGGACAAGGACGTGGCCATCCAATTGATGCGCCTCGGTGAGATCTCCAACATCTCCCATGGCCGTACTTCGGCCTCTACCCTTGATGACACCTTCAGCCGCAACGCCGATGCGGCTTCCTCTACTGGCGCCACTAGCGATGGTGACAGCGAGAGCGACGGCGAGAAGCAGCCCGTGCGGAAGCAGAAGCTGGATGTCGTTGGTGCTAGCAAGAAGATATATCCCACCACCGAGACTCATTTCAGCCCTGCCAACGCCGAGTTTGAGCCAAGCGAAGACGAGGATGTGTATTCCGACAGCGGCGAGGGCACTATGGGCGCGCCAAAGCTGAAGGCCCCCAAGGCGCCTAATGGCCAGAAGCCTCGCGCTCAGCCCACCAATGCGAAGCCAAAGACCGTGAAGGCAACCAAGACCGCCAAGCCTGCTACTGGCGCAAAGGTCAAGAAGTCCAATAGCATCATCCCCAACGGCCCGATGTCTCCTACCTCCCTACCGGCATCCCGCAAGCCATCTATCGTCTCCAACCCAGGCGCTACTACCAGCGTGCAGGGTGAGGATGACCACCCTGACCTCTCCACAAAGCCGCGCTGCCAGCGCTGCCGAAAGAGCAAGAAGGGTTGCGACAGACAGCGCCCTTGCGGAAGGTGCCGCGATGCTGGCATCCCCGCCGAGTTGTGCATCAGCGAAGACGAGGGCAACGGCCGAAAAGGTCGTTATGGTCGACACATGGGCGTGCCAGTCGTCGGGGCCAAGGAGGAGATGCCAGCGCCAGCTAACCCGTTGCTTCCTGCTGCGCCGATTGCGACAACCATGGCCGCCGCAATGACGGCCATTGCCTCTGCGGACAAGAACAAGAAGCGGAAGAGGTAGCCAGGCTGGTGGAGCTTGTTATTTTCCTATGTACCGCCATTCATCGACTTAAGCCTCTGGCCCATCCGCCTAGGGCAATGTCGAACTCAGCGATAAGTATGCCCGCCCCGACGGTGCAACTTACAACAACTTCTACTCTACACAAAAACACACACACACTCACCCACTCTCACCCACTTTCGAGAGCAGAGGCGGAGCACATCAGCCATGGGATGGGATTAAACAGTGCTTATAAGGAGCCATCACATCTCTCGTCTCAGCCTTAGGGCTAAAGGCTTTCCAAGCATACAGCGCTCAGCGAACAGTCTGACGGCTTCAACAGCTGCCGTCCTTACACTCCTTTACTATACCCGGCAGGATTGAGGCGTTGTTGGCAATCTGTTTCTATTCAGGGTTTCCTGTCTTGTCGATATGGCGTGCGTGCATTTGTCTTTCCTTTCCTTTATTTCCTCTCTATCTTTTGGGTCTGGCTGGGTCACTGTGGGGTGTTTTGGCTCTTGCGCAATGCTTGCGACCACACTCAGCCATCTTTTTTACCTGTGCAAAATCGGCGAGGCTTCCAGAAGCTTTGGCTGGGCCCGGGCCGTCCGGGGCGCAGCTGAGATTCGAGGATGAAGATGTTCCAGGGGTTCGGGAAAGTGGATCTGCCAAAATTGAAGTGGAGAAGCGAGCGCTGTGATGGCAATGCTTGGGCCATGGGCGGTGTGTTGGCAGGCTGTCGGGGTGGCGGTCAAGCGACAGAGCTTTGCCCTGCCTGGCCTGCTCGCCGGTTGCTTGCTTTGTCGGAACGGAGAAAAGTGGTTTCAGCGCTCTGCGATGAGATCAATCGACCTTGATCACAAGTCGGGAACATCCTCTTGGGGATTCCCTTTTTTTCCTTGCAATCTTTTCCTTGTCATCGGCGGCGGGCATTGTTGTATCAACTGGCTTATCTGTTGTTGTTTTGTTTTCTGGCTTTCTATTTCCTTTTCTGGACTGACGGCGCGCAATATGTCGGCGAATTGAAATCACAAACAGCAGCAACAACAAACAAACTGTGAGCTTTATCGAGCGGAGGTCGGATACTCTAGCCGGAGCAAATACGATCACACTACAATTCAAAGTGCCTGTTCCTCGCGTGATGATTACTCTTGACTATCTAGGCACTGCTCGGCGTGAATCCAAGTGTCTGCTCTGGGCGGCATGCATTGGTTGGTTGCTGGTGTCGGGCGCATTCGTGCTCACCGCCGCAGGAGCGTGCGATCCTCGCTTGTCTGCGACGTTGACATGCCGTTTGCCGCAGACCCCCCTCCCCCCGGCCGTGTCCAAGCAGCTTGCGTCAGCCCCCTGTCGCCTTTGAGCTCTCAGATCCCTACTGTAACCCCGGGATCTCTCTGTCTCCATCTCTCTCTGGTATGAGGTAAGTTAAGGGACAGGACCCGGCGGAGAATTGGGTTGGGTCGGTGGATGAATGTGTCGTACCCTTCGGGTCTGGGTAGGATTTTGATCGCACTTCTCGATTACTATTTGAGAGAAGTAAATGGGCAAAATAAGCAGCGGCCAACCATGATGATGTAAGCCGTCGCACATGGCCTGACCTGACCTCTTATAGGCAAGAGAAAGACCCGAGCCGTTGCATTCATGTATGTATGTGTATGTATGTGTATGTGCATGTGTGTATGTATGAATGTATGTGTGTGGCGCTGATCCCGACCAGCCAACGGTGGTCGTTTTGTCCTGCTCTGCTTGCTCTGCTCTCTTGCCTTGCCTTGCCTTGGCTGGACGCCAGCAACTAATTCCTCCCCTCCCCCAAGGATCCATTAATAGTAGCAAATTACCATCCCGGACACGGGAATCGACGGCACCTGCCGCAGGCCCAAAAGGCCAAAGCAGAGGACGAGAGTGAAAGGGCCAGGGAAGGGCCACGGTGGGGTGTGGGGTGAGGTGTTGTTGGAGGCTTGCCAAGACCAATTATCATCCCTGCTCGCGCCCCTCTCCACTGCCCCTTTCGGGCTAGGCCATAAAGTTTAAAATGGTTGCTCGGTTTATGTTTTGGGGAAAGAGGGAAGCTTGGCGGCACAAGAACAGACACACACCACAACAAGTTGGGGGAATCAGAAGAGCAGGGAAGGGGGGGTCACTGGGGGGTTCCTGTTCTACCCCACATGCCATGCCGCCGTATGTATGTACATCAGCGGCCCGGCACTGCAATGTGTGGGAAGGATGTAACCTTGGTCTTCGATCTCGCATCCATGTCTTCGTTTCTCGTTCTTCCTAATATGTGCTTAGACAGCGCCAGTGGGGATCCTAACTGTGTGCCTTGGTGCGTAGTCTGGAGCCGGGCGAGAGCTTCAGGTGTATCTACCTCTCGCGAAGACTTCTCTTCTCACCTCGTCGCGATGGTACCCTACCTCGGCGCATAGTTGAGAATGCCATCCCAAACAGGTGACAGCCAGCCACCTACTGCTCACCGGGGCCATGCGGTGGCACCGCTCGCTCCTCCCCTCGACGTCGCAGTCGCGCAACGTTGCGCGGCATAGGGGTCCGTACATACGTCGCGCAAGGGGCCGAAATACGCCGTCTTCCGGTTAGGAGTGGTTAGCGCACTTGTTGCGCCGGTTCTCCTATGCTCCAATTTGCGATCTTGTGCTCTGGCTAGATTGTTTCCTCTGGCTGGCTGACTGACTAAAGTGCCGGTGAGAGAACGATGGATAGCAGGTGTCCTATTGTACGCTTCATGAGCTCTGCTTTTTGTTGGTCTGCGCAAGTCTGGAGTTGGTAGGCGGCGTCGAGGGTGGTACGGGTCCTCAAACTTGTGCTTGACGTCCTTGAGATCCGGTTTGGTCTTCGGTACTCGGTCCTGTCCGATTTCACTTTGGATCTATCCCTTTTCTTAGCTCTCTAATGTCAGCCACGGGCATATATATATATTTGTATCACTTGTTAGGTTCGTCAAATCACGAGACACGATTCAAAATGCTTCACGGAAACATCATGGGCGCTCTGCTGAAGATGAGCTAGGGCTATGGCGCGGACCAAGGTCTAAGTGTGTGGTGTTGATCCATATTCCGAGCATGGATGTTCGATGAATTATGACTCTAATACTTTGGGCAAACCTCGCCATTGAGTGAGGCTGGATTTTTGACGTTCTGGTAGGAACTTGGTAATGCAATCTCAGACAATTTTGTACCCATGGTAACCATGAAGTGGCATACCTGTTAAGTCATGGATCAAAAGATTAGCTTGTGCTAGGCCATCGCTAGGAATGTTACCATCTCATGGTCTCTTCGCAGCGGCCGAAATGATGATTTGTGGATGTAGGGACACTCTATTAAATTGTCTAAGTTAAGAAGGCTCGTTAAACTTATTCAGCTTGTGTTCAGTGAGTGGAATAGACACTATCCAGCATAGACATCGCCATAATCTTTCAACGTCCCTTCTCCAGACTCTTCAACCTGTCCAGCTCTTCCAGAGTCTTGACCAGTACCCTCGCGAAGCTCCCATCATTCAAAACATCGAAATGGCCCCCCTTCAGATCCTTAAACACCAACAAATTCTGCACGCCGTCTTCTTTCAGCCTACGCTCCATAGTCTCTACCTCAGGCATATCGACCAGCTCATCACCCACCGATTGCGCCAGCACAGCCAGCCTGGGGCCTTCCCGATCCGCCCAATCCCTGAAGTTGCCCCCAGCCGTCGCGGGACTAGCATGCCGCCAGGCGTCTCTGTCAGTGCCGAAAGCCGCCTCCATAAATCCTGCATACCCACCGCCCATACGCCCATCAAGCCCGACGAGGTCATAGATCCCCTCGAACCCAACCACCGCAGCCGGAAGTGAGACACCGGAGCTCTCACCCCCACCCGTTAGGCATTCAGGCCCCAGCAGTGCCTGGTACGCCAGGAACGCGCCGGCAGAGTGCCCAAACAGCACATAGCCGCCGTCGACGAAGCCCAGCCGCCGCTGTAGGAAGCGCAGCCCGGAGAGCACGTCGACCAGGTGATCCGGGTGGCGGGCCGAGCGGGTCGCGAAGGAGGGAGTGGTGGCGGTATCCTGGCTGAAGGACGGGTGGGGCGAGAGGCGGTAGTTGATGGAAGCGAAGCCGGCGACGCGCGAGGGGGCGTCCGGGATGTGCCACTGCGAGGAGGGGTCTAGCAGCGTGTTGATGGTCGGCTCGGCCTCGCTGAAGGTGCTCCTGGGGTCGCGCCAGGCGCCGCCGTGGATGAAACTTTGTGGGTGGTTGATGTGTTAGTTTGGATTGGGGTGCAAGTTTGTGGTAGAGGTGTGTCGACGGGTGGTTGACTCACATGAGCCAGGGCTTGGGTGCGCCTGTAGCTGGGTCGGCGATCTTGTCTTCTGGGAACTCCCAGACGGCGACATTTTGCAGGACGTTGTCTTTGCCGTAGTAATACTCTGTCCTCTTCAAAGATTCCGTCATGGCTGACTATATTATGTTATGACACGCAACGGGTTCTGGTCGAGAGTGAGTTTGGGCTCTGCGAAGCGACAAATGTGGAAAGATTGCACACTCACGGAAGGGATGAGGTCTTACTGATGCTGCCCGTTAGATTTGGCCGCCAATTATCTTTTTTGAGGCATATGATATAGAGGGAATCGAGTAGCAGCAGAAACCAATTGCTGGAATGGAAACAACCAAGACTCGAGGCACACAAAGCAGGCATCCGAGAAAGGACGGCAGCTGGGCAATTGGGACCGGCGGTCATCGGCGGCTAGCGCCGGGCCCGGACCTCCGCATAGATCCGCTTATCTCAACGTCTCCCGACTCCCGAACTTCCGCTTTACGGGCCGATCAGCTCGCCATACTAAGTCCTCGACTGCTGCACGCAACAAGCTTGCAATACCTCAGCATTTACGAGGCAAAAGACTTTCCTCAAGATTTACTGTCTAGTTCTCAACACAGAAAATATTCTGCCGTTGACATACGCTTTGCGCGTTGGCATGGTAGAATGCTCATGGCGAGTGAGACATCTCCTTGGTCCAACATCGAAACAATTCTCTGAGTTTGGATTATTGGATGACCCGTCTATAAGCAATGATACAAGCCTAAGTTTACAACCCAGAATATTGCCCGCCACCCCAATGCTTATATACTCCTGAGCGCCTTAATGGATCGTAAAAGGAACAGGCTCGCTATCTTGATCTCAAATTGGGATTGATCAGCAAGCCTCGGAAAAGTAAATACGACTTGAAATATCTATGGAAGCCATCCTCCAGTCCTCAAGGCGAAATTACAAGCTCTGGGAAGAATTGCGCGATTTTATTCGGGTCCCCATAGGAGGTTCTGTCAACCGGACTCAACGGGGTCGGCGGTTCTGTTTCCGACGGGGACGGGCCTGGAAGCTGGTCAAGGTTACTGAGCGACATCCTCTTCTTCTTGATGTTGCCTAGCGCCGGTGGATTCGAGGTCGACGCCTGTCTGTTGACTGGGGGGCCGGTCACTGTTCTGAAGTCCGTGCTTTTACTGGTATCAACGTTTGAATAAGAAGGTCGAGGTGATGCGGCAATAATGCTGGGCGTCTCAGACGTATTGCTTCGCGTGATTTGGGGGGTTATAGACCTCATCAAGCTGAACGGTATTGTTGGCCCCAGGTTGGCCCTTTTGCGAAACATTTCAGCCTGCAAGTTGCCCTCGGAGACAGCCGCGGCCGGGTCGGGCATGGCCAGAGGTGGAGCGGTCTTCTCGTTCGCAGCGAGGCCCTTGCTTTGAACGAAGCCTGCAGAGCGACGGTGCCAGGGATCTTTGTGATGAAATTGGTCTATTATTGGCTGGACGAATGCGGTCTGGTCATGGATGGTCAAGATGGAGTTTGTGGGAACGTTGATCCAGTTTTCTGCAGGAGAGTTAGCGGGTCACTTCCAGCCACCAAGTCATGTATCCAGTTCGGCTCACCTCTCTCGAATGTCAGAGGCTCACTGGAAACGAGGACAACATCAGCACCCTTATCGCGTCGCTTCATTTGATAGTTCTCGTTGTCATCATGCTGCCTCGTCTCCCACTGGGTGCCCGAGGAGTAATACAAACTAGCTGCCTCGTCGGTGGAGCTGTTGATATATCTGGTGCAAATAATACTGTGCCCGTCCGAGACGCAAAAGTTCAGCAGGCTTCGCGTGTCGATGTTCTCGCTGTGCAGGGTGCTCTCGGGTATTTGATCGATCAAGTCGTTGATCTGCGCGATGGTCTTCAACAGAGCCTTCCTCAATACCATGGGGCCGAAGCCCTTCTTCGGAGAGGAGCTAGGGTCATGGCCCATGCGCTCGAGCGTGTCGAGGAACAAGGCGAATGCCCATTCGCTGTCGGTGCCTCCCCTGACGCCGAGATACCACTTGTCGGCCAGACGTTCGGCCAGCCTGCGCTTGATGTGCTTCCATCCACCCAGTCCACCGTTGTGCATCCACATGAGGCTGCCATGTTCGAAAGGGTGGCAGTTGTCTGGCGAGGTGGAGCCCTCGGTGGTGGCTCGCACATGGGCAAAGATGAGGTGAGAGGCGGTCTTGGAGGCGATTCGCTGCAGGTTGGGATCGTTCCAGGCGGGTGTAGTCGAGGTGAAGATGCAGGGCTCGGCGCCCAGCTTGGGGCTGGTGTAGTAGCCTATTCCGAAGCCATCGGCATTGTTTGCTCCGCGCCTCGTGTCCTACATTCAAGGTGTGAGCCGACGTGACAGGAACCAGAGCCGGGGTGAAAGGCCATGGGCAGCGGGTTAGGGCCGGGTGGAATGGCGTGCTTAGAGACGGGGAACGAAGAATGAGATGGGGAATTCAGGTTGGGTCACCACAGAAGGCGAGGCTTTTGGGGAACATACTAGTCGCAGGCGAGAGTCGAAGCTTTGTCTGAGGATGGAGTGGCACGGTTCGAGGATGAGCTTGGAGAGCAGGATCTCGTCACTTCCCTTGTAGACCTGTTGAGTTGACGCAGCAGATTGTCAGCTTGGGCCCGGCAGGACTGGAGGCGGCTGTGGAGCAGCCTGGGTGATCATCTCTTACCAGGAAGCGACACATCGTATTCTTGTCGTATGCGCCGTCTATTTCTGCTCGCCTTAAGGGGCACGAGACCAAGCAGACTGGGCGCGTAGTTGGGAGGGGCGAGGTGCAGGAGGGGGTAGGATGGAATTACGGATCAGATCAATCGGGAGAAATCAAGAGATCATTTATCTGCAGAGATCGGGGTCGGTTTTTGTGGTGCTGGTGAGCAGTGGCGTTGATCCTCCGATTTGTGTTGTGAGTCGTTGGGTAAAAAGGAAGGGTTCAGCACAGAGTAGACAGGCCATAGAGCGGGAGCAGTGTGACGCAGGGTGTTATGACTGCATGTCCCGGAACCATCTTAAATTAGGCCTTCTGCTGGGGATGGCAGGGGACGGGTACCCCAGAGCTTCCAAGGCCCCAACCTTGCAGCTGAGGGCTGCAAACAGAGGGCCCGGGGCCCGAAGCCCCACTGAAAGGAAACCTTAGAAACATCTTGGGCAGACAAGACAGCTTAACAAGGGGGCCGCTACAGGGCTGACGTGGATCATCTCATCCAACTTGGAATGGCGGGATCAATTAGCGGTGGGCCCAGACAGTCCCTGGGGAGTGTGACAGACTGACAGTAACCTTCGCGCCAGGGAAAAGCATAGTTTCGGTGGACTAGTCTCCTGGGTCCTTTTTCTAGAAGATGGCCTGCTCGTCCTTGAGATATGATCTAGTTGCTGCTGGCTCATCAGAGAGGGTGCAAGTGGCAGCATTGTATTGATTCCTGATAAGAAGCGACTAATGTGGATTCATTGCCCATCTGTGGTAATTGTCTGTATGTCAATTGCCACAAACAGTCATCCATTGTGGAACTACTCGCACATGGCGAGCGCCCTGGTCACACTCTTGCCTACTAAGTGCGCCACATCTCATCAAGTCTCGTGCTGACCACGAGAAGAGAGGAGAGACCAGGGCAGGCTGCAGAGAGCCACGCTGAGGTGCGACATGGCTGAATGTCGGGCATGTCAATTTAAGGTGTTTATTCTCTCTCTCTTATGTACTGTACTGTGCACCGCGCTGAGTGGGTATCTAGTCTATACTACTACAGAGGTACCCAAGTACCCACCGTTCTGCAGCCATTATGTAATCCAGGCACGAGCCACACTCAGGAGAGCTTAACCTCGCCTCACCTTCGCCTATCGTCCGCTTCCTAACGTGGCAGGCCGTAGCATATCACACAGTACAGCAAACGGTCATTTCACGTCGTCCTCCACCACAGATATCCGCGTGCCACTCATTTATGTGTCCATAACAGCTCACCTTCCGCGATATATGACATGTTCAGAGGATACAGAATCAACAAGATCCCTTAGACTCTCCTCCCTCGAACCATAATCATTCAAGATGGACGATCTGGCCGGCATGGACTGGTCCGCCTCGACCTCGTCCACCTCCAACCAAAAGAAGCCACCCATGAACTCCTCGAGCGCATTCGCCTCCTTCCCTTCCCTCCAACCGACACCGTCTCCTATCACCTCCGGCCGAAATACCCCTCTGTCCTCGCACGTGTCTGGCCAACTCTCCGGCGCCGGCTCGAAAGCCCCTGCCTCGGCCCCGACTAAGCCCGCCCACGATGCCTTTAGCAACCTCATGGCTACGAGTTCCGCTAAGAGCACCACGAAACTGAGTCTGGCCGAACGCCAGAAGCAACTCGAGGCTGAGAAGTTGAAGAAGCTGCAGGAAAAGAAGCAGCAGCAGAGCGCCGCTTACGGTGACGGCCAATTCTGGGATGCTTTGGGCAAGGGAACCCCGTCAGGGGGCGTGTCGCGAACAGCGTCGCCAGCATCACATAGTCTCGGTCCCATTACTGCCGCGCAGAATGCGCCGCCTGGATCTGACGATGATCTTTTCGCTGCGTTCAACAAAGACACGAAAGTCGACAACGCCAGCCACTACCCCCCTCCTGCATCGGGCAAGTCAACACCAGCTCTAGATCTAAGCAATCCGGGTGCCTGGAGCAAACCTGCGCCAGCATCCAATGGCAACAATGGTGGCTTTGCTGCCGACGACGACGATCCGTTTGGGCTAAACCAGCTCCAAGCCAGGCCTGCGCCAGCAGCTGCGCCGGCTCCGGCGGGTAACGACGATGAGCTTGATGATTTGCTTGGGGACCTCGGAAGGCCCGTCGACGAAGTGCGCAAGAAGCAGGAAGCCCAGAGGCAGAAATCGCCGCCGAAACAAGAGCCAGAGCCAGGGAAGCCCATCGAAGACGCCGATTCAAGCTCGAGCGACGACGAGGCACCGATACCACAAGGAAGGCCACAGAGACGGCCACAGGGTAATGACCCGTTCGACAAGGCTATCGCTCAGATTATGGAAATGGGCTTCTCTCCTGAGGATGCTGCGAGAGGTCTGACAGAGAGCGGCCAGGGTCTGAACGTGCAGGCAGCTGTCAGCTACCTGCTCAACGACGCTCATCAAAAGGCCAAGGAGAAGAGTCAGAGAGGTGGTCCGGCTGGTTTCAGCGATGACAGGTCCTCAAGTCGCGCTCGAAACGGGAGCCCTGCTTGGGCAAATGAAGAGAGGCCCAGTCGGCGAGACAATCGATCTCCAGCTGCTGCTGAGGCGGATCTCGCAAAGACAGCTGCTGCGGTTGGCAGCAACCTGCTCAAAAGCGCAAACAAGTTCTGGAGTGTTGGCCAAAAGAAGGTCCAGAAAGCTATGGCGGAATTCCAAGAAGGCCCTACAGATCCCAGCCAACCCAAATGGATGAGGTCGGCGCAGCAGGAGATGGCGGCGGAGAGAGATATGGGGAAGCGATCGGCCGATGCCACCGACGAAGCAATGATGCTTGACTCGGGCGCGCGACCCGACAGACAGTCTCGCAGACCCGCTCAGCAATCTCGGCCAGAGCCTCAGCGAAATGGGTCGCGAGATCAGTCACCCGCGTTGTCAGCGAGTTCGTCCAGGAGCGCTCCCGGCCCCAAGTGGCAACAAAACCAGCAGTCCTCTTTTCTTGACCCAAAGAGCCGACTTAATAAGCAAGCTATCGAAGATCAAGGTGCACAAGCCTACGTCAGCCCAGCAAGGAGGAAGAAGACGACACCTCAGCCGCCTCCAGAGCCCAAACCATTCACAGAAGAGCCCGATTTATTCAATTCGCAGGCGCCGGCTCAGAAACTCCCAGCTCGGCCCTCCCAGCCCTCACCTAGACCCACTACTGTCTCGCAGCCCCCGCGCAAGGCACCGACTCCGAGGCCTGCTCGCCAGATACCTCATCTAGACCCTTCGGCTCTCCAAACATCCACACGCCACCGTACTGACGGTACGGCCCACTTCAAAAGGGGTGATTATGCGGCAGCTCACGCATCATATTCATCGTCACTCTCCGCAATCCCGCAATCTCATCCGCTGGCGATCGTAATCCTATGCAATCGCGCTTTGACTGCTCTCAAGACTGGTGAGCCCAGACAAGCCGTTGCCGATGCCGACGCAGCTCTCGAGCTCATCGGCCCCGGCAAGGGCGAGGGTGAGAATGTCCCACTCCAAGACCAAACAGGCGACAAGCGAGATATGAAGGACCTCTACGGAAAAGCACTCACGCGCAAGGCCGAGGCTTTGGAGCAGATGGAAAGGTGGGCCGATGCCGGAGTGGTCTGGCAGAGCTGCGTCGAGAGCGGCGTCGGTGGCCCCACTGCCACCGCCGGGCGTCAAAGGTGCCAAAAAGCCCTCGCGCCAAAGCCAAAGCCTGCTTCCAAACCTCCCACGCCAGCAGCCTCGCGGGCGCCGCCACGACCGAGGCCCACGGCGCCGGCCAAGGACTCGGAGGCCGTCACGCGACTGCAAGAGTCCAACAAGGCCGCAGAAGCAGCAGATGCGGAGAGGTTCGCGCTGTCGGACCAGGTGGACGCACGCATTGCAGCATGGCGGGACGGCAAGAGGGACAACCTGCGCGCTCTGCTGGCGAGCCTGGATCAGGTGCTGTGGGAGGGCAGCGGGTGGAAGAAGGTCGGACTGCACGAGCTTGTCATGGCCAACCGCGTCAAGATCGTGTACATGAAGGCCATTGCCAAGACGCATCCTGACAAGGTGAGTTGAACACTAGGCGTCCCCGCCTACTAATAATCCGAGCGCTCAAAGAGAAAGAGAACATGTGCTAACTTTGTTTTTCCTCTTCCGCAGCTGGCACAAGACGCGACCGTCGAGGCACGCATGATCGCGGCAACTGTGTTCTCCACGCTCAACGAGAGTTGGGATAAGTTCAAGACTGAGAACGGGCTGTGATATCGTGTGATGTGATGATGCATGGATGTGGCATGTGGCATGTGGCATGAGAGCGAGACGGATGAATTGATACCTTGAATAGACCATCATACCACCTTGAATCTACCTCTCAAGATGATCTATCATTTTTTGATAGCAACAATCCGGACACTTTGTGCTCTCCATTCCCAGTGGTGACGGCTCATTGCTGCCCCGAGTGCACAGTAATGTAAGCCGTTGTGCGGGAACAGGGTGTGAAGGTGAAGACGCCTTTCATTCATGACATTGCTTATTTGACATTTCATGTAACGTGGCCAACGTAGCGAATTCTCGAGTCTTGGTCAGATTTAATTTTCGGCTCTACCTCTGGGCTACGTATTGCCCTCTACAAAACAGTCCACCTTCCCGGCCATGCACTTGTCCAAAACCGTGGCAATTGTGCAGCCCAACCGAACGCCTGCTCGATGCAAATCTTTTCCTTCTGTACCCTTAAAGCCCTGTGACTACGGGCGTTGACCACGGCCAGCCCTTTCCACGAAGACCGTAAAACACACTTCATCTCTCCACTAGCCAAGAACACTTGAGACTGGTGGGACACCATGATCATTCAAAGCCGTCGGCGTGAGTAACGCGGTTGAACACCGCCCTGAGACATCCTGGGGACGAACCTCGTACGCGGTGGCTTTCCTACCACACTCCCCGCCCACCCTTGCGGTCGTATAGCAACGACGCGGCCGGCGCCCTAGGCCACCGCGTCGTCCTCCTCGGCCGCGTCGATCCCGTTGGGCGGGAGCTCGTCCGGGCCGACGTTCCACTCGTCCTCGTCGCTCCACTTGGGCACGGCGACGAACTTGCCCGTGATCTGGCCCATGCCGTACGCGGTGCCCGCGTAGCCGTCGGGCTTCTTCTCGTCGTCCATCTCCGTGAGCACGGCCGTCCGCAGGAACTCAACTGGGATGCCCGACTCGCAGTCGAACAGCATGCCGCCATAGTCAATCTGCATCTTACCCGACTTGCGAATGATAAGCTTCCCAACGAAGCCTTCGGGCTGCTCCTCTGGCTCACGTGGCGCCTTGTCGTCGGCGGCCTCTTCTTGCTTGACGTTGGCGTCGTCATTGGCGGTCAGGTCGACTGGCTTGTCGGAACTGTGGGTTGGTGCGTCGAGCATGACCACGTCGTCGTTGGGCTCGTCCTTAACGGGGCCTTGTGACTGCTGTGTCCGCTCGACGGTGTGTAGTGGTGGTAGAAGTGGAGGGAACTGGAACATATAGAGGTTGCCATCGATAATTGCGGGTTTCCGAGGGGCCTTTGTCTCTTGGACATCAGAATCGTCGTCGTCTTCTCCACTTGAGACACCGAACAGCCGTCGTTGGAAAGCGAGGTTCTCGGCGGCAAGTTGATCCTCGGGGTCTTTGTATCTCTTTTTGAGTGCTTTTGCTTTCTCTTCTGCCTTCTTGATCGCCCGTTTCGTCGTGAGAGTGTCAATCTCGTTGACCTCCTCGCCTTCGATCTTAACGCGGCGATTTGGTTTGGCACCGGGCCATTTCCGGTCGTCATCCTTCATCTCCACGTCGTTTTCGTTCAAGAAGATGTCTTCATCTTCTGAGCCGTCGCCTGACGAGATTTGCACCACATCCTCTCCCCTGTCTGCAGCCTCGACTTCCTCTGTAGTAGCAACCTCGGCTTTCTCCGGCTCCTTGGGTTCTTGGCGTTGCATGCCCTTGGGCAGGAGTACTGGCGTGCCCTCCTTGCTCTTGACTTGCTCCTCCTCATCTTCGATTACCACGTACTCGACGATTTTGTCTGTGTTCATGCGCCTGCCGGTTGGTCGACTCGACTCGCTGCTGAAGCCCTTGCCTCCTTCTGATTTGACGCCGCCGGACCAGCCACCACCACCTGAGCCGCCGCCACCTCCTCCTCCTCCGCCGCCGCCGTAGTCGTACAGTCGTCCGAATGCGCTCGAGCCTCCTCCTACTTATTGTCAGTAACTTATCCTGTGAGCAGCATCTCACGAATGACTCACGAGAGCTAGTAGCCTCAATCATCGATCCAAAACCACCAGCGCCACCCCTGATCACACGATCTTGAAAACCGCCTGCAGGGCCACCGCGAGCACGCCTCCCACCTCGGCCCCGCCCCGCGCGCTTCATGCGCGCATCCTGGGCCGCCTTGTCCTCGAGTTTCTGCGTCTCTTTCTGCGCGATCGCCTCTCTGTCCAATTGTGACCGCCGCACAGCTCTGGGGAGGAACTTTCCCAGACCGGAGCCGCTGCCTCGAGTCGCAGCTGTCGGTCTGGCTGCTGGTGCTGGTTTTGCGGTGCTTGCGCCGGGAGTCGGGGCTGCTGCTTGGGAGTTTGAGGTGTCGGCGGCGCTCTCTTGAACGGGTATATTCGTCTCTGAAGCTGGAGCTGGAGCTGAAGCCGTGACTCCGGACTCTGCATTTTGAGCGCCAGTGCTTTGAGCAGTAGATGCTCCTCCGCGACCTCCGCGGCCTCCTCGTCCCCCTCTGCCTCGGCCCCTGCCTCGAGGGGCAGCGCGGCCTTCTGGAGCCATGTTCCGTTGTGCTATGTCGTTTTCTTCTTGCTGGATGAGGACGATTTTGGGAAAGCGAATGGTCACAGACGAATGGCCCTAGGTAGTCAGTGTCATGACATGGTCTCGCCGAAGAGTCATCAATGCTGATCGAGTTTGGAAGTGAAGTAGAAAGTATGGTGGGGGACGCCCACCAGCTTCGAAAAAGATTTATCGATAAGACAGACCCCTGTCGGTGAATAGGTAACAGGCACTGCCAGGCACGCCAGGTTACCGGGGTAGCTCTTGGTGATTTCACTAACCAGTACTGAGTGAGTACCTAGGAATCTTGTCTAAATGGCTTGACTAATATCTTGGTATCTACAACACAGGCCTGGATTTCATTCCGTTCCGCGTGAATGATCTTCAGCTTCATCTCTTATTTCCTGGTCCCTTTTTGAATGGGCTTGTCCTCTCGCGAAGGATTTCTATTTTATTTGGTCTCAAATGCTATCAAGTTGCTAGATTCTTTCGCTACCGCTATCAATTTGCCTTTCAGATCTCATCACACCAAGATGACCATGATAAGACCACCATGAACTCGCCCTTCCCTGCCTCCGCCTCTGCACCTGGAGATGGAGCAATCACCGTAAAACGACTGCCTAATGGCCATTCACATCTCGAGGGAATCACCTACCAGTACCCTCTCAAGCTCATCTCCCCTCCCCGGAACCACCAGCAGGACAAATCCGTCCTCGTCTTCCTCCTCTCCTACGGAGGTGGTCTCGTGGGCGGGGACAAAGTCAACCTGACCATCGAGGTACAGCGTGATTCGCGCCTTAGCATCGTCACGCAGGGCCACACCAAGATATTCAAGTCCGCCACCCCGGACATTGTCACCCGCCAAACCCTGAACGTGGAAATCGAAGACGGCGCGGCCCTATGCCTGCTCCCAGACCCGGTTCAGCCCTTCGCCGAGAGCGTCTACGAGCAGACGCAGATATTTCGGCTCCGGGGCGAGAAGGCGTCGTTGTGCCTGCTGGACTGGGTCACGCAGGGCAGGAGCGCCCGCGGCGAGGACTGGGACCTGGTCAAGTGGATTGGGCGCAACGAGGTCTGGTGGTCCTCCGGCACCGCCGCCACGGGCCAGTCCAAGGGCAGACTCCTCGTCCGCGACGCCGTCAAGCTTGACGGCAGGGCGTCTCTTTCCGCGGTGGTCAAGGACCTCAGGGCCACAATGCATGGGTTGAGCATCTTCGGCACCCTCATCCTGCGCGGCCCGCTGACCAAATCCCTGGGCGAGTTCTTCGTGGCCGAGTTTGCGGCCCTGCCGCGCATCGGCGCGCGGGACTGGCGGACGGAGGAGGCCAAGCGGCTTGCGGAGGATGAGGAGGGCAAGGACCCGCACGTGGTGTGGCGCGAGGAGAGGCTGGAGATGGAAAAACAGGAGAAAGTCCTCTGGTCAGCAGCCAGTGTGAGGGGCTGCGTGGTGGTTAAGTTCGGGGCGGCCACCGTCGAGGCCGGGAGAATGTGGATTGCGTCTATGCTTGTGAAAGAGGGTAGTGTTGAAGAGCATTTTGGGGACCAGGCATTGATGTGTGTGCGATGACAGGCTGGATTGGTGCTCCTGTTATCATTCCGTTACCGATCTTTTCCAGCTGAGATATCTTTACTTACCCTTTCGAATTTGTGTGAGCATATACTCTCTGTTCACCATATTACGATTCGACTACGGCTTCCGACACTGCCAGCCCGAGGAGGTTTGTGCAGACTGCTGTTTTTGGAGATATACGACGCTGCCAGATGTGTTGACTCAGTGGACTTCCTGCGATAAGCTTTAACCGGAATGATCATTCACCCTGGGCACTGTCTTGCAAGATTCGAAGCAACGCATGGAACTTAGGCTGAGGCGTTCTGATAGTTCATTTCTTTTTGGAAAAGCCATCAATTTTGAGGCCTGTTTGCAACATAACACAGACCTTGATCTGCGGCAACTCCCTGGGAAAGGCCTCTGTAACCATTAACCCAGCATCTACCTTCAGACAGCAGGCTCTTCGTGTCACTGGCCGCCAGACTTGTAGGCCTGTTCATCTGTCGTGGTCTCGTGCTCTTCAGCTTTCTGCCTCAGTATGAGACTAGTTGCCGGTGCCTTCATCATCCTTGATGCCCAAAACACGGCGGGCTCTCCTTTCCTCCTCAAGCTTCTTGGCTCCACTTGAGAACATAAAGCCTTCCTGTTGCAGTCGCATCCACGTGCTGTCAAAGGTTTGGTCTTCAATGTACGTCCCCCTCAAATGGCGCCTGCCGGATGCTGTGTTGAACCCACGCCGTCCATGCAGAACGCGCAAATTGTCGAAGACAACACAGTCCCCGGGCTGCAGCCTGAACTGGGCCATGTTTGCAGAGTCCTCGATGCTGTTTTGAAACACCTTGGCTGCGTCGTGCCATTTCTTCGCATGGCCATCGGTTCGATCACCCCATCGCTGCGGGTGTTTGGGGCTTTCTCTAAGCCTACTCCAGAACGGGGCCTGGAAGGGAGGTGACCAGTACACTTTTTCGGGACATCTTGTGGCCCAAAATTTGCTGCCTGGACTGTGTGTAATTGTTCTCCAGTTATTCTCGTAGTAATGGCCCCCTTTCCTGTAGTGGAAGTTGGTGGGGATCTTTGAGAGCACATCATAATGGTCCGGGTGCTTTAGCTGCAGCTCGTAAGCAGCTCTAATTCCATCTGAGAAGAGGGACTCGCCTCCTTCGCAGCTGTTCTCGAGGCAGTGTAGGATCTGTATCCTTGGAGGGCTCTGCATATACATAAGGTCCTGGTGGAGGCAAAGAAATTCGTTGGTATATGCAACATTTTCGGCTCGTGGTTTTGAGATCACGTCCCATGTCGGCCCATAAAAAGTACTTTGTAAGTGACCCAGTCGTGATGCCACCTGTTCGACGGCAAGCTCTGTCTGAGGCACGCCCTTGATGATGACGAGCCCCCAGAGATGCAAATTGCGGAACGCCTCGGCAAAACTCGAGCTGTCTTCCATCCAAGAGGCATAGCTAATTTCTCTTGACCGACTATCCTGCTCGAAATGCTGCGAATCCCAGATCTCACGCGCTGGTATGTGGCGATGGAATACCGGCGAATACCTTACAACCTTTTGAAGTAGGTCGAGCGGGTATGTTGACACGTGCTGATGACTGCCGTGCACGAGATCGTTGGCCCAGGACACTTCGAGACTCTTCCCGTCCTCAAGGGTCCTCAGGCCGTCAATCTTGAGATCGGATGGTATGTCGCAAGTTGCGAAATTCTTCTGGCCCGACGACTCATTGACGCACAGATGGCATTCACACGCATCTCTCAGCCACACATTTGTCATGGTAACTGGCTCATGGAGCTTGTCGAATTCAAGCAGGATGTTCTCCGGATCGGCGGCCTGTCTCGCGTTCACTAACTTGCCAACCTCTTCCTCACTAGACACGGACCTGGCGAGCGGCGGTCGCCGAGGTTTCCCTTGGTCCATCACGGGACGGCTGGTGGCGAGACCCCTCGCTTGGGAATAGCGAAATCGGCAGCTCATCTGCGGGAGACACGGCGATACTGAGACGATGGAGTGAGATGAATTGCAGAGTCCAGGCGCAGCAGGATTCACGCGGCCTATGTTCCCGCGAAAACGAAGCGTCGGCCTCAGCGAGGCGCCGGTGAACCGGCGGGTGAGCGGAGGCATCGTCGCTCGGTACGGTATGGCTTAGTGAGGGGAAGCGGTGGGATGGAGGGAAATAAAACGTTTCTCAGCGGGGAGACGAATAACAAGGAAAGAGGGTCAGACAGAACAACCTGAAAGTGAAATGGGATACTGTCAGGTTGCTGCGCAGGCAGGAAAAGTAGCAAAAGTGAGCTGTTCTGTACCATCCCCAATGAAGATGAGGGGCCACCATTTTGGCTGGGGCCGGGCCGGATCCCGGCGAAGTTGCGACGTACCACCACATGTGAGGAGAGCAAGAACGTAATTTGGATGACTAAATATGTGAATAGAGTCTGATGAGACAATTGAGCAGTTAAAAAGTGGAAATATGGCTCCAGAAAGTCTCCATTTGCAGAAACCAAGTCAGCTCAAACAAACCCGTCCATCCACAGAGTGGAGAAACACACACAATACAAAGTTCATGCGTGTGTGGGTGTATGTATGAGAAAATGATTTATGCCTGTCGATCCAATGGATAGTGTCCGTCTGCTCTCGGAAAGTCAATATCTGGATACCAGAAGATATATAATTTGACGGACGATGAGCAGAATGTGACGGTAACACCAAGGCTATAGACGAAGCACAACCTTGCCGACCTGCTTGCCCTGCCACACATACTCAATCGCCTCATCCGCATCTTCAAATGGCTTTACTGAGTCAATTATGTCGTCAAATTGGATTCTCGTAGCTGACAGTGCTGCGCAAAGGTCGTCCAAGTCAATCTTGGAGCCAGCGTTGATGCCTCTAATCATGCCTGGTCAGCCTCCATGTCTCGTAGGTACGTATCACTTCACAGCCGACTATCACTTACCTCACAATCACTCTCCTGTCGATAATGACTGGGAGAAGCTCTGCCATCTGGGTAGGGTCCTGCTTGCTGAGGTAGCCAACTACACTGACAATGCCTCCGCGCCGAGTGCACTTCAAGCTTTTGACCAGAGACGAAGAGCCCCCAACCTCGACGACGAGGTCCACCCCAATACCCTCAGTCAGCCTCAGAACATCTTCGTGCCATTCTGGATTCCTTGAGTAATTCACGGTCACGAGTGACGGACTCGCAAACTGCTGGCTGATCCTCCTCAGCTTCTCATCGCTCGACGAAGTCAACACAACCCTCATGCCCGCACTCTGGGCCAGCTTGAGCGCGAACATGCTCACGCCACCCGTGCCTGCAAGACATCATCAGTGAACATCTCATGTCCGTAGCGCATATAGACAATCCTCACCCTGAATAAGCACACTCTGTCCGATCCCCACTCCCTTCAGCGCCGCCCAAGCCGTCGTGCCGGCGCAAGGGATGATGCTCGCCGCGACCCAGTCCAGGTATCGGGGCAGCTTGCACACCTTCCACTCCTCAAACACGACATGGTCCGCCAACACCCCGTCCTCATCGGCCGCCAGCCACGACCGCGCCGGCTCCCGCCCCGTCAGGTTTTCGGTGTCCACGATGGGCGCCACCCTATCCCCGATCTTGAGGCCCCGCACCTTGTCGCCCGCCGCGATGACCTCGCCCGCCGCGTCGTTGCAGGGGATGCCGTGCGGCGTCACCGGCCACGGGTTCCCACCGTTGGCAATATTGGCGTCGCGGTAGTTGAGCGCCACGGCGTGCACCCTGATCAACACCGAGCTCGGGTCGAGCGGGAGGGGCAGTGGTTCTGTCACCAGCTTGACTTTGGGCGTGCCTGGAGTGTGGGCGTCGGTGCGGCGGAAGGCCCGCCTGGTGGTGGGCTCTGGGACGGCCATGTTTGATGATGCTTGGCCAGGTATATGCCTAATTCATGTTAATGAGTTGTCGATACATCTGAGAAGGGCGGAGTACGTGCTATACATGGAGCTTGACCCCTCGCCCTCACATGTATGTAGTATGTCACGGCTTTTGCGCCCTAGCAATGATTGACTGTGTGATTACAAATGCAGCAATTGTCATCCATTAACTCTCTTCTGTCTATGAAATGAATTCTATACGGTGAATTCTCGGCTGTCCTCTCTGGCTGGAGCATAATGTCAACCGCATCAACGGTAGACTGAAGACATTTCGTGACATTGGAATTGAAACTAAATGTCCCGTCACCAGGCGCATTGCTGACTGCGCAGAATCAAACACTTCAATATAGGCATTTGCTGCATTATATATGCACACAATAATGCTACAGAGAGCAAACCCAAAACCCCACTCGTTGGCTTTTGCTCCTTCAAAGCCCCCTCTCAGTGGCTAAAAACCAGAGTGTCAGGAGTCATGACCGCGTTTTCCAATCCTCAGTCCAAAGATTAAGAAAGCAAAACAACCAAGACTTAATCCCCATGTGGCAATCTTCAAAACCATTGGTATCTGGCACCGTCTCTCCTCCGCGCGCGGAGGGCGTACTTAGAATTGACAAATTCACGAACCTTGATGACCTCTGCTGTCACTTCACATGATTCTTGGTCTGTGGAAACAGCGGAGTAGGTACACCCCGCATAAGCATACACGAAAGATATCTCTTGCAGATTCCTGCAAACCGTGGATGCTTTGCGGACATAAGGGCCCATAACATCCTCGTTGGTCACGTGGCGCCAGTACTCCAAGTCCATTTCTTCAAGGTTTCGATTCCTACGCTGGCCTTCCATGTACTCCCAATCAGTCATGCCCTCGGTGGTCATGGTGAGGCTGTTGAGGTTTGTGAGTCCACCGCACGCCGCAGTGAGGTCCTAGGAAGCGGGTTAGCCTTTTTTTCAACTTCACGGCTCAAATGAAACAGAGCTTGTTAACCTACCAAGGGTGTGGTGTTACGAAATCTCGACACATCATATCCAAAGTGTCCGTAGAGAGCCAGGCTAGAGATACCGGGGAAATAATGCTCGATGACTGTGCCTTCTCTTAGTATCACTGGAATCTGAAACACATGATGAGAACATCTACATACCTTTCATGTCATTTGGAACCCAGCCATTTTCCATGACGAATCCATCAAGAAGATCCATAAGGCGGGTGTTGCCAGTCTTGAACATTTCAAGATTTTGAAGCGATTCCAATGCCGCTGCTGCTTCCAGTGCCCTTCGACATTCAGGAGACCACACCATTCCATCTTTTGGGTTCTGTAGGCGACCTCCGCCGACGTTTAGACGAAGCGAAATGATATTTGGACAAGCGCGGATTATGGATGTGGCCTCGTAGATCGGCTCTCCTTGATTGATTGGCACACTCAAAGTCCTCACGGTAGGCAGGTGCTTGTATCCAAACATACTGGCCAATTCAAAGCCTAGGTCAATATTGAGCTCGCAAAGTTGAGGCACAAGGTAAAGTAGCTTGTCCATCTTTGCTGGGTCTATACTTGGCTCGGGATTTCGGGACCTGGGCTTCAGTACCAACCGTCTATATGAAAATGTTAGCCTTTTGATGCTTTTCTCCCCACATGTGAGAGGGTCAGAGGGCAAGTCTCTAGAGTGGTGTTCAAGTGGTGTATGGAGAAAATTGATTGTAAACCTTACTTGAGTTGACCTAGGAAGCCCTTGCTTGCTGTGAGTTGCCCAAACTTCTGCATGGAGGGACACCGATCACCGATAGTCACAGTGAGAAACTTCTCACTGACCCGCCGTGTTCTTACCGATACCGATGAAAATGACTTGATTGGCTCCAAACTCGTGTTTCCATAGCCATCTGGTGCGCACAACAGTACAGCGATGTTCAGAAGAAGCTCATCAGGTAGAGTAGAAAACGAAGCTTGTTGGTCTTGTTCTGTTGTTGTCAAGGAGGCACCGTGACGGCGACCGTGGTTGGAAGTGTACAAAGAATCAGGGGTCTTAGGCGGTTGAATGTTTTGACCACCTCTGCTTCTTTGAGACCCTCGATTTCTGGCCCGACGGGAATTGCCTGTTGGTTTGAGACCGGGATCTTTCTTCCAACAGGTCGACTCAATGTGGCCCTTTTTGTGGCAAAAATTGCAACAGTGAGCCTTATTGCTGGCCATCTTGAAATGAGTTGAGCTTTTGACGTGTGAAAGCCAAGAGTATTCTGATTGAAGTAGTGAAGATGATGAGGATATAGTGAAGCTGATATGGAGATTTGATGAAGATAGAGGATTTGGAAAAGAGCACGGTATGGTGTGAAAAGGTGAGAAATATAATACAAATATATTGCAATTCTTCAGTGTTTAGAGAACCTTGCTGTACGTGGAATTTGCTAGCTGGGTTAGCGAAGAACATAAAGGGAATATCTTGCAATTCTTGAATAACTAGATGGATTTCGTGGTCGGGCTAGTATGGGCCGACAATTGGAAGCAATGGAATTGGGTTAAATTCATCATCGAGCATTGGGTGAGCTTAGTCGCATTTCAAGTAACTTCCTAGGTATTGGGCTACTGTTTGCGATGCCTTAGAAAGGCTACATGCGGTGAATTGACATTTGTATCACCAACCACTTGGTCGTGACACAATGCTTGTTCAGACTCCATCAGACTGCCATGCACTAGCAATGGCTGTCTATCTCCTGGCTCCCCCGATTAATCCCTGCGGACATTCTCCTCGTGTGCCCGCCAAGTCATAATCCTCTTGGGCCAGCTCGCCGTTGTTCTCCTGCCATCATAGAAGTCTGCTTGCCGAGCCCAACGCCTTCACCTGCGCCCTTAAAGGGTTGGAGCTTTAAAGCTACCATTGTCGACCCTTCGCGCACCCTCGGCCCCAGGCTTCCCTAGCCGGGCGGCATCTTCCTAGTCAAACATACGAGGCTGGAGCTTTCAAGCTACCAAAGGGCCTCCATCTTTCTTTCTTCCGTCTGCTCCTCTGTCTCTCTCTTTGCGTGTGTGCGCCGGGGCCTGCGAAATGTCTTTTCTCCTATGTGATAGGGGGGAAACAAGCAATCAACGCCGCTGTGTGATGGGGATGGGGTATGGGCAGTTATCAACTTGGCCCGGTGCTGTGTCGTCAATTGAGGGTGACATTCCGTCTGTCCGCCGACGGCCATTATCTGGCTGCTAATACATCAAGTCCACAATAGGCTCACGGTGAAAGCCCTACATCTCCATGGACTCATTCTCGTTGGTGTTGGAGAAGTTGAAAGGCGCGGCACCCTGGCCACCACCGTTGGCACCGAAACCGAATGTGCCATTGGGACCTTGTGCCTGTGCCATGCCGTCATCGGCGTTCTCGTCCTCGTCAGAGAAGTACTTCTCGATGATGTTGTAGGCCTTCATGTAGATCTCCTCGTTGGCATTGGTCTGGCACTCATGAATTTTCTCCATGCCGCCACACTCCTCAATGAACAGGGCATAGCGGTTGATAGCATCTGGTGCATCACCGGCAGCTTGCTTGTCCAAGTCGCCGACCTTGAGAATGTTCTCGAGGCCATCCAGAGCGACTTGGATGATCTTGTTGTCTGGGCAGCCAAGGAGGTCACACAGGGGCTTGATGCAGCCCTGGGCGACAAGGTAGCGGATCTGATCGGGCTTCTGAAGACCTCCACTAGTAGCGTTGCTGATAGCCCAGCAAGCCTCCTTGCGCGTCTTGAGGTCGCCGTTGGAGAGCAGGTGGATCAGAGGAGGGATGATGTTGGCGTCGACGACGGCCTGGATCTGGGTAGAGTTACCGGCCGTGATGTTGGAGATAGTCCAGCACGCCTCCTTCCGGATGCCGTCCTTGTTCGAGCTCAAGAGGGACAGCAGGCAGGGCAGGGCACCACAGTTGATGATGACCTGGGTCTGGACGTCGTCGCCGGTGACAATGTTTCCGACAGAGCGCAGCGCGGGGGTCTGCACAGAGGTGGAGGCGTGCATGAGCAGCTCCACCAGACGGCGGGGGATACCGGCCTCAATAACTGCCTGTATCTTATCGTTGGACCCGTCGGACAGGTAGGAGATTGCCCAGCAGGCATCGATCAAGACTTCGTCATCCAGAGAGTAGACCAGCTTGGATAGCACGGGAAGCGCAGGGGCGATCTGTAGCGGCTTGTTAGCTGTGACTCGGGGATTCATGCCAGGATCAAACGTACTGTGTTCCAGTCTGGCTGAGGGGTCTTGCCCCGGCAGAAGTTGCTCAAGGTCCAGGTAGCGTTGCGCAGCATGCTGAGCTTGCGGCTGTCGCCAAGCAGGGCCAGCAGAGGCTTCAGGGCGCCACAGCTAAGGACGTAGTCGCGGCATTGTGGGCTGTCACCAGCAATGTTTCCGAGAGCCCACACGGCCTGCTCGCGCACGTCGGGCTCGGGGCTGGCGAGGAGCTCGACAAAGATGGGGACGGCACCGGCCTCGATGACAACCTGGGTCTGTGCAGCGCTGCCAGAGGCAATGTTGGTGAGAGCCCAAGCAGCCTCGAATTGCACGAGGGTGTGAGGCGATCGGAGGAACTCGACGAAACGGCTGACAACACCGGTCTTGATGACCTCCTCGATCGGGGGGTTGCGCTCCTTGGACAGGAGTTTTCGGAAACGGGTGGTAGCCTGAATCTGCAGATCGATCTGGTCCGAGAACACACCCTGCACCATCTGAGGGAGGTCCTCGCTCAACTGGTGTCTGTTAGCATCTTGACGACGTCAAAAAGGGTGTGCGTGTAGCATGTGATTGACAGAATACAAGGGCGATATCAATTCAAATTCAGATCATTCTTTGTTTGGTGATGAGGGAGGGGTTTAAAAAGGGCAGCGATTGTGATATTTCATGAACGGAAGTTCGTGCAACAACAATGGTGTTGAAATGGATGTTGGTAGTGGGCCGGAGCTGGGGCCCAAAAAGGTGGGTTGCTGCTGATTCGCGCCGCCTTTGCACGAAAGCAGATTCATGTGAGGTGAGGGGCGGGAGGCGTCGCAAGGGCGTTGCTGCTGAAAAGCGCGGGGCCCAGATGGCACCCAACAGCATGACCAGAACGAGCGAGGCTTGGGTTTTGCGGGCAGATAGGTAATGACAAGAGTGGAGGAGGAGCAGAAAAGACAAAGTCAAAAGATTGTTGAACGTACCTGGGACTCTGTGGGAGGGTTCTCATCCTCGCTGTCGGGTGCGGCGCCCAGGGAAGCGCCAGGTCGGTTGTCACCAGTGCCGATGCCTCGTCGCTTTGCCAAGTTCTCCTCACGCTTTGCCTTTCGGATCTCGACCTGCTGCTCCTCGCGACGGCGGCGGAGCTCATCTGGCTTGAAGGTGTTCTTTGCCTTGAACTGAGTCCTTCTGTGCTCGGGGATGTAGCGCTCAGCCATGGTTGTTGTGCTGTGCTGTGCTGTGACGTGTGTACAGTATGTTGTTGACCTTTGCAGGTGGGAGACGAGTGCACAGTGGCAGAGCAGAGCTGGTTGGTTGGTTGGGTTACGTGTCGGCGCGCGCGGTTGTCCGCAGGTGGGAGAAGAGACCAAAACTCTGCTGCAACAAGTTATTAGAGGCTGCAGAATGCACACGGGCTGGCGCGGGTTGTGGGCTGCAGTGGTTACGTGCCTATTGATGTCGTCGGGTGAAGGACGGCGAGGGGCCAGGAAGATGTTTTGGTGTTGTCGCGGTGCAAGAATTTTGGAGATGGAATGGGTTGGAAGCGACGGTATTGGGCTGTTGGCTGTTGGCTTTGGGCTCGCTCTGGGCTGGGGCAGGGCAGGGCAGGCAGGCTGTGGAGGGGGTGACTGGAGTCTAAATGCACCTGGGGCAGCTGTGGGCATGTGCGTCCTGTGGCTCTTGAGGCTTGGGCCGCTTTCAGTGGGGGCTCGCCGCTAAGAGTCAGCCAGGGAAGGCGAATTTCGAAACCTGCCAGGCCGCCAGCTTCAATGCTGGGAGGGAGCTTGAAAGGAACCCTCCACGGTTAGCGGGCACGGCTCCCCCCACTACATGTTCAAGCCTGATATTTCAGGCCGCAGTCTCCCACCTTCCCGCCTGGATGTCTCCCAAGTACTTCTGCAAGTACTGCAGGTACCCCGCCCCACCCCTTAACAGACAAAGCAGGACTGCCCCGTGCTTTCGCCCCTGCCTTATCTGATTCACCCTTGTCAACGCATCCGCGGCAGGTGCCAAGGTACCTGGGTACATGCAGGGGCCACTCACTCCCGAGGTCTCTCACTCACTCACTCACTCACTTCACAGGCGCGTCGACGCGTCTCATGGCTGGATGAGGCCATTCACTTAACCTTGTGCTGTAGATACGAAGGCAACACAGGGTAGCATCCACGATCCCAGTGTCCACTCTGCCATGCTTTGAGGCATGATTCATCTGCTCTCTTCGCAATTGCCATACTGGCTCCGGACAACACCGTCCACCCATTGTCTCTTTGACTGGTGACATCTCAGTTCACGTCGCCATGCCTCGGCACCATCCCAATTCCTCGAGTCGTAGGAGGGCTCAGGATGTCCTACCACTGCCCAAGGGTTTCATATCCATCAGCGAACTCCTTGATGACAGCCAAGGCCCAGGCAAAATGGTGAACGTCATAGGGGTTGTCAAAGACTGTAAATTGCCCATTCCGACTAAGGGCACGGGTGAGATGCGCCGCCTACTCTTCTCAACTGTCAGCTGCACTTACTGATCGTGGCCCTCCCAGATTATAAGAGCACTCTGACTTTGTATGACCTGTCCACACAAGGCGACACTGAGGGTATCGACCTCAATGTTTTCCGTCGTGAGAAGGAAATGCCCACAGTCGAGGCCGGTGATGTCGTCGTGGTCTACTCGGTGAAGCACCAGACATACGGGGGCACCTCTTCCCTCCTTACCACTTACCGCACCGACATACACGTCTACGCCGCTCAGCAAATTCCCAGAAGCGGATCTTCCCAGTCTGCATCGGGCGCCCTGAGACCCCCATCACGCCCTGTCGCCCGAAACCCTGGAGATAAAGAGCACGAGTATGTTACGTGGCTGTACGATCACATAGACAGACAATACATCCCTGATCAGGAAGACTTCTCCGCCCGAGCCGAGCTGTCCAGGAACATCAGAGACCGGTTCAGCCTGCTCGCTGACGTCCAGGACCGCATGTTTGCCGACCTAGTCGTGCAGGTTGTTCGGGAACCATTCGATCTCGGTGACAAGATATGTCTGTGGGTTTCTGACTGGACAGAGAACGCCAGATTCTTCCACAGGACAGATGACAGCCCAGACTGGACTGACGGCATGCCTGTGCGCGACGGCGACCCATATGGCTATACCAGCAAGTTCAAAAAGCCGGTAGACCCCGTAGAAGTCGAGGGCAAATGGCGTGGCCCCTCCGGTAAGCGGTCTTTACAGCTCACATGCTGGGACCCTCACGCCGACTTCATCCGGGACCAGGTCGAACTCGGCACCTGGCTACATCTGCGAAAAGTCCAAATCGGCTACGGCCATAATTCCACAAACCTTGAGGGCTTTCTTCGTGGGGAAAGGCAGTACTCGAATTTCTCAGACAAGATCAATGTACAAATTCTGGACCCCCAGGCCGACGGAGAGAAAATTGATCCTCGCCTTCGCGACGCGATCAGGAGGAAGCGGGACTATGAAAAAGAGAAGGGCCCGACCAAGGGTGCGCACAAGAGGAAGGCTGAGGAGTCCCCGCAAAAGGACAACACTAAGACGAGACGGCAAGCAAAGCGCGCCGCAAGACAGAAGGCGCATGAGCAGGTAGAGGAAAAGGAGAGCAAAGAGCAGCTCATCCCCGACCTGAATGACCTGAGTAAGCTCTCATCTGCATCTTTGAAAGATGCTCTGCGAATTTCACTCGTCTGACAAAATCCAACCACAGTCAAATGCGAGAACCCAGACATGAAACCGAGGCCACTCTCGTTTATCCTCGAGCCAGTCCTCTACCACACCATCATCGCAAATGAGCCAGTCTCCCTCGAACTCCCATTCACCTGCGCCAAGGACCGCACCCACGCCCGTGTCATCGACTTCCACCCTTCCAGCCTTGAGGACTTCGCCGTCAGCCGTCGGCGCACCGACAACGACTGCCTGTCGGACAACAGCGCCGACGACATCGACCCGGACTCGGACGATGGTGAGCACGACACTAGGCACAGCCGCCGCAACCGCGTCTGGGAGTGGCGCTTCGCCCTCAAGCTCGAGGAGGTGTCGCCGGCCCTGCTGAAAAAGGACAAGAAGCCGGCCACCCTCTGGGTCCACGTCGGAAATCCGCAGGCCCAGCTGCTGACGGACCTCGACGCGCAGGACCTGCGCGCCGCGCACAACGAAGAGACGCTGGGCAGCCTCCGCGAGCAGATGTTCAAGCTCTGGGGCGACCTCGAGGAGCGCAAGGTCGACCTCGAGGCGCGGAAGCGGGAGCAGAGAGATAGGATCCTCCACCATATGCCACCGCCCAGCTCCGGCGCTGAGGAGGAGGAGGCTGCGGCGCATAGTGCCGGCCTCGGCCAGATTTCGAATAAGCCATTCACTTGCTGCATACAGCAGTACGGCGTCAAGGTTGAGGCGGAAGAGGGCGAGGAGGACAATGCCGGCGAGGGCAAGAAGTGGCAAAGGATGTATGGGCTCTTTGGGACCAAGATCGCCAGCGATTAGGATTAGCGTTGTGCCTGGGTGCTTGATCATGTTTGTTCGGCGTTCTGAGGCATGGATTGGGAGTTACGATACCACATTTACCACCTCCGGACAGGATGTATGTAGACTTGATTGCCCCTCCCCATTTGCAACTTCTCCTAAAAAAGCGTTGATTCGAAGGGTATGTAACAGGGGCATTCATGACCATTGTTAAGAAGGAAAAATATGTACCATCATTCATCGCAAGCAAAACTGCCGCGCTCCCTCTCAGGCCTGCCCGCCGCCGCTTTTCTCCCGTGTGTTATAGCTTCTAAAGCCCCCACCAGCCTTCCACAAGAGGTTCATTACAAATACAAAAGACCAGACCAGGCGGGCCAAAGAATCATGCAAAGTTGCTACTATCCATTCCAGTCAGTCAGTCGGTCAGTCAGTCAGTTAGTCGATCCGTCCGTCCATGCCCATCCGCCAGCTCTCCAAAACGCCAGGCTCAGAAGAGACTCTTCCTTTTTTTTTCTGTGGTTGTTGTTGTCTTCAGTCTCCCAGAATCGACTCGTCATCGGCTACATGATCAGCTTGCTCCTCTGCCTCGCTCTCGTGGTCCTCAATGGGGTCCTCCAGCAGCTCCCGTCTTCGCAAGTCCTCCTCTGTGCCCTCTTCCGGCTCCTCAGGCTGCTCACCCTCCGACTCGTCATCGTCCGCGACCACTATCTCGGCGCTGATGGCCGGCTTGGCAGGCTGCTTCGGCGCGGGCTGCTTGCTCTTGGCTCTCGAGGCGGCCCTTCTCTTCTTCGCCTCCTCGATTTCCCTCATCTTCTTCTCGTCCAAGAACGCCACAGTCTCTTTGAAGTTATTGCCCAGCTTCACCGAGTTGCGCAGTATTCTCTTCTTGAGTTTACCCGCATGTGGTCCGTTCTGGTCCACTGTCTTCGACAAGATGGCCACGACATACTTGGCGGTGAGCTCGCACAGGGCTTTCTCTGCTCGGAGCTCCGAGGCTCGCTTCTCCTCTGCTGACAGGTCCTCCTCTTCTTCAGCATCGGAGAGCTGGTCATCATCAAGTGGATCCTCGTCTTCAGCAGGTTCGTTGAGATGTCTCTTAGTCTTCTTGGCATATGCTCGCTCCGCTCCGTCAAAGACATTAATGAGCTCAGGGATAAGCCCTGGCTGTATTTCTTGGACTAGGGGTAGGAGACTGGCGTACTTCTTCGCTGCGCCGACGGCCGACCATCGCTCGAGGGTACGCCGAATGGAGCTGAACGTGATGTGTAGATCGCAGAGGCTGCCAGTAGCAAATAAACGCAGATCGTCGTTGATGGCTCTTGAAGACAATGTGTGAATCAGATTCGCCTGATACGTCTTTCTGAGTGTCGCGAGACGACTTATCGCCTTATTTGACACGTCCGTCTGCATCTCGATGGCACTTGTGATTGACAGGACCTTCCACATGAAGTAGAAGTGACAACACTTGATCGCATACGACGTAGCCTCATCTTCCAGATCATCGAGGTCTTCGTCGGCCTGCTGGAAGCGACCACGGTGGACTGCTTTGGTCAAGATCTCGATGGCTGGTGCTGTGGAACCTTCGGTACCTTCAGCTTCCAAGACGTCGACACAATCCTTGACCCGGGCCAGACTGCTGATCTTCATCAGCGTAGTAGAGAGACCTAAGAGAATTGATCCGCTCAAACTTCCTCGCTTCGCGAGGTCATGGGAGGTGTCAAAGTTGCGCAGGGAGTCGATAACGTTTTCCCACAGTGCCGAGATCTTGAGGTCCACTGTCTCCTCATATTCTTCACACTTCCGAGAGTGAAGTAAAGCGAGGGTCGCCTCTGAAACAACGTCTTTGTCTCCGTGTCTCATGAATTGCGTACATATTCCGTCCAGAAGATGTTCAAACGTTGATGAATCTTGTCGAAGTTGTTGGAACACGTCGAGATCAAGAAGGTGTTGCAGGCGCAGGACCGTCGTAGCGGTTTTCGGATCCGCCCCAAACTTGCTCAGAAGTTTCGGGATGACCTGGGCCAGTTGTAAAGCAATTTCCTCGGCAGACTCTGTTGCATCACCCCTCGTCGGTTTCTTCTTTCCCTTCTCAGCATCGTGTATATGTACCAGATTTTGCTTGACAGCCGCCACTAGAACCTCAAGCAGGATTGCCTCTTCCTCTGCAGTGGGAGCGACATGTTGTCGCATTGTCGCCTCGGCTGAGCTCGCTTTTGATCTTGACCTCGATTTTGTGCTTGTTGAATGATCATGGAGTAAAAAGCCGGCCAGCAGCTCCCAGCTCTTGACAGTCTCCATCTTGTCATACAAAACTTGAGACGCTAGCGACATCCGCGTGTCAGGGGCGATTGCATTGATCATATCCGCAGAAATGTCGAGTCCGCGTCGCTCGTCTTCGTCTGCGTCCTCCAGTTGTGATTCATAGACTGCCAGCGTTTCAGCTAACGCCTTCACTTCGAGCCATTCGGTCCGTGGCGCAGTGTCATCAACATCTTCGCCTTCAGGGAACAGTTCTTCGACCGCCTCCTCGCCGCCGATCGCTTCAACTTTCTGTTCAACGGCAGCTTGAACAGCGTCAGAGAAGAACTTAACAATTGCTTTCCGGATTCGCAACTCTGAGTCGAAGATGAGCTTGCCAACGGCGTCGATCTCATCCGGCTCTAGCATTCCTGCCTCCCCGAGTGTTTCAATCACACCGATAGCCGCGACACGCACACTGACATCCAAGTCTTGTGTGGCCATCTCCATGAGACGAGGTCGAAACCTGTCGATGAAGTGGCCAAGCTTTGAGGCATCACGCTTGAACACCCTCGACAGCTGCTTGAGCACCTCCTGGCGTGCAGATGGTACAATGTCTGACAGCAGCCAACCGAGATACCTCAGATACTCGGGCTCCATAAAAACCGTTGGCAGAACCCAGATCCATGATCCAAGAGCTTCGACACACTCTGTGCGGATGCGCGCATCGATGTCGCGATACCTGTGGACGAATACAACTTCGAAGCAGTCTAGCATGTACTTGCCGCACATCTCGCGATTATTGTTTGCCTCATTGAGGGACTTTTGCAGATTGGCAAGCATCTCCTTATTCTTGTTCTTACCTTTCCTGCTCTTTTCCGTCTCAACTTGTTGCGCGGTTTTGCTAATCCTGTCATCGAGCTTCTTCGCAACGCCCGCCATGGCAAGTTCCATAGCCAACGCAATTGTTGTGGCTGTGTGTCGGAAGGGGCGCAGGGTCGACGAGGACATGGTGTACACCCAGCGCGCAATGTTCTCCATGAGTGGTTCATCATTGTAAAGCACATCTGTCTCGTGGAAAACGTTGATCAATGACTCGAAGAAGTTCACAAGCAGGTCTCGGAAGCTCCTGCTCTCCTTTGCCTTCGCTAATGGATAGTCGGTGATTTGTTTCTACGGCTGGTCAGTCCGGTTCGGGCCGCAAACACATGTGATACGCACCTCTTGGTACAGATCCTGCAGTTCAGACAGGCGATTTTGAATGTTGTCGGGGTCTTGGATGTCATCTTCTGTCACTTGTTCGTCGCACCCCGCAGCGAGGAGAACACAGTTGACGAGGTCTGTCACCGCTGCCTCGTTGTCGGATTTGTACTTCTGATACCATCGACTCGCTACGTCGTCCGAAGAATCGCCGGATCCGAAAATATCCGCTGCATTCTGTCAATACGAGTGATGCGCGCTCCAAGACACGCCAGTGCTCACCATATACTCCATCACCGTCGCGCCTGTCGCCCGTCATAACGCGTACACTCTTCTTCGCTTTCGGCCTACTAGGCAGCCCTAAAGACAGTGACGTTGCTGTAGGACCTGCGCCGTTGACCTTTGGCTTCTTCGCAGCTGGTTTCTTGGCTCGCGACTGTTGCGACGCGGTCCTCTTCTTCTTTGGCTTGGCGCGCTCCTCTTCCGAAGGAGAATCGTCGGCATCGTCTTCACTGGACTCCTCATCTCCCTCGTCTCCTTCAGGGTCGAGGTTCTCGGCATCGTCCTCCTCATCGTGCTCGCCCCTCTTGCGTTTTGGCGCGATCGTGATCTCGGGCTGGAACTTCTCGGGAACTCGCGTCTGACGGCCAGACCGGCGGCGGGAGGCTGGAGCCGGAGACGGCGTCGCGGTGTTTTCTGAAGTGTCCATGAGGGGCAGCCGGACGAATGGCATCGAAAAAGATCGGAGGCCAATTGTCTGGACGGATCGATGGGCGCGTCGAGGGCGGGGGAGGGAGAGGGAAAAGTGGTGATAAACAAGTGATGCACCGCGTCCCTCCAATTGAGCAGGGCGCGATGGGACGTGCACTGCAGGGGAAGGGGGCTGCTACCTTGGCTGCCTGAGGCTCCATCCCTAGTGCCGTTTTCCCGTGCCATCGCACGGATCACGTGCGGGGAACCGTTTCGGTGATAACGGTCGGAACCCCGTCACTGGCCGTCTAATCATAATGTTGGCATTCCGCGTAACGTGTAAGTTCACTCAGTTGGCTCACCTGGCTTGTTGCTGTCATTCTTTGATAACCTGCAAGGTATCAACCTAATATCATAGAATGTTCTTATGATTCTTTCTGTTTGACTGATCTTGTTGGCGGGGATGGAGGGGGGCGATTAGCACTTGGGTAAGAGAGCCGTCTGGACAGGCCACGGTTGGATTAGAGATCTCGCGGCTCATCAAATGATAATCCATGCGAGTCGATAGGACACCATCCAGAGCAGATGGCCGAGTAAATTGCTAGCAGAAAAGAAGTTGCCTTATATATATGTCCTAGGGCGTATTTGACTACGCGTCTAACCCGTCTAGCTCTATCAATTTTGTGACCGCTCTGATAACGTCGTTGTCCCTAAGGTCTATAGAGGGATTCTCCACCTTCCTTGCGATGATATTGTCTACCATGCCCCTAAGCCTAGAGATAAGTACACCGATACGGGCCCAACCCCTCAAACGTAGCCATCCATCTACAACAAGGCCTCGGCCGAGTGTGTCCAGTTCGATAGCTCCGGAGAACATCAAGAGGGTGTAGGCGTTGAAAGCTAAGCCAATTAGTCAGAAGTGAGGTATTGGCAGAAGAGAACGAGCATGTAAGTGCGAGGGACGAGGTTTCAAGGCCTTGTACTTACGAGTTAAATCTCGGACAAATATCTTAGACGTGGCCATCAGCGTAAAGTACGATACGAATGCTGCATTGCCCGAAAATCCTTGACTGTCAAACAGTGTGCTGCTTGGGTGCACAAACACCCGGCCGTTCTCCTGGTTGAAGTACTTGATAGTCTTGGCCTCGGGGTCGAGCTCAACAGCTCCGGAGACCGAAGCCATGTATTTCTTGTCGGGAAACTGGATCCTCGCAATTTGTGGGCTGAAGGCCGATGCTGTCAACGCTCGAAGGAGTGGCATGGAGGGCGACTGGGTTCTGTGCTTCCCAGAGTATACATCCGCCGAGCTGACGATGCCAACCTCAGCAAGGGAGGAGTAGTACTGCGTCCTTGTTGATGCGATATCTGACATTGTGTTGTATGACAGGAAGTTGTCATCACAGAATCCACGAACCTGACGCTGCGGCATCCGATCCTGCATCATCTCGTCCCACTGCTGGAATGCCCTCAAGTCGGTCAAAAGATCACCGTCTCCTTGCGCAAACCTCATCTTGGCCTGTTTTGCCAGCTCTCGCTTATCTGGGGGTGACAAGAACGGACTCTTTGTGCTCAGTATCGCGGCGATGGTAACGCAGTCATCCAGGCAGCCAAAGATCGCGCCATACACCATGAGTTTGCCGCAGCGCAAGTCCGCGGGGATCATGGCAAGTTGCTGTCCGAGGGCCGTGAGTTCATCTCCATCGAGAGCCCCCATTCGACGCAGCATCTTGACAGCACCTTCAACCGCCATCGCCTCAGGCGGTGTTGGAGTGCGGCCCAAGAAAGCAGCGACATCTCTGTTGCCCATCGCGCGGACAGATAGGCACAACTGCTCCAGCGGTACTCGTCGTATTTCCGGATCCGGTCTCTCGAGCATTGTCTGCTCTTCGAGTTTTCGAGTGTAGAGCTTGTAGCATTTTCCGGCCTGGACTCTACCAGCACGTCCTCGACGTTGCTTGCAAGCGGCTCGAGACGCCCAGGTCTCTCCCAGTCTGCGCATGTTGTTTTGTGGGTCGTAGCTCGTCTCTTTTACTCGTCCACTGTCGATGACTGCTACAATATCATCGATCGTGATTGATGTCTCAGCAACATTGGTAGCAACAACTACCTTCCTCTTGCCCGAAGGTGGAGCAGCAAAAACACGTCTCTGTTCCTTCGTTTCGAGAGACGCATGTAAGGGAAGGACATATAGGGATGAGACGGAAGTGAGCAGCCTGCACACCTGATTGATCTCTGCAACTCCAGGCAAGAATATGAGTATTCCACCGGATTTTTGCGTCTGAGACAGCTCTCCGTCGATACACTTGGCGGTTTCCAAGAGAAGGTTATAGTTGATCCGCATACCAAGATTTTGGATCACCTTGGAGACACGTTGCTCATCGTCCAGAGTGCGGTCTTTGCTGTCGTTATAGTCCTGATGCCCGGTAAACCCAGTCTGGTGTATGATATCATCTAGGTAGAAGTCTTGGACGGGGAAGGTCCTGCCGGCAATTTCCACGAAACCAACCTGGAGCCCGTCGGCCTTGAAGTAATTCCCGAAGGTCGCGGAGTCCAAGGTTGCGCTCATGAGGATCAACTTGAGGTCCTTACGTTTCATGAGAACGTCTCGGATAATGCTAAGCAAGAAGTCTGTATCGAGGGATCGTTCGTGGACCTCATCTATTACAACGTGACTGACGTCTGCGAGAGAAGCCACCACATCATCAATTCGGCCACCTGACGTCTGTAGGCGTCTTAGAAGTACACCAGTCGTGACGAAGGTGATCTTCGTGTCCCGGCTAGTCTTGTTCTCGCCTCGGATGGAGTAGCCGACTTCTTGACCGACAGTCATGCAGCGTTCCTCGCTTACTCGATCCGCCAGACCAAGGGCTGAAATTCGGCGAGGTTGTGTGACGATGATGTTGGCGCACTTGGCGTAGCCTCGATCGTAGAGATCGTCCAGAATGAATTGCACAGACTGTGTTGATTTTCCTGAGCCAGTCTCGCCCGAGATGATGGTGATCTGGTTTGCCTCAACTGTGTCAACAATATCCTCCCGGACTTCCCAGGCTGGCAAGTTCCGGCGCTGCGCCACCATTTTCTGGAAGGAAGCAGATTTTTGCCTCTCCATCCACTTTTGAATTGCACTGCTCTCAGGAACCCATGAAATGGGGTTGGGATGTCGTGATGTTTTCTTGGCCCGCTTCCGTACTGAGACTGTCTTTTCTTCTGAAGCTGTGGAAGAGACAGCCGCAATGTCACGAAGGGCGCCTGGTCTCTCAATTATGTCGTTGATATTCTCCTGCATCCAGCTGATGACGTAGAACAGTTTCGTCTCCTCTCCCTGGAGAGACTCGGCCATATATGCCAGTGTCTTCTTGATTATACTCAGCTTGATATATGATGGGAGATCGGCAACCACTGAAATGATGAGCTGAGACGGATAATGTGGTGATTTTCGGAGCTGAATGTAAGCCTTGACATCGTTCTTTGCACCATTTGTGACCGACTCAAGGCGCACCTGGCAAACATCTGTTCCCAGGCGAGAGTATTGTTCCCCGTATAGAGACTCCAGACTTGCGAGCTCATCTTCCCATTGCTGATCGCGGTCTTCAGTGGACAATGTGTCGTCGGATATGGTGTTTGCCTCATCGTCTGAACCGCTACTCAGGAGAATCTTCTGCAGCGTCTCGGCGGCCTTGCCCTCATCTCCGGTGTCGTCGTAAACCTTGCGACAAAGTTCGATAGAGTAACCAGCTTCTGCCAAGCGCGTCGCAGCGCCTTCTCTCCGCAAATCCGTGGCCGCAACAGAGATGCCAGCACCGTATTTTTCAGGTAGGGCCCATTTCGGCAGATCATCCTCCGGAACATGGATTAACAACCATTCAAGTGCCTCCTCGCGATCCTTGCATTCCTCTACTGCTTCCTCGATGTGGCTGGGCCGAAAACCCAAGTCTTTGAACTCTTTAATGATCGACGCCTTCTGGTCTTGTTTCATAACGACTGCGTGTGGGTTCCAGATCGTATCGCGTCTGAGTAGACTTTCCAAGTGCTGCCTTGTCTTGGTGCCCATCTCCATTTTGGGTACGGTGGTCCATCCCTTCATTGGGTTGTAACCGCCACCTCCAGACGCTGCGGCATTGCCCCGAAGCACCAGCCCTGAAGCGCCCGGCATCTGAGCGGCCTTCTCCTTGACAGCTTGCTGCTCCTTTCTCTTCTTCTCAGCAGCGACCTTTGCGGCTTGTCTCTCCTCCAGTGCTTTGAATGGGTCGGCCTCGTACATCCACCCTTTGCCGTCCTTGACGTCCTGCTTCTTCAAGGTCTCGAACTCCTTCCATAAGGACCTGTAGTCGGGGGGAAGGATCATACTCATATTCTTCATACTGCACACCCTGTAAAGTGCGTATGTGGCTGCAAAATGTTTTGCCTCCAGGGCCGTGGGCTTGTATGCCAAATGCACGTGGCTTGGGGGCAGCTTGAAAGGTTCAAGTCTGACAACCTCCTTGGTTTTGGGGTTCTTCGCGCTGAGTGTGACCATAGACGAGAAGCCGTCTGCATTGTGCCGCTATAAAGATATCATCAGCAATGTTTCTGTATGTATAAGATAATTTCCTCATCGTGATCCTCTCTCGGGAGTATCTTGCACCCTTCATTTGGCATGGGACAACCGCCTGTGGGACAACTGCATCGGGGTAGTCTCATGTGGGATATTTTCGCGCGTGAAAACCTGTGCGAGATGTCCTGCGTGGGATACTGGTATAGGATCTGTAGAATAATCTCCCGTGGGATGACCCACTGACCGCCTGTGGGACAATCCCACATAAGGAAGACTCTCGTGGGGTTGTCTCACACGGTATAGCCTCCTTTGGGACAAACTCATGTGGCAAAACCCCCGAGTGCTCGCGAATGGTGCATCCGCCGGATAACTAGGTAGGTCAAAGATGGTGCTTACCTGATGATAGTCTGGCCTCTCCCATTTCATCTTCTGGCAGTGTTCCGAGAGAAGGTTCACGGGTAGTTTGCCAGTCCACGACTGGCCCCCTATAATCTGCTTGACCGTGGGCTTGGGCGGCTCCGGAGGTCCCTCTTCGGCAGCAGTAGATGGTCCCCCCTTCTTCTTCTTATCGGTGGTGAAGATGAGCAAGTCATCTTCAGGGGCTGCGGCCTTCTTTGCTGCGGGCGTTTTCTTCACCGGCGTCTTCGTCGTTGATGCCTTCGCAGATGTTTTCGAAGACGTCCCAGAGGCAGAAGCACTGCCACTGCCACCGCCACCGCTCTGGCCCTTCCCTTTCTTCACCATAGTTGCAAAAAGGCAATCACGCAGTAGTATAGAGTTTGCGGGATTCCATGGGTTGCTGACGTTGTCGCCATAAGATTGAGTGCCAGGCCGCTAATGGTGATGAGAGATCAGGGTTTATTTTATCGCTAGCGGACGGCGGTTTGGGGTCACTTTCGGCCAATTGTTTTAGGAAGGAACGGGGCGCCCGTAGGGCTGAGGCGAATTACCCAGGCTCCCAGGCTCCCAGGTACCCAGTTACCGGCGCAGGCGCTCTGACCCTGAGCAGATCAGTGCATCTGCCATCCCCAAAGCCGCTGGTATAGGAGTTAAATTGACTGTTTTCTCCCTCAGGTATTGACCACTTTAGTACACAGTCATACCTTTTAAAGCATGAGGGAATATCTCAAGACTGAGGCGATAACATCTTCACAAGTAGACTACATTAGGAGAAAGTCAGCGTCCGCTGCTCCATCAAATGTGCCTTCTACGGCCGGCTCGCCACCAGTCGATGCGACTCAGATCGCAGCACACTAGCATTCTCCTGTTGCTGCTGCTCGTTCCACGAGGTCACATGCGATGATGCAAAAGCGTTGGTTCAACCACATAGACAACCTCCACTTGACCTTGCATATGCTCGTGTCGGCCATCTTCTCGCGGGCTACAACTCAGCAAGTGGGGAGGCAGATAGTGGTTACATAGTGAGGGACAGTGAAGGGACTTAGACTGCAAAGTGATTTGATCCAGCTAGATCTGAGGCTGGATCCTGCCACATGATAGACTGTGATGGAGACACGAGCTGCTGTGACTTCTTGCTTGCTTTCTTGCTTCCTTGACATGTTTGTATTACACCTGCCAGGGGGTTTGAAAACCAAGGCACCCCTGTGAGCCGAAGTCACAGTCTAGTCTAATATTGGTATTGGTATCAGTGGTGGGTTGGGAGCTTGACGCGTGAAGCTCGAAGCTCGAAGCTCTTTGGCGCGACGCGGGGAAGTCTGAAATCGCGGGGCATGTGAAGCTCTGTTTGCCCTTCACCAGCGCTACTGTTTCCATCGCCTACTTCCACTCCATCAAATCAAAAGTCACAACTCTTTGCATCTTCACATCGCATTCCTGCAACGCACAGGAGGACGAGATTCATGATGGGGTCCGAGTCTTCGAGCTACCGGCCGAAGAGGCGCCCGTCGGACTCGTCTCCTGAAGCTCCCAACAAGAAGCGGCCACCCCCTGATGAAGAGAACACCGCAAACGATCCTGAGGATGCCATCACTCAGGAAGAGATCCAGAGCATAGGATCGCCATCAGACAAGCCCAATCAAGCTGGCAAGATTCGCAATGCTTGTATGGAAACACCCTCTCCAAAATCTGTCTAGGACCAGCTAACTGACCATCGTACCATCCTCAAGTCTCTGAACTCATGGCCCCGAAACCCAAGACAAAGACCAAGACCCACTCTGCCAGTTCAGCAACTAACAACAACCCCTACGCCGGCCGTGATGGTTTAGGCTACTACGTCGAAAAGGGCGAATACTTGCCTGTCGGCGCCAAGATCTTTGCGGACGCTTACTTCGTCGCCATCCCTGACATGTACCCCAAAGCGACAGTGCACTACCTCCTCCTCCCGCGGTCGGCAGACAAGAACCGGCTGCACCCCTTCGACGCGTTCGATGACGCCGACTTCCTGTACTCGGTGCGTGGGGAAGCGAACATTCTCGCAGGCCTCGTCGCCAGGGAGCTGCAGCGCCAGATCGGGGAGCACAGCGCGTCCGAGGCGCCGCGGCGCGCCGTCCTTGCCGGAGAGGTCGAGGCCGAACTGGACGAGCGCGGCAGGGTCGTGCTCCCGGCGGGCAGGGACTGGAAGAAGGAGCTCAAGGTCGGCGTGCATGCGCACCCGAGCATGAACCACCTGCACGTGCACGTCGTGAGCCGCGACATGCACTCGGACAGGATGAAGGTGCGCAAGCACTACAACTCGTTCACGACCGACTTCTTCGTGCCGCTGGCCGACTTCCCCTTGGCCAAGGACGACCCGCGTCGGAACCAGGCGGGCTGGCACGAGCAGCCGATGGTGTGTTGGCGGTGCGGACGCGACTTTGGCAACAAGTTCAAGGAGCTCAAGAAGCACCTCGAGAAGGAGTTTGACGAGTGGAAGAGGGAGTAATTGTCACTATTGGCATGTTTTTGGCCGACTTCAGTCACGGTATGGCGTTCGGTTTCGCCAGGATGGTGTCGGATATTGTTGCGAGGACATCGTGACAAGGCGTTGATTGAAAATGATACCCCTTCCTAATTTATTGTACAGCCGGCCTTATGGAACAAGCAACACCGGCATAGCCAATCAACAATTGCACAGAACATGATCAAACTCCTCGCGTTTTGGTGCCCTTTTCATTGTGCACGGTCAAGCCATTTCCAGCATCATCAGTTTGAGAAAATAGAAAACCCCTCCGAAGAATCGATCATTTCAGTCAAAAAGGAGATGAACCCGTGCAATTCAGCTGGTCGTCCGTCCCGCCATGCCATTCACCCGTCATTGATCACTGGAGCCCAAGTTTCCGCCCGACCATTGTAAAGAAACCGCGGTTGCTCGTCGTGTCCTGTGCAGTCGCGTTGAGAAGACGATCAAACAAGATGTGAGATGTAGATGAAAAGCTATACCTCACCAAGAGGTCCAGATCCGCGATCTGAAGCGCTGCGCGCGTCATCTGCAGTGTTTGTAGCATGTTAGAAGATGGGCTCCTGTAGATCGAAATACTTGATAGGAAAGGGTGTCATGTCCGAGACTTGCCATCTTCCGCTTCACTCACCGCCGTCCTCGTCGGAAAGTTGCTCTTCGTCGTCCTGCTCCTCGGCATCGTCGCTAGCCTCCATGTCGACATCCTCGCCGAGCTCCTTGTCCTCGTTGGCCTTGGCAGCATCGGACTTGCGACCCTTGGGGCCACCGCGGGCGACGGTAGTGGCCTTCTTAACAGCAGCAGCCTTCTTGCCGCTGGTTAATCTGGCAGTCAGGGCAGCGGCCTTGGCCTTCTTGCCGGAGCCTGGGGGGCGACCGCGGGGTTTGCCGGTGGGGACGTAGGGAGCCTTGGGGCTTTTGTTGGGATTGGGAGGGCGGCCGCGACCGCGTCCTGGGACGGCGGCGGGCTTCTTGACCTTGGAGGCGCCAGGCTCGGACTTGGGGCGACCGCGCCCACGCTTGGGTGTCTCCTCGGAGGCTGCGGCAGGCGGCGGTGATTCGACAGCTGGAGCAGCGCCGGCGTCGCTCGTTCTGGATGCGCGACCGCGGCCCTTGGCTGCGGACTTGGTGGGAGCCATGCTGAATGGAGTGTGGTTTGGTGTCGGCGTTGAAGGTGATGTGGATATGGGACGGTGTTGAAGAACGGAGAAGGGGGAGAGTGGAGTTTGGTGGGAAAGGCGCGAGGAGGCGCGTGTTGCGGTCAATTGCTTGAAGCTGAGGTAGTCAGCTGCCGGGTAATTTTGGAAATAAATTGTAATATAAAGAAATAGAGGGTACTTACAAAGATTGGCTTGGGAAGGAAGAGAGAGCGAGCTATGCTTCTGCGCCCGAACTATGGAAGAAGCTCCAAATACGCGACGCGTCTAGAGCTCCCAGGGACAACAGCAGGGGGGGAGGGGTGGCTGTACTCCACCTTTGTAGGTACGTCAGTAGATACCTAGGTACTTAGGCAAGTGGGCTCTAACTTCACACGCAGGCCGAGGGGTAACCTAAGGTACTGACTGCTGTACGGAGAGGGGCATCTGTTAGTCTAGCTGGCAGCGTTGTAAGTCGGCTGACGTTGGCTTGCCCTCCTTGTTTAGAGCCATCCAGAAGATGGGATGCGCTCGGTCTGAACCATCACCTCGTTTCCCCTTCGCAGCAATTGGCAATACAAGGTGATGCCCAACTCTTTGACTGGCACGCTCCTCTTCTCGATAGCAACGAAATGAACGAAGCCTAAAAGTCACTCCGTTACCCAACTTACAGCCCGGCCGCAGGGGGCGATATCTCCATCTGCGCACAACGAATGACGTCTTAAAACAGAGTTCATAGCACATCTTCCTTGAGCTTCAAAAATAATTATTGTTTGCGTAGGAACCTCGTGTCTTTCACTTTCTCTGTGTGGAAACTTTACCTGATTACTGTCATCGCGATCGCACGCATGGATCTCGACAAGCTTTCGGCTGATGAGCTCGATGAAGCCTTTCGCCTTCTCTCCCGTCCCTTCAGCCTCAATCGGGCTTTTGCCCGGCCGCCCCCTGGGGAACCTCCAACGACTGTGTTCCAAACCCTCGGCTCTTCTGCACCAGTCTCAAAACTTGGCCAGCTCGGCCTTCTCCCTCTGGAACTCATGTCCAATGTCTGCTTAGGCCTGGATATATCCTCGGCATTTAGCTTCAGCCAGGTCAGTCGACACGCTCGTGAGGCGATATCCAGCGTGAGAGAGTTTCGTCTGGCTGGGAAATACGCCACGGGCTGCCTTTGGGTCTTCCTCAACACCCAGGTTGCTTCTCATGTGGACATAACTGCCTTCTACTCGGCTCTCACAACAAGGAGCTGCAGCTTTTGTGATCAGTTCGGTTTCCTGCTGAGCATTCCCACCGTCCAGCGCTGCTGTCTGAGGTGTTTCCAGCGCGAGACCAAGCTGCAGCCTTCTTATCTCAGTGAATTGACTCGAGGGGTCATTGGAATACCCTCTGCCAGCATCATCAAGAGGGACTATCCGGTTTTGCGCACAATCCCTAATTCATACAGTTGGGGTCACCTTTCAGTAAGCAGATCCCCGAGGCTGTGTCCACCTATATAAGGATACATATCCGCCACATCTGTGCGCTTCCTCACTACTTGCCCGAAAACTCTGGAGTCCACAGCCTGTGTGACATGCGATTGGCGGACAATCGACTGAACCATCTCATATGCCTTCTTCCTCTGTCATTTCATGGCTGACTCCGAATACTGCAGTTCGAGAGGAGGCGATACATAGTAGCTGGTCAGCACGCTCGTGAATTGCAACGAGGCCGTGATCATCTCTTGCCTCCGTCGCGGCAAAGTTATATCCTCCTGTTCACGGCATTCACCATTCTTCCCTACCTCGACCCCGTGACCGAGGAGCTTCGGCATGGTCTCACCTGTCGTGGATGTGTTGTACATTCATCTAGCACGCGCGAGGAATTTTTTAAGCATTTACGGAGGTGCTCTGGGGCAGCCAATTTCTGGCGCTGGTCCTTCAATAACAGGCCATGATCTGGCTCGAGTATCTGATGATGACCCTTGCGAGGCACTATAATTTTCAGCCTGCACTGAAAGCTTCTGTCTGATTGAGTAAAGCCCTCTGGGCCCCGGCTCAGGGGCTTTCATTGACATCTCATCCATTGATATACATCCTGTGACCATCAGTCAAGCTTCAAATAAGGACAGCTTTGTTGAAGGAACACGGCACATGAGAATCAGAGTCCATGGAACGCCGCTCGTCAGACTCAGTACTTCTCTGGCAGGTCCTCGAATGCGAAATTTCGACAGTGGCTGGTTATTGCATCTGTAAGAACCAGGCTTGTGCTGCAAGGATTGAGTTCTCGTCATGTGCTAGGCAAGTCTATTTTCCCTTCACAATCTACGTTGGCAACTTTGTCACAAAAACATCTGAATTGACTGCTCAAATCAGAAGACGCAGAGGCTAGTGAGCCCGCATCAAGAGCTGTGGATTTCCCAGACCACTCGAGACAGGGAAAATTTCGCCGTCTCTTCTTGAACAGGGCGCGTCTCCTTTATGTTTGACCTGGTCTACAATCTTCACATTACATGGATCAAGGGGTGAAGAAATGAAGCATTGTACATTGCGGTAGCAAAGTGGACTACTTCTACCGGTTGCCCTGACTGTTCCTGTGCTCAATCTCATGCATGCAATCTGTGCTCTCTTCCCTACTCTCCTACTTGGGCGGCATGTCCCACGGCTCGTCAGAACAAGCAGTTGGCGCCGAAAAGGTGCCACATCCGTCACCATGGGGGTTCAGACAGCACCTCGGGTAATACGGACAGCACTGCGAGCCTTCGGTCGTTGTGTATACCGGCTCTGTGGTCGTCTCGTGGTGAGGAGGCTTGCTCGAAGTCGTGGTCTTCACTGGTTTGGTCTTGCTTGGCACAGTCGAAAGAGATTTGGTCCTGGCTCCAGAGGTGGATTGACTGATAGCTGAAACCGAAGTGCTGGTCGATGTGCTAGACGCTTTGGGTTTCGAAGGAGTTGTAGTGCTTATTGAGATCGTCAGGGTGAAAGATGCCGTCTGTGTCACGGGGCGGGAAGAAGTGATGCTTGGAAGCTGGAGTGAGGACTTCGAGCCCATGAGGGAAGTAGTTGATTCGATCAACGTAGTGAAGGATGCTGTGCTTGACAGAGATTGGAGAGAACTCAGGTCCGGGAGCTGGGACGACGACTGGGGGGACAAGGTCTGGGACGAGCTCTGGGACAATGTTTGGGACGAGTCCTGGGGCGAGGTCTGGGACGAGTCCTGGGACGAAGGTAAAGACTGGACGGATCCGGCCGTGGTGGAAGTTGGCAAGACCGACGAAGTAGACACTTCGGATACCTGTGTGAAGGTTGTCGTTGAGATAGTATTGGCAGAAGCGCTGGAGGCGGTGCTTGAGCTAGCGCGCCAGAGCGTAGAAAGCGTGTTCCACGGTGCGAACCAGGATGTATCGACCGGCAGACTCGAAGATGGGGTCCAGGTTGAGTCCCAGCTGGTGACCTGGCTTGTGTTCGCCGGAGGAAGGCATGGCTCGGCGTTGACCGTCATGTTTCCGTCATCTTGTATCGAAATCGGCGGTATTGGACAAGCTAGGAGTGGTCGTTAACTCCGAGGACCCATTCAGAAGTCGAGCTGGACCGCTACTTACTGTTCATGGGCCCGAACGCGCCATTGTAGGCCATATTCACAATGCTTGGAAGGTTGAAAGGCAATCTTCCCAGGTACTGCGGTTGAATGGTGCCACCAATCCCATCTGTCCACTGATATGACAGAGCCGTCATGTACTGCTTCATGCGGACCCCCCAAGGGAGCTGCTGGTTTCTCGCTTCACTCCACTCAAATCGATCCGCGTTCTCAGGCAAGCCCAGAAAATATGCAGTCAAGCCAGCCTAAATCAACAGATGTAGTGTAAGTCTAATTATTCAGCCTTGAGATCCTGGGTTTTTCCAAGGTGAGGTGTTGATTCCTGAGAGTTGGAATATACAGCTTGTGATCATTCATATGGAACGGGAACAAGGACTGCGACTTACCACCAAGGCTGCAGCACCACTTGTATGTCGAGGTCTGAACAGAATCCATCCGTCTTGAACTGAACAGGAAGGCATGTTATACCCCGGAGCATAAATGTCGACCCAACCAAGGCTTGTGCCCGCCGGTAATCTGGGATCGTTATCGTCCTGTATAAAGACGTCTCCTGCATGAACACCTCTAGGACACGAACCAGGCCAAAAAGTTCCGTCTTCGAAGGCTGCAGAGACGGTAATCATCTCACTGTCTCTGGTGCTTCCGAACTTGGGCATCGTGTCTCCAGCTCCCACCATGACACCTGGCACTATTCTCGGGTCCGCGGCCTCCTCAGGATAAAAGCCTTGATTGCCTGACGACTGAATCCAAATGATACCGTTCGATTTAGCTGCCTGGGCGATATCACTGTAGACTTTGTTCATAACGTTAACCCAGGCAATTAATCCCGAGATGAACTCCGCCAACTGTTCTGGTGTCAGATAAGGGCCGGCTTGACGACGCGCGAGAGTCTCCCATGTCGAACTATCTTTGATGTAACGAGGATAGTGGTAGCCTGGTAGATTTCAAATTAGTAAAACCGATTCTGACGCTCGTGGTGGAATCACCGTGTTGGTACTGAAGCACTCGCCATTCGAATTGCTTATAACAGCTTTCCCTTGCAGCTGCCGCTCCTCAACTATGTCCACAATGTGAAAATACGCATCATGTAACGCGTCGGGATTTTCTCGTTTCAGTTCCCAGTGAGCAACGCCTCCTTTTCTACTGAGCCAGTAATTTCTGGTCTTGATGAGATAAAGATGGGAGTTTGGCGCGAGACTGAACGTTTCACCGCCGGCTAGACAAGCCATATCAGTTCCGTGTGCTTCCAAGTCACTCATGTCTTCGGCAGCATGATATCGCGCCGGTACGTTGGCCAAAGTTAGTCGATTTGAAACCACATACCACTCTGGGTTATGCATCTCAGCCTGTGTCGCCGGGGTCAGCATAACCCTCAGCAAGTTCCTGAGCGATACAACTCACTTGCCAAAGAGGTCCATCTATCGCTGCACCACTGTCCGGAATGAATATTGTGACACCTTGGCCGCCAGACGAGTCTCTCTTGTAAGTGAAATCGGGAGGCATACCTTTACGATGTGAAAAGGCTGCTAGGTTCATTGATGCCTCACTCTCTCGAAACTCGCGCTTTTGATAGACAGTAAGGGCCTCATGTGAGGCTAGCCTTTGGCTACCACTCTCCGTGTGCCTTTCCTCCATAGCATCGAAGAGAGGAGCCCACATCTCCATCTGCTCGAAAGTAGGGTGCAGATAGACATCGCGTACAAATGGTATCAGCCGGATGAGCGTTGCCTTTAGTAACGTGATCTCGGTAGTGTAGCCTGGGCCGTAAGCGGGCGGGAGCCCCCTCCTCTTCAGGTCATCGTTGACAGACGGATCAGCAGCAGTTTTGACACCTTTGTTTTGATCAAGGACAAAGGTCCAGACGTTGAAGACATTGATAGAGAAACCTTTCTCAAACAAAATGAAGTGTAGCCGCTCCTCCTGTGGTATCTCCTCTGTCGAATTTCCCTGGCTGATCTGATGGAGGCCCCAAACACTGGTGACTAGTGCCCCTCCAGAAGTGATTGGTAGCCATTGTGTCTGACAGAGGCCCCAGAGGCTTTGGACAACAGCTTCAGAGTTCGCCCACGCAATTTTGATGATGTTTGAGAGATTGCTGAGCATTCCTCTCGCCACCGAAATCTCGGGATACGAGCTGAACACACGACCAGCCGCCGTAAGCTCGTCCAACTCAATCGAGGTAAAGGATGCTAAGTCTTCGTTGATTGCCTGCATAGCACCATCGAGCTCCTCCGCTGCACCCTCGAGGCTACTCAGGGCAGAGCTCATACCATCAATGAGAGAACTTGCGCTCACACCATAGCTACCGGCCTCGGAAGCGTAGCCAGCAGCAGCTGCTGCATCAGCGATGCCAGCTTGCATGATGTTAGCGCCAAGTGAAGCGAGAGAGTCTCCTATAGAGCTGGCTGCACTTGTGAAAGCTGCCTCGGCTTGTTGGAAGCACACAAAGACACCCCAGGAACATGGAGAAAGCTGGAACTGGCGCGTGGAAAATTGCACAGACCAAGAAGATAGCTGCTGGCTTGAGGAACCACCATTTTGGCTCAAATATTGGTAGCTGGGGATAGGCAGGGATACATCATCTCGCTCGATGGCCTGGTCTGTAAGCTTGGCTGTGGTAGAATCGCTCAAGATGATTATCATGGGGTCTTGACCTGGGAGCGGCGGGTAGTATTTTGTCCCGTCAATCGTGATGGTGATGTTTGCCATAGGAAAACCCGCAAACTTGGCACCTTGTGGGGGAGTTACTGATGAAGAGGCTAGCATCGAGCTGCTGGAGGCAGACATAGTCAGACTAGTTGCGGAGGTGCTCGAAGACATGTCTATGCAAGGTGGTTAGTTCTGATCTAGGATCATTTTTCACATTTATGTCTGAATCACGGAAGAGGTTCGCAAAGGAGGCGAAACAGTTATAAAGGGGCAAAGTTGATAGAAATTGAGGACCACGACAGACATACCGGATTGAGCCGAGGCAGTTGATATCGAAGAGCTCTGAGAAATCGAGCTGGTTTGAGTGGTAGTTGAAGACAGAGACTCAGTAGTCGACAATGAGGAAGCAGGCTGAGATATGGAAGACGAGTGAATTGTCGATGAATCTTGTCGCACCGATGTCTGAGTTGCCAAAGTGAGAGGCGTTGGGGAGCTGACTATTTGTGAACTTGATGCCGGGCTTGATGGGACAGATGCCGAGGCCGAGGAGGGCAAGGACGGAGCTGTACCGCTGGCTGTATTCCAGGCTGAAGCGCTGTGATCAAGGGTAGATGAGCAAGTTTCCCCGGACACTTGCAGTGTCACAGACGATGACATTGCCCCACTGTTTGTAACGCTTACGGTAGTCGTTACCATCAAACTTAAGGTAGTACCAGATGCGCTGGTGCTGTCGGAGATACTACTGCCAGATGAGCCTGTTCCGCTAGCAGGCTGTGAAACAGATGTGTTGACCCCCGAAGTTGTTGCACAGGACGAAGACCTGTCACTAATCAGGGTGAGACTGCTGCTTGCGGAAGTTGGTCCAGTAGAAGAAGTGATAGTAGAGTCTGGTGAAAGGCCGACGGAGCTACCCGTGCAAGTTGAGCTGGAAGTAGATCGCTCGGGCGAAGACGTGCATGATGGCGAAAGGGCAGGAGGCACCGCACCCGAAACAGCGGCAGTTGACTCGTTTGTGACAGTCGAGACGATCGGGCTTGCGATGGTTCCATCGCTGGAAATTTCCGAGGGAGGTGCTGCTGTGGTCGAGCAGGTATCATGGCTTGATTGAACAAGATCTTGTGAAAAGCGATCAGCAACACACAAGTAAGGGCCCGTGGTCAAGTTTCAATATTTGTGCTTACCTGTGGAGGTGGCATCTGTGGACAAGATGGCCAGGAAGAAGAGGAACAACGGAAGAATCCTCATGGTGACGAGCTGCGATGGTCTCACCATCATGTAAGTCCTTGTACACGTGTTTCAATGTTGTCGGCCAAGAGGGACGGTGGTTGCCAGTGTCACGGCGCTTGAAGAGGATGTTTTCTTGTACAGAAGAAACTGTGATGATCGAACCAGATGGGTTGTGGTGGAAATTACGTGGGTAGGAAGAGAGCTCCCAGGACTTGGCTTGTGTGGTTTCCCCTTCTGTCTGGGTCCCTGCCTCAAAGCTATCAAAAAGCTATTCTACCAGAAAACTCGCTGTGCTCACCTTGCGAACCACTTGTAATGGCTTCAAATCAACTCTATCCAAAGCAGGCAAACAAAAGTGGGTCGTTCTGATTGCTCTTCCTCCAAAGAGCTGTCTTCAAAGAGCAAAAAGCTTCCCCAATATCGCTCTAAGACTGGACATACTTCATTTCCTTGGACTCGATGGGGGTGCTTTCAAATTGGTTTTCATTTCCGGTACGAACTGTTTTGTGGAACAACAAAAGGTGCAGAAACGAAGGCTCACATTCCTGTGAACTGCTGGCTGCTTCATCTCCAGCTCGCTTGTGTCAATTTGATATTATCTTCATTTTCCTGGACGAGAAGACGAACGTTAACAGAATCCTGTGCCAGCCACTTGAACTTGCACCCGGACCTTTTTCAAAGTACTACTGGGCAACTTTTCCAAACCACTCCTCCTGCACAGCCTCACAGCATATGGAGTTCTTACAAAAGTAGCTATTCACGGTATGTTCTCTAATCTACTTCATACTGTATTTTGTAGCTATCAGTCGAGTGTATGAAAATCGAGAGCTATGACCAATTCCTCACTGGACACTTAGCCTGAAAGGTTTGGTCAAAGCTAAATGATACAAATCAGAGTTGATAACGACTCTGATTACTCGCTTGAATGGAATGCACCAGAACATTGACTGAGAAGTGTTGAGAGATTTGATATATATTCAACAGGGAAAAGTATAGACTATTCAACCAAAGCGAAAGCTGAAAGACGAGCTTTATGTGCAAGACCCAGGTAAATATTAGTGTTCAGATTAGAAGAGAAGACTTAGCATTTTAATGTCTCGAGTTTGATCATACTCCTTGTCTCCATTGGATATCTCAACACCATGCATGATTAACAGAGAGGCCCAAATTCGAGACACAAGGGGTGGCTTCGCGGAGAGCCTCAAAACAAGACACTCGGATATTGCTTGGGGCGGAACAGTTCCCACCAGAGCGCTTGGCTGGAGAAATATGTTGGCTTGAGAGAGTCTAAAGTGTCACACGCACGGGATAGGCTCAATGTGCCGTTTCCTGCGGCCAGGAGTCCCGAGACCCGTCCGGCGACATGTACTGCAGCCGATGGAAGGCCTCAGCCAAACTACTGTAAGCCTCGGCCAGAAAGGTCGAGCCCTGGAGGCTTGTGCGGCTGAAGATAGACTTCGGTGCGCGAGGGTTGCCGTCCAAATTCCGTTCTTCCGCCGAAGAAGCGAGGTGGTGGTGGAGGCATGTTCGCGTCTAACATGCCTTGAATCGTTCCTGCCCACACATGGATGTCGGCAATTTCATCGTCCGTGATGTCTCTTGTGAGGCGATCTGGGCGCGTGCCACTCAGGGGGTCCGAGGCAAGGACCAATCGGTGCCACACGCCCAGGCGGGCACTTAGACTCTGCCGGATTAGCGACAATGAAAAAGATATGTACGGATTAACCTGCAGAGCATGGCCCCTCAGAGGCAATGGAAAGGTAAGAGCTCTCGTCATACGCCTGCTCTTAGGGTTTTGAGCCGTGGTGTTGAGCAAATGGGATCTGCAATACCCGGATCGGCGGCTCGCACGGGCAGTCCTTGCAAAGGTTGGGATGAACACGCGCAAGTCTCCGCTAGATTCGAGCTATGATTCCAGGTACGCGGGTCGGTCGTTCCTGGGACTGAGCAATGGCTCGACCAGGCACGCAGACTCCACAGGCCATGGAGATGAGATGGGCCGACTAGGGTTCTGTAATCGCCGGTGCATGATGTCGATGGACAGGGACTGCCTGACTTGCCCTTCCCTGTGCATCCCTTTCCACTCAAGGGTACAGTGGCCGCCAACAACGGGTGACCGAACTCTAGGGCCTGAGGTCGGACAGTCAGACGGCATTCGGGGTCGCTGGAGGATTCGTGCCATCTCCTATTGCCTGCAGCTCAGAGCTCAGCCGACGCCATGCCGGTCAATACGCAGGTGCTAGGAGCATGGACATGCAGCTATGTCTCAAGCTATTGAGGAGAAGACAAGCTTTTTGTGGCGGAAACAAGCCTTTCGCTTGCCGTTATAGCCGTTTCCTAGCCGCTAGTCAGGGCACATGCGCACCCGTGCATGCTCGCTACCCAATCGGACCGGACCTATAATTGCTGTGGCTTAAATTGGACATGCAGGAACTACGGCGGCTTGAGCACAGCAGTCCTGCTTCCGAGTAAACATTCATCTTATACGAGATCACTTGCTAAATGAGGAAAGGCGATTGTAACAGCCATAGGGGTAGAGCTGTGGAGGTGGAGCATCAAGCAAAAGCTTGTCAGGCGGACATCCGGGATTGAATACTACCCTGGTATTGGAAGACAAATGTATAAAAGTCGAGCCTGCAATCGTCACTGTAATGACCAGAGACGAATGATCTCACGTTCCATATCACCCAGACAAGAGTGTATGATTTCCACGAGCCAAAATGAGATACTTCACGATTTCTCTCGCTTCCATTGCCATGCTGGGCGGTTTTGACATCGCCAGTGCAATCTGCACCGGCGCAAATCTCGGCATTGGAACCCCAGTAGCCCTAGGAACCGGCAACACACAATGTAAGTAATCTCTAATCCCCTGAGAAGAATCAACTTGCCCAATCGCACCTCGCAGAGAGAACCCTGTTCCTTATTGCTTGCTGCTGCCAATTCCGCCGCACCTGTTCGCACCACTGACAATTCCCAGATAACGTCTACGATGGGAGCTGCAAAACCGTTCAAAGCCTTCAGATCAGCACCAGCATCGGCCCATGTATTTCGGAGTATTTCCTGTGCGCCGTAGGCACGAAGACCATTGAGCTCTATGACGACCCGACAACCGGTATCTCCTATGTCTGTTCAGCTGATACAACCTCTGAGTCCTGCGGAAGCGACGTAATCAGTCTATGTGTAAGTAATGCACTCGAGGAGCCAACAATTACCTCTTTTTGGTTCTGCCCTTACTGACTCATGATTCCTGTGATTAGTGCCATGAAGGATTCATTGATGATTAATTCATTGGTAAGGGAACTTTGGCGTTATTGGGAACATTGAATGAAGTCACTGGGAATTATCTTCTTGTAATATAATGTAATAAATTTTGTTGGCTCTGTAGAAGACCTATTGTTTTTGATGAACATCTTGGCCAGTCCACAGAAATTCGCAGCACAACAGGGTATCTTTGTCTCACGACATTCAAGACATTCGTATGTCACATTCTGCGGTGGTCGCTCCTCGAAGCGAGTCTCTCGACTCGTGAATGAAAGAGCTAGCTGAACGTCGTATTTGATACAACAATCCTATGAAACTCCAAGGCTAAAATCTCATCCACAAGTCGAGCTTTCATCTGAGCCACTTCTCGTCTAGGCGGGGCTGTGAATTTCGCGACCCTAATTGCTTGATAGGAAGGCTGTGGTTCAAGTCGCCTCTGTCTCATCATTTTGCCTGCACAAAGCATCAGCCTCGTACATCTCTGTCCAAGTTTGTGCTATCTGCGAAATTCACATTTGGTTCAATGCAAACACCATCCTGGTATTGAGAATAGATAGATCAAGGTGTACATTTGCCTCCGTTCTCTGTTGGACATTGGCATGCTCGACGCGACATTCCGTGATATCTTGATTACGCAGAAAACATGCTATAGTAAAACTCATGTCGCGATGGTACTCAGTACGGGTTGCATTGCCGAGTTACACTAATCGATATCAACTGAGGAGTATTTGAACACAGGCTGCAAATGTTACTCACGAGATGGGCCTAGTCTGTATGCAGCAGGACGGACCCGCTTGGGTGTAGAGACCTGGGTCCAGTTTTATCTGGAGGCTCTATCCTGTTCTCTTACCCCGGGCTTAGTTGCCAAGATGTCGGAAGACTTTGGCGTAAGAAGCTTCATGATTTGCTGTTACATCGTCCTCTCACAAAGCTACATCCCAAAAAGTGATCGGCAGACCATGCAGCACCCAATTCATCACACATTCTTTCCTATGGACGATAGCTAGCCGTTCGACGATATAGAGCGGCTTGACCTCTTCGAACCATCTATACACACAATTAATTGCGATCAGTTCAACTTGGATCTTTGTCTCAATCCTCAATATTGGAAAACATTACCCTCCCTGCCTGACACTTTCCAACGCTACATTGACAGCAATTTATGAATGAGACCGATAGCGCTCCGTGGTGACCCAATGATACAAGATAACAAAACTGATAACATGAAACAACCCAGTGCATATTGGGTAGGGGGCCATTCTTGGTAAAATGGCCTTGCTTTTGGTGATACCCGGCTTCATTGTCAAGCCCTGCCCTGCCTGATTTCCAAACGTCAAAAAAGTTGTAAACAAGGGAATTACTTGCATCCTTCCTAGGCATGATTATTCCCTTGGCCTTGCGCTTGTCCGGACTGGAGATGGTCAGGACCTCATCGTTCAAAAGGCTCCGTCTCGATCAATGGTCTTACTTGTGTGATGCTATTCGTGATCTGTTCTGTTTTACCCAGTTGTTTCAATTTCGCCAGCTCAACCTCAAAAAGTCTCAGTGCTTCCTTGGAGCTGATAGGAGCATCTCTTCGTGCGTCTACCGAGACAAGATGGTCATGGCTAGGCGGATAGCATCTTCGACTCTCATCTGGGACGACCTCTGTCAATGTTTGTCTCAGAAGATAATGGTCTGTGCATCACAGAGAAGAGCCAGAGTAGACTTACCCCGAACACAAGTGTGCTTGGGAGCCATAGTGAAGTAGTTGGTAATTCTGATATCACTCGATGAACTTGTGTCGCCAGTTGAAGATGATGGCATAGTCGTCCGCTTGCGAGCTATTTCGGGCGCTCTCAATCGGGAGACAGTTCCCCGGGAACGCACACTCCGTCTCACACAAAAAGGTGGAAGAGACAGAGTTTACAAATCTCTCCTGCCAAGATCCATCCTTTTTAATTCGAAAGGGGAAAAGGAGGGAAAAATGACAACACTGCAGACCCACAGGGTTCTTTTGTCGGGTTATCAACCAACATCAGTGTGTGCTGGACGTAGATCTTCGTGGAGCTGCTGATTGAGGCAGACAGGAAGACAGTAATGTAGTTGGGGCGCGCACGTCAGATCTTACTGGCCGGGACCAAGAAAACTGTCTGGGCATGCAGTAGGCCCGACCTGCGAGGGTCATAAGACGCGTTCTTCGTTTGCTACGAGGATTGTTACACACCGCATCCATGATGCAAGTTGGTCCTTTTGTACACTACTAGGGTCCCGGTTTAATAATCCACAACTGGTACAGTATTTCAATAATATGCGAGCGGCCGCTCTCGGTTTCGATTGCTGCTCTATTCCCTGCTCTGACCCTTGAGTGATGCATCTACTCCGAGGCGCTTGCGTCTGCCCACCATGGTATCCTACTCTGCAAGCCGCCACCATTTTGCATCGATTTCACAGTTGGAAATGAGGAGTAATTTGTAGAAACCGAACGCAGTGGAGATGCCAAAGCCTACTGTACTGGGCTAGAAAGTTGCGGGAGAAAGTGGGTTCAAGGCCAGGCTAACAGAATCCTTCCCAGCGACCATGTCAGCGGTAGGAACATGAACGGCAATTCCGCAACATCCTCCGGCCCAATTGAAATTCGCGCCGTCGAATGGCTATTGCTAATAGATAAGAGCTTGAAAAAAAAATCCGGCCATCTTCATTTCATTATAATGTCGCCTGGAGCGCTAAATACCTGCCTTCTTGCGGTTTCTCCTAGCTCCTCATCTCCAGGAGTCCGACAATCTTTGCTCATCGGCTCGCTCGTCGAATCCCTCTGCGGACTGGCCGATGCTGGTATCAGGAAAATCGTACTGTGCTGGACTACTCTGTTGGCATAACACAGACGTGTAAGGAGTGGAGTCAGGCCCGTCCGAAAGGTGTGCATGAAGACTTGATGAAGCAATGGGCACCATGAGACGACCCAGAGGGTGACAAAACAGTCTTCATTACAGATTTCTACTAATCTCGGTGGAGGCAAGATAAAATTACAAATCTTTGAGAGTGGGCAAAACTCTGGTGCATGGGTGTTGTCCGCGCATTGCGCACGAGGAAAATCATCTACCCTCTATGTACCACTGATCGCGATTCGTCTACTGTGGGCTCAGTGACAAACAGGAATTCTCTACCGGTGCGAGACTTGGTTTGTAGAAAGACCAAGCTGCGTATCGCTCTTGCCGCTAGTCTCTTCTACAGCTTCATCACACGTTGCCACGACCGCTGTCACATGTGGGCCGTTGGCGTATAGCATGTCGTTCGACGCAGTGTCACGAAATCCATCTTCACCACAACCAAATCAAGAAGCATCTTCGAATAGTACGATAGGCCGGGACTTCTCCTTTTGTCAACGATATATGCGACGAGCACATCATTGCCTTTATAGGTATTTGTGTAGAGCCGATACCTGTATCCGACCAACGAGGGGCTCAGGGCGGCGGCCATTGGCTTTTCCTGAAGTAGAAATGGATGCCACATTTCTAACTCGTCAAGGATAGCCTGCCGCGCCGAAAACATCCTTTGGCAGGCATGGCATGTCAAGAGCCCTTGCAGAGTCCGCTCGCCCTCCTCCGTGTCCGGGGCGGCTTGGATAGCGGAGCGGATTTGGGTCGGGTCATTTCGGATTTGTGTGTCTGACCAATGCTTGAGAACGGGATCAGTCACCCATATTTTGGGTATCTTGATGCCATCGATCTCGAGTCTGTTCTACGCATCAAGGATTTTGTCCTGCTTCATCGCCTCTGGCCTTTCGCGTGAGACTGGTTCAACATTAGCCAGTGCCTTGGCCTCGCGAGAACTTTGCGACTGACCTATTGTATCAAGTCGACGAGGGAAGCGAAAGAAATAATCAGATTTTCTCTAGAGATATATCTGACTTGGAATTTCGATTTGTAGAAAGGTTCTTGAAGTGGTGAAGGTGACAAGGATGAAAACGGACGAAGGGTTAGGTGATGTATAGTGGCCTTACGGTATGGCAAAGGCTTTGACCCAAATCATTACTCAATGGCATGTTCAAATACGCAAATGTCTTCAAAATCCAACGTTTGAGCAAGAGGTAGTCCGAGTATGGACTCAGCTGGTCGTCGTCCAGATGTGCTCCCTAGTGAGGCTGAAAATCCTCTTGCATATCCGTTGTGCTCAGCTGAGTAAAGTGACTCAGGTACGTTTGAGGCACAGCCAGCCGGTTTGGCCCCTCTGTCAGCAGCGCTTGGACTCACCACATTACACATTACGAAGACAGCCTGTCCATATTAGATGCTCAGGTGCAAGTGTAGAAGGTTGACTACCCGAGGTTGCTGGTATGTCTCGAGCTTGCCTGCATTGCCCTTGAAAGAGGTGGGAGCCCAGATCGTAGGAAGTCTTCACTGTGCATAGATACGCTCCATGAACGAAATTGTAAACCGATCGATCGCATCACAATATTCGAAATGGAATATATTGTATTAATAGGTCAGAGGGCTTTGGTAAGAGCAAACACCGGGCAGAAGTGATGCCTAACGAGACAGGTACTTCGATTTCATAAGAAATTTTAGTACGAAATAAAGTCACTCCCCTCTCGAGCCATGCCCCACTTTAAATCCATCGCCAGGACCAGCGACTTGACCAGTGACCATTTGGAAGCAACGCTAAAATTCGGCAGGAGCGAAAACTTTTCGCCGAGGAAGGCACGACCGGAGCGCACCAAAAAAGTTACGCAGTTGCCTCCAACAGCAGCATCGAGCCTCGATATCCACCTTGATCCCCGCGCCCTTCTCGTCAATCAACGCCGTCAACATCCAAGACCTCCGAACTCGACCTCGATTTCTCATCTCAGCACGAGAAATTCCGATCAACCAAAATGGATGCCTCTAAGCAACCCGTTAAGCTGGTGAAGGTTACCCGCGTTCTGGGCCGTACCGGTACGGAAATCCTGCCTCGATCTTGCTGTGGCCTCGCAGACGCAAACGCACTGAACGACGGCTAATCTTTGTCTCTGCTTCACAATAGGCTCTCGTGGTGGTGTCACCCAGGTTCGCGTCGAGTTCATGGACGACCAGACCCGATCGATCATCCGAAACGTCAAGGGACCCGGTACGAACAGCCCTCCTCCGAAGAGCCGATTTTTACACCCAGAGACCATCGGGCAAAAAGATCACGAATGCTGACATTAGTGTGTGCTTCTGACAGTTCGCGAGAACGACATCCTCTGCCTCCTCGAGTCTGAGCGTGAGGCCAGACGTCTCCGATAAACGCAGAGTACCGGAGACGGCTAGGGAAAGGGATCAACATGGCTTGCATGATCTAGTTAGGACAACCAATACCATCGGCAAACGCTATGCTATGGCTGTAGCACAGGGAAGGGTTCTTTTGGGCAGACAGAAAGACCACCTCATTCACGCATAATGAGCGACGCCACCGTTTGAGGGGCCTCGGGGTCTTGTTTCTAGAGAAAAGGGAGTCCCGGATGACTGGAATTGCGCAAAAATCATTTCAAAAAGCACGAATCACACCCACCTTCCCGACCGAACACGTCTGCCGAAATATCGAAGGCTCTTGATGGCTTGCGTGATATGCGATGGACATAGCTGGATCAAGACCATGTGATACTAACTGAAATAGCTGCGACTTTTTTCTTCGACATCCCACCGGTCGGAGTTTGTTTTGGGCTGTGGAGGACGGCGCAGTGGACACGAGGCATGGATCGAGGCACGATCAACTTTCTACGACTTCACGCTGCTGTGCCAAGCGAGACCATCCTCCAGTCTTGTCCCTGTACACTAGAGTCGCTTGCGTATCCCCCATGGATGAGCTGTGGACCGAACGACTCAAGCGATGTCTCACGAAATCGGCCACCGAATTGCAACGGGGAGCGCCAACTCCAACCATGTGGCGGGCACAGACAAATGCGCGTAAGCTCCGTTGGAACGGCTATCGCTTAAGTTGAGATCAGACTGCTATGGGCTTAATACGTAGACTGAGGCCATCTCTGCGACTACTCAGAATGAGCCGCTTATTGCACCTTTGACTCGGAAGAGGCCCCTGGGTGTAACCACCCTAATGAACGCCAAATGCGAGGTGACCACGTAGTGCATCGTATCGCGTTCTTCCCAGCTTCCACATGTAGGCACAGAAGGCTATACACGGTCTGCTACAGGTCTTGCCCATGTTGGCACAGAGGACATCGAGGAGTGATTACACTGCACAAAGTTTACATTGTGTTGTGTTCAAAAAAACGGCTGCGGCACCGCGCAGGCACATCCGATGCTTTTATGCTATACCGTACATGCCCCTAGTAATAATGCCTGGTCTGCCTCAGACCATTTCTCCCCCGTTACCCATCTCCTACAGTCCCAGCCAACAGCGCCACAGTGTCTGTGTTCGAGACCAGTCACGTGTCAGCTTTGATTTGACTTTCCATCCCCAGACGACTCTCACGTCTGGTTTTCTTGGCCCTGGCTAGCGAGCCCTACTCAGTAGCCTTCTTGGACTTGGTGCGCTTGGTCGCAGGGCGGCTGACGTGGTGCTGGGGGATCCAGGTCTCGTCGTAGCCCTTGTCAGCGCCAGTAGTGATGCCGGGAGACTCGGGGCCAGACAAGGGCTCCGCAATCTCGGCAGGCTTCTTGCCCTTCTTGGTGGGGCGGGGTGCGCGCTTGGCCTGGGGGAAGAGGGACTCGATCCAGGTCTTGTAGACGAAGTAGAGGGTTCCGCCGAAGATACCGGTCAGGAAGATGTACAGGAAGATGCTGTTGTGTTTCAATTAGTCAAACGGCTTCATCTACAGGTGGTGGGAAATTGTTTGTGACGTACATCTGAGGGTCGAAGATGCTGGTGGGAGGCTCGACAATGCTAGCCAGACCACTGTGAGCCTCGACCTGGAAGACTTGACCCTTGGGGTTTCCGACGACGGCCAGAAGGCTGACAACAACATCTTGCGGCTGCATGTCCAGAACGAAGGAGAAGGGCAGAGACTGGGACTCGCCAGCCGGGATCTCGACGTTGTACTGGACAGCAGACAGGTTGCGGAGGACGCCAGCCATTGGGGGCGCATCTTCAGGCAGCGGCTGTGTGGTTGACAGCGTTCCACCGATGAAGGCAAGCTGGATTGGCTCATCCTCCTGGTTTACGACCTCGACGACCGCCTTAGTCGGGTGCCCATTGACAAGCTTGACACCAAGACTCGAGTCGGGGAAGTGCGTGGTGATATCGATCTTCAGGTCGGGGACATCAGGAGAGGCATCCGGGGTGGCCTTTGCATCCTCTGGCTACACGAGAATCAATGTTAGAATCGTAGAGCTTGTGGAATATAGGACACGTGCCAGGGCGGTTTTGCGCAGCGCAGGGAGCTCGGCCAGGGTGCCGGGGCGACTGGAAGACTTGACTTACGTTCACCTCGGCGGCGAAGACGGCCGCAGCGCGAAGAGCCAGAAGAGCAAGGGTCGAGAGCTTGAGAAGAGCCATGACGAAGGTCGAGCCGTGGGACAGTGACGGGTGGGAAAGAGGGGGTGCACAAGGGCGAATGCTTTGCTCCTCTCTGTGTTGGTGGTGTTGGAGCTGTCGGGGAAAGTTCAGAGGAGGAGCTGTCCCAATTGAACGAAGATGTGGCCTTCCAATGCACAAACGCGCCACCTGCCGGGGGCAACCCAGCCTCTCGCTTCAATTGGTATTCCAACATTAGTGGAGCTGCTGCCGAGCTGCGGACCCACATAAGCAATAGGACTTGCTGTGTAGAATATCTGGTCTACTTCTTTTTTTACATTTTCTCTCACACTTGACTATCTAATACACAACGTTCAATTTCAACCCTCGAATGGTGTGGCAGGCGTGATAACGCCAGTGACATCCCCAAAGCCCACACCATCGCCGCAAAAGCCCGTCAGCCTGGCCTCGTCGCCATCCTGCAGCCATACCAAGTCTTGGCCGTCGCTGAGCTTGACGCTCTTCTTGCCGCCCATTGTCGTCTCCAACAGACAGCCATGCTCATGATCCTCAAGGCCTGACACCGTCCCCGTCGCCAGCAGGTCTCCAGTGTTGACGTTACACCCATTGATGGTCTGCTGCGCCACGAGATCACGGAATGTCCAGTACATCCAGCTCAGCTGCGCCTTGCATACCGTAGTCGATACCCCCTTTCTAATGACATCCACGGCGAGGGAAATGTCATAGCTCGACTTCTCTTTAGGATCCTTGAGAAAAGCAGCTGGAGCAGTCTCCTTCGGCGGTGGTGGCGCTTCGAACGGCTCCAGTGCTTCGAGGGTGACGACCCATGGCGAAATGCTTGTGTGGAAGCTCTTGGAATTATTGGGCCCCAATGGCATCATCTCCAGCTTCTGAACATCCCTTGCTGTGATGCATGTTAGCCGCTGAGCATCAGGATCAGATCCCGCAAGGACTCACCACTCCAATCATTCAGCAAGACCAGGCCGAAGATGTGGTCATCGGCATCCTTGACGGCCACCCTCTCCCCGAACTTGGACGGCTTGCCTATTATTGCCGCCATTTCCAGCTCAAAGTCTACACCCTGAGATGGCCCAAAGGTGACGCCCTCGCCGCTCTCATTCTGATATACTCCGTATGGCCTGACCACTGGGGTGCCTGAAACCCTCACTGAACAAGCCCTCCCGCCATATCCGATAGGGTAATGCACCGACGCAGGGGGCAGTATTCTCCGACCTGTCGAAGCTTCGCCTGCATTCAAGAGGTGCTGCTTGGAGCAAGAGAAATCGGTAAAGCCTCTCACCTCGATGGGCAAGTGCAATTGAACCTGATCCACTGGCACGCCGTGCTTCGCTACGGTCTTCTCATCGGTGAGCAGCTTCTGCAGGCTTGACCGTAGCTCTCGCAGCTTGTCCTTGGGGATGCTTGCCAGAGCATTCAAAGTTGTCTGTCAGGTTAGCACTCACTCTGCACGACTTGTCAGCTATGACTGCTGCTTCTCACCTGCGCCAATGCCTGTTTGATCTCTTCGGAGACCTGGATGGGCAGGTCGTTAAGGAAGAACACATGATCGTGAATTCGTGTGACGACCGCTTTTTCCGGATGGCTGCTGCTGGTCGCAATCCCGTACGGGATGTTCTTGATTGAGAAGTGGTTGGAGAAACTCATCGTGAACTCTTTCTTGCGTCAACGATGTCTACAGTCTTGTGCGGCAGTTTGAAGAGAGCGTCACGGCCAATCCAGGACAATTATTTTCTTGATATGTATTACTATGGCTGTCTAGTTTGTATAGCTCGCAGTTCTCTCTACTTGCGGGCTCTTGAGCAACCAACCATCTGGGGTACCCCACCCCCACCGGGACATACACCTAGTCCACACAATCCACACCAACCGCTCCGCAGCAGCCGTTCCGAATTGCAGCGCGGGGGACTTGACACTCAACGCTACGTTACTCAGACTGACAATTTTCATGGCGGACACCATTCATGACCAACGAAGATCACACAATTTCCGTGTCATTCTTCCTGGATAAGATGCTACTGTTGGAAAATCCGCTCGCGCAAATCGAGCGCAACTCTGTGTTCAATCTCACATTCTAATCTATTTGGAAGGAATTACTGGGAAAGTCACGTAATTCTCAAGACCGTCCCCGAAGTGGATATGGTTGTTTCCAGCGAATTTCGACGCAGGGCTGTGATGGGTTAGCTACTTGCGAGAACCTAGAAGCCGGGGGGGGGGGGGGGCGATCCAGGACTTACCGATCAACCTGTGAATTGTGCTGGAAGACGGCTGCTCCCTGAGTGTCACCGCTGGAAACCTCGAACACGAGCTTGCCCCCCTTGTCTACAATTACGTTGGTGGGCCAGATCTCGACGTCGACGGGGTACACCTCGCCAGCCTTGACAGGCTGCACATCGGTCGATAGGTACTCGCGGTGAGGCAGCCAGGACTTGTGCTTCGGGTTCTCGTCGTGGACCTTGCGCAGGCTGACCCGGAGCCATCCCTTGACAAGTGGGACTCCGTCGCCGGCTGTGCCTGTGTAGAAGACCTCTTGCCCCGAGGCGTCAATGTGTCGGATTGTGACAAAGATGTCGATGTCTGTCTCATTTCCAGCGTTCTCTGGTGTCACCGAAACGTTCAAGTGAGCGACAGGGTGACCAGTGATTTCGGTCTCCTGCTCGAATGGTGGGGTGGTGAACTGGATGAGCTCGGGCTTGTCCAGCGTGCCCAAGGCCTTGTACGACAGCTGCTTCTTCTCCGAGGCGGGCTTGCAAGTCGTCAAGCCTTGGTCAGGGGTAAGGTAGTAGTTGACATACTGTGTGCTGGGCAGCGGCCATGCGGTCTCCTCTCTCTTAGGGTACGCTTTCTCCTTCTCGGCGTCGTTGAAGCCAACGTTGCCCTTGCGCAGAGTCACTGTGACGGGGGCGACCTTGCCTGGAACACTCCAGCCCACCCGGTCGTCGCCCTTAAGGAAGGCGTCCAGGAACCCCTTCTGGAGCTCGACCTCCTCTTTGTAGTAGAATGGGAGGTCGTGGCGGCCAGTGATAAAACGCAGGTACTTGAACTTTGACCCGGCGTGCAGATACCCTTGCACATTACCACGCAAATGCAACAGGATCCCGCCCCAGTTTGCGACACTCAGCACAGGTACTTCGATATCCTCCAGCTTGTACTCCTTGCTCGCATAGTAGTCATCATCGCGGAACGAGTTCGCCTCGTTATCCTTGGTCTGATCACGCCTGTTGGCGACTAGCACGTCCTCGGGCAGGTCGCCCTCGATGGTGTCCTCCTGACCTCTCGCGCCGGGGCCGTCAGGCGGGAACGTCAGCTTGGACCGGCCAGCCAGCCCATACTGGTTGACCAAGACCTGCCTGTTCCACCAGAAGCCGATGAAGCGGTTGCTCAGGATGCCGCCGTGGCGGCAGCGGTCGCGGTAGTAGTCGGACATGCCCTCCCAGGGGATGATGGCAGCCAGGCCCTTGGGGCGGCGCGCGGCGACGCGCCACTGCGAGCCAGCATAGTAGGAGATGCCCAGCAGGCCGACCTTGCCGCTCGACCAGGGCTGCTCGGCGGCCCACTCGACAACGTCGAAGAAGCACTCGCTCGTGCCGCGGCTCATAGTGTCGAGCAAGCCTGGCGACTGGCCCAGCCCCCTCTCGTCGGCGCGGACGATGGCGTAGCCATGGCGCGTCCAGTACACGGGGTCGGGCGTCTCCCAGGACGAATACTTGGAGCGGTGCTCTGAGTTAACTTCGCTGAAGGAGCCCTTGAAGAATGTCTCGTAGGGGATATCCTTGCCGTAGGGCCCGTAGGTCACCAGTACGGGGTATTTCTCGCCGGAGTTGGTCTTGTGCGAGAGCGGGAGGTAAACGTTGGCGCGAATGGGCAGACTTGAGGCCTTGAGTGGGATTGACACATTCTTGTGAAATATGATGTTGTTCTCTGGATCCTCATGAACCGAGGAGATATCCCGGATGGGAGGCGTCTTTACTTCGGGCGCGGCCATGTTGCTCTCGTGTTGGGTTTGGAAAGACAATGGATGAATGGTATGACAATGGGGTAAAATCGAACGAGGTCTTCCACAACCGAAACTGAATAATTTAGACAAAAGCAAGCTGAAGAGCGAGAGAACAACAATTTCCCGTGCTACTGACGTGCTTGTTCATGCTCTCAAGAAAGCTCTCATGGAGCTCCGTAGACTGGTCTGAGGGACCGGCAGCATGCGTGGGCGCCCGGGTAGGTGGGGGCGGGGAACATGCTTCACATGGCTACTGGGTTCCATGTTACTGTACTGCTGTGCACTGTAGAACCCAGAACACGAAGTACGACGTATTGTCTTACTTGAAATCCGCCTTCAGCGTGGGTCTGCCAAATTTGGATCACGATGTTGAAGTAATGGCGACGGTTGGCTAAGCTTGTCGCGGCTTACACGCAGGCTACATGTCTATTGTCTTATGTGCGACTTATTTGAGAAATGCTCAGAAGAATCGTCAAATTCACGTTAAATATTTTGAATGTGCCCTGCTGTCCGAGATTGTCTACAAAAAGAAAAGAAAACGATGTTGCATGATCTATTGCACAATGTTCCAGTCTTCATGGCGTCGAAATATTACAGCCCGGACTGTGCTCCATTCTCTATTCTCATCGATCTTGAAACCTCGCCTGCCTTCAGATCTCACCCCCGACTTTGTAGTGAAAGATCTTGTCATTTATCCTACCACCAGTCTGAGTCCAGAGCCACCTGACATTCTGCCCCGGAAGGATAGAGTCAGTCAGTCAATTCGCATCGCTTCCAAGATGAGCGGGAGGTTAGGCTGCCAGAGTCATTACTTACAGCATTGATGAAGACGCCGGTGAACATGGTGGTCACAAAGACATCGCCCACTGGATTTCCTCCCAATGGTCGCTGGGTCAGGTCCATTTCTCTGTTGATAGGCCTGTAGGGAGGCACGCCGCGATGCTGTGTGTCCCAGCCGGGAGGGTTTGACGCCGTGGATGTACGCTGCGGTGGCTGGTTGTCTGTGTTTGGCGGTGCCACCGTCTCGTCGCCGGTGAGGTGGATATCGTAGTCCTGTAGGACCTGGCGCGACACGGCCGTGGTGATGGGGTTGTCCACGGTTGTGGCAGACATTCTGGCTGCTCGTTGAGACGGCTCGTCAACTGGTATCGGCTTCGCGATGGACTGAACTCGGGTGTGCTGTTTGGTGATGCGACGTCTGGTCTTCGGTGAGATGCCTCAGTCGTCCGAGGCGAAATAAGTGTCGGGTTGTATGAGCTCCAAACTCGGCCGTCCCGAATTCCCGTCCACCCCCAAAGGTTCGCTCAATAAACTTAACAGGAGTCAGGGGGGTGAATGATCTACCTCCAAGTCCACCCTTGACACACCCTCGCTCCCCCACATTCCGCCCCGCGCCACCGCTCCTCGGACTCCTCCTGGTGTTACCCAGTCCCACCGGTTACACCGTGGAGCTGCGGACGCGAAAGCAGCATTGGAATTGGGGCCGGCCGGACTCGAAGAAGGTTTAGTTGCCAGTGGATGAAATTAGAACCGCAGCTTGCGCCACGGGAGTTTACAATTTCGAGGTTCTGACTGAAAGGGACAAGACTGAATCTGTCAAGATATTCGAGATCATTCCTTTGCACGTGGATGAAGCTGGACGAACAACTACACATCTCCAACTCATTTTAGTGCTGTTTCCACGGACAAACTCATACGGATTCTACCTCGGAGTTCCAATAGCACTACCGCCGCTATGGCCTCAGACACAGCAGCCATTGATCGTCTACAGGCGTCCGTCGTGGACGGGCGCACAGAAAACGGGCGGTACCGACAGGACCAGCTCCAGCGCCTCCACAGGACCCTCCGCGAGGAAGCCAGCCAGATAATCGCAGCCCTGGTGGCCGACTCCAAGTTCTCCAGCTCCGAGGTGGACGCCGAGTACTATCTGGGCATGGAGGCTGTGAGGCACTTCTACGACAGCCTGGACTTTGAAAAGGACCTGAAGGAGGAGTACAGTGTAACGCGCGGCGAGGACAACCTGGGGAGGAGGATCGGTGCTGGCCTGGTGGTCATAAGGCCAACGACTCACACTCGCTTCTACTCGATCGTGACTCCGCTGGCAGCTGCTATCGCGGCTGGGAATTGTGTTATACTCGAGGTGAGCCCCGGGCCTCCCTTCCGAGGAACAGAATTTAGAAGCCACATGCTAACACTACGCGTCTCAGCTCTCAGAGACCTTGTCGCAAGTCGACTCGGTACTGCGCCAAGCCCTCACCAAAGCGCTGGATATAAACACATTCTACGTTAGCAAGACCACCACAGACCAGTCCATCCTGGACGATGCGATCCTGGTCGACCAGACGAGCAATGCGCCTCCGAGCACACTGACATCCCAGCTCCTATCCTCGTCGCAAACCCGCTGCGTGGCTATTGTCGACCGGAGCGCAAATATCGACGAGGCTGCAAGAGCCATCACAGCCGCGAGATTCAATTTTGGTGGCTCATCACCATATGCGCCGGACCTGGTGTTGGTCAACGAGTTCGTGAAGAAGGAATTCTTCGAGGCATGCTCCCGGTATGCGACACTGTCGTTCGCCAAGGACAGCAGCGTCAGGAAAGTAGGCGGGGACCGTAGTGAACATGTTCAAAAGGCGATCAAGGACGCCGAGGACAAGAAGCAGGTGTCGAGCTTTGGGTCCAACGATTTCAAGCTGGTCGATGTCCTGGACAAGTGAGTGAACCCCGGCTGATTGAAGCTTGAAGACTATCCTTTGCTAATCCCCTTGTTAACTAGGTCCTCTCCCATCATGGACCTCAAGATCACAGGCCGCTATCTACCAATTGCAACATGCTCGAGCCTGACAGACGCCATCTATAACCGGGACTTTGAGAACCCACTCCTGGCAGGTTACTTCTTCGCCGAGCCGGGCTCAGCCAAATATCTGGCGCACTTCCTGCCCTGCCACGTCTCGCTCATCAACCAGATCCCGACGCACCTTCTCGTGGGGCCAGCAGCGCCCACGGCACACGCGCCCGACTTCCAACACCGGTACAGCCGCGACATGTTCTCGGTGGCCCGGCCGCAGTTCGTGCAGAAGCCGCCAGCGGCGCTGCGGAAGGCCGACGAGCTGCTGTCGGGCGGGCCTAACAAGGGCGGCGTCACGGCGTCGGCGCTGCGGGAGGCGGCAACGCAGCCGCTGGCGCCGGTCAAGCAGTCAAGCAATAAGGCTATTGGGTTCTTCGAACAGGGCATTCTGACAGGCGCGGCCTTATACCTGTCGATTATCCTGCCGGCGGTGGGCTACTCGACTTACTTCTTGGGGAGGAAAGGCGTGGAATATGCACTCAAATTCAGACGCTGAAAGGGCCCGTCGAACCGGTTTTGTTTCATATCCAAATTGAGTCATCAGACCACACATGTAAATCATTTCATTTGTTATCAGTGAGTGATAGAGAGCATATACAAGTAATACCTCCGGCTGTCTTATTTCTTGACTTTGTTGCTTCTTAGTTTCGAGAGCGGTCCCGCTGCCCCAGCCCTGAATTCTCAACCTCCTTCAATGCTGGTCCAGGGCAGTCAAACCACAAGTTTCTGTTTACTTCCGGAATCAGTTTTGTGTCCGGCCCAACATTGAACCTAAATCAATTGACTTCGTCCCGAAGGTCTAGGTCGGAACAGGCTCCACTCGGGACACACTCGGGAGTCGGGATGGCTGCAAGTGGCCGTGGGAAAAGGGAGGGGCGTCCCAAGGGTCCCTTGAGGTCCCACCTGTACCGCGGCCAAAAGTGGGACTGGGGATCTGCTGGGGAATGGAGCATGTGGTGGGGGAAAGGAGAGATGGGGGCGTCGGGGACCGGAACGGTGGGGGTGGGGAAGCAAGCTATCGGTTCCAGACACGTTCTAATGTCTCTCTATGTCTCACATCACACGCTTGCACCCTGGATGTGCCAACGGGAATACGGTCCCCCAAGACGCTCCGAATCAATTGGGTGTGCAAATCAAGTGTTCCACAACAGTGCATGCGGCTTGTCCATCGAGTGAGTTCTCTCGGCTCGAAGGCGGCCCCACCTCGCCTGCGACTCGCCTGCAAGACCTCGAGCTCTCAATATCATCGCCACCGAAAACAACGTGCTTCTGGTAGCATCAATCCGGCTTTATTTGTTGTAAACACATATCCTCAACCGCTGTAGCAAGGAAATAGCTATCCTTTCGTACTAGTGCTCCTTGTCTAGCAACATCTTCAACACCCTCTCCTGTGGTGAGCACATCCGGCTACTGCAGTCAACAGCCACCAGCAGCAAGTCAACAACAAAAATTGATACCTTGGGGTATTTTCACATCTCCTTGTCTGCCTACCAAGGCAAAGCAGCATAAAATGGCGGTTGGAAAGAGCAAGCAGGGCAAGATGGCCCCAGTCCACTTCTTCTCCCATGGCTCGACCATGATGCTGGGGGAGGAGCACGAGTCGGCCAACTACTGGGAGAAGATGGGCGACCTGGCCCTGGCAAACGGCCTCGAGCATGTGGTCATGATGGTGAGACCAAGACACCACGAATCTTGTCTTCTCATATTCTCCAGCACAGGATAGCTAACCAACACACCCAACACCCAGGGCGCACACTGGGCCACGACATACGAGGGCATCTACGTCTCAGCCAACCCGAACCCGGGCAAGTCGCCCGTCGCATACGTCCACCCGTCCAAGTACGAGAACTACAAGCTCAACGCAGACCTGCCCATGGTGCCCGTGATCCAGCAGCACCTCGCCGCCGCGGGCATCCCGTCGCGGCCCGACCCGGCCTTCGACTGGATCCACGACACGTACCTGGTGCTGATCCGCATGTTCCCGCGCGGCTGCCCGCCCACCACCATCGTCTCGGCCCAGCACAAGTACGACCCGCACTTCCACATGGCCGTGGGCGCCGCCCTCCGGCCCCTGCGCGACTGGGACGCCCACAAGACCCTCTTCATCGGCTCCGGCGGCGCCGTGCACAACCTCTACCGCAACGTCTGGGCCCCCATGCTGCGCTACCGCGACAACTTTGCCCAGCCCACCCCGCCCGCCGCCTGGGCCATGGACTTCCGCCAGGAGGTCATCGACGCCTTCGTCGCCGGCAACAGCGCCGAGACCCACGTCGACGACGCCGCCTACGGCGCCCTGCTGCGGAGCGGCAAGGGCACCGTCGGCAAGGGCAGCCGCGGCGTCGGCGGCCCCCGCCTGAGGAGGAAGCTGACCGCCCTCATGAAGCACCCCATGTACCGCGAGGCCCACGCCACCGACGACCATTACCTGGCCTGCCTGTGGGTCGCCGGCCTGTGCGGCGGCAAGGGCGACGAGAACATGAGGGGCGAGCTGGGCGCCGAGGACTGGGAGCTGACCAACATGTGTAACTCGCAGTTCACGCTTGGGAGCTGGGACGGGGATGACTGAGCCAACTCGATGGCGGGCCCCGACGCAACGCTGGGTCGGGTGCCCTTGACGATGAATCATTTTTGATATCCAATTGTGTAGCCTGTAGCAATTAGCCCGATATACCAAGTAATACTTTTTCCCCCATTTTTCAAAAAGAACAAGGCCCATGCCAGTCCCGGGTCCGCATGCAAGAGACAAAGGGGTATAAGCCGCCCGTATACACGATTCAACAAAAACTTGACCATAGCACCATAAGAACCCAGTATCCAAAAACAAAAGCACCTCCCGAGGCTGGTTGTTCAAGTCAAATCCATGCTATCCCATCCATCCAACGGCCCAAGCGCACTGAACATGTCATCACCGCCAGTCAGGTCCAGCCCGCCTGTCGAATCTGCCCCAGAGCCACCGAGGTTCAAGTCTCCACCGCCGGCTCCGAGGTCCAGCGACAGGCCCGCCGCTGCCCCAGCGTCAAGCGCCATCGGGTCGTCCATCCCGAGCTGGCTTGCTGCCGCGGTGACGGCAGCGGCGTCGTCGACAAGCGCGTTGGCCATGGCGGCTGCCCCGGCGTCGTGCGGGAGCGCATCCATGGCCGCCGTTGGCGCCATCTGCGCCTCGGCCTTCTGGTACAGCCGGACCACCGTCTCCGCCATGACCAGGTCTTTCTTCTGGATCTTCTTCCATTCTTCGGCCTCCCACTTGAGCGCCTCGCGCAGCGACAGGCGACGCTGCTGCGGTGTGGGCGGCACCTGGCCCGCCTCGTCCAGGATGGACGCCGGCTGGGCGTCGTTGGCGACTTGGAACGCGTCCGGCGCGCACACCAGCGCGATGGCGACATCGTAAGCTATGCTGCCGTTGCCCGTCTCGGTCAGTTGCTTGAGCTCCTCGAGGATGGCGCGGAGCAGCCTCCGGGCGCCCATCAACTTGAGCCCGACCAGAATCTGGCGGTGTGCGTATGCTGTCGGCATGACACCTGGGTTCAGAGACCACATCGTGAGGTTCTGGAATGTATTTTTAATGCTTGCTGTGAGACCACCGCTGCCACTGCTCGTCCACTGCTCGAGCTCCTTGTCGCCCGCGGCACCCGTGCGCCTGGACAGCTCGATGTTGCTTTTGAGAACCTGCAAGAGAGGCTCGACGTCTTGGCTTTTGGGGTTCTGCCTCTGATACGTTCGCAGTCCACTCTCCAGGGGTTTCGCAACAATGTTTCTCACCGTGTTGAGCATATCGGAAGACTCTGGCGACATCTTCTGGCTTGGTTTGATAATAAGCTGCAGGATCTTGATCGTGGCCCTATTTTCTTCCGGCCGGTCGGTCCATAGGCAATTCGAAAGATACATGATGCCCGTCACAAGGGACGGCCCCAGGAAAGGCTCCACAAGATCTATACAATGTCAGGGTAGTTACAAACTGTACACGGACGAAGAAACTCACATTCGATGCCAGTCTTGAGACTCTCCTCTGTCAGATAGCCAGTGCTAAAAGCCAGAACAATATTATGGAACAGAGTTGGTATCAAGAGATAAAGATCTTGTGGTGGACAGGCTGAGAGCAACTCGTCGGCTAGACCTCCTCCGTCTGTATCAAAGAGACCATGGATCCAACCATTGAGCTGGTTCTTCTCCTGCTCATTGAGCTCGTCCAGCGGACGGCTGAGCTGTCCTTTAGCGAGAAGCTTTGCGACGAACGAGTCTGCCGACCGGATTCCAAGGTCGGACGCGGACAGGTTGTAGCGGTAGACAAATGCCAGTAGAAGTAGCAAAATAGAGCCGAATTCCTCATAGACCGGTTGATACTCGCCTTGGTCATCCTCGTACCTCCAGTTATCCAGCAGGTCACAGAGAGGGCTGAGAATAGTCGTCGGCTTGTCAAATAGCAAGAGAACGTCGAGGTTCAGGGGTTTCCCCACCAGTTTCGAACACAGCGTCTTCAGCGACATTGTCTCTTTATTTGAACAAAGTCTTCCAAGCATCTGGCAAAGCGTCGAATCAAGTCAGTACAATAGCACGACTCCAAGAGGGCAGTCAACGGAACTGGGACAGGAGCTCACCTCCGTCAAGGCCTGGCAGCAAGCGCCGACGTTGCCGTCCATATTCTCAAGCTCCGTGATAAGCTTCTGTACGCGCTCCTGGGCTGGGTCGGCGAGACACTCTTGCACGAGGGTGTCCTTGTGGTAACGCCCACCCGCCGGCAGGGTCTGGTACGTGTAGTCGCCAATGAGCTTATCAATGCTCGTCTCCGGGACAAGGCCGTGCAGACAACACGCCGTGACAAAGTCTGACCGGACCGATTCCGTGAAGGGGTTACTGCTAAGGTTGTTTTCGAAGAGAGATGTCAGTGTTGGGAATGTGTTGGTGTCTACCCGGCTCAGTGCATTGGTAATACACAACTCCGAGTTGAATGGGTACATTGGCGCCGACGCTGCGAAGGAAGCCAGAATGAGCGGCACTTTGTTGATCAGGTATGACCTTATCAGATTCGCCGTCTTCTGGCCCTCGTTCTTGAAGATAGCATTGGCGAGCACGTCGAAGGACGCGAGGATGAGATCAATTGCGGTTAGTTGAATGTCTCCCTGCAGCTCAGTCAGTCGCCTCTGCCATACGAAAATTGGATTGAATCCACAAATGCTTACCTGATATCTGTTATGCAAATAACTATAGAATGACGCATCGTCGATCAAAGGCCTTCCCACAAGCTGCATAACAACGTAACGGTCAGCCAGTTGCCTACATTGCTTAAGGCCGTCTTTCGGCATGAGATTGGCCTACCGCGGCATTAAGATAGATATAGAGCCCTGCGCGAGACTTATCAACGTGCAGGTCCGGTATTGCGAGACTCTGCAGGCCCAGGGTCTCGTCGAGAAGCTCGTCCATTTCGGCGTTGGCGGCTTCCTTCTTCTTATCGATCGGCTCAAAACCAGCCAGCGTCTCGGTGCGAAAAAGCTCTAACCGCTCCGCTATCTGGGAAGCATTCTGCATGATAGACGGGATAAAGCTGGCAAGGCTCTGCGAGAGGGCCTTGCGGGCACCTGGTGAGCAAACATCAGTCATGCTCGCCCGAAAACACTTTCCAGTGGGCCAAACAGGCAGAAAAACAACAATCACAATTACTACACTCAAAAGTGGCCACACAACTCACCTTTCGCGAACGGCTTGCCCAGTGCCTGCAGCAAGACCGGGTTCTCACAAACACCCAAGAGTAGCATCACAAACGCTGCCCTTGAGTTGTCCATGTCGTCTCTCTTCTGCTGCGAGGCTTTGTTGCCAGCGCCACCCATGATGACATCCTCGTCATCGGCCTGGAAAGCCGCACTCGCGGCCGTGAACAACGTCATCCACCTGGCCATGACGGCGCTAACGTCCAGTGCATCACGGCTGTTCTTGATGGCCAGCCCCTGGGCCACGGCCTTGGTGAGGCGGTAGAAGATGACTTCCTCGGACGAGAAGCTGCTCTGCCAGCGTATCACCTCCTTCTTTTGCCCCGCCTCGGCCAGCTTGTCGCCACCACCGTCCGCCTCGCCGTCGCCCTGCTTCCGTTGTGGATCTGCGCCCAATAGTACGTGACACGTCGAGTACCGATACAGCGCGGCGAGGATAGCTGGCGTGTCGACCAGGCCGAGGTCCAGCAGCGTCTGCATGTAGTGGGGCACGCGCGGGTCGAGGGTGTACTTGTTCCACGAGGTCGGGCGCAGGACGAGGTCGGCGACGGCTGCAGGGCCCAGGGGGTGGCGAGCGTGCAGCAAGGGCGCGTACTCGGTAAACTTGTCAAAATCGAGGCGCTGGAGCAGGCAGCGTTGCAGGAAGCGGTCCCATTCCCTGTGCGAGGTGGCCACCTGCTCGTGCTGGGAGGCGGCATTGGAGCCGCCGGAGTCGCCCATGCTGGGTGGCTGTCTGTCTTTCTGATCACGCTGACGTGGAGAAAACAAGGCGACTTGTGGTGCGAACTCTAATAGCGTGGGGTATGCGGTGAGGCTTCATGCCAGGAGAAGGGCGGCGGCGGCGGCGGCGGCTGGGAGTGGGAGAACGGGAAGACACAGGATCGCGTCGGGAGGGCGAGGAGGGGCGCTCAGTTGGCGTTCGTTGTGCGCAAAGCATGCATCGCTAGTCAGACGGTTCGACGAAACTGAATTGAAAGCTATAGTAGAATGGATTGGGGAGGACGGTGAGTGTGCAACCTCTGTCGCACGCGGGTTCCCGCGTGTTGAAGATGCTTCCCGTGTGACGGCAGAAAGCTTGGAGTTGAAGCTGTGGAGCTTGGAGGTTGAAAATGGAAGCTCTGCTTGGTGAGGTCGTTGGTTGTGCCTGCCGCAGTCATCGGGGCTGGGGTTGCAGCACAGCAACTCGAGTGCTATACCTGGCTCGAGCCTGGGTACTATAGGCGGTACGTATTTACATGTCCTGACATATAGCCCAGTACCTGGGTACTCAGATCTCTGGCTACCGAGCCAACGTCCACTCGGCACGATCCGAAAGATTCTAGCGCTTGCTGCCAGGCAATCCCAGCCGCTCAGCGAAGGAGCTCCCGACCTTGGGGAACCTACCAACCACAGTACCTGAGTACCTAAGACGAGAGGTGGGTGCGGGTGTGGGTGTGGGCGGGGAGGGTTGCGAACGGCAGTGGAGCAGCGGTCAGCGACGTAGCGGTTGCTCCCAAAGGGGCTGATCATTCATCAATGCAACTTCGACTGCATCACACCTCGATGCAGCTTTGTTTCACTTGCACGCCTGCTTTTTTTCTTCTCTATATTCTTTTTTCATCTTCATTATCATCATCGTCATCATCGTCATCACCGAAAACCGCATCGGAGATCTTTGTTTCGCGGTCAGCTCGCGGGCGCCGGCACAAGCAACGCCATCAGCACGAGATGCAAGGCGAGCCTCATTTCCAAGTGGCGTCCAGGTGATCTGCGGTACAGCTTGTTTGTCCCATGCCACGCTTCTCAAACAACGGCCAGCTTGATCTACAGTACATATCGCCAGCCTATACACAACAGGCAGGCGGCTGACAGGCGGCTGACACACGAGCTATAACCTGCCTATGTCTACCTCCTTGGCCTCACCGTCGCAGCAGTGACAAGATCGGAACACAAAAGACAGCAAGCAGCCCGCATCTGTAGAGCCTCTGGCGAGCGTCTTGCGGCTAGCTGCGCCGGCGGCTGAGTGCTATTCCAAGGTTCGCTGCAAGAAAGCCAACCTTACTTAATTGAGGGCACAACAACCCTCCATATTAGACATTAGATACCGTTTGACAGCATGCTGCACGTCTCGCCTTGCAATTCTGCTGCACATGCGTCGAGTTCCCCAACCCTGGTGTTGTGCCATTAAACTCTAACTCCAGTCAGTGCGCTGAGTGCCCGCGGGAATGCTCAAACCAAGATTTCACCCCTCTTGAAGATCACCCTGTCACTGCAGCGCAGATCCTGCGACCTCCCAACACCACCAGAAAGAAAAAAAAGTTCCAGGCCACTCATTACCAAGGCAGGGCTTTGACATTCCCTTAAACGGTTTCTCACCCGACGCCTTTCGGGCAAAAGATCGTCCAGCAGGCGCCGTTTCCCTTCGATACAGTTGACTGCGCCTCCGGGGTTCCCCAGGTCCAAGCCAGCAACCACGCGGAAAGCATGTGCCGCAGTACCTGTGGCTCATGTATCACAATCATGAAGCTGGCTTGCACTTGTCCAGTCAAATGGTCCGAGGCTGCGCACCAATTATTGCGTAGCGCGGAATTTTGCGTTTGAATAGATTCGGTGGGCGCCAATTGCGACGGTGGTATTGTAAGGGTCTATGGTTCTTTGCAAGCCTTCCAAGCGAATGCATCTTCTGGTCCGTTGTCTATGACAAGCCGTGTGGTGCTGTTTGATCCCACAGCGGCTGTCGACGAACCCAGCATATTATTTCCCCCATGCAGTGATCGTGATGTCGTGGTCCCTGTGCCAGCCGTGAAACATCAAGTCCATCTGATGTTTCCCATAGCCTCAATTCCCCAACATAAGGACAATAGCTGCGATAGTTACTTTTGCATCGAGAGTGATGTTCGTCGCGAAGTATCGTCGAGGCTGCGTCTCGTAGGCTTGGTGATTGCTCTCAAATCGAAGGAGCCTCCTTTTGCAATTCTTCGGAGGGGGCCCTCTGGTGTCAAAGTTCCTTCTAGTGCTTATTGGGGAGCTTTACCGCCTCTCCCGCTTCACCCTGAAACCTGGCTCCTGACCCCGAGATTCTCCCTCCTCAACGTCAACTGGAGCCCGAGGCCCTAGCATCCAATCTTGCATGGCCAGCCACTCGCTCCAGCTCGTCTCGGCGCTGACGATCTCCTTCTCGCTGACGTTCTGCAGCGGCTTGAGGAATGGGACCATCTGCTCCCCGTCCATGTCGTAGTTGGCCTTGACCCTAAGCCAGTTGTCACTTTTTGCCGCAAAGAGGTAATTGCGACGCTCCGCCTCGTGCAAAGGCCCGACTCCAGCCACCCAGTCGTCCCCGAAGAATCCGTGCAGAATGCCTGGGATGTCGAAGCCAGTGGCCACCAGCCGTCGTATGTAGGGAGTCAGGGTCGCATATGCTTGCTGCTGAGACTGCCCCGGCGCCATGTGCATGGGCATCTTTCCCGCGGCGGTAACAGACGAGGGCCCGGATCTAGACATCCCCGGGAGCCCGGAAGACTGGTGCGCGTACTGGTGCGCGGGCGGCGACACTGCACCACTTGAAGAGTAGACAGGGTGTGGTTGTTTTTGGTAAGGCAGCTGTATGTTCAGAAATGCCGAAACGGCCTGGACAGGGCCAGAGTGTTGCGCGTGATCCAAGAAATATCGCACGCAAGATTGAAACGCCCCGTGCCATTCGAAGATGTCGAATTGGGCATTGACGAAGGGCTGGAGATGTCAAGTGTCAGATTATCGTCAGGAATGCCTCGGAGCGCGAGATGGCGAGGGGGGCAAGACTCTGTGTTCGAGTGTATGAAGCGGGAGGGTGGAATTGCTGTACCTGAGGCTGCTGGAAGGAAGACCCATCCATGCGACCTGAAAATGCCATCTTTCCGGGCAACAAGATGCAGTACACTGCTCTACTAGTGTGGACACAAGTAGGCGTTCAGCCGCAACAATTGTTGGTGTGTAAGCGGGCGGTGGTCCTCAAGGCTATTGTGTCTGGCATTTCTCTCAGTGTCTGAGCCATGATGGCTCCCGGTGGCCTGGCGGCTTTGCGGTGCTGGGGACAGTTACCTTTACTCCTACAAATACGGTACTCTAAGGGCGGATGCAGTTGCCCCGATTTGACAGCTCGGTAGTCGTTGTCGCTGGATGTAACCTGAGCTGATAGCAGGGAACTTGGCGGGACCAAACATGCCAGTTTTGACGTGTCTGAAAACACAGCAAAACACCCTACTCTGCTCTGGCTTATTCCGCCCGTCTCCACTCTTCGGACGCGGTCAGGGTGAGGTGGTGGTCTATGGGTTGGCTTGAGCTAGGTGCGCTGTCAGGAAGGGTGAGGCCCAGACAGAGTGCGACGCCGATATCAAAGACGACGGGTGATTATGCTGCTGGTGCTATCGGCCGGTGTTGCGTGCGTCATGCGGAAGCAATGGTCGGGCGAGTGCGATGGAAAGGAGGGCCGAGAGGAGCAGGGAAAGATGGTGTGCTTGTTTTATAAACTGTGCAGATGGGTTCGGGTTGTTTCGTCAGTGTACTACAATGTATGTGGTCTCTTGCTGGGTCCTCGGCGAGGTGATGTGGGTGCGAGAGTGAAAATGAGGCCCATAAGGTTGCATGGATTCCAGAGGCGTGCAGGATACAAGGTTACAAGCAGGATGTTACCTTCATGTCACCCTTCTGGCCGAGGGGCTGCGAATGAGGAGGTATCCGGGAGGGGGCCGCCACAAGAGAACGGACGTCTTGTCTCGCGGGTGCGGGCCCGCGAAGGTGCAGTGAATGGAAGGGCGGATGGGTGGACGGAGGAATGTCCTTGGGCAGTTATGCTGCGCGCGCGCCAGTAAGAGGAGAAAAGGGCTTGTTGGACGAGCGGGTTGAAGGTTCATGGGCCAACAGAGAGAGGCCCGGGCAGCAAGTGGTGAGGATACAAGCTACCCACCCAGGCAGGTACTGCGCAGATGGTGGGAGGCAGGGTACGACTAGGAGGACAAAGTCTGGGGATCGTTGTTTGTAGGCCGACAAGGCCAATGGCTGGGGTCGCCGTTTGAAGAGGCGCAGGCAGGGTCTTCGGAAACATGCTGAGTCCAGATAGGCGAGAGAAAGCCACGGCCAGATGTGGGCCAGGATGGACAAGGATGTGGGCTTTGGAGAGGTGGACTGTGATGGGAAAGCAGAGGGGCTGCCTCTTCATCTCGTCTCTTTTTTTGCTCTCTTTTCGTGCGCTCGGCGGTCCCTGGGATGCCATCTCCTGTCGTGGCCATGGGAGTCTGGATTCTCCATTGTCATGAATTGAGTTGGGCAGGGCTGGTTGGGCCGGGCCCGCCTCATATACCACCACGATGCTCCACCAAACATCTGTAATTAGCAAAGAACGGCCTTGGTAGCTGACGAGTCTTGACATTGGCGGCCAACTTGGGATCCCGCTGCAGGGTCGAGCCCTGTCGATTGAAAATTCACTCCAGATGGTACGCCCTTATGGGATGGGACGTTGGGATAATCATGTCCATCAGACGGTTGCAATGGAGCTGTCAAGGTGGAAGGTGGCAGGAGGAAGAATGGAGGAGGGAGGAGGGAGGCCGCCGCGAGTGCATTTTTTGCATGGTAGCGACGAAGCTGAACGTGGTGACTACTCAGGTATTGGAGCTTCAGTATTGATCAAGACGGGGAGCAAAAACAGAGGAAGAGACTGTGTGTGTGTGTATCCTGCCAGGTGCGGGCAAGACGCAAGTTGCTGTCGGATCCGAGTTGCTGAGTTGGGTACATGTACCTCATGTTGGTACTTGTGACACTAGGCAAGGAATGTTCATGTACCTATTTCCCTTTCGGGTCAATAGGAGGTACGTACCGGGTCGGTGCGCACGCAGCACCCCACTCTCAGCACAGCACAGCACAGCACAGCACAGCACAGCACAGCATAGTACATGTGCTAGGCTATGTGCTATGCAGTACTATCTACATATCCCGCGAAGGTTGTGCATGTATGGTGTTCAAGATTCCGGCGTGGGGAATGGGGGGCCTCGTCGAGTTGTGTCTGCAGGCTGGGGATCTGTTTCGCCTTGAATGGTCCGAAACTCTGGGGGTCCTATGAGGTGTTGTATTGCTGCATGGCGTGCCAGTTGCTACCGTACGGGATCTTGACGGGATTTGATCGTGTGGACTTGCTTGACTTAAGCCAGTACACGCCTGCTACTGCTACTGCTACTGTTAGCAGAGAACATGCCCAGCCGAGCCAGATTGGTTGGTTTGTTGGCTGGTTCGTATCGTCGTGGGGCATCTGTTCTCACTCTCGACGCGGTACTATCATAGTATGTCCTGCGATGCTGTAGCGCGTCGTCGTGCAGCTGGGCTCGTCCTAGGCTAGCGGGCTGCAGGGTTTGCTCAGACACCAGGCAGGCACCAGGGGACGAGGGAGGAGCTCGACTGCTTGGTCGTGCTCACTGACACTGACACCTTAGATCTGGCGCTATCGGCTTGTGGTCGATGCCGCCTACCCTACACGGTTCACCTCAGTACCTGCCATGCCTGCTTACCAGCATACCCAGGGCAGCCAGGGCAATGGCTGGCAGGTGTGAGGCGCCAGGTCCAAGAAGGTGCGGCCGGCGACGACGAGAACCACGGTACTGCAACCTCACCCACCGCTAGTAGTCTATGTTACCACTGGTCTACCACTGGTCTACTTGCCTCAGCCCGCTCGACTCTCTCATTAACTCTCGACCACCGTCGTAATTCCACGGCCATCATTTCCCCCATGGGAACCCTCGCCGTCACAAGTCACAACGTCCTCTGGGGATCAAGGCGCTAAGGCGCACGTATTCGCGTCCCAGGCCTCACATAGGTGTAGTGCAAGCTCGAGTCCTCCTCGCACAGTCTATCTAGTCCACGTCTCCTGGTCTCCTACTAGTCATCCATCACTTTGCTCTTGTCTCCCCCCTCCCCCCCACCCTGCCGGCCAAATCGGCCGAGAGACAAAGACGACGACAGGGCCATGGGCGACAGATCAGACGTCAACCTCTCGGCATAATACCGATGCTAATACCGTAGCAATCAATTAGACTTCGTCAAATCCCCGGGGATGACTTCCCGTCATCAGCCCTCAGACATCAGCCATCAGAGCCAGGGTCTGCCTCGCGGCTCACGACCCACGGCCCACGGCTCACCACATGCGGCCACCTCTCACATGACCACCCATCTCTACCTGGTGGCTGCTGTGCGAGATGCTCTACCTCCAGCACCCTCCTAGCCTCTTCAGCCTTGTCACACGCAGGCGCTCCCTTCCATGGGCATGACCTGGACCAAACCCCCCTCCCCTCCCCAGCACCGCACCAGACAGACCGCCAGAGCATCAGCAAGAACAGAACACAGCATGAGTGTACACTGGCTAGGCTGATCAGCGTCCTACCTCACGGAGGTGATGCGAAATCTACCAGCTGGCCCCGGTGCTAACTCTTGATGGTGACATACTACGCGTTGTGCCCGGCCCGATGCAACCCTGGATCACTTTCGAGAGGTTCCATCTGCCCAACGTCTCAACTCAACCTTGTTACAGCCCGCCCCGAGGACTTCATGCCAGCTTTCCATGGGTCGGTCGCTTTCTTCCCGCCCCGGGAAACCGAGCCTCTGAGGCGCCACTAGCTAGGACGAGTATCAACGGTGGCTCACCATGGCGACGTTGGCTACGGTGCCTCGGTCCTTTATCCTGCCTGGTGTCCCAACCGTGCATGCTCCACCCCAGGAGCACAACAGGATGCCTGGAGATGATCATGGCCCGGACTGCAGGTGTGAATGGCTCACTTTACTACGCAGTCCTCTCCTCGAGCACAGGCCAGGAGCAGCCACGGCAGCTCGCAGCGCTGTCGATCCATCTCGTGCCCTGCCGTATATGTCGTCTTGCTGCCCGCCCTATCTCGCTCGCTACCTCGCCGCCCACGGTGCTCGTACTCGACCGGCTCATAACCGCTGCATCATCGTGTTACCATGTCACCATGTCGCTACCGCTGGGAAAGGGGCGGCGCATTCTGCAGGCAGTTTAGTGGCTACTTGGCGAAACTATCCTCGTCGAGGGTCGCCCTACGAGGTGGGTACCCTAACGGAGGAGCCCCTGTGCGACACTCTGCGGCCACTGTAAGGGCCGTTTCCTGCTGCGGTTGCGAGTCTATGGATTTGGTGCGTCGATAGAACATGTTGCCGCGACTGGATCTCATACTCCTGAACTTGGCACTGCATGGTTCCAGTTCGGCGGATATGTGTAACATCAAAACACCACTAACTTCGATGAATCCAATGTCGTGCGTCATTAATTACTCGCGGCAGACAGGGGCTGTCCATTGGACAATACTTGCAGATTTCAAGAAAAAGCATTTTGCCTCGATTCTGTCGGACCGCCAGACCGCGAGACCGCGCACTCCGCTGTGTCAGTTCCCACGGTATGTCCGACTGGCACCGCTGCGCCACCGATCCCAAGCAGCCTGGGAGTATGCTTGAAAGAGGAGTGAAAACCCCCAGCCCGAATGCCTGGATACATTTCTCCAAGGTTGACATTGATTCCCCTTCCCTGTCGCTGTGGACATATTGACCGGCGAGATATTTGGTAAACCATAGGCCTTCGCGTGGGTCTAGCCACCACATGATACACTAGCATCGAAGACCATCATTTTGAAAGGCATAACATCTCGAACACCTCCATCAACGAAGCCGTAAAGCCGGGTCGGGGTTGGCTCACAAGCTGCCGTGCTCAGCAGCCTCGTGCTGACGGGACGGTGCAGGTCGACGTCCCCGCCAGGATGGCCCACGAGGGTGGCAAGATGTGAATGCCAAATCAGCTCACATTGCGGCCCCGAGAACGGTCGCTACTACTATCTCTGGCGCCTCACATGGACAGCAACATACAACGTTGTGTTCATTGGGCCTCACTCTGAGGCAGGGATTTTCCGCATTCCCTAGCCCAGTCCCGCCCCGGGAGTCCTTGACTTCACGGGGAACATCTGTCCCACCGGCAAGGACTGGTTACATGTGGGACAACGGCCTGGTCCCTGAGACCCTTATTCTTGAGTGTCCTACAGCGCATATGTACCTAATCTACACGTTCCTCCAGCAGTTCGGGGCAAGCGTTACCAGCCACCGGTAATCCTCTGAGGCTCTGCCTCATGTCTCTTGGGAATTCCCGGCGGGCTGCATCCGCTGTCAGCCACACTCGTGCAGCTGCATTCTTGCTTATCTCAGGAAAGTCTCACCCTGAGGCTTCAGTGTGTCGTCAGCATGGCCTGACTTGTCTCGGGAGCTGCAGCATTGTTCGTAACAGGAACTGCTTCGCTCCCGAAGCAAATTCGTCACCGGAGCCGTCATTCTACGCCTACCCCATCAGACATTTCCATATTGGGTTTCTCGCTTCTGGGCTGTCAAAAGTTATGGCTGATCCAATTCATTGCAATGTTCCGGCGCCTCACTTTAAATTTCCATCATGACGTTGCACGACCAGTCGTGGCTTTGTGGGCAGACGAGCCTCAGTCTCATGTCTTCTCGGGCCTTGACGGTTCTAATAGTGCCTTTATATGCTGCTGCAGGTTGCTTTGTTCACAGGGCTGCAGGGACCAGAGATGTGCGATCGACTGCTATTCGACCGGCGGGCGACAGTGGTTCGCATGGCTCACCGCCAGCACCAAGGGCGACTTCCATCTCTATTAAGCTTCATGCTTTCCAAGAGAGAAGCAGAAAACGCGCATCGATTCAAGAAAAAGAACAGCTGCATCTGGATCGAATGATCAGCGTCTCCATCTTTGTGAGATGTGACTCGTCGCATTGTCTAGAAAGACAGGCCCTACGAGATGTACCAATTCTCCATGAATCGACAACTGGCTTCATCTTTTCCCGCATTCCGAACTGGCATGTGCAAATAGCCGCTTTTCCAACGGTAAGGCGGGTGGCGAAAGCGGGTAAGAGTGAGGCTTGAAGATTATCGGCACGGGAAACGGGATGGAGTCAGGCACCAAAAGACATCTGCGCCTCAACCAAGAAGTTGTCTCGTGACCCGCAAATAGAATACAAATCTCGCGGATGGGAAGGCCATGGCTGTCTTATCCGTGACTGTCCAAATACAATGTGAGTATCTCTGCGGCCGCCTCCGAGAATCAGACTCTCACTGAAGAAAGAGCTCGTCTTTTATCCGGGCAACTCCGGTTTCCTCCCCTACAAAGTGCTTTCCCCATCATGGCCACCTCCATGTAGCAGCATTATAACTTTCTCATCTCGCCTGGAACAATCATTAACCAGAACCGGGATCTTGATAGGCCCCAGGCGTGGGATCCCAAGACATAAGGGCGGTTTGGACCCCAACATGTAGGCCTCCGAAGGCAGGAGAAAATGCCTTCAGCAGTCTATCTCTTTGGAGCTGGACGTAGCGCGAAATACTTGCCGAGCTTTAGGGGGAAAGACCCAGACGAACGGCGAGGAATCGAGCCGACATGAGGCGGATGGGTTTTTCGTGTTCATTTAGACCCGCCGGATTTCCCAAACTGTCCTACAATTTCTCGCACCAATTACAATATCAGGGGCAATACCATGACCCAGTACACTTGTACAAGAGGCAAGAATGTTGTGACGGTATGAAATCTGGGGCTTAGACCGACGCCCAAGGCGCAGGTAACTTTGGACTGGCTGGTGGACTCGCCCGAGAATTATAGCCGACTCTCCATCGCATAATTTCCGTTCAAGACTAGTGACCGTTGGGAGCAACGTCTGCTGCCTCCCAGGTACACGGGATGTCTGTTGCGGGAGCTAGTAATGTGGCGCTTGGTGTCAAACACGCAACGGCCTTTTGCTCGCTGACATCACTGTCGTTGTCGGTGGCAGGGGCAAGCTCTGGCCACGACTCCGTGTGAGTTTCGCGAGTGAGGCACGCAACTTTTGACTAATTCTGGGTCTCGAGGCCCCCAGGGCATTGCCCAGACTGGGGCAAAGGAGCATCAGCGGTAGCTCGGGCACGTTCCGGTGGATAGGATGAGCTTGCAACCTCATAGGAAGTAACACAGGCTCGGTATTGATCCAGCAGAGAAGGAAGAAACACACCGAGACTTTCTCTGGGCGAGGCTTTGTAGTCACTTGGCAAGCCTGATGAGGATGTCTTGTGTAATGTGCAATGATCCTGCCTTGACAGAGTTCCGGTGGCCCCTACGATCTAGGATGTTACCTAGCCTTACGGGGTGCTGGAGTCAAACTGCGCACGCCTCCATCTGAAAGAACGCCGACACAAACCACATTGTCCCAGACAAGTAGGCCAAATACAATTCGACGTTTGTCAGGTACGCTAGCGGCGCCTCCAGGGTAGGGGCTGGGAGCAATTCCCAAGTCCCTTAGTAGCGCGACCTGGTCCAAACTCTGGTATCCGTCCGAAGTTTATACGGCAAAGCGGCCAAGAGATGTGTGGAGATGCCTTTTTTTTTTAACATCAGCGCCAGGCCGAGGCGCAGCTGTCAAGTTTTGAAATACCCCAGGCTCTGAGACCCATTACACCTGGGGAATGTTAATGCCGCGCTTCGTCACCCTACCATGGTAGCTCCTCACCCTCCCTGTGCCAGAACTTGCCCGTGTCCTCGATTCCCTTGCTTACCAGGATGCCGTAAAGTTTGCTAGCTGCCTCATCGGGATTGACGGCGTTTGGAACCTCACCTGTGCCCGGGATTAAACCAGTCCTAACTATCCCCGGATGCAAGATCACAACGACCACACCCTCGGCCTTGAGCTCCAGTGACAGGTTCTTGCAGATCATGTTCAGGGCCGTCTTTGACGAGCGGTAGGCGTAGCTGCCTCCGGAGCTGTTATCCGCGATGCTACCCACGCGGCTACTGACGTACCCTAGGCGCGGCTGCGCAGACTTGAGGACGTTTGGCAGAAGCGCCTGGGTGAGCAGGAGAGGGCCGAAGGTGTTGATGGAGAAGGTTCGCGAGAGAGATTCCTTGTTCAAGGTGCTAAGTGAGTCGTGGTCCGGATCCGCAACACCTATCACAAACATGGCCTTATCAGCGACCACGACGTCCCATTGCACTACCACTCCAGGCGATCATGTGTGCAGGGTCTGGCTGTCATACCTGCAACGTTCAGCAGCAAGTCGAGGGGCCGGTCCCCATACTGCTCCTTGAATTTGTTGATCGAGTCCTCGGATGCAACGTCCAGCTGGGATGTCGTGCAGCCCAAACTCTTCAGTTTCTCCCCGTGGTTCACATCCACGGCATGGACATCGTATCCCTGTTCTCCCTGTCAACCTCGGAGCACCTGCCAGAGTACCAAGTAGTCAAGAGCTCTCAGGACTCACAGCATTGATCAGGACTTTTGCAAACTCGTGGCCAATGCCACTGTTGGCACCGGTGATTACTGCTGTCGGCATGTTGTCAAGAGCACGATAGTCAAAGATCGAGGAAAGACTCTTGATTGTCAGTGACTCGATTGATATCGAGCTTGTGATGAGGGGGTCGCTTAGAAATATACAACCTTGCGGGGTATAGCCGATGATCTGTGACGTTGTGCTGGTGTCACTTTAGGATGCAACTGGACTCTGTTTAGAGCGTCGCAATGGGATGAGATACGTCTCCATCCTTGAGCTGTGTGGGATTTACTGCACATTTCTTCTGCCTACCAAAGGTACATGCACCATGACTTTCATCCCATGCGCCGAAGCTGTCGCTGATTCGTTACACCAGTCTTCCAAGTGCTGTCCCTCAGCTATGGACGATCTCGCCCGTATCTTGTGAATATCTCGACTGCATGAGCGGCAAAACTTGCCTCCTGGTATTCAGAACAAGGACCGTGTCAGATTGTTCAGGCCAATCGAGATGACTGTTGGTCTGCGGCGTGAGACATGGCAGTACAGCTGGTCGGCCGGAGACCTCAAGCATTGCTGAAGTTTGCGAGTGCAATGCATACCAGTCGTCTCAAGTCGCCACCTTGGTAAGTCGAAAGTTGCGAAAGTTGGCATCTATGCCATATCTGTGTTTGGCCCATACATGATGTGGTAATGCAAAGTGTGGAAAAAACTGTCGAAGGATGGCACCCCAAAGAAGACCAGCTACACCAGAGGTAGGCTTCCATCCCAGATCAGCTCACGTTTTGATCGGTTTCACTGCCAGATTGTGAGATGATGGCCATGGGAAAGAAGGCTAGCAAGCCAGGTGAGCATCATCGTAGCCATCAGCCGTCGGCCAGTCCAGGCCAGAGCAAGCCGGGTGGGCTTGCATCATCTGTTTACAGGACTAAGAGGTTGCGTACTAAAAGCGCCAGGAAGTTTTGGAAATGAGTGGGTGGTTTTGCAATGCCAGTAATCGTATCGCCTTGTCAACTGTCAGAGCCACAGCCTCCGTCGTTGACAGCATAGGGCCGCTGGAAAGAGTGTACGAGTTTGGAGGACGGTGCGTGCCCTAGAGGACTGTGTCTCTGTCTCTTATTCGATGCCGGAGTAAAGGTATTGACGAATTTGATTGCCGTCAGAAAAGGAACCCAGTGATTCTTCCTCGTACCGTTTTACCTTTCTTTCAGTCCCCCAAACGTTTTTGGAGCTCCATGCGGCTGGTTAGTACACCGTTAACACAACCGTTTTTGACGCCCACCCTCGACTTTGCTGCCCAAATAACTTTCGGGTCCAAGGTTATTTTTCTCTCCTCCGCGTTTTGTTACCAAATCTCGGAGACCTCCTCTGGAATGCTCACAGCAGTTCTTCGTTTGCCGGGCCAAGACGGGCCGCAGGCGGGTTGCCTTGCAGCTCGACGCCACACCGGCCACAATCAGCCCAACAGATAGTCTATTAGTACGCTAGAAGCCGCCACCACGACCAGAGGCTGTCGCGAGGAAGCTGAAGCCCAGCACATGGCCTTTTTGGCTTGCTGACATCCAAGACCTGGCGGGCTGCCACGCCCTTCTGAACTGCTCGGCTACCGTGTCAATGCTCGTCGAAGGATCCAGACATTGCTTTTGACATCCCGTCCGCCAGATTGGGAAGAGGATATGAGACAACCCGTCGGAGAACTGGGAGCGGCTGAGCGGCGCTGTTCTCGCTCTTCGGGCAGAGGCTGGAGCCTCAGTCCGTAAATCGAAGTCAGCCAGCCAGCAGGCGTCCGGTTTTGTGCTTTGCTGTGTATGGATTTCACCAGCTGAAGAGACCCTGGTATGTCTGGCCCAAGAGCCTCATGCCTTCTTGACCTACTTGACAGCGGACAGAGCCCAGAGAAAATGCTCGGCCGGCTGTCTCGTCTTTGTGCTGTCAAGCTGGTTATCTGTCGCTGAAGTGGACTGACTACAACTGTAGCTCCACTTACCTCCCCCTTTTCACACTCCAATCATGAAGCAAATCCTTGGTCTGACAGCTATTTGCTGTTCCATTGTACTTGCTGAAGCAGGAGTTTTCAAGTGGACTGCCCATGACAATGTTCGAAGATGGACCCCAGCACAGGAGACATTTGGTCTGATGCCACTCTTGGGCATGAATCCAGTACCGACCAGCCCTCCGAGGCTAGAGGAAGCGAGGGATCAAAAGAGAGCGGACGAGGACAATACGTGCGCGTATGTCAACGGTGATCCAGGTACGGTTGCTTGGAGCATTGGCCCCGCTGCCTGCTTGTCAAACATGCTGACCCGGTCAAAGATATCCCTCTCTACTGTGACGTGAGCTCCGCGTGTGTCTACAACTCAGTGAAATCGAATATTGGCTGCTGCCCTGATACATCAACGTCATGCTCTATTTGGACGACGTGCCTTGACTCTTCTGACAAGAATCTGTTCACGACGGATAATGGCTATACCTTGTGGTGGTGAGTCTCTGTCTCCGGCTCTGTCTGAAACCTTCTGGAAGATTGCTGACAACGGTTGTCAGTGGGTCATCCGAGTACCCTTATTGCAAGACACATCTTTATAAGGATGATGCCTTTACGGGATACACTCTCCTGGGATGTGCGGTGGCGGCAGGAACAGACAGTGTAGTCTATAAACCAACTTTATCGACGACGTCTTCGAGTTCCTCTTCCACCTCGATCAGCAGTCATACAAGCAGTTTGGACGTGGAGAAAACACCTTCGAGCATCACGCAAACGTCCAGTGCAACCACCGCAGCGGTGAGAAGCAACCCAACCATCACGACCGCAGCTGCTAGATCAGGGAGCTCCTCGGCTCCAATCGGCGCCATCGTTGGAGGTGTCGTAGGTGGAGTTGCTGTCCTTGCGTTGTTTACCTTGGGTCTGGTCCTCCTTCTTCGCAGGAGAAGGCACCACCAAGGACCCGGTAGCGACCAGCACAATTCGACTAATCCTGCCGGAGGCTTTGCATCTCAACCACCTCCATCGCAACCAGCGATGCAACAGCAGTTCCAGCAACCGAATTTCCAACCTGCGCCGTCCACGGTCAGCTATGTGACAACAGCGCCTCCTTTAGACAACCGCAGCTCCATCGCGAAGCCCAGTCCAATCAACACTACTCAGGCTGTCTATGATCCGACCACAACAGGAAGCCCTCCACCTCAGAGCCACAGCCCGGGGCCGGCACTGCCAGCTTACCAGGCGACAAACACTAATGTCAATACTACACCTGCATCACAAACAACTTCGCTGATAACCCATGATGCTCCCCAGCAGCAGAGGCCTGGGGTTGGTGTTTACCAAGACTACCACAGCCAAGTGCAGCCTGCACATCAGCAGCAAAATGGCGACCGTTACTATGAGATGCCCTTAACGAAGAGTGACCGGGAGCTTAGGGAACTGGCTTAAACACGCACTCAATGTATTCTACTGTGTCAGCATTGGATCGAAAGTCGTCGATGGCCCCGGTTTTATGACATTCAACAATGGAGGTGGATCAATGCGAGCTCTTCGAGCTGTCACGCATGAAATGGCGATGCTGCCGAGTCCAGGTTGTGGATCGATGAAACCTATGAGCACATGGCCATGGCTGCCCCCCCCCCCCTGAATCGCTCGCAGAACCATTAATCTTATGAGTCCACAGCCTCCCCCACTACCACTGGATTTTGACTTTACAGTCACGCATGGCGATGCCAAGTGCCGAGACGTAGTCCCGGCAAAACATGAACCTATGTAGCGGTGGTTTATGTTTATTCATCTGTCTTGTTTTGTTTAGCATTTACCTCACTACCAAACATCATACATAATCAATGAAAGCATCCCAGATCTTGTGTATCACGCTGTCTAGCTGCCGGGTTGAAGGGTGAGCCCGGGACGCCGACCGGAACACCGGAGGTGAGGTATCTCAGGGATCGACAGGGTGCAGAGAAAGGTTACATTCTCTGTGCACAAATCGTTTCCTCGGCCCTGCATAGGACACTTGTCCTATGTGGGACTCTGGCCTGCAAAGAGCTGTGGTGGTCTAACGCATAAGTGGGGCGAGATCAAAGTTCGTCCTCGACATCTCGAGGCGTTGGGTCGTTCTGGAAACCATCGACACAAAGCAAGCAGTATTACACACTTACCGAAGTAATCAGAAATGCCTCAAATCCTATTGTAAGAAATCAAGTACCCATTGGAGCCGAGAAACACAAGACCTGACGGGCGCAATCACATAGCATCGGCGGCACCGGGCACGTTGGTGGCGCAGTCCTGCACAAGATACTGGAGCAGCATGCGGACGACGTCCAGGTAAAGGTTCTCGTCCGGGGCGAGGAAAAGGCTTCGCGCCTGGTCTCCAAGTACCCTCGGGTGCAAACTGTCCTGGGCGACCTGACGGACTACAAAATACTCGAGGAGGCCAGCTCCCAAGCCGATATCGTCATAAACGCGGGCCCGGATATAACCCACAACCTGGGGATAAGCGCCATCTTGCGCGGCCTGAAAGCACGCAAGGAAGGGTCAGCTGGATCGCAGACGCCGTTTTATATCCACACCTCGGGCGCATCTCTCATCTGGGACGAGCCGGAGGGCTCGAAGGAGGCGAAATGGTGGGACGACATAGCCGACATACCGGAGCTGTGCTCCCTGGAAGAGAAGCACACGCACGCTGTGACGGATCGCATTGTGCGTGAGGGTGCAAAGGATGTCAATGTGGCCATCGTCTCGCCTGGCTTCGTGAGCGGGATGAGCCCTTCGATCGAGCACCCCACACCGATCACCACACCCGCCATCCTGACCACGGCGCGGGCTTTCAAATCAGGATTTCTGATCGCCCAGGGCGAGAATACGCACGCATGGATCCATGTGATGGACCTGGCACGTATCTTCATGATCCTCGTGGATGATGCGCTTGCCACGGTTGTCGGAAAGCCCATCAAGAGGGATGCGGATGTGCTGCCGCTATGGGGACCGGAGGCGTATTACTTCAGCACTGGCGAGGACATCTCGTTCGCGGACTTCATGAAGGGCCTGGTGCCGGTGCTGAAGCAGCATGGTGTCATCGAGAGCACCGAAACTAAATCTGTGAACGTAACCGAAGCGGCGAGAATCAGTCTCGCTGGGCCTGATGGGGAGTATGACCCGCTTGCTGCGCCGCCGCCTCCTGATTCTTGGGCGATGCATATTGCCATAATGTACGGGGTCAACATGAAGATTCGAGGATCGAGGGTGGAGAAGCTGGGATGGAAACCGACCAGCAAAGTGGTAGATACTTTCTCCGAGGTAGTGTCTGAGTTCTTGCTTCGAGAGAAGCGGAATGCTTAGAGGTGGAGATGGTTGTCTTTGTTATTTAACGAGATGTAATACGTACTAGTGCTGGGGTGGTAATATCTTTCTCTTCTGAGGGCGTTATCGTGCCGAAATACTGACTATTCCTAGGGCGCATTGCTGGGATCCTATGCCAGGATGATGACCTCCATTTATATCAAAGTTTATAGATCAAGATTCATAGAAATAGACCTGTTTCTTGAAGCCACGCAATGACGACCGAGGCACAGGGATGGGTGTGAAAACGGTCTCAGAGAAGCATATACAACTTCTTTCTTCTTAGCATCCCAATGCCCGTGCTGCCAACATGATATGCTCATGTGACAATGCATACACTTCTGCAATCTTAAGTCGGTTATCTCGCCTGCGATACAGCAAATTCACTAGGACGTCTGGGAGCAATCGGCAGGATCGATGTCTGGCGAGGCCCAATTTGATGCGTGGCACGTGGTCAAGGCGGTACAACTCGAGCAACTGTGTTGTATGGAATGTAGATGATTACAACTGTGGCTCGTCCATGCACACGGCCCTTTCCGGCTACGCACATGCATCGTAATAAATTTGGAACCCCTGAATACGATGTCTTCCAAAGCACGATGGGGACATCCTCAGGTGCTAGCCTTGTCTGCCGAAGCACCTGCACCTGCACCTGCAACGGGCTCGTTGTTCTCGAAGTGCACAACCTCATGACCAATGACGAAGTGGCCGACGGACATGTTGGTTCGGGCCTGCGCCCCCCCCCCTCTAATTCGGCCCACAACGGGTCCGTCGTCAGCAGCCGCAGATCATCGAGGCTGTGAAGCCAGTATGTGGTGACCATGTCATAGTCGGGGATCGTCCAACCGGGCCGGCCCATGTCGGTCTTGAGGGCATGCCGGAGAGGTTCCCTGAAGTGCGCCGGGTTTACTGTCTACACGCACACCAATATCCACATCGTTAGTCGGGCCACCAGTCTTCCGAAGTAACAAAGGTGACCAAATTGGATGACTTGCCTGTGTCCACTTCACAACATACTTCTGGATGAGGGGCTTCGCCTTGACAGGGTAGACCTTGGTGGCCCATTCGACGAAGTCCTCGTAGGATACCTCATCCTTCTTATACAGGCAGACGTCGAACTTGATGAGCGGAGACGGGCTCGCCATATTTGCTGAGGGTGAGAGGGTAAGTATGAAATTGTGAGATTCGCATGCTGAGACTGAGGGGCGGCGCAGCATCCTGCCTTTTATTCTCAGCTCGCACGACACTCAGGCGGCGGGGTCAGCTCATGGCTCTGGCCTGCAGCATACCAGGGGATGTGCTAGTCTGGCAAGAGGGGCTCGAAGGATTTCCACTTCGACCTTTGCGACGCGATTCGCCTGTGTCCGCGCCGTGTTGGTGACAAGCTGAGCACCCTGGTAGGCCGAGTTGCTGCCCTAGTCTGCTCACCCACTTTTTGCTTACAACTTTAACAGCACACCTTGCCGGTGTGATGTCTTATAGCGGACAAATTACTACATAAGAATGCATTTCTCAAGATGATGGGCTCTTACATTTCGAAGGGTAATCCGTCAATTCTTGCGTCTAGTTATATAGCTTTGTCTTGGTCCCTTTCCAAGTTCAGTGCCCGGCAAATCACCAAGATCCCTGCGGCCCAGGGGACCAACACATCAGCCACGCCCCAACAGAAGCATGGCACTGCTTGCTAACTGGCCCATCCAGAGAAACAGGAAACTTTGGCCCAGTCTCGCAACCAGTGATCATGAAAACATCGCCATGGCAGGGTTAGGCACCCCTCTCTTGGTTACCCGGTGCTGTTGTCGACCTGGATGATGTTTTGGCCCAAATCATGCTCATCCCACTATTTTATACCCAGCCTGCATCTTGAACCAGAACGACGCGACGCGCTCAAAGAAATCTCAGAGATCGGGCCTCTGGGGAGTATCAGGAGGTTCCCTGAGAGGTGGTGTGGGAATGGGAGAAAGGAACCCCACGCGAGGAAAGACTCGGCCATCCTGAAAGCATGGTCACCTGCCATGCTACGCAATGGACCAAACGGCAGAGTGCAGCCACATCTTTCTATTGGTAGAGGTCTGATTGCATCTTCTCAACGAGTCTACTCATTTCAGCCCTGTAATGCCTTCTGCAACAAAGACGTCGCCCGGTCGCTGTGCTTCATCTGCAGCGCCATTTCTTGACCCTTGGGGCTCATCTTCTTCCATGTCTTGCGCAGAATGCTGATAACCTTCTCCTCGTCATGATCAGGCTTTGATTCAAAGCCGTCAAGCTGATCATCCAAGAAAACCAAGCAGGCCACATCCTCCAGCACCTGTGTCTCCTCGTTGGTGGCCAGGTCCTGCTTGCTGATCAGTGCCGATATCCGCTCGAGATCAGCGCCTGGGAGTGGTTCATCCATGGAGGCAAGTAGTTCTTTTACTTGAGATGCAGCCTGGCTCTTCTGCTTTGCCCTCCACGTGAGATATCCGGCCCGAGTCATCGGGTAGCTGCTTCGTGGTAGCTCCCAGCTTTCAGCTCGTCAGTCAACGCTTGGGGCCAGTGAGCGGGGAAAATAGACAGACCGTCTGAAATGTTGCGCCCGGCAAGCAACTTGCAACGCAGGAGAGGCATCAGGACACCTTGGGGCGAGCCAGCTCGTCATCTTGCGGGCATAATGGAGCTCATACGGTAGCTCGCCTGAACCATCCGGTGCGGGGATCTTGTTGGGATCCTGGGCATGAGCATAATCAATGAGCTTGATTGCTGCCTCGTAGTTCCCACTGAGCGGAGGGAGAGACGCCATTGTGACTTTGCAGGTGAAATGAAGCTCTTGACAATCAGGTCACGGCAATCAATGGCGGAGGGACGTTCGACTCGGGATGTGAAGTCAACCGTCCTTGTGCGTGACTAATCTGATCTGTATGACATGTGATTGGCTCCAATGATAACGACCGACATCGCCCACGTCACGAGTATCATACATATGAAATTCTCAAGATTTAGGATAAAAGTCTTCCCATAATGATTTCAATTCTTTGATTCCATACTGTGCTAGCTCCCAGGCGGCAGGTCGGTAAGCGTATGCGAAACAGACTCGCAAATATCAAATCTACAGCGTGGCAGAGTCTCAGGAGCCTGGATAGTTTCACAAACAATTACATTGTCCGCTTTGGCAGGCTGTGTTGTCTCACAGAAAAGTCCTACTGATGGACCCTTGGTGTGAAGCCTTGTTGAGTTTTCTCGTAAGAAATTGTGTAGCATATATCACAGGCTTCTAGGCCAGAAGGGACAAGAATGCACCTGCAAGCTCGAGTAGGAGCAAGTTTCCACCCTGCACAGATGTCAGCGTTGAGAAGCTACTTAATCTGACTTAAAGGTGAAGAAAGGATTTTTGAGTATAAATTCACAGTGAATTGGCTTTCTCGTGGTCGCTCATGTTATCGAGTAACATTCACGCCTAATGGGATAGCTTTCCAAGACTGGTTGCAGAACGCCCCAAGCAACATGCTCTCAAGGCTTCTCGAACAGAAAAAGTATCTTTAAAAATGTCATTATCCTTTCATGACACTGTGATCTTGAGTTCAAAAAGCATGAATACCTGTGGTACGTTTTGGGGAACCACATCGTTATCTGGCAGCATGGAATGTGTTTGGTCAGGGTGACTTCGAAAGCGCTCGGGAGAATTGCCCACACAGAACATGTAAATATGTGGATTCTATGGCCAGCTCTGATGTGATTAGTTAATACAGGTGTATGGGTGAGACTTGGATTGTAACATGCTTTCGTCCCATGTAGTATCTTGTCACACTTCTTTGAGCTCAAGAGATGTTATCATGTGCTCGAGTGGCCTATCGTGTTGTCTTTTAACGGAATTTAAAGCTGATTAAATCTACCTCTACCAAAGAAGCTGCGAATTGTATTTGATATCCACACCGATCAGTTCACGCAGAGGAGAGCCAGAAGCTTCTGTTCATTCAGAGGATCTAACAATTAACTTGCTCAAGGTTTCGTAGGGAAGCACTGCAATCCACTGGGTTGTACTTTGTCCCCCCAGAGCCGCGCTTAATCCTTGAACTTGTCCCTTCACCCCGCCTCGTTTGTTTACCGCTCACCAAAAAAATACCTTGAAACCCTCACTGCTGTCAACCCACAACATTACTCACCGACACTGCTCTCATCTTTCCATTGAGGTCAAGATGTCTTCCCACAGTGACCTCGCCATAAAGGGCGATGGCCACAAGCGCATTCCAATCTCAGACTGCAAGCTTCAGCCCCTTAATCTTCTCATCCCAGGCGGCGCTCCAATCATGGTACCCAAGGACAAGACTTGGCCGGGTACAAAGAAGAAAGAGGTGATCAAGCTCAAGGTCCCGCTCCCCGAGAGTAGTTCACACGACACTGGAGAGGGAGATGGATTGGGTGAGGAGCCGATTGCCACGAAGACAAAGTCGACGAAGGTCAGCAAGGTGAAGAGGCATGCCACTGTGCACACCAAGGTCAAGGCAGAGAAGAAGCTGGAGGAGCCCTGTAAGAAGGCAACCAAGCTGGACAAGCTTGCGACCGAGGCCAAACAGCGCAAGAAGCTGGAACAGCAGGTCAGGGAGCAGGAGCAGTACATCGCAAAGCTTAAGGCAAAGTATGCACCGGAGAAAAAGAAACACGGGAGCAAGGAGAGCAAGACTTACATCCAGGCTAGCGAGTCCGATTCTGACGGTAGTGCCCCATTGGCTTCCACCACCGAAGATGGGTCCCAGGCTTCCGACGCATCCACCAGCGGCGCTCTCACCGATGCGAGCGAAGACGTCCGCCACCTAATCAAGAACTTGAAGATAAAAGCAGCAGGCAAAGAGGATTCCGACTTCACAAAGTCAGAAGACTCTCAGCTCCTGGCCAGGAAAGAAAACGGAGAGTCTTTCAAAACGATCGCACAGTACATGGGTCGCTCCAAGAAGCAGATCTCGACGCGATATCACGAGCTCAAGGAGCTTGGCAAGACAGCGGAGACTGCAGGTACAGATGGCCCGGGAGAGACGACCGAGGCTGCGACTACAGACAATGATGCGCCAGCTGAGGCGTTTGGTGGTCTCTTCGACATCAGCGGCCTCCAGGCCAAGCTGGAAGCCACTGCAGCAGAGCAAGCCCAGGCTGAGGACCAAACACAAGAGGCTGAGAAGAAAGAGGACGACCGCGACGACGGGGAAGCTTCCAACGCTCCCAAGATTTCTCCCGTCGGAATTCTCAAGACAGCCGGAGGCGGCAAGAAGAAGGACAAGAAGAAAGCCAAGCTGACTCGGCCAGCCGCCGTTGGTGGCGAGTCCGGCTACGAGTCCGGCTCCGAAGACTTCTCCACCAAGGCCTTCATCGGCAGCTACGCCAGACGGCTTCTGACCAACAAGAGCGCCATCCCGGAGGCGGACGACAAATTTGACGAGGAAGACTGCATCCTGCTGGCGCTTGCTGATGCCCGCCGGAAGGGTGATTACTGGCAGCAAATGCAGGCCGACTTTGCCAACCTGACTGGCCGGATGGTCCCTGTCGAGGTTTTGAAGTTTAAGTTTGGCGAAGGGGGAAAGCCAGAGGGATATTGAATCCGTCTTCTGTTGATCAGGCCATCAGAGAGCAAAGGACGTGCGACTGTACATTTGTTGACAGGCCATACAAAGACGTCCTGAGTCCTAAAAGGCCCGTCTCTCTCCACATATGCTGTTTCTTATGGCGGTTTCGATAAGTCAACGGTATCAGTCGCCTCGTCCATAGGCTGTGTTGATTCGATGGTGAACAGATCAGGACAACTGGCAAAAGAAAATAGAGAAGCCCTCTTTGGGGACGTACCGCTTCCGGGAAGGGAAGCAAGCTCATGAAATTCATGGGATCTGAAAGTTGTGATTGAAAATGGAGTTTTGAGAGTGCGGATGGCAGCTTTGAAAGTATGGATGGAGCTGGCAGTCTGACTTTATGTGAACAATTGGAATCCTGCTAGGGATGCGTACTTCAAGGCTTCTCCAGGATTTCCCATCGCACATGTCTGCAAAAGATCAGCAGTGAAGTTTTCAAGGAGGCATTACCATAGGTTGCACAAAAAACAATAATCGAGAAGTTCATATCCACCTTTGCCGTGCACAGAAGCTGTCATCAGCCCCCATTCTTTTGAAATGGCTCGCCAAGAGGCTATCACCGTAGGTAGCATCAGAATAGGTACAACTTCTGGAGAAATTCTACGTAAGTGTGATTGAATGCAGTCAACCATACAGACAAGGTTGAGATACAGGCCTTTATGAGGCATGCACTCATTCGAGTATTTTGATAGTAAGTAGCAATCCATGTTGAAATTTCGACGTAGAATGATAGCCGGTCATTTCCTTTTGACATTGATCACCCATGGGAATAAAGACACGATATTTTGGACCAACTTCACTGAAAACTCCAAGTACGATGGAAGCAGAGGGGACGTTGCGCAGATATTTTATTCCTGTGCTATTTCCAATTCCCTTCAAATCACACCTGCCTTGCTCCTTTATGATGTCCGTTGGTATCTCTGGTAATCTTTATGAAACCGATTCCTGCCCCTTTTGTAATATTACATCACCAAACTCCTGATCAACGCTTGTATTGCTTGTACGACAAAGAGGAAACTCTAGGCCTCGAATGTGGTGCTCGCCTCCGCCTGTTGGTGAGGTTTATGTCCTCAGCCCCTTCCTCGTCCGCATTGTTGAAACGTTCGTGGCCTACTGTGATGATCTTGACGACGTTCCCAAAGCCAACCGCGGCACTGCTGTAGCCAACCTTGATCATAGGCCCGAGCGTTGATATGATCAGTCCAGCAGGGTCATCTGGCGCGACAAGGGGCGTGGTCTCAATGTTTCCTTCCTTCTCGACCCGGCTTATCACCCATATTTCCCACGTTTCCTCTAGCTTGCTCCGTCTCGGCGAGGGATCAGCATGTCCCCGCCGGCGAAGGCCGGATTGCGCAAATGCGGGCAGTCGTTCTCTCATCGGAGATCCCCGATCGTCTTTTTCTTTCCTCCTTATGCCAACTACGCACCCGTTGCGCAATGGAGTCCATGCACCGGGGTTACGTATCCGACGGGTAATTAGCTTCGTTTCTGCCCATGTACAGCTAGATCGCGCGGGCGCACCGACTAGATCTGAGAAACAAATGTTGTCGTAGTCTTCGCCTGGGAGATATGTCTGAAGCACACATTCACCATCGTCTCCACTCAGGTAGGCCAGCGTCAGAGAGGCGACAGTGCCCCGGCCACCAGGACCCATTCTTTGTCCTTGGTAAACAAACTTGAGAGATTTCGGCAGTATCGTCTCAGTTCGGAAGGTGTGCATCAACTTGGAAGAATAGAGATCGATCAGGTCGACACTGCTTGTTCGAACGACCATGTACGACGCGAAGCCCTGAACCGGTAATAGAGCCTGCGGCTCCTCGTGGTTGTCACCCGCAATTATGGCCTCCGAAGATATCCAGATGCCGTCGCGATAGTCAACCCGGTGTATGCAGGCACGTCGTGACAAAGTGACAATGGACAAGCGTGGCTCAGATTGAGCCGATGTTGCTACAGGCGGGTCGACATTGGTCAGCCGAGGGTTCGCGATGGTACTGGCTGAACGAGAGCTAGGTGGCAGATGCTTACCCTTTTCCGCAATGGTTACAGCACAGATCAGGGGGCTTTTGCAGATCAGGTACTCCGAGGAGTCGGGGGCACCGGGCAACAGCTCGGTCATAGTACCATTCCGTCTTACAATGACGATGGAACGCAGAGAGCTGTTTCCGGCGGAGCCGAAGAAGAAGGCCTCTGGCTTGTGCCCGTACATGTCGATAGGTGCCGAAGGTCCCCATTCCTGCTTCGTGATGCTCCAGAGCAGGACTCGGTACGTCGAAAGTATCGCCAACCAATTCGACGAATTGTCGACTGCCATCGCCTGTATTGGGAATGGGTTGTCCATTGGAGATTCGGGCCTGTCTAGATCGTGGCTTGCGAAGTCGTACTGCAGGTCCCACACCCTGATCTTGCGATCAAGTCCAGCGGACACCACATGGCTGTCGGGAGCGACCAGCAACCTCGCAATATCGAGCTGATGTCCGTTTGCTAGATTTTTGATCGAGACGAGAGGCTCATCGTCCGCCTCATCCTCGCCCCTGACGTCCACCATTTCATCCCAGAGCAAGTAATTCATGAGAAGACGGACTAGAGCCACCAGAACGAGGACCGTAACGATGAAAGGTGTAAGCTGGTGGTGCATAAAGTCGTATATTGCGTCCGGAAACCACCGCGCGCCCTTGGGAGGGTTCCGGTTGGCACCCTTGAGCACGAAAATGACCGGGTCATGGACTCGAGCAACATAGCTGTGAGCCCAGGGCTTGATAACATTGATGACCTCCTTTGCTGTCTCGTGATCTTGGAGACGCAGCCAAGACTTCGGGCTCCGAGCCTGGTGTATCTGCGCGTAAGGTGGCGAGTCTTCTACATTGTTAGTTCTCCAGAAATGACGCAAGAATCCTGCAGGGCTGCGCGGGTTTCCGCTCTGCAAGAAATGCCATTGTGCCGCGAGGACGAACCCCAACATCACGACGGTCCCCGCGATGCGCGTCGATAATGCTATCCTCCCCTGTAAAATAGCATCTACAATGGATTGGCGCGGTGGGCCATCTGGGGCCATTCGGTTGTTCCTGATACTAGCCTTCTCCAAGGCGTCTCCCAGCTCGGTCCGGCGCACATCGACGCTGAGAACAGAGAGGAAAAATGTCGAAAGGTAGAAGAAGTCGAAGAGAATGGCGATGGCTGCAAAGGTGCAAAACGCCGAGACCCCTGAAGAAACCACCCTGGCCAGGCCCCAGAGAATCAACAGATTCTGCGCCACGCTTGCGAGCGCAACATGACTGGTCTCGCCGAACGCATATCCAATCCTGCTGCTGGTGTTGTGATCGGATGGCGTGAGGATCACAGCGTTGATAAGCCGGAAAATGTTTTCCAAGCTCATAGCCATTAGTACAAGAGGGTAAGCCGCCCTCGGGATCCTAGAGAGATCGATCCTGAAAAGGGCACACACGGTGAGACTGGAAACGATCGACATTATGATCTGGGCAACAACGGTCACGATCAGACCGAGTTTGGACTTGACGGCTCTGATCTTGGAGAGGCTCAGCAAGAAGTAAGAAGTTGTCAGTAGGTAAGCCAGAGAGAGCAAGATGGCGTCCTGGATCGAAATTGGACGGAATTGAAACTCGAAGAGCTGGGAGCCAGCTGACACACCGTCACCGGGGAAAACGTCCCATTTGTCTGCCATGCGAGCAGCGCATTCCTTGGTCTTTCTCCCCCATTGCCTCCCAACTGGCGAGTCTTGCAGATGGAGTAGGGTGATGACTAGGGCGTCGGCAGCAATGAGCCGCCTGTCCTCGAATTTCTTGCCGCTGAAGACTATCGAATGCCGCAGGGTCACATTGACCGACGTCGGTTGCGTCTTCTTCTCGTTGACCGTGTTGATGAAGTCTGAATCTCGCGCAATGTTATCGGCGTCGCAGTCCCAGTACTGCAGAGGCGAGTGGAAGAACCAAGACTGTTCCGTGAGGCCATTGATGACATGGAAGGCGTCCCTGTCCTGCTGGGTAAGGTCGGCTTGCGGGTCGAGTTCGGGGATGCTCCTCTTGGGCCGTCGAGGGTTGAAGTCCGTGGTTGGCCCCAGTATCTCATCCTGCAGCTCCAGTGCGCCAAGGAGCACGTCGCGGTCGAGGGCCTTCATGTAGCTCCCGTGCACCCAAATTGTGCGCATAATAATATCGGGCTCGACAGCACGCCTGTCGTCCAGTGGCTGGGCATCGGTCCAGACATGGAGAGGAAGGTTCGGTGCGGCGATGGTGTAGTCGGTCGTGTAGAGGAAGGGGCAGGGATAGATGAGAATACCAGCAACGGCCACGGAAATCAGCAGAGTTGCGAGGACATGTCGAGCAGCATATCTCCCATATCTGGTCAAGGCACTTCGAAGGGGGTGATTTGGTGGCAACAGAGGGGCCTCGGTTGTCCTGATGTCCAGGTTAACCCCAGAGGCCACAATTCGGCGGTGCGAGGAGAGACATAGACGGGCAAAGAGAGGAAGACAGGGAGAAAACCTACCCTCTGAGCGGGTAAAGAAGATACCAGATCATCACAAGCAGGTCCACCGAGAGAGCCCAAAAGTGAAGTGGGTGTCAGGAGAGCGAAGGGCGAACAGTAGACAGCTCATGCTTGGCGCGAAGATGGCGAAACTATAGTGTACATGTAAAGCTAAGTGTGGCGAAGGTCAGACAGACAAGAAAGTGCGAGAGAGGTGAGAGGGCGACAGCTTGCTGCGTTAGTAGCTGATGGGGCATGCGCCCGAGGATGGACAAAGGTGGACCCGCAATATGTGAGGGCGACTTGGAAACACGATTGGGTGGTCGAGGGAAGGCGGTAAGTGACAGACAGTACTCCGGGGGAGCTGAGACCCAGTCACAGCGGGAGACAGGAGGATTCCGCCGCGAGAGGAGAACGGAACCTTAAAAGTCTTGTCGTGCAGGGCCGTTGAGCAAGAATGGGGTGGATTCACGTGTCTGGGACGGATGGGCTGGAGTCTAAAGGCGCAATGGATCGGCAGGTGTGCGGCACCATAGACCCGGCCCAAGGGAGACGACACGATGCCAAGGCCGACAAGAGGACGGATGCGAGGGGCGCCAGTGCCCAATGGCCGAGGGAGGGTACCTAGGGACAGGGCCAAAATAGGCGGGATAGCAATCCTATGCAGAATGGCCTTAAGAGGAGTTGCGATCTAGCACTGTCAAGTTCTGGAAGGTGAGCTGAGTGAGCTTTGGGGGGGGGGGCGGCTTGGAGTTGTCGCACAGCTCTGTGTGCAAGGAGCCCCTTGGACTCGGGAGCTTGGGGCCGCTCGCAGTGGGGAAGAGGCTAGGTTTCGTCGATGGCCTCGCGCTGATATGCGTTCCTAGATCTAACTGTGCCTGGGTCTGTGCTTCGGATGCGCAGGCGACTGGGCTGGCGCAGACCGGGGTGTTACGACGACGGAGGCGGATGAAAGCAGGTGGGAGGGAGAGCTGTGCTGGGGCCAACTCGGCTGACAGCTGCGATGGTTCGGAAGGCGCTGCCGAGTCAGGCTGGGCTTGCGGACTGGCGAGGCGATGAGATGCGATGCGATGCGATGCGTATCGAAGCGATGGCGCTCGCGCAACAAGACTATTCCGTATGTGTGGGTAGTCTAGGGGAGACTATGCCTACCGTGCAGTAGGTGTCTGGGGGATGCGAAACCTTGACTTCACAGACTTCCAGGCGGCTCCAGGTGTGGTTGGTCGGTCGGTCGGTGGTTCGCTTGTCTGTTGCAGGCAAGGATCGAGAAAACTGGACGAGTTGACGTTGCCAGTGGGGGCGCCACATGCAGGGGTATCGTAGCTGGCAGCGTGGAAGCACCTGGCTGGTGGTGGTGTGGTCTGCGAATACCTCTACCTAGTCCTGCATCCAGCACTACTGCAGACTACCAAGGTACCTGGGCGGGTTGGTCTGGCAGAGCACCTACCCAGGTAGATCAGGTACCACTGCCCAGATGGTCGAGAACTGAACTGGCCTGGCTGGCTGGCCTGGATGGCTGGCCTGGATGGCCTGATGATGGTGTGTATTCCTCTTGCGTAGACCAGAACGACGAAGAGTTTGTCCTGGGCCGGTGCACGGACACCAAGGGGAAGGGGGGTAACGGCGGGGGTCGACGAGGTGGAAATGGCACGCTGCGACTTGGGGTAGAAGAATCGAGGAAGATTCGCTGCAGCTCTCTCTGGCTGTCACGTAGGCACCTGGGTGGTCGTCCCCAGATTCGGAGGAATGCGGCGGCGCCTCGATGATCGACGTGTGAGCCCGCAAAGCCAAATCAAAGTGATTTGAGTTGTGCCGTGCGTCCCGTGTCGTCTTGTGCCGCCTCGGGTCGTCTCGTCTCGGACCCTGCCGTGGATAATAATGCAAATGCGGCAGAGGGTGAGATGGTGTGGATGGCAGATGCAAGATAGTGCGATGCGGCTGAAAGAGAGGGTGGTGAGTTGGGAGGAGGGGGGGAGGGGGAAGAAAATGACTGTGTGTATATGTGTGTGGGTGTATGTATGGGTGAGTGAGTGTGTGTGGTTGTGCGAGTGTGTCTAGAGACTGTAGGTATGAACGAGACACCACTTGGGTGAGACAGAGTTGGTATATCTCAGCCTGGTGGAAGTCAAATAGCAAATAGCAAACAGCAAGTTGCGCAAGTGCTTGTGTGTTCGTGCCTTCTGTGGCAGTGGAACGGGGAGAGACGTTGGACGAAGAGGAAAAGGACGGCCGACTCACCTCGTGCCTGTCCAGCGACCTCACTCGAGTCTTTGCTTTTAGTCTTGTTTGCTTGCTGTGTTTGAGTGTTTGAGTCCTGGATCCAGTCTTCCGACCTTCACGCCACACTTGGGGCCTGCCAATCTCGACGGACAAGTTCCAGCCTCCGGCTCACGCTCCCCAAGAAGCCACACGCCGGTCATCATCGCGGCCATCGTGGTCATCGTCACTCATTATCATCACGGGACGCCACTGCTCGTGCTCGTGCTCGTGTCTCGATACTTATATGGCATGGTGCTGTGCTTCCATCCCGTCGAGGTGCCGGCGACATCCGTTGTCCTCTTCGGTGACCGTGGCCTGAGCAACGAACATCGCCATCGCCGTCACCAGTGCCATTACCATTATCGTTAACATCACCACTACCAGTCCTCGACATCCATTGTGCCACAGGACGCGGCTCGGCTGCGGGCCCTTGGGAGGCGAGGGCTGGCGGCGATCATAGCATGGCCAGGTCTCGGTGTGGTGACAATTTTGGGAGGTGTCAACAAGGCAATCAATCTATTTACATTTGACAGGATCATCAGGACGTCTTATATCCCTCCCCCCTCCCTTCTCTTCCATCGTCTTCCGGGTCGGGTCGCCCTTGATTTGCCCGCGCTCTGTTGTCAACTGCCATAATACTGCAGAGCCTCGGGGCACCAGAAGGGGGGGCCGTCAACTCCTAGACCCAATTGCAGCCCTGTCGTAGGCCCAGCAGCCGCCAACTTGTCAGGCCACTTTGGGTTATCATCAGCCGATTTTGCCGTCACCCGATTGCTTCGTGCCCTGCAACTTCACCGCTAGCCTGCCCCAGTCCTCCTCTGATTGGGCTCTCCGTCCCTCCGCGAACCCCATTCCTTAACCCTACTCTCCTACGGCTCTGCACCTCGCATCGCATCGCATCGCATCGCCTCGCCTGGCCTCGCCTCGCCTCGCATGCCATCACACCACGCCAGGCCCGCCTGCCACACCTCCCTTCCCGCCTGCCACGCGGGCCCACCACACCTTCGATGTGACTTTATCTTGACCTCTCCAGGCTCTCGGGATCTGGCCAAGATCTGGCCAGCACCCATCACCTAGCACCCTGCCTGCCTTGCCACGTGCGCCGTCCGAGGATCAGCAAAGGCGGGCCCACCTGCCGACGGAACCACGCACGTTGTCTGGGTTCAGCCTGCATCACCACCGGTACGGGCCAGGACGACATCCCCTCACCGGCCCGACCATATCCTGGAGCAGGTGGCTCGAGACCTCGTTGGCCCTTTTCCGTGCGAAGTCATGGAGACAGCAGTCGTCGACCCTTTGGCCGAGTTGCTGACCAATTATAACGAGCTGAACACCTCCGTTGTCGACGAGCTCTATGAAGAGCCAAGCCCGCTTGAGTTCATGAGATATGTCTCGAGAAACACCCCTTTCGTGGTGAGGGGTGGAGCAAGCGACTGGAATGCAACCAAGACCTGGGATCTGGGCCGACTAGAGAACCTCTTGCGCGACCTGACCGTCAATGTCGCTGTGACTCCCAAAGGGTTTGTGATCTTCCACTTTTCGTTGCGTCTCGTTCCCTCGCACGGAGGCAATTCTGGTCTCAGGCCCCGCGCAAGTCTCTTGTTTCGCGCCGTGCATGTGTCCTAATCATCGCTTCTACGTTGTCAGGAACGCCGACGCTCCCACAAGGAACGAGAAGGGCGAACTGGTCTTTGCCAAACCGTGTGAGGAAGACCAGCCCTTCTCCGACTTTGTTCAATATGTTGCGTGTCAAGAAAAAGATGCTTCCTTCCCTCAGGACAGCGAGATAAGATATGCTCAGACTCGTGAGTACGAGTGATGCCTCTCTCGCCGCCGCCAGGTCCTAATTTCCCCGGCCCAGAAAATGACAATCTTCGCCACGAGTATATCTCTTTATTCGACCAGGTCCAGCGTGACATTCCGTTTGCCCGGATTGCTCTGCAGAAAGAGCCCGATGCCATCAACATGTGGTGAGTCACAACGCGGAAGGAGAATGGACAGCCGTCTCTATAAATGACTACCTGTGGCCTGACGCATGTTTCGTTGCAACCAAGGATCGGCAATTCCCGCTCAGTGACAGCCCTTCACAAGGACAATTACGAGAACATCTACGTACAAGTTCAAGGGCAAAAGCACTTCGTCCTGCTGCCTCCACATTGCCACCCATGTGTTAACGAGAAACCCCTCCGCCCCGGGACTTATGCACGGGATGCGCAGGACGGCGGACTGCATCTGGCCATGGACGGCGGTGGAAACGGCGAGGCAGACAGTGTGCCGTTTGCAATCTGGGACCCGGACCGTCCGGACGAGAATGCAACACCTTACTCCAAGCTCGCGGAGCCAATGCGTGTCACATTGCAGAAGGGCGACATGCTTTATCTTCCTGCCATGTGGTGAGTTTGTATAAGTTTCGGGCTGGTGACGCATTCTGCTGGAGAGGTGGCAATTGCTGATCTACGGCGACGTTTATCACAGGTATCACAAGGTGTCACAATCATGCTCCGAGGAGGGCATATGTGTTGCTGTGAATTATTGGTATGTCAGATCGGGTGGGTTGCGCACATCCTCACGCCCAGTTGGCTAACTACATTGCAGGTACGATATGGAATTCAGCGGGCCACTTTATCCTGCAACGTCATTTGTAAGATCAATCAGCCTACAGAACGATAGCGGTCTGTAGCACATGTATACATTGGTGAGTTAGGCTCCTCCAGGGTAGAAGGTCTCATGTTCCCATACCAGACACCCCCAGGATAAAGGGGTATCCCAAAGAGGGACGTCACGCAAGAGAAATCGCCCTGCAGCTGTGAAGAAAACACAAACATGTTGCTGCGATCCCGCACATAATCGGCATAGATGCTGTAGACGGACAGAGGCGCTCCATGGAAATCAAGCTGTATCGCTGTAAGCTTTTTGAATGATTATAGTAGGATCAGGAGAAGAAGGCGGGTTTCCCCCCGACCAATGCCTGTATCGAGTAAAGGAGGCGACCCAGAATCAAATTTCGACAATGCGAATCGTAGATGAAGCCAAGAAGCAGACCGCATCTCAGGGCGACTTGGCTAGGCGACACGGCCAGCCAAGTTCGTGGACGGGACGATCCGTGCTGCTGCTTGGGTGTTTTCTGGAAGTACCCAGTTTCTACGCTGCAGCAGGGCACGCATGCGGGTACTCAGGGGTAAGCTCACCTAGCATTCGGTCTACCTAGGTAGCTAGGCTGTCTAGTGGGTGGGACCCCTCCTCTCTCCACCACCTGCGTCTTACTCTGTCCTTGTTCCGTCGTCGTCCTCATCCTCGACACGACTGTCTCCTGCCCAACCATGAGAACAATGGGCGCTATCTCCCCTGGCCTGCTTCGACTACACACAAACTGTCCCGCCTTGGAGAATCGACACTCCGTCTGCATCTGAAAGCTCGCACACCATCGACCTCACCCCATGCATGAATCGCTCTCCCTAGCTCAACCCAACCTTGCAACGCCGCCAATATGTCGAGGTTCAGTAGGGCCCCAGGGCCCCAGAACACGAGCATCCTCAACACCTTGCGCGCCACCGAGATGATCGACAGCAAGGCCGCCCTGCCCGCCGAGATCCTCGTTACCATCCTCGACTACCTCCCCGTCTCCGACCTCATGCGCTTCGCCCGCACCTCCAGCCGCATGCGCGAGATGGTCTACGACGACACGAGATGGGTCGCACGGCTCAAGAGCATGGGCTTATGGAACGAGATCGAGGCACGCCGTCGCTTCGATGACGCTGTGCGCCGCAGGAAAGAAGCTCAGGAGAGGGAAGCCAAGGAGCGCGCCGCCGCTGCCGGAGCCAACAGTCAAGCGTCCGCCGATGCCGGGAGGCAAATAGGGGCGGCAAAGAGGCAGTCTGCTACTGTGTTCTTCGATGCCTCTGTCGAGCAGGAAAGGAGGAGGAGGAGCAGCTATCTTGCCAAAGCCGCGGCGCCAGCCAACGCCGTACCGGAGCTGCGCGATGGCTTCGAGACATTGGCCGTGACCGGCAACTCGCAGCAACCAAAGCAGCCCCTTTCGGACCCTCTCCAGGACCCAGAGGATTATTTGCAAGTCCTAAAGAACGTCAAGAGTGTACGTGGTCATGCAAGAGAGGAGTACGGCAAGGTCTACGGTGCACTGGGTCCGTTTTATTTCGACCTGGTGCGAGCAAAGAGCCACGCCGATCCGGCTTTGTTCAAGGCCTTTAGGGACCCCGAGCGGCAGGCGCAAATGTTAGCAAATCTACATGTCTTTGCAAAAAGTGACTGGGCTTCCGGCTGGGCCCAGCGGGAGGAGACGCTCACGCGCATGACCAACATATTCGAGAGCGCCGTGCTCAGGGAGTTTGAGCAGGGCTACGAGTTTTGGGACGTCGAAGGACGGATGAAGCGGTACGCACATGTTTTGCACATGCTCAACAGCCCGGCGGGCGTCGACCTCTTCATCCACAAGCACCCCATCTTCTCGGACAAGGAGGTTCTTGCCAACTCGATGGACTGCATCAACAATGGCCCTGCGGACGGGATAACGCTAGGACCATCACAGCTCTTCTTTGAGGTGTTGACGGGCAAATTACGCGAACAAGCCGTGGTCATGGAGAAGATATTCCCAAATCCGGGCAAGGTGTTCTGGGCACTTGTGGACAAGGTGAGGGAGGACACCATCATGGACTACGCAACCACGCTATTCGATGAGGCACGCGACCGCAGCAAAGAGTCCTACCTTAAAGCTGTGTCTGGCATTTTTGAGCAGTGCCTGCAGTCCCTCAGATCCCTGGAGGTGCCACAGACATCGGCCGAGGAAAGTGAGGAGAAGTCAAAAGAGCAGGCGCATAGGGTCGTCGAGCCTCACCTGGATCTGTACCTGCAGGATGAGCTCGAATTCTTTCAGAAGACGGCCGAGGAGGAGGTTGGGAACTGGGAAAGGAAACTGTCGGAACAGGATGCAACCGTCGAGTCATTCTACATGTCGAACTTCACCAAACCGGTGGACAAGAAGGATTTCCTGAGCTCCTTCAAAAAGACAATCATGATGCCAGTAACGGTGCTACCGTCCCTACCAGGACAGCTGCTTACGTCTCCCTTCGGCTCAACCACGGCCAAAACCGCCTCATCTTCAACTGCAAACGGTCAGACCCTGGCCCCTTCGGCATCACAAACACCCGGTGTAGGCGGACCAGACCGGACGGCTAGCCCACTCCCCGAAAAGGCGCCCACAGACGAGCTCGCAGCAAAGGCGGCGCTCATGGCATCCCGGCTCGAGGGCATCAAGTCTTTATTCAGCATCGAGGTGGCACTGAACCTGGTTCACATGGCCAAGACGAGCCTCGGGCGCGCTGCCGTGCTCATCCAACTCGGGGGGCAGGCGGGTGAAGAAGCGCGTGAGCAGTGCGCCCAGATCTTCGTCAGCCTACTCCGCATCCTGGGCTACCGGCATATCAAGCCGGGTTTCGACAAGGCTGTGGACCATCTCGCGGGATACAAGGCACGTGAGGTAACGGACCACGGTAGCCAAGGCGGGGTGGCACCATTGGTCACATTCATTGAGCTGGTCAACGTGGGCGATCTCATCTCACAGATGGTTGACGTCTTTTATGAACAACAGCTCCTGGCGTCGCCGCGGATCGCGGACCGAAACGATTTCCTCGACCAGAGCGGCTTGGCCAAGAAGAAGTTTGAGCAGATGCTGGACGAGAGCGTGGCGGCGGGGTTGAACAAGGGTATAGACGTGCTCATGGACGAGGTCGAGTACATCTGCGCGACGACACAGCTGCCGACCGACTACAACCCCATGGGGCCCGAGGCGGCAGGCGGTGGCGGCAGCGGCAACGGCCTCGGCGCGCCGGATAAGCGATCTAGCGTGGCGAGTTTCGCATCGTTCGGCAGTGGCAGCACCCAAGGACCGAGGAACTCGACGCCTGTGATGGACCTGTCCCCGACGCAGACGGCGCGGCGCGTGGTGGACCTGGTCAGCTCGCACACGCGCATGCTCGTCGGCAGCACCGAGAAGACGATGCTGGAGGTGTTCAACGGCGAGGTGGGGCTGCGGCTCTTCACGGCCGTGTGCAAGCACATCAAGCGGCAGCGCGTGTCGACGGACGGCGCGACGCGGCTCATCGCCGACTGCACCCTGTACTTTGATTACATCCAGACGCTGCGCAACGCAGACCTGCTGGCGTACTTCCGCGCGCTGCGCGAGCTGAGCCAGATCTACCTTATCGACCCTCGGCACTCCAAAGAGATGGCGACGATCATTGCCGACGGAGATCGCTTCGGCGGGGTGTTCCGCGCAGAGGAGGTGTACGAGTTTGCGGAGCGGAGGGCAGACTGGTACCAGGTCAAGAGGGATGTTGAGAGGGCCATGTATGGTCTGGAGTGTTGTTTAATGTGAAATGAGAGGGGAATTGGACGGGATTTGACTGCGATGCAGAGATGGCACAGCGGGGATGGCGTTTTGGATAAAAAGAGCCCGGGGAAGGGAAGCGTCAACTGCCCCTCCTCAGGATACTGCTGTATTGCAAGCTAGGCAATGTTGTGGTGCCCTCTAACAGGTAGATATAGAAGCTATTGTCCAATTGACGCCTGTCTGAAACCACATTTGTTTACCAACTAAAACAAAAAATGCTCTACCTGAACGCCCAACGAATGCCACCAAGTCAATCACAATTTTGGTCTTTGGCGGACGGCATGCTCCCTATTCCACGTCACCCAGCCTGGCTCCCTCGCCCTGTCTCGATACGGACCAGAGTCAGATACGGCCCCATCGAGACACTACTCCCTAGGGCGGCCAAAATCCAACTTGCGCGCGACTGAGCCGCTGCGGTCCGGCTGCTCGCCAGCCACGACGCCGGCGGGCCTCTTGAGGTCGGCGCCCATCCTCTCCTCGTCCTTGCGGGGCAGGTCCTGCTTGCGGGTGGGGCGGGGCTCTGCGTGCCACCAGGGGTGCTCGAGCATCTCGCGGGCAGTGATGCGCCGGCGCGGGTCGAGAGTCAGGGTCCTCATGAGCAGGTCGACGCCGTCGTCACCGACGGTGCCGAAGGTGCCGAGGAAGTCCTGCTTTGTGCGCTCGGGGACGACGGCGGGGCCGTCGGCGGGCTTGATGTACTCGGGCAGCTTGGTGACGCCTGGCCAGTTGTCCTCGGTTGGGGTGCCAATCTGCTGACAGATGAGGCGAATCTGGTCGAGCTCGGTGTTGCCGGGCAGGTAGGGGACGCGCAGGACCATCTCGGCCATGACGGTGCCGACGGACCAGATGTCGACGGCGCCGCTGTAGTACTTTGCGCCGTAGAGGAGCTCGGGGGGCCGGTACCAGCGGGTGATGACGTTGGAGGTCATGTAGCCGTAGGGGTCGCTGAAGGAGCGGGCGAGGCCAAAATCGGCAAGCTTGACCTCGCCGTCGGCGGCGATGAGCAGGTTGTTGGGCTTGATGTCGCGGTGCAGGACAAAGTTCTCGTGGCAAAACCAGACGGCGCGGACGAGCATGCCCATCCAGGCCTTGATATCCGGGGTGCCGTAGCGGATGTTCTTGTCGTCGCGGATGAGCATCTCGAGGTCGCCAAGGGGCAGGAACTCGAGGACGAGGCAGACGTTTTGGTCCTTTGTAGAGAAGACGGAGAGCAGGGAGATGATGTTTGGGTGGGAGAGCTCCTGGAGATGCTTGAGCTCGCGGACGGCGTCGGGGGCGAGGCCCTCTGTGTATTCCTTCTGCTTCTTGATCTTCTTGATGGCGACGAGCTGGGTGGGGTCGGCGCGGGCGTGGCCGAGGTTGACGATGGCGTAGGTTCCCTCACCAAGCTTCTTGCCTTTGAGAGAGAGAGAGGTGTTAGCTGTGAGCTCTTGGGGTCTTTAGGTGGTAATGCCAGATGGTGGCTAATAAGGTACAGGAGATGCCATTCAATGGGTCAGTCAGTCAGTCAGTCACCTTTAACGTATTTTCTCCGCTCCTCCATGTTCATCTGCTCGGCCAGGTCCATGGTGGGAGGCTGAGAGGGCTGGGCTGGCTGGGCTGGCTGGCCCGGTGGGCGTGAAGAGCGTGGAGTGCCATTTGTGGAGGAGGGCACGGCGGAGGACTGTCGTCGCAGGGGGGATGCGAGGGTTTTGAGAGAGGACTGCAGCGGGTTGGAAGGGGGGAGGACGAGGGGCGAGGCAGCCATGGTGCGAGTGTTGTGTCGTGAAGCATGCGATGCGAGTGGATGGCCCAGTACCCGGTGGATTTTGGAGGAGGCAGCTGGCCTCGGGGCGCAGGAGGGGGCAGAGATGGAGGAGGACGCTGTTGCGGGTTGTTGCTGATATGTCAATGTTGATATTGGTGTTGAGGTTGAGGTTCAGGTCATTCAGCCTTGCCAGGGTCATGTCAGGATAATTGGCCGCCTGGTGTGGCCCGAGCTCCAAGGTGGGCTGGTGGGTGCTACTTGCTTGTTGCCCTTACCCTGTACCTGACCTGAGGACGGGTAGGCCCGAGCTCCCGGGAGTGGAAGCACACACTGTCTGTACCTACCTAGGCAGGTAATCTAGGCCTGTGATATGACATAGCAGCATGCCCAGAGTACCACCTTTGCACGTGCTTACCATAGCATACAGTATGTTGACTGCATGTCCTATACAGATGTTAAAGAGGCAGCAGTTGCAGTTGCAGTTGCAGCTCTTGATCAATTGAACCTAACAGTGTTTCCTCTCTTCTTTTGGCCCCAATGCCAGTGCCGATGCCAGTGCCAATGCGTGTACAGTCAGCGAGTGCCTACACAGAAGTGGCTTAGGTGATCTACTGTGAGAAGGTCGCAAGGTCCCGGAGAGTTGCAGGGGTCCGGGCACGGCATTAACGCAGCGGAATTAGGGCGATAAATGAAATGATGAGCCCGTGAGCTGATTGAGTCTAGACGGGCCACGGATCCACTCGGCATCGTCTGACGTCACCCCCTTCAACACGCGCGACCGACTCGGCCCCAGGGCAAACACGACGCAGCAAACAACAGACACACACACCATCGACGTAATAGCATAGCCCATGCCCATCAGTCCCAGTAGCGTGCAAAACTGGGAAAAAACTCAATCGGACAAACCCTCCAGTCTGCCCAGTACCCTGTACACGTCAGTCCCGGTGGCTCGGGCAGTCACCAGCCAGACACGCCAGACCATGCTGCTGCTACTAAATTCACTAGTTGTCTCGTGTGCATCATCATGATTCTCTCTCTCTTTTGCTTCTAACCATCCATTCATCCACACAACCCGGTCTGCTGCATTGCTGCATCCTTCCCGCCTCCCTTGCGCGGGTACCATAATTTTCCTCCTCTTCATCTACCATTTAGCCTCCAATACTATAGCGTGGCCATAGCATAGCAAGCCGCATCCAGGGCAGCCTTCAATTCCCTTTTTATTTGTTTTTCTTCCATATTATTCCTATTCAGGTGGGGTCACAGAATAAACACAGAGCATCATCATGCTGCGTCTATCATATTGGGTCTTCCCCATCATTTCCGGCCTCGTCTGGCTGGGCACCCTTCTGGGCCTGCTTCTTCACTGTAAGTACAATTACAATGACAATGTTTACATGGCGCATATGCGCGCCCAGGTCCACGTATTCTACATGTCTGCTAACCCGCTTGCTCCTCCAGGGGTCATCGACACGCACTATAGAATCTACCCGTCCATGTCTGGCAACCAGACAATCGCCTACATCTCGGACGTCGGCGCCCAGGAGCTCAAGCCCCTCTTCATCACCGGCAGCGTCATCACCACCATCTTCTTCGACATTTCCTTCCTGAGCGACCGCTGGCTGCGACACAATGGCCGCCTCGTCCCCAACACAACCATCGGCGAGAAGGTCCTCTCAGGCCTGACCATCTTCTGCGCCCTAATCGGCACAGTCGGCCTGATCCTGCTCAGTATCTTCGACACCGCGCGCCATCCCCGCCTGCACGACCTCTTCCTCGGCTTCTTCATCGTCGGCTACCTGGCGTCGGCCATCTTCATCTGCTGGGAGTACCAGCGACTCGGTATCCGCCACCGCGAGCACCGCGTCCTGCGCATCTCCTTTTGGATCAAGCTGGCCTTTGTGCTCATCACCATCTGCCTGGCCGTCCCCTTTGTCGTTCTGACCTCCATGAAGAACTACAACCCCGCCGCCATCCTCGAGTGGGTCATCGCCGTCGTCTTCAGCTTCTACGTCTTCTCCTTCTACGTAGACCTGTACCCGGCCGTCTACACGAAGAACGGTGGGAACTACCGCACCAAGACCTGGGACGGCCGCCAGCGCAAGCCCGAGGTTCACAAGATGGAGGAAGGGTCAAGTACCAGGAGTCACTTCCACGGCGACGGCGGCGTGCCCAACAACTTCTAAGGGAGTTGTCTCGGACAGGGATGTTGGCGTTCACCGGTTGCATTGTTGGGCGTTACTGGCGTTGCTTTAGTGGTGCGTCTGGCGGTCAACCTGGCCGCTTATTTTGCATCGGTCGGCGTGATGAGATGAATACACGCATTCCACACAAGACAGATTTTGCATACGTACATAAATAGATACTGAATATATAATCCGTATTACTTACTCAACAACACCATACTCCAATTCCTGCCATCTTGTGCACATGGCGCGATTTCGGATTTTCCAGTTCCAACATCATCAAATCATTCATTATGGAGCAGTGACGATGTCGGCGATGCATACTCTTATATGCGACCTGAGAACCATCAGCCGCACCGTGCCACAAATTGTGTACATTAAAAACCACTTGTTGTCAGGCCCATGCCCCTCCGAAGAAAAAAATACAGGCCCGTGCCATATGCTTGCTTTACATGGCTAAAAGAACGCCAGCGCTTCCCTCCCACAGTGGAGGCCTCGGCCTCGTATGGTGTCAAATAATTGTCTGTATATCCTCAGCCACAGAAGCGAAAACAAACGCTAGTATCACCTCGCCTCCTGGCGACCCAGAAAACTCTCAGTCGATGTTCTCAATGAACTTGGAATCCCTATTCCCGCTTCCCACACTGCTTCGTGGCGTGATACCGATCCCTGCCACAGCAGGATCCGCAATGGCCCTGGGCGGTGCGATGCCCTCCAGCTCTGGCGCCCAGCTCGACCTGTCCGGTTCACTCCGCCCCGCAAGGGCGTCGTCAACACCGTCGTCACTGATTGTGGACTCGCCGATTCGTCCCTGTCTTCCGGTATGTGTTTCAACAGAGGGGCCGGCCGCGGCAGTCTTGCTACCACTGCTCTCTCCCGGTTCGTCGAGGCCTTCAATAGGTGCGCTAGCCCTGCCCGCGAGTGCCACCTCGCGCATGCTGGCGCTCCTCTCCTCGCTCAGACTCGTCATACTGCCCGTGCCGTCCGGGTGCAGGCGCGTGAGCCGGTGGCCGCCGAGGAACCCGCCCGGCACCTTCCCGCCGGCGTCGGACGACTTCCCACCACCGCCACTATTATTCCCCGATATGGATTTCGCCCGGGGCTTGTGCAGCCGGGACTTGAGCCAATTCTTGACGCGGCTGGTGGGCGACTCGGTGGCTGACTCGGGTGACGTGTTTGACGATGGTGACAGCGGCGACGGGTCGCTTTTGCGGTTGCTGGCGGGTGATGCCTTGGTTTGGATCCTGGGTGTGAAGGGGAGGATGCGGTGCTTATGCGACGTACTCTCCTCGGGGGCCTTTTCAGATGCCTCCATGGGAGCCTCATCATCGCGGGCCTCGGAGTCAACAATTGCTGCTGCTAATTTTCTCTTGTCGCCTTCTTCTCTGGCCAACCTCTTCTCTTCGGCCTTGGCGGCCTTCTCCTCCTCTTTTTTGGCCTTTGCCTCCTGCTTGAGCTCGTCTCTCCTAGCTTTGTCCTCATCTGCGAATCGTTGTCAATCAGTCATCTTATACCTTAGTGTTAGAGAGAGCCACTTACCCTTGAGCTTCCGCTGGGCCTCCTTTACCTCTGCGTTTCTCGCCTTCTCGGCCTCCCACTCCAGCCTCTTCTTCTCTTGCTCTTCGCGCAAAGCCACGATCCTCTTCCTCTCTATCTCCGCCTTCTCATTGATCTCATCGAGAAGAGGCTGCACCCTCTTGGCTGCAATCTCTTCCACCCTCTCACGGTCCATATACTGGCCGGCGCCGAGGTCCACTCTCCCAGCAGCGCCGTCGCCACCCTTGCGCTCATCACTCCTCGCCTGAGCAGTGGCATGCGCCCTCAACTCCCACTCGCTAAGCTTTGCCGGGGCTACTCGGCCCGTGTCACGGTACATCTTCTCGTCCATACCCTCCATGGCAGCCTTGACGTTCCTCTGCGCCGCGGCGAGCAGGGCGTCCCGGTCCTTGGCGCGCTGGGACTCGTCGACTTCGGAGAGGCGGGTGGAGAAGAGCGACATCTGTTTCTGGATCTGCTTGGATCGCTTCCGATCGTCATCGGCCATCGTACGGACAACATCGCTGTCACTAGACGAGCGACGCCGTGCTTTGCCCAGTTTCGTGAATTTTCTCCCCGGAGAAGACGGAGCTGGCCCTGCGCCGTAGTAGTCCTGGTACCCCCTGTTCCGCTGATGTTCATCGTGGAGCTTTGCCAGCCTCTCCTGGGCAAGCTTGTAGGCCGCCTCCTGCAGGTTGTTGAACTGCATCGGCCGGACGTGGTCGCTGTCGGCGCTCCCGGGCCGCGAGCCTCCTTCCTCGTGCCTGGCGGCGTCAAATGCTTTCTGCTGGGAGCTGTACATCTTCTTGGCCATGGCAACGGCGCTGGCATGCAGCACAGCCTCACGGTTGCGCTCATCGACCTCGGGCTTGACGGGCGGGTTAGACGTGTACATCTGGCGATCCAGCTTGGTGATGGGTGAGGCGCCGGCATCGCCTGCGCCGGCGGCGGCGGGACGGTGGGCGATGGTGGCAGCGCTGAGGGCGTTAGAGGCAGCGTTTGCCGAATCGGGATAAGCCATTGGGGTGGACGTGGATCGTGGCCGCGTGCTGCCAGCCATGGCGCCCCGGGCCGCGCGCAGACTCCTCTGCCTGTCGAGGGCTGCCGTTGATTCTGTTGCGGCCGAGTCCCGCGGGAGATTGCGGCCGGCGGCGAAAGCCTGGTTCGCGGCCGAGTTGCCCCAGACGCTGGCGGGCTGAGAACCCGACGAGGGCCTGTCGTGGCGGGTGGCGTTCTCGGCGGCGAGGACTGCGGCGGTCTTGGAGCCGGCGGGGCTGGGGTCTGGCTTCCAGGGTGAAGGCATCTTGTAGTCACTTGCAAGAGTAGCAGCCCTGTGGGCGGAGGAGTCGCTTCCAGGAGTCCAGAGGGTGACTGGCTTGGAGGAGGCCCAGCCTAGTGAGGCTGCTGCGCTCGCTGCAGCATCGCCTTTTCGGAGACCGAGAGACGGGTACGACGGCAAATCTTGTGGCTTCGCGTACCTCAGGCGGCCATCATGTCCTCCGCCCGGTGCTGGTGCTGGTGCTGATGCCGATGCTGATGGTGTGACTGGTCAAATGGTTGCGGGTAAGCAAGGACGTATGTAAAATGTGGGCAAAGTTGGAAATAGGATATGGCGGGAACTAATGTACAAGATAGATATCAAAGTAGCATAATGAACAGTAGGGGCTTTAAGTAGACAAGAAGAATGAGAGGTCTTGTGACATGAGGTGAGTTGAGGTCGTGTAAGGTGAGATGGAGGCGGATGTCATGGCAGGGATGACGTCGTGTCGCATGGGTCGGATCTGCACGTCAAAACTCCAAGCAGATAGATGTCTCTTGTGCAGAATCTAAATAAAGAGCGAGCGGGTGGGTAGGGGGAAACGGGATTTGCAAAATGAAAGTGAGAAGTGACAGTTCGGATGCTCGGGCAGTGTGTGCGTGCGAGATGCGAGTGTGGACGCGTACGGAGTCACGCATACCTGGGGCTTGGGGTGCAGGCTGCAGCTCGTGTGTGGCTGTCTGTGTCGCCGCGCTGACAGATGTCATGGTTTGGGCCAGGGGTGGCGGGGGGCCACGGGTAACGATGGGTATATGATCTCGGGCAAAGTCTGTTGCGTTGTGGTGTGTATGTGTGTGTGTGTGCGTGTGTGCTTGTTGCTTTGTATAGTCTTGTCTTGTCTTGTCTGTGCCCGGATCCGTTGAGCGGCCTCGAGTGTATTGGAAAGCAATCGCCAGCAACAACGGCAGTAGCAGGCAGGCAGGAAGGATTGTGGTGGTGATGATGGTGGTGAGGAGGGGACAAGGACGGGAATTGGAAGTTGAGGTCAGAGGACACAAGACGGCATATCAGATCCGGGGGGTAAGCTGTGAAGGGAGTGACGAAAGGGGCGCAGAGTAGCGTGCGTGTAGACTATTGTGTGCCTGTGCCTACTGTACATGTGCGTGTGAGAGGTGTGGTGTGGTGTGAGTAGACTACAGACTACTTAGAGTCAACCGCTCAACCCCGTTCTGGTCAAGGACGATCAGGTCTGGATCGGCCCTAGCCTACATCCATCCATCCATCCATTCATTTCATCAATCCGTCAATCAATCCATCCATGCAGCATCCAAGCATCCACATCCAGACGGACGGATGGACAGCTCAATCAGGGGTCAGAGAGGCAGAGAGGGAGACCGAGTTCTGCCTGTCTGTGTCTGTGTCTCTCTCTGTCTGTTTCTCTTCCTTTCTGGTCGATTTCAGGCCAGCACCAACACCAGCACCAGCACCAAGACGAACACCAACACCAACACCAACGCCCTTGTACGAGCAGAGAGATCACCGTCGAATTGGGCCGAGGCAAAGGTGCAGTAATAGTGCCCGTCGTTGGACAGGCACAGGCACAAAGAAACGGCCTACGTCATACGGGAGCAAGGTATGTTGGTGGAGGGGCCTCCCAAGACGGTGCAACCCGGGCCCTGCGCCGAGCTGTCTTGGCTGCTTACTGCTGCTGCTGCTACTGCTCGTGCAGTAGCAGTGACAGTAGATCTGCTTCTGCCCATGCCTCCAACGCCAAGCTCCCACCTGTGGACGGATGGGTGGTCGGATGGATATGCATGGATTGGTGTGTGTTGATGCCCTGTCGCTGGATCTATTCATTCGCGCTGTGCTGTGCTGTCAAACAAAAAATCAAGCATCAATTCTCATCCCCATCCCCGGATCTCCGGTAGCCAGACCCAGGTCGGCCCAACGAGCCTTGCTCAGACCCACAGAGGCCTGGCCAGCCGCACGTGCTGTACTATAGATATACCATGTCATGCTAAGCTAGGTAGCTGGGTATATTGGAGTAGATACAGACCAACTTGCCGTCTCCTGTCTATTACCAATGCCATCACGAAGCATGGATCACAACTCATAGACGGTATATATATATACACATATATACACATATATCATATATATCATATATCATGGTCGGTATCTTACATTGAGGTCTAGTGTATGTCCTAGCCTACCACGCATATTTGCCATCATCTGGACTGCCTACACGCCCAAACCCATGTAGTCTAAGTGCTGTGGGTCTCCAAAACCAAGCTTGACGTCGGTCCATGACAGGGGTTCAGATCTGCGTTCATCAATCCAGAATTCTGCAAACTCACTACCTGCTCAATCACTATTACCCGCATCATGCCCCTGAATATACTCGTCCGATCTGAAAACGTAAACCCATATACCATCTCTCAGCTCTGTCTCATTCCAGGAAGCTGACCCGCCCACCATCTTTGTATATAATCTTGTACAAGACAATCCAAGGAGAATGGCATCGTCACCGGCAGACCCTCCCTCGCGAGGGAGCAGCACATCCAGTCCCCTCCCCCTTCACGACGGTGGCTTCCGCTCCCTCCTCAACTTCCGCGATGTTGGCGCCACTATCAATGGCCAGCTGTCCCGTCGTCTCATCCGCGAGGGCCTGCTCTTCCGCGCCGCACGCCCTGACGAAGCCACCCTCGCTGACCGTGCCCGCCTGCGCTCCCACTACGGCATCCGCACCGTCATGGACCTTCGCACCAAGACTGAGCACATCCAGGCCGCCAAGAAGCGCCAGCGCGATGCAGCCGTCCCTGCTATGCTGAAGACCAACGACGCCCTGGCAGGCCCCGTCAAGATCGACGGCATTGACTACCGCGAGATTAAGATCACCGGCGGCGGCTTCGAGAAGTTCATGCTGAGCCAGCTGTGCTGGTCCAGCTTCCTCAAGCTCATAGGTCTCTACATCATCGGCCTCCGCATGCAGGCCATCGCCGTCCTGGGCCGCGAGGTCATGCAGCCTCGCGGCCTCCTCGGCCTCGGCTGTGACACCCTGGACGCCTCCGGCCCTGAGATCACCGCCGGCCTGGCCTCCCTGCTTGAGCCTCATGGCCTGCCCATTTTGATCCACTGTACTCAAGGCAAGGACCGCACCGGCATCATGGTCGTCCTCGTCCTGCTCATCTGCGACGTGCCCGTCGACGCTATCCAGTATGACTACCACCTCTCGGACGAGAAGCTGCTGTCCGAGCAGGAGGACCGCCTGAGGGAGATCCGGGAAATGGGTCTTGGCGATGACTTCGGCAAGACTGCCCCAGGGTTCGTGAGTGGGATAGTGGACCACCTCAACTCAAAATATGGCGGCCTGGCTAAGTACCTGGACGGTATCGGCTTCGGGGACGACAAAAGGGCGAGGTTGAGGGAGAAGTTGGCATACTAGGCTATACCCTCGTCGGACCCTCATCAGATATCCCATTGCATGCATAGCGTAGGCGTTCGGGGGGCACTCCCAGGATTTGGATACAGAGGCTCCTTACTTCGGCACTTCTTCACCTCTAGCCTAGTTCCCACCATGATATGACCGTTGTATGCTGGCCACCGATGTAGCATGCCATCCAAAGCTGTCTGAGTCTGTCGATGTGGATTTCAATCATCTGGGAAAAAAATCAATACGCATTGCGCACAGGCTCGGAAGGCGAATAATTCCCGGGAAAACATGTGACCTACAATTATTCCCAAGGTCAATATGCGCGGACGACCCCATCTCGAGATCGTGGGCAATTCACGATACCCATAATTACATCATTCAAGCGGCCTTTTACCTGCTGTGCATCAAAGCCAGGCCTACTGCATCGGCCGCGAAGTTGCATCAAGATGAGGAGTATGAATAGACGCCAATGAAACACGATGAAGCAAGGAGAAGCCGCGAGATACATCAGTTCTCCCATGGCCTTGAGCAACCGCCAGGCCACCCTCTCCCGAGTAGCACTGATATCTTGAGGCCAGAGCCTTTGCAAGTATATCCGGAGAGCTTCGTGAAAGCCCAGGCGATTGGACATCTGCTGCATTCGTGGTAGGGAGCACCTACACCTATTCAAACCCGGCGGTTGTCACAATGTCACAGGCAGTACCTCCGAAGGTCGCAATAAGGGCGAACAAGCAGGTCCGCCAACAACCATCCATATCTAACCAAGTGTTGCGTCTTGGGGGGAAGGGGTGGGGGTGGGCGCGGGTTCTATGGGCCGAAGATCAAATACTCGAGCCTGGCCATTCTGAATATATTGGCTGCTCAATCATCAGAGGGGGAAAATAAAGACCATGATGTTAGGTGCCACATCGTATTATGTGTAGTTCAGCTAATTCTCCCGTCCCCATCTCCAAAGCCAAAGAGGGTTGTCAAAAACAGGCCTTTCCCGAAACATAGCTGATGCTTTCTGTGGACGGAGGAGAGAGGAAGGGCAAGGCCAGGCAAACTGTGGGCGGCGGCATTTGCCGATGTCAGTTCTGCGATTTCAAGCTTTCTGGTAATTCCCACTATCTTCCTGTCCCCGGTTGAACAGTATGCCAATGTCCAGCTCTATATTGCCTGAGGCAGACCTCTAGTTGTCCATTGAGTACAGCTTCGGGGACGGCATGACGAGACCAGTCCTGCCTGACGCAAGCTGTCCCTGGCAGCAACGTCGCCATCTCGCGATCAATCTGCTCGAACACCTCATGGACGCGTCCGGGGAAGTGCGTGTAGTATAACCTCAGAGGATACGGTCACAGTAAGAAGCTTAGTAGAGAATTACGAGTCTCCTGCAATGACGGTGTGGAGACGATGAGCCAGCTCTTCCTTGGTATTGCAAACCAAGCCGGATCAAGAACAAAGCTACAATGGTGGAAGCGTCGCTGCCTCCCTGCTTAGCATTTCGCAACACGTTCCTTTGAATTTATTGAAGTCCTTCTGACTAGAAGAGAGACCTGGCGGTTCGGGCAAGCATGGCTCTTCTCTTAGATTTGTAGACATACTGCAGGTTATGACAGCAACGGGTTGCAGTTTGCAAGGTGAGCTCTTATTCCACAAGAGCACCCGAATTGTCGGGTAGGTCGCTCGCGACCAATGAGAAAAAGCCTAGCGCCTATTTGAGCAGAACGATTACGCCGGGGATCCTATGCTAGCTGCGAGGCTAGAGCCCGCACAAACCCGGGGGCTCTAAATTGGATGGAAACCAAGACCACCGGCTCCCAAAGGGTATCCCGGGCTGCCACAGCGGCGGGTGACAGGGCAGAGAAACGCAATCCTGAAAGGGCCGCAGGCTGCGCACGCACGACAACAGTGGCCAGACTCTGAATTGGGCGGAGAGACCGCTTCAATAGCCTTCAACAGGGCTGCAGGCTCTAATGACGAGACTGTGGTGCAACCACACTCAATGGCCTGAGTTGTAACGAAAGGACGACAGCCTGGTCGACAAGGCGTATCATTAGTATCCCAAAGTAGACAGAATGCTGGCTCCAGAGTGCGCATGGCCCCGAGGGTAGTAGTCTCGGTCCTTGGCTCTTGCGGGAAAAGGCACGGTGCGCCCGGCCTCGTCCTCACCGCCTGTTTGCAGGTGTTTGCGGTCCACGATCCCCGGCAGTTTGCGCGGGACATGAGCTACGGGCGTGGTTGCGGTTCCCGATCCAAGCTGGCAAACAAATGGGCGAGGTGAGTGGGCATGGTGAGGAAGGCCGCATGAGCGCGACCTGACCACGTAGTTGAGCTCCCAATGAGGCAGGCCTATCTAAGCTCGTCGACCAACAATCAACAAGCGCCAGCCTTAGATCTGAATGCTGTGGGGTTACATGGCGGAGGGAACCACCACTGTACTGGCCACGAACACTCAAAGGGTTAGAAATCCAGGTGGCTGGGTCGTGGTTGTGGTTGGGAAGGGGGGGGGGCAAATCTCGGCATCAGTGATTGACAGGTACAGGTGTAGGCCTGAGGAGCGATGATGCAGAAGTCCTGAGAGCATCCAGGCTTGATGGTCTGTCTAATGCACTGCAGAAACTCGATCCGCAAGCTTGGGTAGCTTGCTGGCGTGGTCTGGCTTGGCTTGTGCCGCGCCGTCCCTAGACCTAAAATCGGATCGCCGCTGATACAGGGTCTGGCCTGTGAGGGAGTAAGTGAGTCAATTAGTGAGTGAACGGACCCAAAGAGCTCGTGGCAAGCCTGAAAGCACATGCGAGCTTGCAAGCTTGGAAGCTTGGAACGTGGCCCAGGTGAATCACGGCGTGGAACAACCACGCGCTGTTTCACACAGTGGCACACAAACACAGGCACGGGCACAGCCTGAACTGACAGGATAAGTTTGCGTGCCATCAGCCCTCAGCCGGCTGACGGACAAGCCGATACTGGACCGTCGGAGGACGTGGAGGCGGAGATGAATAGGGTGAGCGGGCTTGTCGGCATCTTGTGTAGCACGTGGCCGCAGCCCGCGGGAGTTGCACGCACGCATGGGCGCCGTGCTGAAGATTGGCCCGAGAGGCTCATCTTTTGGTTCGAGTGTTTCGTGTGAGCAGAGCCACGAGCCGCGAGCCACGAGCCATGGGCCACGAGCCATGACGGCATGTCTGAGACATTTCCCTGGGAGCTCCCGTCCTCCGTCCTGGGCAGCACAAACTCCCGTGGAGAGAGGAAAACGCCCGATCGAAAGACGAAAGAGAGAGCAACGCAGCAGAATCACGGTCGTAGTAGCAAGGTGAGTAATTGAGCTTCCTATCCCTGTCCTGTCCGGTCATCTGGGGAAGAGAGGCCGCAAGCAAAGCAAATGCAAAGCATGCAAGCAATCGAGCAGGCAGTTGGCTTCCGGGTCAGCAACATGTTTCTCCCCCCTGTCCCGTTCCTGTCCCACTTCTTCCCGGACCCCTGCCTGCCTCGGAGATGGGAGGAGGGCGGGCAGGCGGGCGCTCGATTCCCTGGCAGATCTGATGTCGTGTCGGTGGGATCCAAAAGGGCCCTGCAGCTGCCTCTCGAGAGCTGTCTCTTGCGCTGGCGGCACAAGAGGGACACAGAGCAGCAACGACCAGCTCGTGGCATCCGGGATAGGAGAGGAGAAGGGAAAAGAAGAGAAGGGAGCGACGAGAAATTAGAAGCGTGGCCACCCTTCTCGTCCCCTTCTACGCACATTGCGCGGCGGACCTGGGCCACGTCTGTGTCTGTGTCTGTGTCTGTGTCTGTGTCTGTGTCTGTGTCTGTGTCTGTGTCTGTGTCTGTGTCTGTGTTCGTGTCTCTGTCTCTGTCTGTGTCGGTTGTGTGTCTGTTGTGTGTGTGTCTGTGCATCCTCTCGAGCTGCCGAGCATGAGTTCTGTCCTGCAAGTCTGTGCCTGATTGACACCCGGAGCTTGAGCTTGAACTGGAGCTTGAGCTTACCTTTTCGCCCTGCCCTGCCCTGCCCTGCTTTGCTTTTTGCCCCTGCCTTGCTTTCGATCTGGTTGATGATCCACTCTCTTTTCCGTCTTGTTCGCGGTTGAGTCTGCGCCTGCGGCTGCGTGTGCGTCTCGCCTTGTCTCGTCTCGTCCTGTCCTGGTCTGTCTTGTCCTTGTTCGACTATTCATTCATTCAATCCTTCACCAGTCGCCGTCTTCTAGACCCTCGCCCACTGCTCCCGCCCTGCACTACAATCTAGACGCGCGCGTGTCCATACGTCGCTCATCCTCCTTAATGCAAAGCTTGGCCCTGAGCCTCGGACCCTTGCTGGAGTCGTCGCGGCGTCTGGTCGTCTGAGGTCGTCCATCCGTGGCCCTCCCTCTCTGTCCTCCACCTCCTACCCCCTTCTGCATCTGCCCAGTGCGCCGTTGTCCACCGTCCGCCGTCCATTCTTGTAGCTGCAGTGTTGGCAGCCATCCGGCATCAATTGACTTTGGAGCCTGCATGAGCTCCCAGCGCCAGGGGCCGGATCTGAGTTCTAAATCCAGAGGCCTGCAGTAGCTGCAGTGGCCACCACACCAGCCTGGTGTGGGCAAGGGCTCCCTCCTTACCTCCCTGCCCTTGAGCCGGCATCAAGGCCATCCTGAGCCCAACTAAACCTTGCTTGACGCCCTCCTCGGCCAGGTCCCTTGGCCAGGTCCCTCGACCAAGTCTGCCCAGCATAGTCGTGGACAACTCACCTCGCATCTGCACCACCATCATCCTCGGCCGCAGCATCAGCATCAGCATCAGCACCAGCACCAGCATCAGCATCGTCTTCTTCAACCACGCTCCTACAGCCCTACGGCCCAGTCCAGGTTACCTGCCTCTGTCTGCCTCTATCTGACCACCCCCCCCCCCACTTCTTTCTCTCCCTCCCTCTCTCTTTGCCCAGGTACATATTTACATATATGTACAGCTTGCTGCCCCTGCTGGCTTGACCTGACTTGACCTGACCTGACCTGGTTCCAAGGGCCAGGCCGCTCGCTCGCGTTGTTCCTTTGCGCTTGTTACTCTTGAGTTTCCATCTTACTCTTACCTCCTTTCCGGCCTTGCATCATAGTACAACCGTGGTGGTCTCTCGTGGTCCACTTCAACGTGTCCAACTACTTGTGCACGCGCGCACACAACGTACACATACACAAACCGTCCTGGTCAAGCACACGGTACGGTACGGCACGGCACGGAGCGGCAATATCGACACATTGTTATCCTGCTGTACCATCACCGGCGGTGTTTGCAATACGGACATATTTCACACGCGTTGCATTCGACCAAGAGCTTCCGACTCGACTCAGGCTCAGATCAAGGCTCAGACTCCCACCACAGGGGTTCCTTCGTTCATGCAAGCAAGTACTTAACCGGCCGCTCCACATACTACTACTGCTGCTGGTGCTGGTGCTGGTGCTGGTCGCGCTGCAACTGCCCTGCCCTGCAATGCACTGCAAGTCTCCTTAAGGGTACATCATACACTGCACCGTTCGCACATTCCGAGGTACTCATGCGGCTACAAAGCCCCCATTGGCACCCTTCATCTCCCTCCGTACCCCTGCTTCAAACTCAGATTCGCAACTCAATCTCTCTCGCTGTCTCTTGCGACCTTTCATACCTGCGAGGTCCGATATCGACAACAAGTCCTCCTCTTCGGGTTTCAGGCGGCTCAGCGAGGCTCATACAGCCCAGGAAGCTCCACCTGCACTCCGGTCCACTCATCCTCTTCAGGCCCAGGATCGATCCGGCTTTCCAACCTGCCTGCTCACCGCCTGGGGCTGTGGCTGGGGTCTCATCACGAGAACGTCAACACTAGCTCCCGCTTGAGGTCGACGAATCTCCCGGTCTGGGCCAGCCTCGAATTGCTCGGCCGCCATCTGCAGACGCTTTCTTTACTTGCTACAATTCTCGCCCTCCGCCACGGCAAACCCCAACTACGACCAGTGCCAATCGCCGACTTTGCTAAACAAGACAAAGATATCTGTCAGCCAAGGGGTCGCTCGTGCACTGTCGCCAACAGGTCTTCGGCACATATATACTTGCTGCACATGATATCATAGCTGTCGCCGTCACAACACCCCTTATGTGTCATTCGGAGAACCGCGGCAATTGTCCCTTTACCTCTCCTATACGTGGAGGAGACGTCTTGTCAGATTGTGGAAGGAGGAGTATGAATTCAGAGCCACCAGCGTTTCCCGCATTAACAGACAGCCAATCCGTCGAATTGCCGAGCCCGTCATTGATCTCCTGGCTCCTGGTCAATGGCATCTTCTGAGGTCGATCAAAAATTCCTTGGCAAGTTTGCCAAGGCAGAGGAGCAGACGAATCCGCTGCTCTCTTCGATTCTTTTCAAAATCCTTGGCCTGTCCATAAACCTGTCCCAGCACCTGGTCAAGGCGAGAAAACAACGTAAGCTGGAGCCCACGAGACCGACTGAGTCACTGGATCTCTACTTCCACATCATCTGGCTCGCACGAGAGGGTTTGGTTATGCTGGAGCAGTATGTGATCCCAATGGTGAACAGGCATAGCGAGCTGAAGGTGCTGGCCTACAAGCTACGCGCATCGTTCTATCACATTTTTGTGCTTTTCCACAATCAGCCGCCAGTGTCCTCGCAGTTCATGCCCACGCCAGAATCTGCAGGCACCTCGGCCATTCCAGAGCTGCCGCCATCGAAGATCGACAAGGGCAAGGGGATAGCAGGCGAGACCAGCTTACACTCGGTCGCCCCGTCATACTCCCATGGTGGGCCGGTCGCGCCGCCTCCGGGATTTGGCCCAGAGGCTCCTGGTGCCTTCCTGCTACCGGCTGGCGACTACCTTCCACAGGCGCGGCGTTACTTCGAGGAGGCCGTGATTCTCGCAGATCAGCATCTTTGGGGTTCACACTCTCTTCGCCTATCAGTCAAGACCGAGTACTCGGCTTTTCTCTACGAGTGCGCCCACGACGCAGAAGAGAGTCGAAAGGTGGCTCGCATGACGATTAACGAGGTCTACGAGGCGACCGAAGGGATCGATAACGAGATGTTCAACGATGCTTGCGAGCTGGTCACTGTACTCGGGAGGATGATGAAACGTGGGCAGCCTGGCTCGGGCAAGGCGTCGAGTACGGGTACGGCACAACAGAAGACATCACCTACAGTGCAGCCGGTGACTTCAGCGCAGCCGGTGACTACAGCACAACAACCATCTCCGCCTGTCACAGCGGCGCAACCGCAACCAGGCTTCATATAGCACGGCCCGAAGGCGCATTTGAAGATGAGCTCCTATACTCGACTATATAAAAATACCTATAATTTATAATTCAATCTTTGTATGTGACTGCACACTTCTATGCATCGTCATTTTGAGATTGGCGTGTTGATGATGTCCATGACCTACACTGTGGAGTGCGTGCATTTTCCATGCAAGGCCGGCTGTACAGAGTCAGTGACGAAGCACGCAACGGGGGGGTACTGTGGGCAGTGGGGTTCGACAATACGCCGCAACAATATTCACTCCCTTGCGGCTCTCATACTGTAGATCATATAGAGGCTGCTTTTGTGAGCCTCCACCTAGTTCGAAAAGGCGTTGGCAGGATATGGTTATTTCACCTTTTGCAGTCTGTTGTAAGATACCCCTGGGACTAGGTTGTATAGGCTACTGTTTACGTCTTGTTTTGTCTGGTCATCATTTGATTCGAACTGTAGTAGGTTCGTGGTAAAGTACTCAAACCAGTGGGCCTTGTAGTAGCTTCTTAAGTTTCTCTATACTCGTCGTGCTTTCCGACATATCTCATATAACCATGCAGGTTTTCATAAGCCGACCTATCTGCCACGGAATCACTGTCCATTTGTAAATTCCCGCAGTCCCGTCCTGGCTGAGCATGATCGGGGCATCCGCGCGCTTATTTCAGGTCAAAGTGAACTGCTCAGGCGTGTTGCACCACACGTTTCCTCCTCATCCTGCCATTGCCAGATAAATCATATTTGTCTGAGTAATCTTGTTGAAACGAATACCCAACCCTAATTAGTCAACTTTTATAGTAGGCGCATGCTCTTGTGAATATGCTTCTCAGCTTGTATTCGAGTTTTAGTCTCCAGTGACAATATTTCTGTCGTTGATATCAAAGCTTGAGTAGTAGTCATCAGTCGGCAGAAACACCCTCGAAAATTTGGAGACTATACCCCCCTGACTTTGTATAATACCTCAGTCGAGGTCCTGGCCCCTTGTTAATGTGCGCGAATAGATCATCGCAACACAGGTCCTGAAAAGACAATACCCTGCAGCTTCAGAGTGGCTTTCCGCTGTGATACTTCGCGAATGATTTTATCGAGGCTGCCGTGCTTCATAAGATACATGGCATACGAACTCCGGGGCGGAGCCACCGGTGAAAGTGTCGGTCCCATCCACAAACGCGTCTGGTAGATTGGTGCCGGCCATGAACATGTTGCTTTGGTGCGATCTCTCGTTTGGGGTCAAACTTGAAGCTTTGGCATGGCTCGCAAAGGCGTCTTGCACGTCCAAGCCAGATATATATGGTCTCTGTAAAACATGCCTTGCTGCTGCCATGTTCCTCATGACATTCATCTCTCTTGACATGTCATCATCAATGTTCTCGTCGCTGTAATTGATGATAATTTTGCGCTATCCTCCATTCTTTGCCTGCATCTCGAAAATGGCGGCAATGCCTTGCGACCCACCCCCGAGTGTCTTCACGAAGCTGAAGCCCGGCGCTCGTACTTGTCGTCCAACGCCAGGCCGCAAACGAACATCAAGAGCAGTCGGGGCTAACATGGGCACCTGGAGGCGCTTCGGACAAGACATATCGTGGGTGTGTTGAGGCCATCGTCCATTAGCAGGCATGGAGCCACAGGAACAAGGTCCGGTCAACAGGCTCATTAATCCTCGAGAAGTCCAGATATGATTGTTTGTCAGGATGTTAATACTTTTCTAACTATTTGTGCTAAAATATTCCAATATATAATGGCAGTGCTTTTGCCCATAAAACTTAGTAACATGTAAGCTATACTCTACCCTGGAGGTCAGATGAAAATTCTGTAGGAACACTGTGTGTTGCAAACTGTGAACTACTTAATCTATGCACAGCCCGTTCTTCATAAGCATCACTGACTTGCTACAATTAAATTAATTTGTGAAAGTGGCTATACGTTGTCAAAGCATAAAAGCTCAGCTGAGCTGTAAACGCATCTATCTTGGCTATGTTTTACAACTGAATTAGTAGCACAATTTGCAATAAAAAATAACAGGAACAACGGCTGTTCGGGGGTTTGAGACCATTGTGCTTGGACCAGTGCTTAGTGTCTAATATTTTTCTGACTAGTTTGACGTACTTTGACTACATTCTTTCACCACAATGTACCTCTAGCTCAGTCTGAATGTATTCGTACAGCTGCTCCTGGAGGTCGCGGTTCTGGCTAGCTTTAGAGCCGGACTCCGCCTTTCCAATTGGGCCGTAGTACTGTCCACTTTTCGCGTTCGGGCTGACAGCCGCCCAGATCTGGGACAGAGCACCTTTCTCAACCGGTGTGGCGAATAGTCTGACAGCAATGTGCAGGAAAGGCCTAAGCAAGAGCCCCTCCGAGGCGTGGTGGAGGTTGGTGGCAACGATGCCAGGGTGCACAGGGACAATCTTGACATGACGCTCCCGCTCAGCCACTGTAGCATTGAGAATTAGCTATCGAAGTACAAAGGAAGGAATGGCGAACAAACCACAGAAGATAATGCTTTCTTCTTAAAGGTCTTAAAATTGGGTCCAGGGGATTACTTACGGGCTTTAGCATAGTGGAGGTCGGCCAGCTTTGATATGGTGTACCTCTCAGTTGTTCCGCGATTGGTCATCTTGGTCCGGAACTCGCTGATCTTGTAGATATCGCTTGGCGCCCAAACATGCGCGGCAGAAGAGAGCATCACCATGCGTGTCTGGTGGTTGATCTTGGCAGTCTCGCGCATGATCGGCAGCAAATATTGAGTGAATAATGCGGGGCCTACAACGTTCGTGCCGAATTGGATCTCGTAACCATCCTTTGTGAGGCCCTCCGGAGTCATCATGATGCCAGCGTTGTTGACGAGAATGTCGAGACGGGTCTCTTTGTGAAGAAAATAGGATGCGGCATCTTTGACACTCTCAAGGGATGCAAGATCTAGCCTTAGAAAGACGATTGTATTGGCCTTCGGGTCAGCCGCCTGGAGCTCTCTAATAGCCTGCTCGGCCTTATCTTGAGACCTGGCTGCGAGATAGATACGAGCAGCATTGTGTGAGCTGAGCTGCTTCACTGTCTCGAGTCCCAGGCCTGCATTCCCGCCGGTCACAATAATAACTTGGCCATCGAGGTCGGGAATATCTTCGCCAGTAAACGACGGCATAATGGGCCTAATGGATACGAGCGATGTGGGAATGACGTGGAAGGCGAGAGGAGGCTGAAAGGACACACAAAGCAGTATCAAGAGAAGAGCGCCTACTTGACGTATTATAACAATCAAAAACAGGAGCCTTCGCCGTCCGTGAAATACAAAAGCACATGTGCTACCGAATTGGGTCGCCTGTGTACTAGCTATGGCAGCGGTTCAACATCAAGTTAGCCTGCGGGCCCAATAGAACCCTGGTCAGGGAACAGGGGCGTAAGCAATTTGCATGTTGATACGAGATATACTGTTTGTAGCTGCCGGGTACCTGTGGCGCGGGGCCGTTCTTGTCACACATAACGGTCCGTAACACTTGAGCTCATCGAGCAAGCACTGAGGAATTAGAACTTTGGTTCAGGGATACTGAGAAGAGGAAAGGCCGATGTGGTTTGCTGCGAAAGTTGTCTCGATATGGTCCTCGGAAAATGTCAAGCTAGGAGTTCACATGATGTCAGCGTTGTTAAGTAAGATGATGACAATCGGAAGATTGACGTTATCCTTGATACACGCCGCAGCAGGACGGACGGAAGGTTGAGATGATAGCTCCATGACCAGAACGTCACACTTCACCAGCGGTTAAGCCAATACCAGGGAACCGACTATGGTCTGGACCTTTTCAACATATAGTCTGGATAGAATGAGGCGGTCCGGGTGCTGTGATGCCCATGCGACCGCAGTAGGCTATTCAGTAAAAAGCCGGCGGTGAAAATGATTTAAGCTCGGATACACTCCGGGAAAGCTGCTTGATGGCCGAGACAAGGGTATCAACTGAAGCAATGGTGGCAGTAATAGAAGAAACATACCAAAAGGCGACACTGCGGCTTTCCGCAGGAGTATACACGCCTCTTTCCTATGAAACAAGGCCATAGAGCACTGTTGATATACTCCTGTCCTAGTGTATCCCAACCCCCCACGCTTGTCATGTTCGCCGAATCAGACTATCATCCGTCTTACGCCTAGATCCCATCTGCCTGGCAAGAGAAAAAAAAAACCACTTTCAGGAGGGCTGCTCGGATTCCACGAAGTAGCATCTGCCCATACTCCTTCCTGAGACCAGCGACAAGGTTTGAAATCCGTTCACTTTTTCCTGGGACCAGGGGTGGGAGTTGCGAGCTCTTGCATGACTCTTCATGTGGAGTTGCTTACGCCCCGGTCAGTCACTGATCATGGACTAGGGTAGAGCCGAAGGCCCCGTCCATTCTTGCTTCGACGTCCCCACTGATGGACACATGGTTGCAGGGGCGTAAGCAGGCCACATCAAGATCGCGTGCATGCGAACGCCAAATTTGCGTGCGCTAACTCGTTGACCTTTGATGGCCCGAGGCGAAGATTAGACCACCTCCCAGATTGCGACCTGGGACGCTCAGCAAGGTCATATTTTTCTCCTGACACAACGCTCGCGGGCTCTGCACCTTAGCAATGGCCCCCAAGGCTTCAGAAATCTGGGACCAGGGTGATGACTGGACTGGAATCGCCAGCTCTAAAGAGCGGCGGCGACGGCAGAATCGGCTCCACCAGAGAGCGTATCGTAAGTACTAACACTCCGCCGCGGAGGTAGCAGCGAGCAGATAGATTCGAGGATACCGCGCTTACCAGCAGAATCGAATCCAGGGGCTAAGAAGCGCCTAGAGAAGTTTCCCGATTCTCAGCCTGGGACAGGGCGGAATTTGTTCACGGTTGCTGGTCCTAGTACTCAAGTCGTCACCGAGGACTCGGCAATCTCACGTCAACTACAGCTCCAGCTTTTCACGGCTATGCCTGATCAGCTCCCAACGCTAGTCTTGGTCAGATGCACGGGTCTACACGATAGGGTCAAAGAATTCCTACAAAGGGCCTTCACAAATTGGGGTCTGAATCTTCCTTCCCCACATGACTTGCCACTCGTCACTCGACTGAATACCTTTGACGCCCTGGCCCGGAACGCACTTACGTTACGCATCCCTCTCGAGTACCTAGAGACTGACGAGCATTCCTCCGTGTTCAATTATCAAGGACCTCCAACTTCAAGCGAGCAACCGAGTTTGCCAGCAAATTTGCGTCCGACAGCCTTGCAGAAAGCCGTCACGCATCACTCCTGGCTGGACCTTTTTCCCATTCCAAGAATGCGTGATAACATACTCCGAGGCATCGACGCTGGAACGTATGACGAGGATGTGCTGTGCGATACTCTCTGTTGTGACTTGCTGAACTTTGACAAGGACACCAATGCAGCCCTTGTCGTGTGGGGCGAGTCATGGGATGCCACGGGATGGGAGTTCAGTGCCGAGTTCTTCACGAAATGGGGCGCTCTGTTGGAAGGGTGTACCGAAGTGCTGGAGACAACTAATCACTGGAGGCAGAAGAGGGGAGCGAAGATTCTTAAATACAATTAGAATTAACCAGAGCATAACTACAGCAGTTGCCAATAATTAAAACAGAATTTCAAGCCAATAGAGTTTTAACAAATTTAAAATAATTAATATTAAAAGATAACAATACCTTATTTATATTTTATAAATAAAACTAAATATATTAAATAAAATAAATAATTATAATAAAAAACTATAATTTATTTAATATTTTAATATATTAAAATTAATTAAAGCTTATTATTAAAATCTTACTTTATTTTTATATAAAGTTTTTTTATATAATTAATAATTTTTTTTAAATAAATTTATTTAATTTTTTTTAAAAAAAGTTTAATAATAATTAATTATTTTTTAAAATTAAAATATTTTTATTTTATTTTTATTTTTAATTAATTTTTTTAAAATTTATTATATTTATTAAAAATAAGAATATATAAGTTAATTAAAATAAAATTATATAAAAATAAAAATATTTTTTATTAATTATTTTATTTATATATAATTATTTAAACTTTTTATTTAATAAGTTTTATAAAAAAAATATTTATATTAAAAAAATAAGTTTATTTTTAATATTATTATAAAATATTAAAAATTATTTTATATATAAAAATATTTAAAGAGTTTTTAATTATATTATTTTATTTAATTTTATATTACTAAGTAAATTAAAAATAAAGTTTATAAAAATTTAATTATAATATATAAAAGTTTTTATATAAATTTTAAATATAATAAATTTATTTAAATATTATAAAATAAATTATAAAAATAAAAATAAAAATTTATAATATTATCACAAACATAACAGAAATAAAACTAAGGGAGTACTATTAATCCCCTAAAAGCGCAAATAAACCCTACAAGCTAATAGAGTAAGCCTAAAAAAATTTACTATATAATAAAAGCAAGTTATATAATAAAGTAAAAGGATAATTAAAATAACTAAAGCAATACTTTACTCCAAATAATCTAAATAATCTAATACTCCTATCGCTCTAAATAAGCAATACTCTAAATAAGCCGCTAAAAGCAATACTCCTATTACTTTAGCTAAAAAGATAAACTATATAAATTATACTTATTACTAATAAATAGTATTAGCTTAAAACAGCTTTTTAGTAATTAATTTAAATATTTACCTAAAATAGCTATAAAGCTTTTAATCCACTATTATCACATATTACTCAAAATATTACTACCTTAAACATTCCCTAAACATAAACCCACTTATTAAATTTATTAACTAAAAACTAACTATAATTATTACATTTTAACTGCTCTTATTTAAATATTTTATATAAACCTTAAGCAATAACTTACATAATTACTACCCTTACTTCAATATATCTTCCAGCCACACCCAAAAAAACCTCTAACAGAAGCTAAACAATAACAACTTCAAACTCTTATAAGCCTAATATCTTAAAATAATTAAAAAGATTAAAAAACTCTATACCTATATCCAAAAATAAACCAGCTAAAATAATAAAATAGAAAAACTTAAAGCTAAAATTAAAATACTTTAAAGCGCTACTAACATTATTAATACCCTAATTAAACCTAAAAAATCCATTAAGCTTACCAACCCAACCCCCTATAATAATTCCCCAGGATAATTATAAGCCTACCTTACTTAAATTAAAGCTTATTAGCGCTTCTATAGCCTTAATAATTAATCTAATAAAGAATAAGTTATATATATAGCCTCTTTCTTAAAAAAACAAACCCTAACATAATTTAAACCTTACCTTACAGATTTCCTTAAAAAAAACAAGTTTAAATAATACAAGCAAAAAACCCAAAATATCTTTAATAACTTCAAAAACTATAAGCTTATTTTTAAATTACTTTTCTAAAATTTAAATAAGGAATAATAAGCAAAAAAGGAACTTATAAAACTATACTAAAAAAAACCTACTATAACTTATACTATAAAGTTCCGCTAAATTTATATTAAAATTAACTATACTAATACTATAAAAATCTTTATATTCTATAATAAATTAAAAAATAAAGTAAAGGATAAACTATCTAAACTAAACTAACTAAATAATTTTATTTAATATATAAAATTAGCTATCCAAATTAATAACTAAATTTATAAGCATAAACTTAAAAAAAAAAGGTAAAACCTAATATATCTTTTTTACTAATAAAATAAACTAAACTTTAAAAAATAATACTAGCTATAAATAATAGCTAGTAAGTAGCATTTAGGCCTAATAAAACTTAATACTATTTAAAAAAAACCTAAAAAGAATATTAAATACTATAACTATAATAAAAAAGAATACTTTATATAAGATTATTAAAATAAAAAAAAAAATAACTAAAAACTAATATTAAAGCAATAATAAGCTAATTTAGCTACTAAAAAACCTATAAAAAATTATATATTTATAAGCTAAATAGCATATTATAATAATAACTATAATATATACTTTTTAAATAAAAAAGTATTAAAATAATTCCTAAAAGCGCTTAAAGACTAAAAAACTCTTATAATAGTAAAACAAAAGCTACTTATAATTATAGTTAGCATTAACTAAATAACACTTTTAAATTTAAAAAACTAAAACCCTTATAAGTAAATAAATAAAATACCCCTTATAGCACCTAATACTAGTATTACTTAAATTATAATTCTAAAATAAAATAAAAGCATAGTAATATTAATAGTTTATAAAAAACTCCTTATACTACTACTAGTATATTTTCTTAATAATAACCTTTAAATATATTATTAGCACTTAAATTATAAGGAAATCTTATAAACTTTATATATTTTTAATAAATATAAAATATATTATATAAGTAAAATTAAAAAAATTTTTTTCCCTAAATAGCTAAGTATAATAGAAATAGTAAAGCTTTATAAATAAAAGGAACTGCAATACTAAAGCATTTAATAATACTCTTTAAGCTAAAAATATATAATTCTTAAACTTTAAATAAACTACCCCTTATACTACTTATAAAACCTTAAATTATAAAAATACTATTTATAAACTAACTATTAAATATACTTTAAACTAAAACTTTAAAACTAGTACTAATACTATTAACCCAATATAATCTTACTACTTAATAAAAAAAATATAATACTAAAAAACCTTACTACTATAATATAAGTACTAAAAGTAGTAAAAAGGCTTATATAAAAAGCTATTCAATAGATTAAAAAGATTTTAGTAAAAAATTAAATAATAAAAAACAATTAAAACTAAATTTAAACAAACCTTAACTAGCTTTAACTAATATAAAAAAGTTTCTCTATATAATAAATATTAAAAAATATAAGTATATAAAAATTATATTATAAATTAAATAATAACCCCTTATAATACTCCTAAACAGCAAAATATAAGAAAACTTTATATTACTAACAATAATAAATTAATATAAAATACTATAATAATAAAAAACAAAACCCTATATATTTAGCACTATTAATAAATAAAAAATATTCTATAAAAACAAAATTATTAATATAAAAACTAATTATTTATTAATTATCTTTAATAACTATAAGAAAATCATCCAGTTTAATATTATAAATATAATAAAATACAAAATTATACTAAAAATTTTATAGCTTAAAAAGAGTAACCCCTAAATTAACTAAACTACTAGCTAAATTTATTAAAACTAACTAATAAATAAAAAAGTTAAAAATAAAAAAACAAATTTAATTCTTAAAAATAGCTACAATACCAGCACTTATACAAATTTATATAATAAACCTTTTTAGAAATAAAAAAAAAACTTAATTACTAAAGCAAAAACAGCTAACCCTTTAAACAAATCAAATAAACAGTAATAGCACCTTAATCCGCTATAAACCAAAAAAAAAACAAAGCAGTTAGCTTAAACAGTATAGTAGCAGATATAGGAAATTCAAATAATACTTAAACAAATACACCACCTATTAAAAATCCTAAAAATTATAATTATATCCCTAAAAAAAACTTTATAATAAATATAAAAACAACAATATTTAATATACTATAAAATAGTATAGCTACTATTTAAAAAGTTCATTTATTTTATATAATAACAAAAAAAGATAAACAATTTAAAATAAATCCTAAAAAAATACTAAAAATACTTAAAGCTATTCCAAACAATACTTAATACTAAACTATTTAAATATAATTAATAAAACTACAAAATACCCCTAAAAAAAGGAAATTACCCTAAATTTTATAAAATTTATAACCTTAACAAAAAACAGCTTAAAAATACTATAAAAATACTTTAATAATAACCTAAAAAAGGGATATATCTAACTATCCACATTACCTACAAGCTACCCTATCCTCTTTATACCTAAAAAAAACAAAAAGCTACACCTCTATATAAACTATTAATAGCTTAATAAAATTATAATTAAAAATCAATACCCCCTTTTATATATTAAGGAATTACACAATAAACTCTAAAAAATATAATAGTTTACAGCACTAAATCTTAAAAATACTTACAACTTTATTAAAATAAAATATAAAAAAAAATAAAAAACTATTTTTAAAACAAAATATAATTACTTTAAATACTTAATTATACTTTTTAGCCTTACTAATATACCCGCCTCTTTTTAAACAATAATTAATAATATTCTATAAAAATACCTTAACTACTTTATAATAGTTTACTTAGATAATATCTTAATTTTTTTAAAAACGCTTAAACAATATAAGCAGTATATATACTAAATCCTTTAAACTTTTTAAAATGCTAAACTTTTAATAAAACTAAAAAAAAGTTACTTTTATATATAAAAAATTAACTTTCTTAAATATATAATTTAATTAAAAAAAATTAAAATATAAGCTTTTAAAATTGCAGTAATTAAAAATTAGCTAACCCTAACTAATATTAAAAAAATTAAAAGCTTTTAAAGTTATATTAACTTTTATTAATAATATATTAAAAACTATAAAAAGTTATTTATACTATTAACTAACCTTACTAAAAAGAATTAACCCTTTAAATAAAAAAAAGAGGAATAAAATATA